GGGGGGGAGTATGAGAGTTTGGCGTTGGATGGGCCGGGGTTTTTGTGGAAGAGGAGGATTGTGGTGGAGGGGTGGGAGGAGGGGGTTGGGGAGGGGGGCGTGGCGTTTGTGAGGGCGCGAGGAGCGAAGTGTGTGGATAAGGAGGGGGAGGATGGGGTGATGCCGGAGAGGGTGAGGAGGCCGGTGGTGTTGGATGAGGCGTTTGCGGGGGTGTTGGAGGGGGTGTTGAAGGGGGAGGGGGAGAGGGAGGTGGTGACGGGGAGGAAGGAGATGAAGAAGAGCTCGTGGGGTCCGTTGGAGATGCTGCAGAGCACGAATGGTGGCACTTGGGTGGTGGCCAATATCACGGCCCCGGAGGCTGGGCCTGGCGCTGCGGAGCAGATGAAGGCGATTGCGGAGAAGATTGAGGCGATCCTAGCTTCTACAGGCCATGGGGGTGGAAATGCGCCGCGCACTACGGCTGATATCGTCTTCACGACGGTGCTGCTTCGCTCCATGGCGGACTTTGCCTTGATGAATGGCATCTATGTTTCGTTGTTCAAGAAGCCCAATCCTCCGGCGAGAGCCACGGTGGCTTGCGGTGACAGCCTGCCGGAGGGCGTCAAGGTTATGGTCTCGGCGGTGGTGGACTTGGGTCCCAGAGACCAACGACAGGGCCTCCATGTCCAGTCTCGTTCGTACTGGGCCCCGGCCAACATTGGTCCGTACTCGCAAGCGATGTCCGTGCCTGTTCACGGTTCGGAGCAGATGGTGTACATCGCTGGACAGATTCCTCTGGAGCCGGCATCGATGGAGGTGATGGGGACGTCCCCAGCGGCGTTGACACGACCATGGGTGGAGAATTATTCCACACGAGCTGTGCTGTCTTTGCAACACCTTTGGAGAATCGGTCACGCCATGCAGGTGGACTGGTGGCTGGGAGCGGTTGCGTTCCTGACAGGAGAAGAGCACATTGAGACGCAAGCCCGACTAGCATGGGATCTCTGGGCCCGGATGCATGCTCGTCAGGAAAAAGACGAGGAGGAAGATGATATTTCGGGCCTGGACGTGTGGGATATCAAATACGGAGGCCGCGCACACGAACAACCAACGACTACCACAGCACCTAATCTCCCCAACTTCGAGGTAATCCACTCCGACGCCCTAATCCCCGCATTCTTCGCCGTCCAAATCGAAGAACTGCCCCGCGGCTGTGACATCGAATGGCAAGGTCTCGGCTACCGATGCGGTGGACTGAAAATGACCGCAGAAGACACAGCCTACGGCCGTAAGATCGCCGTGGCCACCGAGCAAAACCTCAGCTACACCAGCATTGAAATCGATGCCGAGCAAGCGCCGTCTGACGTGGAATCCCATCTGCAGCTTATCCTACAGGCGCTTCCCGAGAGATCGGAAGATTCGCACACGATCATCTATACTAGTCAGCCTTTGTCGAGGGTTCCGTTCCCGGCGCAGGTGGTGCCCTGTAAGGCAGTCTGGGGTTCACGGGGACGTCAATTGGCGGCTGGAGTTGTTGTCCAGAGACATACTCGGGCGTCTTAGTGTCGTTGAGACAGTCAGTCATGAGCCCACAGGGCATGACTTCAGGCGCATATGATATCCAATTTGTTGGTAAATCGTTGGACAATAAGAGAACAATAGATCAATGTTATAGCAGCTCCATGTAGGTAGGTATGATAGAAACCATCATACAAGTCAACACAGACCCCGAAAAAAGGAAAAAAAAAAAAATACCCACTGGGACACCAACAGCCCTACCTACCTACAGGTACCCTGATACCTGAAACCACACTACAAACAACTCTAGTACACCGCTTAAAAAAAAAAAAGAAATAGAGAAACCTTCCTGAAGTATAAAGGAATGATTCCTATCACCGGCACTACTATACTTACTTCTACCGCCAGATATCCAGAATGAAATCTGAATCTAATCTATACACCACGGCGACGGGCGAGGAAAGTCGTCTGTGTATACTGTACTACTGACGTAATAGTCCATGCAGATGCAGTCTCTATGTTATCTGGGGATATATGATTACCTCAGTACTGTACCGAAGAGGGCATCCTTGAGGAGGTTATCTTAGATGTATATAGTGGGTATACATACATGCAAGAGCTGGCTATGTTGGTTTGTTCTTGGAGGAGACTACAATAATAATAATAATAATGAAATGACACTGATTATCATGATTTCATCAGTATTAGTCCCGTCGAATACATACCTTTTAACAATGAGGGTACATTCATGGGGTCAGAAGTAGGGTTGGAGGTCGTAGACCAAAGAAAGTTAACTAGATGAACGATATAGCTGGATCACCCCATAACGAGTTACGTGGTATTTTGGACCAGGAGATTCTCCTTGATATGTGAACATGGAGGGATTGCCTCTAGAAGAGCGGGGTATAGTTCTTGGGGAGGTGATGTGTGTTCTCGTCGATGGGGTCATGTTCGGATTCTGTATACTGGGACCTGTGTATTGATCAAAAGGAAAGGGTGGGTGATTGACGTGAGTAGGAGTTGAAAAAGTATTTACGTAGGGATTTGTTCTGACAGAATCTAGTCGTTTGATTGTCATATATGACCCGCCCTGGCCCCCCCAGATTATGTAGCGTACTCTCATCCAACAGGCAAGATATGATGAGCTAGGATACCATCGAGCCAGATAGGTGTGCACACTCCCGCTCAACAGAATTCCAAATGATACCACAACATGTATTTATTGAACCCCTCGACCTGGGCTTGATGGGCCTCCTCTCTCTCTTCATCTGATCTTCGTTTGTACTGCAAGGCTTCGGAAAGATGCATTGGCCAGGACCCGGTTTCCGTCATGATCATATCCACCAGCTCTCTGGGAAGGGCGGATAACATGGTTGCATTCGTCAACACCGCATTGCGCCACCAATCATGCTGCTGAGGGGGCACATTTCGGGTCGAGCAAATCCGATAGTGGGGATCAACCAGCCACAAGACGACACATCGCTGATGTCCCGGGCGACTGGGATCAAGCAGGGAGAATGGATGTTTTTTGTATCGCAAGGTATTCGACCAACTGAGAAAGCGACCGGTAGTGACGGCGACGGACCCTAGGGTTTGAAGCCTGAAAACACCTGGCTCTAAGCCAATTCCTGGGGACGGCGGCAGCCCGTAAAGTTTGTAGATGCAAAAGGGGTCCTGTTGATGGCCGAAGATGTCCATGGCATCATCCTGTTGGTACGAGATGCGGGACTCGGTGATATTCTCCGAGCTATAACAGAAAAGAGCGGTGGCGACAATGTGTTCATTGAGCATGCCATCCACGTGGAATTCCGGATCTCCGGGATAATGGGGCGCCTCCACCGTCAGATCGATGCTGAAGACCCGGACAATGACCTGCAGACCCTGTTGCCGGAACTGGTCTTCTAGCGACACCGAGTAGTATTCGTGATCTCGAGGCAGTTCATACTCACTTTCACACTCATACGGGCCGAGGATTGGGTTCGCGGTCTTGCCCATTTTCCAGTCTTCGTACGAATAGGAGACTCCCGGTTCGGGGTAGGAAAAGCGTTGGAGTCGCCTCCACTTAGCCATTATGATGTCTTTGACGCTTTTAGGGGACGCCCACATTTCTGGCGTCATTAGAGCCAGAAGGTCTGCGGATCGAGGTGGATCGTTGGGCTCGGGTTCGAAAACTCGATATTTCGGATTCACCTCCGGTAGCTGTAGATAGTCTTTCACCTTGACACAATGATTCTCCCATTCCCGGGGGGTCCAGGAGCGTCGAGTGATGTCTTCACTCCACTTATATGGGAGCACGTCCTCCGGGGGCCATCCATCCATTGGAGGCTCTTCTTCATCGTCTGTGACACCCCATGTATAGATGCGCCGAGGCATGCGACCTTGGAGGCCTTTTACTAGAATGTCATTCCAAGGCCTTATAGCCCGGGAAATGAGCTGCTCGATAGCAGCATACGCTTGGGTATTGCTTGAGTGGAGGTTATTGATATACGACGTGATCCGGACTGCGGTCCCCGAAGACTCAACAAACTCAACCTCGCAAGGTAGCCATTGAAAGCAACTTGAAACCTGTTGGTATTTATATCGTTCGGAAGGATGGCGGAGCCCTATGGGAAATGGGGCAATCTTTCTCAGGGGATGAACGAGCGCAGGTGCCGTCTGGCCCGGACTTGTGGAAGGGGGATACGAGATCGCGCCGTCTGCGTGAGGGACCCGAGCATCCTGACTGAAAACGGTGGTCCGGCCATAGATAAGCATGTAAAGCGACGGGTCCACTGGATCGTGAATGCCACTCTGGGGCAGGTGACTGAATGCGTCTTGGAGTTGACACCTGACGACCTCCGGCACAACTCGATCGGCTTTGCATACGCCGGAGTCTGCATTGAGGACAACAACGTGGCCGGTGTCCCGCAAGTCTTTTGCCTTATCTTGTAGCTCTGCAACGCACCAGAGCCATGCTCGGGCAGTAACCAGGTCCATGTCGACATCTTGATCCGTCTCCGAATCCAGATCCGCGTAACCGGATGCCTGTGCCCGCCATTTAGCGAGAGTCTGCTCGTCAAAGACATCCTGTTCCCAGTCTTTGATATCCGTGATTCGCTCCATGAGACGCAACATCTGGATTTCGGGGGCAGTGAGCCTGAGAGGTTTCCTCTTGTAGTCCTCGCGTGCCGCGTGCGTGAAGCGTTGGCCGATATCGAGCTCATACTCCAGGGGGATCCCGTCGAAACCGGGAACTCGTAGTGGACCGGCGCCACTATTATCGAGGTGCAAGAGAGGTTTATCTTCGCGGTTCATGTTGGTAGGAAATCAAGTTGGATGTTGGATGCCGATGATGGACGGAGGAAGGAACAAACACACCCTCGGACTGATTACTAGTCGGGCGCCCGGCAACGACCGGCGGCATGACCATCCCCTGTCCAAGTGCGCCGCTTGGCTGAATGCTGTCTCGGACTTTCCTACGGACGCCTCCAGTGCTCTCGGCCGGCGGAGCGGACGGATGGCACGCAGACGTCTACTAACCCGCGCTAAACCGTACTAACATTAATGCTCATGATGCCATTGTAGATAGTCCTGTCTTGCCTACATTTAGATACCATCACTAGTGCCTCTGTAGATAAGAAACAAGTACGGTAATCACTCCTGAGAGGACATCTAGCAATTGGCGCAAGGCCAGGCTACCGGCAACAAGTGGAGATTCCAGGTATCTTAAAGCGACGAAAAGAAGGAAACAACAGGGGTGAGCATCCCGAATGATTAGCGCTGGTGGATGACCGCCTGCCATCTTCCTCCCTTAGTCACAAGGCACAGATACCGCTACCTCTATTTTCCGTGAAGATGATTGTGGCCGCCACGCCTGTGAACATCCAGGTGCCGCTTAATCGCCGCACTATTCAGGGTCTGGACAAACGGAAGGGCTCAGTCAGTTTCAGTGAAACCAAGTACACACCATTGTAAAGCAATAAGGGGCTCTCATCGGGAACTTACCATGCTGGCAGTAAGCGAAGATGTCGGAAGATGGTGAATCAGATGGGAAGACGAGGGCACGGGGGAAGGCCAAGCATCATGGGAAGGACTGCTGGTCTGGCCGCAGGAACCAAAGGAAAAATTGGGATTGGGTGCTGTGGCTACCGGGGAGTGGCGGAAAAGTTCACACTGGCCACCACTGGTGAAGAGCCAGCTTTGACATGCAGGAAGGATCGAACACTTGAGGCCACAGTCCGTCGCATCCGTATAGTTGGAACCGAATGTTAGAGCGGCGCCACTGAAGAAGGCAATGGTATCATGAGAGATACTTCCCAGGCAAGCTGGACTTGCGGTCGTAGTCGCAGCCAGAGCAAACAGACCCAGAAAGGTAGATGGAGGTAACAACATTTTGTGAATAGAGTGACACTGAATCAGGTCTGTGATTATTGTCGAGAGAACTGTCCCTTTATCTAGTCCTTGGTATATCATCTCGCGCATGCGGATGTACCATGGTAAGATTACTCTCACCAGGTACCTCCTATGTTAGTTAGGTGGTATCCGTGGATCCTGGCATCGCTGCATCGTAATTTCCGAGGCTGCCCTGGTTGCCTTGACGCTCGATATGAGGCATGTGCTCCTCTGATAAGGTGGTGGAATAGGCTGCTAGTGCTGCGCAGCTAGATCGATAGTCCAGGGCCAGATCAAATGAGAGTGAGACTCCCATCAAGGGTTCATTTGCGCCTTGTTAGCATTTCGACCACTCTAGCCACCAACCGGCTTTCCCCCCCCCCCTCCCGGTAGTCCACCGGAGGTCGGTTACAGGCTATATATAGCATGGGTATAAACGAGCACGGGGTATCTTCGGCGGAAAAGGGGCCACATCCTGGAGCCTTGGATAGGGGCGTGAGTGTTAGTGCGTCGGTACCCCGCAGGAATAGTAACTGAGGCTTGCGAATGTTTCCAAATGTTCCCCGGGAGAGACCCTGAGGGCCGCCGTCTTATCGCGGGAGTCCCGACCTCCAACCGGATCCGGGATAGCGGTTCGCTGCTACGATTGCGGGTGAAGCCGGTTGAGCCGGACGGAGTACATCGACAAGCTCTGGATTAACCACCAGTTAGTCGACCCTTATCGGTAACGGAGGTTCTGCCTAATTAAGAACTCATGAGGCCCTAGTAGCAGCCCAGCAGACCCTTCCTTCCCGAGATCAGGTACACCTTTGACCCGATCAAGCTCTTTTGTCGGGGACGCTAGGCGCTATACCGTCCAAGGGCCAAGGCTTCTTCTATTCCACTACTGCACAACTAGTGACTCCGTGCTCAGGTACAATCTCCGGGTCGCCGTTAACTGACGGACTGAAAGGAAAGAACAGTGAGCCTTGTTTACACCCTGTCCACTAGTCTATCTTGCATACCAAGTCCTTACATCCCATGAGCGTCTTCGGACTTGAACTAATATGAGCTAACAACTAGTGGCTACCAACAGGAAGAAGAAAACTGCACAAGACGCAATCGAGAAACCTAGGATCCAGAGAGGTAGAACAGCGGAGATAGGAGGAAAAGAAAGGATAAGACAGAGCCAGTAATTTCGCGGGTCCTCCAATGCCTGAAATTCAGGAACAGCCGGCTTCGAGCGATGCTACCGAACGCTGATACACGTTCACCGTATTTTGGTGATTTCGGTATACGCTGTTGCCAGATTCGGCCTGGACCCAGTTAAGATATCCCCGTAATGTGGTATCAAGGGTCGCCCGGTCCCCATTTGCTACCTGCTCAGCCATGCTGGCATAGTCAAGGTCGGTGTAAACGATTTTCAAGGCTGGCGACACAGTTCTGTCCATACCAAGCTCTCGTTCGGTTACCTTGAGGGTGATGTCTTTGTACTCTTTTGCAAAGGCCTTCGCTTTGGAGCCCTTTGGCTGTCCTTTTTGAACAACCAGTTGAGTGAGCCGAATAGCCTGTGCCCATCTCAAGGCCGCCGCTGCTTTCTCCACCAAATCCGCAGACGGTACCACTGCTCGAGCCTGTTGTATTTTACTCGCCACCGCATCGACCATGTCTGCGAAGCCCACGGGCGGATCTTTGATAATATTCTCTGATTTTAAGAGTGTGGGAACGTAATCCCAAGAATTGCCGATCTCCTCGGCTGTTGCATAAACCTCGGGGCTGGTAGTTTCTCCAATTGCAGTGGGTTTGAACAATTCAACGTAATTCGAATTGATGATTGTTTTCATAAAAGCCGCCAAGGTGCAATCTTTGCCCATGCATTCAGCTCCAATCGTAGCCTCATATGGTACGCCGTCTGCTGCCGCTCTGGCTGCAGCTGCGGCATCGATTCGGTAGGCGTAGTAGAAGAATATAGCTTCGAAAGGACCGGTTGATGTGGAGCAATGGGCCAGGTTGATAGAAGTAACCAGCAAGACAATAAGCAAGATCAGCTCCATGGTAGATGGGTTCGAAGGGGGTGAATTGTGCAGCACTCGTCCAAGGGAAATCAGAAGATTGCAAACAGGTTCTGGGGGGATGGAAGGCAGGGCTCGAACCACAAAAAAGAATTGGACACAGCAGACTTCATAGGATCCGCTATTTATCCTCAAATGAAGTCTCTCCCGGGGGTAAAATGGTGTTTGGCCCTGGCCAAGCCAAACATTCAAGACCCTGTCATCTATCGTTGCGCCAAAACGATACGGACGCCGGTGGCCTGCTAGTCCATGTAACCTCAATATAGGCAATCAAACTAAATCCAAGGCGATATTAAATGCTCATTTCGCTTCTGGGGGTTCAGACTAGGCCAGAGAATGATACGATAGACCGGGATCCCAGCGAGCAAATCTCTTACTGCCTCGTTTATCTACGGAGACCTGCTCTGGTCCGACGGACTCTCCTGGGTAAATGAATCGCTCATGTAGCCAGAGTAAAGGCACAACGAGGATTCGCTAGCCATTATCTGCGAACTACTACCATTAGGGGCAATGCCCTGGCTATCGGATCTCTCGAAGGCCGTGAGCAAAGCAAAGGACCTCATCCATCTATAAATAAATGGCGAAAGGCTCCTCCCAACCCCACATATTGGCAGAATCACTCTTTTCACTCACACTCACTTTTCTTGCTGCTTGTTCATCTGTTTGCATGCTATAAAATTCCGTCGTTTGATTCTAACCTCCATCTTTGCTTTGTTTCGCCCTCTCATTTCAAATCCTTGCTTGTTCCACAAAGTCAGCTTGACAGTGACACCTCTATCATATGCCTACACCATGCGGCGTTTTCTCTCCGCGATTCTGTCGCTCAGCCTCTGCGCTCTTCAAGTTCAGTCTCGAGCCGTGTTTGCCCATTTCATGGTATGTCCTTCACTATAGCATCATGGTATCGCGCTGACAATACCGACCAGGTCTCTAACACCCTAGGCTATACGGTGGACGACTGGCAAGATGAGATGCTTCTTGCTTTAGACGCGAAGATTGACGCCTTTGCCATGAACATCGCGGTGGGAGACACCACAAACACTCAATCCTTGGAGAACGCCTTCTCAGCCGCTGTCAATACTGGGTTTTCGCTCTTCTTCTCGTTTGACTACGCGGGCAACGGGGCGTGGGCAAAGGATGATGTGCTCACCATGCTAAACACTTGGATGTCCGCGAAAGCATACTGGCGATATAATGAGAAACCCTTTGTGTCTACGTTTGAGGGCCCCGACAATGCAGATGACTGGATTGATATCAAAGAGCAGACCGGGTGTTTCTTTATTCCCGACTGGTCCTCTGTGGGGGCCGATGTTGCGGTGACTCTTGGAAGTGGCGTGGCTGATGGGCTGTTTAGCTGGGCGGCATGGCCATACGGCCCGAGCGATATGAATACCTATGTGGACGCCTCCTATATTGACTTCCTAGATGGCAAGCCATATATGATGCCGGTTTCCCCGTGGTTCTTTACAAATATGCCTGGATACAGCAAGAACTGGTTGTGGCGTGGGGATGACCTTTGGTATGACCGCTGGGTCCAGGCCCTGTATCTGGCGCCCGAGTTCATCGAGATTATCTCCTGGAACGACTTCGGCGAGTCCCATTATATTGGCCCTATTCAGGACAGTGGCTCTGCACTGGCTGGCTCCACCTATACCGCCTTTGGAACGGGGCAGTCCCCGTACAACTATGCATTGGACATGCCACATGATGGCTGGCGAGCATTTCTCCCCTGGCTCATCGACACCTATAAGAACAATATCTCGACAATTACACAGGAAGGAGTTCAGGCATGGTACCGGCTCAACGTCCGCGGCAGCTGCGCGTCGGATGGTGGGACTACCGGTAACACCGTGAGCCAACTGCAGCTGGAGTACTGGCCATATGAGATCCCTCGAGATCGGGTTTTCTTCTCCGCCCTGCTAAGTTTTCCAGCAGACATCTCAGTCACAGTCGGGGGTACTGATCTAGGTGCGAAGTGGAATAGTACCCCGAGTGGAGGGGCAGGGATCTATCATGGTAGCGTGGACTTCGCGACACAGGTGGGGAGCGTCGAGGTGGCCATCACTCGAGACGGTGCCACCATCGCAAGCTTCACGGGTCAAGATATTGTCATCGGTTGTGCCGCATCAAGCAACATTGAAAATTGGAACGCCTGGGTGGGCAGTGCCATGTCACCCACCACAGTCTCCGCCACTCCGACCTACTCCCTCGCGGACGAGGTGTGCATCCAGGGCTGGGGGGTGGGCAACTTCGACGGCCTTTGCTCCTTTGCTTGTGGGCTCGGATATTGCCCCGTCGGGGCCTGCCTGTGCCAGGACATGGGCCCGCAGCCGAAAATGCCCAAGAGTCTGGGGGTAATGGGCTACCCTGCTGCCGGGATGACGGCCGACTACTCGGGTCTCTGTGCCTTTTCATGCAACTACGGTTACTGTCCCTCTTCGGCCTGCACCACGACCAAAGTTCCTCTGGCTACATCGACCATATCGCCCTTTACCCCAAACACCTGCACCGCTGGAGAAGGGACGGGTGACTTGGCAGGCCTCTGCAGCTATGGCTGTAACTATGGCTTCTGTCCCATCCATAACTGCACCTGCACCACAACCGGTCCGCTGAATGTGCCGCCTACTGCGAACACGAGTATCTACGGCTTCACCTTGGACGCCTATACAGATAGCGGCCTATGTGACTTTGCCTGTGAGCGGAACTACTGCCCATCCCCGGTCTGTTTGGAGGATGTCCGAGGTAGTGGTGACGGAGGGGGGTCAAGTTGTACAGATGATGAAACCGGAGACGATTGTCTCGGAAACGTCACAACCTGTGATTACACCCTCACTTTCGCCAGCTTTGCAAGCCTGAGCTCCTCATTGGACACTCTGGAGGACTTCTGCGTGAACTATTATGCATTGGATATCCTTGCGGATATGCTCAATGCCACGATGACCAACTACACGGACATCCTCTCAAGCTACAGTGGCAAGTTCACTGAGTATCAGAAATATATTCGCGAGGAGGTGCCTGGTGTGCTGACGGCGTATATGAACCCCGGCGGTGCTGGCAATGCCTTTTTCACGTGTACCTTCGGCCAGGACGGCGTCAACACGTCCACAACCACCTGTCCATTCGACGTAGAGCAGCTCTACAATGGCTACGACATCTACTACGACCTGACCAACGCCACCGCCTTCTGGGCCAACCTCACCGCCACCACCGGGATCCAGGAAGACTGGGTCCAATTCGGAGACAAGGATGTCGGATCGAGTTGCGGCGTGGGGTCTGGCAAGACCTGCCAGCCCGACCAGGGCGTGCTGGTAGGCTATCCTCTACCGGCGGACACCATCACCGTGACCAATCCCCAGACGATCATCGAGGACGCCCTTCCAGGAATCCAAAATCTGACCGACACGATCCTCCTAACCCAGATTTTAGCGGTGACGGGGGCCTATGGAGGAAGCATGAGCGATGTGCTTCTCACCATCTCGACCGTCGTGTTCACGCTAGCTCAAGCCGTGGCAAACATGGGCATGGTAGTAGAGGTTGCCGATAAGGCCTCGGAAGAGGAAAAGAAGGCCATGATCGAGGAAATCATCTTTGGCGTGCTCATGATTGCCCCCTTCCTGGGAGAAATCAGGCTCATTTCGGAAAGTTTAGAACAGCTGGCCGATATGATGTCGCTCATCGGAGACGCCGGCGCGCTGGGCAGTACCATCTACGGTGTCGCCACGGACCCGGATTCGGCCATCTTGGATATCTTTGAAATCGCCCTAATGGGCGGGGTTCGGACGCCCGAGGAGTTCGAAGACGCTGCCAATGCCCGTCGCGCCTTGACTGATGATGAGATCAGTAGCCTGGGATCGGACTGGAAATCTTGGAGCGACGAGCTCGCCGAGGTCCGGTCCCCGTGTTACTGAGAGGTCTGTTCCCGGAGCGATCTTGTAGGGAAGACTATTGCTGTCCTAGATGTACTATTATTAAGTGTAAGATCTACCATGTGCTTCTAAGACCGAATATTGCCAGCATCTATCGAACGGGTTAATGGGTAGACCTTCGTAGAACCCTGCCTGGTCGGTTACCAAGCATAAGAAAAAGCGCTAGAGAACTCCTTCACTTCACAATTGGTAGTGATCGTAATGGCCCTCCCGATCTTCTTCCATATCATCCGGGTCAGATTCATAGTTTCTGTCCTAACTGGACAATCCCATCCCGATGACACCCCGTCAGTCGTTATTGATCGCCTGCCCAGCAGCTGATAAATCACCTCTCCAGAGGAACGATAGAGAAACCCCAGGATCAAGCGAATATCCAGAGTAACGCCATCACTCGTTCCTGTCGACAGCCCGGCTCCTTCATAGGAATACTTTTCAAGGATTGGCAACTGGTGTAAGATTAGGTCAGAGCGACATTCCGGTGAAGTCTATAGGGAGGAGATTCTGAAAGACGCCCTTTCTTTTCAGCTTCAGTAGGCAAGACTCTGAAGGTACGCGCAGAGAAACCTCACTATTATCGAACTGCTAGTTTAGACTATCTTATAATAGTCTGCAATGTCCAAGGACCTTGATAATGGTAACATGAGTGAAATTTGCAGGAGTATACTCTGCCGGTGTGCACAAGTTAAATCTTAGCGGAGGCTCAAACACTAGCCAAAGAGAAGCGCATCAGTAGTTGTTGATCTGCTCTGCTGCGAAGTGTCAGCTCATAGGGAAGACGTCAGATTCATGGCACGATCCACTGGTGTGGGTTGATCGCAGGGCGGCTCTCCTGATGGATGGATGGACGACAGCTGACGTGCTGCCGGCATGTGATAAGCGAAAAAACCCGCCTTTCCGTTCCGCTGGTGGCTCCGGCTGCATCAAATCGATAACATCCTGACCTCTTCTTCCCCCCTCAGCTGCCGTCTCCCCCGCGCACTTTCTTTGGGTCAATTCTTCCGGTATGATGGACGGATGCTCACTGCACGCTTCTCCCCCAAATTCTGTCATTGCTAACACCCGTCCCCCCCCCCCCCACAGTGCTCTCCCGACCCATCCTCCGATATGACGTACTCGCTATAAGGCCGCCCCGACCACAACATCCATGCCATGGCCATGTCGCTGAGCCAGGAGGAAGATGAATCGCTTCCGATCAAGGGTTCCGCTCTCGAAGCAGACGTGTCTGACTATCCCCGCCAACCGTCCCGATCCCCTCATCCCTATCGTCGCAAGGGCTCGCATTCTGCATCGCTGCCTGCGGATTCCGGCGACCGGCCAACCCGTCTCCACTGGCCACGGACCTCAAGCGATAGTGGCACCGAGGCCGATGATGAGAGCACAGGCGTGCTGAGAGGTCTACCGGCTGCCCCTCTGCGACCGCGGAAGGGGTTGCGCTCGGGTCGTCAGGCCGCCGGTGAAGAGGATCAGTGGTTTCCCGTCTTGCGCTCGTGGCCGTCAATAACCCGGTCCACTTCGCGGAGCTCTCGGCGGAGCTCTGGGGAAGAAGCTGAGGCTGAGGCGACCGAATTGCGCGAACAAGCAAAGCGGAAACGCCGGGTTGGGATCCTGCAGAGATTACTGGAGACCGCGTTGCTCCTCTCGGTGGGTGTGGTCGTTTTGGGACCAGAGAACACGCGGTCCGTTGCGTGGGCTTGGAGAAAAGGTGCGCGACATGTCTCGATGGTCGTTCGATGGATGGTGTTGCTGATTGTCCTCAGAGCTCCTGGCCCACTCGTTGCTGATCACTGGCCTCTACGCCGCCTATCCTTTCCATCGAGATGGACGTTTTCGCTTCTCGAGACTACGCTCCTTCGTGATTCCGACGAGCTTCGATCCCGCGCCGCTGCTTTATCCGATCTTGATACCCCTTTACGTTGCTTTATCCTTAGCGCAGCATAGTCCTACCCTAATACTCCCTAATATCCTTCTCAGCCTCTCCTCTCTGCCTGCCGCCGTCATCCCGCTGCATGGCTGGGTTCATGGCCACAGCCTCGTCCATTGGATGATCACGCTGCTCCCGATGATCGTCTCGGAGGAGCTCTCGGCAGGCATCTCGCCTCCCAAATCTTTGTCGCTCCTCGGTCTCAACCCGGAATCTTTGGCTCTTATTTTCCCTTTGCATCAAGCGTTGATACCCACTCTAGATTTTTTGTTGACTACCAGCGTCCTTCCAGCAGAACTGCAGCTTTTGACAAGCGCGTTGATCAATTTATTTTTATTCGCAAGCTCCCCCCAGGCGGAAGTCCTTAAGGCGTTGCTATGGCTTGGTGGCTTGTGCATCTTCCTCACTTGTCGTGACGTGCTTCGCTGGGAAGTGGCTTTGGCACGGATCCCCAGCTGGAAGTTTCGGCGAGCTCCCAGTAACTCGCAATCGCCTCGAAGTATTTTCAATGTGCTCGATCACAAGTTGTGCCAGCGGCTCAGCCGGACGGGCACCTCGGAGGACAACATGTCCGACAGTGACTCGCCCGAGGGCCAGTTCTTGCTCGTCTCGCGCAAGACGATGTTCGAGACGCGCGAGAAACACAAGGCCGGAGAGTCAGCTCTGCCAGCAGAGACCGCCGGGATAGAAATCGTTCGACAGCAACCCAAAATGACCCATCGGCGACGGCACACCATCTCCAGCGTCAACGAAGTCGCACGCACCGGGAAGATCAGGACGACGCCCAGTGGCCGACGCAAGCGATCAATGGCGCCTGGACTAGCGTCGTTTCTGTCGATGACCGTGCCGCAAGCCCAAGTCCGAAAATGGCTCTATGCATCTTTCGTCTACGTCATGGTGTTCCTCATCATCTTGGGGCCCATCCGGAAATACGTGGGGGAGCGCGCACTGCACGGAGAAGAGCCGTTTGGGTGGGCACTCAGCTATCTGCTGGGTAACGTGTCGTGGTTTCGGTTCTGGGTCATCATGTGGAACCTGGAGTATTGGATTCCTCTCCCCGCTCGCCTGGACCCCGATCTGTCCTACGCTGCTTCCTGCACCCTGGGGTGGGTGGAACATGTCCGCCAGGACACCTTTGGGGAGGCTAGCTCACGTCTCCTGATCGCTGCGTACTGCATCGTGGTGCTGGCAATGGGGCTGGCTGTTGTGTTACAGTTGAGTTCCGTCGCTGAAGTAGATACGAGACGCAAGGTCTTCCATGGTATGATGGTGTTGATGTTCCTTCCAACGGTCTACATCGACCCCACATTTTGTGCGCTCGCTCTCAGTTTAGTCCTGTCGATCTTCCTGCTGCTCGATCTGTTTCGAGCCTCGCAGCTGCCTCCGATCTCGCGACCGTTGACCTACTTTCTGGCGCCCTACGTGGACGGCCGCGACCATCGGGGTCCTGTCATCGTGTCCCATATCTTTCTCCTCATTGGATGCTCGATCCCCCTTTGGCTCTCCCTGGCGGATATTCCTCGGACCGAAGACCATCCATGGGTGGGGTGGAATGCCTTGACCCGGGAGGTAGGGATGGTGAGCGGAATCATCTGCGTGGGTATGGGCGATGCGGCGGCCTCGCTCGTCGGGCGGCGATTCGGTCGGCGCAAGTGGTTTTGGGGAGGAGGCAAGTCGCTCGAGGGCAGCGTGGCATTTGCCGTTGCTGTCACGGGGGGGTTGATTTTCGCGCGCGGGTGGCTTGTCCTGGGACAGTGGCCCGTGGGTGGACCCGACGGACAGCATCATGGCTTCCCCTGGTTGCAGGTGGTGGTGAAAGCCATTTTGGCCGCCGGAGGCACTAGCGCGACTGAGGCCATTCTGACGGGGTGTAACGACAATGTCGTGGTGCCGGTTGTGTTGTGGCTACTGGTGCGAGGGCTCGGACTGTGATACCGGCAGGGTGACCACCTCGACACAGCGATCGAGATGGTGCAATAGGTTTGGTGGCTGTGCTGGTGTACCCCTGACCACACTGGGGATGGATAGAGAAAACGGGTGGATTTTGTGTATTTGTGCCTTTTTTTTTTCTTGTTTTTGATATACATTATCTTGCAGCATTGTTCGAAGAGCCAGGCGTCGGGAGGTCATTTGAGTGCCGGATGACGTGGAAGGCTTCCCCGGCTGAATATTCGACGGCCGTCGGACTAGCGCAGACGTGCAGTAAATAGAACGGCTAGAAAGGATCCCTAGATAACGACCCTCCGACCAGGCAGCATTCCTACGAGCCGGCCGGTAGTCAGCAGCCACCGACGCGAATCAGCCGGGCCGTATGGCTGTTGATCGCCACCTAGCGAGATCCCCCTTGGGTCCTTGAACTCCTTAGCCTCTTGGGCCGCTGCTAAGGTTTGGAGTGGGCGAGGCTACGAGCGACCTCCCCCTCATAGCTTATCAGGGCGATCCGGTTCTTCAGTGGCAAGGTCGGATGGTCGACCATCCGAGGCAGTGATGTCGTAGCTGGGCAAAGTCACTTGAGCCTGCAGATTATCGGCTGGGATTGGAGAATTCTCCCGCGAACGTTGGCTGGTCACCGTGACTGGCCTGGAGCGATCCGATCGACCTGGGAGGTGTCACTGACGCAGGGCGTTCCTTCGGGCCTGGCGCGGTCACCCGGGCCTGTCCTCGTACCGGGATTTACTGGACCTGACGCTCGTATGGTCACAGTGGTGCAACCCTGCTCGCTCGTTGGGGCGGTGTCCCATGGGGCAAAGTCCGGTGGATGGATCCCGTGAGACCTGGTTTCAGCACGGTATTGATACCGAATGGTACGAGGGAATACGGGAAGCCCGACGGGGCCAGTGACCTGTTCCGGCCTCAGGCCATGGCGCGTTATCGACCGTCTTTCTTCCTCCTGCTGGCCTGCATCTGTATCTCTGCGACTATTCGTTGCTCCGGGGGTCCTTTTTTCCCTGGCCACTTTCCGGGGTTCCCCTGGTTGTACCCTTCTTCACCATCATCATCATCATCACAACTTTCTTCTTTCATCTGGCTCCTACCATCCGTATTTGAATAGAATACTGTACTTCGTATCTCTCCTTAGCACAGAAGAATAGAGAACAGAGAACGGGTGCCTGTGCCCCCACAAGATTAGTCACGTCCCCCCATCAGTTGGTTGCGGTCATCGCCCATTCCAGTCTGCCAACGCCGCTCTCCTGACCGCCTTGAGACCCAGTCATTCCATCATTCAATCATCCGCCATCGATCGTTATCGCCGGTCACGCTCGCTCTACTAGTCTCTCCTCCCCCAGAGAAACGGCATCGTCGAGGATCCCTGGGTCCAGCTGCTTCCCGCCTTTCTTGCTCCCCATCACATCATCCTTCACACTCTCATTCTTGGGCCGGCTCTCTCTCGGCTCCCATCTTCCCCTGTCGACGTCCGCGTCCTCTTTTTTTTTTCCCCTTCTTCTTCCTCTGGTCTTCATCCATCTTGTCCCTTGTTGGGTGATTCCTACCTTATCGTCGATCCCCGATCTCTCTATACTTAGTCCCACGCTTTGGTCGTCATCCTCCTGGGATCCCTGTCGCCCTCACCTTCCATCCTATCATACAGGCCCCCGTTTCCGCCTCACCGCTCTCCCGCCTACTGACGCCGGCTGTAGGTGTGCTGCGCACCCTTTTTCTAGTCCCCCAGTACCCTACCTACACTCTGGACCGACCCTTCCTGTTGCCTGTCTGCTGTTCGGTCCTCTGCCACGCAGTCCAGGCCTCCTTACCTACTCCTCTAGCTCCGAACGCCCTCCTCTTCCTACTTCCTACTTCCGTTCATCCTACTATATCATCGATCCGTCTACTCTTCCATCGACCCGCCTCTCCGATCTTGTCTGTCGTTCCCCTGATGGGCCTCTTCCATCATCCGACGCTGTTGCTGTCGCTGTTGAGGTAGTGTGTGGTTGACGAGGCGTGGTTGGTCTTCATAGAGCCCTCATCGCCGTGCTGCAGTCATGGCATCTGCACATCACTCCAGAAGGTCCAGGGAGGACTCTCGTCCCGAGATGCCCATTGGCCATTACACCCGACTGGATGAGATCGGTCGAGGGAGCTTTGCCACGGTCTACCAAGGTGTTCATACGGTGAGTTCGGGTCCCATCTCATTGATCACCCTCTTTGGGGAACCATGCCTGTTACCGGCCGAGCTCCCCGGCTCCAACTTATTAGGGCTAACGAGGATGGAATGACTCTTAGAAAACACGCACTTATGTGGCAATCAAATCGGTCAATATGTCCAAGCTTAACAAGAAGTTAAAGGACAACCTGTCCACCGAGATCAACATTCTCAAGGGGCTTTACCATCCACATATTGTTGCTCTCATAGACTGTCATGAGACGACGTCTCATATCCATCTGGTGATGGAATACTGTGCCCTGGGAGATTTGTCCCTTTTTATCAAACGGCGCGATAGTCTTGGCGATCACCGGTACACACGGGAAATGATCTCCAAATATCCTAACCCTCGTGGTGGTGCTCTCAGTGAAGTCGTTGTCCGCCATTTCCTCAAACAACTGTCGAGCGCCCTCAAATTCCTTCGGGACCGTAATCTCATTCACCGTGACATTAAACCGCAGAACCTCCTACTCTGCCCATCTCCTTCATCCTACCGGAGTGGGATGGCTCCGGTGGTTCCCTTCAGAGGCAGCGAGGACTCCTTCAGCCCTACAACGGGGCTGGAGTCGCTGCCTATGCTCAAAATTGCCGATTTCGGCTTCGCCCGTTCTCTTCCTTCCACCGCTCTTGCGGAGACTTTGTGCGGTTCGCCTCTGTACATGGCCCCCGAGATTCTGCGGTACGAGAAATACGACGCCAAAGTAGACCTTTGGTCGGTGGGCACAGTACTCTACGAGATGGTGGTAGGAAGACCCCCTTTCCGTGCAAGCAACCATGTCGAATTACTCCGAAGGATTGAGAGAGGCGAAGACAGGATCAAGTTTCCCGAAGAGAACCCTGTAACCGCCGAGATGAAGGCACTTATCAGAGCCCTCTTGAAGCGAAACCCAGTGGAACGACTGAGTTTTGCTGACTTCTTCGACAATGGCATTATTACGGGACCGATTCCTGGTCTGGTGGCCGACGACACTCCCTCACGCCGGCGTTCCTCCGTCGATCCAGTGGCTGCGCAGCCGTCGTCTCGGCCCGCATCTCGGACTGGGCGTAGCACTCCGACGGCAGTCCACCGCGAAAGAGATGTGCCATACGCTGGGGGTCGGGGCGAGCCGTTGACGCATCCGATTGCTCAACGGGCCATGACACAAAGCCCTCGACCCGATACTCCTCCAACGCCGATGCGGAGGACTGGGAGTGCGGATCGGCCTGTTTCTACCCCAAAGGAGGCCACACCACCAGCGTCCTACCCGACAAGACCGAGTCCGGTGTCTCTTGCAACTGCACCAGCTCGCCAGGAGCTTGTTGACCGCGCTCCCACGACAGCCACCACGGAACGGCAACGAAGTCGTACCGCTTCTTCGGGGGTCCCTCAGATCGATAAGCCTGCGGACAAGACCAAGGATGAAAGAGAGCATGCTGCACAAGAAGTCGCGTTCGAAAGAGACTACGTGGTGGTGGAGAAGCGCGCGGTGGAGGTGAACGCCTTCGCTGACGAGATGGCATATAACCCTCGGATTCAAGGTGGGTTTCACAGAAACGGCCAAGCAGGCGCAGTTTCTCGCCGCTCGGGGACAACTCCGAGCACACCGTCGGCCATGGCCTCGTCACCGCAAGCTTCTCCCAGCAAGGCGATGCAAATCATTTCGGGCCGGTCGCGCGCGGATTCAGCCCACATCCGCCAAAATTCTTACGGGCGTCGGTATGGACAGAGCCCGACGTCGGCCACATCAGCGATTTCGAAGGCTCTGAATATGGCCAGCGGACGTCTGTTTGGGATGAGCTTCTCGCCACCTATGACCATCACGAAAGGCGGACGCTCGCCTCCTTTGGCGTACAACCCGTTCCCGGCCTATCCTAGCGCACAGACTAGCCTGATTGTGCTCACTGATGGGTCTAGGCCCAGCGCAACCCTGGACGAAGACAGCAAGACTGTCCATGAGCTCGAGGAGTGTGCGACTCGCAGTGATGTTGTGTATGGCTTTGCTGAAGTCAAATATAAACAGCTGATTCCGTTGGCACCATCGGTTCCAACCGACCCTTCGGGAAAGCCCATGCCGGACGTCGTCGATTCGGCCGACGGTGGGCTCACGGTCGATGCTATCGTGACTCTATCGGAGGAAGCCTTGGTTCTCTATGTCAAGGCCCTGTCCTTGCTGGCCAAGTCAATGGACATTGCTAGTACCTGGTGGACCCGCAGGAACCGGGCGGAGGCTTTTGGTGAGTCGGCAATCAGCAGAGCTGATGCCGCGAGCAATCGGATCAACAATGTCGTTCAGTGGGTGCGCAATCGATTCAATGAGGTCCTAGAGAAAGCGGAGTTTGTCCGCCTCAAGCTGGCCGAAGCGCAGAAACGATTGCCACCGGACCATCCCAGCCACCCCAGCAATCATTCGATTGGATCTTCCCTAGGCTCCGGAGCCTCTACGGATGTTTTCGTCAGCTCCGGCGTGACTGCCGAAAAGTTGATGTATGATCGCGCCCTGGAGATGAGCCGGGCGGCAGCGATCAACGAACTTACCGGTGAGGATCTAGCCGGGTGTGAGATCGCGTATGTCACGGCGATCCGGATGCTAGAAGCCGTGCTGGAAGACGACGAGGTGTCGCGACCGGGCCACAGCAGCGGCGCCGAAAGAGGCAATGCCGGGAGGGAGAACGACAAGATCATGCTGGACGGTGTCCAGGCGGAGGATCGCCAAGTGATGGTTAAGCGTAAGTTGTCCCCGCCCCATGCACGGCAGCCCGCGCTAACGCACTACCACAGTGGTTTCTAGTATGCGGAATCGCCTGGCGGTGCTGCGTCAGAAGCTGGCCCGACTTTCGAAGCGCTACACGCCCCCGTCCAGTGGACCAGGCAAAATGCCGCCGTCGAATCTTGTGTCTCTTGCCCCGGCCGTGGGGGCCACTCCCCCGAAATAAGACGTTGGCCGTTACAACCTGAAGCATGCTGGCTCATGCTCCATTCAATCCTAGCGTTCTGCTCTTTTCTTCTGCATGTGTTCGCATACATTTGATGCCCGACTCTGGCGAGAGTCGCTTATGCAGGCAGGTGCATCTGGCCTATGACCCGCGGACTGCTTCTTCTACTTCTTCTGTGTTTGTTCCCTTCTTCTTACCTTCCTACCGTTTATTTCTTCTTTTCTCTCTCTTTGGGGGTTTCATATACACATCACTACGCGAGTGGCTGAGAATTCATCCGGTTCTGCGTTTTTCCTTTTTTTCCTTTTTTTCCTTTTTTTTATTTTTCTGCTTTTCTTTTCTTTTTCTATCTTTTTCTGCTCGGGTTCCAAGTTTTCATTGCTTGTTGGGCGTGTGGTTTGGAATGGCGTTCCAGTTTGGGAAGAGGTACACAAATTGCCAGCGACCTTGGATACGATTGATGATGACACCATGGGATTATAGGGAGTTCTGTGGGTAGGGAGGGAGGGATGGAAGTTCTGGATGCAGATACTGCGAGTCAGACGCAGGCTGTACTGTACATACAACCTAATCGCACGCAAATTCTTGGCGGGTTTCGCCCACCGGGTTGACTGTTGATTGCTGGCAGGTCCAGCTGGCCCCACGGCGGAGGCGTTGATCTGGATCCCGGACTGGGCTTAACTTTACCTAACTTAAACTGCGCGCGCATCGCAAGAACAGGGACTAAATTGCGTGATTGATTTTGGTGTGTCATAGGAACTCTCCCAGCGGTTCCCAGCGGTTTGCCGCGCCGGTCGGGGTGGAGAGCTTTCCTCGCTCGGGTTCCGCTCCGACCATGAGGAATTTTTTTTTTTTGCCTCATCCCGAGGGGACCCTCAAACCGCGCGCCGTGGCGGTCGACCACATGGCCGCTGTCAGGTCCATTCTTTCTTCCGGGATTGTCGCGATTGACGCACTTGTCTTTCCTCTCTCTCTCCCTCTCGGTGCTTTGCTTTCCTCTTCTTTCTCTTTTTCTAGAACGTTGTTCGGAGCATTAGTCTTGGTTTTAGGGTGCTCGACCGGTATACTACTTGCAGCCCTCGTGATCCCGACTATGCCACACTTGCCCTAATCGCCTTTGTCTTGGATTAATTATTCCTTCCCACCCATCAGAACGTTCCTTGGCCTTGCCGCCTGGCTTTGCAGGGAATCCCTCGTGCCTCAACGTGTCGCTGACCTGCTCGCTGAGGATTGCATCACATTTAGCTGCAGCACATCATCGCATCTTACGGTTTTGCCTCCGGTGGTAGCCGCTCACGTTCCCCTGCTCGTGGTGTCGCCCAGCGCTATATAGCTCCCCCCGGGTCTCCACGTCGAGACGGTCGGCTTTAGACTGTCACTAGTGTTTCTTCTCTTGCCACAAGATGGCTGACGCAGCTGTGGAATCTGCGTATCAGAAGGGCGTCCTGCCCGACACCAAGGCTGTCGAGGAGGGCCCTCGCCGAACGGATGGCGTCTCCGGATTGTGTATGTGTAACCGTCCGACCTGGCAGGGTTCACCCACGAAGACCCCACACTAACGCTGCGAATTTCAGATGAGGGTAATGTCTTTGAGGCCACCCCAGATGACCGTCGTCAGATCGGTGTCGTCAGTGCCTCCTTCTTGATCTTCAACCGTGTTATCGGAACCGGTATCTTCGCCACCCCCAGTACGATCTTGTCGTTGTCCGGCAGTGTCGGTCTGTCCCTGATCATGTGGGTGATTGGTACCTTGATCGCCATGGCTGGTACTGCTGTCTACCTGGAATGGGGTACTGCGATCCCCAAGTACGTTTTCCCTTGGTTTGCCGATCCTGTTAGGGCTCGGGCTAACGGCGCGTAGGAACGGTGGAGAGAAGAACTACCTCGAATACGTCTTCAAGAAGCCCAAGTTCCTGGTCACGGCCATGTATGCCTCCTATGCGGTCCTGCTGGGCTGGGCGGCTAGCAACAGTGTCGTCTTTGGCGAGTATATCCTCAATGCTGCGGATGTTGAGGTTGGGCGCTGGAACCAGCGTGGTATCGGTTTGGCTTGCATCACTGCCGCCTTCCTCATCCACTCCTTCGCTGTGAAGTGGGGTCTCATGCTCCAGAACTTCCTGGGCGTTGTCAAGCTCGTGATCATCGTCTTTGTCGTTGTTGCCGGATGGGTGGCTCTGGGTGGCCACATGAAGATCGATCCCCCTCACAACTTCACCAACGCCTTCGAAGGCACCACCGACACCGGATATGGTATTGTCATGGCCTTGTACAATGTCATTTGGTCCTTCATTGGATACTCGAACGCCAACTACGTATGTCATCCTGATGCACCTGGTGATTCAATAGCAACGGACTGACTTGTGACAGGCCCTGAGCGAGACGAAGAACCCCACCCGCACGCTGAAGATTGCGGCCCCGATTGCCATCTGCTCGGTCGGAATCCTGTACATGCTGTGCAACATTGCGTACTTTGCTGCGGTGCCCAAGGAGCAGTTCCTGTCCTCGGGTCAGACTGTTGCTGCCACTTTCTTCGGTAACATGTTCGGCACGCGCGCAGAGAAGGTCATGTCGGTCTTCGTGGCCCTGTCGGCGTTTGGAAACGTGTTGTCGGTGATCTTCTCTCAAGGACGGAGTAAGTGGCCTACCCTCAAATGCAGGGACGTTACGAAGCTAACGTTGCGCAGTTGTCCAAGCCCTGGGTCGTGAAGGTGTCCTGCCCTTCTCGAAGATCTGGGCCAGCAACCGGCCGTTCAACTCTCCCGCTGCTGGCCTCTTCGAGCACTGGGTTGTGTCCATCATCATCATGTTGGCTCCTCCCCCCGGTGATGCCTACAACTTCCTGGTCAAGTAAGTTGCCTCTTCTCCCGTCGCAGCCTGAGATGTCCCAGCTAACTGGTCGCACACAGCCTCATCACCTACCCTCTGTCCATTGTCAACGTCTTCGTGTCCGCCGGACTGGTCTACATCTACCTGACCAAGGCGAAGAACTTCCCGGACTGGGCTCCTGGAATCCGGGCGACGCTGCCCGTCACCATCTTCTTCTGCCTGTCCAACATCTACCTGGTGGTGGCGCCCTACGTCCCGCCCAGCGCCGGCCAGAGCGTCTACAACGACCTGCCCTACTACCTGCACTGTGTCGTCGCGCTGGGTATCTTCGCGCTCGGCGCCCTGTACTACCTGGTGTGGGCGGTGCTGATGCCTCGCTTCGGCCGCTACATCCTCGTCAAGGAAACCGTGGTGGACGCGGATGGCTGGTCCAGAAGTGTCTTCACGCGGATGCCGCTGGATCAAGCCCAGCAGCTGCGTTCTTAAAGGAGCGCCAGCTTCATTTCATCTCGCAGGGGTCCCCCTGCTCCTTCGTTCTTTACTATTATGACGAAAGATTCAACATCAATGCCCCCTAGGGCATAATCATAATGTTTATATATACTAACGGCTAGCATTCATGCGGAGTTTCGGGGAGGAAACGGAATTGTGCGGATTTTTTTTGGGAGCGACCGGTTTGCTGTATCTATATACCATTTGCGTCTGTTACGGATCTTTCTGTGGTGGACCTACTTTCAACAATCGACCGCATCTTGCTCATCTTATTCTTATCATTTCGTAGTCATTTCCCATTCGTGAATTATTATGGTAGTTAATGCGTTTTGTGATTTCGAGTCATGATTGTTTAGTGATAAATGTCCCAGCCCTCTATGGAAGCCCATTCACCGGGGGAGCACATGGCTCCCTTCATGAGCCCCTCAAACTGGCTGGTGCACCGTCTTGCAAGCACTGCCCCGAAGGACAGCTCGACAGCCAATGCCAGATGAAATGCACCTCGAAACGAGGCTCTGCCACCGGTTGCAGTGAGAAGACTTGCGTGAAGAATGAATGAATCAATCAGAAAAGGGAAACGGGAAAAGAAAAAGGGGAAAAGATGGGCGTCATGTGATGCGGAGAAACCCTACCTGAGAAGCCCTGCTCATTGCCTGATCAGGTTAGGCGTGACCAGGGGAGCTGATTGCCACATCGGGCAAGGGGCGTGACTGTGACAAGTTAGTCATCGAATCCGGGCGGAACCCACCGCCTGCCCGTTCGAGGCGGGCCACCGTCGGGACTCCCGCGGCCTCGACTTTTCCTGCCCGTCCGTCGATGGCTTGACTCAAGGCTTTTTGCATTGTTGTCTGGTTGCTTTGACTCATCAGCGTGGTGGGAGATTGTTGTTCACCCTCAATTGCGGCCTCTCATTCGGTTTCAGTCGGAGTTCCTTTGTTTACCGAGCTTCTTTGTTATCTGGGTGGGGATTGTCCTCGTGTTGATTGTTTCCATGCGTCGTTTTACCTCCGCACGGGTACCGCTGGGTCGGAGCTCAGCCAGCAGCAGCAGAGCGCTGCTTGCCCGATCTCCCCTCCACCACCACCGCCTGGCTGCGGCTGCTGCTGCTGCTGCTGCTCTTCCCCGCCCCTCCTCTTCTTTCTCCTCCGCCTCTGCTGCCTTATCTACTGCCCCTCCCTCCTCGCTCATCTCTTCCTCTGCTTCCTCTCCCTCCCCTGCCCTTCATCGATCCTCCCTTCGCCGTGCTCCCCTCTCCCAAGCTTCCAAACGTTATTGTTCCTATCGCAGGATGTGTGGTGCTCGTCGCGGAGAGGTGTCGGGCTCGACCAACATCACTCACGGTCGTGAGGTCCTGCCCACCAACGTGAAGCCCATCCACTATGACCTGACCCTCGAACCCCACTTCGAATCGTTCACCTACGACGGTACCGTCATCATCGAGTATGTCTTCCCCCCCCCCATAATGCGAGTCGGGATACCCCGCGCCCGGTTGGAAAGCTTACTGTCTGGATAGCCTCGACGTTGCCGAAGATACCACCTCCATCGCCCTCAACTCCAACGAGATCAAGATTCACAATGCCGTCGTCTCCGCTCAAGGCGCCGTGGTGGCTTCCAACCCAGAGATCACCTTGAACCAGGAACAGCAGGTCGCCACCATCAAGTTCCCCGACACGATCCCCGCCGGATCTTCCGCCCAGCTGAAGCTCACCTTCACCGGAGAGCTCAACGATAACATGGCGGGTTTCTACCGCTCCTCCTACAAGGCCGCTGATGGGCAGACCAAGTACATTGCCACGACGCAGATGGAGCCTACCGACGCCCGCCGGGCCTTCCCCTGCTTCGACGAGCCCGCCCTGAAGGCCAAGTTCACCGTGACCCTGGTTGCAGACAAGAGCCTGACGTGCCTGAGCAACATGGACGTCGCTACCGAGACTGAGGTTGCGGGCGGCAAGAAGGCTGTCAAGTTCAACACCTCCCCGCTCATGTCCACCTACCTGCTGGCCTTCATTGTCGGCCAGCTCAACTACATCGAGACCAAGGCGTTCCGCGTTCCCATCCGGGTTTATGCTACGCCGGATCAGGACATCGAGCACGGTCGCTTCTCGCTGGACCTGGCCGCCCGGACCCTGGAGTTCTACGAGAAGGCGTTTGATAGCGAGTTCCCCTTGCCCAAGATGGACATGGTTGCTGTGCCCGACTTCAGCGCCGGTGCGATGGAGAACTGGGGTCTGATCACCTACCGTATCGTGGACGTGCTGTTGGATGAGAAGACGAGCGGTGCCGCCCGCAAGGAGCGTATTGCCGAGACTGTCCAGCACGAGCTGGCCCACCAGTGGTTCGGCAACTTGGTCACCATGGATTTCTGGGACGGCCTTTGGCTCAACGAGGGTTTCGCTACCTGGATGTCCTGGTACTCTTGCAACAGCTTCTTCCCCGAATGGAAGGTCTGGCAGACCTATGTTATCGACACCCTGCAGGGTGCCCTGTCCCTGGATTCGCTGCGGAGCAGTCACCCCATCGAGGTGCCCGTGAAGCGTGCGGATGAGATCAACCAGATCTTCGATGCCATCTCCTACTCCAAGGGCTCGTCAGTCCTGCGCATGATCTCCAAGTACCTGGGTGAGGATGTCTTCATCCAGGGTGTGCGTAACTACATCAAGAAGCACGCTTACGGAAACACCGAGACCGGCGACCTGTGGGCGGCCCTGGCTGATGCCAGCGGCAAGCCCGTGGAGGAGGTCATGGACATCTGGACGAAGAAAGTCGGTTTCCCCGTCGTCACCGTGTCGGAGAATCCCAGCAACTCCACGATCCAGCTGAAGCAGAACCGTTTCCTGCGCACCGGTGATGTCCGCCCCGAAGAGGACACCACTCTTTTCCCGGTCATGTTGGGTCTCCGCACCAAGAACGGCATCGACGAGGACATTATGCTGTCCGCCCGGGAGGGCGAGTTCAAGGTGCCCGACCTGGACTTCTTCAAGCTCAACGCAGATCACTCTGCGATCTACCGCACTTCGTACAGCCCCGAACGCCTGACCAAGCTGGGTGAGGCGGCCCGGGGTGGACTGTTGTCCGTCGAGGACCGCGCCGGTATGATTGCCGATGCGGGTGCCTTGGCTTCGTCCGGCTACCAGAGCACCTCGGGTCTCTTGTCGCTCCTGAAGGGATTCGATAGCGAGGCCGAGTTCATCGTGTGGAACGAGATCCTGACCCGCATCGGTGCTCTGCGGGCCGCATGGCTGTTCGAGGATGGTCCGACCAAGGACGCCTTGAAGGCCTTCCAGCGCTCTCTGGTCAGCAGCAAGGCGCACGAGATCGGATGGGAGTTCTCCGACCAGGACGGCCACGTCCTGCAGCAATTCAAGGCCCTCATGTTCGGCAGTGCGGGTATGGCCGAGGACCCGGTCGTGGTCAAGGCGGCCCAGGAGATGTTCGAGCGGTTCGCCGCTGGTGACGAGAATGCCATCCACCCCAACATCCGTGGCAGTGTGTACAGCATTGTCCTGAAGAACGGTGGCGAGAAGGAGTACAATGTGGTCCTCGACCGCTTCCGCAACGCTCCCACTTCGGATGAGAAGACGACGGCCCTTCGCTGCCTGGGTACGGCCGAAGACCCCGCTCTGATCCAGCGTACTCTGGACCTGGCCAGCAGCGATGAGGTCAAGAACCAGGACATCTACATGCCCCTGGGCGGTCTCCGTAACCACACTGCAGGTATTGAGGCTCGCTGGACGTGGTTGAAGAACAACTGGGATGCCATCTACAAGCGTCTGCCCCCGTCTCTCGGTATGCTGGGCACGGTGGTGCAGCTCAGCAGTGCCAGCTTCAGCACGGAGCAGCAGTTGAAGGATGTGCAGGAGTTCTTCCAGAGCAAGGACACCAAGGTAGGCCCCAATCAATTCACTTCCTTTGACTCGGTTCGTTTTCTCTAATAATGATCTAGGGCTTCGACCGTGCCGTTGAGCAGAGTCTCGACTCGATCCGCGCCAAGGTCAACTGGGTCAAGCGTGACCGGGCCGACGTGGAGTCCTGGCTCAAGGCCAACAGCTACAGCCGTGACGGTAAGCTGTAAGCGCATGATACCCTTACCTGACAACGCCACCGACCGATAGCATTATCAGTTGCCTACCTATCCAATATTTACGGGACAAAGAATTTCCTCAAAATACAAAAGCCATTGGATTCTCCGACTATGTTCGGGGTGTGTATAATAAGAACAGTCTCAAATCAGACAATCTATTCATTTTCTGTTCCCTCGTAGTGTTCTTTGAGAGTAGATGCGATTTTCGCTAGAGCTATAATACACACGTAGTTCGTTGTTAGGCATTAAGCTGTTCTTTCCTCCTTTCACTCTTATCCGATAGACAATGATAGTATAGATAGTAGATAGATAGGTAGATAGAACCAAGCCCTAACCCACCCATCCACCCACCCACCTCCCATGTCCCCTCTCCCTTCCCCCAAAACCCATAATAAAAAAGGAGTAAAAAGGAAAGAGTAAGATAGGGAAGTGAAACTACCACCCTCCCTTTCCCCCAAACCCAGACCCACCACCACCACCACCTCCCTCATCATTATTCGTATTACTCTTCTTTGAAAATCCCCGAGTGGGTTTCGATTGCGCGGCTTCATGTTTGCGGAGTTCTTCGGGGACGCGCGAGATGGGCGATTTGATGAGCATTTGTTTAAGGTCGTACCTGTTTTTGTCACGTAATTAGTATTAAGATGGGCTGAGTGGTGGGTGATAGTATTATGCGCTAGGGGTGAGGAAGGGGAAGGGGGGGAGGGGTGTTGTATAGAAGATATGGGGGGTAACGTACATAACTTCGGTATCTTCATTACCCAAAAAGGTAATAGCGACACCACTTTTCCCAGCACGACCGGTACGACCGATACGATGGGTATAGCTTTCGATGGAGCCGGCCATGTTGAAGTTAATGACGAGACTGACGTCGGGGACGTCGATACCACGTCCCGCCAGATCGGTGGCGACCAGGACGTCGGTGGTACCGTTGCGGACGGAGGCCAGGGCGGCTTCACGCTGGTCTTGGGTTTTGCTACCGTGTAAGGTGACGGAGGAGAAGCCCCAGTGTTTGATTTCGCGGGCGATGGCGTCGCAGTTGCGTTTGATGTTGACGAAGACGATGATGGGGGGCCGGAATTCGCCGGACGAGAGGATGTCGCCGAGACGTTTCTTGCGCTTGTCTTCGCCGGCGACCATCTCGACGCGTTGCTCGACGGTGTCGACGGCTTCGCCGGCGGAACCGATGGTGACGATGGCGGGGCGGCGGAGGTATTTGCGGGCGATGCGTTCGACGGCCGTGGGCATGGTGGCGGTGTACATCATGGTTTGGCGGTAGCGGTCTTTGCCGCCGATGTGTTGGCTCATGGCGAGGGAGTTTTCGGCTTCTTCGCTGTCGGGTTTCTCGTTGGAGACGGGAAGGGCGTCGAGGATCTTGTTGACGGGTTCTTCGAAGCCGAGGTCGATCATTCGGTCGGCTTCGTCCATGATCACGTAGCAGCATTGGCTGAGGACGAGCATGCGGCGCTCGATGCAGTCGACGAGACGACCGGGGGTGGCGATGATGATTTCGGCGCCGTCGCGTAGACTGTAAGCTTGTTCTTCGAACGAGTGACCACCGACGATACTGACGACGTTGAAGCCGAGTGGGGTGGTGAATTTCTTGGCCTCGATTTCGATCTGTTGCGCCAATTCACGAGTCGGGGCGAGCACGATGGCATAGGGGCCGTCGTTCTTGCGCCATTCGAATTCGTCGATGCGCGGGAGTTCGGCGATGTAGCAGAGGAGGGGGAGGAGGAAGGCTGCCGTCTTACCGGAACCGGTGACGGCGACACCGATGAGATCGCGGGATTGCATGGCGATGGGGATGGCGGCACGCTGAATGGGGGTGGGCTCCTTGTAGCCGACGCGGCTGATGAGCTCCATGAGGCGCTTGGGGAGGCCGGACTCGTCCCACGAACGCATAGGGTTAGGGACGCTGCCGCCCTTGGTACTGATGTTGAAGTCTTCCTTGAAGATACGCCAGTCGCGCTCGCGCATGTGCTCGAGCTTCTTCTCGCTCCAGTGCTTGTCGAGCTGGTTGCGTGTGCTTTCTTCCCTGCGTCGACGCTCCATCTCAAGAATCTCTCTAGCGCGAATGCCTCCTGCCTCGCGATCGCGGTCTTCGAGGGCCCGCGCGTACTTCTGTGCCACTGAGTCTGCGACATCGTCGCCGAAGCCAGCCAGACGACCACGGCCATAGAAGTTCGCCTCATGCCGGGTCTGATATAGCGGGTTATAGTCGCCGCTGGTATCCTCCTCGGCGTTCCACTCGAAGTTAAATTTCCGGTCCGTTGTCCTCTTGCGCTTCTTCTTCGCGGAGAAATTCGACGTCTGATCCGCGCCCATGTATCTCTGCTTCACCAGGGCTGCTTGAGCCACTGCCTCATCATCATCCACGACACGGCTACCGCTCTTCCCACTCGTCAAACCAAAAGACATCGACTTCGGCGGGGGCGGCGGGGACATGTCGTAGTTCTTATTATGAGACTGGGAGTGGCGCATCGCCGCCGGTGCAGTCGGAGCATCTGACTTGCGCATAGCCCGAGGGCCGGTAGGAATCGATCTCGCGTCGCCATTACGTCCGTTCGAGCCGACCGAAGGTGAGAGCGTAGCACTTCTATCGCCATTGGAGGCACTCTCGGACTTTAATCTGCGGGTGGCTTCGACTTCTTTAGCCCGCTTCTCTAAAGCGAGCTTTTCTCGTTCCTTCTTCGACAGAAATTTCGGCTGTACACATCATCAAAAAATATCAGCAACATACTCCGTAGAATATCTTTACGAAGCTAGTGGCGCGCAATCCGGGCCGTTTCTCCGAGAATAGCAAGAAACGTACCTTCGCGGCAGCCGCATCAGCTTCTCTCTTTTTCCGCACGAGTTCTTCCACACTCAGCGGGGTGGCGGCGGGTCGTTTGGCTCCCCATCCGACTTTCTGCTTCTTGGGCTCTGTCTCCGGCGGCGGTGCAGGAGGGAGGTCTTCGGGCGGTGGTGGAGGCGCGGACGTGTCTGGCGGCGGCGGAGGGGCGGCGGAATCCTCTGGTGGGGGTGGGGGAGGCGTGGGAGGGCGTTCGATGGGTTCGGGAGGAGGCATGGGAGGGTGCGCCTCTGAGGAACCGTTCATCACGATATCATCCATGGCGGCGGGGTGATTGGGAGCAAGAAGATGGGCCTGGAGCTCGGCGGCGGAGGCGCTGAAGAGACCCGGCCGCGGGACTTTCTACGGCGGTGAGAACCCGCCTTCTGCGCGGTCACGTGCAATTTAGTATTCGAGTCTCGACAGAGCATATTAGAACTGAATTCAAACCTACAAGACATGGAATCACATATGCATGGAATGAGAGCTACCTACGCATTAGAATACAATGGAGACAGTGTCCAAACTCATAAGGTCCACCCAACCGGATCACATCAGATCGTGGAAGAGCAGTCGAGAAGCAGGCAGTCTGCCCGCAGCAGATGCCTTCTCGCCTCTCATTCAACACGCCAGTCGCTTAAAATCGCACACAAATCAGAAGAAATTATTGTTCTACATCAACGAGCCATCAAGGGCTGAAAGAGGGATAAGATACTATCCACTTGACGGGGTTTCAAGTGGGTGAGTGCTTCCGGACCAGCGGTTCGGAGGTGGATACCAATCAGGCTTACATGCCACCGTTAACCGGTGACTGCTGATAGTATGCGTAAGGGTTAGCCTGAGGGGGAGTTGGGACAGCAATTTCCGCTACAGGCGTGGCCTGGGGAGCAGGCTGGGGAGGCTGCACCGCTTCCTCGGCCTTCATCTTAGACACCGAGGCAGGGCCGTGGACTTCACGGTCCAGAGTCATGTACTCCTTGGCAGCATCCTTCGTGCCACGTTCGAGGAGGTAGACCATATAGCTCTGGACCAGCTCTCTGACCACGGCGGCCGGAAGGGTACTATTGGACCGAATGTCTTCAATCACCTTCTTGATCCGCTCGTACTGAACATTCTCAGTGGGGGCACTGGTGGGCTGGTCCAGCTCGAAGTTCAGATAGCTAGTCCAGAATGGTCGGCTGTCGAGGTAGTATTGTTGGTTCTTCTGAAAAACTTGGCGGGCGTCCTCGGAAGAGCCCTTGATCTTCCATAGCAGGCGAGCCCATTCTGCAACCAGCGCCGCCTTCGTAGCCAAGTCTGACTGTGGCGAGTCCAACTGGCTCTTGTACACTTCAATGGCAGCCTCAAGACCGCCATGGCGGCGAGACATGTTCGCCAGGGACACGATCGTCTCGACGTGGTTGGGGAGGTTAATCAAGATGGCGTCATGGATCTCCTTGGCGACATCCACACGGCCGCACATCTCTTCGAAGTAGGCATACTGAAGACGGGTCGCAGGGTTGGCGATCGGCACGTAAAAGCAGCTGGCACGTTGGTAGATACACCGCACTTCTTCCTCCTTGCCGGACTGGCCGGCCATCCACCTGGCATAGCGTTGCCAGAACTCGTCGTAGTGAGCACACGTCACCAGGCATCTTTCGTACAGGAATTGGGTCCGGGTATAGGAGCCCTCGGATTCTTCAAAATCGAGGTACTTCTTCCAGTTGGTGAGCTGGCCCTCATCGAGTTCGGTGACGTGAAAGTACGGGCGCTTGATCTCCGACTCGTATGTCCAGCGTTTCGTCGTCTCGGTCTGGGTCTTGGAGAAGATCTCCAGATGATGGCTGTCCACGCGCAACCGCAAGTCTCTCTCCACCTCAGCCTCTGCCTTGGCACCGGGCGCCACATGCCCGGCGGCAGCATCGAGCTCCGCACGGAACTGGGCCAAGGTCTCGGGGGACGCCAACTCTGTCACGGGGCGGGTCTGAGCCAACTGCCTGTATCTCTCAAAGTACCGAGCATACTGGTGCATGGGGATGTGGATAACCCGGCCCAGGATACCGAAGATCTTATCGTACGCCTCCACGCGTTCCTCGAACTCGATGTATTTGTCCCAGAAGGGGTGTGCAAGGAAGTCTAGCCCGACGCTGCTTGCGCCACGTTCGAAGAGCCTGGAAACAGGAAAAGTCAGTACGAACCAGAGATACCACCATTTGACAACATTCTGGGGAGATGGGGAATGGTGGGGAAGTAGGGGAGTGGCAAGGATAGCAAACATGAGCATGAGATTCCCAATGAGTGCGAGCCCAAACAATTGAACGATTAAGATGGTCAAACTGTGGATAAAAACGTCTGTTCCCCCGTCTGCTTCGAGCGCAGAATAGGTGTCACCGAACACAGATACTGGGATTCTAGTGTCCGTGCAGGGGAGGTGCTTGGCTTCAAATCAACTGTAACTTTCTTCAAGGGGGAGCAAACAGCCTGGAGAAGCCATGGGTGAGAAGTAAACTCCAGTTGAGTCCGGGTAAGGCGAAATCTCACCCGTCAGCGAGGGGGTTGCTGCAAATGAACATTTGCACCACGCGGATCCGGTATCACAACCATGTCCATGCTGCGTTGGTAACGGTTACAGGGGAGGAAAGGAAACCAGCTCTACTATACTTACTCTCGGATCACGTCAGCGTCGTGGGAGGTCTCTGCCTTAAAGGAACAGTAGTTGGTCCATAGGTCGACAGAGGGCGAAATACTAGCGATACCGCGTTCGTAGACCTGCCCCAGAGCATTAGCGACCCAGAACCCCCAGCCAAGATTCTCGGCCACATACCATATCCGCCGCCTCAGTGCCGGTGATGGAGAACTCCAGATCGGCATATTTTTTCCAGTATCCAAACAATAGAGGGAACTTGGCCAGGAAGCGATCGTAAACGTTCCGAACGGTGGTGATGGCCTGGGGGTTGGAGTTGCGGTTAATTCCACCCTCGAGCGCCTCGCCGGCGCGGACCAGCTTCTCCCAGGTCTCGAAGTTATCAGGATCGTCGAGCTATCCAACAGAGACAGCGTTAGCCAGCTACCACAGAGCTCCCACGAGACCAGAGGGCAAAGGATGGAGTCGCATCATACCAACTCAACCTCCAGCTTCTTCAACTCCGCATTCTCCTCCTCGGAGCCTCCATAGTTATAGTCCGCCATTATGTCAGTTGACCACAGGACACAGGAACAGGGAGAGAATCGCCCGGCAGAAGACAAGGGAATCAGGCGACAGGTAAACAAGGCCCAGCGACCAAGAAAGACAGAGAGCAGAAGTAATAAGGCACGTAGCAAAAGAGAGAGGAGAGAGGAGGGAGAACGGGCAACACGGGGAGGAATCGTGAAAGCGAGTGATGGAACTCCAGCCAGACTAACAAGACCTTCCTGCCTGCGTCTGCCGCCCTGGGCTCTTTTGGCTTTTTTCGCCGGACCCGAGCCTCACCCCCAAACAGGCTTAGCGCCGGCCCTGCAATTCTCGTGCATCAAATCACCATAACGAAGTTATCCGGAGAAGCATCCCCAATTCCTCCAACCCTCCAATTCCCACACGTCTACGGTGGTAACTCGCCTCCCCTCCACTCCGCCATGGCCACTACCCAACCCACCACCAGCTTGGTCAACAAGCTCCCCGCGCGTCTCCGCAACTTCTTCGCGCGCTATCCTCCGCAAGTCTATTCCGCGGCCGTCGCACCTCGTCCAGAAGCCCCCGAAACAGCCACCGTCACCACCAACCCCGAGGAGCTCCCCTCGCCCTACACCCCCAACAGAGACGCCAAGGGCTTCAAGCGGCCCGATCCTAAAGAGTTCTCGCCGTCCCGCGCCCTCCTCTACTCCGACCCCAAACACCCCAACCCATTCCTGCCTCGCAAGAACTTCCGCACCGGCAAGTGGTCGGGGCCCCGGTTTGGATTGCGCACACAGGCCGAGTTGGTCAATTTGGCGGTCAAGTATAATGTCGAGGCGTTGCTGCCGCCGGGTCGCAAGTCGACTGAGTACAAGGATACGCGGCGGAATGAGCGTGGTCTGGCGATCAAGGGTACAGGTATCGGTCAGAAGGTTAAGGGTCATAAGTGGGAGCGCACCATGGAGGCTCGTTTGGAGGATAGGCGTAAGGCTATGATGGAGATGCCGGAGATGATTCGGTTGTGGAAGCAGGTGAGAGATTCCGTTTTCGTTTGCCGTGGTTACTGGAGGAAGAATGGTTATGCTGACTCGGTTGTTTTCACAGAGAGGTCACGGTCGTGGCTGGAAGAGCTGGCCCAAGCGGTGAAGGGCTACGCCGTTGGATGTATTTTTTCTTTGGTCTCGAATGGTTTCGGGGCTTGCATAATGTCGCATCTCTTTTTTTTATGTCTTGCCGGGCTGGGGAAGCTGGCTCGGTGAGAGTTTCGATTGATCATTGTCGGGGTTCGGCACGGGAGTTTGTTCTCATATGTATTGTACAAATAGCTTTTTTTCCAATCACGCACATGGAATGCTTGCGTGACAATGGTACTATAGATGTTGAATGCAGAATACACATCACTCAGGTGTCTACTTCGGATACGGATAGAGTACGGGATACATTGTGAGGGTCTACTTCCTCGCTGGATACATTATGGCTCATCTAACTAAGCCAGCCTACCAATGCTGTCCATGACTGATCGTAACTCGTCATTCATGATCATATGACGGGGAGACAACATCTCCCACCATCACGGTCCTCGGTGTGGGGTTGTCATAATCGTCCCACGCATGTCCCGAGGAGAAGAGAGATAGATGTCTCCCAAAGTAAATCTTGTTCCCGCTCTTTCGAGTCTTCGCCAACGTCGAATACGGTTCTTCGCCGCGCACGCCGGTGAGTTGATCGATGCAAACCATCTGGCATCGTTGACAAGATCCTAGCACGTTAAACTGAATGTCTTCCGGCCCGATGCATACAGACTCCCAACGATCTTCTATGTACGGTCTTTCAGTACTCGCACGTTGTGGAAAGTCCTCCGCGACGACGATGTTGGCACGGAACACATCGGCAGCCACGGCTTTCTTTCGGACATTACCGGTCGAGGGGCTGCCTTTGATGGTTTCATTCAGCTGGTTGACAGACGAGCGGGAGATGAGAAGGATGGGGCTTTCGTTGGACAAGAGAATGGGATTTTGTTCCGTTTCTGATGTCGGCGTATCTTGGGGGAATGAACCTGGCATAGTCGGACACAGTGGAGACCTCCTACCACCAGAAGAGCGTTTAGGCTCAGCAAGTCTGGTAGAGGACTGCGGTGGAAATCTTGCGAGTGTACAGGGTACATCAAGGAAGTCGGAGAAGAAGGAAGACACTGCGGGAGATGAATATGCCTGCACAACAACCTGGTCCCCACAGACGGTAGAAGATTTAGAGCTATTTTGACACAGTGATGTAGATACGAGGTTCGTGTTCTCGCGGTCCAGAAGAATCTCGAGTGTCTTCTGCCCTGGTGAATGTACAGGTCCGCGCGTAATGCGTAAAACACCGCGATGAAGATCGATAAATGGTCGTATCAAGGCCATGCGAGGATACCTTTTCTGGTTGAGAGCCGCGCCTGTGCCCTGGTGAATCAAACACCATTCTCGATCCCATGCCAGTCCCTCGCGTCGTACTTCCCAGCGCTGACCGTCAGGCACCTTAAATGCACCGCAACTCTTGATCGGGTATACAGAAAGACTCTCAACGTGAAATCCAGACCGCGGAGCAATGTTGGTCTCCACGGGTGGCACCAGCGCGCACATATTCGGGCTTTTCTCAACGTAGAACTCCTCAATAAAAGCCATGAAAGTGTTGATATCGTTCGAATTGCTCATCGCACCAAGGCTAACTCTCAAGATCCCAGTAGGTCGCCCATCCATGATATCGTGATCATCCCCGCAACGCATTCCCGCGCTGAAGTGCCGGAGCATGTCTGCTCCAGTCCAGTCGAGACTGGCCGCTGTGCCCCCTGGATTACAAAGCGTTCCAGATCTGATTTGTATGCTCCTGACGCTTGCCAGCCTCTCCACTTCAGACTTGCCAATCCATGCGCCTTGGCTGGATTGCAGATTGAATGCGAGAATCGGGCCTTGTGTGGACGGGTCAGTATAGTCTGAGCGCGGTGATCTGTATACATGACAGACTCTCTCCCCGTTGTGGTGTCTCAAAGCGGTCATGCGGTCGTATAATCGCTTTGCTAAAGATCGTGTATGTGATGAAACATTCGCCATCGAGCCGAAAAGACGCTCATGGGTCTCAAATGCGGGACCCAGGGCGATTATATTATGAAATGGAAGAGTCCCGTCTTCCAGCCGTTCGTGAATTGAAGATTGCTTTTTTGCATGCCACTGCGCTCCTTGGGTCAAGACCATATCCACGGTCCCTCCTCCGAAGAACTTCCGCTTGTCGAAAATGTGGCCAGCACTCTTTCGAACAATCAATGCACCGAGGTCCGGAAACCCGAAGATTTTGTAGAAACTGAGCACGGCAAAGTCGGGTGCCGCGGAAGCATCACTTAGATCGAGGGGCGATGTCGAAACAAGCGACGCGACGTCAAGAAGAGTGTAAGTGTTCTCGGCTGAATTCCGTATCCTCTCACACCATCCAAGAGGAAAGCGCCGACCACTCATATTCGATTGTGCAGGGTATGCAAATAGGCGGGGGCCATGCACCGGCTCGGTATCCAGCTCGGAGATCCATCTCTCGACTTCCCCATCTGTCATAAAGCACCTATTGCCAATATCCGCAAGTTCGCGAGCCCCGATCAAGCTTGTATGCGCATCAACATGATATCCATACCAGAAACCTTGCGGCGTCGACTCGCGGAGCGAGTCGGCAACCAACTTAATCGCGGCAGTGGCGTTTGCCACGAAGACGAGATCGAACTCCTCGGGGTCGGCGTTGAAGAAGCGAAGGGCCCTTAGACGAATGTCATCCACGCGCTGAGTCGATAGCTGTGAAGGGGCGGACATAGAATGGGGGTTCCCGTAGAGATTCGACAAGAGGTCCCGGGAGAACGATTCAATCAGAGATTTTGCGTAGAGCGTGGTACCTGCATGGTCAAGATATGTTGTACCTGAGCCGGAGTTAGATTGTGAGCATTTATCGTTAAAGTCACATAGAGCTTCCAAAGCTTCCAAACCTACCTTTGAGCAAGGGATATTCACGTTCCCGAATGACGTCCACATCCTCCAGGTAGTAACGCCCATTATCCACGACGCTTTCATGTTTGTCCCTGCCCGCCATCGTAGTAGACAGTACTCGACGGCATGGACTGCAAGTTAATAGACAGGTATGTTCGCAGGGCGGAAGGGCCAGTTCGCATTGCTGGCGTGGGTGATGCGCGAGGTGGCGACCGCCAAATTACTGGGCGTTCCCTTAACCACTAGTACGATGCAACAGGACGTCCACTGAGACACACCACAACCAGGCCGGTGCCGTGGATAAGATGAAAGTAAGGTTGTCAATAATTGCGTAGAGTTTGCGAAATCATTTAGTAGTAGATAATGTCGCGATAGAAATAAAGCCCCTACTAGCACTATATAGTCCCTAGCCGATAAGGCTAATCGATCGGAGCTTACCGACGGCGGGCTTTCCTCTCCTTCGATGGCCCCGACGGCTAGTCGCGGACAACTGCAACGCTGAGGTCTTGGCTGACAAAAGCTGGGATCGACCAAATATCATCATCATGAGCATTCGAGTGCGAGGGGGTCTGGCTGGTACATAAATGCCGGGGAGGAGACACTACTAGGTGGCCACCGGCCTGAGCAAATTCAGCCCGACCAGGCCGGAGCTTCCCCACCTTTGCGTTGCTTATCGAAGGCGGGGACCGGCCGGGTCCGAAAGTGGTGGTGGTTCTGAGTTCTGACTAGCAGTACTACTCCGTGACTATGACTCTTACGTTTGTTGAATCAAACGCTCCAAATTTCTGTCGATCATATGAAAGCTCCTGTGTCATGTCTGAAATGTAGCAGAAACTGTAACTATGTATATATACCTCTCTCCCTGATCCTATCTCCACACAGCACAAATAGTAGCTCCCAGAACTGCCAGCCTATGATCGTACGAGATATCAAAGAACGAGCGTCTAGCAAGCGCATGGTCAAATATCATCTTTCGAATAGTAAATCTGATCAGCAACTGCCATGCAATGGAAGAACAGGCTTAAGAGCATCGTCAAGTAGCACAAGATAGTGTGACACAAGATGTGGCACAATTCAAGACAAAAGGCTTTGTTAAACAAGAGCTAAATGAAAAACATTATCATCATCTGTATGGAGTAGTTGTGATCATATCCCATCACGAAGCGAGCCACTTGAGGCTTGCGCGGTCAGTGTCCGTTCTTTCGTTCATCTCATTGAATCAATTCTCTTTTCTTTTCTTTCCTCGTTGCATATTATCCGTTCAATCATTAATCAATATCATTCCATCATATCCATTGAGTCGTAAAAGCCATCCCTCTACACCACGTGCTGCTGCCGCCGACCCGAGCTGCTGTGGCGCCGGTGGCCCCGTCGACTGCTGTGACTTCTCCGACGGACAGTGGTCTCCTTGACAACAACCTCCGGTCGCCGGTAGATGGCGAGTGCTAAAATGGCAGTCCAGAAAAAGAACACGACTTCGATGATCCCCAATGCAAAGCAGGCCTTCAGCATCGCACAGGTCTTGTTGATATGGAAGGACAGAGGATTGCCGGATCGGTAGCCATAGTATCCGAAGGGGCCAAGTGAGATGTACACTGAACCTCCATCCCAATGGGAGCAGGTGGCTCCAGCAATGAAGCGCAGCTCGTAGACACCCGCGATAAAGGCACCGAAGAAGAGTAGATCAACGAAAGCGACGAACATGGCAGAGCGCTTGGTGGTCGAAAAGCGAATCAGGGTGTCGATGCACCAGAAGGCTGCAATTACGCTAACGATGAACAGAACAAGGATGTAGGCAGGGGTAATCTGGTTCGCATTGAGGTAGCCATTGACGAAATAGGCCTGGAATTGGTGCTGTCAGACAAAGCGACTCGTGGATTGGGGGGAAGTCATGCGAGGATTAGGTTAAGGTTGGAATGCACATACCATCATTCCAATGATCGGGATCAGGAAGATAAGCTCCAGAATGCGGTTGCAAATGAAGAAGAAACTGCCAATCATCTTGCCTGATTGACGCAGATTGCGATTTGACCTCAGAATGCAGCTCAAGTCCTAGGATTAGTTGCTCCGGGGAGTCCAGAGGCATAAACAGAGGTGGTAGTTTGGGCTGGTCGTGAAGTGGCTATAACGTCATCACACGAGGTACGTGGATTGGCAGGGTCGAGAACGGTCACGAAAGGATCTGACTGAGTCCAGCACCGTGGGCAGGGCACCCGGTCGACAGAAATCCAGGCGTTGCGCCGGAAACGTATAGAAAGGAATTGGTTAGGTGCCGATCAACTGTCGCCCAACTCAAAGGCATAACCCGTCCAGTTACGTGGTAGAGCAAGCAAGGCACGGATGATGCATCCAAACCCAAGGCAACAGGGAGGGGAGATGCAGAAGAAAAAGAACCCGACGGGGATGGATATGCGAGTCGGAGGAAGACAGAGGAGGCTGGGCGATTCACACTGCGGGGTGGCTGGGATCCATTTGTCCAACCAACACCGTTTCAGCAGTTCAGCAGGCCAATGCCCTGGCCGCTTCAACATGAGGACCATTTTCTCACCAATCATCACGGGCGAGACCCTCCTCTCCACTCTGATAAACGATCATCATCATCATCAACAAGATTCTTGATCCGTGTTTACCTTACCGTGCCCTGCCCGACCGTTGCCATAGCTCAGCCGTGGGTGGGGCGGGCGGCCACGAGGGCCTCGAGCCACGGTTGAGCGCCCTTCGCGCCCAGGAACCGGAATAGCGCTCGCATCTTACATCTCGAGCAAAGTGGTGAAATCTAATAATAGCAGAAGCAAGGAGAGAAATATGAAGACGTGCAACTGTCTCTCTGCACGGTGAGTGAGTACAACGGCCTATTCTACCGCAATTTCTTCAACTTCAGTAGGCCCGCCCCGTTTCAAGATAGATCCACTATCCAAAGATCTAGATGCGACGAAACAAATCTATGAACTGGCAACAAGAACTCCGTACACTCATATCCAAGCGTTCCAAAATCATGACTCAGGCTTCGCGATATTGCATGTCTGTCAGATCCCGTCCTCTGTCCGGGGGAGCTACTACTGCCCCCGATGGCGCGTGGGCAGTGGTGGCTCCAAGTACGACCTGTGGTGTTTGGGAGCGGTATGCCGTGTCAATGTCGTATCGCGACGAGGGCTCACCCAGCGCCGAATTCTGTGTCCGCGTGTATCCAGGTTGCATTTCATAACCACCAGCAACATCCTCACTGGAAGATGACCACGCCCCGTCCTCGTCGTGTCTCCGATAGTTGTACACATTCGTAGCGTAGGGATTCGATTCCGGTAGGAATAAGGGCCCAGCGGGAGCATCATCCGTCGCCGTCCGCTGGGTGCCTTGGTGCAATCGCTCTTCCTCGATATTTCTCAGAGCGGCAGTGCTTCCATCGGTACCCGCCAGAGGAACGGGATCGGCGGGTGGCACCGGCTCCCTGCCCCACGTCCGAATGGGATATGCGCGTCCCTTCTTCCAGGGCTCGCTGAGAGAAGGGAAATACTGACGGTAGGAGATACAGGCGCAGATGATCCCGAGGAGCGATCCACTGATGACATCGAAAGGGTGGTGCCTTGCATCCATAATACGGGTCACCGCAACAAGTGTCGCTGCAAGACAAGGGATCATAACCAATAGTGTCTTCCAGGCTTCGCCTCGGTTATCCATGATATGCAGCTTTCCACTCAGCCAGAGTGACAGGTAGAATAACCCAGCAAATGATGCTGCGAAAGAACGTTAGTCTGCAATGCATGTTTACCACAAGTTTAAGGGTGGGGCTTCTCTCACAGCTACTATGTCCTATCGTTGCGGATTAGCATGAGACACACTCGGGATTAGAAGAGCTGTCATACCTGAAGGCCACGAACGAAAGCCGTCTTTAATCAACGCATGGTCACCCGTACAGATGGTAGAGTTCGACAGTCCAGGTATTGCGTCCTCACTTCCTGCGCGAGGCTGACACCGATCGATAAAGTCAGGTCTGGGTTTCCCACAAGCATTTTTCAACACCTGAGTAATGACAAAAGTCAACCCTTGTGAAAGCAAGAGCCCCAGGATACCACAATTGAGCTCCCACAGCCGATCCTTCCACCGGTACGGACCCGTGAAATTCCTCTTCCCGGACACCGGATGCTGTGTTTTATGATGAGAGAAGAGCCCGTCGATAAACAGCGTAAAGACGATAATAATGATTAGAGGCGCGAGGCCGGAGATACAGAGAGCTTCCTGGATGGTTATATGTTCGTGGACAGCATAGGGATATTGAATGGAAATGTTTCGCAATGAAAAGTGCTGGTGAAACGGCTCAATGGAATCGAGAACATAGAAGCCTCCAATACACGCACTATCGCAGTGGTCATTAGCAAATGCCGCCGCATGGGCTGTCCATAGTGAGCACAAACATAAGGATAACATAGTCAAATATATATCTGCCAGGAGCGCATCACATTAGCAACGCGACAACATTCCTATCCTTGGCGGGGATTGATGCTCACGAGAGAATGACCCGCTGCTTCAAGCGCCGCTTGGAGAAGGGCAGCTTGTCGGGAAGACGGTCCATCGGGTCAGGGTCCACTTTAGTTGAGACACAATGCAATAGTTGATGGTCCTAGTGTCCTCTTCTTTATATCAGGAGCATATAATATTCTGGTAGCTGTCCTAGAGCGCTTAATGGGCCTGAAAAGAGCAGATTGACGCGACCGGAGTGCGCGCAGAAATAGGAGCACGTGAGGGTGTGGCTGTAGGCAGCTGAGGTGTCAAACTGCAAGCTGGAGATCTGCCCGGCAGCGGCAGGACAAATAAAGAACCCTGGAGAATTCCCTTCACAGTTGCCTGCCAATGAGAATAAAAGGTGGCGAAACACGGGGCATTGGGCGACTAAATACGGGGGGAGTCTGAATACTCGTTCATCGCTGCCTGCGCCCTGCAGCTCTTTGGCTGACCCACCTGGACAGTCGACAAGCCCCAGGGTACTCCGGACATTGGCTCGACCGTTTCCTTCCAAGTCTCCAGGGAAAAAGCCTAAATTAAAATGACATTAAGATCGACCTGGTGCTCGGATGAACAAGTCGCGATTGAAGCGATGATTATCAGATTGAGTGTATATAATTATCAAGCAAGGCAGTGTAAATCGCGTATTGAGTTGTCTAGAATTCCGAGTGCATGATGGAAGTACGGTGTAGTTAAACTCACTTGAGCATGACAGCCTGTCTGTGCCGTACCGCATCTGTTATGAGACACAAATACACGCTGGGCACTGCGCAGACGGCGTGTATCACCTTTCAATACAGATGTACTAAACTGCATGATTAGGTAAGTCTGGTTCGTTCCCCGCGATTCCTGTGTAGTTCTTTCGCAGTCTCTCTCCCACCATGCTGGAATGCACCTTTGAAAACCCCGGTCGGTCAACTTTACTAGGCTAAGTGGCTAGTCTTGTCCGTGAAGACTGCAGAGAGTTTAGTTCTATTCTGGTCTCAAACAAGCACTAGCGGTCCATCCACTAGCAGCTAGTCACCCCTCCGGTGGCGTAGTCCAGGACCACCACAAATGACCAATGCGTCGGTAAGAATAGGCGGGAATTGTCCTTCTTCTCTGGCTCAAATTTCGGGGGCAGCCTTGTCGTGGGGTGCATCAATGCAGGGGAGAAAAAGAAGGGCCCATTTACCCCGACGGCATTCTCTTCGCAAGCAACTGGTTACTCAGTTCCGCCACTACTGACCTCTTGATCTTCCCACTTTCGGTGACGGGAAATGCAGTGGGGATGCCTTGGTCCCCTAGCCAGAGTATCCAAGACGGCGATTTCTGGGACCCTAGAGTCGTCTGTACCCAGTCTATGATCTCCCGGTGCGATGGGCGGGCCTGATCTAGCGCCGGCTGAAGAAGAGCTGCTACTTCTTCTCCCAGACTCTGGTGTTCGACTCCAACGACACAAGTTTGTGAGATAGCAGGATGCTCGTTCAGGCGTTCTTCGATCTCCGCGGGATAGATGTTCTCCGCCCCTATGTAAGTTGTCAGTCTGGGTCTCATCAGGCCATCCTGCATGGCATTATATACCGCGGATGATGATATCTTTGATCCTCCCCGTGATCAAACAGTGACCATCGTCATTGATGAGTGCCACATCCCCTGAATGCATCCAAACAATACCCGACGCGTCTGCTTTGAGGGCCTCTGCGGTCTTCTCCAGATTTTTGTAATACCCTTTCTGGACTAGATAACCCGCTATGCATAGCTCCCCACGGACCCCTCGAGGAACAATCTTTCCTGCTACGTCGATAATCTTGGCTGATGTGTGGGGGAGCAAGGCCTTATGGATCACAACGCCATCTTCTGGCTGACTCGAGGCCCGGGACATGAAACTGATAGGCGATGTTTCGGTCATTCCTATACTATCTGGTTAACAACACGGCCTCGTGTGATGCCAATCAGATGCTGACAGAGTTCATAGCTACCTACCATAAGCCACTGTCAGATCTTCGAACCCAAATACTCTTTGCATGTCTTTGATCAGCGCAGCTGGGATTGGAGCACCTCCAATCAGACCGGTTCGGATGTGGATTGAACCAAGATTGAGATGGCGGTATCTCTCCAAGAGAGCAATGAAGATAGTCGGCACTCCATGGAGACCCGTGCACTTTTCCTGGATGATAGATTGGAGCACTGCTGTAGGATCGAATGTTGATGACGGGTACACAACCGTGGCTCCATGCGTAAGGCAAGAGAGAAGACCAATCACAAGGCCGGATATATGGAAGAGAGGATAAGGACAGCAGACGACGTCCTCGGGTGTTAGTTGTAGACGGTGGCCGATTAGGTTACTGTTGTTAATTACGTTGCTGCTCATGCAGGGTCAGTATGAAGCAACCCAAAACAAAAAAGCTAGGGAACTAGAGATGATTTGCTGGTGTCCTCACCTGTGAGTCAGCATGGCAATCTTCGGCGCTCCGGTGGTGCCACTGGTGAATTGAAATGTACATGTCCGGTCACTGTCCACGTCATCGCTCATACTGATCTCCGGCGTCCGACTCGCGTGAATGACGAAGTCTTCATAGAGCCGGTACTCTGAAATTGGACCATGTGACCGAAATAGGATGATCTCCTTCAGACCCGGAACTTCGTCCTTCTCCATCAATACCTTAATGTCTTCCAGATATGATGCTAGATCCCGATTGCCGATATGCGATGAAGTGAAAAGCATCGAGCATCCTGTTGGGTCAATCAATCCTTGAGTCCCATCCAGTCGGAGAAGAACACTGCTTACCGGTCTCCTTTAACACATTCTGACATTCTATAGAGGAATACGCGGTGTTGAGTAGCACTGTCACAGCCCCGATCCGCGTTGCCGCTAGAAATACCTCTACATATTGTACACAGTTGCCCGAAAAGATACCAATTCGATCTCCTGCGAGAACTCCGTGCGCCAGAAGAGCTTTGGAGACAGACTGAACACGGGAGTTCAGCTCATGGTAGGTGTACCGGACACCTTCGGTTGGGAAGACGACAGCTTCGCGGGCAGGGTACTTGGTTGCCTGGTGGTTGAGCAATTGACCAATGGAGAACGGAATGAGTGCTGGCTCGGAGGGGCCTTGGATGAGGGACAACGATGAGGCCATATCTTGCATAATTTCTCTTGCCTATCGGAGGGTTATGATCCTAAGCCAAGATTCGTGGTGACACTGGGATTAGTTAGAGAGCCAAAACCGGCGGGGTTCGCGGTTCACGTGTGCTTATGGCAGATAGGAAGCAAACATCTTCAACAGGCCTCCCGGGTTGGGGGGTAAATTTGTGACACTTTTGTCTATGACATATGTTGAGACATGCTATACTCCACCTTCTACGCCCGGGGCTAGGAGGGATATAATCCTTTTGGCCTACGTAGTTCCTGGCAAGATACTCTGTTGCAACGGGAGTCGATAGGCTAGAACGTTACGTCCCCGCATCTGACATGACTTACTCCGTTGCTTTCTAGCATGATGTAGCTACCTCATCTACAGTCTCAACCAATATAAATGTCTGTCTAGCCTAGAATTGCCCTGGCTTGGGATAGAGGGGAGAAGTACTTAAGTATTCATCAAATTGGGTGCCTGAACGGACTGGTTGAGAGCCTGAGGGATTCATTCCGGCCATCGCCAAGCTAACGCCAGAGAGGCTAGTGGCGAGGATTAATAATGTGTGAGTTCTGATACTCTGACAACTAAACAACCTCCTCAGCCCCGGTATTCACGACGGGCAGGTATCATCTTCTAACTTTTAGATGAAGATATTAGACCCAATGGACCCCCGCGGCAAGACGCCAAACCCTGCGCCCAAGCGCTCTCGAATGTTGATCAGCAGGGCTCGGACTGGTTGCCTTACTTGCAAGTTCGTCCTTCTGTCTAGTCTGATGAGTGGCCGTGGCTGATACCTGGGATAAGGACAAGGAGAGTCAAATGTGACGAGCAAAAGCCGGTCTGCAAGCGATGCATTGCGGCGAAACGCCATTGCGCTGGCTACCAGAAGCCCCCGAGTAATCCGCCTAAGCCATTCCGCATAACGTACTATGTACGGGACCTCCCGTCCTCCATCAGGGCTTTGCACCGCCCATTAGAAGATCCTCAAGATCAGCGTGCGCTCGATTACTTTTTCTTATGGGGCAATGCCTACTTTCCTAGCGATTTAATGGAGCCCTTGAGCCGTGATGACATCCTTTACGAGCCTGCCTTGAGGCATGCAATGATCGCCATGGGTAGGTTACACGAGATATATCGCAATGGTGAGGTTGGCGCTTCCAAAAAGGTGCTAAGCGTGTTCGCAATGCAGCACTATGGTGAAGCAATACGTCGGCTTGTTCTGCGTGATCCAGACACCGCTAGTGATCCAAGCCCTGTCTTCCTGGTAGCCTGTTTTCTGTTTGTTTGCCTCGAGTCCTCCCAAGGACACGTGGAGGCCGCACTACGTCACCTGCGATCCGGCTTCATGTTATTCCAAGAGGCAAGACGGTCTGGAAAGCTGCTGATAGACTGCGAGCCCATTCTCCGCTGGCTCTTCACTCGACTGATGTGCCAATTGACGCATTTTGACCCCAGTGATTGCGCACGGTTTTTCGGGCTAAATGGAAGTCAGTCAAAGCCCCAGGTGACTTTCATCCATCTCGAAGATGCTCGTATACAGTTGGGCAATCTCATGCAGAAGATGATCCACAGAAGGTATCTTACAACATCATTTGGGGTCTCCACTGGCCCCAGACAGCAGGTCCTTGTGGCAGATCGTATGAAGACCCTCTTGGCACAGGAATTGGCCGAGCTGGACACCTGGATTCTCGCCTTTAACCATTACCTGAGTTTTGGTATCTCGAGCCACGACACCGGTGACTATTATGTCCTAGCGATCTGCAGCTTCCTCTTGAAATTCCGTCTTATGGCCGAGTCTCGGGAGACTGGGGAGCATTACGAGAATGACAGTCTAGATCTCAAACACACTCTGGATCTTGGACGTACCCTGCTGAGTGATAGTAATATTTTTGGCAGTCCGCCTCGATCAACTACAGCCAGCAACTGCCGGCCCGAGACTCAGTACTCCTTGAATCAATTGCTCGAGACCCGAGCTGCCGGCCCTACGGCGATAATGCAGTCACATACACCCACGAACCCTCACTTCTTATTTCTCGGCATTCTGTCTGCTCTGTCCGTCGCCTCTGTACATGCTCCCGACCTAGTCGTACGTCAACAGGCGCAGCAGATGGTTCAGACTATTTGCGAGAGCCGAATGGACCGGAACTCGTGGCTAGCTTTCAATCTTGCCAGTTGCCTCTCCTATCCGGAAATCCCGAATTCTTACTATGATACAGATACCCTCTATGGGAATATCTCTGCACCTGAAGCTCCTTATTCACGCGAATCTAGCCGACTGATAGCGCTGCTTGCTGATCTCGGAAATCTCTGAGAGGCACTGTCTACCGACATTTTCAGGCCTTCCGCCAATGAAAGATACGATCGACTGTTTCCAGGCTTATCAGTCATCTATTACCGCCCCAGAATTACAGTCTAGTGTGCTGCAACTATACCAGCTCCAGGTAGAGACTTGCATCGGGACTACCAAAACCGTTAATCCAAAACGAGTTGGCTTGGGTTTAGCGCTCCCTGATAACTATAGATGGCAGGCGTTGCGAGTCCAGACGGTGCATTCCCTCTCTATTTCCCACCTTGGCCATTGTTGCACAAATATGGAGCTTAGACTGGACTAAATGCCTCATCGGATGAAGTGACATGTCCCTGATTCCTGCTATAAGAGGGCCAGAATCACCCCAAGATAGGAATCTCGGAAAATCGTACAACCTATTTATCCATCGAATACATCCCATCCGGAACCCCCCGACGAACTCGTCCCCGGAATGGTCTATGCCATCATCAACTACTTACAAGAGACCGGTCTTCTCTGACAAAGTCCGCTAACTGGCCGGCCGATTGGTCAGAGAAAATGCCTGATGTCGCCGACGGTATCGAAGGATATCGGATCATATGAAGCTGCAATGGCCTTTGGACACCGCGAGACTGTGAGAATTGACTTTACTATTCTATGGACGCGCACATCACCATATGAAGAGTAAAATGAGATGTATCGCTAGATCCTAGATAACAAAGCATTAAAGGTGATGATCTAATATTCGGATCCACTACTATCTATAAACTCTAAGATCTTCAAAGAAATGACATAAATACAGTAATAGTGATATCATCTGTCGAAGCTCCCGGCCCCCCTCTTCATTATGAGCAGATAGAGTCAATTTCGCGTTCTAAAAATGGCAAATAACCCCCTTGATCTTGAGAATCCTCACATGTATTGACATCAAACGCATCCCTGGTCTGGTTTATCGAGTTCAAACAAACACCGTCTATCCAATGTATCCGAGCAACGCCGAACGAACCCATACCTCACTCCGAGGATTAAACAAGCCCCAGCCCAGATCAGAAAAAAGACAGCAGGAAATATAGCAGGGATCACACCGGGAATAAGGACCCTTCCGGACCTCGAGGATGTAAGGTTCGGGTTGGAATAAGCGTTCCCGAGACTCGACACGCCGTCGTACATTAATTGAAGAGCGTCCAGGGCGTGAGCTAGCATGACAGATCGTCGGAGCTCCTCTGCCTGGAGGAACCCTCTGTAGAATACTGAGTTGGAAACTGTTATGGGGGGAGCTAGATTGATTGAATCGTAGAATCTCAGATATTGACGGCGGAGTATGTTTCTCACGGTATAACCGAAGAGTGGGGCTTGGGCTTCCTCTTCGTCCCAGTTGAAATCGGGAGGTGCTGTTTTCGTAAAGTTGTGGAATGAACTGGTTTTCGCTGAAACATCTGCGAACCCGAGGGCTGAGAGGCGAGTGCATCGTAGACCAATTGGGGGGGCTAGGTATATAAATTTCACCGAGTCAACGGGAGACACGATATCATCGAGCACATGGTCTAGTGTACCGTAGGCTTCTAAGAAAGTTCTGTTGCTGGTTAATGTCCCGTTGGGAAGCTGAATGAAAGGTTGTCCCATGCCTTGCACTGGCACGTCGATGTGCACGTCGAACGGGTGTTCTCGATAGGCGGCTTCTTTTCTCGCTTGCCATATAGCTAGTTCTAGGACATTGACAGAGCTGAGCTGTGTCCCGTCGTATGCAGGGTCAGATGAATTGCTGACGGCCATCTCCATATAGGCAAACAAATTAAACGATGATAGAGGATCTCCAATGCTGCTATTGGAGACGTAAACAGTATTATCCAGAGAACCAACAGACACCTCCACATCCGTGCTCTGTCCCCGTGTGTATCTGTATGAACCCCGTCCAATGTTGGCCACTTTGGACCGGTTTGAGATAATCGTAAACTCAGAAGCGTCGCGCACTATCGAGCAGTCGTATCCCACATGCAGCCCCCATGCGTGACCATCGATGGGTGTTTTCGCCTGCGGACCAACGAAGAGCTCCGGTGCCAGTTCTTCGAGAGGGAAGCTGTTTGGGAGACTGTGTAGGCCAGTGATCTGATCACGCCGTGTATAAGGTGGCGTATAAAGAATCCCGATTCCGGGAAGGTTGGCCGAAGCCCCCGTCTCCCATCGACTTCGAGCCCGGGTGGTGGTTTGGAATGGCTGTCGGTTATTAAAGTCTTCCCACCTGCGGCCAATCACCATGGGTGCAGCAGACGAGTAGATGTATCCATCCGTTAACTCCATGCAGAGACCTGAAATTGGGAGGGCGACAAACGGTAGCAAGCTGAGAGCTGATAGTAGGTACCACAGGCGATCGGCCTTGCTTTTCTTGCCCTGGAGCAATCGGCCCAAGCAGCCTATCCAGCCATCTGGTCCGCTCCAACTGTTGCCACTGTGCATATAAAGGGTCTCCTTGTCCACAACGCTAAACCGGCGACTTTGAAGCATCGCCACCTCGACGCCAGCGAGTCCATATTTGGACCATCCAATACCGAAGGTACAGATAACAAACCATAAGTAATACACCCATAGTTCTGAAATATAGGCATATCTGACCGCGGGATCGGCGCCTTTTCGCAGAAGCACTAGCCATATGACCACAAAATAAGCAGCCACGAGAGGTGGAATGAAGACAAGAACGATGCTTCGAGTGTAGAACCGAGTCATCAGAGATCCTTGAGATAATTTCGCGCTTGCCGGTCTCATTTTATGAACATCAAGTCCATTGCTGCTGCTGTTGCTGCTGCTGTTGCTCCGATCGTCGGGGTCGTGCTGTATCAGCTGCTGGGTTACAGTCTCTCTTTCACACGGTTCTGTATGGGCCATGGTTGCTCTTGCAAGTTGAATACCGCTGCTTTCAAGTTTTGTACACACGGTCCAATCCCACGCACACAATAATAAGTATAGGCTCGCCTTTGGTACCTCAACCTCGTCGTTATGACGAAAAATAACAATAATTCGGGTAGCTATATCTCAGAGGACACATGACGAGGAAATGCCCGACTTGAGGGTGCTTCGGAACTGTTCAATAGTGAGCAAAAGTTCTTTATAAATTTGGATCAACTGCCCAAGAGCCTCGTTGTCAGACTGGCAAATGCCCCTTTCAGCAATAGGGAGCTGTAACCGATCGTATCAGCCCATCAATGGTTACACTGATAGTGTCAGAAGGGCGACGCGACTGTGAAATCTTCTGTTTAACGACTCTGGGGGCCTTAAAGGTCGAAACAAGCCACCTTAAGTCTTCTAGGGCTGTGCTGATCGACTCAGCTACCTTTCAGAGACAGCGCAATTTGAGTAGACAGGCCAGGAGCTTCATATGCTCCAATATTTGCCTACTAGGTGATAACATACCACCTGAAAATTTCGACAACAGGAGCCAGCAGTTTGATAATAGTGAACGTGCCTCCCGCCAGGCAATCGCTCGCAACCCTCAGACCCTCCGCACCAAGTTCGTTCAAGGGTTCCATGGCGAGACGCAAACTCGCTATTTTCATATTGATATCTTCTTGGTAGTTGTACTTCGAAGTTCCACGGCCTGGCCTGAAGGATCCTAGGTACTATATCCGTCATCCAAAGGTCCACATCCATCAAGTGCGGGGCTATTACAAGTCTCACCCTCCTAACAGGGAGTAGCTGGCATGAAAGGCCGAGTTCGTAAAGTCATTCCGGGATACTGCAGATTGAGAACAGGCCCGCATCATTAACGAGGAGAAATAGTGCTGCCTGAGTCATTGGTGTCACAGAGGTTCATGTGCGCCCTGCACTGCCACTCCACTCTATGACGGAAATAGAAATTGCGCAGTATGTAGGTGGAATGGGATTGATTATCGCTTGGTGATGCTCACCTGAAGGGAGTAGGTAGGACAGGAGATGACGGGGAGGGGGGCAGACGCTATGCCCGTTCGAGGGATCACCTGATCCTGTGTGTATTGCCTACTGATCTATGTGGACGAGGTGCATTGGATACTGCGTGAGTACTTGGGTGATTAATGTTCTTGCGGACAAGTATGGTAGTGGCTGTTGTATTGTTTTAGCTTGACCTGGGCATCCTGGGGCGTGGATCCCTTGCTGGTGGATGAATAGAAAGGGAACTACAGAGTGTTGGACGAGACTCCATAGTATCTTGCATAAAAATAATGATTCAGGAAGCAGACCCGAGTGTTATTTCTTATTATACACTGTTACTAGAGATTACCGTGATATAGCCACTTTTCAAGTTCAATGACTCTTCGGTCAAGACCGAATCCGGCGCCCAGTTAAATATCAAAGGAATGGACATGTCTCAAAACTAATGGGAATATTCAATAAACAATATAATTAACGGGTCCATTAATCATGTTCGCGTGATGCTGGATTCTTACACCTGGTCTGACGGTTTAGCAGACGGTGATGTACAGACCGAGACTGGATATCAATTAGCTATCATTCAAACCGCGCGGTAGAAGAACACTTACGGTGAGGGGTTGTAGTCCTCGAAGAAGTTGAGATAGGTGCTACCAGCCTCCTTCATCTCGTAGCTGACAGTCTGGCCAGCCGGGCAGGAGAAAGAGGAGATGAGATAGGAGTTGCCGGGCGAGAGGGTGAAGTCGCCGTAATCCTGCTTGACCGAAGGAGCATTGTTGTAGGTAGTCGACTGCGTGGCGGCAGACTCAAGCCAGGAGAAGTCAACCTTGCCATCTCCGCTGAAGGTGTAGTCGGAGGTCTCAAGCTGGTCCTTGGTGGGGAACAGGAAGATCAGGCTGCACGTCTTTCCAGAGTCCGAAGAGGGGATGTCGAAGTTGAAGATGGTCGAGACGGTGGAGGAGACGGTACCGAAGTATTGAGTACCGTAGGCGGTGTCAGGGGTAGAAGAGTTGACCGGGATGATCAGGTGAGGGTACTCATAGTCGCCAGAAAGATCGGTGGGACAGCTGGCAGCGGACGACTGGGTAGCAGTGCCTGACGCCTGAGGGCTGGTGGGAGACGCAGAGCTCGGGGCAGGCGAGGGAGTGCCAGACGGCTGGGGAGCCGGAGTGCCAGAGGTCTGAGGGTAAGAGGAAGGCTGAGGGGCGGGAGTTCCAGAGGTCTCGGGGGTGGAAGGAGTCTCAGAAGGCTGAGGAGCAGGAATTCCGGAGGTCTGAGGGGCCGAAGGAGTCTCGGAAGGCTGGGGCACAGGGGTTTCCGAGGAATGAGGGTAAGATGGGGTCTCCGAAGGCTGAGGAGCGGGAGATCCGGATGGGGCCGGCTGAGAACCCGCAGGAGCGGACGATCCAGGGCCACCGGGAACAACCACCGAAGAGGTCTCGGCGGCACAGTAGGTTTCGGTCACATAGACAGTCGTCACCTGCACCGCGCCGCTAGACTGAGGACCAGGGCCAGAGGGCACAGAAGCACTAGACTGGGGGCCAGGGCCGTAGGGGATAGAAGCACTAGACTGGGGGCCAGGGCCAGAGGGTACAGAGGCACTAGATTCAGGGCCACCGGGAACCCAAGTAGTCGAGGCACCAGTGCCAGGAACAGGAGCGCTAGAGGATGGGCCTGGAGCAGCCGGCTGGCTGGACTGAGGGACAGGGGTTGATGCCGGAGCTGAGCTAGAACCGACAGCGCCAGCACCAGAGCCCGAGCAAGAATCAGCCGTCAACTTGATGTCCTCACAGCCAGTCACGGATGAGTTCTCAGTGGTGTAAATGTTCAACTCATTGTTGTCGCCAGTCTGGCAGCCAACAAAGTCTGCATCACCATTGTATTCCAGCTCACCGGAGGAGCTGATGGAGAAGCCCGACATAGGGGACTTACCCAGGTCACACTGGAACTGGGTGGTCGAGCCTGTCACGTATCCTTGGTTAATATGACTTCCAAATCCTGGGGGTAATTGGGTGGCTTACTGGTCACAACACAACCGCGTCCGCTGCTATCGGTGATGCCACCTTTGGAATCAATGCAGAACTGGGTTTCGGGGAGTCCACCACCGATACGGTTCTGGCCATCACCAAGCTGGCCAACAGTGCCAGAAGCACCGCCAGACGCCGTCAGGTGAAAGCAGCAGGAGTTGCTCCGGCCGACAAGGGCATTAGCCCCAGCAGCAAAAGCTGCGACAGTTGCAAAGTTCTTCATCCTTGCACAAGCGAACGAAGGCGGCAGCTAGAAAGCAAGCGAACGGATTGGGTGCCAGTAGGATAAAGATTGTTTTGATATGGTTATTGGCTGACGTAGACTGAGCAACAGACTGACATTGTCCAGGATGCACTCAATATTTATAAACTGAAGTGGGTACAAGAAGGGACGTCATGGTGTCTGACGGTAAACAGGACAGGGTCAATATCTCACACCTCCACAGTAGTACAGTAGATCGAAAAAATAGAAACAGAATGCAGCCAGTCCCAGTGCATCTGCTGGGCTGCAGTTGACCATGGACAAGACATGGAGGGCCACTGTTGACCCCGCTAGGCATCCCCGGAGAGCGAATAAACAAGCTGCAAGTTGTCCGACAACGCCGGGCCTGGAAGCTTCGGGATTGAAGGAGCAATGAGAGCAAACGTCATGGGCACCACCATGAGAGGTACCCATTCTGGAAGTTGGCTGTGAGATGGAAGCCATATCAGTGGCTCAGGCGACGCAGGGCACAAGCCAACTGTGGATCCAGCCCCATCGGAGGAGCCTTTGGATCGGCCGGAAACCCTGCCCTGGTCAAGACCTTCCCGATTCATCGGTGTGCGGCGGTTCATTGCGAGTCTGGTGGCAACAGGACTTCTCATCCACGGTTCTTCCAGCTGTCCAGCCACACACAGCAAGCATTGTTGTCTTCATACAGGGAACATGGGTAAAGCACCCACGGGCCATGCTACTATCCATAATCGCTCACCCAACGGAAAACCGGGACGGCAGGGTAAGCGACAATGCCTGTGTTCGATAGAGGAGCGGCTTGGCTTAAGGCACGGTGGCCCGTACGCGCAAGTCCGAGGGACGTGGGGGAGGAGCTATCTAGTCAGAAGCGCAGTCATCGCAACTCTCATTGGGCAAGGAATGAATTCCCAGGATTGACCCGGGAAGGGTGCCTTGCATCATGCTCGTAAAAGGTTTGGATTCGAGGCATCCACGACATGCGATGCGGAGTAAACGATGGGGTTGACGTTGGCTTTGGTGTGTTGCTCAGCGACTCGAGTAGTAGCTTCGCATCCCGCTCGGGAAACTTAGTCCCGGAGGAGGGACCGCCTGCATGTCATGATGGGATAATACTTGGCGGAATGAATTATTCGATGAAAATAGTCATGAGATTGTCGCGCATAGTTACTATTCTGTCGGAAGGCCGGGAGGAACCAGGCAGAACAGCATGAGGGGCGGGATCAATGGTTTCCCCGCCCCCGCCAGTGGGGGATGACGACAGCCTCCACTCCTTTTCCCTCTCCGTCCGCCGGCAATCAACTGCTCCGATCGACTCCGCCACGTCATGGTGGATTTCCGACTTCCAAGGGACTCTACGCCTCGTTTTGCTGTCTTCCGTCCGACAAAGGAAAGACGAAAAAGAACCCAAGGTCCCATCCAGGCAACCCCGACAAGCCATCTACCAAACAAACCTCCAGAGGTCGGATCCAGCCATGGTTGCCTAACGTCTACCCCAACGACAACAATCATGTGTCTCGACAAAGACACAAGGATATAGCCTACACAGGATGAGCAGTATATATAGAAACAGCCGGCCAACCCCTGGACCGGGCAACGCAAGCATCCATCCCAGCAGTACGGCCTGTCCGGGCTCGTGTCATCCGCGTTCATCTGACAGGCAGGCAGCGCAGCCCTGCCGAACACCAATGCTCTTTAAGCTTTTCCGGCATCTGGATGGCCGCCCCGCGGATTTCGATCTATACTCTTTCTGCATTTTTTTCATAATTCCCAACTCACACCCGAGGGAATATTTCCCTAGTGCTTCTGCAGTGCGTCGTAAGTCTACCCGCCCCATCCTGTCTCCATTCTTATCTCCCCACCCGGCAATTCTCTCGCGAAGCTCGAACTCCGGTCCGAACCATCCAAAAGGTACATCCTGAAACACGAAATCTCAGTCAAAGCAGCCCCATTGGGTGCAATTAACACCCCTTACGCTTTTCATGCACCGTTCGAAGTCTTCAAGGTCTTCAAGGACCCTTAAAACGGCAATTCCATCGAAAAAGCCGTTGAGAATGGGGTACTTTTGCACCCCATGCCCCCGCACTGCACTCTGTAGGAGGTTACGTACGCTCTTTTATCGCAACGTTCAATCAAGGTCTAGACATTTGGCTAGAATCGATGTAGTAAACTCTGATTCCCTCCAGTGTGTTGTTTGCTGGTCCACTGTCCAAGTCAGTTGCTGGTTCATCGATGCATCTACTGTGTAGGATAGGCAGATGGATGGAACATCCTTCGACCTATCGATTCCAGACTTTCAAAGGCGCTCGAGGGAGTTCTCTGGACGATGGGAACCACTATCGAGATTAACGCCTTCTTCCTTCCCCCCCTCAAAGGGTCGAACCGACGGAATATTATGCAACGGCATACAGTCATCGATCCAATGATGATTCCTGCAGACCAAAATCTGCCGGCCATGCCGGTATCCTACTGACAAGCAGTTGGATGCCTAGCTAGGTAAACAAACATGATTAGTGATTTCTTTGACTAACAATATTGTAATGCGCACGTCCTCGATGTCTCACTCAAACCAGGCCAACAAGGCTGTCAGAATCAAGAACAGCACATCACTAATGTCGATCCTCATTAAAGTCACTGCAGGTAGCTGCCCAGTCTTGACTTCATCGATTCTATGAGCTCCCGATCAGGCAGCCCAGATCGAAAGGCCTTGGCGATATTTCAGGCAGCTTTCTGGTTAAAGCTGACGTAAAGAAAGGGTGCAGATCATTGATCAGGATCTTCGGAAGCTGTGGATTCCTTGCCGTCTGTGCCGATGTTGATTGCCCGGTATGATGTAAACCATCCAGTTGAAACTCTGCCTGTTGACCAGGCCGGGGAGGAGCGGAGTGGTCAAATTCACATGTCGACGGGGATGTGCATATGGTTCTTGTGTGACGACGGCAGAACCAGTGGTTCTTGTGGCTGGCGTCACCCATGTATAGGTGCTTGATAGTAGGTATCATCGATATTGGCTGCGGAGAAGATTGTTGTTGGACCATTTCCAAATTAAGATAAAAAGAAAAGAAAGAACTTTGAATCTAACTAATATGCATCCCAGCCACGAAGGCACATGGTCAGTACAACCACGCCCACGGCTATAGGTCTATGTAAGAGGGTGAAACGTAGCCGTACTCCATTTCTTACTCGCTGTAAGTACTCGATTGAGCCCAATACAGCCAGTAACTGAAGCACAGTCAGAGAGCCCTCTGTTTCTTGATCTTGGACTTGAATCGTAATGACAATACCATGGAAAGTGATATAGCCATGCCAAGGTAGAGGCTACCTTGCTTCGGTCCTTTCTTGGGCATCTACGTGGAGAACACGGTGTCTCATGCATCCTTGCAGTAGATTGGGTAACTGTGTTCGTTCTACCTAGGTAATGCTACCTCGTACGGGCGGCCTTGAATCTGCTCACCCGTCTGGGAGCGTCTTCGGTCTCGATGGGCACGATTTCGGGTTCCTCGCCCACGAAGCCGCCGTTTTGCTGAACCATTCTGTTCCGTATCCTGTAGAATTCGGTTGCGATCTCCTTCTTGTGCAGCTGCTCGTCAAGCTCATCGGGCTCTGGTGCTACTGCTGAGCCTGCTGGAGTCTCACGTTCGACGAGCGTATCCGCGAGGATCTTCCCTTCGGGACCCCTGGGGGTGGGGTCTTTCTCGATGACGTCGGAGATAGGCTGGGAGAAAGGCTTGGGCTCCGCTGGTTTGGCAGGGAACAGAGGTAGGGATGAGACCGTTGACGACACTTCAGTCTTGCGCAGAGCTGAGCGAGGTTCAGCGGACCGAGAGCTGCTGCTAGATTGTGATGCTGAAGCAGTGGCCTCTTCGGTTGCAGTTTCGGTCTTCCGCGCGGTCTTGAAACGGGAGACTTTCTTCGGAGCATCATTTTTAACAGGCACTTTGTCAACAGATCCTGTGCGTTCAACAACAGAGTCTGACAGAACGGGCACGTTCGACTCCCGGACCGGAACGGCCTTCTTCTCTGCAGTCGGAGGCTTAGGAGCCGGGGCAATGTCGAGATCGTCAGCAAAAGCAACCTTCTTCTTGGGCTTCTTCTTTTCCACGGGCTCGCTGCTCGTGTCTGCGGTCTTCTCGACGTGGACAACGCTAGGCTGCTCCAGGTCCTGCTTGACATCAGTCGGAAGCGACTCTGTATCCTTTCCAGCATTCCACATTCCCCGAGCGTTGAGCTTTTGCTCCAACTCACGCATCTGGCGGTGGTAGTCTTCACTCAGCACACGCCCTGTGGTTCTTCCGTATTCATCCTCTTCTTCTTCTTCTTCTTCTTCTTCGTCGTCGTCATCAAAGTCATAACCATAGTCATCGTCAACAGATATATCACTTGCACCCTCGTCCAGCTCGAGTTCGGCCACGACAGATCCCACTTCATTGAGACTATATTGCAGCATCTCACGGCGTAGTTGGGCATCCTCTGGAGATTCGTCGACTTCGATAACAGGACGCTCGCCGTGAACTTCAATAGTTGGGTCCAACGCAACAGGCTTAGCCTCCGGGGCATTGCCTCTGGAACTAGAAGTTGGAGGCCCCTCGCTGATAGATTCGTGTGCTCCCGTACTGGAGACCTCCTCCGTAGTCTGAGCGGTTGACTGTGACGAGCTTGGGGCCGACGTATCGGCCTTGACCACATCCGGTATATCTTTGACACCAGCTTTCTTCAAAACCTCCAAAAGGTCCGGTGCCTGGCTCCCGGGTGTTGTAACCTTGCTTGAAATCACATCGCCGTTCTCATCGAGTTCTTCGAAAATCTCTGTCATTGGAAATTCCGCCGTAGGTTCTGCCGGTAGTTGATCCTGCGAGTCGAGCGCATACAGTTTGTCCTCTGCCGCACGTAGTCGTTTTTCCATAGTAGCAGCATTTTGCTTCACATAGTCGATCCGCCTTGTTACCAGATCGACCACCTGTTGTTTGGTTCGCGTCACACCCTGTTTCTCTCCCAGGATCACTTTGACTTCGTCTTCATTGACCAAGGAGCCGCCAAAATCGCGGCCCACTTGGAGGTAGTCGTGTATCGTCGCATCGTCGCCTAGTTCGTTGATTTCCTCTTTGAGGCCATCGTACTCGGCCTCCCACGTCCTCCAATGGTAAAGGGAGTCTTGCAGCTTCGAGATGTTCCCCTCAAGTTCGAGGCGCTGGCGTTCCAGCTCGTGCAGGCTGTTATTCGGAACACCCATTTGTAGGGCTGTGGTAGTATATAGGTATGAAACGACAGTTCGTCAGAGCGTAAAAGTGCACTGGGGAGGGGGAAGAAGTCCGGACTGCAAGAGGCGGCGGCAAAGAAAAAGTTCCGCCGCGGAACAGGAGCGGAGAACATGATTGGTCCGTGCGCGCAGCTGGATTATCAACCTTCCATGCCACTGAAGACTCACCTTGGATTGATTCTCTTCTCCCCGCCGCAAGTTCCCCGCACTGTTCTGTTTCCGGCCTTTTGGCACTAAGTATTCCTCAAGATGCCTCCTGCCCGGGATGCCATGGCTCACCGTGGGGATGACGATGGTAGGCTTACTGCCCAAGATCCTATTGAATGATCGCTAACTGGAGCAGAGGTGTGCCCTGTCTGCAAATCCTCCCGTTACTTGAACCCGGACATGCGATTCCTCATCAATCCAGAATGCTATCACAAGATGTGCGAGTCCTGTGTGGATCGGATCTTCTCCTCAGGCCCTGCCAACTGTCCCGTCGCGGGCTGCCACAAGACCCTGCGCAAGAACCGATTTCGGAAGCAAACGTTTGAGGACATAAATGTTGAAAGAGAGGTTGACATTCGGCGCAGGGTGATGCAGGTGTTCGTTGTCCACAATCCCCTACGTACTTGGTGAGCCGCTAATCCTTCGGTAGTTTGAATCGCCGCGAAGAAGAGTTTGACTCGAAACGAGCTTACGACGACTTTCTGGAACAACGCGAAGAGATAATCGCAAATCTCGTACACGGGACGGATGTGGCAAAGACGGAGAGTGACTTGCAGCGATACGCTTCGGAGAACATGCGGTCGATTCGCGCCAACCAAGCCCTCGAAGCGCAGGAGGCCTCATCCTTCCGAGAACAACAGACACAAGAGCAAGAATTGGCGCGTCTTCGGCGAGAGGCGGCCCGTCAGGAATACGAGAATGAACGAAAGGAGCTGCTTGCCGGCCGGGAAGATGTTCTCAGCCGTCTTGCTGCAGGTCGACCAGGTGACGCAGCGGCCATTGCTCGCGAGGGTCAAAAGGTCTTGCTCAAGAAATCTTCTGCCCGTCGTAGTGAGGAGGATCGGATCCGACAGAAGCAGGCTGCTTTGCGCAACTCGGATGCCAGGAAAGCCGGACAGGGACCCCTTACCACGGCCGACAGGGCCGATGACGGTGGTGCCCCGAGCCTCATCAAAGGTCTTAAGAAGATTAAGACTCCTGAGCCCGAGAAGCCTTACGATCCTTTTGGTGGGCTGGTTCCCAACCAGAGGGATTACTATACCTTGCGCGACTATTACCCGAACAGCTACCTCGACCCCATTCGACAAGACTCTCGTATGCAGGCAGGCGGGTACGACCTTCAGGAATACTACTCACGTACTCTGATGGAGGCTTTTGCAGGGTTGGGCTGTTTCCTTGACGAAGAAGTCTCCAAGCGGGATATTACAAATACCTCGAATGTTTCGAGGCCTGTTGCTACTGAAGGGGCTGCATTGGCGGCAGTCTCAAGTACAGGCGCCCCGGAAGAAAGCTCGTGACCTACAAGCGCTTTTGCAAAATCTGTCATTCTTTTCTTTCCCGCTAATAGAGGTCTGGGTTTCTTATTTTCAAAGAATGGCCGCGGCGTTTCGGACATTATGTGGCATAGCGATGGCGTTCTTGACCATGATTTTGAGCATAGAGCTATTCAACTGAGATTGATCAATTCGTCCAAGTACCATAGGTATACAAAACAAATAAAGCTAGTACAAACCAATTACATTGCGTGAGAACAGGAAAGATCGAACTGGGAGAAACATGTAATATACAACCTGCCAAATAGGTACAACCATCACAACTTGCCACCCGTGATCTCCTCTCCCAGCTTCTTGACTCTGTCTTGGATAAGCTCCCAACGAGAAGCCTCGCCCCTCCTGGACTCGTTGAGAATAGAGTGGACAGTCGGAGGCAGACCCAAGTTCCAGATGTTCTCGCCCTGCTGGTGGTCGCTGCGCCAGGCCGCGTTCTCACCCTCAGGGAAGACCTTCTCGATTTCAGCCAAAAGCTGGGCCTCGGTGGTAATGAAGTTCCGAGCGTTCATGTACAGTTCATGCAGGTTGTCTCGACGCTCCAATTCCTTCATAGCCTGATGGTGCTCCACCCTTTCCTTGGAGCGAGCCAGACGGGCCTTACGGTCAGGATCCGGCAGCACGGGGGTATGTTGGGGCAGCATGTCCTGGGTGACTGAAGTACGGGTCAACCGCTCATCCTCTCTCTCAGGCTGGCGGAAGATACGTTCCCGGCGCTTCTGCTTCTCCAAACTCCGCTGCATCATCGCCTTGTCCGTCCGCTGCTTCCGGGTGTGCAGTTCCAAGAGACCTTCGCGGAGGTTCTTGCGTCTCATCTCCGCCATGTGTTTCTTCCATTGGATGTATTCTTCATGGGGGTCATTGGGGTCCAGGCTGACCTCCTTGGTCGGGAGAGGTGTCGCAGCAGCAATGTACTCCTCCGTCGGCTTGTCCTTGCGGCGAGCCGGGAAGAGTTCTCGGGGGACGGGCAGGGTACCCTTGACGCGGGGCTTCGATGGAAGATCGGGCTGAACGGTCCGAGGGACGTTGATGAAGTTGGGAGACTCGGGGCCGACCCGCAGAGAGGAGGATGAGGCGAAGCCGCGGAGCTGCACGGTGGCAGTCTTGCAATTGCGGAAGAGAGACATGGTAAACAATGTCGGCCTGTGCAGAGAGAAGGTCAGCAGAAGTTGAGGATGGGCGGGATGGAAAGAGGGGACTGACGAGAACCAGCCAGGCGGTCTAGTTCGGGGATCAAGGACCAGCACAGGAGGTTGAGATGCCTGATGGCCAGCGCGGTGCTACTACGGCGGGCGTCTGGACGAGGACGAAGCGATTTTCTTGCGCCTGGTCCGTGCACCGCTTAGCTTGGCGCCCGCCAATGGAGAAAAAAATAATTTCCCGCTTCGAACTTTTTTCCTTCCTTTCTTTTCTCTCTTTGCGCTCCGCCATTTCTCTTTTATGAAACTTTTCCTTTGAAATTTTTCCACCAGACTTCTTTCAGGTGCCTTAAGGGCTTTCTTGCACAATGGGTACCTTTAAGAAGGAAGCCAACCGTAAGGAGCGGCAGGGGAAGACTGGAGATGGTATGGGAAATGTCCGGACCAAGGGTGAAAACTTTTACCGGTAAGCGACGCCGTTGCGACAAAGGTTCTCTGCATGCATACTGACGTGTGGAAGAGATGCGAAGAAGTTGAGGACCTTGAATATGCTCAAGGATGGTAAACCCCAACGGAACGCTGAAGGAAAGATCACCAAGGCTGCTTCATACCAGTCCCGAGACGCCCCGGTTGCTAGGATCGAGCCCAACCGTAAATGGTTCGGAAACACCAGAGTGATTTCGCAAGAGGCTTTGACCTCTTTCCGAGAGGCCGTCGCTGAGCGTGCCTCTGACCCCTATCAAGTCTTGCTCAAGACGAACAAGCTTCCCATGAGCCTGATCAGAGATGATAAAGGTGTGAATGGGTTGAAGCAGCACCAGGCCAAGATGGCCATCGAGACCAACCCCTTCAGTGATACCTTTGGGCCCAAGGCTCAGAGGAAGCGCGTCAAGTTGGGTGTTGCCTCCCTGGAAGATCTGGCCGGCGAGACCGCCAAGATGCACAATGACTACGTCGAGAAGTCGGACCATGCTACACATGAAGATGGTACCATGGTGGTTGACGGAGATGATGTCGCCGCAGATGATGGTAGCAGTGCCGCGCCTACTGCACGGGAGGCTGTCTTCTCCAAGGGCCAGAGTAAGCGTATCTGGAACGAGCTCTACAAGGTTATCGATTCCTCGGATGTTGTCATCCATCTCCTTGATGCTCGTGATCCCGAGGGTACACGTTGCCGGAGTATCGAGAAGTATATCCGTGACGAGGCTCCCCATAAGCACTTGATCTTCGTCTTGAACAAGTGCGATCTGGTACCTACGGGTGTGGCGGTAAGTTTTGTCGATTTCTTCCCTCTACAACTACCTTTCCTTTTCAAACCTGTTACGGCTTTCATGCCGATGCCATCGCTAAGTCAAGGCTTCTCCTGCGACTTCATGTCGTGCTATTCGCTATGGGGGATTGTCTGTTACAGCTTTGGCAGATTGACGCTAGTCCGCGCCGACCTTCTTTCTGAAGCTAGGCTGATTGGCTTTCGTTTTGAGAGCCTTTCGTTAAGGACCAAGCAGTGTTCTGTTTTTGAGTTGAGTCCTGCTTCCGCTCTCGAGTGGCATCATAGCCGGTCTCTTAGTAACATTTCACACATTCTGTTGTTTTCATTTTTCTTTTTTTTTTTTCGTATTTCCTTTTGCTCGCTGTGCTTCACAGTCGATTGGTGTTCGGCAACTAACGTGACACCAGGCTGCCTGGGTGCGCAATCTTTCGAAAGATTACCCTACCTTGGCTTTCCACGCTTCCATCAACAACTCCTTCGGTAAAGGTTCTTTGATCCAGCTCCTTAGGCAGTTTTCGTCTCTGCACTCCGACCGGAAGCAGATTTCCGTGGGATTCATTGGATACCCCAACACCGGAAAGTCTTCTGTCATCAACACCCTGCGCAAGAAGAAGGTGTGTACTGTCGCTCCTATTCCGGGTGAGACCAAGGTGTGGCAGTACGTTACCTTGATGAAGAGGATCTACCTCATCGATTGTCCTGGTGTGGTTCCGCCCAACCAGAACGACACTCCCGAGGACATTCTTCTTCGTGGTGTCGTCCGTGTGGAGAACGTAGAGAACCCCGAACAGTACATTCCCGCTATCCTCAAGCGGGTTCAGCCCAAGCATCTTGAGCGTACCTACGGTGTCAAGCGCACCGAGGATCCCATCGAGTTCCTCAGCGTCCTTGCGCGCAAGGGTGGCCGTCTCCTCCGTGGAGGAGAGCCCGATCTCGACGGTGTTGCCAAGATGGTCATCAACGATTTCCTTCGTGGAAAGATCCCCTGGTACACTCCTCCGCCCCATACCCCTGGCGAGGAGGACGGAAAGATCGAGGGTCGTGAAGGTCGTCTCGGCGAAATGAGCCGGAAGCGCAAGCTTGACGAGACCGCTCCTGAGGCTGCTGATGGAACAGAAGCTGAGGAGAAGGCGTCTGGCTCGGGCAACGAGGAGTTCGAGGGCTTTGACGAGAGCGATGATGACGACGACTCGATTGCGAACCTCGAAATCAGCGACGAGGAGAGCGGAGAGGAGAACGACTAAGTGAGGGCTCTGCCACGCATTACTTCAACACTGCGGATGGAAGATCCGCCCGTCACTAACCCCATTGACCTTGGGCCCACGCCGTTGCTCTAGAGATGGAGCGCAAACGACAGTCACGCCACGCCCGACCGACTTTCGGGCCGCTGACAAGCTGCATGGCCCGCCGGCATCCTTGGAGATGCAGATCGATCGGAGGTCGAGAACACCACCGACCGTATCCGGTCCAGGCGTGGTTTCACAGGGCCTTGTTGGCATGCCACCTGGACGGCATTCCAGCCAGTGCATGTCAACTCCATTCGGAGGTTGGGGGTCGAGCCAGCTGATCCTGGACCCCACTCCTTCTTTACTTTTAGATACCCACCCAATGCTAAGAAGAATCAATCAAGCAGTAGATCGTCTGATCATCCTTCCGTGTTCATCATGGCATGCATCCCTAGTAATCGGCGTAGTTGAATTTAGGACGGGCAGTAAACCGGGCCTGGATCCTGGCCGCGGCGGCTTCACGCCTTCACCGCCATGGCCGCTCACGTGGGGCCCCCAGCCTCACTCTCGCCATTCGGTCTCCGCAGCACCGGCCAGAACATGCCAGCAACTGTTTAAGATCTGCATCTCTAATCGCGTTACGGCCTTTCGGGTCTTTGTGTCTTTCAAGCATGTGCCGCGCTGCCTGCTATCATGGCGGACGAAGGCATGTCCATAGTCCCCTACGGGTCCGGCAATCTTGATGTCGTCCTGTGAGCTCCCCTCCCCGAGTCTAGCTTCCCCGCTACCCAGCTGCCGACGGGGGATGATTCTAATGATTGTTTTCAATTAGTCGCCACAATGACTCTGTCGTCGTCTTCGATCGGGACTCCCGGCAGCTCGTCCTCCGCAATGCGTCTGAAAGCGACGACGGCAACCTAGAGCTTGCCGACTGCCCTTATTGTCATCGACCTCTACGCGATGGTAGTTCCGACGATGACCATCATGCCAGCCCCAGAGGCCAACCTGAATTCATCAACCCCAACTATTTTCGCATGCTTCACAATAGCTTACCTAGCTCGGTGAACTCATCCAGTCCTCCGTCTCCTCATCGACGTCTTGTTCCGCCCGCCCTTGCAGACGGCCCTACCAGCGAACCCAGCTACTCGGGCGGTGTACATACGAGTCAGGGAATCTCTTCGGCAGCTTTTACCCCGGACTATTTCAAGAAGTTCTTCGTGGAAGAAAGCGTGCTGGGAAAGGGTGGGAAAGGGGTGGTTCTACTGGTGAAGCATGTATTGGACGGGGTGTCGCTTGGTCAGTACGCCTGCAAGCGGGTTCCCGTCGGAGATGATCATGAGTGGCTGGAGAAGGTGCTGGGCGAGGTGCAATTGCTGCAGCATCTCACGCATCAGAACCTGGTTTCCTACCGGCATGTTTGGCTCGAGAACGCGAAGATCAGTACGTTTGGACCCAGTGTGCCATGTGCGTTTATCCTCCAGCAGTACTGTAACGCCGGGGATCTGCACAACTACATATGCGGCTCGGTAGACACTCCGACGACCACGGAGCAGTTAAAGGAGCGCCTCCGCAGAAGATCTCGAGGAGGGCCTGAGCCTCCGAGTGGTGCTGGAGAGCTGCGGAAATTAAATTTCGACGAGATCTATTCTTTCTTCAAAGATATTACCTCGGGGCTGCGGTATCTCCACGCTAACGGCTATATCCATCGCGACTTGAAGCCCAACAATTGCTTGCTGCACCGGACCAGTGATGGGATTCGCGTGTTGGTCAGCGACTTTGGTGAGGTTCAGGCTCAGGATTCCATCCGGAGATCTACTGGGGCGACCGGGACTGTCTCGTACTGCGCCCCGGAAGTTCTGCGGCGCGAGTACCCCGGCGGTCCATTCGGTAACTTTACGTTCAAGTCCGATATCTTTTCCCTGGGAATGATCCTCTACTTCCTATGTTTTGCGCAGTTGCCGTACAGCAATGCCGACCTGATCCATGAGGAGAAAGAAGACCTTGACCGGCTCCGTGAGGAAATCAGCCAATGGTCTGGGTTCGATTATGCGCGGCGCATGAGGCCCGAGTTGCCGGAGCAGCTCTACACATTCTTGGAACGTCTGCTGTCGGTGGACCCGGACCGGCGCCCGTCTGCAGATGAAGTTCTGAATGGACTGCAGGCTGGTGCCAATGCGAACGAGAGTTTTCGAGCGCGAAGGACCAGTCCTACCAGCCCTGATATCCGCCCGAGTGCCCGGATTCACCCTATGGATAACGCGGCGACCCCGTCATTTCGGCAGCCTCTGCCTCCGAGCAAGTCCCTCACCCGAAGTCCGGTGGCTGTTCGACGAACATCGGCGTATGAGACGGCTGGTACTGAGGCAGATTTAGCCCCTGTGTTTGAGAACATAGATCCCATGTCGGGGCGGAATACCTCGCTTAGCCCTGAACGAGACTTGATCGTGCGACCTAGGTACTCTAGTGCACATTCTCATTCGCCGGCACAACCGGAACATGGCGAAGTATCTCCGGAGCATACTGAACCCGTCCCACAATTGCTTCCCCCGCCTCCGGGTCGGTTTTCTCTGGCCAGATTCATCCCCGATGCGTCCTCGCTCTTCGACTGGCATATTTCTCTGACGGCGATGCAACTGGCTGCGTTTCTGCTCAAAGTGGTTTCCATTTTCCAACCGTGCAGCCCTCTGACGGTCAACCCGTGGGTTGCTTATCCTTTACTTCTGCTGGCGGCGGTCAACTTCCCGGCGACAGGCTTCCTCACGCAGATTGTTTCTCTTTTTCTTCATCTTGTTGTTGTCAGCCTATGTATGCGGATGGAGGCCCTATGCTGGCAGCCATCCCGGGAGGCGATGATGTTCTCCCGATAGGCGATCCGCTACGGCGCACTGGAGTTATGGGATGAAAAGCGAGCATTCTTCGCATTGCATGATGCGTGTATTACTTTTCGGGTTGATGGTCTACGAATGTATGTATTATGGATGATGCCACAATCAACAAGACGCCGGCGACGAGGGAACTAAATTGCTTCTATGCGTTAAGCTTGCACCAGGCCGGGGTCGGATCACCTCATCCGCCGTCGCGGGCCTTGATTGGCATAGATTCGGGCCTATCGAGGGTTTAATGAAACAAAATGCCGATAACCTGATTACTTCTGCCTGCGACCTTCTTATCGGGCCGCTTATAGCGGGCTTCCCCTCTCGCCGTCCACTCGTGTTTTCTTCCGTACCAGGAGATGCTGGCACAGCTTCTGATGACCCGGCCACCATCATGAGCGCTGAGGCTGCAGCTGAGACTCTGCAAACGCTGCCTGTGGGGAGCCCTTCCGAAAAGCTTCAAATGCGTTCCCGACGCATCGGAGGATGAGGCTGCAGCCATCCAGAACCAGGAGACCGAGCCCGATCAAGCTGTCTATCCGCACAGCATCCAATCTGCACTCATCTCGCTGTCCCTCTGTCTCTGTATGTTCCTCGTGGGCTTGGTGAGTGACCAAAGTCGTCACCTCCCGGCATTGCTGACCAGATAGGATGCCACCATCCTAACCACCGCCATCCCGCGGATAACCGATGAGTTCGGATCGGTGGCAGATGTCGGTTGGTACGATGTAGCCTTGTAAGTCGTCCCCCCAGTCTGATACTTGCCAGGTGCTGACGACCGGCACCAGCCGACTCACGTCCTGCATGTCGCAGCTCCTTCAGGGCAAGCTGTACGACAATTATCCCGTCAAATGGATCTTTCTGGTCAACCTCCTCTCCTGTTCGAGGGTGGAATCCTTCTATCGGGGCTGGCCCCGAGCTCCATGCTCTTCATCATCGGACGGGCCATCACCGGTCTGGGCTTCTCGGGGATCAGTCAAGGATGCATGGTGTACGTCTGCAACAACAGCCACGGGCATGGTCTCAGCTAACCCATCTAGCATCATTGCAACCTCCACCCCCCCTCCCACGACAACCAACCTTCGTCGGCCTGATCAGCGCCAGCGAATACACCGCCATCGCCGTGGCCCCCATCCTAGGAGGTGTCCTCACATCCAACCTCTCCTGGCGATGGTGTTTCTTCATCAACCTCCCCGCCGCAGCCCTACCATCCATCATCATCCTCCTTCTCAAGCTCCCCAACATCACCCCCCGAGGCACCAAATCCCACATCCAGAAACTCCGCGAGCTCGACCTCCTCGGCTTCTTCCTCTTCGCCCCAGCCGTGCTCTACCTCCTCCTCGCGCTCCAATAGGCCGGCGACACCTACAGCTGGACCAACACCCGGATCATCTCCCTCCTCGTGCTCTCACCCATCATCTTCACCGGCTTCTGTCTCCTCCAACACCGCAAACAAGACACCGCCATGCTCCCTCCACGCGTCCTCCACAACCGCATCATCATTACCGGCTCCGTCTTCAACCTATGCCTTTCCGCCTGTCGCGCCATCGTCCAATACTACGCACTCCCCCCCCATCACCACCCCCATCCCCCCTTCCTTTCAAACCCAAAATTAATCCCCATCACAGCTCCCAATCTACTTCCAAACCATCCGCAACACCACCCCCCTCCTCCCCCTCCACCCTCCTCATCCCCACCGCCACCGCTCTCATGACCACATTCACCCCCACCACTCCACCCCCCCTCTGGATCCCCCCTCTCATCCTCCTCGGCCTGGGCTCCGGCCCCGCCATCACCATCCCCTTCATCGCCATCCAATCCATCCTCCCCACCACGGACATCTCCATCGGAATGGCCCTCATGATCTTCTCGCAGGATATCGCCGAAGCGGTGTTTATTAGTATCGCGCAGGCGGTGTTTTTGGATCGGTTGAGAGAGGGTCTGGAGGGGGGCGTGCCCGGGTTGGATGTTGGTTTGGTGATGGGGTTGGGGGCCACGGGGTTGGAGGGGAAGGTGCCCCGGGAGGTTTTGGGGGAGGTGGTGGGGGCGTATAATTTTGCTGTGAGGGGGATGTTTTTTTTTGCCGGGGGGGTGGTGGGGGTGGGGAGGCTGGTTAGGGGGGTAGGTGAGGGGTGGTGGTAGTGATTGAGGTGTAGTGGGCAGTAGTGAGGAAGGAAAGTAGGTGTTTCGATAGAGCTTGTCTGTGTTTGGTAGGGCTTGCTCTTTGTGTGTCTTACGCGGGTATTGACTATTCCTGAGGCCGATAATATAAGGCCAGGGGTGTAAGAGGATACAGTAGAGGGTTTGCTGCCGAGCAAGTGTAGTATTTAATGTCTGGCTTGGCTAGGGAGGCAGGCAGTAATCCCAAATTACTCATGGATGGGAGCTACACATACTTGAAGTACTTCAAAAATGGTGAGGTGAGGTCTGCGAGCCTTCATTTGGCCCTCTGCGATTCCACCGAAAGTCATGATGATTAACAGGTATCCCATTCTGATAGAACACGTAGAGAACGGAACGGTTGGAGCTGATGCTTCGGGGCTTCTCTGACACTAAAACAAACTATCAAGAACGAAAGATTGCAGCATTCTGCCAGTGCGGTTCGACTCAAATGACAGAAGCCTTCGCATCCCGTCACGACGATTCCAGTCGGACATTAAGGAGAGTTTTGGAATTCAGCCGTGTCACGGACTGATAGTGCTCTGCTAGATCTTCGACCAGCGCAAAAGCACCGCAGCAAAAATGACTGGCAACACACTCACCAACTCTCCCAGGCCCGCATACTCGGGAGGAATCCTCGCATCGACAAAAGCACCCGCAGCGAGCAGGACGGCAAAGGTGTTGTACACGGCACTCCAGGTAAAGTTGAATCGGATGCGGTTGACAGATTTCCGACTGTCATTCATCATGGTGAGAATACCAGCTAAAGAAGGCCGCATGAGAACCACATCCGCGGCGGATTGCGCGACATCCGTGCCTTCGTTCATGTGGACGCCGATCGTAGCCTGCGCGAGGGCAACGGCATCGTTCGTGCCGTCGCCGCAGAAAACAACAACTGGTTTCTTGTGATCCGTGTCAGTACCGAGGAGCGTCTGGATGTAGTCCTTCTTGTCGGCGGGCGAGCTTCGAGAACGCACATTCGAGCCAGGAAGGCTAAGCTTGGACGCAACAGTCTGCACAGCTCCGTCATCATCGCCAGAAACCACATGGACTGAGACACCACGCTTCTGCAAGGCCTCAACTGTCCCCACAGCATCAGGTCGCAGCTCATCTTCAAGGCCATAGACCGCCTGTAACACATTGTCGATCGTAAAGCAGAAGACAGTGTACCCTTGAGCAAGCATGGGTTGGACGAGTTCATGTTCCGATAAATTCAGCCAGCGAGAATTGCCTGCTCGAAGTGTCCGGCTACCCATAGTAGTTTCAACACCTTTTCCAGTAAGGCTCTTGGGCTCAGGAACACTCGAAGCCATAATTCCAGCATCCTTGAGATGAGCAGCCACCGAAACTGACACTGGGTGTCGACTGTTTTCAATTAAGCCTAGAAGCAATGGGAGCTCTTCCACCTCGACATATTCATTCGCAACGACGGAAAGCTTTCCTCGCGTCAAGGTCCCAGTTTTATCAAACACGACGTGCGACGTCCTATGAGCCACTTCAATAGCGTCTGCTGATTTGAAGATGATACCCCTTTCCGCCGCGACTCCGCTGGCAATCACAATGACCATAGGAACAGCCAGTCCAATGGCGCAGGGGCAAGAGACGATGAGGACAGTAATGGCGTAGGTGATGGCCTGAATGGTAGCTTCTGATCCATCACGTCCTTGAAAGGTCATGCCCACTGCAACCCAGATGACGAACGTGATGATCGTCAATCCTACCACAACCGGAGCGAAGTAGGATGCTACCCGGTCTGCCAGATCCTGCAGCTTGGGTTTCGACAGTTTAGCTTCATCGACCATCGCAGCAATCGCATTGATAGTGTTATCACTAGGCAAACGGTTCAGTCGAACAGTCATCACTCCGGGCCCATTGATAGACCCAGCGATCACCAGAGACTTGGGATATTTCTCCACCGGTGTAGATTCGCCAGTGAGCATAGACTCATCAACCTCAGACGACCCATTGATGACAGTGCCGTCGGTCGGAATTCTAGTATCAGGGATGACTTTGAAGATGTCGCCATATTGAAGAAGTCGGGTGTCAATCTCACGTTCCGTTGCGCCCTCTTTGTCGACAAGGATAGCTGTTGATGCCTGGAGTGACCGGATAGAAATGGATTCAACAGCTCTCTGACGAGCGAGAGCGGCAACCCATCGACCAACCATGATCAAGGCGACCAAGAGAGTGCTCGTTTCAAAGAACTGACCAGTGGAGAGGGGCTTCTCTGCAATGAGGTACCCAAAGGAGACTACCGAGAAGATGTAGGCAGCACTGGTGCTCAAGACGATCAACAAGTCCATCTCGATAACCCTTGAGAAAACGAAAGCCTTTAGGGCCTTGGGATAGAAAGGCCCTGCGATGACAACTTGAACAATCGTGGCCAAGGCGAGAGAAGCCGAGGAATATGCCACCTTTCTCTCAGGAAGCGGAGCCCATGCCATGACCAGGACCGGAATCGTCAAAACTGCGGAGAGAAGCGTCATGTATCCGATATGACGAACATGCTTGCTGCCAGCCTCGAGCGAAGGGTCGCCGCGGGGAGGAGCAAGTTCAATTGGCGGACCCCAAATCTTCTCGGTGAGGTCTCGAGCTCCCACAATCTTCGGGTCAAATGCAACTCGCACAGTCTGCTTGTCCACGGGTGTCACGTCAAAAACTCCGTCTGGCCATGTCTGGCTAATGAATTTTGAGGGCTGATCGGGGACAATAAGGTCTAGGCTAGATCCCTGGTTCTGAACTCTTTCACACTTGAATTCCGTCGTCCGCTCCAGATGTTTCATAACTTCCTCCACTGAGCCAAGGCGAAAATCAATGTTGAACTCGGCTCGTGAGAGAACAAGGCTGATTTTCAGGTCTTTGACAGCGGGGACAGTACCGAGGCTACGGGTGAGCTTTGTCTCGCAACCAGTACAAGTCATGCCAGAAATGCTGAGAACAACATGTTCCTTGCCGGTACCTTGACCCTCTAAGTCGGTGATGGCCTGAATCGGGGCTTCCTCAATCTCCAAACCAGGACTGGGTGCATCAGAGCAGCAAGCATCGGTGCAGGAGCCTTGAGGGATAATCGGCTGCTTTTCTGTGCAGCAAGAGTCCGCACAAGTAGTGCCCGGAGCCTTCGCAATAGTCTGCTTCGGTGCCTTACAGCACGAACCAGAGGCGGCGTTCGGGGGCTCTTTGATGACCGTGTCCTTAGGTGTTCCGCAACAAGATCCTGCACACCCACTAGTTGGGGGTTCAGCCGGCTTGGCCTTCGAACCGCATGAGTCCGTAGAAGTGCTCTTGAGGTTATCAGTTTTGACACGCTGGTCTCCGGGGCAGCAAGATCCGGCGCAGCCGACCTTGGGAGGTTTCTCGACACGGGCAGTCTCCGAGCAATGAGAGCCAAGATGTCCATTTTTGGCAGCAGGCTGCTTCATGGGCTGTTCAAGGGAGTCAGAAGACTTGGCACAGTCGTCCTTGTCGGCTGGAGGCGTGGCGGACGTGTCCTCAGAACCGCAGCACTTTTTTCTCGTAGGGACATTTTTGTCATTCTTGTCGTCCGTGCAGCAAGAGTCGGCACAGATGCCCTTTGGGGGAGGCTCCTTGACAGTTTTTCCCTCAGAGCAGCACGACTTCGAGCACTTGCTCTTGACGGGAGGCTCCTTGGCGGGCTTATCCTTCGCACAAAAAGGGACACCGCGGGCATCCGCGGACGGCTTCTTGGCAGACCTGGCACTTTCACCGGAGCCCCTTCGCAGGCGAAGATGATTCTGCACGGCCTGGTCCTTGGTGAGGGAGCCATTGCTGCGGCAGGAATCCAGAGAAGTACGGAGAAGGGAACGAGCAGATGACTTCTTAGAGCACTGCTTCCTGTCCAGTGACTGGCGCTCACGGGACTCACAGCAGGTTTCCTGACCAAGAGCAATAAGAGCGCGGCAGATACATCCCAGGGCTTGTAGAGTAGCGCCGTAGCGGTCGAGGGCAGAGAGACTATGTTGGTTGCATGCCTTGCGGTTGGTAGCTCCATCACAGGCTGAGGGAGTTAGCAACATGATGCCATTCTCAAACGGCTACTCACTGTTTGGCTGACCAGTTGGGCCTGGAGCACTCATCTCGCATGCTCGCAAGGCCAAGCGGTCAATACAAGAGGTATCACAGCACGGACTGACTTTGCCACGGCAGCAATCAGGCGCGTCGTTGTCATTGTTGTCCGAGGATTTGCTAGGAGAGCAGCAATCATCGGGCTCTCCATGACCCGGGGCCATGTTGTCGAGAGGCTCGGCGTTGATGCTATTGCAGCAAGAATCCTGACATTCGTCCATCTTCTCGGGTGGAGCCGGTAGGTCGCAATGGAGGTGGTGTCTCATGAATAGCAGCTATCGTAGGTCGTTGAATGAGCGGAAGTGGTTGAGATTGGGATGCGGGGGATGAGTGCCGACGGTGTACTCCGTAATTTTGGAAACAATACCGAACAACGGATCCCTGGTAGGGTCGGTTCAGCGGCAGCACCATTTGCATCTATAGATAAGGTGTTCTACTACCGCCGGGGCCACCAGTGAATTAAACCAATTCATGGACCTTAGCAACCCAGAGTATAGATAGCCACCCAGCTACATCAGACACATTGGGACTGAAAGCACTGTAGTTCGAATTTGGATTGTCTATCATGCTCGACGATTATCACACTCTTTTCTTTCCATTTACCTTTCCCTATGTCTTCTCATTGTCCCTATATATTTGAAATCTTGCTGCTTTATGTTGTTGACGGAAACGACGCGTGTTCAGCCTGTTGAGAATCCCCTTTCTCTTGATCAGTCAAAGGTTTCTCGGTATCAGAGGGGACATTAAAAGATTTGTATCGATTCTGAATTAAATGGTGACGCTCTTGGGCTGAAAGGATTATATTGACTGAGGCTGATGAGAAAATCGACTCAAGGGTGCTACTAGAGGCAACTAGAAGCCGAATATATATCACGACCGCAACTCCATTCGAACGCACTAGATAGAGCAATGGATAGAATCAACAGCCAAATAAAAAAGATACTCTCATACAAGCAAGCCCACAATAAAAAAAAAAATCAACCAAAAGCATCATCGCATCCATCACCCCAGGTAGAAGAAAGAAAAAGCAGAAAAAAAGAATGCGCCAAGCGAGATTCGAACTCGCGTCGCAACCTATTCTCAATGTGGGTATTGGGAAGGTTGCATCCTAACCACTAGACGATTGGCGCCTAGGCCATCTGGGCGATTGTTGAATTAGCCACTCTGTTTTTAACCTATATGCTACATGCGGGGTATATGTTTTGGTCTGTTTCCGGGGTCAGGAACCGTGTTTTATTCTGGTTGAAAGTGGGGAGTGGATCTAGGGGGTGGATCTTATTTGTTCTTGAAATTTGGATGTTTGATGAATTCGTGGGGGTGGGGTTGGAAGGGTTTTTTGTGGGATTGGGGTATTTTAGGTGTCGGGAGGGAAGGGAGTTTTGGTAGGGTTGTGGTTTGTTCTTTGGTTGGTTGGTCCGTGGGTTGTTTGGTGGCGATTATCTACTGTTCAGTAATCATATGTATTAAGTGTATGTATGTTATTTGGTGTTCGGGCTATGTCATCTAATAGATACAAAATGTCTCTAGTATCTTTCCCTGTTTCCATCTGTTCGTCTGATACCATCAATATCGGCATATCCTGGAATCGCATATCTTTTAAACCAATCTCATCTCACCCAGATAATGTTTCGAGAATTTCAGTAGATGAAAGAGGTTCCTTCCTTCCAGTGTCATCCAGTTCTGACATGTATCTCCAGTACATGTTTCCCCAGATTGAACTAACAAGGAGAGCCGGAGTAAGCCATTCTTCATTATGTCAGTCAGTTTCCATCACCAGCGAAGAATTCCCAACCAGGAACACCAACCGTCCTTCTAACATCACCGATTTATAACATTCAGTACCAGACAAATGCTTAGTATCGATTCCGTCCCCCAAAAGCCAAGTAAGGAGGAGGCCGAGATAGACTCAAAGACCGGGTTTCGTTCAGATATGCCATTAGGTCCAGATACTGCTGGAGCTCGGGGTTGGACATGTTGCGGCATTGAGATCCGATTTCAATTTTGTCTTGGGTGATGATGGGGTTGGTGATTCCCAAGAAGAAGATGAGGAGGAGGAGAATGTTCAGGAATTTGGTAGTCATTTTGGCTGATTTTTCGAGGGATGGCTTTTTGATGACGGTGATGCCTTTTATGGTGTGGATGCTGCTTTGAGGGAGCCCACTGGGTTCACTGGAGGGATTGAAATGGTAAAGGGAATGGTGACATTGGCTTGTAGGTGTTTATATTCTTGTCCTTAGGTGAGGTGCATGTCTTTGGTGGTGGGTCTCATGAACGAGATAACTGCTGTAAAGCGTGTTATGCTGTGATTGTGTGGTGGTCGTCGAGACGAATATATGTGTGATATTCATTGAGTGTTCTTAATAGTGTCTCTGCTTACTGACAAGGAGCTGAGAGTGATATGAGGGGGAGACTGCTGGTGGTAGTGGTGGTGATCTATTCTTAGCCCTAATATGTGAATGGATGCATGTGAATTGACCAGTGGCTACGTTGAGTAGAGCCGATGTTCCTCACCATAGCCTTCATATACGGATTAACACGTCAACACGTCCTTATATTGTAAAAGACTAATCTATTCTCGTATCTCTAATCATAACCTGTCATGATAAGACAGAATACTTGCAAGGTGTGATGGAATAAGGTATATTGAGAGCTATAGAGTATGAGCTGAGGTAGCACTGCCATGGCAGCATCCTTCTATTGGCAGTGATGGATGTAATAAAGCAACTCTGAAAATTCCCAGAAGCCAGAAAAAAGCATTCTTAATCATCAGTAGCTAGCATATGCGCGCATGGGACTGGAAGGAGCCCTCGACCCACAAGACCTCTGACATCGATAGCTGACAAGACAGCAAACAGCAGACTCTCACAACCTTATACACAGCTTGCATTCTTTAAGGGATACATGGAACCCTTTGGCATTGACTTTCGGGCCGTGACGAGAATCCAACCCACCTGTGATGTCATTCCAGCATCAATTGTTCCTCTCACAGTAAATCCAAAGAGATTGTCAGATTGTCTCCTCAGGTCATTCTGTGGATATATCACTACTACATCTATCAAGATACAGCGTACCTGAAAGAAGGTTGAAGTTGAGAGTATCGACACTAGGCTACTTACTTCTTTTGAAGTGACGCCGCGCCCCGCCCAGCCCCGCCGGTTCAATCGACTCCGGCGGCTCCCCGCATCCATTTCTCCCTCCCGGATTCTCCATCTCTCCCCTTCTTCCTCCCTCTAGCTATTGATCGCCTTTCACATCACCACCATAATGGACCGTTCCAACAAACCCTCCGCCATCGGCGTCAGCGCCTCCCTTCCCCAACCCACCATCTCCCTCCGCGACAACATCGTCGAAGCCACCCTCCCCACCGGCGAATCTGTCACCGTCCATCTCTACGGCGCCACCGTCACCTCCTGGAAGCTCGCCAACGGCAAAGAGCAGCTTTTCGTGAGCGAAAAGGCCCATCTGGATGGTTCCAAGCCCATCCGGGGCGGCATTCCCGTTGTATTCCCCGTACGTCAACCCTCCATCCCTCCACACCTAACCCCGCCCCCCTCTTCCATCAAAGCAAACCTATCCACTAACCCTGCATCCAAAACAGGTCTTCGGCCCTCCCCCCTCCAACCACGCCACCTCCTCCCTTCCGCAACACGGCTTCGCCCGGAACTCGAACTGGGAATTCCTCGGCAAATCGTCGTCCGAAGCCTTCGGCCGGGACCGGAAAGAAGGGGATGACGCCGTGAAGCTGGATTTCGGGCTCTCGCAGCCAATGCTGAGCGAGGAGTTCCGGAGGGCATGGCCGTATCAGTTCGGTTTGGTGTACAGTGTTACTTTGACGAAGGGTAGTTTGGCGACTTCCCTGCAGGTGCAGAACCAGGGGGAGCAGAACTTTGATTTCCAGGTGTTGCTGCATACGTATTTGAGTGTTGAGGTTGGTTTCATCCCTTGCTGGTTGGGAATGGGATTGTGGCTAATGTGTGGATAGGATATCTCCGATATTCGGGTCAAGGGTCTCCAGACGAAGGAGTATTTGGATAAGACCCAGAACGGAGCCGCGATTACGGAGACTTCGGAGACGGTGGAGATCAACAAGGAGACGGATAGTGTGTATAAGGCGTTGGATCCGAAGGTGCCGATTGTCGTGTCGACGGCTGCGGATGATCAGCCGCTGTTCTCGATTACGCGGGAGGCTTTGACGGATGTGGTGGTGTGGAATCCCTGGATTGAAAAGGCCAAGGGCATGGCGGACTTTGGCCCCGACGAGGCGTACAAGAATATGATCTGTGTCGAGGCGGGTTCCGTTGCTGGATGGCAGACTCTGGAGGCGGGAGATTCCTGGGAGGGTGGTCAGACTATTCGGCCCCGTCTGTGACGTATGATTTATGCTTGATGATTAGATGCAGGGGATAGAGATGAATATGGTGTATTGTTATATTGTGTATATCGGGGCTTAGCCCAGTCCTGGATGCCGGACTATAAGCTAAGCTCTACCTGAACCGGAGCAAGCAAGCTGATGCAGCAGTCCATGTCTGCCGACATCCAGATCAGCATATAATACATATAAGCAACCCAGCACCATACCAGCTGAACCGTAGCATATCTCTACATAGCACCCCCCAACTCCATCCGAACACCATTCAAGCAGCATCCAGCCCATACTCCGAAAAACAGCAAACAAACCCAACCGACGCCTATATCAAATTAGCAAGTCCCAGAACAAAAGCCCACTCCTAACTCACCACCCACCCAACCCAACCCCAATAGCCCCTCATAAAAAAGAATCAAAACATCCCCCTCACAACCGCCGCCTCGGGCACCGACACCGAAACCACCCTCGCATTCCCATTCCCACCTCCACCCTCACCCACACGCACACCCGCATCCCTCGTCCGACGCGAAAACAACCTCTCCAAGCCACTCCTCCTCTCCTGACAAAAACTCATCTTACACAACGGACAACAAGCCCGTAACTGGGTAAACCAGGGATCCAAACACTTCGAGTGGAAGATATGCTGACAGGTGAGGACGCGGATGTGGTCGTCGGGAGTATATTGTTCCATGCAGATTGCGCACATGATGGTTGGGTCATCTTCGTTGGTTGGGGTGGGGGTGGGGGGTTGTTCTTGGGGTTGGATGGTTGGGTTTTGGAGTTTTTCGGGGTGTGTAGGTGTATCTATGTGAGGGGAGGGTTGTGGATCTGGATTTGGATCTGGATGTGTAGTGTCTTCATCACGGTCTGTCGAAGATGCTGGAGAGGGCGAAACTGCAATAGCAGCAGGAGGAGGAGGAGACTCCACGCTACCCAAACTATCCTGCACTATCACTTCCTGTTGCTGATCATACCACTTCTTATACACCACGTTCGGGAATCGCATATTCACAGCATCTTGTGAGATCGTGGCGCTGCAGGAGCCTAGCTGCGCGGTTTCAATGTCGTCGTAGCCGTAGCTCCTGAGACGGCGGCGACGACGGGCGCCGATGAAGACCCTTGCGTATAGATGTTGTGTTAGTTGGGTTGCTTGTGAGTTGAAAGGAGGGGGGAGGAGGGAGGGAGGGGATATACCAAGCGCAGAAGAAGAGAAAAGCTACACAGGCTGGAGCTAGATAGCCCAGGAGTGCAGCGGAGGAGGAACTGACCATGCTGCGGTTTCTTCGGTGGTTTGGTATGTGGTTAGTTTGTAGATAGAGACTTGGGATGAGATGGGATGAGATGAGATGATAGAGGGGGTTGGTATACCACGGACTATCCGGCTAGACAATGTAGAACGAGTAGATAAGTAGTTGATAGAAGCAACGAACTGGATGACTTGACTGGAATCGTGAATTTCTCGGGCTTACCTCCCGTTCCCCATGACGCCAGTCTGACCGACTTCAACCCAGCTTGAGTCACTCGACGGTCATTCTAGGAGATCCAGAGGGCGCAGCTGAATGTTATCTAGGATGAAGTGTCTGGCGGATGAAAGGCACTTAGCTGTTCCCCGTGTGATTTGTCAGGTATACGCCGGACCAGATGGTGAGGCTGCCGGGGGATTCTCGCAGCCGGGATTGGAGCCCGGAGGATATATGAAAACAACACCCAGACGGAGGGTTTGCTGCCGTGGCTGGATGATACCGCGGTGCTGCGGCGGGAGCCCTAAGCGCGTGGCGGAATCCGCCTAATGCTTTGATATGGATTTATAAGGAGTCTGTTACGGTGCCAGTTAAACAGTAGATACAGCTGCCACGTCCATGGAGTAAGAGAGACCGAAAGAATGCCAGAATGAAACAGAATCGTAAGAAATAAAACTTCTTTTGATGGACATGTCAAAAACTGAAGGCAGCAAAAAGGAGTATAAGATATAGAAAAATAGGATATAGACAATCAACGCCATCGCTATGCAAAATCCCGTCAATCGGTGTTTCTCCTCAATGCCTCATGCGTTTCCACCCGGATATCAAACAATAAATCATCAATTTCCTTCAGTGAGTCCCGGTTCAACTTGGCCAGTCGGACGTCGCCCAACACCTTGCGCAGGGACGTCGCGATCTCGGCCTCCGTGATGACCGGCTGCTGCTCGTTCTCCGTCTGCGTCGTGCGAGATACGCCTCGCGTCTTCTTTTTCTTCTTCTCCGGACTTCTCTCCCTTGAGGCAGCCTTCTTCTCGGGAGAGGGCTCCACAAGCGCATCCGTCATCGGGATATCGTTTTCCGAAGCCGGTGGCTGAGTCTCTGGCACGGGCTCATCCACGAGCTGGTCTGTCTCAGTCGTGTGCTGTAATGAACCGGATGGTTCTGAGACCTCCTGGGCGGCCTCGTTGTGAACAGTGGCCTCGGGCTGTTCATCCTTGACGGGGTGCTCGGCCACATGTTCGGCAGTCTCGTGCGGGGAGTCCCGTTCCTCGCTGGACTGGGGCTCCTCCTGTATGCTGTCCGTCTTGTCTTTGCCCTGCTTGCGGGAACGACTGGGCCGTGGTGACTTCGTGGGGAGCGGACTATCCTCCGGAATCGCCGGTGCTGCCTGTCCACTAAGACGAGAAGATCTGCGTTTCTGAGAATTGTCTTGTGTTTCCTGGACCTTGCTCTTTGCGCTGTCCGGGCCAGCGACTTGCTCAGCGGACTTGCTTGTGCCAGTCGTATCACTCTTGGCGTCATGTTTCCGTCGTTTCGGCGCCGGTGACGATTCGGCATCTTGCGAGGCGATCGGTCTCTTGAAGCGCGAAGTACGGCTCCCCTCGGCATCTGCAACGGAGGGTGTCTTGGTGAGTCTTGAAGAGCGACGCCGTTCTTTGCCGGAAGGTGTGGCTTCTGCCTCTCGTTTTCTTTTCTTAGGCGGCACCTGCTCTGAATCCACTGCGCGTTCTACACTCACCGTGGTGTCATCCAGATCGACAGCAAGCTCCAGATCCTGCTCCAGTTGAGAGGCAACCTGGGTCTCCATGTCGTCACTGCAGGAATCCGCAATGCAGTCCGAGCCTTCGACTTGTGACTTCCAGTTGTCTCTAGGTAGCTCACCACGCGGGCTGTCTTGCAACGCAGGTTTAGAAGCATGCTCTTCAGTCGGCCCGGAGTCGGCAGGAACTGGGGAAGCTTCAGAGTCATGAGAACCTTTCTTTGGAACATTCTCTGTCTGCTTATTATCCGTAGAGCGCTCTTTGTTCTCTGGCGTCTTGCCCATCGATGAACGGAGTCGTTTCGTCAAGGGCTCATCCACCTCACCCGTGGTTCCCTTCTCAGCCGGCTCGGGTTGCTTAGACTGGTTCAATGCTTTCTTTTGCTTGGATGCGCGCCGGGACCTCCTCCTCGCCTTCTTACTCTTGCCCATTGGGGTGTTCTCCGAACCAGGAGTGTCCATTCGTCCAGTGTTACTGCGAGGCTCGGGACTCAGCGATTTGAGCTTTGGGGGCGAGGAATGAAGATCAGTTTCCATGGCAAAGTCTTCTGCTGCCGGAGTGGACAGCGACTGAGGGATCTCCGGCTCGCCCAATTGCGTTCGGCCTCGAGTACCTGGTGTAGGGGAAGAGCCGAGATACCCATACTCGTTGTCCGCGGATACAGGAGGTAGTGTGGGGGTCTGGGGAGTTGCGGCGTCGGCATCCGTGTTGCGTAGGTCGCGCAAGTGCGGGGGCGTCATGAAACCAAGTTCTCTCGGGGTGTTCGTCGGTGGCGAAGACGAACGGAGACTCTCGATGATCGAAAATAACTCGCTATGTTTCTTAGGGTCTCCGGACCCCGTTGGGAGAGATATCGAATGTTTCAAGGCAGCGAGCGGGTCAGCCTCATCGCCAGCTGGAGGTACTTGGCGTGGTTGAGGCTCATGTCTCTCCGGAGACGAAGGCATAGCCCTACGCTCAGACCCACCAGTGACAGGAGATGACTTCAGACCCGACTCGTACGGATTATCTAGAATGAAAGCGATGCGAGACTTGACCGATGTATCGACTGAACCCATTTTCGCTTCCTGTATGTCAGACCGTCTGGGTTGTACTCCAGTCTGGGGATTGTTAGCCCGAAACACAGAGCTTATGCAGAAGAACGCACCTGAGAGCTCTGCGAATGGTCGCCCTGTTGCTGAAGCTTGATATGATCCTCCAGGGTTTGCAGCGCGCGAGATACGGTTTCCGGGCAGGATAGAGATTCCTGCAGGCGAAAGGTGGAGTTCCAGAAGTCGAGGAATCTCTTTGTCACTGATGCATGTGTGGATTCAAGACCCGCACAGATAATAGACTCGAATCGTTGTAAACATACGATATCGTGAGGTTGCGATGCTTGCAAGATGTTCAAGACAGCTGATGACAGCGCGCGACACTATTTCCAGTTAGAACGTATCAAAGCCCTCATCTTGCACACTTACAGCAGTAAGGATTCTGCTTTCAACACCGCTCTCAACGTTAAGCTTGCGCGCCTCATCTCTAATATAACGAGCAAGGGGCTGCTGAAGGCGTGCAAGGATCGCGGCACGGAAAGTCGAAACACCCGATCCCAGAAGAGACGTCAAAGATTCAATAAAGTCGGCAACGCCGCTCGTTTCCAAGGGATCAAATCCTTCGTAAGATTCGAGGAGTTGTTTATTCACCAGGTCAATTAGGTTGTGGGGAAAGGCCAATCCCTGGGTGTTACTCCCCCCCGGCTCGTGGCAGTAAGGAATAGAAAGCGAGAGTCGGAGAAGCGACGCCGATGGGAGGTAGGTGTTCCGGGCACCTTGTTTCATGATGGACTCGGCGAGCGGTTCCACGGCCATTGTCGCAATCGATTGGTCGCCCTTTTCGGTTCTCACAACGCGGATCAGAGATTCCACAAGCGGGTTCCAGACTTCGAAAACATCGGCGAACTTCAAGCCCGCAGAGAGGATGCTAACGATATTCTCATAATCGCGGCAAACCGAGCCGTCACGTCCACGAGCCGTTTCCATGGGAAAGGATGATAGAGAACTCTCGGACGCACGTGCTGCAGACTTCCATACGGCTTCAGCTAGTTTGTCCTGGCAAACAGGGGAAGCCGCGTCGGATAGGTGAACATCGGAGCATTGGCGAAGGGTTTCCAGGCGGGAGCTTCTGGACAGTTTGTCGCAACATGTCGCTTCCAAGACGCGGTTGACTAGACGAAGGTAAGATGGGGTGGGCTTCGGATTGCCGGGTAGTTCACTGATAAAACGGAGGAAATGCAGAATGGGACTATCTAAAGTGTTGTTCGCTCTTGGATGACGATGCGTAGGCGTAGTAGCTGCTTGGAAAGACTCATCGGCTGTCTTGAGGAGTAGCTTCTCGGTGAACCGAGCACCGCCGAGAGAGTTGATCATGGAGGTCGAAAGAAAGCTGAACCGATCATAGAAGGCATCCGTCGGGTTATCTTCCACCGCAGCATTGAGAGAAGCAGGACCTGCATTCCAGATACGTCGAAGCAGCCCAAGCACGTGGGCTACGGCTTGCATCGACTCTGGCGTTGGAGTGATCTCCTTGCTCGAAGCATAGGACAAGGCCCGGGATAGGCTGAGCCAAGCCGCAGAAATGTTCGATCGCTCCATGTCAGCCGTCCAGACAGAGGACTTGAAGATCTCCTCGAAAACACTCAAGACGGACGTGATCCTCGACCGGATCCATTTGCCATCAATCGCGGGAAGCTCTTCAGGGTCCAATTTGTTGCTCTCATTGACTTTGTTCTCCACCCACATCTTCGCTTGCGAGCTCCAGAGCATATTGGACAGCACGTGAGCCATCCTGTCGCTGAGGCTGGGCACCGACGAAAATATGCTAGACGCGGGCGAAACGATGTATTCTTCCCAAACGACATCAAGATGCTGAAAGGATGCTGATGGACGGAAAGCATAATAGAGAAGATTGTAATAACTGCATAATGCCAGCTGGCTGGGCTGCTTGTCTTGCTTCTTCCGATCAAACTGGGATACGATGGGCTTGCTCAACATCCGCAACAAGGAAGGGCTCGTTGTATCGCTGGGGCCGACGACAAACACGAATCGATTCCAACCCACAATGGCCTGCGCCTTGATTGCAGAATCGCTGCAGTTGAAGCACTTTTGCAGCACGAGGACCCATTCCTTGAAATGCTCCCACTGATCAACGTTGAACTTTTTACTTCGCAGAAGCAGAATAATCACACTCCATATTTGGGGCACATGTACACCACAGTCAGCAATAGCCATCATGCGCGTCATGCGCTCGCATATCTCCGTTACTAGCTTCCTGCCTTCGTCGAGAGGTCTGCCAAATATCTCCCGGACACTTTTGGACAAGGTTGGGTTAGGCCCACACGCAATCGAGGTCTGAAAGCCCACCGAGATAGCCTTGATTCTGATGTCTTTGACATGATGTAGCAAGCCGGAGATAAGATGATCCATCCATAGGGCCGCATTTGAGACAAACACCGACTTGGATTGATTGAGGACCCGCAGATAAATGGCTAATCGCTGAGACACAATTGCACTTCCAGTGACACGATTGGTTAGTTCGTGAAGAACAGTCAAGATGCGTATTACTCTCGCGTTGGTCATAATCTTGGCGTTGAAATTTTGGGTCGACAATACGGACAAGTAATGAGTGACAACGGACTTGGGCATCTTCGCATCTTGGAGACAGGTGATCGAATGATCAACGAGGAAAACCTTGAAGTCATCTGGCAGTCGTACTGAGATCTCGGTATGCCAGACCAGAGCGACGGCCAGCTTCAGGGCCTGGATCACGAGGTTGGTTTGTAGAGGTCCGCTGAGTTCTCGGCTCACATCCCGCTGGATGAACTGGGTGATCAAGCCCAGCCTCGCCACAATATTTTGGTCCCCAGGTAGATTATCATATGCTCGTATAGCCCCAAAGAATTGCATATAAGCGTCCAGCCTGGAGCTGATAGCTTCTCCGGCTAGCTGCTGCAAAATCGACTCCAGCAGCATGGCGAAAGGAACGGCAGTATGGGGCCCGGTAGATGGCGAATGGACGGGAGAGTGGGAGGTGGTCGGCTTGAGGATAGACTTTGTGGGCTTGCATTCATTCGAAGGTGGTAGGGACTTCAGGTCCGACTTTAACTTTGCGGCAGAATTGGTAAACGAGGGAGGCTTGATGTATCTCGTCCATGGCGAGAAGTTCACGCGCTTGGATTGTCGACTCGAAGGGGCGCCGGTTGACCCATTGACCGAGAAAGGAGAGTCGCGAGGCGTGTGCACAACAACCGGAGAATCTTCAGTTCGATCAATCTCGGACAGCATACGAGACGATGTCCTGGGTGGAGTAGGCGGACGAGCAGACAGAGGACCAAGAACCTCTACCATATTTCAAAAGATCGGACGATGCAAAGAACCGGAATGAGAACGGAAGAAGGAAAAAGAACATCGCGATGCAGCCTAGCTCGAATCCACGCTGTCCATGACCCAGATTGAAGCCGTCGACAAGCAAGAGCAAGGATGGAAGCCCTGGTTGAAGCAGGATAGCCGTGCCGTTTGATCCTACCGGGGCCGCGCCAAGCCACGCAACTCAAAAAGACGCGCCTGTGGCTGAGCCACGCGTAAAGTGGCAGCGCCGCGTTTTTTGCCCAAGGCAATCAGGCAGTCAGGCAACAGAGCAACAAGGCAGCAAGGCAGCATTAAGGCATCCACTGCGGTTGTCGGATTTCGACAAATTATCAGGGCCTTGACGCTTCCACGAAGCCTTTGCACCCCTGAAATTGATACCCGCTTCTCCAGATATCAATTTACATACCCACACTTCCTCACCGACTTATTGAACGCCACCGTTGTATGTGCAGACGGCGGAGATCTTGTGCAGCGACTTAGTATTATCCTTGAGCCTCGGTGGGGTTGCTTTATTCCACCGCGGATTTCTATTCATCGGCCCAGCGTTAGCTCCTGGCCATATCCATTGCGTGGCATACAGACCTGATATTTACCACAAATCATCAGTGAATAGAAACTCACCGGACTCACAGAAACCTGCGAAGCTCCATTATTGCCATTTCTATTTAATCCATCGTCATCCCAGCAGGCCTGCTTCTGTCGCAACCCTTACAAGCCCAATCGAAGTGGGACTCCTTGGACAGACTAGTAGGGGTACATCGCGCCCCGTAAGACGATTATTGCGAGCCAACATTTACTCATTGATAAACACCTGACGCCCTTTTCAGGGAACCGCGCTAAAGCAAACTTAATCATGGAGTTCAGGCCGCTTCAGGGCCCCGGTATGCGCAAGCCACTACATGGGTACAGTTCCATCTAACAGAATACTAGAGAAGTTGCAGCGAGTCACTCAGTTGCTGGGTTCGCTGAAGACAGACCTTGGGGATAAATCTCTTACATCAAAGGGTAAGTAAAAGTGAGATATAATATGTATACATCTAACCTTGTTGCCCGCGTGCTACAGAACGTGTGCAGACACTCCTAGAGTTGAGGCAACATGGAACCAATCCTAACAACGCCCGTCCCATCTATTCAAAGGAGGGAATAGAACTATTAGCAAAATATGGTGCTGATGGGGACACACCTGATGTGCGTCGGGCCGCCTTGCGCTGTGTCGCAAATGCTCTCCTCTTAGATGAAGCAATGCGCCAGGTGTTCGTGGACACAGGCTACGGAGGCAAATTAGCAGAAAGACTCAAGGTTCGTATGTTGCTGCAGTGGCCAGCCTTCACAGGCTGATATTCAAACAGTGCGACTCCTCGGAGGATGAAATGGTGATCAGCCGAATCCTATTTCTCTCTACGTACGACACTACAATGGACTTCGAAGACCTGATCAAACACCACTCCCTGGGTGACAATGTCAACTATGTAAGTGAATGAGTGCGTTGTTCGCATACAAGGACGAAATATACTGATAATGCATATCAGCAAATTGTCCGACACGCCAAACAATTTCCCAAGTCCGGCAAGAAGTCATTGTCGCAAATCGATGAACTGGCCCTCATCGACACCCTGAAACTCATTTTCAATGTCTCCAAGATCTATTCCGAATTGTCCGCGACATTTTCAGCTTCAATACCACACATCTTCAAGATGATCAGCCGCATTGATATCCCTCAAAAGCCTCTGGAAGGCTTACTCAGCTACCTTCTCAACTGCCTGTCTACGCTTGATCTAGAAAACAAGAAAGGCAAAGTCTTCGATAATAGTCCGATCTTCCCGACCTTCAACCAGAACTGCAATGTCGATAAACTGATCAACATCCTGGACCAAGCCGTGTCGGCATATGGCCCAGACGAGCTTGAAACCAAGGCTATACCCCTCTTTCACTCGCTAGTCGTCATCCATGAGATGGCACCAGATGGGCCCCGTAAATACATGCAATGGCTTCTTTTGCCAGAGGATGGCGATAGAAGCCGCCCGATTGGGCAATCCGACACCCTATCGTCAAAGTTACTTAACCTCTCGACCACCCCCTACCCCAACCTGAAGACCGCCATCTCCGAGCTTATGTTTGTGCTCTCTGGAAAGGACGCTGAAAACCTGACGAAGAACATTGGGTACGGGTTCGCCGCAGGGTTGTTGGCTTCTCGTGGCATGGAGATCCCCAAGACGGCAGGCGAAGCATTCGCAACCAATTCGAATGGGTTCAATCCCGATATCAATCCGATCACTGGCCAGAAGTGGGCAGCAGAGAAGCAGGATGAGGGCCCCCCTATGACCAAGGAGGAGAAGGAACGAGAAGCTGAAAGATTGTTCGTGCTTTTCGAACGGTTAGTTCCATCTGTCGTCTATCTGTTTGATCACTTGCTGACTGCTCTACTAGAGCCCGGGCGAATGGCATTCTCTCTGTGGAGAATCCCGTTACGCGAGCCCTCCAGGAAGGGCGATTCGAAGAGTTGCCCGACTCCGATGATAGTGATTGAGCAGCCCACCTCTATCCTTGTACCATCACGGTGTCTCAGTCCAGACGTGGGCAATTTTTGGTCTGGCCAGTCATCTCATATGGTTATCAGTACATCGCCCTGGGCATAAATCGAGGACGCATACGTGGGGATAGCATTGCGAGGGGTTCGTCTACACAGTTTGTCTTTGAATGACAGCATCAACGCATTCATCTCTGATTTAGCAAGAGTGGCCTCGGTCTAATCCCATTAATAAGCAACAGAGGCAGACACCGGGCATGGCGCTTCTCAACAGTCAGCGACTTAGGGAGTCCGTGAAAACCAGTAGATTAGAATTAGACTACTCTCTCATTGGAACACTACTCCATTTCTTGAAGACCTAAATCGACCATTTTGGATGTTTCGAGAACTATATAGTACTGTGGATGACGTACCGCCCGGTCGCGGCGGGGTTAAAGGCGGCGGCGCAAAAATGTCCGCCCGCGGGAAAAAAAGACCAGTCCGTCGCGGGGCAACTTACTTTTCGATCTCGCTTCAACTTCATTTGCTATTAGCCCCCGAATACTGCCTCTATTCTTGCATTCTTATCACCCTGTCGTCGGTCTTTGATCTAAGTATCTGTCACTTACACAACCGCCAAAATGTCGAAGCCATTTGATCCAGAGACGGCGGAGAACTTCGAGGATGTATGTCACTTGCGCCGAGACCGTCAGAACCCCGAACAAGACACTGACTTTCAATTTAGATGGAGAAGCAGTTCGCCGTCAAGGGTTGGTCCAGATACCGCTAATTTAATTAGTCTCGTGACTCACGATTATGCAGCCGTGGAACATCTGATGACATACTGGTCCATTCTGGAGAAGGTCCCCGGCTCTAAACTGCGCCTGACGAAGATGGATGATGAGATCCTGGAGTCTTTCCTGAAGGAGTTCCCCGACTTCGATCCGGCCGAGACGCTCGACGAAGATAAGATGAAGAGCAAGGAGGGCAAGGAAAAGTGGCGCAACTGGATCAACCAGTACGAGAAGACCATCGAGGATTTCAACTTTGGAACCATGCTCCGTGCCAGCCCCAAGGTCGAATACGACAGAGATACCACTATCTTCGGTAAGTCATGGGTGGCTTGGGAGCGGGGTCGGATCGCCGGCTAACGGAAGAATAGCCATGCGTATGCAGTTTTATGCCGTCGAGATCGCCAGGTGAGTCCCTATGCCGGAGACAGTGACAGCGATAACGACAGCCCGATGCTTACATATTGATTAGAAACCGTGCTGGTCTCAACGACTGGATCTACGAGCGGGCCCAGAACGCGAGGTCGTAAACGTGAAACCGACCTTTTCTCATTCGGGCCCTGGCCATCCTTGCATTGCTAATATCCCAGAGACTATGCAATGACTCGAGTCCGTGGTTCAACAACCGCCATATAGTACGTCATCCCATAGATCTCGATCGGGTGGTTCCAATATAGCATATATGGCCCTATAGAGGAGTGGACTTAGCCTCCGACATGACACCCCGGGAGGGTTTCTACCGGCGCGAAAACCATGTACATACAGCAGGTGGATTTATAAAGCTGGAATGCAGTGATGAATAAAACGATATGTGGTTGGTTTGCCGACTCGGTGGTGGGCCCGAGAACAATGGCAACGGCGGCCCATTGATCTCCTCCCTCTAATATGCCCGCATGTGGAAAGGTCGGCCACATCCCCCGGCCGGGATGACACCGAGCCAAGCGTCTCCCTTTGTTGCTATAGTTCCTGGGGAAAGGCCGTAACTTTGGGTTTCTCGCTTGCACATGCCCCTGTCCTATACTTTAGGTTTTATAACTTGGTTACCATGATCATGTTCGCTTACATGGTACTTAATTAAAAGGGTTGAAGATCAGGAACTCTATCGACAAAGATCTTCTACCAGGCCAGCTGGTGCAGCATGATGACTATTTTCACCTACCGGAAGCCGGGGTGGATGTCCCTGTTCGGCTTCACCACCACAAAGCATATTCCGAGTCTGATTCCAGGAATTATCTTTGCCGTCATATCTAGTCTCGCGACTCCCGTCTTTTCCGTAGTCTTGGGCGAGATTTTCAACTCATTCGCACTGTTCGGTGGAGGCAGAATTGCAAAAGATGACCTGACTCAGCGAATCAGCAAATATTCTATCGAGCTGGTCGCTCTAGGGGCAGCCAGTTGGGCCTGCAACAGCGCTTATTACATCCTTTTTGTGATCTTTGGAGAACTTCAGGCTGCGAATGCTCGTACGAAGCTATTCGAAGGGCTTCTGCAGAAGAAGCAGGAATGGTTCGAAACGCAGCCGGATGGCACCAGGGTCTTTTTGTCTTCCCTCCAGGGGTGAGTGTTCCGTCGCCCATGACCATCTGCTTCAGCTAATAAGGAACCCAGACAAATCGATGATTTACAGAAGGGAACGTCACAGGCTCTGGGCCTTTCGCTGCAGTATGTCTTTCGAGCTATTTTCTCGTTGGCTCTGGCTTTTTGCACCTCTTGGAACCTCACTCTAGTCACTCTGGCCGGCATTCCCTTCCTCTCTGCCACCATGTCATTCCTTTCCACCAAGACAAATTCGAGTTTGGACGCACAGAAGGAAGAGCTGGCACATGCTTCGAAGACTGTTGACAATGTCGCTACTTCGATCGACGCCGTCAAGTCTTTTAATGGGCAATCCACGGAAATCCGCAATTTCGTGGCCAGTATTGACAACGCTGCTTCACATTACCTCAGACGCGCACACTTTGCCTCCCTACAGATATCCGCTCTGCGACTGATGACATTTGGTATGTTTGTGCAGGGATTCTGGTACGGGAGCTCCTTGGCCACCTCGGACAACCTCTCAGCGGGTGAGGTCCTCAGAACATTTTGGGCCTGCTTGGCAGCGGCACAGTCCATGGAGTTCCTTATGCCACAGGTCGTCTTCCTGGCAAAAGGAAAGACTGCAGCACTAGCTTTGGTTCATACCTTGGGTGATCGATCGAATGACGCGGCTGGAGGGGAGAGGAGAGGGTCTGTATACCCGGACTTTTGCGAAGGTGACCTCGAAGTCAGCGATGTGAGTGCTTCGAAAGCCCATTTATCACCATGTATTATTTACTTACAATACTCTCACCAAAGCTTTCATTTGCTTATCCATCGCAACCGAAGCGACTTGTCCTAGATTCGACAAGCTTCTTCTTCCCCGCTGGAGAGACAACATTCGTTATCGGCAGAAGCGGGTCTGGAAAGAGCACGCTTGGACAGCTGCTCACACGCTTCTACCTACCGGTATCGGGCGAGATCACAATTGATGGTGTTCCCATCCAGTCGTTGAGCATCGACTGGATAAGGAATAACATTACCGTTGTTGAACAGCGAAGCGTACTCTTCAATGAATCTATTTTCATGAATATTGCGTTCGGCAGCCGCGATTATGACCGACTTCACAAAACAGATGTACAGGAATGCATTGGCCTTGCAATGCTTCACAATACCATAGATGATCTACCTAAGGGGATCGACACCTGTGTTGGTCACGGAGGTGATTTCTTAAGTGGTGGTCAGAGACAGAGGGTGGCGATTGCGAGGGCGCGGCTGAGGAATACACCGATCTTAATAATGGATGAGCCCACAAGTGCCCTGGATGCAACCAACCGCGTGGAAATAATGAAAGCTATTCGGGAATGGCGTCGAGGGAAGACAACGATTATCATCACGCATGATATGTCCCAGATTATGGATCACGACTTTGCCTACATCATGGACCAAGGCAGGGTTGTTCAAGCTGGCTACCGATGTGAGCTGGAAGACAGCAACACATTCCTCATCCCTGCTAAAAAGGTTCATGATGAAAGCAACATTACTGATGTTCGCGATACTTCTGACTCGTGTTCCCATGCCTCAGAAATCTCAACCGAGAGCACATGCGGTCCGGGCTTAGATTTCTACTCTCGGCATGAAGAGCTTGCACAACATTCATCGGCTCTCTACAGATACAATACAAGCTTGCACAGCAATCCCAAGTCTATAGTCCCCCGATGGGATAGAGCTTTCCCAGACTCGAGAAATTCCATCGGGTTGCAGATGTTTGAACTCAAATCCATCCAAGTCCGTGGCGCAGATGTCCCGTCCCACCGGCTGAGTCGCAACATGATCCCGATGAACGAGGCTGTCAATGAGATAAAAGCTGCCAGATCGAAGCAGCCTACCAGGTGGTCATTCAAACGCACAACACGCCTCTCGCCGCAAGAACGCATGTCACTGGCACAGATAATGCTGACCATAGTTCCTAATCTGACTCAGAAACAGCGTTTGCTTCTCATCCTTGGATGCTTAAGCACCCTCTGTCATGCAATGGCCACCCCGATATTTTCTTATTGCTTGTCACAACTCCTTGAGACATTCTATGACAGCCAAGCCCGCGCCTCGACATGGTCATTGATTGTTCTCGGTGTTGCAATAGGCGACGGCATTGCATCATTCTTGATGCATTATCTTCTGGAGCTATGTGGCCAGGCTTGGGTGGACCGCCTCCGGAAAAGAAGTTTCCATCTTGTACTTGATCAGCCACGTAAATGGTTCGAAGAAGTTGGGAATGAGCCTTTTCAACTTACCACATGTCTCAACCAAAGCGCTGAAGAGATGAGGAACCTTGTTGCGCGGTTTGGCGGTTATGTGCTCGTGGCCGCTGCAGTGGCTGTGGTTGCTATCATATGGAGCATGGCTGTCTGCTGGAAATTGACTCTTGTTGCAGTAGCCTGCGGCCCTGTCATATATGCCATCACCAGAGGACTCGAAAAGACCAATGGGATATGGGAGCGCCGATGTACCGGGGTCCGAACATCAGCTTCCGAAGTATTCGTGGAGACATTCTCGCAAATCCGCACCGTCCGAACATTGACACTCGAGCCATATTTCCATAAGAAGCATATGAAGGCTGCGTCGATGTGTATGGTTCTTGGCCTGAAGAAAGCTGTTTACACCGGGTTTCTTTTCGGACTGGTGGAGCCCATGATCATATTCGTCAGCAGTGAGTGACGGCCCATAGGGACGGTTTGGATCCTCGTGAAGCTAACAAATACAGCTCTGATCTTTTACTACGGAGCGGTCCTCGTATCGTCGCTCGAATTTACCGTCCAGGATCTGATGACGGTATTCTCGGTCCTTCTATTCAGCATCGCATACGCCAGCACGGTACTGTCATGGAGTTAGTCGCCTCTCTGATATTGATTGCTGCCAACATTTACTAAATAAGCCTGTAGTTCCTCAGATTGGCACTTCGCAGGAGATGGCAAACCAACTCTTACGCCTTGCGAATCTCCCCGAGGGCGCTTCTCATGAACACCGAGGCAATCTGAAGATAGCCACGGTAGCACCGGTGCAGGTCAAGGGCTTGAACTTCCGGTATCCATCACGTCCTGATGCTCTGGTCCTGCGGGACGTGTCCATCAACATCCCGAGGAACAAATGCACGGCAATTGTTGGGAGGTCGGGATCCGGGAAGTCGACCATAGCATCGCTCCTGCTAGCCCTGTACGAGGCACCTCCTTCCAAGGATGGATGGCCTACAGTGTCTCTAAATGGAATTGACCTCCAACGCGTGCATACACCGACACTCCGCTCGCTGATTTCCATCGTCTCCCAGCGACCTTCTATCTTCCCGGGAACCATTGCGGAGAACATCAGCTACGGATTAGAAGAAGAATCCCCTCTTCACACGATCTTTCATGTCCGCGCAGCAGCGGAGGCGGCTGGGATTGACGATTTTATCAGTTCCCTTCCGGAAGGATACTTCACCATGATCGGGGATGGAGGGGCCGGACTGTCGGGGGGACAAGCCCAGCGGCTGGTGATTGCACGGGCGCTCGTTCGGCAGCCACAGATTTTAATCATGGACGAGGCCACGTCCAGCCTCGACCCCAGCAGTGCAACGATCATCCGGCGGACCGTGCAGAGGCTGGTCACGACCCGGCTAGGTCTCACGGTGCTTATCATTACGCACGCAAGGGATATGATGGAGATTGCGGATAACATTATTGTGCTTGAGAATGGGTGCGTGGTGGAAGAGGGGGCATACAAGGAGCTCGCACGACAGACGGATGGGAAATTAAGGGCTCTTATAGAGGAGCCAGACTCGGATGAAGATGAAACAGGCGCATGAACAGATGACGGACCAAATCAAAAGGAGAGTCCGGCGAAGTGGCGATTGAACCACTCAATTGCCTGGTCTTCTGCTTCGCTCGCCTGCGCTCCGACGTTCTCGACCATGACGTCTGCTCGCACACAGAACCCATGGCCAACTCCGTAATAGATCTTCACCTCTCCCACCCCGCCGTTCTTGTCTAAAGCGCCCTCGATCTGCTTGATTTGCGGCAATTTGACCATGCTGTCGAGCTCTGCCATGGCAAAGCTGACGGGAATCTTGATTTTCTCAATATCCCCCGGTATGGCCAAGTTGCTAGGATGACCGGTGAAGCCGGCATTGATCAAGGGCTTTCCGTCCACCTCCTCCCCGTGTGCCAGATAAACGGTGTGCAGGCCTCCCCAGCAGAAACCCGCGGCAGCGATAGGGAGCTCGGCGCCTTCGTTCTGGCGAACAGCGGTGAAGAACGACTTGACCACCGGCCAAGAGTTGGCGAACTTGTTATGGTAAAGGAAGGGAACCATCGCATACGCGACCCAGAAAACATGGTATCTATTCAGCGTGAGTCAGGAAGACACTCGCTTCCTTTGTACATAGGATTTCCACCAGCCAGCGAACAAACTCACGGTTTCGTAACCCAATCCTTAATTGACCCTGTCTTCATCACCGATGAGACAGCATCCAGAGCCCAAACGGGCGCCGCACGTCCTATACACATCCAATACCACTCAGTATCTCCCTATCCATCCCATCGGAACATCAACCCAGGTAATAGTACTCACCCTTCATAAAATCCGGCACATAAACCCTATACTTCCCCTTCTCCGCATACCGATCCGCCAGAATCCGATTATTGACAAACTCCCACCCGAACGCATCCGGGATGATGATCACGATGCCCTTGACGGCTTCCGCCCCTCCCGAGGGTTCTGTCACGTAGACATCTAGCCCATGCAAGGTGGTTACTTCCCCCTTGGGCGTTCCTTCATGTACATGTCCGCTGAAGCAGTCAGGACAGGACATGTTGGTTGGTTGGTTGGTTGCTTGCTTGCTTGCGGGTTTGTTGGCGTTTTGCGCTAGGCTGGTGGGCTTGTAGTGCTGTATAGGTAAAGATTGCTGGGGTTTCGAGTGAGGTGATACTAGGAAGGGAGTATGGGAGGAAGGACTCGTGATGAGGGGGTTCTTATGGTTCTTTCCTTGGCTGGGGAGGGGGGGGGAAGGAGTCGAGCCATGGATGGATGGCTACGGTGTACTGGCGATTGGGTTCGGAGGTAGTGGGTTAACTCCGATGGAGGTAGACGGTAGGTACTTATCGCCGGGGAAGAGGATGGATACGGGCTAGGATGGACTATTGTCTATATTCTGAGTACTTGATAGTTTCTTAGGATTTAGTAGCTGTGTCCAGAGTATCGTTGTGTGGAATGTGTTTACATGGGCATCGGCTTGCTTCAGTGGAGACTACTATATATCTCCTGCAACTTGAACATGGAGAATATAACCCTGGACTTCCGCACTTTTGTCGTACAGACTGTGATACTACTAGTATATCCTACGATTCATTCTCCGGCTGCATGGGGCTTTATGCTCCGTGTAATGGTATTGGCTAGTCGTGGATAATATTCTTGTACTCTCGCAGATTATTGTTCTTGTCATATAGGCACCAGGGTTACGAGGTCGTGAGCTTATGATGTAGTGCATGGGAGAGAAGTGACAATGTAATCCCTTGGTTGGGCCGAATTGGCTGGTCATTGGGAGAACAATGAAGAAGCTTATACGGAGTATGCGACTTGTGGCTTGGTGGTACATTGTACCCCCCGGAGGTTGGCTGGGGATGGAATTGGGCTATACTACCTGGTTATATAGCCAGGATACCGGAACCGGAAGGACCTTATTCCGACATCGTCATGGAGATGCTCCAGCCTCCCACTTCCAGCTCCAGCAGCTCCAGGAGCTGATCTGGTCGCTGATAAGCGAACTTTATTTCGCGGACGGTCCCAAGAAACGACGAGTCGATCGAGGCTCGAGCAAATCAAACGATCGATCCTCCGAGTCCGAGTGGAAGGGAACGTGTTCTAAAAATGGCACGCGCTGGAGGGGGGGGGGGGTTTCGGAAAGGGAAAACCGGGAGCATTTGGATTCCGCCTGTCGTTTCAAGATGAGATCGCCTTTAATTAGTCGGGAGGATGCGATGGAGACCGTTTAATTTGTATACAGAGTCTAAGAATGAAAGCTCCTGAGCGACCTCCTGAGTTTCTGGCCGGATTTCTCCGTGGCCAGAAGGGACGCCTGGCTGGTGGGTAACAAAAAAAAAAAAAATAAAAAGACAAACGAACCAGCCATTTATCTGTTGCCGGGAACCCAGCCACTCAGCATCTGGCATCATCATCGCTGGCTGCATGGCGTAGTCGCCAATCTTGCTTTGCGCCCTCGCCATTCGACGACGAGACGCAGCCTGTCTGGGGATGATTACTATCGTCACTCTTTTTGACACCAAACTAGCCGCTGATCGAGCTGCTTGCTGCCCTGCTCGTATTATTCTGCTGCTTTCTCTCGCTCTCTGTCTCTCTCCCCTTTCCCTCTTTCTCACCCACTCTGCTGAGGCCATGGATTCGCGGATGAATCCTCTCCTCCACATTCTATCATCACCAGCATTGTCGCTATATATTCGTTCTGGCCTGTGTCGGGTCTCCTGGTCTGCTTCGTAATATCTTATCAAATATCTCCAAGCTACCGAGGTGTGCAGCCTGGTCGCCTGGTTAATAACACTCCACATAATAGAGCCTTCAGCGCATTCATCCGCCAGTTCCGCAGCGTTCCCAGTCTAGGCTCCCATTCTTCCAGTTCCCCTCCGATCCGGCTCTCCAACCTTTCGCCTGCGATCCTACTACTATCGTTGATTCTCTTCCCGTTCTGCATGCTTTGGGGCTAAGGATCTGGGCTCACGATCGCCCGGAATTCCCAGCATGCACATTCCAGCCAACTTCCGCCAATTTGACATCCGTCAGGATGGCCCGGGCACCATCGACAACATTAACCCCTCCAACAACAACAATAATAACACTGACAGCAGCCAAGATAAGACAAACTCGTCTCATACGAGTAGCTCGGACAAGAACAATATTGTCATAATAGTGAGAAGCCTTATCGTCCGTCCTTTCTAGTCGACCCTTACTAATGCATGAATTCGACGGCAGTGTGTCGCTTGCATTATCTTTGTCCTGGCCTCCGCCCTAATGATCTACTTCGTCCTACGGACCCTCCGCCGCATGGACTGTCGACCGAAATATCTGCCCGGAAAATTCCTGAAAGATAAATGGAATAGGTGGAACGTGGGCGTTTCGTACGGTCAGGTCCCGGATGGATCGTCGTCGAATAACCAAAATGCGAACGCCACCAGAGCCGCTCCCTCCGAGGGAGGCGCCGAAATGCGAACCACCACCGCTGCCGCCCCGGCCGCCAATAATACTAGCAATGTTCGGCGCGATACATCGGTTCGATCGGTCATCACCCTCCCCGCATACTCAGCCAGTCCGAAACCAACCGAACAGGTCATTGCTCGAGAAGGGGAACGAGAAGGCATGGACATGGTGGTGGAATTCCCCGAAACAGCGGAAGAAGAGGAGTCTCGCAGAGAAGAATTGATGGAGTCACTGTACCAAATTCGCTTGCAACGGCGAGATGACCTGGCCGAACGTGAGTGGCGCCGACAGGAGCGTCGGGAGGCCCGTGAGCGCGGGGATTATATCCGTCTCGAACAACTTCGGCAAGAAAGTCGCGCCCGACAAAGAAGTCGCATATCGGTCAATGGTACCAGCACGAATCTCAGCGCGGCTTTGGCCGAATCTCGGAATCGTGGTCGCGATAGGCGCATCTCGAGTGTATCGTACGCCGAGTTGGGCCATGTTCGCCATGACGGGTCGCGGATTAGAGCTAGTTCGCCCGACTCAGACCGTCGCCCTCTCCTCACCGATGCTTCCAACCCTGATCGATCTTCTGGGTCGATTCTCACCGGCGTTCATTCCCGAGGCGAGTCGTACTCGTCGTATCAGTCCAATGGCACCGACGCAGACACTCTCACCCAGGTCCAGTCGCATGCAACGTCGACCCATTCAGCGGACCAGCCATCAACGGGAACCGATGAGAGCGACGTTGGAGCACTCCATATTCCCCCACCCGAGTACGAGGACTTGGACTGGGGAGAAGCGCCGCCTTATACCAGTCCGGTTACAGAGACCAGCGGGCACGCGCCACACCTGCGTGAATTGACCCCTCTACCTACTATTCATATCGATGTCGCTAGCCCCATTAGCAATACCCCGACAACCCCTACAAATCCCCTCCGGGAGGAGCGGGAAGAGCAGCATTCCGCTGAGCCACACCCCACCGAGGCCCCTTCCACCGAGGCCCCCTCTACTGACGAACGGGTCGACGAAGAACACACGGCTTCTGAACACGCCGAAGCACACCTGCTGGAGAATGATTCTCATGCTCACCAATCTACGTGATTTCTCACCGATAGTCTGCCCGATATCTGATGGAACGACAATCGGTCTCCGTTACGGCTGCCCTCCCCGATTTTGCATCCCATACCCTGTTACGAGCATGAGCGTTTACGACCCCTCCATACTAGCATATACTGTTTCTAATCACCCTCCCATCCTCTGTTCATAGTCGATTTCTGGATTTGACCCAGCTAGCAAGGCGTTAATCGAAGGCATTCCGAATATATGGGCGACTTTGTTCCCGCCCATCCAGTCTGTACATTTAGAAAGAAAGGGGAGGAATCTGTGTCTATCTGATCCTGTCTGAACATACTACTATACTCGGGAAAATACCCTGTCACCTTTCAACAAGATTATAGCTTCATTTCATACATGAAAAAAAAACAATATCTACGGAGTATCTAGTAGATAGTAGTGCTCGTGGGCGGATCTACAGTGGACACCCACCCAACCGGGACCTGGACGGAGGCGGTCAGCCGCTCCACGGGGGGCCACGGCGTAAACAAACCAAAACGGCCGGGCGAGGTCCACTCCCGTCGGCATGGTCGAGAGTCGACCCCCCAACCCAACCTCCTCATTTATTTCCGTCGCATCATCCACTCGCGTCTCCGTTGCGTTTGTCTAGCCGGGTCAGTGGTGCCTGCTGTGGAATTGCTTTGCTTCCGCGACACCAAGCAAACCACACTGCCTTGCCTTCCTCTCCAATTGACGGCCTGCCCCTGGTTCCTTCTAGATTTGGTTTCCGTGGCTACTGCCCGTTTCGAGCCTGGAGATTCGAACTCGCGCTGGGCCGACGCGCTGCCCCGGGGCCCGTCCAAACACTACTAACTAACTACATTGTCCACCGTGCAGCTTGCAGCGTCAGCGATCTTAGCAAATTCAGTTGTCTCGTCGATTAATGTTTCGAGTCTGCTAAAATCATACTCATAATCATCCTTGAGCAAATCGATTTTAATAATTCATCTCCGAAATACGCGCGTCCCACATCGTCAACATGTCGCGCGAAGCTACAACGAACAGCTTCGCGTCTTTCGGCTCAGACTTCGACCCCGAGCACGAGGCGATCGCATCTACCAAAGAGCTTGGTGGTAGCCCCCGGCTTCCTTCCATGAACGCCAACGCCAGGAAGCGCCACGACTTCGAAGAAGAAGAGCCGGATTATGCCTTCAACACATCCACTTTCGAACAATACCTACCCAACTTCTCCCCGGTCGGCACGTCAGAAGAAGAAGAAGCCGACGACCACGACGATAGTATCTCCATCGAGGCGGGACGAGGCCCTGCGAAACCTCCCCGTCGATTGGACGACTCGAGAAACTCCTACATGACCATCGAGAACAGTGTCCGCTCGTCATCTCCAGCTGTGAGACTCGACTATCCTACTTCCAATACCCCTCAGAAGTCTGCCCTGCGTAACTCGGCGAGAAGAGCGGTCAGCGAAAGTCTCCGAAAGGACGCTCAGATCCGACGCGCCAGTCTTGCTCATAAAGAGAACGTTGATCCCCAGTCGGCAAAGTCGATTCGCAGAGAGCAGCGGCGGACTTTGTCAGAGATGCATGCAAAGGTCCGTGATGCATATGAGGGATCCTTGATTGAAGATGAAAGGCCCACCGTGGTGGCCAACAGTACGCGTCCGACACGTTTTGCCAATCCCAATCTCTCCCACCAAATTGCCGACGCCGTGGAGAAGGCTTCCCAGGAAGCTTACGCTCGGGAACTTCGTCGTGGAAAGACCAGCACCAACTCGCGCAACGCGCCTAATGCAGGTGACACAGGCACTCAGCATTCGTTCCTTCTGCCGGACCTTCCTAATCTGTCCGAATTGGTCTCCGGCGTATATGAAGATGGCACGCCGGTCTACGCACGCCAGAACAGAGCACGCACGACACGTTTTGTGTCCCCTCCACATGATGCCACTGATGCATCCTTGACTCGCGAACATATGCCTCTTGATGCAGTCCCGATCCCAGAAGATGAGAAGGCTTTGTTTGTCTCGTTGAGACTCCTTCAGGACAAGGTCTCGGAACTCGAAAGGTCCAAGTCTGAAGCCGAACGTAGGATGGACGAGATGAGACGGGAGAATGAGTCCTTGAGAACAACCAAGTCGCGCAACAAGGACAAGAACGGTCGCAGCCGCCCATACGAATCAGAGGAGGATGAGTACAGGAGGGATCGAGTTGCCAGCGATTACCAAAGTAAGTGTGTCTGAATTGGTCTTCCGGATGCCCTGCTAACGTTGCACCTCAGAGTTGGATGCTGCCAATCTGGCGTTGCAGAATAGACTCGACATTCTCGAAAGAAAGAGCCAGATTCAGGAGTCGAGTCTGAAACGGCTGAACCGGGAACGCGATATGGCGGTCTCTCAGTTGGGCGTGGCCTACCTTGAAACGCAAGACCTCAAGGGCGAGAATGAGAGTCTTCGCCAAGAGGTCTCAGAGCTGAAGTCGCAGCTGACCAAGATTCTGTCTGCCGGCCCCAGAAACCGCGACGACACCGTCGAATCAGACTTGTCTTCTTCTATGACTGATGCAAGTGATGAAGATAGCCAGCTTGACACGCAGCAAAGCAAGCACACGAGCCGAAGCACGAGGGACGTTACAGGCAAGAGTTCACGCTCTCGATCTAAGGCTGGGCGTCAAGAAGACTCGCGCGCCAGGGTCTCGACGCAAGTCGACAAGGAGATATCTCGACTCGAAAAAGAAAGGGCAGACGAAGCTTTGTTCTCACTTGATGTCCCGCAGAGCAGGGAAAAGTCGAGGACAAAGGCAGAGAAGTCCAAGAGCCGCTCACAGAGCAGTGATGTGAACAGCAAGAAACAGTCAAATACTGGCAAGCAGCGCGTCAAGCGAGTGGTTGTCGAAGAGGTTGACGTGACTGAGCCTGTTGAGTCCACTGGAGAGGTCACCGGAAACACCAAGAAATCCAGCGCAACCGAGCAGGACCTGACTTTGCTGAGCTTTGTTGATGTGAGTAACGCGTTCGATGACTGTCAACCACCATTGCTGACTTTGGCACCTAGGAACGCGAGATTGCCCAGTTGCGGAAGACACTGGAGGAGGAACGACTGGCTCGGAAACGGCGCCAATCCAACACGAACAAAGATCAGACTGCAAATGAAACAGGGAATACGACCCGCCAGAGTGTTGCTAAATCGGCTGTCCCTAAGAAGTCTTCCCTCAAGGAAAGCAAGGGGGTGCCATCCAGACCCGCCTCGGCAATGGGCGACTTGACCGCAACCTCCAGGGCCAGCATGGCGGAGGGAGACAGTAACCTGTCGGTGCCTACCGAACGTCCCAGACGCCATTCGGACCACTCCGCGCCTGCTGCTGCTCAGCGGCGCCGGCGGCGGATCGCCGAAGAAATGACTTCGGCCTTCATTCTGCCTGATATCACATTCAACCCTGCCCATCTGGCCGACAACAACCTTGCAAAGCTTCCCGAACCTGCACAGCGTGCTCTCGACAGTGCCACTCAACACAATGGCAAAAACTGCACCGTCTGCAAGCGTTCCATCCCTGGTGGCTCTTGTGACCATACCGGCGAAGCAGTTAAGGTTCCCAAGCCCATTCCGGTTTCGGAGCGTATGCCTGCGCCTTCTCCCTACAATGAAGAACCTACTCTACGGCCTGCACAATCCCCCGAACTTGCCCTTGCGACCGTGCTTAAGGCCTTGGAAGATGAGCTCGCACACTTGAAGATGCAGTTGGTGGCCTATCAGGGCGCGTACAACAAGCTGGATGCGTCATTGAGCAAGAGACAGAGGAAGTCTGTGGCTGAGAAGATTGAAAAGCTGCTGAAGGATATCGACATGAAGGCCGACCAGATCTATGCGCTCTACGATGTTCTCGAGGGCCAAAAGCAGGATGGCCGTGAGATGACCGAGCAGGAGATGGAGGTGACTCTTCAATCGATCGGCATTGAGACCGCAGGGCGGGCAGCTGATGTTACTGGCACCACTGACAAGTCTTCTCGCAAAGGCGCCGAGCCGGACTACGATGAGGATGACGACGAACTTCCCTGGGAAGGATTTGAGAGCACACTAGAGATGACCGGCCGCAGTGGTGGAAGCCGTCGCCATTAGTTTGAATACCATTGTCATTGTTGATGCTTGAGGAGAGCTTTGGCTCTTTTCTTAATTTGTTGTTGTTTTTCTGTTTTTCCCTTTGTACTTTTGTTTCGTCTTCCTCTTTCTTCCCCTTTTCCTTCTTCCCACTCTCCCGTCTCGTGCAGATGCAAGTTTTTGGATCCGGTTTTGACTGACTTCGGTGTATGTCCCGGATCCTTGAGAATATGCTGACGCGCTGGGCCTTTGAGTTGATCCTGGAGAATTTGTCCGCTGGATTGTCCAGTGTGTGACTGTCTTTGAGAATCCTCAGGCCTTTTCGGGTCTCTGTTGCTGGAGGTTGGCCTTGGACGTTGATGGTCTTGCTTTAGATCTCCGCCCAAGGTTTGGAACTCGCAACGCCGATGCGATCAAAATTTCCTTTTCCTTCTTCTTCTTCTTCTTCTTCTTCTTCTTCTTCTTCGCTTCTCTCTTCTTCCTTTGTCTTGAATAATGTTGGATACGGCGTTGTGCTGAATCGGATGCATGGGGTGCCCCGCCTGGTTGGTTTAATTGTTGCTTGTGGGATTCAGCTGGTTAGGTGTTTCTTTGTGACTGTAACACGTATCAATTATTGCTGTTGTGCATGCATTCCTTTCAGTCCAGCCATGTAAGGGACGGAGTGGGACAGCCACCCTGGTCCTCGCACGTAGATTACCTGGCTGGTGGTACTGTCAGGGTACTGGAGTGGTACTGTAGCCGTGGAGACAGGGCGCGCACGCGAGCTCGGGGTGAGGCCTAAACCCGAGGGAGACTAGCGGGGATGACAAGCTTCGGGGGGCGTTTGGCTCATCGCTCGGCCTTTCCTCCGGTAGTTTTCGGTCTTCCTCCACTCCCCCAGATTGTGTTGCTTTGTCTCCCATTTTTGCGTGCTCCTCCACTTTGACTTTGACGAACCTAGTTCCTGATCCTTCCCCAGACCCGATCCTCGATCGTGAGTTTCTCTACATGACCTCTACACCGCATCAGGATGCCCGCCACCTGCACACCGACTATGTAGATACTCCTGCGACCGATTCGCGTGTCCGCCAGGATCCGTACCAGCCGGAAACCCAGTTCTTATCCCCGAGGATCTCCCTCGATTCGTTTGCGGACGGCGACGAGGCGAGCGTCAACACGGCAATCCACGATGGCAGCTCCGCGCAGACCCGTATACTTGCGCCTGCGCCCGAGATTATCGCGTCACGGCGCTTATCAGTAGATATCGCCAACAGTAGCGACGAGGACTACGACAGCGACGATGAGGATGAGGATGAGGACGAGGACGAGGACGAGGATGAGCCCAACCACAGCGACACCACCAATCCGCCCAGCGAAAAGCCAGTGACTTGGTCCTCGTTGCCGAAGAAGAGCCAGCTCGCTATCTTGACCATTGCTCGGCTGTCGGAGCCGCTTACCCAGACATCGCTGCAGGCCTACATGTTCTACCAGCTCAAGTCCTTCGACCCCTCCCTTCCGGACTCGACCATCTCCACGCAGGCGGGGATTCTCCAGGGCAGTTTTACCGCCGCGCAGTTTCTGACGGCTGTTTGGTGGGGTCGCCTGGCCGACGCGGAGTGGATGGGCAGGAAACGAGTCCTTCTTATTGGGTCGCTCGGAACTTGTATCTCGTGTTTGGGATTCGGGTTTTCCAAGTCGTTTCTTGCTGCGGCGGTGTTTCGCACGCTGGGTGGAGCGCTGAATAGCAATGTTGGTGTCATGAGGACGATGATTGCGGAGATTATTGAGGAGAAGAAGTGAGTTGTTTGATTGCTTGGACTTGGAGGGATTGGTACTGACCCTTGCAGGTATCAATCGCGAGCGTTCCTCTTGTTACCTATGTGCTTCAATGTTGGTGTGATTATTGGTCCGGTTCTTGGTGGCGCATTGGCAGATCCGCTGAATAGCTATCCGCATCTATTCGGTCCTGGTACGCTCTTTGGAGGCCAGAATGGAGTGGAGTGGATGCGGAAATGGCCGTATGCGCTGCCTAACGTGCTCAGTGCGGTCTTTATCTTTGTCTCCCTGGGTACTGTCTTCTTTGGACTGGACGAGGTATGTGCTTGACGATTCTTGGGAGGAGCTGGATGCTGACTGCGGCAGACACATGAGGTTGCACGGTATCGAAGTGACTGGGGCCGGAAGTTGGGACGGAGAATTGGGAGGGCATTCAACCGGCGTCGAGGCCGGTATTACCGCCGCTTGACGGAGCATCCGGACGATGAGTCTCTGTACATCGACGGCAGCGTCGCGAGCAGATCGGCTCCCTCCACGCCACTGCGCTCGCGCGCTCGACCTCGCCACAAGCGTCCCAGCTTCGGACAGATCTGGACGCCTAATGTCCTCCTCACGCTGTTGGCCCAGTTCCTTTTGGCGTTCCACACCAGCGCATTCAATTCGATGACCTTTACGTTCTTGCCGACCCCCCGTGCCCTCGAAGGCAGCCGAGATGGATGGTTCCATTTCGGCGGCGGTCTGGGCCTGCCCTCGTCTCGAGTCGGTATGGCTACTGCTATCATCGGGGTCATCGGGTTGCCACTGCAGATCTTTATCTATCCCTGGGTCCAAGGGTATTTGGGCACGTTGCCGTCTTTCCGGACGTTTTTGCCTTTTTCTTCCTTGGCCTATGCCCTGATGCCGTTCCTCTTGATCGTCCCGCGAGTGGCGTGGATGGTCTGGCCGGCCTTTACCTTTGTCATCGGGCTGCAGGTTATATCCCGGACGTTTGCCCTGCCGGCCGCTGTGATTCTGGTGAGCAATTCGGTATCGGATCCGTCGGTCCTGGGGACCATCAATGGGGTGTCCCAGAGCATCTCGAGTGCGGCGCGCACGCTGGGACCGTTCCTTGGCGGCTGGGGCTTGGGACTGGGACTGGACTACAACTTTGTCGGGGGGGTCTGGTGGGCACTGGCGCTGGAGGCCTTGGTGGGGTGGTTTGTCCTCTACTTCATCTATGAAGGCAAGGGCATCGAGAAGAAGAAGCATGTGGAGGAAATCGAGGAGGCCGACGAGCGCTGTTGAACGGTGGAAGAAAAATGCGCTGTATATAGAGATGCCATGTGGGTTAGTCTGAATTGAGTTGATATGGGATATACGAGGAATGCCTGGTTATGATAGACGGCCTGGTTCATCAAAATTTGATTCATTATGACACACTGCAGATTAACGTGTAGGTATTCGAGACCAGCTCAACCATTACCGGCTACAGAGTGGGAGATCACGCCCCGAGAGCCGGGGTAACAAAGGCCCTGATCGCCTGGACCGCATTCCCATCATGCAGCTTGAGCAGCTCCGTCGCCTTGACTTTGGACAAATCCAATTCCTCCACCTGCAATGCACAGCCACCGCATTAGCATCCATCCATCATCCATCCGCCCATTCATCACGGCACAACAAAAAGGGAGGTATATACATACTAAAAGATTAACATCCTCCGCTGCCACCTTCACAGCCCTCTTCCTACTCACCTCCGCCTCCTTCCTCTGCGCCTCCGCCTCCGCCTCGGCCACCGGTTTCCTGCCCGCGCCGTGCCCCGCCGCAATCTCCAACCGACTCATCGCCTTGCCGAGGGCCTCTTGGTCCGCCGCGGACGGAATCCTGGGAATCGCGTCGGAGGCGATCTGGTTGCTGTGCAGGGCGGAGAGCGCGGCGGCGGCCTTGCGGTCCTCGGCGTTGGCGGGGAGCTGATGATGCTCGGGGGCGTGGGCGTCGGCGTCAGCGTGAGCGGAGGGGATGGAGTCGGACATGATAAGAGGATTTTATCTGCTTCAGTGCTTAGGTTTAAAGGATGTGGTGAGGCTTTGGGCGGTTAATCCATTGATAAGTACTTGATTAATCAATAAGAGATGGGATAGGATGTAGAGGAAGGATGGGCTAAATGACGTCGGACTTCCGCTGGACGAACTAAGCGGCTATCCCCGATACAGCTAGCGCGGGACCGTGACTCAACGGCCAATCCGCGAATAACCGACCGCCAACTCGCTCGTGTCTTTTCTTTTTTCTCGTGGAGTGTTTGCTGTTGTCTCTACTTTTACTTCTTGCTCGTCGGGCTACTCAGCTGCTGCTTCGTTCTTGCATTCTTTGCTACTGTCTCTCGTTCGCGTCGTTGCAACTTGCAGTGGGGATCGCCCCTCCAATCCACAGTTGACAGCTCCTAGCGTCGATCTCTACCCCCCCCCACCATCACTACCACCACCGCCATCAACAATGGATGACTGGTCCCCCAGCTGTGCGTTTCGGGTTCTCCTCCCCCGTCAATTGAGTGCGAATCGCTGACTGGCAGGTAACTAGCCTGGGCTTCGAAGCCCATCAAGCAGGATGTTGTTTACGAGGATGCTCAGGGTGTACAAGCTGCGTTGGGAAAGCTGCAGAAGCTACCGCCTTTGGTTACCACTCAGGAGGTACGCGGTCTTCAGCGCGGAGTCACTGCACATGCTGATTTGGGTGATAGGTGAATAACCTGAAGAAGAGCTTGAAGAATGTGGCGCTTGGGAAGGCGTTTGTTCTTCAGGGAGGTGTGTACTCTCACACTGCCTAGATCTAGATCGCTGGACGATGCTGACGCTGCGAAGGTGACTGCGCGGAGCTGTTCGATTACTGCAATCAGGACATGATAGAAGCCAAGGTTAAACTCCTGCTGCAGATGAGCTTGGTTTTGATTTGGGGTGAGTCTATACATTATTATAACCCATGCATGGTGCTAACCCCAACAGGCGCAAACAAACCCGTCATCCGGATTGCTCGAATTGCAGGACAATTCGCAAAGTCAGTACCACTGCATGACATCTCCTCAACCGCATGCTCATACGAACACAGGCCCCGCTCGAGTCCAATGGAAGTCATTGATGGCGTCGAGATGCCCTCCTTCCGCGGCGACAACATCAACGGCTTCGATGCCACCCCCGAGTCGCGCAAACCAGACCCCTCCCGCCTCGTCTCTGCCTACTTCCACTCCGCCGCAACTCTCAACTACCTCCGCGCCTCCCTCTCCTCCGGTCTGGCCGACTTACACTCCCCTCTTGACTGGGGCCTCGGCCATGTCATCACCCCCTCCATCCGGGAGCAATACACCCGAATCGTCAGCCGCGTCAAGGACGCCCTCCGCTTCATGCAAACCGTCGGCATCGACACCGACCGCGGTGTCGAGACAGTCGAGATCTACACCAGTCACGAGGGTCTCCTCCTCGAATACGAACAGAGCTTAACTCGTCTCCTCCGCAACCCCGACCTCCAACCCCAACCCTCATCCGCCTCCACCTCCACCGCGCCCCCCAAATCCTACTACGCCACCTCCTCCCACTTCCTCTGGATCGGCGACCGCACCCGACAACTCAACGGCGCACACGTCGAATTCTTCCGCGGCATCGCCAACCCCATCGGCATCAAAATCGGCCCCAGCATGACCCCCGAGGAACTCATTCAACTCCTCAACATCGTCAACCCCACCCACGAAATCGGCAAAGTCACCCTCATCTCCCGCTACGGCGCCTCCAAAATCGCCCAATACCTCCCGGGCCACATCGCCGCCGTGCAATCCTCCGGCCACGTCCCCGTCTGGCAATGCGACCCCATGCACGGCAACACCCAGAGCACGCCCTCGGGCGTCAAGACCCGCCACTTCAGCGACATTCTCTCCGAACTCAAACAAGCCCTCGAGATCCATCGCGCCGCGGGCTCCTTCCTCGGCGGCATGCACCTCGAACTCACCGGCGAAGCCGTCACCGAGTGTGTCGGCGGTGCGGGCGGTCTCACCGAGGAGGGTCTGAGTGAGCGATACACTACCTTCTGTGACCCGCGTCTCAACGAGAAACAGGCCCTCGAGCTGGCGTTTTTAGTCGCGGGCTTCTATCGCGAGATTGATGAGCAGTTGATGGATTCGGATTCAAACTGATTCCCTGATTTCTTCTGAAGAATGAGTACTCCGTGCATTGCAGACGGGCATAAAATGACAGTCTAGTCTATGATTACGGAGCGTAGTTCGGAAATCAGGCAGGTACTATTAACTACCTCTTTCGGGTTTCTATTACCTCTACTTGAAAAGAATGATACTTCCTTACTTATTACTTCCCTAGTTTTGATACAGACAATCAGATCATATACCCAAGTCCCGTAATCCCAATCAAAACCTGACACGCTGGTCTTATAAAGCGATAATCTTATTTCCATATCTCTAATATACCAACATATGTAACCGAACCCAACCGGAACCAATAAAACCCATAATCACCACTCTGCAAACAAAGGGGGTATGTAGTATGTAAGAACCAACAAGTAAAGCATCGAAACCAAACTAACAAAAACAGAAGCAATCACCCTGTCCAAGAAACCAAACAAACAAAACCAGCATCCAGACATACCAAAACTATAACAATAAATCCCCAAGAGACAGGAGGAATCTAATCAACAAGAGGACTTCCCACGCGGGGCTTATACGCCATACTCTTCCGACGCGCGGCCTCCAATTTCACGCGCAGCTTTTGATTCGGTTCATGGACCGGCGTAGCGGACGTGAAAAGACCCTGACGGGTTTGTTTAGGAGGGCAGGTTTGTTGGACGAGTTTGGTGCGTTGGGAGAGGTAGAAGGGGGTAGCAGGGGACATGCCGATGGCGTCCATGTCGAAGGTGTAGCCGGGGGTTTTGGGGGTGTGGCAGAAGGCCTGGTCGGCTTCGGTGTGGCCGGCGCCGAATTTGGGGGTGAGTTCGGAGGGGGTGGCGGGGGAGTTGTGCGTGGAGGGGGTGGTGTCGTCGCGGGGGGGTTTGGGTTCTTTGGGGGGGAGGATGGATCGTCGGCGGTTGGTAGAGGCGGCGGTGGCGGTGTCGGCTTTGACGAGGGTGCCGTTGATGTTGCTCAGGGCTCGGGGCTCCATGCTCTTGCGACGCTTGGCACCGCCGCGGGGAATGATGGAGAGGTCGACTTCGTAGTGGGCCTCGTCGAGCCATTTGTTTTCTCGTTCGCAGTCGAGAACCCAGCCGACTCCGACGCACTTGACGAGGCCTCGAGCATGGCGGACCTTCTCTAAGGTGCGCACGCCCCCGTCTTTGTAGATGACATGTGTGATTCCCACTTTGCCTTCCTTGGGCTCGGTTCCCTCTTCGGGGGATACGCTGGCGCGGGGGTTCCAGGACCAGTTCTTGACGCAGCGGGCTCCCATTTGCTGCAGGAGCTCAATGAAAATGCCGCTCGCGTCCTCTCCCTCGGTCGTATGAACATCCACGTAGACAACAGCGCCCTGAAGGGCCAACTTGGGCGCACTGATACTCGTGCGAGGCGTTTTCGACTTCTTCTTAGGACTGGGCGACTGAGGGGGGCGCTTGTGAGATGCAGACGTCGGGACCGGGACGGATTTTGGGGCTGTGTCCGGGGCCTGTGACTGAGCCAGAGATTGTCGCGCCGCGGCGGCTCTTTCCAGTCTGGGGGATTTCCGAGGCGAGAAAGACGGGGCATCTTGCTCGACCGGCACGAATGTCGAAGTGCGGGGTCTCGAAGACCGCCCTGGAGAAGGAGCAGAGAAGGAAAGACCGCGTTTGCGCGAAACCTTCACTGGTGAGATCTCCCCTTCAGGCTTAAGCGGAACTTTGGATACCGTGTGTACGGTTTGCATCTGAGCGATTCTGTTCTTCATTGGCGTGAAAGGCGCAAGAACTGGGATGTTCCCGTTCTCCTTGTCCTCTGCCTGTGGCTCAGAAACAGCCGGTGGCTCAGAGACAGGGATCTGGCTGTCAGGCACAGATGTTACTTTCTCCTGGTTATTCTCTTTGTCATCGTTTGTGCCAACCACAGGCGATTGAACGTCTTCCACAACCTCTGCCATGGGCTGCCTCGGTGACTCAGCCACTGGAGCATCGTCCACAATTTCCTGTGACTGCTCTTGCTGTTCGTCTTCGTAGATCGCAGGCACATCGGTCTCAGTGCTAGCTGGCATAGGCTGGCTCGATGACTCCTCGACCATGTCGGTATCATTCTCCTGCTCTTGCTCCTTGTCTTGGTGAATCTCAGGCACCGCCTCGTTGCTAGCTGGCATGAGCTGGTTCGGTGACTCAACCACCTCAGCATCGTTCTCATCTGCTTGGGGCTCCTGCTCTTGCTGCTCGTCTTCGTGGATCACAGGCACATCGGCTTCGTTGCTAGCTTCCGGCAGGAATTGGCTGGATGTCTCCTCGACCACATCGATAACGTTCTCCTGCTCCTGCTCTTGGTCTTCGTTGGTTTCAGGCGCATCAGCCTCGCTTGTCTCAATAACAGGCGCTTGAACGTCCTCCACGACGACTTCCATGGGCTGCTTCGGTGACTCGACCGCCTCGACATCGTCTGCAACTGATTCAGGCTCCTGCTCCTGCTCCTGCTCTTGCTCCTGCTCTTGCTCCTTGTCTTCGTAAATTTCAGGCACATCAGCCTCGTTGCTAGCTTCCATGGGCGGCTCGGACAATTCAGTTGGAGCTTCATTGGCATCGACCACTTCAGTATCCTCTGCAATTGGCTGTGGCTCCAGCTCCAGCTCGTCGTCTCCGTTGGTTTCAGGCACCTCAGCCTCGTTGGTGGGTTCTGACTCAACCGATGCAGACGAGCTTTGCGCATGGCTGGAGACGTCAGGATACGACACCTCAGAGGCACAAGCGACGTTGCTGGATCGCCTGCTGCGTCCCACAGAAAAGACACCCCTTCGAGGGCGCTTCGGATGGGCTTTCGCAGGACTGCTAGCATTCCATTGGCGATATTGTTGTGCCAGTGGTGCGAACCGAGGGGCGTTTTCGAGGACTAGTCTTCGAGTAGACCTGCGGCGAGGTGTCGCTTGTGCGTGCTCGACAAACGGGTCGGATAAGTTGACATTGTCCTGCAGCTCATTCTGGCTGTCGGCTGCAGCTGGTGCATATAGATTCAGAGGAACAGGCCTCACGTTGTGTCGGACAGGTGACTCAATAAAGCGAACCGGAGAGAGAACGCGTCTGGTGTAGTACATTTGGCGAGTCGGACTGAAAGAACCCTCTGGCTCTTCAACCTCATACGGGAGGATGGGCTGGGGGTTAGGTGGAATTTGCTCAGTCGCTTCGAAACCCACAAGCGTAGGCTCACTCTCATCGAAAGGGTAGTGCTCGCTCACATCATCGTCAAAGTTGTCAAAAGCATCTGCAGCGTTTTCGTCACCAGCCTCCAGCATGTCGGGGTCATCCTCCGTTTCCGAGGCATCATAGTCATCCTCGACAGGCTCGGGGGCGGCGTCTTCGACAAAGACATCTTCAAGACCTTCAACCAAGCTGTGTCTTAACCCTGGGTTTTGTACATTCTTGATCTCCGGTTCGTCCACTTCAGATCCCATGTCCTCTTGTGCCTCCTCATCAGGCTGTTCATCAGCGCTTTCGGAGCTTGCGACCGAAGCCTCGTCTCCAGCTTCGTGTACCTCGGCATGTTCCTCTCGCCCAAGATCGATGGGCTGTTCCACGGAGGTATTCTCAAGTTCCTCTGTGCTCTCTCTATCGTCAGTAATGGAAGGCTCGGAAGCAGGCTCTGCAATGGTTTCGGTTTGATCGACTGGCAGTTCCTCGACATTCTGTTCAACCTCAGTTTCCTCAGAGACGCCTTGGTCCTCAGCTGTCGATTGAACTTGCTTAGGTTCAGGTTCTTCAACAGGCTCTGCAATAGGTTCTCCAGCAGGCTCAGCGATAGGTTCTGCGACGGGCTCCTCGATAGGATCTGCGGCTGCTTCATCGACCAACTCCTCCTCGGACTCCACGGGGTGCTCTAGCTCCTTCACAGGCTCTGCTATGGGCGCTTCAATAGGCTCTTCCATGGGAACATCAATAGGGTCATAGTTGGGCACCACAGCAGGGTTTCCAGCAGACTCCTCCATGGGTTCTTGGATGAAATCGTCCATAGTTTCCTGAGTGGGTTGTTGCACAGCGTCCTTTATAAGTTCCTCTGTAGGCTCTTCCACTGGTTCCTCCATGGGCGCATCGATAGGTTCCTGGACAGTCTCCACATGCTCCGCGACGATATCATCCATGAGCTCCTCGACAGGATCTGCCATGGGTGTAGGCTCCTCTAGAGACTCCAGGGGGTTTTCGGGGTCTTCCGTGGGATGTTCGGAACTTTCCAGGGGGTCTTCAATAGCCTCCACGGGTTCTTCCGCACCTCGATCAGTGTGCCCGTCACCTTCAGAGTGTTCAGACTGTACGGCAACATCCTCAGCCACATTGTCCTCCTGTTCATACTCGATCGTCTCTTCCCGATCGAGCTCTTCGTGTAGAGTATCCTCTTCCTCAAACTCTGTAACGGCTGGAGGCTGAGCATGAATCTCTTTTGTTGTGTCCAGTGCATCGACTTCCTCCGAAGCTGCGTCATCGACCTGTTCATCTTCGCTTTCGACCTCGTCGCGTCTCTCAAAGTCGGCCATTCTCAGCGGCGATTCTTCGACATCAGGCGTAGCAGGTGCATCGACGTTCACATCGTTTTCAGCAGTAGGGCGCTCTTCTATAGTGCTTCGACTAGCGAACAAAGAGCTCTTGAAAGGCGAAGCAACCCTCTTTGCCGGGCTTTGAAGCAATGAAACGCTATGCCTCATTGGGGTCGATGTGGATTCAGCATGTGCCTGAGACATGAATGACGCTCCAAATAGTCCCTTTCTAGGGGACGATTTCAGGGGAGAGTTGTGTCCGGGGGTGAAGTTGGGCTGCGACAAGGACTTGCCGCCGTCCAGGAAGATACTACCACGCTTAGGGGTCTCCAAGTGTGCCTTCTTTGGCGACAGCTTGAGCGGGGAATTGTGCGTGGGTGAGAGATGAGGCTGCGACAACTGCCTGGAGTCCTCACGGAGAGCAAAGCCACCGCGTTTGGGCGTCTCCCTCATCGTGAAATTGAACGGTGACGGGGGCGGTCTGCGCGCCGGGCTGGCCATGAGGAGCGTATCGTTAAAGTCAATCGATCGTCGAGGGCCAGGCAGAGGCTCGCCATTTTCGTCGAGAGATTTCCGGAACTTCCCAGTAAGGTTGATCTTCTTCACCGGTGAATTGAGGCCGGTCTTTTCTGATCCGTGTTTCTGAGGTGAGTCGACAACAAACTTGATCTGATCCTTGTCGCCGTTCAACTCGTCCTCCTCGCTATCCGAGTTGGCGTACGAAGACAACGCCTTGGCGACCTGAGTAGCCTTCTTCGGCGAAAGCGGCTTCGGACCATCCTTCTTCGCCGCGGGCTTACGGCCTCTCGTCGCAGCAGGCTTGCGCACCGGCTTGGACGCAAGGCCTGCCTGCCGTCCCGGCCCAACCGTTCCCCGTCTCCGTCCAGCAACCGGAGGCGACGGTTCGCTCAGTTCCTCCTCAGCCGAGTCCGTCGGATCCTGAAACGTAACCTTCTTTTTCTTCGCCGGTCCACGCAGCAGATTCGACCTGGCCGTCGAAGTCGTCGAGCCCGTAGCAATATAAACCCGCCTCGGCGCATCCTGCGACGACGAGAAATCCAAATCCGTAAACCCCTTCGCATTCAACCTCGTATTCTCCTTCACCGGATCAACCGGCTTCGCCGCCTTCGTCGCCGCCGACCCCTTCGGCCTTCCTCTCGCCTTGGGAGCAGCCTCGGTCTTCGCAGGCGTCGATACCGGCTTCACCCTCGGTCTCCCCGCGCGCTTCTTCGGCACGTCCGACTGAGCCAGCTCATCATCATTATCACTCTCGGAATCGACCTTCGTCGCGACCGTAGGCTTCCTACCCCGTCCTGTCGTGCTCGTCGCAGCTTTCGTCGCGGTTCTCCCTCTGGATTTCCCCGTCGTCGTTGTCGTGGTAATTATCTTCATCTTTTCCTTCTCATCCACCATCCCAATCTCATCATCCGTCGACTCATCCGACTCATTCTCATCCACGGGTCTGCTTGTCGCCGCTGATGATGATGTAACCCGCGCTCCTTTTTTCCTTGCTTCAGTTGCAGAACTCGGTGCTTTGGCTTTCGTGGTCTTCGGCGCGGGTTTCGTAGATGTTGATGTTGTGGATCCTTTGGTTCGGGTGCGCGTCGTCCGCTTAGGTGGGGATTGTGGGATGATAGCTGCGCGAGCCATGATGTGCGGTTGCTAATTATGATTATTATCCCGGGCAATGAGGGTGGGATAGGATGGATGGTGCGAGTCGGCGTTGTTGATATGTCCCGCTTTTGTTGTGATTCGGGTGTTAGCGGTGGGCGGGAATTTAGTCGTAGTCGGTGGTTGCCGTGCTCATTGTGTGTTCACTAGTGGGTTAAGTGAACGGTGACAGTTGCTGGTTTCTAGCCCAGATGCTCATGCAGGGTCGAAGGGGGGGTATAGCTGGCTGGGTGGGTTGTCGTCGCGTCGGAGGTTGGATTGGAGGGAGCGGAAGAGGCCGACGCCTAAGGCTGGGCTCGGCTGTTTGTGGCGGCTTGCTTATTTGGGCGATCGGGTGGCGGTTGTCCTGGTGACGGGGGACGGGGCACGTGAGGGGGTGGATGGAGTCGTGGACGTCACTTGGACTTTAAATATATTTTACTATGTATTATTCAATGCTGAAGATTTATGAATTGATGAGGAGTGCTAACAGATAGTATCTCATGTGCTCATTCATATGGAATCCTACATAACCATACAGACATTATACAGCAATATTTTACAACAGGGCAGAAACAGTCACGGCAGCGGCAAGCACACTCGCAAGAACAGTGGGGAGTACACCATAGCCCCCATTATCATAGAGAGTCGTCGGCTCATAGGTCTCTGGGGTGGCAGTATTAGTTGTCCCGTTCCAGCAATATCTCTGGAAACACTGGGTGCAGAGATCCGGTACCTCGGTGTTGGTACGTTCGAAGGACCGACTGAGAATGGCACAGCCCACGCAGGCTGACCAGTCACTATCGCGACTGCCGTTGCCCATCGTCGCCACATTATATCCGTTGAGGATGATGCTGTCTCTCTCGGACTCGGGGTATCTGGGATCAAACGTAGACACGTTGGAGTAAGCCACGTACGGGAAGTTGGGGATGTAAACAATCAGGGGTGCAGTTCCGGTGGTGTTGGACGCGTCGCATCCAAAAAATGTGGGTCGCGTGTTGAGGCCTTCGTTGACGAAGGTGTTTTGGTCGGGGATAACGGGGAATGCGGTCCCATTGGCGATTCCAGTCGTGTTTTGGCTGCGCTCGTACGTCGCGACCAAGGAGGTGCCGTTCGGCCAGTTGTAGGTGGTGTCAGCGGAGGAATCTATCGCGAAGATGACATCCACGTGGCGCTCTGGCTGGATCAGCGGGTGCAGAGGGATGTTCTGGAGGTCCTCTCCGCCGTCCACAAGGTCCAGTTCTGTCTCATCGGCAGATGGTGATGTGGAATTCGCCCAGAGGTAGAAGGGATTCGGCGCGTAGACTGCAATATCTTCGTCGTCCTCTCCGATCTCTTCCAGGATATCCGTGAATGCATTCTTTAGGAAGTCAGGAAGGCTGGTGGAGTTGATCTGTAAGAGGAACTGGTTGAACAATGATGATGATGTCCCCATGACAAACCCGGCATTGTCGAAGCCTCGAACGCAGCTCTCGTTGCTCGGAAGAGACCCTGCCACAAACCGGGACCCCAGATACTGGAGGGGAACGAAGCCGTACACGGTCGGGTCAAAGGTGCCAAATTCCCAGGGATTGAACTCGTAAACCGTGGCGTTGCTGCTGACCAGCAGCTCATCGGGGTATCGACCATCTGCAACCAGCACAGGCATCGGCATATCTGCCTGCTGGAATGAGTCGGTCAGCGCAATGGATGACCAGGTGTAGTCGATGCCGCCTGCAGAAGCGTTGATGAGCTGGTATGAAAGAGCACGGCCCCTGGTATATAGTTAGCAATGCTGAAGCGAATAGAAACTTGGGTCATACCAGTAATCCGTAATAGACGTCTTATACCCTGCATCTTCCTTGCCAGACACGGCGTCATAGATGTCCTTGTAGTAGTTTGCAGAGTCCACGATCTGAATGCTATCTCCCTCGGGGCCTTCAAAGATAGAGTTCTGGAACTGCCAAACACCCCCCTCCTCTGGGGTCTGAAGCGACGAGACGGTGGAGAAGTTGTTCATATAAATGGATCCCACTAGCCATCCCCCACCGCTCAGGCCAGCCAGGTATGTTGCCGATTGCAACAGCCCACCCAACTGGCCGCTGTTGGTGGAATTCTCCGTACGGCTATCGAAAGCCTTGATAGCTCCAGCTCCATTCATCAGCGCCCGATACCCTCCACCGGAGAAGGCAATGCCGATATTAGGAAGATTCGACGTGTTGCTAGAAACGCGGTCGAGGTATTCAACCGCATCGAAGTTTGTGATGTTGACATGTCCAAAAAAGTCCCTCATCGCCGACAGGGTCTTGTTCCGCCGGGTGTCGAGCCATGACGACTCGTTCGACGAGAGCGTCGTCGCACTACGCACTGTCGGACGACTTGCGGAACAGGTAACCGTAGATGGGGTGTAACCATCAGGCGCATTGGGTAACGCGCGCTGCGTCAAGTGTGTCTTGGGTGCGCTGTTGACGCCGATATCTATGCCTATTCACCATGTGGTCAGGATCAGGTCGGAAGCTGCGGAAGACAGCAATGGAATGTGATTAGCACTGATGACTGACCTGACAACAGACCTGCAAAAGCAAGCACCGCTGTTAGGAACTCCATATTAGTGGTGTTATACGCTGCTCTTGCTACTAGAAGGCATAGTTCTCTAAGGAAGAAAAATTTCAGCCATCACGGGGGAGGGGTCACTTTTCTTTTGAACGCGACTACGGAAAGGCTGTTGCTTAGCCAAGGTCTTGGATCGACAAAGACAGGGAGGCTAAGCGACTGGACAATGCTGGGGCTGATCATAGTGACCTCGCCGGGCGGCCTGAAGAGCCATCAGCATCGATAGCTGATTGGTAGGCTGGAAGAAGACAGCATTGTGATGCAGCACATGGTTGGTGATGGTGGAGAGGCTGGGTTGGGCGTCCAGTCCGCAGCTGAATTGAACCATCGTGGAGGCACTAGGAGGATTTAAGTTAGCCAGCATCATTCGTGGTTCGATCTCGGGACAACTCGATTACCATTGGATTCATGAGCGGGCCAGACCAGCTGATGAGTTCCAATCCGAGAAGCAGTTTGCTTGGAATGGATGTTTGCGTGTAGTGGAGAGCGTCGTGCCAGGCAGCTGTCAGGAAGAACCCTGGAGACCCTCCGATCGGTGGGGCCGCTGGATGCCGGGATCCACGGGCTGGGTAACTCTCCCGTCAATTCACGTCAGCTCGTATTGCCCTCGCTCGTGTTTGCTTCTGCTTCTGCCTTGCGCGTTGCGTAGGCATCCGGTCAGCCATGGCTCGCTGCGGACGGAGCGGGGATCAACTCCCGGCCTGAGGAATCCACAGTCATCTTAGAACCACTCGGCATGCCCGATCGACTAATAGGATAGCAAACATCTAACTATATTCAGATGACATTTACTCAGCTACCTCCTAATAACTATCCATAGATATTTACTCACACAACCGATACATCACATCCGTCCTCAATGTATACTTCACCCCCCTAACCACCGGATCCCCCCCATGCAACAAATCCCTCTGCTGAAAGACCAACACGGAGCCCATCTTCGGAAACACCCTCAAATGCCTCTCTTTCTCCTCATACCTCGGCAAAAAGCTCGTCGCACCCCCCAACAACTCCCCCTGTACATCCAAATTCCCCTTCCCACCCCCCTCCACCTCCAACCTCTTCATCTCCCTCCCCAACACCTTCAAATCCTGCTCCCCACCCCCATTCAAATAAACCTGCACGGTATAATAACTCCTCTCCTTCCCATCCGGGGTCACATAATTTCCATCCCAATGCGGACGAAAATACTCCCCGCCTTCGTATCTCAGGAATCGTAATCGTTCATTCAGCCGTGTCAATTCGAACGTCTTATTCCGTCCCGCGAGGCCCGTCACCCGCGGTTGATTGTCAATTTTTTCAATGCCGAGTTGTTGGAGGAAGGGGAGGATCCGGGTGAGAATTCGCTCGGCGATGAGGGAGTCGTCATAGATGATGCGGCCGCAGTTCCGGGTGTCGGTTGCGAGGGCTTGTTTGCCGTTGCCGATGTTGATGAGGGCGCGGTCCCAGATGGGGTTTGCGGTGGGGGTGGACGGGGGGATGGTGCTGCGTTCGGCGAGGTGGATGAGTTGGGCGCATTCGGTCTCGGTGAAGGCGTTGTCGATGATTGCGGCGCAGAGGTTCTTGTATTCTGGGAGTGGGGGGGAGGAGTGTTCGAAGTCGATGGGGTGGAGGTGCGCGGTGGGTGGGGGTGGGGTGGTGAGGAAGTTGGTGATGGGGATGGTCATGGTGGAGGGAGGGAGTGGTATGTATTGTGTGTGGTGTGCTGGGTGTTTTTGCTTGGGGGGGGTGTACGGTGTATTTGAATCCATGAGGAAGAGGCTGAAGAATGGCTGTTGGACCCACTGCTGCGCAAGGCTGAGGCTGTGAAGATATTAATTAACTAGTAAGTAGTAGTCAGGCCACAACGTGTTGGCTGGGTACGAATCATTCAGCACTAGGACGGGAAAGGATCCTACACAGCCGCGTGAGTCATACGAATCTACAGAATCAAGGTATGGGAAGGAATATAGCGGGTATCATTAATATTCACTAAACGGTGAGTCCAGTCATTTAGTATAGCACTGCCTCCTCTCCATATCTGCTCAGAGATCCCAATATTAGGATTTGAATCTTCTTCATTTGCTACCCGTTTTGCCTCTGCGGTAGGCTTCTAGTCTTATTCTCTTGCCTACTTACGCCAACTGCATGTGGTGCTTAAAAAGATGCCTGTCCAGGCTTTGGCGTGTTTGAAGATATGGTCCAGAAGCAGATGGGTTCCCAGTCCATATCATCACTGCTTGGGTTCTTCTTGGTCGTACCCCCGGCAGCCGCCCCAGTCTTATTTGCTTCGAGTCCGTGTCCTTTCCAATCATTTCGCGGCGAACTTGTCATTCAGCGCGTGATAGAGCAGGTATATACGGCGAGTGCATTCCAGGTTTTCGCCTGCTTTGATCAGGAACATATTCCCCGATTACTGAATCGACTGATCAGTTGCCTTACTTGAAGATGGATAGTCTGTTGACTGCCTTCTTTCTGGCAGGTCCTTGTTAATCTAATTGAGGTAGTTGATCAAGGTCTTGTGCCACACATGGCCTCAATCCACTGGTTTATTTTCTCTGCCTCACCGTCGGGGAGTCATCCAAGCCTGGCCGCTATCGATTACGATCAACCGTTGGACCTTCGCCAGGATGATGTTTAGCCATCCCGAGACTCGGTTCTTCTTAACCATAAAAGATGGTGGCAATGCGTAGCTTAGGCTCCTTGGTGTTCGTTCAAGATCATGTTGGTAGAGATGTCTGGCTAGAACGGTCCATTTTGTTGCTAAATCTTCCAAAAAGAAATAGAAGGCCAAACATATTGGCATACCTCCTCGAGACGCTCCGAGATAGCTTGGCATAATGGTTGGCGCCGTCGTTGTTGGCCTCGTAGCTCTTCCAGAAAGTCCCACGCCATTGATCACGAGAACAGATTGTAATGAGTCCATCCAGGTGTTGATGTTCGATCCTTCGTGCCCCGTGTCTTCTTTCGAGAACCGGGCCATGGTCAGTGTCCATCACTTCCGTCTCTTCTGTGAGTTTGCCCAGGCACAAGGAGTGATCAGGGACGACTTTGCAGAGACCCAGGTACTTGGCCTCCCTGGAGAGATCTTTACCCGGAAGGCCAATGTGGTGTACTTTTGAGGGATGGGACCACCCACCAACATGAGGATCTATGCCAGGTCCTGATACTGTATCCACCCAACGAATCCAACGGGGATTGAAGGGTCGAAAGACACCTTGTGAATGATAGCATAAACTGAGTAGTTTGTGCAGGGTGGTGCATTTCATGCCCCTGTTTGTCATGTCTTCTGTTCCTTGAGAATTCTCTGCGAGTGTGCGTAGTACGAGGTCCCCGCGTGAATAGCTGCTCCACTCCAAACCTTGTTAGAGACTTGGGGCTTCTGGCGTTGCTATATTTTGAGCGAAAAGCAAATACGATACATCTTCGTTCACTGCCTCATCATCAGGTAATCCTTGTTTCGTTCCCTTCTATCGCACGACATCAAATCCGTCAATCGGTTTAGACCTCGGAATTGGAGAATATAGCCCAAGACCGCCTGGGTCTTGTAATAGCGCTTGACAAGGCTCTTGTGTCTGATAATCATCTTACCTTTGTCGCATCTATGCTATTCCAAGCGACAAGGTTTCCTCCTTTGTGGCGCCCCTATCAATAGTAGGCAGGGTTTCCCTCCTTCGGCATGTCTTCGGATTTCTTGAACACTTTGAAGTCGGTGTGGAGCGCACTCCTCATAGGCCGCAAGAGATACCGAGCTCCTCGCTATAACTGACATGACTCTTGGTGTTTAGGCTGCTCCCGTCGCTTGGGCGACAAGAATTAGCCTCTTCTTCTTCCAACCGTATCCTCAAGTCTGGCTTCGGTTCGCACATGGAATTCAGTACATATGCTTCTACCTCACAGAGCTTCTCTATAACGAGGTCTCTCCTAATAATGCTCGTCAAAGCGTGGCTTCCTTTTCGCTGATATCGTCTTCAGCCAGGACATGTAGTCGGCAATTAGCGCTGGGCTCTCGTGGGGTTAGCTTTCGTGACTTTCTTATCGCGTAGCCCCTCCTTATATTGCCCCTCAAAACAGGCTTCCTCTTTTCGTAGTCGTCAGGTAAAGTTCCAGTCTGAGTGCGGAGATCGGCTTCTTATTGCCCCTTGGTCCGCACATGCAAGAGCTAGGAAGCGTTGTGATCCCAGGGTACAGGAATGGTTACATGCTCCCTTCCCCGTCCACCTCGAGGTGGATCAGTCGGCCCACGATAAAGATGTTTCGTGTCGGCATCGACTTAGAGATTCAATCTCAGCGCGGAGTATTTTGGCTTCACCAATTCGATGGACCGGGTCCCACCACCCGCATTCTTTGGGCCTTCTTTTGGACCTTGACAAGATCGGTGCATAGACACGGTCTCGAGGCTGAGTTATCCCACCACTTATCCCGGTTCAAGAGATCTTAGTCCACACAAAATCCCATACAGTGCTGGGATTCCAACATACATGAACGAATCCATGCGCGTCTCTCCGTCTTTCTCGATATCTTTGAGCCGAGTGCAGATTTGCGGTCGCTTGTTCTCACCATTATGCTCGTCCCGCCAATTTTCTAATTCGACGAACCCGCATCATCTGTGAAGCTCGTTTCAGCGGCAGTAATTAGGTTCCAAATTTCGGGCCCGAAGCATTGCCTCTTGAAGCAGAGCCTGTTCTCCCTATACTTGCCATGTCTTCAGTGATAACCGAGTTCGTTTGTCGGGAAGCTAAAGACATTCTTGGTAACAGACTTTGGTTTTGCAAGCTTAGATACGTTTATCAGCAAGACGGTGTTGGACTTTTGCGTGGCATGATAAAATCCATGGATCTTGTCCGTCGTCTCCCGTCAATCCCAAAATCAGGAGCTATACTTGTGAGGTTCAAGCCTTTGGTAAGGATGACAATTGAGCGGACTTGTATTAACGGCTGGTCGGGGTATGTCTTCTTCCGAGAGGATGCCTTAAAAGCTTAGAAGGCATCAGCAGCATGTAACGCATCTTGTAATCCCTTGTGTGTCGGAATAACCCAAAAATTGACTCGTGATGACTGTTGAGACTTCTTCACGATGCCTGCCCCTCGGATCTAGTACCCCACGCCGTAAATCCCTCGGCCAGGACAAGGTACTGAGCTAGAGCGCTGATCAATAAGTACACAGGAGAGGCAGGTCGTTGGAACTGTCTTGACTGTGCTCGTATATGGTTATTTGGCCTTGAATAGTCTCATACCCGAGCTATTCACCCGGAAAACCCATGGAAATCAAGCTGCCGGGTTCGAGATTATATAAATCGTAGGCGCGTGATATGACAATGCTGGCTTCGGTAAAAGACCACAGGGAAAGAGACCCACGGTAAAGGCTACTTATGCCGCAGATACTCAAAGTAGGTTGATGTCCCCTTGTCATACAACCATGTGAGGAACTATTCCTCGTCACAGCGGAGCCCTATGGCTCGATATATAGGGAGGAAGAAAGAAAGCGACAGGAAATGGGAATATGCGCCTTATATAACGCTCGATACAGTGCACTCTGGGACTTCGTTTAGAGGGATGTCGACAATTGCCTTTCATAGGCTGGCTTTTCCCGTACATAAGATGCAGTCAGTCCGGCTACAAGGATATGGATGAATTAAGAACCGGAGCAGTCCGGTGGATGTTCCGGAGACATAGGCTGGAGACGATAAAAGGCAAAGCTTCGAGGAGATTGGCATTCTCCTCTGCGGTTTGTTCCATATTGACTACTGACGAATGAACATTACTGTGGATTTCAATGAATGCCCTGAAGGTCACTTTGATTAGTAGATTGTGAAGGAACATCGCTGGCTGTTGCTGGCTATCGTGAACTTGCTGTAGGCCATCTAGAAGGTTCTGCACTGCAAGACTCAGCAGAGGCGTCCAGGGGCAGGTGAATCCGTAATGCAATTGATGCCTTGCTAGGGAGACATAAACACACCTGGACAAGTATTGCATGGGAGATACGACGAGTCGCATACAGTACCTCGAGTGGACACCAGTTGGCGGGATGCCGGCTTCACAGGGATGTCGCAGGCATGTGACAGCACCAGATCCGGCGCTTCCAGCCAGCTTGGGCAGAGAAGCATGGTGTCCCTGACGATCGGAGGGACGCGACCGGTCTCGACTGGCCGGAGTATGCATGTGGAATATTCTAGCAGTTCAGTCTGTTTATTTTAATGATGGTATCAACCGGAGCGGGGTAGCTGTGATACTCCGTACAGAGACTTCAGGGTCATCATGAACAGCCCCAGAGGTGAAGTAGAAGCAATGGATGATAGCGAAATCGAGGACACGTCAGCCATGCCGGAGTTCAGTCGGAATCAAGGCCTCCCTAAGGCCGTGGATGAGGGAAAGCAGGTTGGAAGGAAATAAGCTACGCGCCGGGGAGCAATTTCTGGCTGGTCACACGCCCGCGGAGGCCCCAATGCAGTTAGGCTGGCCAGGGGCAGTCTGGAACCCGGGGATCTCGAAGCCATCATGGATGTCCAGTCCACTGCCGACTTTCCCGCATTTCGGTCCTCGCTCTGTTGACCGACTCGATCGGTGGCTGGAAGGAGCTTGCATCTTCAGAACTCCACACAGTACTCAAACCGAGACCTGACGGTGTAGAAGATAGAGTACCATTTCGGTGCGGACTCGGATATTACGGTTCGACAAGGCAAGGCTACATACCCGATGGGCGCGGTAATCATGACTTGTTCAGCTTGTCTTGTGCTGAAGATAGGAAAGGCCAGCGATAGCACGATGGTACGTGGAGATGGAATCCGAACCCATGGACTATTCGCATTCGCCGGAAGCGACATTATTGGCTAGCTTAAGCTTCAATATCAATAAACAAAATTAGAATGCTCACGGGACCAGCTGCAGCCGCCGATGGATGCAGGCGCCCTGGCCAGAATTCCGGGGCCGGGTGCCCAATATTTCAGGCAGGAAAGCCACCGCAACCCGGGAGGCCCAGAAGGGTAAAGGGTGATACCTCCCACGGAATGGATGATGGGTGACTTCTTTCCAACAGGAAAACTATGATGGTCACACGGCAACCCACGGATCTGCCTCGATAGCCGATTACACTGTTCTACATTTGGAGTTGGGCCACAACAGCATAAGGAACAAAAGCAGGGGCCGAGTACGGAGTCTAGCCATACCTCAAATGGTGGTAATTGTTCTTCCCCGGCCCTGAGCATCTGGAAGCAAGGTATGGTGCCTGTTTCAATAGAACCGGGGTTGTAAACACCGAATTTCAAATCAAACTCCGGCTCATCACATAGTGGTCGTGATTATACTCCGTAGGCGTGATCGTACCCGAGGCGTGATGCTGGATGTGTTACAATATGGGATAATTGTCAATTGCACGGTATGGCCTGCGACAGGGCTTGAGCTGGTATAGAAATCCGAAGCATCACAACCCAAGGTACAGAGAAACTGGCCAATAGGGGGAATTGGACTTGATAAGCTTGCTGTGTGTAGCGGTACACAGGACCACGCTGCACAAATGATCGAGTACCCTGTCAGTATCCTGTTCATCCCTAGAAAGTGTGTCGCCAAGGCGCATGAGGATGATCTCCGGGACGCGTGACCGGCATCGAATGTTCGACGGATGGATTGTGTGGCTTCCCGACTGTCATGATGGATGGTGGTTCTGCCATCCGCTCTGGGGAGCTTCTTCCGCCCGCCGAGCCCACTTTGCCCCATTCCGGGGTTGCTCTTTTGGGCAACCCGAGCCCCCCACGGGGAGTGGCCAACTTGTTGCTGTTCTCGTCGGTACCGCAGCAACTTCGTCGGCTGGACTCACGATGCCCTCATGCCGTATCGTTACTTCATGATGATTCAACTTTGTCATCCGTGCACATGTACCCTATTGGCTATGCCTTGCCCGCTGGTCTTCTCCTTCATTTACGTGCGGGGAAACTGAATGTCTTCTTGTCTATGTCATAATGAAAGGCAACCTTGAGAATTGTGTATCTAGCTATCTATATCGCATCGAGGATGTCCGGGATGAACAGAAGCCTACTCCGCAGGTTGCTGGGGATGCAGGCTTGCCACGAACGAAGCCGAATGACCAGCTGGTGGAACCTGACGGTCTTCTCTATCCCAATCCGCCCACGCATTCCCCGGGTCTGGACCGCATCCACCTCTCCCTCGCAGCTATTCTTTCTTGGGTGCTCGTACCAGTTTCCGGTGCTCACATGAGCCCTCAGGATTTGTTGGGCCATCAGTCCCCCTGAGGAACCCATGGCATCGTGACATATTTAAGGGCTTGCCCATCGTGAGCTTTTGCCATCATCGAGTCACTCTGCCTGCTCTCACTTGCTTCTACAACTGACTTCATTACTTTCTCCACACTCAAGACCTCATCTCATCCTTCCAACTCTGACTATCACAATGTCTGTTTCCTTTGAGACTACCGATATTGCGCCCGCACCTGTCCCTGTTGTACAGGATGGCCCTTGTCTCGGCTCCAAGTCCAGGATGCCCGAGTTCAGCCTGGCTGGAAAGGTTGTCTGTGTCTCCGGAGCTGCGCGCGGCCTGGGTCTGACCCAAGCGGAAGCTATTCTGGAGGCCGGTGCCAAGGTGTACGCTCTTGACCGTCTGGAGGAGCCCGTGAGTGTCCTGAAGCAAACCTTACAGTACCTTCTGACACGCGTCACTTCTAGTCCCCCGAGTTTTACGTGATCCAGCAGCGCGCATTGGAGGAACTGGGCACCGAACTTCACTACCGTCGCATCGACGTGCGCGACACGGAACTGTTGAACACCGCGATTGAAGCCATTGCCAATACTGAAGGTCGGCTGGATGGCCTGGTGGCAGCGGCCGGCATCCAACAAGAGACCCCCGCGCTGGAATACACGGCTCGAGACTCCAACACTATGTTCGAGGTGAATGTCACGGGGGTGTTTATGACCGCCCAGGCAGTTGCCAAGCAAATGATTCGCTTCGGGAATGGAGGCAGCATCGCACTAATCGCCAGCATGAGTGGCACCGTTGCCAATCGGGTATGTCTGTTACTAGCATTTTGGCCTCGCTTTGACTTCCGTCTTGTACAACGACTGACTCATCGTGCAGGGTCTCATCTGCCCCGCATACAACGCCAGTAAGGCTGCGGTGCTCCAGCTGGGTCGCAACCTTGCCATGGAGTGGGGACAGTACAACATCCGGGTCAACACCATCTCGCCGGGCTACATTGTGACCGCCATGGTTGAGCAGCTGTTCGTGCAGTACCCCGAGCGCCGGGACGAGTGGCCCAAGCAGAACATGCTTGGCCGGTTGTCGACCCCCAATGAATACCGTGGCGCGGCGGTGTTCCTGCTCAGCGACGCCAGCAGCTTTATGACTGGTAGCGACCTTCGCATGGACGGTGGCCACGCGGCGTGGTAATTCCATTCTGCACTTGATTCGGCCACTCCGGGTATGGCATTACATCATCCTCTGAATCTTATCACTGCACCTGATTATCGCATGGCGTTGGGAGCGAGCATCATCTTACTGGATTATCATGACGTCTGCCACTGGGGCGAATTTTCTAGCGTTGGTGTCTGGATGATTGGGTTGACACCTAGAGCTACTACTGTATTTAGTACCTTCCTACATATATCTCTTCCAACCTAATCACCATACCCTCAGTGCTACCACAAACATACCCCACCCCCCATTCCCACAACCAATAGCCTCCTCGTCTCTAAACAAAGTTACCTAAGTGTACCACTTAGCTTTGCAGATCGGACATCCCCAGCCACGTCGGATCACACATGACCCACAGACATCATCACCCTTCCCCACAACTCCTTCTACACTAGCAAACTCCATCCCTACATACTCCGTACTCACTAAACCAATGAATAATGCTCTTACTACTCCGTATTAAGTCTAAGAATAATCAAATCCAACCCGCCAAGCCCACCATCCGGGGAAATCAATCTACCCCACTTAATCGCCGCGATGGCCGATCAACCCCGCATTCATCAACGGTGCTGAACCAGGGTCGGGGTGGGACGGAGGTGACATCGAGGGTGGGCTTTTCCGTGGGTGCGGAAAGTCAAACAATATCATCAGGATACGTTAACTTCAAGTTAGTATGTATGTAGATGAGGTGCCCCCGGAGATAATTGATTAGGAGTTGTGGTAGTGGGTTTGTGTTCGCTGATGGGTAGAATAACCTTCTGAAAGAGTTTCTATTGTAGATAGATGGAATAGAGGGAATGGTAGGGTAAGACGGAGAGATTCACCATCTAGGTACAGTGTTCATTCGTGCAGCTCTTACCAACTGAGACTACGGCAACCAATTACCTAGACATAACTATAGTACACTACGGAATAAGTATGTAGTATCCGCTGACTACAATCCGGAATCAAGTGACCTTAATACCATAGACTACCGATCATCTGAAAATCATACTCCAATAATCATCCCATTCATGATTCATGTAAACCAGTAATCCCGATCCCAACCGAGCATCCATCCCATCCCATCTCACCTAAGACAAAACCCCAACATACATACGCAAATGAGATGAAGGTATACCCCACAAAATAAACATCCAGCCCTACCACGTGAACCACAACCCCAATCCTAGATCTAATGTAATCGAATAATATCCCATATCTAGGGTATGAAACGAGCTCCTTGCATGAGGTACGGACCACGAGGCGAGGCGAGACGGGTATCTGGATTAGGCATCAATATGGGTCGACTCAGCTGGGCAGATTTATCACGAGATTTACGTCCGATCTTGTATGTGGGTAATATTTGGTTTGGGTTGGTGGGTTCGGCATGGGGATCTGGCTTACTTATGGCCAGTTCTTGGGATAGGCTGGCTACTGGGTGTGGAATAAGTGAGAATGTATCCCGTGATAGATGCTGTTTTCAGGTATAGATGGTATGTATAAGACCTAACTAGGTAAAATATATTCCACGTTGGACTTTTTCGAACGTCTGAGTAATATGGAGGTCTTTAATGACCTGTGGTTGTGATGCAGCCACAGTCCACCCTGGAATTTTTCATGTGTATGATAACTTCGTAGGCAACTAGCTGATTAGTTACCTCTTATTGTGAAAACTTAGTAGTCGCTTTTGCTGCGTTATGGACTTCTTCTTGTATGTGTGAGCCTTTTTGCGCGGCTTTAATATTGCGGTAATTGTGGATAGGGGGGCTCTGGATTTATCTTCTTGTTTCAATGAAAAGCGCCGATATAGTACTAGTAGCAGCTTGGATCAGATACAGCAGGCTCCGTTAGGCTAATAGCATATGGTTTGACTTGACTCGACTATGAATGATTCATAAGGTATTCTCCATCGGATGCACTGCACTGCACTACACACGGAAGAAACTGCTAATGCAAGCACGGAACTCGGTTTCATCATGCTTCTTACCAACAAACTCAGCATTGGAAAAAAGCACTGACCGCGGAATCTGGTATCTCCAACTAACCCCTTTCTCTCCGAAAGGTTCTAAGCTCCCCCAGGTGTGGAAGAATTGCACCAATTCCTATACATTATAAGCACCAGCGAGCTCGTCGAGACCGCCACCGGAGTAGAAAACCCCCTCGAACAAGTCCTCAAATCAATCAGTGAATGGAACGCAATCCTACTTCTAAAGGCATGCGATATATTCCTCGAAGTTCATTGGACCGCCGATCACAACGTAATCGTTGGTCTCTGGTGAGAACCCCCGCCCCTTCCTCACAATCTAACCGGCCCTGGATACGGGGAGTCGGCTATATGTGTGGAAGACGTGTACTCAGATGGGTGCAATAGAAAGCCACCTGAGCGAGGAGACTTGTAGAGACTGGTGAAGATGGATATGAGCGGGCGACAGATCAAGAATGTTGTCAAGACTGAAGTTACTGTCGAAGCATGGGCGTGTGCCGTTGGAATGGAAGCATGTGGAGATGGCGTTGAAGATTGGGAATCGTGCATGATCGGAAAGAAAAAATTCGATTCTTGGGGGGGAAACAGTTTATATTTAGGTATATATCTTGATATGAAGTACCTTCATGTCTTCACAGATCCCAGAGAATGAACCAACCAATCAACAAACCTTTTGTGTTGCAAGTTGGAGATGCCGGGGAAGTAGATTCCAAGTGCAACAGAGTTTGGCTGCCGAATTTTGATGGGGTGCGCAAGTGGTCAACGGGCACGGCCGTAATTCTCTCCTGGCCAATCAGAGAAGTGAAATTGATGCATGCCACTACCGGTCTATTATCGGCGAGCGCCTGGATAGATTTAGGCGGTTCCTTTTGGTATTCTTCGAGAAAGATAGGCAAAGAAACAATCGAATCATATGCAGTCGTTTAATCTAACCTAAATTACTAGCTGTACATGTATTGTAGCTGCCTACATGTACCATGTTTCCATTCACACAATCAAGGATTAATCAGGCTACCGTCCCTAGTTTACCTATTGGTTTCCCTAACTTGAGAAAGGTTGCATAGTTGACAGTTACCAAGCATCCCTAGTTGTACCTAACTGCCTATAAGTGTGGGTTCATGCCGGGATACCAACACAAACATAGTCGCCTACATCGAAATACAAGCCACTAGATCCAACAGCCGGATTCCATGCATAAAAAGTTATCCAGGGAGATATCAGCTGCAGAAGCGACCTTGGCACAGTCATCTCCAGACTGTACTAGATAGAACCGATCACAGTCGCTGACCATTCCAGTTTGAATCGGGGAGGGATTCGAGATAGCGGTGCCCGTGTGTGTAGTTGAAGTCGTGGTCAAAGTGGCAATTGTGGTGGTTTTGGAGAGAGTTGAAGTTTCCAACGTGGTGGGCGTAGACACGGGTGCAGTCGTGGCAGAAACGTAATTGACTTCGATGCAATAGTCGAATCCCTCGATAAGGGTGCAGGAGGTTACTAACTACCCTGTCCCGGGATCCAGCGGTGCGCTCGATAAATGGATGCCGAGAAGCGCCACCTTCTTCCATGAACTGTTTCATCTTACCTCCGAAAAGAGCCCTGACTTCACTAGTCAGCATCTCAGACCTAACTACCGTGGGTTTGACAGGCTGCATGACTGACGTGCTCTCTAGTGCGGGTGGCGGAGGGTCTTGTACAATCTGTGACGGCCGCCAACACTGGTAAGCATGTGCACGATATCGTGGGTAACCCCGAGTCGTATGCGTGGTTTGCCGTGGCTAGCTGGTCCTATCTGAATCCACCATCGGGAAGAGAGCCTGTGGTATTCCGTGGGCCAGATGCCACGGCTCAGTGGAAGGCAAGACCAGAAACATCTACAGGGACATGAGCCAGCGCTTTCTTTCCTCACTTTGTCCTGTTGAGTAGGACCTAAAGGAGAAGTCCTCGTCGGTCTAGGGGTGATGTACTTAGGTGTCTATAGGAAGTGATATCAGTCTAGCTTCGCGCTCATCTGCCCGGTATGAAATCGGATGCAGTCGATCGTAGTGGATATAGTCCCAAGAGACTCTCTGACCGGCAGGACGACGTAGCTACAGCCCTAGGCGTACCCTGCTTGATATGTATGCCCGCATATAGATGTCCTGACTGCCGTTCTGGCGTTTATGTTTCCGGGACTAACGATAACCACTTAGACCAGTCAATCAAGGGCGTACGGCTCCAAAGTAGCAATGTAACAATGGTCTACATCGAGTCCATAGATTCCTTCTTATATATCTGTGTTTCGGCAGGGGTTTACTAACCATCAGCACATTATTCATGGCTACGTTTCTTCGTCTATCAAGATGATATTCTGTAACTAGGAATATCTAGCATAGAACTGAGGAAGGAATAACAACAATCCTCGATGGTCTAACGGTCATGATTTCCGCTTGTCAATCCTGTTCAGGAACAAGCGCGGGAGACCTGGGTTCGACTCCCAGTCGGGGAGATGTTTTTCTTTTTCTTCCATCTTTTTGCCCCCTACATTCATTCCTGACTGGGTTGTTCTGCTTTTTGTTGTGTTGTGCTTGAGTGTTTTTCTGTGGTATGTTGATTGATGTGTTGGGATTGTGTGGATGATCAATCATCTTCAATTGAATTAGGACACGCCTTCGTGCCTGTCGGGAAGATATATTTCCTACTTCCGATTAGTTGGTATACATGTACTGTTGAGATCGGAATTGATATAGACCTTAAGAAGAAGATCGCAATAACTATGAAAAGGTACCAAAGGAAATAAGCACCAAGATTTATGTAACCTTAGGGCTCGGGCGGTTACATGGAATACCAGGTAGAGTGTAACACGTCTACTCCGTACTCCCTCGCATATGGAACTTAGGGCCTAGGAATTATCTACCGTGTCACAGCACCAAGATAATTGCATAGTTTGTTGAAGGTGTGTACTGGGACTGAGGTTAATCTGCAGGTATCTTTCAGTATAAGCAGTATATCATGGGTGTTTAGATCTTTGGTTGATGTGGTATGTATGTTGATTCGAGGTTGTCAATTGACGGGAAAGACGGGAGAGAATGTTGAGAGAAGGATGGTTTGTCGGAGATTGATGAGGTTGGGTTGGTACTTTGCTTGTTTGGCTGAGCTGCATGTACATAGTATGCGAGTTAGGTGGAGCTTGCAATCTTTGCTTTCAAGTATGTTATGAGTATCACTGGTCTGTGTATAGCTTATTTAAACGTGAACATGAACATGGATTATTCGATAGAGTAGAGATATAACGTCCTCGCCAGGATCAATCAGTCATGAAGCCACCCCTGTCATAAAACCATCCTCAATCCATCTACCCCACGCACCAACCCATTCCATCCCATCACAAACCATAAAAGTCCATATACTCATACACCCCTCTAGTATCGTACATCTCATCCCCCACTAATATCCCACAATTCCCAACCAGAACTATCCAATATCCCCCACGACCCCCCTCCCCCCTAACCTCCCCACGACCCCCCCCTTCAACCTCAACATCCGCTCAATCTCCCTCTCCCCCATCCCCTGCCTATCCCTCATCGCCAACACCTGCCGAATGGTCAACGCATCCAGAAACTCCCGTCCCTGGAACCCCATCTTCCCCATTGCTTCGGTCTCCTGTTCCGCGGCTTTGGTGATGCGCTGGCGGGCGGAGAAGACGAGTAATGCGGGGTTGGAGGAGGGGGGGAAGACGGTGGGTGTGGTTTGTTGGTGCTGTTGGTGGTGGGGTGGGTATTGTTGGAAGGTGCTGCTGGGGGAGTAGGTTGGGTTGGGGGTGACGGGGCCGATGGTGCGGAGGGAGGCGGCGAAGTCGGGGTCACGGCCGTCGAGGTCGATTGCTTTTTATCTCTGGTTAGATTTTGGTGGTGAAGGGGATGGGGGAGGGGAGGGGAGGGGGTACCTGATGAGCGTTGGAGGGAAGGGGGTTCTTTGGAGTGGTAGGTTGGACCTTGGGGGTGGGAGGGTCTTGGTGGTGGTGGTGATGGCTGTGGTTGGGGCTGTCTGGCGGGTTTGGATGGTGGTGGTGGTGGTGGTGCTGAGGTCGGAGGTGATACCGGCTGTTTAGGGTATTGCCGTCGGGCCGCCTGCGCGGCGGACCTCACGGGCTTGGAGGATGAGGCGCCCATGAGTGTGTTCTGTGTCTTGTGTAGGGGTATGTAAGTATACTCCGTCCTGAGTCTGGGTGAAGCAAAGATGGAATTCGCGCAGATCGGGCGGACTAGCCGGTTTGGGATGCAGCCGCGCGGGTGACGTCAGCTCCGGGACGATTATCTGTTCTTTCGCCCCTGCCTAGTGCCTAGTAATAGTACGAAGTGGTTGCTACATTTAAATTAAATCTAGCTGGGTGTGTAGTGTTCTGTTTGGCATGTGTGGATATGTGTACTGCATAGCGAGTACATTTTCCATGCATAGATTGCTACAGTCAAGCTACTGCTACACTCATACAGGGTGATTCAAGCCCAAGCAGATCGTAGTAGACAGTCCAACTGTTTACCGGAGTCCAGCGAACCGTCTGCCCTGGACCTCACCCAGAGCACGGCTGCCGCTGATAAAGGCGACGGTGCCGACCACCGCGACAGCCGGGAGGAGCTGGAACAGAGTCCAGGAGGTATAGTATAGGAAGAAGAGGCCCTCAATCGACAGCAGAGAGCCAAGGAACACGGCGTGAGGGATAGGGGCCGACTTCAATGCCGTAGGCAGGTGGTTGACGTTGGCGCCGAGGAAGAGCCACTAGAGCCGTTAGATAAATACTGGCAAGCAAGCAGGATACTTACCACACCACCCAACACCGGCAACGTAGCGAGCACCAGCGCGACAAACGCCAAAGAAATCACGATCGGCGGGCTCTGCGCATCGGCCTTGAAGATGTGATGAATCTCAGGAAGCTTGCCATACCGCGACACCTCGACGGACGGCACCGGCTCGTCCGGGTTGCGGGTCACCGCCAGCTGAAAGGCAGCGCCATTGTATGCGTCCGCGTCGCCGAAGGATCCGATCAGGAATCGGGCATCAAGAGGCTCCGAGGCGGAGAGGAATTGAACGGGAAGGTCTTTCTGGGTCTGAGACACATCAGCGTGGTCCAGCACGGCGGTATCTGCGGGTATCCTACCAGGTCGAGTCGGGATTTGCCATTGTCCTTCACATTGAACGGGTATGAAATATCCAGTCCAGTCTCGGGATCCTGCAAGAGAAGAAACACCTGGTGGGCGTTCTTTCCCGCGCGTCCTTCCTGAGCTGTCAGGGTGACCTTCAAAGTATCGGCGGTTCCGAGGGCGACGGGCTTGGAGAGAGCCTTGTTATCAGGGATCCTGTCAATTGAAGCAACATCAGCCAGCGTTCTTTAAAAGCTGTAGCGTTAAAACAAAGCGGCATTGAGCGTACGTTTCCTTCCGGCCCGCACCGATGCCAGCGCCCTTGGTGTTAACTGACACGGTGGCATCAGTAAATCCCCAGGCGGAGGCGGTCGCGGTCGGGATGGCGGCAGAAGCCAGCAAGGAGAGCTGAAGAACGGAATGCCACAGCTGCATGGTGAACGAGAGACCAGACCAAGAGACCGAGGAACCAAAGAAGGAGAAGATGAAAGCACAAGAGAGGTGTCAAGTCGCCACGATCGCAGGAGCAGACAGACGAGATGCGCTAAGATAAGCGCCCGCGGCTTTGGGGCAAGCGGCGGTCCAGTGACCGCCCGCCTTACCTGCGCAAGCCCTAATTTCCCGGCGTCGATGGAGTTCGGGCTGCCAAACATTTCTTCCTCCTCATCGTCCGGACTATCGGGTTTCCCTGCCACTGTCGCGATCCCGGAGATCCTCGACCGGCTTGCTGTCACTCCTTTGCGCTATCGCCATGTCTTTCACGCCCCGTCGCTAGTCCCGGGAGCCCCCTGCGCCTGCTGTTTGCCTTTGCGTTCCGACTCCTCGCCTCCGCTTCACCGACGAAACCCCCAGGACTCTGGCCTCCACGGATCGCCTGGGACGGTGGTGGTTGCAATTATCTGGAGGATAGCTGGTTACTGGTATGTGGGGAAGACTCTGGACCTCTGGGACGCCGCCGTGGGTCGTTGGTGCACGGGGTCGGTTTCCAGGAGGTGCCGCTCCTGCTTGCCTCCGTTTTCCGGATCGTCAGTCGGGATCCATTCACTGACACCCACCGTGACTCGCAGGCCCGACAACTACAGAACCCCCGTCGCATTGTCCCTCCGATCGCAGCCCCTGATTGCAAGAGAACCGCTGTAGTCCGCTGGTCATCTGTCCGGTACCTCCGAAGTGTTCGTGGTGGAGAGGAATAGACGGAACCGGAGATCCAGGTCGTTGAGGGAGTCGACTGCGATACGGCGGACAAAGTCAACCAGTAAGCCGGCGATTGTGTTGAATGGGTCGGTTGCGATGAAGAGTGAATCGAGCCATTCACTGCGAGGGTTGCTAATAACAGCAGTGGTTGGTAGGGCTTCAGTTGCGAGGGATTTGGGTTCCCCCGCTACTCTTCCTCTGGACTTGACTCCGGTACTTTTCTCCTATTCGCTTTGCATTCTGATATTAACGGTTGTCAGAGAGAAACCCGACGCAGTTTATCTCGTGCTTCACGGAAAACCACTCGTGAACCCGAATCCCACTCTTACTCTTTACCCCCAACGCCCGTCACCACGTCTTTTGAAGAATCTTTTCCCTCTGCCAAACGTCGCAAGACGCAACGATCTGTGCCGCAAGACGAGACGAACGTATCGTCTCAAGAACCGACGGAACCGATTCCGACAGTCTCGGGCTCTTTGCAGACCAGCGTCTCGAAACGAGACCGCGGCAGGAAATCGACCCTAAAAAGTGAGGCTGTCCTGGCAACGCCCACCGCGTCCACTTCCAAGCCAAAGTCGCGACCGGAGCAGTCTCAGTCGACGCTGCATAACTTTCTGTCCAAGAAACCCCAAGATCGACGCAAGTCTCTTGCTACGCCCAACGTGTCTTCCACCAATCCCCCTAACTCTGACGACTCCACCATGAGCACTTCTTCCATCCGCAATACTCGCAAGTCGATGCCCGCCCAGCTGAACGGCGTCGACAGCGACAACACCACTTCGGTCTCGACGCCGCAGCCGTCCTATGCAAACCGCAATCCCCAACGGGCCAGAATGACCAAGACCCCGCAAGTCAAAGCAGAGCCCAAGTCGGTTGCCTCGGTTGCCAAATTGCAAAACCAGAGCAAACCTGCGACTTCTGTCCAGCCTCGTTCGACCCCAAATACATCCACCCGATCGCGCCGTCCCGAACGCAAGTCCGCTGCCACCAAACGCTTCACCGATGCACAGACGCCATCTGCAGCCACCAAGCCTGCATCTTCGGTGGCCACCAGAACCAGCTCTCGTCCCCAGCGTTCGACCCGGAAGCAAGCCGCTGATGCCAATGCCATGGACCGTAAATCTGACCCGGTGTCAGCCCCCAATACGCCCTTTCGTCGGGAGGTCGCCGACAGCAGTGAAAGCACGCCAGCGCTGGATGAGAAAGCTGCCGGGTATGAAGCCACGCCTGGTTATGATGTGGACACTCCTGGGCTCGAAGGCAACACGCCGTACGGCGAGAATTATCCCTTTGATTATCGCTCCGACATGTATCGCAACTATGGTCTGGATGGTAGTCTCGATGCTCCCGGGTCACCTACGGCCAGCTTCTCGACCACTACGTCCGCTGCTCGCACGTCCGGACGCGCCCGAAAGCCCACCATCAAAGCCATGGAGTCGATGGAGTCCGAACGGCGGTTCCGTCGGAATCACACTCCGTCCGTGAAGCCGGAATCCACTCCAAAGGAAACCGGAGAGCCGGCGGGCAAGCCTGCGACTCAACCGACCAACGCGCCCATGCCAGGACCCGCTTCGCAGGCCGTCGAGTTGGACCCGGCGGTTCTCGCCAACCGACTGCTGGACCTGGCTGCAGCCGCCGTGGCTCCAGAATTCGAGCCGGCCCCGGAAGTGGAGGGCTGGCTGGAGGAACTGCGGCAAGAATTCACCAAACGACAAGAGGGTGATATCTCGACGCAGCCCACGACCGAGTCTGAGGAGGCGGGGGCTGGGGGTTCCAGTAAGCCCCCTTCCCCATCTGACGCCGCCCCCCAATGGACTGACGAGGATGGCTTCATCTACACAGGCCAGATGAACGAATTTGGCGAGGAGCTGGTCACCGTGGGACCTGGATACGCCTGGTTCCGGCCCACCAACACGTATGGCGACCAGCTGCTCCCCCAGCCCCCGGTCCGTCTCAAGTCGCACGAGCAACTGGCCAAAGATCGGATTTACGGATTTCCGCCGCTGATGGGCGAGCGGAATTTGCCTCGCGAGAACGTGCCTTTCTTTTATGAGAATGTCGACGAGGTGAAGGCGTTGATCAAGGCCCAGAAGGAGGCTCAGAAGAGGGGGATTCTCGTGAATCGAATGATGCCAGCGGCCTACATCCAGGAATTGATTGCCAAGCATGATAACAACGCAGAAACGGCGGCGCCTAGTGAAGTGAAAGAGACCAAAGAGCCGACGCGCAAGCGGCGTCGTGGCGAGACATCCGAGACTACTCAGGCGTCCAAAAGACGACGCAGAGAGCCGTCGCCACCCCGGGAGAAACCCAAGACGCTGCGAATCAAGCTGACCCTGAAGGGCGCCGCAGCCAAGAAGCGATCCCATTCGGACACGGAGGAAACGCCTGCCGAGACGATCAGTCCGGAGCGGCCCAGTCCATCCAAGATCCTCAAGCTGTCCGGCCTTCGTCGCAATTTTGCTGTCGAGTCAACTCCGTCCACTCCTGCTGCCGAAGCGAATGCCACGAATGGAGCTGATACTGTGGAGGGACCTGAACGACCGGAACCGAACCTGGGCACCACGCCTGGGGGGCGTCCTCGTCGTCGCGCGGCAGCGGCTTTGATGGCCGAATTCCAGAATCATGCGGAAGAACGGGCGCGTCGAGCCAATGCGCGCAAAAAGGGACCATCTAGCGACAAGCCGGATGATCCGGACCAAGCCAATTGATGCCACCTACCACCTACCACCTACCACCTACCACCCTTGTGAGATTACATCTCGGCGCTCTTCTATAATAATTACAACTTGCTGTCACCCATGATCTGGCTACTTCACCATTGACATGCGTGATACTCTTACCACAGTCTCTAACGTATGACTGTTTGGGGACATCTCTGCTGACATCGGTGGCATCGTATTCATCTCCGGAGTCCGGCGTGTGACATTGTAAACTTGCTTCAATAATCTCGGATAATCCTCATGTGGTACCCATCGAATCCGGGGTCATCGGGCCTACTGAGGTGCAGTCACCTTCGATACTTCTCAACATTGAGGATCACTCGCACTCTGCGTGGGACTCTAACCCTAGAGTTTCTATTGACCATCATGGTGACTGGATGTGTCAATTACTTCTCAACTATCTCCACGCTGAAATCACACATGCTCAACACCGCGGCACTCGCATCTCCACCCGCGGAGCTGCTACTCGACGTGACTGCATCCCATCCATCTTATTCCAGACTCCGCATGTCTCAACCAAGGACACCAGTGACTCATGAAGCATACCAACTCACAACACCCCCCAATCGACTACTACATCGGAGTTCCGGCCTCTATCGACATTCAGCATAGCGTGTACCCAGGTTCCATTCTCGGCGTTATTTAGACCCTGCGTTGTATTCCGTATATGGCCCGTGCATTGTCATACCTCGAGACCGATTCCACAACCCTTACTTCTCAGTCTAGAGGTATGTATCACAGACCGATCCGCCATGTGTCATCCGTGTATCACCACGACTAAGTTGGAGGCGGTTGCGCTGTATTGTATTTTGCTTGTATCTTAGGATGGGTCTTCCTTTTTTCTTTCTACTTGATTTGCTGTAACCGAGGGCAAGGCTAGCTGGGATTGGTTGTCTTATGATTCCATTGCATACTTTGTAGTAATCTATTGTCCTGTAGACGGAGGTAGGATATATGATGCCTCAGGCATACACCCAACCACACGCAGCAACCAGCCAACCAACCAATCACTCCGACAGAAAAGCGACACCTGACTTTTCCGCCTCGCCTCGCCTCGCCGATCTCTCCAGCTTCCTACTTTATCTACTCCCAGCCTATCACTTTCACAATTAATAAATCCCACCATCATATAACCACTATATCTAGTTCATACAAGAGAAACCCTACAAAGAAGAAGGGATAGAAAAATGGTCTCCTCGAACCAAAAGACACAACCTCAGAAACCACGCGTGATGGTGGATTTGCACCGCCAACCACATCCACAGCAATACCAGCCACAACAAACCAGAATTCCCCCTCGAGGAGGAGGAAGAGGAAGTGGTGGTGGGAGAGCACCGGTGCACGATATCCGCCAAACGACAGAATATAAAGCTGCTGCGAGACGGTAAGTCCCCCCCCCCAATATACATTCATCCTTATATCCTGTTACTTTGTGGGTTTGTTCTCGATTTCTCTATTCTATGTCATGTGTATTGTGGATGAAGCAGTGGAGGTGTATATGTATGTATATGTATATGTATATGTATATGTATATGTATATGGGAAGGAAGTATTCTATTTCGATACGATTGATGAGAGATGATACTAACTGGTGGTGGTGGGTGGGTGGGGGGTAGATGGTTATCCGTCATGGTGGCATTGCCGATCTTGATGTATACGTCGTGGAGTTTGTATGAGCGGAGTATGTTTATATCCCTTTCTCCTAGCTTGGGTTGTTTTGTGGTTGGGTGTGAGTGATGCTAATGGTGGGGATGAACAGCGTATGGAGAGAAGAGTCCGAAGAGGGTTATTCCCCATTCTTCTGCTTCTGCTTCTGCTTCTAGTGCTGATTCTAGTGCTGCTGGTGCTGATGGAAAGAAGTCCGAGTAAGAGATGCATTTGGAATGGCTGGGATGAGATGGAGTTGTATTGTATTCTATGTACTGTATTCTACGTCACTTTAGTTCTTCGTGTGGAGTATAGCATGCTTATTGGTGACATTACTCCATTCCGAATGATTATGCATTGTGGGCTGGGTGGGAGGGGTGGTATGTGGAACTCTTTAATATCTAGCAGTTATAGGGGAGAGATGGATGAGGGTTCTATTTGATAATTATTTCATGAGGGATTGATGTTTGTGTATCATGTTATGGTAGAGGACTCGTAGTGAGATCGAATGGAATACGGCCTATTTGGATCATTGAATATGAAATACTCATAATCAGTATATAAGAGATACTACTCCAGTAGAGCAGAGCCAAGTGGTTGTGGCTAGGCAAAACACTCCCCCCAATCACCCCCCGATCGCGCAAAGCTCAATCCCCGCACAAAATCATCCCGCGTACATCGGCCCAACGCATCTACTTTACACCCATGTAGTGGCACCACCCGATCATTCACCAATACCCGCACCAGCGATTCCGCCGTCTGACACTGCATCATCTCCACGTACATCCGCGCCGCGAACGGAACTGTCCACGCAGACGAGTAGCCATCTGTCGCGGTGATATTCTCAGCGGAAGTGGAGGACAAAGCGGTGGTCCCGTTGTACAGTCCCAAGGCGAACAGAATCGAGGTGATGCCGTTGTCATGCGAAAAGTCCGCATATAAGGTCGAGTTGAGCGGAAAGGTCGTCGGGTTCGAGTCCAGCGTGTGGTTGGTGCTGGTGTCGTCGTGCACCGGCGTGTGGGTGAGTCGGGCGATCAGCTCGTTGGCGTAGCCGACCCCCTGGGTCGGGCCGAGGGGGTTCCCGGCACCGTGGCCGTAATACTTATCCAAAGACTTGAGGTAGTTGTAGTTGATCCACTCGTCGTGGGTGAACAGGTCACAGAAGGGAGAAAGCGTGAGGTCGACCGTATCTTGAGAAATGGTATCGAACGAGCACATGTCCATGAGGTAGGTCACCTCCTTACTCGTCAGATTCACTCCCAAATCATGCTCCAGACGCGTGCGAATGGCCGGCACAAAGGTAGCGGTGAAGTTGGCTTCAATGTCATCTGCCAATTCGCTGTCCTCGAAGACGGTGCAGGTGCCCGGGTCGAGGGTGTTGTTGGCGGTGCTGGCCTCGGAGATGACCACGTTGATCTGAGCGGACGACTGGCCCGGCCGGGCGCGAGGATCCTTCCGCTTGGTGTTCTGGAAGCCCTCGATGAATTTCTGTCCGGAGGCGACCACGCGGCTGGACCCCGAGGCGCGGATGAATGGGACAATGTCCTTGGCGAGCGATTCATAGCGCTGGTAGAACTTGATGCCCGAGTTGACCAACTCCTTCTCGCCGAACGGCGTCAGATCATCGGCACCCAGACTGTAGTTGTACGACTGTAGAAACGCATACTTCCCCGCAAAGGAAGTCGCATCTGCCTGGATCTTCTCGATCAGGGCCGCGTATTTCTCCCCCTTGGACGCGGTAGGATACCGCGCGCCGTGGCGGGAGAGCACCTGCGCAAACGTGACGCGACAGCCAGCTGGCACGTCCGGGGAGATGGCCGACTCATTGGCCAGAGAGAAATACGGCGCGTACTGGCCCCAGAGATGCGAGGTCTGAGGAAAGCATTGGTAGCCCTGATCGACCGTGTCGCAGGTGGACTGGTTTCTCGCCGGGAGTGCCAGTCCGGAAGTAACTCTGCCCAATGTCAGCCATGTTCCCTATCTAGATAAAGAATGCTTTATCGGTGGGGATGGACATACCCGGAGAGCAGATACAGAGGAAGGAGAACCGCCGAGACGCCCATGATGCCCACCAGAACCAATTTCTGAACAAGTTGCAGTCGCCGGCGAGAGTCACCACGCCGGACCGACCGGTCCTCATATAGCCCCCTCATTCTCCCTCGGCATGTTGTGTGATGCCCTACTAGTTCAGGTTAGGAGCTGAATGCCGACCCACGTGCAGGAGCCGGTCACTCCGAATGACGGGATCTGGCGAGGAGTGGCGATGGACGACGGGTGGAAGTGGAGAGACATGAGAAGGAAAGTGAGTCTAAAGAATCTAGAGAGATCGGTTCCTGACCGACTCTCGTTATTGTCAGTCGCAAGCTGTAACAGCAGCTGCCGTGGGCGATGCTGATAGGCTGCCACCGGGCACGTGCCCGGGCGGGTGATTCCCGTTGGAGGTCTGCCGGGTGCCTGGATGCCCCAGGCCGTTTCAGATATCCATCCTTGAAGTCTTCAGCAGGATCTAGCACCCACTAGTAGCCACTACTTCCTAGCTCACTACTTTCTAGCTCTACGGCTGAAGAATCAGACCCATCCAGACTCGTGTCGGCAATCGTCATGGTATTATACAGTCTATGATCGCGCCAACCACAGAACAGACCGCGCAGAAGTGAGACCAATATCTGACCCGAAAGACGAATAACCACCTTCCTGAACCATCGTCAACTAGAGCTGTAGCAAGCAGTATGCAGCAAGCCGTGAACAACATGCAGATCATTCATTCAAGTAATGACAACGCCACCCAGCATGTCCCAACAATAACGTGCAAGACCAAGAGAACATGAAACAAAAGCCACCATCACATTGCCTCCATCCAGACACCACGGCCAATGCCTTCACACGAATCCGTGCAGAGCTTTTCCATCAATGCTTAAGACGAGGTCACCTCCGTAAGATATTAAACCAGCCGTTTAGGAACTTTTATGACTCTCAGCCGCATGACGCTGAGTTAGGACAGAAAGAAAAGACAATATCTCATTCGGATTGGTGCTCACGCATCAAGCCCTCCCCGCGAGCCGCCGCAAGCACCATCATAGGTATGTTCCCGTGTCATCGTTAACCTTCGTTATGAGCTCCGCGCCCATTGTCCAGGAAACTGAGGCAGTGATCGTGCCGACTTCTCCTCAGGCAGGACCTTCCGCTCAACATGGGTGGCCGGATACGCGGTGGGCGTCGTCGACCAGGTCACGGGCGGCCTCGTCGACGACCGGGCCATCAGGTTCGCTGGCGCCGGAGCCAGCTTGCTGCCTGGTCCAGAGGTGGTCTCAACCTTGCCAGCTTCGGACGCGTGCCATGATGTTTCCCGCTCAGAAGCACTCTCAAAACGTAGGGCCCGGGGAGACGCGGGCCGGGTGGGCAGCTGGCCTGCAGGCACCAAACGAGTGACATGGTCGCGAAAGAAATCTCTCTCGGAACGGTAGAAATCTCGTTCCTCGATCAGAGATCGGATCTCTTGGGCCTGTCGCTGCAACGCTTCGGTGTGCTTCCGGATCTCATCCTGCTGTCCCGCGATCTTCTGCTCCAACTGCATTTCATTTCGCTTCCGGTTTCGAAACCTCCGGGATGCATCACTGTTGGCCTTTCGCTTCTCGGCCTGGCTGGACGATCCGGACTTCAAATCGAGAATACAGGGAATCATCCCCGGGTAAGGGGGATTCTCGGGGGGTCCCCCCACCGCAGCCGCCTCTTCCCCCGTATGCCTAGGTCCTGCCATGACGGACGGCAATCGAGTGACGGGTTCCCCGGTTCCATAGGGAGATGCACCGAGGAATGAGGGTGTAGGTTGGGTCAGGGGCGTGGCAGTAACGGCGGGAGAAGACCGCCCGAGCTGACTGTACGCAGAAACTGGAGTCGTGGGGCTCGTTTCCTGGGAGCTCGGGGCCGGAGTAGGATTGGCACTGGTCCGACGGCTGTGGAAAGTTGGGGTCGAATGGAGGGAGATTGGAGCCGCAGCTGGATGGGTGGAGGTCGGGATTGGCTGCCCAGAGACCGGATCGATGGCCAGAGGAGACCCAGGAGCGGTAGAATAGGAGGAGGCTAGCCGCGATGCATGGGCCAGTGGAGACTGTGACACCCCCGGCTTCTGAGGGTATCCGCCCGCCGCGACGAAGCGCGCGGAAGGGGAGGCGGGCGCGATAGCCTGATGACTCCTCATGGCGGGAGACGACGATAGGCGTTTCGCTGGATGAAGGGACGGAGAAGGGAGATGGACGGAAGGGGAGGAGGGCAGACGGGCATGAGACGAGGATGCCGTCGGTAACTGGGACGTCAAACCTTCCCGACCGTTTTCTGCGGCCACGATCGCAGCTTTTGAAGGCGGATTTAAGATGGACTCCACTCCGATGGAACGAAGCTGGGTGGATTTGATCGAGGGTTCCACAGGAGCCGATGGATGCCAGGAAAGAGGCCGGGGACGCACAGGATCAGGAGCGTCGGAAGATGCAGAGTCATCGTCGGAGCGAGGCCGTTTCCTGTCAAACGTCCCGTGGTCCTCTGCCTGACGGGTGTCATCCGAGGAAGAACCAGCCAATGTGGACGACATATGCTCCGATTCTCGTTCGATAGATCGATGGAGCGACCTAGGGCATGGCGGGGCCCCCTCTCTCTCCAGCAGCGTCGGAGACTCGTGAAGAGCTGCCTGATGGGAGAGGGAGCCGGCGGGTTGGGCAAGATGGTAGCCTGGCAGCGAATGATATGGTGGCGAGGAATGAACCGGGGGGGAGTATGGAAGACTCGCCAACACGCTGATCCCGAGGGTAGCCACGGTGAAGAGAATCTCACGGATACCACAAGAGAAACGGGTAGATTGGACGAAGGGAAGAAGTGAAACGTCGACCGTCTTTCTCCCGATAGATGGGTTGGGTTTCTTCCCGACTTGTGGGTTGCGGAAAAGACAGAAGGGGGAGATGGCAGTGGAAGTACTACACGATAATGACCAGCAGTATCCCGGATGTAGTTCGTCGTCGGGTGCGATTAAACAGTACGAAAGGCAACCCCGGCCAGGACCCGATGGATGCTTTCTTGGAGATGAAGCGGAAGAAACAGAAGAAGAGACGGGCAACAAGCCAGGAATACAAAATATTATCTAGACGATCACCGAATCAATCCGGGCATCAGAGGAGAACGTAGACGAAGAGAAGAAGAGAAGTAGAAGAACATCAGGTGAAGGCCGGAAGAGACAGGGACAGCTTCAGTTGGAGAAGAAACGAAAAAGGAAGAACACCAGCCAGAGATGATGCTGATGCTGGATGATTATTATTTATTATTTTTTTTTTCTAGGCGTGGTTGATTCTGGCTCGCGGCGGCTTTCCCAGTAGGAGCAGAGCAGCAGGCGATCGTAGGTCGTTGACAGCATTCGGCGGTGAGGAGCCTGACCCGATGATGATGAAAATAAAATAAATCGAGATAAAATAATCAGCAGCAGGAATATAGTACTAATAAGATTAAATAAAAAATGCCAATCGAAAAAATGATGCTGGGATGGGCGGGGGCGCCAAACACCACCAGAGTGGGACCCCATGAGAACCCAGCGGCGTGGGAAGAGGAGACAACTAAGACTCTAAACACTAAGACAGCCCCAGTGCCGACTTGCAGTGAGCGGATCACGCATGTCACCGCAGCGGCCAGCAGGAGGGCCGAACAAGGACAACACCAGCAGGTGGGAAAGCAAGCAAGCAAGCCAGCCAGACGGCCAGAGGTCAAGACTCCAAGAGGTTCATGGGGGTGGTTTCCATCGCATGGCGCCAGTGGCAGGTATCCTGTACCCTGTATCAATACCGACAGGGCCACCGCGGACATACCGCAGCCATACCTGCATCCATACATACATCTTTCCAGTCATACATACGGAGTACATGGATATCCTCCATTCATACGTGGATCCCGGCCAATGGATGCAGACGGGCAGCCATTATTTATTCATTCCACTGCGTTTCCCCTTCCGTCCCCTCCGTCCCCTCCCCTCTTAGTCTGAGTACCCAAGAAACTGAAAGGGACGTACTTAATTAGTACCTCTACCTGACTCGTACTTTGTGGTGATACCGACATGCATGCAGATGCATAGATTAGGTCGACCTGATGTACCCGGTGGCCAAAAGTACGAAACAAGGTGGGGAGCCACAATTCGCCATGGAGGATGGAGGCGCCCCGGGGATGACGGAACTGACTATACTGGATGGTGGACACTGAAAAGGGTCTGGCGGTAGTCCTCCGGAGTGGACCATCTGCTAGAAGCGCTGACGAACGTGGATGGAATGATCAACTAGGAAAGCAATCTCAAATTCAGCCGGAACCCTAGTCAGTAGTGGTAGTTAGTGACTTGGCCATCTGATTGCTTCCCTGCCGAAGCAGGACATAAGAAGCTATCAGTCCATGGATGGGATCCCACGGGATCCTTCCACAGCTCCAGCTGGCCGAGGAAACATGCATTGATTACCAGGTCAAGGTCGTAACTCCCTAGCAACGACGTAATCCGCTAACCACGAGCTAGTGGGCTCACTAAAGGCAACTAACACTGGCCTTGGGGCTGGGGAAACCGAGAGGTGCAGGTCAACCGGAGCGCTTAATTCAGTTCACAGACTGGGCGCGCCATCGCCATGGATCAGTGGAGGCCCTGGAAATACCTGCCTGGTACTTTACCGTTACCGACCGATTCAGCCGGATCTCAGGCGGCGCTGCGATCTTGACGGTACCCGGAAGGTACCATACCGGTACCAGATCCCCCATCCACTCTCTCCGCCAGCACTTACCGCCTAGGGGCCTCTTCGAGCAACCATAGTACCGAGTATAGATCCTAGGACGTAGGAACATCGTGGATCAGGCCACTCCGTCCCCAAATGCATCTGACTAACTTTCGGTGATTCTCGGATTCGGAAGGATCCTAATCTCTCATCCTGTCTTACGACGATCCTAAGCCAATCTCTGCTGGAGCTTCTAGCTTTCGCCGTCTCCACGGAGTTCACTTTCCTCGCCCATATCCAATAGCCTTGGCCGCACCCCATCATAGCCTCAACCATGTCAGGTTGCAGTGAGTCCCCCTGGTGGATCTTAGGTACTATTCAATGGCCAGAATTACCTCGGTATAAGCGGCATGGGTGACTCGTACCGGTTAGAAGGAACACGGACCTCAAGGCACGCTGGAACGGGACTGAGAAAACGAAAAAGAAAATAGCATAATTTCAAACAGGCAGAACTAATTTAAGAAAACAAAAATAACAGAAAATACTAACCGCAGGCAGGACATCTGGCTAGCTCTAACCCTGAATGGAACCATGTCGTGGCTTGTGTTGCCGGCGGTTTTAGACCCTCGTTCACCTCCAGGCGACGCTTATCCTGACGGGCCTTCCTGCCTATCTACCTAAGACTAGATGCCTTAGCCCCAGAATAGCTGCCGTGCCAATTCCTCCTAGGAAGCTAAAACAAGGCCCTCGTCTAGTTCGCGTCGGCAGATGGGGCGGATGGCCGTCCTCCCACTCAAGACGCCCGAATCACGATGTCTTGCATGCATGCGGGCAACATGCTTTTGCCTTCCTCCCCCAAAGTGGATGACAGACGGGTGACCGTCGTTACCATGTCACCTGCTGATCACCGTTGCTTCTCGCCCTCTTTCCTCCAGTGCTCCTACGTGTGGCCTCCACTCCTCCGTGATCCCTCAGGTCGACCACGCCTCGACACTAAACCCACGCGAGCGGAGTGCCATGGTCTGTGTATCAATAGCTTCCTTTCTTTCACAATAATGGGCCTTCTTCTGGTGGCTTAGCAAGGCCCTTAAAAACTGGGGCCTCGGGGCTGCGAGGATCCCCTTCGTTGGACGCAGGCAACAGAGCAGACAGGTCATCAAGGGGACTGGCTTGTCATCCTGTCCCGGTCATCTGAGTGGTCCACGGAGGATGCTTTGTGTTTCCATTCGGACTTTGTTGTTCACTCAGGTCGGGCCAAAAGTCAAAGGGAGGCAGGAGTGTTTCAGCTACGTCATTGGGCATCAACCGCCATGGAAACAACTCAGAAGCAAGTGCACCAGGTAGGACTTGCTATATATCCCGCAAACTGCACTGCAATGAAGCGTAGTCCCCTCCCGATATGTCAGCATTATACCCACCGGTGAGAATGCTTGCATTACATCTGCTTGCCGTACTGCTTCCTCTTGGCCTGGAGGAAGGTTCTCGGACTGTAGATGATGGCAAAAGTCACCGGGTCAAGAAGACGGCCACTTGCAGGCTGCAACACAGCCCAAATCCATGCAGAAAGTGCAGATAAGCTCTCCATAATCTCGGTCGATAAGCCTTAAGAGTGGGAGTAACTCGGCACTTCCTTTTGCCTGTAGTAAGCGGAAGCTACCTAATGTTGAAAGAGGAATCTCCGATTAAATTGGCGGGACATAACGGAGTCCGTGAAACGGGCACCATGAAGACCGGCCGTTAAGTCTCATGAACTATTGGTGGTCGGGCTAGACCGGACCCATTGCCGCGTTGTTTCCCGTCTCGCACAGGTGCGTTTTTGCGGCCATTGCTTCTTGTCCATCTTGCTGTCCACTGTGTTGCTTATTTTCTCGAGCTAAATGGAGGCATCGCTGTGGGGAATATATGCTGCACGCATAAGATTGAGATCTGGTACCGTACTTTTGAGGTTAAGTGGATGAAACGCAAAAGGTGAGGCAAAGAAATAACCACTACTAGTATTAGGAGGCGGACCAAAAAAAAGGCATAGTGAGATAGTACAAAAAAGTTAATGGCCAAAACGGAGCTTGTAGATCTGTCAAGTACATATGTCGGTAAGGATCGGTGAGCTCCATGCTTCTGCAGAAAGTAGCGAATTACCTGCAGTGAGCTTGGGAAATTTCTCTGCGATCTAGCCGATCCAGGGGCTGCGATTGGCCCGAAGAGAGAAAATGGTGGTCCATTCATTCGTTTTTTGTGGACGGGTGGCTCCTCTGTGCTACCCCAAAGGGACGGTTGCTTCGTTTAGTTGGCGCACCCAGCTGGATTGGGGTGCACCCTGCCACGGGCATGTAAACTTGTAAAGACCGCCTTTATTACTAGAGCCTTTTAAGGTGCGTGGGAGGCATGGTTCGCTCTGGAACCCCACGGACGCGGTAACCTCGCTAGGGACGGCAAAGACGATCTCCTTCACAGTTCTTGAACAAATCGCTGCTGCCACTTATCATTGTCATTCTCCTAATAGTCCGGAGTACCGCGTGAGAAAATCCCTGGGTAGGTGGGTAATAGGTACAGGCTGAATAGAGGTCATCGGTTCTGGAAGCCTCTTCTAGCCAGCTGCGGGTCGCTCCAGCTTGGTTTTCATGCTGGTTTGTCAATTCATGGCAAGCTGCCCATTACCCATTGGACTGGAGGTGGGTATCTAGAATTTAGTGGGAGGTTTATGGCAGTGCCACTGTGCTAGCCATGTTCTCTATAGCGGACGGAGTACACGTTACCTGTTTAATATGTGCGGGAAGTGGAGTCGAGATGTTCCGTCCTCATTTGATTCATCCATCGTGGCGGCTTGACGGGACCAGGCATGGATGCGACTGACGGCGGAAACCAGTCAGGCCAGCGGTCGGGACCGGAATCATTCTCCGCCTCTCATTCGTGTGTTTCTTTCGTTCTTTTTCCACTGGGCCAAACGACATGATTTATCCTTGCCCGTCAATTGGCCTGGAGCTTTGTCCTTTTTTGCCCTGCGTGTCCCCTCATTGGAGCCGATTCCGGTGGCTGCTCGAGGTTCTGGGTCCTTATTCTCCAGCCCACCGCAGCTCTGTGCTGCTGAACGACGCTAAACCGGGGAGCGCCACGGGGATGCAGGCAGATGTGGAAATGGGGACGGAGTGTGAGAGAGATTGCGTTAGTGCATGCGTTAGTCTAGGCCTTAGTCGGAGGAGTCGAGAGGGGGCTTTTCCCAGAGGAGCGGTTCCTGGTTGCGTGCTATTGACGGTTATCACTTTAGGAAACAGACCATGGAAGAATACCTGTTACCTAGAGGAGAGAAAGGGCGGATTTGGCGGGACAAGGTGGCTTCTGTCTGGGTTCTCGAATGTTGGTGTTTGAACCGGGAGTGGAAAAGGATGGTTGTGACGCCGGCACCTGACCTGCCTTCCTTCACAATCCTGCGACGACTTTACCCGAGCAGGAAGGTGTAGATTATTTGTTATTTCTAGAAGTTATCAATCCAGCAAGTCCAATTGATCGCCCATGAAGGCTCCCTGACCAGGGATCCCATTGTTTCTTCCCTTTGCTTTTTCGCTTTTCTCTCCTTTGTCCTTCCCCCATCTTCCTATTGTTTTTCTTTTTTTTTCTTTTTCCCTGGTTCTTCTTAATCCCTTTCGATGCCGCTGTAACCGCCCGTCTATGGTTCTAAGCTGCTACTATAATAGTCAATCTCGGTTTATCTCGTGCTCTGCTTCTTCCCCTGCCAATCTTATTTGATCCCTTTCCTGCCATTGTCGCCTCCATGTAAGTTGTGGCCCGAATCCCAATTGACGGAATACACAGGCAGGAAACCTGCGCATCGGAAGGTATCCACTCGGTGCACTTCGTACTTTCGACCCCTTGCCCTGCATCCCCTAGCTGGTATTCTTATGTACGTAAGAACGTACATACTTACACCTGTACCTCGAATGTGTGTATAGTCAGTGTACAGTCAGTAACTAGGTCAAGTATCGTCCTGCAGCCAAAAGCAACTAGCTAGTGGAAAAAACAAAGTTAGCTCCAGTCGTCCACGAGCTTTTAGACTTACCCGCATATCTGCGAATACCGACCACCAATCCATCGGTTCGATGTAGTGCCATCCAGAGGATCAGTTCGTCCGCACGCAGCGACCAGCACTGGCTAGATCCCAGGGTAGGTAGTATTGCCGTAGCGTATATGTGCTGCACATGCATGCAGCATCCTTCACACTTGTCACCCACCATCCTGGGAGTCGAGCGATCATCGAGTTAGACGCCGGATAGGGCAGGAACACTGCATGCGATCTTGAGATCCTGGAGGCGGATGCATCATTGCACAGGTCCAGGACAAAGAATGAGGGGATAATAGCATTATGAACCGGAAGTTGTTTGTTGTCTTCTGCAACAGTTGGAAGTCCGGGGCGTCCTTAGGCATCCCTGCGTGTAAGGACTGGTCCAATGTACTTAGTACACACTCGCAGCCAAGTCAGCCTGTGTAGAGTACACCTCCGATATCTGGAAGACCGCTGGGGTTCAACTAGTCATTTTGACTTTGAATGGTGTTATCCAATCCTTCGTTGCTTTTGGTCGCTTCCCCGGGTTTTCCATGCAATATGGCGGTAAGCCGAATGACGCCGTCCGTCGACAAGCCTTTCTTACTTGTATCATTCATTCCCATCCTTCTAATCCCACTCCACCGAGCGGTCCTGTTTAATTTGAACTCGTGCTCCATCTGATACTGGAATTTTGACTTCAGTATCAATCTGGCCTGAAGGGGATGAGCAGCGAAAGAAAGTAACGACGCCCGAGGAAGGAAAAGAAATAAAAACCGCCGTTCGAGGAATACCCGCTGGTCTGCTGATCGCCTGTCCTAGGCCCAACTCTTCTGCCTCCACCGTTCCTTGATCCGCCCACCTCCCACTTATCCCCCGGTTCGAAGATGATCGAAGTCCTCCATCCTTCTTTATCGGAATGAAGGGTCGCTGCAAGGGTACGTAAGTATGCTACCGCCAATACCTTCTAGTCGAGACCTCAGCTCGTATGATGTGGAGTGTTTCACAACATCCTTGGTGCTGTAGGCAGAAGTACCAACTCCACCCTGGCTGTACGAATTCTGTGGCTAACCGACTCATCACTTCATCCTGAGCAGAGTTTACACCTCAACTAGAGCAACTGTCCGTGTTCAACCCTCATTTCATGGCCATGTTGATCTCTTAAGATGGGTATACAAAGCATACGGCACTCCAAAAGCTCCGAGTGGTCTTCAATTCTGGTGATCGACCAGCGGTCGAATCCCTTATCTTGAATCTAGTCATCTACTTACACTAGACTACCGAGTGCTGACCATTGCGGTCAGTCTTGAAATCGAAACTCATTCTTGGGCTTGCCCCTGATGCCAACGTCGACTCGATAGAGTCGTCCTCCGTACCGGATTGAGTCCGGGAACTGGTCATCGTTGACATCATCCTTGGCAGTCGTGATGAAGAGCTCCGTTCCCACAAAAGTTGGACAGGTGATGTTTCGGGTGGGCAACGTGATCTCACCAATGATCTTTCCTTCCGGCGAGATACGGATCACCCTTCCACCACCGTAAATAGCACTCCAGATACACCCTTCCTCGTCGATGGCAAATCCATCGGGCTCCTTGGGTTCCCCAATGTCGAAGAAGACCCTTCGATTGCTAATGTCCCCGGTCTTTGCATCAAAATCGAAGGCGTAAATCTTCCCGGTGGGAGAGTCGGTCAGGTACATAGTGTCATCCGCCGGGTTCCAGCCGATTCCGTTGGGAATGGTCACCTGTTCAACCATACGGTGCAGTGTCATGTCCGGGTCTAGCCTGAACAACACGCCTTCATTGACCGGGGCTTGCACCTTGGGATCGTTCATGGCTCCAGCCCAAAACCGTCCGTGGCTGTCGACTGCCCCATCGTTAAAACGCATCCTGTTTGGTGACGTTCCAGATGAGTCAGGTCCCACGAGAATGGTGGCGCAAATCCTGGTTTTCGACGTACCTATGGTCCTTGGCCGGGTCGTCCCATGCTTTCCGGATATAGGACAGCGCGCCCGTGTTGCGGTCAACCAGGGCGAATCCATGTTTTGCGGCTACGGCGATCTGGTCCTTGTGGGAATCTTTAGCACCCGCAATATTGGCGGTTACCCTACATTTTCGAACAGCAGATTAGCTCGGAGCCACCTACGGAGCAACCAGTGCAACCACCCTATTGGCCTATAGGGTGAGCGACATACCCGATTGACGCAGACGTATCTAAGGTCTTCAGGGAGTCCGGGCCTTGGGCAAGATCCAGAACGTATAGTTTCTGCTGCCAGATATCGACGAAGCGGAACTCATTCTTGGCCTTGTCGTGAAACGGTCCTTCCAATAAGGTTCCTGCTACATCGACATACGGCTGCATACAGAAGCCAATGTGAGGATCAGCTCCCTAAACTTGTACCCACATAGGATGATCGGCTTTTGAGCCGAGGAATATTTCAAATACTGTACCTCAGTGACCGTCCATTTTTGGAAGCCCGACATTCCGATGACAGGCGGTGATAGTTCAGGTCTCGGGATCCGATCGGGAACACCCGTGGTCAAGAGCTGGGTCGAGGAACCCTAGTCTGTATGAGGAATATGCACGGCGGTTAAGGCCAGACAAGTGCTGAAATATGGAGCAACGATGATGACCGTTGTGGGAGTGCTGAGGAACCCAACCCGAAGGAAAGAATCGATAGTCGGGAATCTGAGGGGGGCAGTCTTCGGCGGCACTCTCGGTTGCCAAGCCAGTCCCCGCACGAACCGCATCGAACACTTTTCTGGTTCTTCCCCTTTAGCGTTAGGGAGCTCATGGCTAGTGGAGTTGGGGTGGCTACTCTTACTGGCAGGCTGGCTGGCACAGGCTATCTATCTACAGCATCGGGCCACGACTCCGTTCTCCGTGCCAAATTGGTCGGTACTTTCACCGGCGGGTAACCTGGTTCAGGTGCCACCGGTGCTAGCTACGAGTCTGGACCAAGGAAACCGCAGCGGTTTCAGCTGAAGCTCGGTCGCCGCTCGTCGTGCCAAGAAATAGACATAGTGCCTCGGATGTCCGTGTTCCTCACGGCCCAGGAGATACTCTCAAACTCCCGGCCCAGTGGCCCTTCCACTATTGAGGCCCTCGGGTCTTTGGTGGATACGATTATTGAAACCCACCGTCCAGCCCGAACCCCACCCAATGGAGCTATCGCCTGTCATGTGAATGGTATCAGCGATCTGGCCAACAGCTTCGTCACCGCAAACGTGGGAATCTATGTATCCCAGGAGGGCCAGGAAAAGCAAAGAGGAGGCGAAAGACAGGTCCCCACAGGGTGAATCCGTTTGATGATTGATCAGGGTAATCAAAGGAGTCTCAGCATGACGCCAGCCAGCCCTGCCTGTGAGTGTCCATGACAGGGTGCGGCAGGCTTCCCGTGTCCGCCTCATTTGTTCCAGACAAGGGCCGCAGTGGAGCCCCAGCACATACGGGGCGATAATACGAACAAATAGGAATGCACCCGGGATGTCCTGGGGCTGTTGCAGTCTGGAAAATATGGCGGCAGCCGGTAGCGGTTTAGTTTAGGGCTTGAAGCAGCTGCGCGACAGAGCAGGATCAAGCAATGTGAGTCCCGGATCTAAAGCGTTCCTTGGATGCAGACACGGCATATCCGTCCAGGGTCCCAACTTCCGGGAGGAAGATTCCTACCAGTTGGAGGCCAGCCTTGTGACATACTGCCGATTGCACTGACCACTATTCCAAACAGCGACCCGGGAGACCTGCGTAGAACAGACCGTGATTACCCCTACTTGACAGTGCAAAAGGATTCAAGGGAACAGGCAAGAAAAATCGAAGGGAAAAAAGAAGAGTAAGAAACCAAGGCTGCGAAGGAGCAGCTAGGATTCTTCCAAATCCCAATTCCTTCGGGACTGGGTCGGCGCTAGGCAGGATCCTCGCCTATGGTTTGGCAGACTTACGTTGCTTTTGCTGGCTCGACCGGGTGACTGGCTGACCTAGTGAGTGATTGCAGCTCCGACTAAGACTTTGTGACTCTCGAGCGGTCTAGCAACATGCTATTGACGACCCAGAATCTGACCTCAACAACGATACTGGCTACGCTGGATCTCCATCTTTCTGGGGTGATCGTCATGATAGTGCTAATCCTACACGAAAGTGGCAAAAGAGGACATTAAGGTCGCGGTCGGTGGATGGGGGCGTTGGCCCCCATCCGACGGTCGGATAGCCCAACATTGGGTGCAGATATACGAACGGGCGGAATCAAACACACAACCTTAATAGTTCATCCAGCACCGCGGGAAGTGCAATCCTAATGGGCCAGCTCAACGGCGATGCATCCGTTGGGCGGGCAGACAGTACCTGCAGGAGGCAAACACGACCGATATTCGAGCCAGGTTCGGTGGATCACTCGATCCAGCAAGGTGTCCGTGAAAATGCGGTGTACGCAGGTTGGATGCGGCGTGTCATGTCGGACATCCGGTGCTGGCCAGTGGGCAGGGGATTTCCCCGACCGTTGGAAAATGAGTGGTCACATTGAGTGGGCATGGCATGTCGCGATGAGGATGGATGGAGGTATGTATGCAAGTATGTCCAGATTTAGTTCTCTCCGCGCGGTGCGCGAAGCAGCAATGGGGAGAGGCCTAGGCAGCCTCACATGATCGATTCTTCATGCACGACAATGTAACTTACATGTGGTGGTGGATCAGTACAGTATGGTACCTCTGGGTAATGTGTATGTATGAAACGTTTATAAGTATGGTATTACCGTAATATACATCATGGCCTCAGTCACCGACTACGAACATGTTGCAGTCATCAACCAAATAACCAACCCAATCCGAATCCCAATCCCCAGACAGAAGAATTCCATCAATCGATTACCTCTACAGAGTACGGAGTACGGAGTAATAAAATGTAAGACCGAACTCGTCCCAATCCCAACCCGCCACGACACCATACACCCACCCACCCATCCAACTCAGCCCCAAACCAAGACACATGGCAAGACACAAACAGATACCTCCAGACCGACGGGCCGAAACCAAAGAAACTGATGGAAGATTTACACTTAGGTTAGGTTAGGTAACTAAGGTAGTATGTACGTGCCTAACCTGCACCTCCCATCTGTACTGTACGTCCCCCAACCAATGACCACCGCAAATAGACAAATAATCGACACTGAGGGGGATGGTGATTGGTGGGGGTGGGGTTATGTATGTGGCTTTTTTGGGGATTTCTTGCATTAGTTTGGTTGGGTTGGGACGTTTAATTATCATGATTTGGAGTTGGGGATTTAGGTTTGATGGATTGTATGGAGTACTTGTGGTTGTTTGGTGTGGTGGTGGTGGTGGTGGTGGTGGTGGTGGTGGTGGTGTGTATAAGTTTTGCATTATTTATGAATCTTCTTCATTCCGTTTGTTGTACTTGTTTGTGTGTGTTTAATATATACTTAGCTTAGGCCCTGATTCATCTTCGCATTTTATATGAGACTGGCTGGCTGCCTAGACACTTGCGTTGCCGAGGTTAAACAGAATGGATGAATATCATAAGGCTACAACTATTCTCAGCAGAGAAGTACGTACCTACCCGCGATGTACTTTGACCACTCTCGATGTATCCCATATGTACCTACCTGTCAATCAAACATGCATGTAAGCAGCAAGCAAGCAGCGGCAGCAGCAGCGGCAGCGGCAGCAAGCAATCAAGCCGCGTTTCGAATCAATCGGTTGATTCATATCTGAGACATGGTCGATAGTACTACTCCGCATATAATAGAGGGGGCTAGGCTAGGCTAGACTAGGCGGGATGGGAATATTCTTGTTTGGGTATGTTAATCTAATTTATTCTGTTGTAGAGTTTTTGGCATTATTGTCGAGTTGGGTTTGGAGGAGTAAGTACTCTGAAGTAAGCAAGTAAGTAATCCGAACTACATGATTCAAACTAACTAACCCCCACCCAACAACACATGCATCGGTCATATATATAGCAGAGGGTAGACAGAAACAGTAGCTCGAAGCGACCATGGCTTCCGGATGTGGTTAGTCTACTATTTGTCTCATCAAGATCGCTATGTATATGTCCATATACATAGGTGAAGTAACCAAGGAGAAAGAGATACATCGTCAAGAATAGAGTACATCCAATAACCCATGTTTAATAATATGAAAGATAGAATATATTAAGTTGGGCATCTTATGATTATGACCAACCTAATCTGCTAGGTAGGAAGCAGCAGGTAAGGTAGCTACCTAACCACTACCTTACCTACCTACCCTACCCTACCTTACTATAGTAGATCTGTTGTTTGCTTACTTGTTTGCTTAAACCCTTGCTTCAACTACTATCAAAACCGTATAACGTATCGCCCACGCTCCGTATATGCAGTCTACCACAAACAGTGCTATGCATATAGCCTAAATACTATATCAGCCCAACGTAACTAAATCAGGGAATAGGTAGCAAACAATACATACATACACACATAGTAGGGAGAGGAAGTAAGTATCTTCATGCACGTAAGCCCTTTACTACCGACATGGACATGGACATCACCGACATGCAGGATGCATATGCATACACCACTACCAGAATCAACCACCACCACCACCACCCCATCTATATCATCCATCCCTCCACATGTAAGTAAGTAGAGAATATATCCACATACACAGTATGTAATGTAATGCACATCCTTCACTACTCCTGCAAGTATGCGTTTGATCTGAGTTGTACTCACACACATACACATACACATACACATATACATACATATATGCAGTTTATTATCGAGTATCTACCCCTTACTTCCATGCAAGTTGAGCTGCACTTACAACTAACTCATTCATCACTCACTCAGCACTCAGCACTCAGCACTCAGCAACTAACCCAACAATTACAAACAAGTAATAAAGCATAGCCCGATTCCCATCCCAACTGATCCCCCAACCAATCGCCTTACATTACGATTTGGAATTAGGTATCTATGCTTTTGGGGTTGGGGTTGGGTTTGGGCTTGGCGAAGTGGATTGTTTGATCAGTTGATGTGGGTGAGATTGGGTTTGGTTTGTGTGACCTATGTCTGTATGAATGTATGCAGGTGTGTGTGTGTGGTTGTTGGTGGAATGGACTGAGGAAGGGTTAGTAGATGTGCATGATGTATGTATGTATGCATCATGGATATGCTTGAGGATTTACCTGGTTGGGTTGATTAGTGGTTGTTGGGGTAGTGATTGTGTTACCTAGCTGTGGTTTATCTGGGGTAGTGTAGAGTTGGATGGGTGGTGGAACTGGGGACTGTACTGTGTTTGGCTATCTATGGGATTGGATCCTGCTCTATCCATGCTGGTATCAGGTATGCTGGTATCAGGATATGCTATTATTCACCGAATGGATAAACCTCGGTGTATCATACAATCATCATTTATCTTGGCAGTACTCACTCACCAATGTCACAAAGACACGTACATCTCATGCAGCGCCATCAAGGCACCCTCATCACAACTGAGTTCGTCCTACGAGACAACAAACACGTCCAAAGTTCCACACGCCTCGGCTGCAACTGCAACTGCAACTGCAACTGGCTACAGCTTCGTGCCCAGGTTGACATGGATCGCCTTGGTCTGCGAGTACGCCTCCAAGCCGGCCTCACCCAGCTCCCGCCCAATTCCACTCTGCTTCACACCACCGAATGGCACGCGGAAATCACTATCGTTGCTGCTGTTAATCCAGACCATACCCGCCTCAATCTCCGACGCAACCCGGTGCGCGCGCTCAATGTCCTTGGTGAACAGTGCAGCGCCCAGCCCGTACGTCGTATCGTTGGCGCGTGACACGGCCTCCTCTTCCGTCGAAAAGCTGGCAATCACCACAAACGGTCCGAAGACCTCCTCGCGGTAGATCCGCATGTTGTCCTTGACGTTGGTAAAGACGGTGGGCGCAATGAAGAAGCCCTTGCCATCGCCCACGTTCTTGAACGGCTCGCCACCGGCCACCAGGGTCGCGCCCTCGGACTTGCCGGCTTCAATATAAGAGAGCACGCGCTCGTACTGGGCCTTGGTGACCTGGGGTCCCTGGAAGGTGTCATCCGCAAAGGGGTCGCCAACCTTGCTGGTGGCGGCCACCTCCGCCTTGAAGAGGGCCACAAACTTGTCATAGATGGACTCGTGCACCAGGATACGGGAGGTGGCGGTGCACACCTGTCCCTGGTTGTACATGATGCCCACATGCGCCCATTTGGCGGCCTGCTCGAGGTCGGCATCGTCGAAGACCAGCAGGGGTGACTTGCCACCAGTCTCCAGTGTGATGTTCTTTAAGGTACCAGCAGCCATTTTCATGATCTCCCGGCCAGTCATCGTCGATCCGGTGAACGCAACCTTGTCCACACCAGGGTGGTTCACGAGGGCAGCGCCAGCAACTCTGCCATGACCGTTCAGGATGTTGACCACACCTGGCGGGAAGCCAGCCTCCTTGATGAGGTTGGCAAGATAGAGGATGCTCAACGGGGTCTGCTCAGCCGCCTTCATAACAATGGTGTTGCCGCAAGCCAAAGCAGGGCCCAACTTCCAGGCAGCCATCGCCAGGGGGAAGTTCCAGGGGATGATCTGACCCACCACACCGATGGGCTGGCGGAGGGTATAGGCAAACTTGGCCGGGGTGGTGCTGATGGTTTGGCCGTGCACCTTGTCGGCGTATCCGGCATAATACCGGAGGGTGTTGAGGACCTCACCCAGGTCGTCGTTCAGGGAAACGGAGTAAGGCTTGCCTGGAGAGGGTCAGTCATGAAGAATCACCATGGGTCACTTGCACGCTGCTCACCATTGTCCCACGTCTCAATCGTGGCCAGCGTCTCCCGGTGCTGCTCGATCAGGTCGGCCAGCTTCAACATCAGGACGCCCCGCTCAGTGGGAGGCAGCAACTTCCATGAGGGGTCGTTGAAGGCTTTACGGGCCGCCTTCACAGCACTGTCAACATCTTCTTCCCCCGCCGCATAGACGGAGACGATCTCGGCTTCATTGCTGCATCTAGTCAGCATCGATCTATCGGACGGACTCGGTTTCACTTACGAAGGGTTGATGGAGGCGAGCTTGTCGCCCGACTTGGAGGGGACAAACTCGTTGTTGATGAAGAGACCAATGGGCTGGGCATACGAGCGCCCGTTCGGGGCCGTCAACTGTACGGAGAGATCGCTCATGGTGAATGGAGAGGAGTGGAATCGACGAGAGGCAGCTGGTAGACGGGACAAAGGCAGGCCACGCAAACGCAGAGGGACTCGGAGGGGGAGAGAGAGGAGAGGAGCGGGGAAGAGAACGGGCATCGAGGTGGCGGACCGATTTATGGCGAGGGCAAGGAGAAGGAGAGTGATAGATGAGTCTTGTTGATTAGTTAGCGAATGGTGATTACGGATGGATTGCCGTGAAGCTTACGTCCCCGCCAGCGATAACCGGAGGGCGAATGGGAGGGCGAATCCCCCGCCGGTCGCCCCTCTTCGCATACACTTGCTCTTCTCGATCGTCTCCCTTCTTTGCTCCCTTTTTACCCCCCCGACTCGGAACTCACTTCCATCCTCCCCGGCGTCTTGCCACGAACCTGATCCAGAACGGTTCGAAACACCGAGCAATTCATCTCAGTCAGACCCCATCCGCAGCTCATCCCCAGCTCCTCCGCATCCCTTTCCCTGATCCCGCCGGTGCCAGCCTGGCAGCCTGGCAGCTCTCGCGTGCATGCAGCTTGCATCCCTATCCCCAATCATCGCCCTTCCGACTTCTCCAGCCTAATCGCTGCGCTGTACCATCACCACCACCCCGCCTACCGTGTCTCCCAACGATTGAATCCATTCTACCCCACGAGGCTTCACTACAATTATCTGAATCGGTTGGACAAAACGCATCGGGACCCCATACATAATCGCAAACAAGGAAGCCTGCACCGCAAGCCAGTGCCGCTCGATCGGACCACGGCATGAGCGGCTCTCCTTGGACCTGGCTCGGTTGTCTACATGCATAACATCGTGGCCAAAGCAGAGCAGTGTCCGCTGCATCCGCTCATCCGCTCATCCGAAGCTCCGAAAGTCCCTTGATTGTACAAAGTAAATATGCGCATATCGAATTCCACAAGAGTACGTCATCCCAGAATCGCTATAATTAAATCGCTATATCCTTTACTCGCTGGAGCCAGGCTCGTCGCCTCCAGCACTGTCATCATTCGAGGCTTCAGCTGCCTCGGCCTGAAGCTCGTTTCCCTCCGCGAGCCCCATTATGTACTCCCACTCGGCGGCGCTGATGGGGGTCACGCTCAGCCGTGACTGTTTGAGCACCTGCAGGTTCTCAAGGGCACCTCCGAGGCTGGCATGTGACTTGAGCTCGTTCAACGTGACGAGGTTCTTGAACTTGCGCTGGAACTGCACATGGACCACCTGCCACTTGGGGTTATCGCGGTTCGACTTCTCATCGTAGTATGGGTGGGCAGGATCGAAGGCCGATTCTAGAGGCACTCGCGTGTTAGTTGACCGTACTGGGTCCAGGAGAGGCGTGTTGGGACTAACCATCCGGGGAGTGCTCTTGCACAATCTCCATTACACCCGCAATGCCGGGGACTTTGCAGTTGGAGTGGTAGAAGAAGGCAAAATCGCCCTTCTTCATCTCTCGCATGTGTTTTTGTGCTGTGTCTGTGAGCCAGGTGCTAGCAACACCGCCAATGAGTTTACTTACCAACAGGGTTACGCACACCTAGTAAGAAGTTAGCAGAAATCAGAATATGCCAGCTCTTGCTGGAAACATACCGTCCCAAGGCTCGGGCTCCTTGCGGGCCCGCAGATCATCGATGGAGAATTTTACATCAACACCCTTCTCCATCCGTGACTCCGGCTCGGCCTTCATTAGCCAGTATGAGCGCTCCTCTGAGGCTTCGGCTTCAGCTGTCTCTGTCTTGGTCTTGGACGGTGTGGAGTTGGTTCCATTCTGGGTCGGAGTCTTCCTCGGTCTACCGATGGGCCGTCTGCCTTCCTTGGGAGTCGTAGGCTTAGAGGGGGTAGCTAGTACGTGTCAGTAGATCATGTATCAATCCCCATAGCGAAGTACTGTCTACAGAACGACGGAACGATAAAGGAACCTGTAGGGAGATCGACATCGAATTAGGGTATAAGGGAACTGACGGGCATTCGGGTCTTTACGAGGACGGCCACGGCCTCTTTTGGGGCCGTCAGGACGCTTGGGAGTGCTACCCTCAGGGTACTTTCTGGGACGACCCCTCTTTCTCTTCTCTCCGGTAGCAGGAGTCTCGGGAGCGGCCTGCGCGAGAAAGTTATTAGCTTGGCGTGAGCATATAAGTGTAGGAACAGATTCGTTTCCGTTCGTGTTGACGGTGAGCGTCGATCTTTTCTAGCCTTTGGGAAGGATGCGGCGAAGACACCATGAACAGCCATTGGGCGGTGATCGCGTATTAAACGGCCGACTGGTCTGGTGGTCGGACACACTACCTCACGACTATTCACGGACTTGTAAATAAAAAATAACCTACAACTCTCTTCGCAGCAGGAGAGCCTGACTCCTCGGCGATTGACGCGCTCTCCGACTTGCGTTTCCTTTGGGGGGGCATGGTTGGTTGATAGTTGATGGAGGATGGATATCTGAGCGATAAGATCCACGGAAGTTGGGGGGAGGAAACGGAAGCAAAGATCAATCGAGGTCAAAAAGGGACAAGAGATGAGCAAAACAATGGGACCAGCCAGTCAGGAGCGAGAAGGCGGGGAAGCGCTGGAGCAGTTGAGACACGAGGATCCAGACGCGCCTAGAAGTGAGCCAGCCAGCCAGTCAGTCAGTAATAAAGAGTAGCGCTTCCTAAGAGGAAGTGCTGATACGGTCACGAAGACTAACCTAGATATAAGCCAGCAGTCTCTTCTGGAGTAGAAAAGAATGACTAGATAAGACTTGCTTGGGCAAATATCATAACACAATATCAAGCAAGATAGGTGAAGCTCTGTTTGCGCCCGGGGACGAGTGGACGAGTGGACGGGTCAATTCGTCGGGACGCGCGGTGGAGCCCCTTGGGCGATCCGCCGGATCACGTGGCACGGACGTGTCGCTGGTTCAGGTACTTATCAGGTACCACCCTCAGGCAGACCAGGAAACCAGAAACCAAGAAACGCGTGCTAAATGGGATCATGATTGCTCACCCTTGAGCTAGGTGCCCCGTGAGCCCACTCCTCAGTGTACGGAGTATGGTGCAGACCATTCAGGATTGTGATTCTGCCTAGCTTGACCCTGTACCACCAGCTACATCCCCTACTATTAGACACTATCTCAATATTTATCCCGCCGGGGTGCATCCATCCAGCCTCCCATTTACTAAGTCCGGTTAACAAGCCCATTGAGTCGTACTGATTGGCCACCATGATCCCGGACCTGGCTTTCCGGTCCATAGAGAAGCTTCGACTGGGACAGGCCTTGATTGCAGGTCGAAGAGGATAAAATAGAAGTATTTGCTGCAAGCCCATGTTTGCCTTCTGCATTTCGATCCTCATTGGTTTCTATGCAAGGAGCTGGTTGTCAACCGTCAATGAAATCCGAGCAGGTTCTGCACCTCAGGTATCCATTCCATACATTGCATGGTCTGGTACTTTGTAAAGATGCATAGAAGATAGCCGGTTGTGAACCCTTTTGCCGCAGATTAAGCAGCAGTGAGCATACTCTAGCGTTATGTTCTGACAGTCCCCTCACTTTATATTGTAGCCGATCCGATGTACTTGAATCTCAGAGCCCGTCTACTGATGGATCCAAAGTCGCTGCTATCAGTCTGCGGCAGATTTTGTTGATAAACCTCCTTCGCTATGATTTTGGCGTGCTGGCTTCCCCTTTAACTGACTCCCAGCATAGTGACAGGGATATTCGTCAGATCTGAGAGCCGATTCCTTGGGCATTGATCAAGAGAATCACCCTGAAGCTTAGTAGAACAAACCACATCGATACCAACGTATCATATATAGTATATTCCAATGCCTTCGAACGCACCGACCGTTGTCATTGAATACGCAGGTATGATTGGCATACAACACCACTTCTCATTTCGTCAATCGGTACTTTGTGGAGCATGGCATTATATACGTTGATTGAAAGTGTTTGATTCCGAGATGTGAGATATCTCTAGACGTTGTACAGCGGCGATGAGCGCCTTGCTGACAACCCTGCAAAACATGTGAGCACATCAATCCGTAATCAGGCGACAATCATGGCATCTATTGATGCAACTGTCAGCAACGTGCCGTTGGAGATGGGTTGTGGGCTTTCAGTCCACACAGCTAGTCATAAACGTGAAAGCACATTCAACCTCTCGCTTCGAAACGACAGCAATCTGTCTCGGCAACAGATGCATAATTTGAGTATTGAACAGTATGTGCACTAGTTTTGAGTCGGAGTCGTTGCAAGGCAAATTGCCTCCATATGCACGAGGCATCGTTATGTTGTAAGTTCGCAATAAACTGGATCCGGGGTATGTTGCATTCGTTTCAAGCCACTCAATAATGTCAGTCTTTCCTTGGTGGACATTGTAGCTTCGAGGCGAATTTATATCTCATACATGTCTGTTCGCTCAATGAAACCTTGGGTGGTAGTGGGTCAACCTGGCTCGTTAGTACTTGACATCCCGGAAACGGGCTTCTCGGGGACCTTAGGAGACGATGGAGGAGTAGAGATAACGCCCTTCCCTAGAGGTGTCCTTCTAACAGTAGTTGCTTTTTCTTGGGCATGGACTATCTACTGTAGTAGCGTAGTCAATGGATAAAAAGCCACCAGAAAGATGGGAAAGACGATGTGCACAATTGCGCCATCAGGCCAGGTCACCATTGGCTCCAACGCATACGATGGTCGGCCGAGCCATTTTCTTGCGAGGCAGTCGGCCGATAGCTCTCGGGTGAGAACTGCTTATGAACACTGGAAATCGATCGAAACAAGAGAGGTTCGTTGTATTTGATGATTTTGTGACGGTGAGTATGTAGTAGCCACATTCGGACAAGATATCGAATGTTGACAGGAGAAAGATGCAGGAGCCTGGAGGAGCATGAACCAGAGCCCTCGCACGGTTCCCCTTAGCTTAGGCGCAATGCCGGAACTAGAGCACGGTAGTGTTAAGGTCACGGTTCGTCCCTTGGGATCCCTTGGATACTCGTCCGAGCTGAAGCCCGGAGGGGGAGGGGCTGTTCCCAATGCGGATGCACTAAACATCCCACCCTCAATGAGCTCATGCGGGCCCAATCATGGCCGTTCTGCCTCCCGGGCGGTGGCAGATTGCGTGATCGGATCGCCCTCCAGCCGGCCGCCATTCGCCCAGGCGGGCCTTGGAGGTTGGAGGGGCATTCAAGCTGTCCTCCAGAGTCCAGAGTCCATCCCCATTCATTCCATTGCGACCTCGGGGCTCCTTGGGGTATATTTAGTACTTCCGGCTTCCTCCTCCGCGTCATATTCTCTTGCTTTCCCTCTCATCCTTCTTTTCCAACAAACTCTTTCCAAAAGTTCATACCCCTCTACACTTCTCCCCACTTTCACAATGGCTCAGGAACGTGCTCCGTAAGTACTATCAATCATCTCCTATCTATCTCAAGTGGTTCCATTCATTTCTGACATGAGACCCCTCAGTCTCCGCCTCGGCTCTGTTGCCCCTAACTTCGAGACCGACACCTCCAACGGTCGCATCACTTTCCACGACTACATCGGCGACAGCTGGGCTATCCTCTTCTCTCACCCTGTTGGTCTTACCAAGCACCGTCAGTTACAAGTATGCAGAACAAAGGCTAACATCGCCGCAATTGGTATAGGATGACTTCACTCCCATCTGCACCACCGAGCTTGGTGCCTTCGCCAAGCTCGAGCCTGAGTTCACTGCTCGTGGCGTCAAGCTCATCGGTCTGAGCGCCAACGGTACTGAGTCCCACCACGCCTGGATTAAGGACATCAACGAGGTCAACGGCTCCAACCTCACCTTCCCCATCATCTCCGACCCCGAGCGCAAGATCGCGTACTTGTACGACATGGTTGACTACCAGGACACCACCAACGTTGACTCCAAGGGTACTTCGTTCCAGCCTTGTCACCATGAATTATCAACTAACATAATCCAGGCCTGGCTCTCACCATCCGCTCTGTCTTCATCATCGACCCCAGCAAGAAGATCCGTCTGATCATGTCCTACCCCGCCTCTACTGGTCGTAACACCGCCGAGGTCCTCCGTGTTGTCGATGCTCTGCAGACCACCGACAAGCACGGTGTCACTTGCCCCATCAACTGGCTCCCTGGTGATGATGTTGTCATTCCTCCCCCCGTCTCCACCGAGGATGCCCAGAAGAAGTTCGGCGAGGTCCGCGTCGTCAAGCCGTGAGTGATCCATGGCCGATAGTGACGTGGTAAATGCTAACGCGATGTACTAGTTACCTGCGCTTCACCACCCTCAAGAAGGAGTAAATTATGACACTGTCTTACTCAATCAACTTCAATTGACCCTCCATGGAGGTGTGGTAAACCATTGTGAATAAAAGTCATGATGGGGTTGATAGAGGGAGCACGGTATGAAAGTTATGGCTTGATGTGTAATAATTTGATACCTCATGACAAAACAAATTGATTATCTGGACATCCGAACAATATGGTAAAAGTCCGTCCTAGCTCAATATGTAGTCAAATAATGCTGCATGATGGTGATCCCAACGCAGGAACCACACCGGGTTGTATGGGTTCCTGCATGCACACCGTAACTTGTACTATGTAATATGATTGATCCACGGTTGTCCGACCCAGTCAGGTGGCGATATGTACTTGAGATACATCTGCAGAACACATCCATCCTGGGATCGGGACAAACCAGCTAACACATCCCAAACCGAAACCCACCTCCAAGATCAAGTGTACTTCTTCTTCTTTGTTCGCCTGCTAATCAAAGATAAATATAGAGAGTAGTAGAAAGTACTCCGTAATCCCGATCACAATCACAAATCCTTCTACTAGTAATAACAACTAAGCCTTTACGCTTCTTCGTCGTTATTCCTGCCCAACAATGCAAAATTTCTCATTTCACTTTTGTCCCTTATACACTGTCACTATGTATATGCGCGCCGAAATCGGACCGAGGCTTTGGAGTCTGGACACATCACACCGACTACGATAGACCTTGTTACCGATCTAATTAGATAGTCAAGGACACTACTGATTATGGGTTTGATACGTCATAGGATGCTCTGTACCTAGGTTCATCTCTGCTACTAGTGGTTTGGTGCCTACCTGGCCCTCCTTTGGGTTTGTTGTTTAGGTGAGCAGGTAGTATAGTAGGGAGTCAACCTACCTATTTTCCTTTTTGATTTGTGAATTGTGGGATATCTCCTCGGTCAGAAGTAGGTACCGTACTTACCTAGGAGATGATACTTGCAGGGATGGGATTGGTAGTTGTCATGACTTGCAGGGGCTTTTTCTTGTTAGAGTGGAAAGAGCCGCTTTAGATAATTAGTGGGCTCGTCCAAGTTGCGGCTTCGTGCGCGACACTTGTTAGAGTGCTATGAGGGCGCATGTATGTATTTCCTACTGTATATGTTGTGTTGTTTAATCGTAGAACTACGACTGACCGTTCGGTATTCTAGTTGTATGTGTGTAGGGCAAGAAAGACGACTGTTCTTCTTTTTCGCTCATGAAAAGATTGGCTGACTCGAAACGCACGTAAAGCAATTTCATAAAGACATTAAACCCGGCTTTGGACGTTATTTCGTTGACTGGACAAGACCCACGTTTCCCAAAAGTTACTCTGGTTATGCTTGACGCTCACGCCGTCATCTCCGAGGCCGTCGACGGTAACGGCTCTCAGCTGCTCGGGGGTCATATTAGGATATGAGCGAGAGGGTGAGTAATAGTCCGTGTTGAGGACGGCCTTGTGAGGGGGCAGGATGGCCGTGGGTTGCACAACGATCGCAAGTGTCGGCGTTTGAGAGCTACCGGTACCGTGTCCGATGGGGTTGGTGTTGATGCTGGTATCAAAATGACTCGCGTAGTCGATGCCACGCAGGTCTATGTGGTCAAGGTGATCCATGTCATCGTGTAGAACGGAGAGAACGTCGCGCCACCGTCCTCCGGGGCGAATATAGATATGGGCTAGTCGGACGTCACGGAGCTGTCGCCTGTGCCGGCGAATGAGTGCGATGATTTCTTCCGACCCGAGGCGCCAGCCCTGGATACTCAGGGTTCGGAGACTTTTCCACTGGAGGTGGTGGAAGATTTGCTCCAGAGCGAGGTCCAGCGGCGCAATGGCTGGGAAGCCTAAGTGGATAACCGTAAGATTTTTCGCGGCTAGAAAGAAGTTGTGGAAGACGCTGGAGAGCGTCTCCATGTACTTGGACAGGTTGGCTGCGGAGTGGAAGGTTACATCCAAGCTTGTCAATCGTGCGCCCAAGGCGGACAGACTGGTGGACGGCGCCTGTAACAGTCTCACTGTCGCCTCCGGACTGATCTGTGGCCCGACAAACCTGACAGAATTACAATTGGACTCCAGCAAAGAAATGCTTAGGTTTGTGACAGCTCTGGTACATGCTGGTTCCCAATCCAAGCGCGTGGCCCTTCCCAACGAGCGTTCGCGTATATGATCGAGTAATTGTTCGTCTGCTCCGTCCTGCAACCGGAGAAGCTTGACCTGCTGGAGGAACGGGAATGCTGCTATCGCGCGTCGCAGCAACAGCAGATCGCGGTTGGAATCAACTATGTGTCTTTGGTCTTGGAGCCGACGCCGGTGTATGGAGGAAACGGGGAGGTTGTCTACATCGACCCCATCAAGAATATGGGACCAGCCTAGATGATCATCAGCTGTACAATCCCAGCACGCGGGGCAGGTCTTCAGAGACGGTACCGCTTCCTTGGTAGAAGGGTCGCACCATGTACGTAAAATATCTGACATGGCAGGCTAGCTGCATGTTCAGAAGATCCTCCAACCGTTGAAAGCCGTCGGACGAGAATCGGAGTATAAAAAGATGGAACTTCCGGGGAGTACTAATTCGCTCGAACCTTCTACAGACGAGTCTGAAGCGGTCCAATTCGGACTTCTCGCCAAATGCATGAGCCGAGGGATCGTGCGAGTCGGGAGACGAACCGTGCGGACTCGTTGGGGACGGTTCGGGGGAGGGACTTTCTGAGCCCAGAAGGAACGCGAGGATATCACTGATCAGTTCATCCGCCAAGTCCTCAATGCGTCGTGGTTTCTCCATGGTTTTCGCACAGCGAAGCAGCCGCGTGGTCGGCTGCCCTGGTCACTAGCACCAACATGGAACCAAGCCAGGTGCGAGAGGGAATGACAAACGAATGCGCGCTTTGGTCAGAGGCTCGAGGGAAGAGAGATGAGCAGGATGGGACCGACCCCAATTATAAGAACAGGCGATCGAAAGGGGATAAGCAAAATGCGACGGAAGACCGCAGGGAGCTTTTAAAGGATCATGACGGAAAAAATGAGGCGCAATTTGAGAAAAAGAAATTAAGAATTGGAGAAGGGGAGGACGAAAGTGATACATCCCCTCGCGCCCCCAAGCACATTCTCTATCGACTGCAGAGCAGACAGCGGGCCACAGACGCAGCTCATGCAGCAAGTCAACCTGTCTGACATGAGTTAGAGCGTCCCACCGTGACATTCCCGTCGATCCAGTCGACTGGGATCACCACCAGTTTCTCGCCAGGACCGTCATCCCCTCGGGCGATCAGACGACTGGATATTGGCTAAGAAGCAGGCACACAGGAGTCACATGATCGAAGCATCATGCGGGTTATCCACCGCGAACCTGCAGGACAAGTCGTAAAGGAGGAGGAGGATTGGTAGAAAGGACAACAGCTGGCTGGACCGGGGATAAGGAAGAGGAGGAGGGGGGATGATGCGACAGGAGAGTTTGATGCGAGTAGACGCCCACTGCAAGGGAACCCCGCCTGGGAAGCGAATCATCGCGGCCTGTAGTTCCCAGCCTCGAAGCTGCCCACGGCATTTATTCCCTCCTTTTCCCCCTGTCTCCGGAGCATAGCGCAATGGATGGGCCCCATCGAGCTGTCGCGATGCAGAACTGGATCGGAATCGCCAACAAAGACATTGCGTTGGTTCGGAGAGTTGCCTCGCGTGGGGAGCTGTGAGGGAAAGGATCAACAGCACCTAAAACGCTCTGGGCCAGTAGCCCCCGAATCCAAGGCGCAATCCCAAACACCGGGGAGATAAGATGAGTGGTGGTCTGTTCTCCTTTCTCCCCCCGTGAGCACAAACAACTCCGAATAAGTCCTAGGAGTCAACTGGGCACGTTGTTGCTTAGGGGTAATTCTGTCAACAAAGAAATAATAAAGAGCAGAAATCAAAAACAATAGGGAAACAAAAAAAAGAGAAATAGACCCCTATACGCATGGGCCGAGACCGTCTATTTTACAAACCCAGGAACCCCCCCTTGGCGCCGTTCCATCCTCTGGACGGGCCATGGCCGCACGACAATCAGTACAATAAATGCATGATTCGCTTTGCTGTCCCATGCTGCTGAGATGCCGGCAATGTATGTACAAGATCATGTCGTGCCCAATCATCCCCATACCTGCACGCCTGTCATCTTCCGTTTCAGGACAGCTGTCCATGTCTAGAGGCTGACGACTGGATAGAACAGCTGCCCGCATTCTGCCAGTTCACTGCGCGAATTATTTCGTCGCCATTTCTATCCGACGTCGCCTGATATCTGTGCTGCTTATCTTGGATGCAAAGTTCTCGACATCATCGGTGGGGACTTCTCCGGTATGCAGCACATCGACTTCAAACACCTCCAGGCTCTCCCAGCCTTTCTTTGCGCGCTCCTCGTTGACGGCGGCTCCACCTGCGCGAGTCTCTCGGGAAACAACTAGAGCGCCAATGCCCTGGTCGGTGACGGTAGGACCAAAAGGATCCGTGATCTGTACCAGCTTGAAGACTAAATCCGGCCGAACTTGCATCTGAATGTATTTGCCATCGGGTCCAGGCCCAGACGCTCTTTCAATGCGCGGCGCGCTGGCCTCCGGGCGACGGAAATCCATGATGGCCATGAGGAATGACCCGGTGCTCGCGCATCGCTCATCCCAGCTCTCCAAAAACTCTGCGTACTTCTTTTTCGCCAATAGACCCTCTCCTGTCACTCCAACGGTGATCTGACGCACTTTACCTGTGTCTGCATCTTCAGCAGGCTGCAAAGCCAAGGCCGTAGCCGTGAGCAGAAGCTTGTGTCCAATATGGAAATGATCGAAAGTGCCCCCTACAGCCACCGAGTAATGCGTGCTCGATTTGTTGGCATCCTCCAAGATCAGAAGGGATTCTGGAGCAGTCCAGTTGGGTGCTTCTGGGATTGCGTGCAGAGACCCGGCATTGGGATCCTTGGACGGAGAATAAAAGCTACTGAAGGCCGTGGCCAGATTCCGACCTACTTGGTTATCAGGGTAGTATATGTAGTCCCATGGTCGTCCAGACTGAGCCAGCGTCTGCAAGTCAATAATCGGGCCATCGCGTGGTTGGTCTCTGGTGACGGCAGCACTCTGGACCGAATCAAAATCGAGTAAGATCACCCGGACATCGATCCCACCAGGCCCGTCGAGCTCGAGATTCTGCTCGACACATACAATTCCAATAAGCCTATAGATGCTTTCCAAGAAAGACTGAAGGCTTGAAAATGCTCTCGTCCATGGCCGACATGCCGGCGACAGAAGCCCGGGAAGCGAGAGCGCAATATCTAGAATCGCCGTGCGGTTGGCACCGTTAAGCTCTTGGACCAGTTTGGAGCAGACTGCCAACAGAATGGGCTCGTAGGCAGCCTTGAACTGGTCAAAGGAGGCCGACGGAGGCGGTGGCAGCAGGAGCAGGGCCGAGGTCTGGTCTGAAGCCATATTGCGGGGAGGAGGGGAAGCTCACCGGCGGAGCCTAGTAGAGGAAGGAGGTGGCAATAATATAGATTCGGGTCGAGAGGGAACAATGAAGGAAAGATATGGAACGCAGTAGACCCGTTCGATCGTAAGAACTTGCAGGCCAGCGACCGAATTGAAGCGTTCTGCCACCTCCAACCCCGATGCTGATGCTGATGAAGGGAGCGCAGGAATTCCCCGCGATCTGGGAGGCTGAGTCAGCAGCACGAGACTCCCCTCGGCGGCCCTTCGCTGCCTCATCGCTTCTCCCTCCGGCCCATTCGTCCTCTGCAGGCATTCCCTTCCCTCGTTCGAGCTCCAGGATGTCTCTCTGACTCCCTGACAGGCTTTCTTCTCTGACATGACCCAGATCGTGCCCATCCCTGGTGCAGTCGGAGCTCCTAGCGCCTTCCCCCCTCTCTCCGGATAGTCCTCGCACCCTCGTTATCGTCCGACCTCTTCGACCCCGGACCCTATCTGAGAGTCTCATTGAGCTCCAACTGCTGTGCAGTGGATAGATCACTCCTTTTTGGTGACACTCTTATCCTTCAACCGCTGTCATGTCGAACCCTACGCAGCCTTTCGAATCTCGGCGGGCGACAAGCTACGGCCGACCTGAGGAGCTTCATATTCCATCCGCGGCCCCCAACCTGCAACGACAGTCGATGTCCCATGAGTATACAGCGGGGACAGATAACCACGTCCCTTCTATTAATGTTCACCCATCGGGGTCACAACCGGGTCAATACGGAGCTGGAAGCAGCGGCGCGAGCGGAGTTCTCCCGGGAGCCCTCCAGCCAGGCAACGTCAACCGCCCTCCTGTGGTGTCAGTCAACACAGCGCCTTCGGCTCTGCCAACGCTACCAGAAGTAAACACACCTATGCAGACAGCACTACCATCGGGGCAGCAGCAGCAGCCGCCGCTGCCGCAACAACAGCAGCAAGCACAGTCACAAGCTCAGCCCCAACCGCAGCAGCAGTCGACCAACCCCCGGTCCAGTATGGTTAATTCTCACGGGCATTCTAGATCCAGCCCCGCAGGATTCGAGCAACCAAAATACAGACAGCCGGGCTCTTCACCTGGTGCTGGTTATCCACCCCAAACCCCTCAAGGCGCTAAGTACTCGCCTTTGGGTCTAGCTGACATCCGACCGACCGGGGACCTATTGAGTGACCCAATTACCGGCTCTGGGATGCTACCGTTCAATGGGGAAAATCAGGTGCCGACAAATAGCAACTATATTGCTCCCTGGCCTATCTATTCCATGGATTGGTGCAAATGGCCCATCACCGGGAGTTCCAGCTCCTTCGGCGGCAAGGTCGCCCTGGGAAGCTACTTGGAAGATAACCACAACTACGTACGCATATACCTACTTCTACCATCACTCTCACCCTCATAGCCACAGGCATGTTGACTCCGAGTAGATACAAATCATAGATACCCATTGGGCACAACCAGACCCGGACACGCCGGATGCGGCAGCAGGAGAGATCAAGCTCGAATACGTGAAAACCGCAGAAGCCACCCATTCGTACCCAGTCACACGGATACTCTGGGAACCACCGTCGTCTCAAAAGCAATCTACCGACCTTTTGGCAACGTCAGGCGATCATTTGCGGTTATGGTCGTTGCCCGCCGCGCAGCCTTTGCCGAGCTCCAACTCCATCACACGGTCGGCCAGCCAAGCCGCCCCAACAGCTAAACTCTCTCCGTTGGCCTTGCTATCGAACTCAAAGTCGCCCGAGCATACGGCTCCGATTACCTCGTTGGACTGGAACACGATCTCTCCCAGCCTGATCATCACCTCCAGTATTGATACTACCTGTACGATATGGGATATCCCCACGCTCACCGCCAAAACGCAGTTAATCGCACACGACAAAGAGGTGTACGACGTTCGGTTCTGCGCGAATAGTGTTGATGTCTTCGTTAGCTGTGGTGCTGACGGCAGCGTCCGCATGTTCGACCTCCGTAGCCTGGAACATAGCACCATCATCTACGAGCCTACGGAGAAGCATGAGAAGGGTAACATCACTTCTTCCCAGACCGAAGCCATTACTGATGTGTAGCTGTTACAGTCCCCACTCCAGGCAACGGGAGTCCCTCCGGACAAGCTCAGCCCGTGTGGCCCCCGCCTCTATTGCGGATCGCCGGTATGTATATGATGTCGCATTCGACGCCCGCCATTGCGATTAGTCGCTAACAGCACCAGCATCGCCCCATGATTCCCACCTGCTTGCAACCTTCTCGCAAGACTCCAACATCGTCCGCGTCCTAGACGTCCGACAGCCCGGACAGGCCCTCCTTGAACTGAAGGGCCACGCCTCCTCCATCAACTGCGTCGAGTGGTCGCCCAATCGCCGCGGGGTTCTCGCCTCCGGTGCGGACGACTGCTTCGTTCTCCTGTGGGATCTCATTAACCAGCACAATGCGGCTCCGGTGCCCTCGATGCCCCCGGTCCCGCACAACCCTGGGACGCCCGCGACACCCAGTGAGCGCGGTCCAGCCGCAGCCTGGCTATGCGACAACGAAGTATCCAACATCAGCTGGTCTCCGCAGGGCGGCACCACGCCTGCCGGACATCCGCGCGACTGGCTAGGTGTCTGTGGCGGGCGTGGGATGTGGGGAGTGGCACTATAACGTCATGAAGAAAAGCACCATTAGACGAATTCCTTTTACGCTTACGCTTACACCATGTCTTTGTTTTTGGATTTCGCTGCACCTTTCATATCTCCATTGATGCTGTAAAGAGACTTTGGGTTGTTATCTGGCATGGTATGAGTGAACGAATGAAACGAACCGGCTATAGTCGAATGACTACCTGAGTAGTACCTAGATTATGCATTTGCTCGTGGACATGTGGGTCATTCCAGGCATAGAGGGGAAGAAGAACGGGTTTATAGTATATAGCTCCTTCCGTCAATCTATACAGGCACTAGCGAGAGTCAGAATCACCGAGCAGGACGTATAGAAGTCAATATAAGTGTCAAAAGCAATTCGCTGCTGTAAGCCTCCACACTCTGGTATGGATTATCATCATAGGATAGCCATAACGATGACTGCAAGTCGAGATTCCGCCATGGTAGCCAGTCCATCCATCCAGTGCGGAGGGAGGCACCCGGACGGTTGCAGTTGCAACTTCAACTCACCTCACCTCACCACACCTTCCTCCACTTCGACCTCCACCTCCATGGTCCAGCTTGATCCTGACCCATTCTCTAACCTCGCGCTTTGTGACAGCCTGCCAGCCCTGCCATCGCTATATCTCCACCAGACCGCGCCCACGGGGGGAGACTGTCAGCCTTCTGGGCCTCGCCTTGGAAGCTCCGAACCGCCCATCGGCCTCCCGCCAATGAACGCCCATACTGTGCCGTTCCGCGACGTGAACTTCTCCGACACCTTCAGCTTTCCTTCTCCTCTTCCTCCTCTTCCTCTTCTGCGACTGTTTCGGCCTTCATCTCGACTCGTCCGTTCTTTCGCCCTCCCCTTCCGCCGTCGCCCAGCTCATCGGCCACCTGTCCTCCATTCTTGCTTGATTTCCTGACCTTGTTCCCCTCCGGCCCCCCCAGCTGCGGGTTTGTGAAGGGAGTTGCCAGCTCCTCCCCTCTTTTGTTCTACTCAACAGCTTAGATCTGGTCACTCACGACCGACCGTGGCCATGGATTTGCGCACGATCATGAACAGCGATGTCGCTGGCAACTCCAGCGCCCCGTCCCACCCACAGCAACAAACGCCTCGCAAATCCTCCGACCCCATCTATCCTCCGCGCGACCAGCTGCCATCGTCTTCGTCCTCCTATCCTTCGGCCTTTCCCGGGCCTCCGCCGCCACAACGAATACATGCATCTCCCGAGCGCTCTTCCTCCTACGGCTCTCTCCAATCGCCCTACCAATACCACCCATCGCCAGTTATAAAGTCGGGCGCGCAGCCCCAACGCGCGCCGAGCCCTCCTCCCTACGGCTCCGCCTCGCGTGACACCTTCGCCGCGTCCGTCGCCTACAATCAACACCACCTCCAGCAACATCAGTCCCCCATCGCCCACCAACGGTCGCAATCCATCCAGTCTGTCCTAACCCCCTATTCTCATTCCTCCAACTCATTCCATCTCAGGGAAAGTCCCCCCGCAGGTGCTTCACAACCTTATCCGTCGCAACATTTCCCCCCTCCGCCACAAGCATCGCTGCCCGCTACGCCGCGAGGCTCTGCTTCTGCCATCTACTCCCACCAGTCGCCGCCATCTGCCACTCGTCCACAATCCTCAAGCCGTGAGTCCCTATCGAATCGAGCCTCTAGCCCGTGGGTTGGCCCGGACGCTGCAGTGCACATATCGCCTACCGCCGCTCCTCGTCCGTCGCGAGCTGATTCAAGAGCTCTAGACAAGACACCACGCAAGTACAGCTCTACATCGGAGAGAAGGGAGTCTGATGCGAGTGTGAGCCCCAAAACGACTTTTCTCCCGGGGTCTCGGCCCGAACCAGCCGTGGGGCGCCCCGACCAGTCTCTGTCACACCCCAGTCACCTTGAAAACGGGATCGCAATCAAGGAGGGTCAACCGACGAACACGCATGCGCCAGCACCCCAGCCAAACATGAATAGCTCCCCGTCGTCACGCATGTCGATCATGCAGGAAACGTCTGTTGACGAGCCGGCGCACTCATGGCCACAAAAACCCAGGGTGGCTTCAGACCCGATGGCCACCTCAAGTCCGCAACCCCCGAAGCGAAAGAGAAGAAGGTGCAACGAGCCTCCTATCTACGCCCAGAGGTGCGCTCGCACAAAAGGGAGATGTCCGCCCATTCCAAATCCTTTCCCGCCTATCCCGAAACACGCGAGGAACTCAACGTCGGCAAACCCCTGGCTGTTGCGCCAACGAGCAGTATCCTCCGCACAAGGGCCCGCACATGCCGCCGTCCCACCAGTCAAAGCCAAGGGAGAAGGTACGCCGGTTAATGCACCCTCGACACCGCAGCGACCATCGGAGCCTCCCCAGACCGGCAGCCTGGGTCCGTGGGAGCCGTCCATTACCGGATTCATCCCGTACGAGGAGGTCACCAAACTCGTTGCTGATTTCCTCTTCAAGCACGTTGTGCTCCGGAATGACGCAATTGCTGCCCCCGCCGGCGCAGCCGCAGCAGGTCAAATGCCCATCATCGAAGTGGAAGCCAAGCTGGGTCAACTCATTGACATGGACCGCGGGGAGCGGATGGTCCTGCCAATCATGACTGAGACTGTGGTGAACAAGGACAACCCGCGTTTCCGGACCGCTTTCGAGAGCACCATGACTGTAGTGAGTAACCTTGTGAGATTCCATGTGCTGTCGCCCAGCTGACAGTAAGTAGGCACAACATCGGGCGATGAACAATTTCTTGAACGAGGCTGTCAAAATGTCTATGCCCCAATCAAACCAAGGCCGGATTCCTCTCTCCTACGCCCATAAGAAGGAGAGGGATACCTTTTACGAAGTGTCTCCCAATGAGCTTCCGCCTGTTATCAGGCAAAATCTCAATCCGCGTCACAAACCCAAGGTGCGAGTAACGGTCGATCAGCGGACGGGCGAAGTTCTCGCGAAAATCATCAAATGCCGCATTGCCGACCTGGATGTGCATAGCCCCCGCACCTGTGTCGATTGGCGAGTGAGTGTGAACCTGGAAATGAGCTACGATGGGGATATTAGCAACCTGCCCGTAGCTGATGGAAGGGGCGGTCGTGGCGGAGACCGCAACAAGGACCGGATGAGTTATCGACATCTCGCATACCAGATCGATCTGACCCAGGTCGCCAAGTCAGATGTAAGCTGCTCTCCACTTTGTTTGTTTTCCAACACGATGGTATGCTAACTGCGCCCAGCCCCCAACCAAGGGTGAATTCGAGCATGAGCTCGAGGTAGAAATCTCCTCTGCTGAGATCCGCCGCCAAGGCCAGATGGCTATGACCGGCGATCCTAAAAATCAGTACGAAGAATTAATCAAGGGCTTCGTGGACAATGTCCGCGTCCTGGCACGAGCCGTGCCGCAATAGTTTGTTTATATGACCTTTTGTTTGACGTTCCGGCGATACAATTGTTTTCTTACTTCTCTTCTTTCTTCTCTTCTCCCGCACATAACACGGATACACAAAAAGGATGGCTCGCCTTGCGCAATACGAGCAAATTTCGGTCATATGGTTGCCGACGGAATGGATCTCATTTTCATTGATTGGATACAGCGGGGCTTATCGACACCCCTTTCTTCTTTCTCCGCCATGTTTTGACCATGATTCACCGGGTCACCCATCTATCTATTCGGCCCCAAAGCAAAGACAGACAGACAGGAAGAAAGATTGAAAGGAAGAAACAAAGAAGGAAAGAAAGAAAAGAAAGCCGAGAAGAAAGGAAGACTATCCAAACAAGCGGAAATGATTCATGTGTGATGGTTGTTTTTGTTTGTTACCTTCAGTTCCTATATTCCCTCAACTGCTGTTATTATCAACAGCGAGCAAGCATCCGTTTTCTTGTTTTCTTTCCTAATATTTCTTGGTTCCTCCTCTTTCTCTCCACCTTATACTTTATTCTGCTTGCCTTATCATAGGCTAGTGGTGGGTTTCACATTTCCTCCTGTTCGTTCTTTCCTAAAACAAAAGAATTTGCTAAGAACCTTTTTTTCTCTCACAACCGATGTGACCTGTACTATCTATATCCCCCGTCTTTCTTACTATCTCTCTATTATTTTGTCTCTGTATACCAATGTATCAATATGTCCCTCATTGGGGTAATTATCCTTTTACCCCGTGATAAAATGCATGCGTTTTAGATAGGTTTTTTGGGGGCGGTTCTGTTTTTATCTTTCCGACCTGTTATTCTAACAAATGACTTGGTTTCACCTGGGTACTGGGAAGTACATGAAATGTAATACCAATGATTGAATATTTCTTCATTGTGGATAGGGAAGAGCGATAGAGAAAGAGGAAGAGATAGATAGGTAGAGTAGATAATACACATAATACAATAGTATCTGTCCTATGAAACCATGCTTGTGGATTAGAACGGTAAAAACAAAACAACAGTGGTAGGTAGCATGAGAATAACAATGATACGCCCGCATTTTGTCTATTTTCAATTCATTTCAGAGCCTTGGCTTGCTTGGTGGATGATCCTAGGTTGGGTTGGGTTGGGAGTGAGTCTCCTGTGCTAAGATTTGATTTCTGCACTAAAAAAAGATGCGATCAAATCAAGGACTGGGCGTCCCCTCTTCATATCGCGGGCCTCCATCGTCACCGTCACCGTCACCGTATGCACCTGCCCCGGGGGTTGCGGCGGAGCCGCCCATGGCTGGCGTGGGAGCGTCATATGGACGGCTGCCACTGTCAAAGGCAGCGGGTGTGGGTGCGTCGTAGGGTCGCTTGGATACGTCGCCGGGTGTGGGTGCGTTGAAGGCACCGGGGGTAGGGGCACTGTCCGCCCAGGCTCCGGGGGTGGGCGCTGAAACGCCGGGGGTGGGCGCGCTTCCATAAGCACCGGGGGTAGGAGCGGAGTAGCCTCCCGGGGTGGGGGCATCGTAGCCACGGTCTTTGGTGCCGTTGCTGGCTGAGGCTCCTGACCAGGCGGGCGTGCGGTTGCCGGCGTTGGCGGAGCCCCAGGCAGGAGTTCGGGAGCCGGCGGCGAAAGCATCGAAATCACTGTTTCCGGAACCGCCGTAGGGAGTGCGTGCGCCAGCGTTCCAGGCGGGTGTGCGTGAGCCATAGCCTCCGTAGGCGGTATGACTGCCGTCGTATGGGTTGGAGGTTCGGGAGCCGTCCTGCTTCCAGGCTGGTGTACGGGAACCACTCATGCCAGACCAGGCAGGTGCTGACGAGACTGTTAGTCTGGTGCAAAAGGAGTTAGACGAAGCAAAAGGAGACACTTACTTCTAGCGGACGAGTCACCGCCCCAGGCGGGGGTCCTAGATGAATCTCCAGCTCCCATCGGGGTACGACCACCCTGCCAGGCAGAGGGAGGCCCGCCCGACCCTCCATGCGGAACGCGCGGTCCACCCCGGCCACGGCCCATTTCTATCGTCTGGCCCGTCACAGGGTCCTTGACGACGAGAATGTCCTTGGGGATAGAGACCAGCTTGTTCTTGGAGTGCAGTTCCACGCGGGCTTGAACATCGGTGGCGTCCTTGACGATACCAACCAGACCCTTGAAAGGTCCCTTGCGGACCATGACCGTCTTGCCGATCAACCTGTCTCGCCCGAAACTCCTCTGGGGAGGTCCCATCGTGTTTCCAGGCATACCGTTTCTCATCAACGCCGGGTTCATCTTGGTAAGATCGGGACCGGTGGCCCGGCCTCCCTTGGCGGAGACCGTCACCACGTTGGTGGTGCGCACAACGACAATACCCGAGTTCTCAGCCTGGGCCTTGTTATGCAGGAACAGGAATGAGCGGTGGATGTGAAGAATGACACCATTCCTCTGTTCGCCGTAGACTTCTCGGACCGTATCACCATGGCGAATTTCTGCGCCATTGCGATCAGTAGCCACGGCATCTTTACGAGGAGTGATCTTGTTCGCAACTTGCGTAGGAAGAATCGTCCGGATAGAACCGTTCTGATCCAACACCCGCAGCGACTCTCGATCGACCTTGACGATACAAGCAACAGTAGCAGCACTGGATGCAATTAGCCAGTATTCAAGGTGGCAGGACAAAGACACTTACTCCAGTTGTACCAGATCATGGACGTCGAACATTCCCAGTTTACCATCAACACCCGTCTCGGCGGAGAGTCGAAGATCCTTGCTGAAGACTGTGATTTCCTGCATACTCATGTCGCTAAGTAGCGTCACGGTGTCGTCCTTGACCTGTACCACCATACCCAGCTCATCCTGGTATCTGCTACCACCGATGACCTTGACATGGTCACCCTCTCTGAAGCGCTTGCGGAGAGACTTGACAGGCGCATCAATCGACTGCCCGGCCAAATCACCCTCCGTAACCAACAAAGTGACAATATCGCCACGAGTTGAGCTTGTCCGGCCGATCAAACCCTGCTGTTCACCCCGGAACACTTCCACAGGGTCTCCAGGAAGGTAAGAATCTTCGGCGGTGGAGTTCTTAAGCGTTTCGGCCAAGGAAGCCAGGTCCAGATTCGAGGTACCGTCCTCGGAGCCTCGAGCAAACATGGTGACTTCCTCCAGTCGAGGGTTCACACTCTTCGTAATCAGATGTTGGACCTTCAAGTCCTTGATCAAGAAGCCGTCCACATAGGTCTCGCCGAGGTAGTTCCACGACTTTCCACCCAAGCCAGACGTAGCAGATAAGTACTTCGCATGCTTCTTCTTGGCCTCGGCTTCGCTGAATGCACGCTGGGGAGGACGCGCAACTGCTGGGTTCATGCCAGGGCGTTTCCTCTTCGGATCGACAACCGGCGCACCGATATCCTCGTTCAATCCGTAATCCAGTCGCGGAACCAATCTCACAGTCACTGCCAGGCCGTTTGTCTCGACCTCCTCGATCTGCGCCAGATCGCCTTGGTATTTACCGCGCTTGATACGAACCCAGCCACCCGGCATGAGCTCTTCGGACTTCTGAACACGAAGAAGGTCAGGCATTTCTCTCACGGGAACAAGGATCATCTTCGTTCTCGGATAGACGTTCGTCATGTCCTGCAGGGCTTCCATGACATCGGCCTGCCTGCGCGCCTCGACGTAGATGTATCCGGTCATCGCACCTCCACGTTCAAAAGCAGACATGATCTTGATGGGGTTTCGAGAACCCGGTGGCCGCTCTTCAATACGCTTCTGGATCGCAAACACGACTTCACGTTCCTTGCCAGCTTTGCAGCGAACACCCCAGATGCTGGGATCGTCGACACTAGGAAGAAGCAGTCGCTTCGGAACAACAACAGCATCGGTGGCCGCGGCGCGGTTCCGTCCATAGCGCTCCTTGAGCATCTGAGCCTGCTTCTCCGCATCCATACTCGCCGCCAGTTCGCGCTGGCGATCAAGCTGTCTGTGTCGGCGGTCATCCGTTTCAGCACCCACCGGAAGGGCGTCCATATCGTCCGGGTGCATCTCCCCGCCAAATTCAGCCAATTCATCCTCGTCATCCTCAGCCTCGTCCTCATCCTCATCGACACCGGCCTCTTCCTCGAAGAAAGAGTGGACACCAGCCTTCCGTCTGCGCTTTCGTGGACGTCCCTGCAAACGAAACCATAATCAGCAACCTTCCCAACCCAAGAACAACCGGCATGAACCAAAAACCCAATCACTCACAGCATTAGCATCCTCATCATCGTCCTCTTCCTCTTCCTCTTCGTCTTCATCTTCTTCCTCCCCTTCCTCATCTTCCTCATCATTGTCGCCCTCCTCATCCTCGTCATCGCCCCTCCCCCTAGTATCATCCTCACTGCCAGCACGATGCCGTGCAGCCCGTCCAGTATTCACATCGTCCTCATCATCCTCGTCGTCGTCATCGTCCCGACCGCGATGCGCAGTCTGCTGTCCCCGCCCGTCAGTAACATCGTTCGCTTTTGCCACCCACGACCGAAACAAACCTTTGTATCCTCATCTCCAGAGTCATCCGCCGGGGCGGGGTTGAAGTCATCGTCCTCCTCATCAGACCCGAAGTCATGAGCCATCACGTTGCGAGACATTGTGAAAGCTCAACCGATTGTGGCGTTTGGGTAAGGTCCCAGTGAAAGGCAGCACTGGTATCAGAACGGGGGTATTCGAGAGCTCGTCAAGCAATTTCGAGCACTTGGAGCCTGCCCTGATGCACGCAGAGGGTATCGAGTCGGCACTGAGATGCTAGCTGTGGCGGATCGAAGCTCACCGACGCGGTAAGAGGCAAGAAAGCCGCAATCCTCAAAAATGCAAAGAATGACGGAGAGAACCAAGGCGGTCTAAGTAAAGAGAAACAAAAAGGGTGAGACTCCAGCAGCTGAACCGATACTCTCGGGCGGCGGTTGTTCCGTTACGTTCGGCGAGTCCGCGACCGCGACAAGGATAGTGTTGTAGTCTCCAGCCGACTTGGTGTGAGAGTGTGAGAAAAGAAGGCGGGTCGAGATTTGCCACAGGATCCAAATTGAGGCTGCTAGCACATAACAACCCGCAACTACTTGGAGAAGGCAAGAGGGAGTCGGTCAGATGAAAAAAAAAAAAAGGTGATTTGGGGGAGAATGAATGTGGTGGCCGCAAGGTCAAGATCGATGGATTCCCGTCCGGGCGGGCGAACTTGCACGCCTGGTGGCCTTGCGGTGCCGGACTGCGCCCGGCTGGCTAGCCGGCCTTTCTCCGCTTTCTGTGGTGTTACTCTTGGGATTTGCCTGGGACAGGCTGGTTTGGGGGTTTGGGAGGTTGTTTATGTTTGTGCTACAGTATGTCTTAGGTGTTACTGGACTTAGTTATATGTCAGGTACAGACAATGTGGGTGCAGTGTTGACACCAACCTCCGCATATCCAACCTGAGAACGGTATGTTTCTGTTAGCATATAAATCTTACATCAGATGCAATATGCAATCTCGTGTTCAGGTAGCAGGAATTTCATGGACAAGCTAGTAGTGAATCTATGTACTCCAAAATATGAACCAGATTGACATCAACAGTTACAGCAGCTCTCAGAGCTTAAGCCCAAACATTTGGTGCACACGCAAGCTCTGGCGCATGCTGAGATCCAACATGATTTCCTCGCTTCCACCAGGGATCGCGTAGGCACGAACATCACGATACAGTCTCTCAATCTTACCGCCTTGTCCACCGCGGCTATAACTGAGACCGCCGAAGATCTGGCTGGCCTCACGGGCACAGAACTCAAAGGTGGTGGTGGATTGTGCCTTCAGACCGGCAATGGCTCCACCCAGCTTGAGCATGGCTTCGGTCTCGTCCATCGACTGGCACTGGTAGATGATGTTCTCCAGCCAGTTGGATGTTGCCTCAATCTGACGAGCCATATGCGCCAGCTTCATACGAATGACGGGATGATCGATGAGTTTCTTGCCAAAGGTCCGGCGCTTGTGGGCATATTTCATCGACTCTTCATAGCACACGCGGGAGAACCGAACACACTGGATGACAATGCCAATGCGCTCGTGATTGAAGTTGGTCATGATGACTGCAAGAAAGTGTTAGTACTTGGGACATTGGGTGGGAATCACACGTGGCTCACCCTTGAAACCCTGGTTCTCCTTCCCAATGAGATTCTCAACGGGCACCTTGGCATCTTCAAAGGTGATATAGGTGGTGCCACTGCTCCAAACACCCTGGCAGTCCATGCGTCTGGTGCTGACGCCACCCATATCCCTTTCAATGAGAAGCACACTGACGCCATTCATTCCAGGGCCACCGGTACGGACCGCGGTGGTGAAGTAGTCGGACCAGACACCGTTGGTGATCCACTTCTTCTCGCCGTTGACAATGTAGTGCTTGCCGTCCGGCGTCAGTTTGGCCTCACAGGTCAGGTTGGCAACATCGCTGCCCGCATCTGGCTCGGTAATAGCCAAGCAAATACGCTTGTCTCCGGCCAAGATACCGGGCAAGATCCGTTCGACCAGAGGCTTCTTTCCAAATTTCACCAACGGCGGACAACCAATGCCAAAGCCACCAATGAGGTTCCAGACCAGACCACCGCTGCCGGTCCGAGAGAGCTCATCGGTGAGGAGCAGTTCATGGAACAGGTCCCAGTTCTCGGGCGCGACGGACTGGACACGGTGCGGAGTATAGTTGACAGGGTACTCCTTTGCACCCAATAGACCGGCCAAGTATCCCCTTTCACCCATCTGCTTATAGATATGATCGGGCACCTTCTTGCTCTCATCCCATTCGGTCACATATGGCTCGATCTCCGACTCAACCCATTGGCGAACCTCTTCGCGAAGCGCAGCGTGAGTCTGGTTAAAGTAGGGCGAGTGATACTATTCATCATAATGACATCGTCAGCCCAATATTCTCGCACTCGGACACGATACCAGCCAGGATCCTCCCTGACATGGAAAACTTACACCCTGGTACCACGAAGGGTCCGCAAAAGGGACCAAGTCGCCATAAGGATCCTGAGTCTCCGACGATTTCGCCGATGCAACATCGACGGGTGCTGCCAAAGGCTTAGAAGGCTGTGCCTTGGCCGGAGCAGGCGAAGCCGCAGGTTCGGAAGCAGCCGCCTTCTTCGAATCCAAGGAACCGATCTGCAGCTTGCCCTTATACTTCTTCAGAATTCCCTCATTGTGATATTTCCAGAACTGCTTCGAGGCGTCTTTTCCGGCAACCCGCTGAAGAACTGAAAGGTACGATGATTAGCTGCGGGGTCCCGGCGCACATGTCAGATGCGATCACATACTCTTCTTTCCACCTGGTTGTCGCAAATTGACGTCAGCATCGTACAGAGCGCCTCGGAACGGATAGTGAGCCCAAACTTACCTGGGTGCTCGTCTTGGAAACCGGTCAGATCGTAGACGCCTTCATCGATAACCACCCAGAGGTTATCCGGCTTGCTGTGCGACGCTACGTCGTCTTTTGTGAATGTCTTAGACATGATGTGTAGAGGGGTATATAAATAACAAGGAGACAAGGAAGATATGGGGTATATAGATAATAGATCGCAGGGTGACTAGAGGCCCCAGACGGTGGTTAGCAGAAGCAAGAGCGGAGCACCAGGCTGGAATATGGAGGAGACAATCCGGGGTAAGAAGAAGAAAAGAAGAACAAAAAGTTGAGAGAAAAAGAAACCCAACAAAGGGGGTGAATAGGTATCCGATATAAGGGTAGGATATAATAAGCAAATCACGGAGCTTCCCCCGCCACAGAACACGACTATCACTACTGACCTAGGATGAAAAACCAAGTGGTCAGCTCTGTCGGATAGATAATACGGGGTATCTACTGGCGGGAGCGATGGTGGAGACCTTCGGACCAGATGTACTCCGGAGTATAGGACCAAATCATGTGTACAGTAGGATCCAAAGGCCCACAATTGTCGGGGTAATTACAAAAATGAGGCACGGGAAGGGACTCTGGATGAGGGATCTCCGGAGACACCGTGGACGGCTTCCCACCATGATCATTTCACTTTTCACATGTGCGGCCTACATCATCATTCCATGCTTTGGAACGGATGGGCTCACGTGGGCCACGCCTCGGCCAGCCCGGATGACTGGTCGCTGGCTCTTTGCGCCAGCCCTCATTGGCCAGCTGTCCTCCCCGGGCGTTATGGCACGTGCACAAGACCGCCTAAAGGGGGAAGTGCCGAGGCAAGGCTGCCTCCGATCGCCGGCACGTGACGGACGCAGGTCGGGGTGGTTATGTCATGAGGCATTCTGCAGCAGGCAAGCATGTGAAGGAGTAAATGCATCGGTGGACGGGCTCGATGGATCAGAAGGATGGAAGTCCGGCACGGATGGAGTGAGGTCTCCACCGGATAGCCATCGTTGAGAGAATGATTCGTCGAGTAGGGAGTTCCATGCCTGTTCTGTTGCTGTCTTGTCGTGTTGGTGGATCACCAGCGCTACTGTCAGCGTATTCTCTGACATAAAACATTGACTAGATTCCTCTCAAGGCATTTCTACGAAACGGTCTACTCCAGAAACCCGAAACCATGTATCACATAAGGATGTGATTGACGGCTGTCATCCACTCCGACTCTACCAGAAAAGTGTATCAAAGAGATAGGCAAATGCAAAATAGACAATCCAAACGTTAGGCAGCGGTGCCGCTTTCAAGATGAGACATGAACCATAATTAACCTAGTAATACAACGAGCGCCGTCCGTGCATATAGATACGGTTGCCAGGTCTACTCGTCCTCCGGATCGGTTTCATACTCGAAGTCATTCGGCACAGGGGCCTCCTCTCCGCCTTCTTCATCCTCATCCACGGCCGTCAGGACACCAGCTGCAGCCGCAGCGTCTGCAAGTGCGGCCGACTCGGCACCCAGGGGAAAGCGGCCAGCACCACGCTGAGGGGTCTGCAGTCCAGTTCCGCCCATGACAGCCTGTAGTCGGTCCTGCAGAGTCTCCCCTGCGTCCGGTGCAGGGGCAGGCTGCTTAGCCTCCTTAACCTCCTTGGTAGCCGTCATCTCAATGGTCTCGCGGGGCTCCTCGGGGGTCTTGTCAAGCACAACCACAACTCCACCGGTAGGCTGCCTCAACAGTTAGCAATCACGATCGTCGTCATTATACGCAGGGGAACTGTAGGGTTACGTACCCGTTTAACCGGCTCATACCGCGGGTCGGGGAATGTGAGGTACTTGAGCTGGGCGGGAAGCACTCTAGACATGTTCTCGAGCTCATATCCCACCTTTTCTCGTTCAACCTTCTTCTTCTGACCCTCTCCAGCCTCCTTCTCAGCGTCCTTCTCATCCTCGACCTTAACTGCACTCTCGTCCGTCTCCATCTTATCCGGCATCTGATCTGACACCTTGGGAGTCGTAGGGGTCTGATCGATGTCCATGCTCTCGCGTCGTTGTTGCTTCTCCCGGCGCTGTGCACGGCGCTTGGCCTGGGCAGTGGTGGAGAGGACGGCGGTCTTGACCTTCTCGGGCGCTTCCTCGGCCTTGACCTGCTGTTCCGGAGGATAGTCGAATAGGCTTGGTCTGGTGTTGCTGTGGAATTTGAAGAACGGCACCTCGAGTTTCTGGTCGACACCAATAACGGAGGTCGGGGCAAAGCTGAGAGAGAGGAAGTGGGTGAGGGGGAACCAGTACCAGTACTGAAGGAAGACAGCAGCACCGACGATACCGGGCATGTTGAGGTTGCCGGTCTGGGTCTGGAGGCTGATGGTGCAATTGCGACCACCGGCGTCAATGATACCAAGGGCGACCGCACAGCCGAACTTGGCCATGGCATCTTCATGTCGATCTCCGATCATCTTCATCATGACCTTGCGAAGAGAGCTGACACGGGGGTTCATGGCTTCGTTCTGTTGGACCAGAACCATGGCCAACGAAATCAGCGCACCCTGTCTCACAAAGTCCGTAGAGTCCTTGAGCATGGGTTCAAGCAGGTCAATGGCTTCATCGAGACCCGTTCCAGCACAAGAGATACCGAGGGCCATGGCGGCACCGTACCGGACATGAGGGTTGTACGATTCGGACAGAAGTTCCACCATACGAGGCACGCTCTGGTGCTTCCTGAACAGGATGAAGCCCAAGCTCAGAACGGCAACGCGTCGCACATCATCGTTCACGTCGCTAACAGCAACGTGCAGGAGCTTACGCACCGCCTTGTTGCTGCTGCTACCACAGTAAGCCAGGGCGATGGTCATGATACCACCGTAGCGGAGAGCCGGATCAGGGTCGCCGAGAAGGCCATTGATCAGCTCATCAGCCGCTTCTTGACGACCGTACATGATCAGAGCCATGCCCATGGCCAAACCGCGAACAATCTTCTCGTGCTGAGTGTCATGGGCATATTGAATCATATCCTCAAGAACCTTCATGTTACCGGTACCCAACATGACAAGACCCATGGCGAGACCGACAGCCTCACCGTTGATAGCCGAGTCGGAGTACAGAACATTCCGCAGGTCCTCGTAGATTCCCTCATCGCCGGTAGCCATGCCTGCCACACCCAGACCCAAAGCACCACCGTGCTGGATAACCTCATCTGTAGCCTTCTTGAAATAGTCGCGAATGACGTTGACAGCCATTCCGCCATGGTTGGCATAAATCAGACCGTACGCAAACAGAGATCCTCCTTGGCTGTAAATCGAACCAGCTCCACCAGCTCCCGCAGCTCCACCGACGCCGGCAATAGAGCGCTCCTTGGGCAGGTACGGCTGCAAGAGTTTCTGTCCCTGGGTCAAGTTGCCCCGGTGGATAACACCAAGCGCCGCAGTGGCTGTGAATTTGGACCAGTTGACTGCTTTGCTCAACCACTCCAGGTTTTCCCGGAAGAACCTGTCGCGTGCAGTGCCGGCATGCATAAAGCCGTTCGACAGCGAGATGGCAGAGTGGAAGATGGAGTTGCGAGCTTCCAGGCTATCTCGAACCTTGTTGAGAATGGCAATGTCGGCCTTGCTGTTCCGGTAAAGGAACTCCACGTTCAACTGATTCGTCTTCACACCGTCAACGATATCAAGGATGTTCTTGAATGCCGTGCGCGCTTCAGGCGAGAACTTCGTGCGCGCATTATTTTCTCCAATAGACCTCGACTGACTGTCCAACAAAGGATCGGACTCCTGTGCTTCCTCACGGTCCCCCTCTGCTGTATCTTGTTCGGACTCGGCATTCCCTGGCACGAATTCGGAGATCTCCTGGCGGACTTTCTGGAGGAATTCTTGTGTGCTGTTATCGTATAGGTCGAATGAGATCTGGTAGGCGACGGCAAGTGAACGAGCATCACCCTTTTCAACCAATTGACGGAGGATGACGGAGGCCATGGAGTGTTCGTTGAGATATACAACGCACTTGGCGATGGAAAAATAATCGGGGGCCGGAATCTCGTTGAGCAGCTCGAGGATGAGTTTGAGAATCTTAAAAGGATTAGTTCCTGGCATCTAGCGATCGTGATGGAAGAAGAATACCTCGTTGCGGAAACCGCGCTCCTGCACAATTCCCATGCAGATATCCAGCACGTACTCCATGAGTTCCTCGCTCCGCCGCGACTCGCCGTTCTGCTTTTTCTCATCCTCGCTGGCCCGGATAATGGTTCTCCGCAGTACGTCCAAATTCTTTGCTTCAATGGCAATTCCAATCACTTGACGGTAACGCTTCTGCACGAAGCACTGCTCGAATAAGCGGTCGATAACTGCCTGTAGATGGCCCTGCACACCACGCTTCAGGACTAGAGGGGTCTCTTCAACGTGGCTTACGCCCGCGTCCTCACCGCCCGGATAAGCGGCATCCACTCCAGGTACTTCTTGCCTGGACAAGAGCGACTTGGAAGGCAAGGCTGATTGCGAGAAAGGAGTGATTGGAGATGTGAGGCTGGCGGAGGTACTTGTGGCACCTTCACCGGAGGTGGGGAAGGCAGTGTTGAGATTGGCGGGTTGGTCACCCGCGGCCGGCCGCTGTGCCGCCGAGAGAGAGACGAAGGTATCAACGCATTTCGCTATAGATCGTAGTGAGATAAAGCCTCGAGGAGTAAGCGCCTAGGAGACCGGTGTCCTTACCGATGATGGTTTCCTCGAATTCGCCACCGCTATCCAGCTGGAAAAGCTTCCCGGCACCTAGAGCGAATACCATGCTCTCATTGTATTCTTGAAGGTGGTAGTACACCTTTGCGGCGACCAAGGCGGCAAGCTCGCGTTCGGGGAAGGACTCATCTTCGTAAAGCGCTTCTCTAAATCGCAGATGGTCAGCATGGACGTATTCCGTGATCGTTCGATAAGACTAGGCATGTGGTGCAGAAAAAGATGACATGGCTGAGGGACCAGGACGAACATTTGGGGAACCGCATCCACGACTTCTGTCCAGAGCAAATCGATTTGTGAATCTAGGGTCTTCAAAGCAAAGACTCTCAACTCCGGATCCGGCTCAGAGAGAAAGCCGACGAGGCCAGCGGCCGAAGCAAGCCCAACCATAGCTGTTGGGAGAAGGGGACTGCCGTCGCGAGGGGAGTGAGGCGACAGCTGCGAGGGAGCTGTAAGATTGATGGGGAGACCCGGGTGCGATGGAGGGCCTTGAGAGATATCTAAATACCTCAAAGACGAACTGTACAGAAAAGGATGGATGGAAGATTCAAAGGAACAGAGGAACGGATGATGGAAGAAACGGGCTCGGAGTGATCAGGAAGCTTCCTCCAGAGCAGCGAGACACACGTCAATGGAAGCTGTCGAAAGGTTCCCGTGGTTCCTGCAGAAACCCCTAGAGACGACACGTGACCGATGATGGCATCGCATCCGGCGCCGTGATCCCTTTCAACCACGGCACAGATCTCTGAGCATCGCGCTAGGAATACCTCTTAATGCACGGGTAGTCTGATTCTTCTTCCATCTAGTCATTGTTCACAATGTCGGTCATTCTCCCCAAAGATAGGAACAATTACCTACCGCCTCTGCCCATCGGAACATCCTCCCATCACCAGGACCCTTTTGTTTACATTGACCGCCAGGCCAAACACATTCAGCGTAATCTCCAGATCCTAATCGATGCCCAGAGTGAAGGACTCCTAGCCGGTCTGGCGGGACCACCACGGGATGGTACCCTCTCCAGCGGAAGTTATACTCCAACCTCGGAGACCAGCAATTCTCAGCGCCCCTCAACCATACCGGTCCGGCAACCGGCTCCGGAGAAGATTGGGCTATCTGCTGCACGACAAGGAATATTTAGATCCATCTACGACCTACTGAAGCTTCGGGAGGAGGAGCGAGAAATACTGACATTCCGAATTGATGAAAGGAAGGATGCATTAGGGGATATTGACAAGTTCAATACCCATCGTGCTGGGCTGGAAAGCGCCATCTCGACCATCCAGGACAATCAGGAAGGCCAGCATACCATAGCATTGAGGGAGGAAAGTCGCAAGCTGGAAGGAGATATTCATGATATGGAGACTAGGCTGTCCCAGATGCGAGCGCGGCATCAGCACGTTCTGCGCGAATTATCCCAGATGGAGAATTCTATTGAATCAAAGCTCTCTTCTTACAAAGCCTCTATGTCCCTCCTAGACTCGAATATCCGGAAATACCTGCAAACCCCTCCAGTGAAACCTCAGTCGACCAGTCCTAACGATGCAACCTTCTACTCCTTGAAGCCTAACCGACGGACACTTGAAATGGCACAGGAACACTGGCGAAAAGAGCAGACAAGTCTGCGAGAGAGACAACACGAAGTCAATGCCGAAATCGAGGCGCTCGAAGCAGGAGGCGGGGTCTGGAAACAAGTGGTTGGGGAAGTCTCTGGGTTTGAGAAACGCCTGAAGTCAGCTATGCGCCTTTCCATTCAGATTCAGTCCCAGCTACTGAACCATGATGGCCCTTCTGGTAGCAAGTCCGAGGAGGACCTTGCCCGGACAATGCTGGAGGATCTGGCGCATACCACAAAACGCGTAGAATATCATCTAGAGGTTGCGGAGAATAAAGATTGGAAATTGCTGGTTTGTTGTATCTCTGCGGAGCTCCAGGCTTTGCGAGAAGCGCGGCGGTTGCTATTGGATGTTTTCAATGTGGCCGAAGCGGCCATCTGGCCGTCAGTCGACAAAGAAGCAGATTTCAGGAATCACCCCCATGGGGACAGTGATTCAGAAGCCGATCCCCTTGGCGTGGATAACCCCGAGCCTCCGGCCGACTTGCTCAGGGATACTGGAGAACACCCGCATGATGCAGTCACCCACTCCGAGGATGAAGATGATGAGCCTGATCCCGCCTGGCTGCTTCCTGAGACTTGAACGGGTCCTTACCTGTCCATTAATTGACTACCAACAGAATGAGCCGTCAGTTAGCGTAGTAACTATTTCGGCCAACTATTTCAATTTTTGGTATACCTCAGGCTTCTATTCAACGTTATATATGCTGCCAAGCTAAGTATTGAAGGGGGACGCTCTATCCACAAGTCATCAAGCAACCTCAGTGGGTACTGCATGGGCAGTGAATAATATCGAGATTCTACAACCGAACGAGTCCGGCATGCATGTTAGTTGTTCATGTGGTGCTTGTCAGAAAGGCTGCTAATTACGACAGCTTCATGGAAAAGTTATCATTGCATCCAATGTATCGCATCGAACTGATCACCACTCATAATGCGGGAATGGTCAGAAGCCCACCTTTATTCATACAATGGATTATACCCCTGTTGATAGGATCGTGTTGTGCCACGCGATGTTCTCAAAGGCGTGGGGCATCTATTAAACAGTGCAAGACCTGTTGAGTCGGCATCCGCAATGCAATCCTAAGAATTGGAGTTCCACCTTACTAGATATGGTTCTTGTTGATCACGAGCGAATGATGAAGGAACAGGTCCAGGACTCACCTGTGCAGCATTGTTCTCGACCGCTCCTCTTCGAGACACACCTGACCGGTCAGCTTCGAGCCTGGCGCGTACCTTATCGGGTGGGAGAAGCACATCCTTTACAGGGGTGTATTAGGGCAGCCACTGATCAGAGTTGAATGGACCAATACCAGCAGTGGATCAGTTATTGTGCTTTGGAAACTTAATAACGTCATATCACCAATGAGAGAGGGCGGTACTAGGATTCCGTCTATGCAATCAAACCTTTCGCATGTTCCAACGTGGTCCTGGGGAGTAACTGGCCCAATTGCATTAGGTGGGCGTCAGTAGGGATGTCAGCCCCTCACCATATAAAAGGTAACCGTATAGGGACCTCCCGTACTTCTATTATCCACCCTGCCAACCTTCCTACAACTCCATCCACGGTCCATATAATGGATGATGTTGCCCTGGACAACAGAAGCCCCAATGCGTTGGAAAGCAACCACACGCTCGCTGGGGAGATTGGCCGAGAGCAAGAACCAAGCACAACCCAACGCAAGAAACCTCCCTCGTTCTACTTGTCGATGCTTATGCTTTCCCTGATCACGATCATCGTCTCATGGGACGCAACGGCACTCTCAGTAGCACTGGCGGTGAGTTTCTCGATAGGCATGGCCTTTGGCTTCACTAATCCTTACCCGCTTGCTGAGTGCAGACCATCACCAGTCCATTACAGGGCACAACGTTCCAATCCTTCTGGGCAAGTATTGCTTTCACCCTGGGTGTGGCCGTGACGCAACCCATCTATGCCAGCGTGTCGGATGTCCTGGGTCGCAAGCTACCTTTGTACGTCGCGATGGTGTGATTCGCCGTGGGATCAGTCATCTTTGCCACGGCGCGCACTATCAACATCGTTGTCGTGGGCCGGTTGATCCAAGGCCTAGGAGGGGGTGGCTTGGACGTGCTCGAGACGATCATTCTCACCGATATCACCACCTCTTGATGCAGCCAAGTCCATTCTCCCGTTCTGTCTTCTTCTTGTGGCGTTGAGTATCATCACATCGGTGGTGATAGACTGGACCCGTCGATATCGGCTAGCTTTCTGGCTGGGTTGGATCCTGACTACCGTGTTCTTGGGTCTCTTATATCGGGTCGGCCGAGATACCAGCCGAGCGGAGTTGACTACCTTCCAGGTGTTTCTAGGGAGCGGTATCGGCATCATTCTAACCGCCGGCACCGTCGCCATGCTGGCCAGTGTGACCCGCGTGGATGATGCCGGACTAGCCGTGGGGCTCCTTCTTGTGTTTCGCATTCTGGGCTCCCTCCTGGGCCTCGCGATCGCCTCGACCGTCTTCAGCTCTATTTTCCAGAAAAGCATAGCGGCGATTGGTACTTTGCCGGGGTCCTTGAGCATTCTGAAGGATTCGAGTCGAGCGGTTGACTTCATCCCGGAGTTGCGAACTCTGGATCTGTCTAATGATGTGATGGATCGAGTAATTGATGCCTACCAGAAAACGTTCCAGGCGATCTGGCTCGTCCTAGCATGTATCGCGGCACTGGCTTCGCTCATATCATTCTTGATTAGACATCTGACCCTGGAAAAAGAGGAAGTTGGCAGGCAGGGGTTCCAGTCGTCTTCATAATCCATATTCAAACTGGCACCTGACCCGGAGGGCGTGGTTTCCTGCTCGGTGTCAATCGACTCGATTGGCACCGCCGGCTATCTGACCTCCTTGACATGATAAATCTCGCTATGCCTGCTGAGCACACTATAATGCGAACGAAACTAAGTGCAATCGTAGTAGGTGCGTAGACGAGTTGTCCGCAGGAAGAGCTATCTATAGGCGATAATGTACTAGTGAAGTGAGATACAGGCAAGGCGAAAGTACGGGCTGCTAACATGGGTCAAGCCTTCATCAACTCATCTAGGCTGGGAACCTTCTCTCTCAACTCGCTCAAGATCTCCTTCCAGACAAGGCCCTTGACATCCGTTGCAGTATCGCTCTCCATATTCGGAACTCGCAACCTGGATGGCTGAATTAGCGTTTGACCCTCGGTGGTGAAGACATCCAGCCAGACCTGTGATATTCCTCGTCCGTGAGAAGTGATTGCACGAATTTTCCCTATTCATGTTGGGGAAGGGTTAGCAGCAAGTCATTTGAGAAGGGAATTGGAAGCCTTTCTCCTTACATGCTCCTTTTCTGATGCTCGTGCCGCAGTGACGTAAAACCTGGCACCGTAGTCCGCCGACTTTCCCAGAACCCCCAAATACAGCGGAACCAAGAGCTGCATGGCTCTTGAATGTTTGACCACCAAACGGGCGATATCCGTGCTCACAAGGCCGGGACAAACACTATTGACGATGACTCTCACTCTGACCGGTAAGCAGAACAGCATTAGCGCAGGGAAGAGGTCGGTCGGGAGGAGAATCTATCACTATGTATCTTTCTTTACCTTCCGTCCGGTCCCACGGCCTGGTTGCATATTTCCCCAACTGCATACATCAACATCAATTTGCTTTCTGCGTAATTCGGCTGGGGCTGATGGGATGGCCAGTTTTCCTCGCGACTGAAATATTGCAAGAGTCCTCCCCCTTGGCCCGACCAGTCAGCCCACGAGGTGATATCAGGTTCGAGGTGGTCCCGAGAAGTGACAAACACAAGATGCGGTGGGTTTCGATCCTTGGGTCCCTGCTTCATCCACGACAAGAGCAGAAGTCCAAGAAGGGTGGTACTGAGTGTATTCACCTGAATGGTTTGTTCCCTGAGCCGTGTTAACACCCGACCCCCCCCCCCCCCCCAAAAAGATAACAGCTCGAAGATGCAGAGAATAGTAAGTACTTACCAGCCTTCCGGACTCTCCGCAAAGTGAGGATTGATGATACCTGCGTTCAACACCGCACAGTCGAGGCCATGAGACCATTGTTCGGACTGTTTCAGTTGATTGAAGAAGGATACACACGACGAGTATCGGTTCATGTCCAATTCCATGACGCGTATCTTGCCTTGACCCGTAATCCCCGCCATCCTCTCAATATCGCGCTTGGCGGCCTCGCCGGAGGCCATGCTACGGGACGTCAGAATCACCCTTGCTCCAAGGGTCGCAAAATGCACGGCGGCGGCCCGTCCAAGCCCGGCTGTTGCTCCTGTCACCAGGACTGTCTGGCCCTGGAAGGATCCGGGGGGTGGCAATGGCTCGGGCCAAAATTTGTCGCGTAGACGACGAGGGAAAAGGTACGCCATTCTGTAGGATGAGGTGGGAAAGACACGGCCACGGCCTAAAAGGAGAACGTAAGATGGGCTGTGAAATATCCCTCAAGCTACTACTAGTGATGACTGTGTCAACCATAGTTACCAGCCACATGATTACGTACGGTGCTATGTTTTGGACTAGTGGCTAAACCGTCGATAGGTACGGAGTCTTATCGTTGCGGAACGGGGGAAGCGCCCACTGCATGTCAGCTCTTCCAGAACGCAAATAGTTATCTAGCGGAGTCCTAGTCATATATCCAGGTTCTCAGCCACTCACTATTTATTTCGAAATCAAGGTCTCTCCGTGCGCATGTCAGATATTAGATGCCTCTATGCCGAGATGAACTCATAAGATAAGGATAGAGGCATCAACAAGAACTGCATCACTAGATGCCTAGGTACTAGATCGTGGCCTATGGGTGAACTATAGAAGTACCTTATCGAATGCCGTGCAATCTATGTCGTGAAGCCACGGGGTAAATACCCCATCGCGTGCCTTTTTAGGCGTCCCATTAAGGGCTTACACATGCAGAATTTGAGACGCCCATGGAGAGTAACCCCCCTAACGCATTTCCGAGAGGCCTTCAAGAGGACTGACCCCTTAAAAGAACACATTACAGATATTCAAAATACCAACAAAAGTGAACATTAGCGCCAATTAGAATGCCGGGTTCCGATCAATCAGTAGCAACGTCTTGGAAAGCACCCATCATCATATCGATTACTTACTACTGGGAGTAGTATATAGATCTCCGGGGACAGCACGTCAATTCCATCACACGTCACCAATAGCCTTGTGTTATGCGTATTACCGAACCCCGAGCCCACCATTTCACCCCATACGGCTGCCCGGATCTCTAGTCGATCAGTTATCCAGGACATACGGAGTACTGATCAGCAAGATCCAGAATATTAAGTAGCCATTTCAACCTCCGCTAAAACGCATCTTCATTTGCCGGGAATGCCAAAAACAGCACGAGTCCCAGTTGCGTTCCACTGGATCAGGACATCACTGCGGCACACTGTGCTAATAGCCTAGGAACTACTATAGTACTTAGATTAGCCCCGCGTCAGTGCAATGGCAACACAACCTCAGCACTACTGCGGGTCGCAGCTTCACTGTGTGGACCTGGGAGCTACCTCAGCATGTGCATCGATAATTTGTACTCTTGCGGCGCAGAGAAGCAGCTGGTTTAAAGGCGCGCGGTTGCATCAGACCCCTGAGCCGGATAAATAGTCTCTTGCTCAAAGCTCTTGGGAGAGGAGGGGGGAGGGAGGGGTACCTAGTTTGACAGGCTAGGTGTGTGTAATTGGGAACTTACGGCATTGATACTATCTACTACTAGGACTGCGTGGTGGGTCTGTGTGATGACTGGGAAGGAGAGGCAACAGAGGAGAATCAACAATTGCGGACCATTCCTGGGTTCACACTTTGAAATTGCTGGTAACTCTAGGGCCTGATGCTATGGATTATGATGATTGGGTCCCGTTTCAAGTCTTGATCTGAAGAATAAGATCAAGGAGTGAGAGTGGTAATTAAGAGATGACTTGTAGTCGGTCTGATTTGGCGGATCCTACTTTCTGCTTAGTGACTGATTAGATTGGATGGATGGATGGATGGAGAACTCTTTGCACTACTAATACTGAATTATCTTGGGTCGCATCTGTATTTCTTCTGATGGGGCTATAGATCGATCTCCACCATAGTCACAATTCCAAGGGATCACCACCAGAAACATGACATGTTTCACATGATCCCAAGCTCTTACGTTATTGAAATAGTTTAGGCAAAAGGTTAACTAACTAACCTTATTGCCATCCCGGTGTGATCAACCAGAACCAATTGCACTCATCGCCTGATGCCCACGGTAAGTATCTACTGTGAGCTAGGTAAGGACCTATACTGCCAGAAGAGTAAGCGACCGACCACTCCAGGTATAGTTCGCCCCTCCTCCCCTATTGGTCACCAACGCTAACATCCTTTCCCCCCCTCCATCCATCATTTATTCCATTCTCATTCCAACCTATCTATCTACCTATTTTCTAATTCCCAGCCTACATACTTGTAACTCTCTCATACATACATACGTACATACACTCCTTCTTCTCCCATTTCGCCTTCTCACCATATAATCTTCCCCCTCTTCTATCCCAACCTCACATCTCAACAATACTAGCAGTCCATCATACGACAAAATGCCCTTCCCCACCCCCACATACACATTCTCCATCCCGTCCATCCACGACCGCCTCCGTCTAGATTGTCGCATCTATCTTCCCTCACAACAACAACAACAAGAGCAGCAGCTCCTCCGCGGAGCCATTATCGCGCACCCGTATGCCCCCCTCGGCGGGTGTTTCGATGATCCCGTCGTCGGGTTTGTCGGAGGGGAGCTGTTGAAGGCTGGGTTGGTGGTCGGGACGTTTAATTTTCGGTGAGCCTTTCCCGGTTCCTTTGTTTTGCGTTCATTATTATTAGGTTGGGTGTTTGGTTAATTCGGGTGGTACTGATGACGAGTAGGGGCGCCGGGGAGTCCGAGGGTCGGACCAGTTGGACGGCTAGACCCGAGTTGGCGGATTATGTGTCCTTTTATGTGTTTATGTTGCTTTATTTGCATTTTCGGGGGGGAAGAGGTATTCAAGACTTCAATATGCCGGGGGGAGGTAGGAAAGGAAGTATCCGGATTGTTTTGGGAGGGTATTCCTACGGGTCTATGATTGCGTCGCATCTGCCGAGTTTGGATGCTATCGTGGATCTGCTGCGGAAGAGTTCCTCGGAGACGCCGATTCATGAGATTTATCAGATTGCTGATAAATTGTCGCTCTGTCTGGGGAATGATCAGTTGTCTGCACCGCGGCTGTCGCCTACATATCGTCCGGCGACCGTTGAAGAATTGGGACGAGCTGCAGACGGTATTGGCCGCGCAGCCATTTCATATCTTCTCGTGTCACCACTTCTTCCGCCGGTCAATCAGTTCCTGACGCTGTTCTCCAAGATGTCGCTCGATGCGGGCGCGCAGACATCCGCTCAAGGGAGACAGATACCTTGTCCCAAGCCAGCAGATCAGCTCTGTGCGCATGAGACATTGGCCATCTATGGAGACCAGGATACGTTCACTTCGGCGAGTAAACTAGAGAAATGGTCAGCCGAACTGGCCCATGCACCTGAGAGTAGATTCCAGGCGGTTGAGATTGAGGGCGCTGGTCATTTTTGGAGGGAACATGGGGTTGAGTCTCAGGCGCGCGAGGTTATCCGGGACTGGGTGTGTCAGATGGCTTGATATCTGGAACATAATCTCGGGTGTCAGCCTACATTTATCGGGTTCAGCAGCGGGTCTAGATCATTTGCTGTGGAGCAGAGCAGATACGAGAGGTATTTGCCAGACTACCAACCAGATGGCGAATCCCACCTTCACATGCAGGGCAGGGATGGGCAAGTCGTGAGGCATGTGAAGTGGGCGTGTTCGCATGACCAGCTCAGTGGAGGGAGGCCCGTGGAAGATCTGATGCTGACCAGCATCCCACTTTGGGCATGCCTTCAGCCGTTCTTCATGAGCCTGTACGGACACGGTCCTTTTGCCGTGATGGATGATGTTTATTCGGGTTTACTCGTCGATCTAAGAGATCACCGCACCAATGACGCAAGCTATTTCTCTGTTGCTGGGATATGATACTATGCGAGAACTCTCGTGGAGCGAGGGGGGCCAGGAAAATACATACGGCAGGCTTTTATAGGTTTTGCAGGGCCTAGAGCCCATTTGCGGCGTCTACGACCCATGGTTGTTCCCCCCGGGTCCGATCAGGCCCGCCCCCGGTCACTGAGGATTCCACCCCTGGGTAAGAATGCATGCTCTGAATGCAATGATCCTTTAGGTTTGCTGATCAACCAGATGTTACAGCAGCATGGGGTCCCACCTGGCGATGACCACCACTAAGCCCGTGCAGACTATCGAAGATGGTGGAGATATGAAATCACCGCAAGCTCGATCGGCTGAAGAAGTCGCCATCATCCGCTCGGGGACCTGGAGTCGGCGTTTAAGTAGGCCCCCATTACCGGGCCGGTCTCGCGAGTACCACCGGTTTCGTCGATGACCAGGATATGAGGTGTTGCAGCGCTGAAGGGAAAAGAGCGACGGACGCGAGGAGAGGCCATTGGGCGCCCGGCCAGTCCTTCCCCATCTTCCCCCCTCGTCCCGTGACCCCGGGGCGATCGGCAGCGCCCGCTGTTGGGCCGGGGGCCAATGGGGGCGGGCCTTTTCGAACGCTCGTGACGTCGGGCTCGGGTTCCATTCAATTTGGCCACCCTCTTTTTCCCTCCCTCCCTCCTTCCTTCCCTTCCCAGCCAGTCCGGCATGGATCCTGCTGCACAACCTTCGTCCTCCCTGTCTGCCTCGTGCCTGACCAGGAAGAAGACGGCCTTGTCGACACCCGCAGCGACTACTTACGGGCCCCAACTTCGCCGATGTTGACCTCGACGTCTCGCTTCTTCACGACTCCCACCTACCTTTCGGGTTTCATTTGCTGCTGACCTCTGATTTGCCTTCCCGATCCAGCGGACACTCCAATCTAAACCTAATTTCCCCTCCGATCTCCGCACCCATGCGGCGCTGATGCTGTCTGAAGCCGGTCATGTCCATCCTGAACGACTCCTCGCTGGTACGGCCGCATTGCCATGGCAAGACCAAACCTCGCTCCTCCAAGAGCGTTGCGGGGGATGCCCCGGCCAAACCCCGCCGGTCCGTCCTCAAGTCCATCTCCGACTCCTCTTTGTCGTCGTTCGTCAAAAATACGTTGACGTGGGCTGGGGACACGTGGTACGGGGATAGTCGGTCCTCGACACAACGCAAACTGCTTGCTGAGACGGAGGAGCGCAAACAGGTTCTGTATCTCAGAAAACGAAATGTGAGGATGTATCTTGCTCGAGTTGCCATCGCAAGGTTGACGGTTGACTGTTATTGCAGGCGGTGACGTATGATGAATGGAAAGAGGCCGCCATTGAACTGGATGAGCTGGAGAATAACTTTGTCTGGAAACAAACATTCGACTGCCCCGACTACGACCCTCATCTCGTACAGGAGCGTCTGAAGCAGCTGGAGGATGCGCGGATCAGCTGCGACGTCAGTCGCATGCTGTTTTTGGTCCGTACCTCCCTAAGCCGTGACTTGGGCAATATGAGCAACGTCTCTCTCTACAAACATGTCCACCTTGGGACGAAGGACCTCATCGATCGGTATATCACCACCGCTTTGGATACGATATCGTCCCTGGTGGAGTTGTCCGACCAAGACCGGTGCGATGGGCTCGAGTCAAAGTATATCCTTGACCAATTGTTGGCGGCAAGACAGGCCTTTGGGCGCAGCGCTCTGCTATTTTCCGGTGGAGCAACATTCGGCATGAACCACATCGGCGTGCTCAAGGCTCTTTATGAAGCCAATCTTCTCCCACGGATTATCTCCGGGGCATCGGCGGGTAGTATCGTATGTGCTGTTTTTTGTACGCGCACAGAGGACGAGCTACCCGCGCTCCTGGATTCATTTGCCTACGGGGACTTTGCTGTTTTCGGCGAGGAAAGCGAAGAAGAGAACATTCTTCACAAGACAGCGCGGTTTCTGAAGTATGGATCGTTTCTAGACATCTCGCATCTCGCCAAAGTTATGAGGAGCTGGCTGGGCGATATCACCTTTCAGGAGGCCTACAATCGAACGCGAAGGATCCTGAACATTTGCGTTTCCAGTGCTGGAATCTATGAACTCCCCAAGATCATGAACTACATCACCGCGCCAAATGTATTGATCTGGTCCGCTGTGTATGAATGCCATTCTTGACCCCTCCTGTCTACCTAACTGACATCAACAGGGCGGTTTCATGTTCCGTTCCCCTCGTGTTCTCGCCTTCTACACTCATGGCTAAAGATCCCTTGACAGGGCAGGCGGTACCCTGGAACGACCTTCATAAGCAATACATTGACGGCTCCGTGGACGGTGACCTGCCGATGAACCGTCTGTCTGAAATGTTCAACGTCAATCACTTTATTGTGTCGCAGGTCAATCCCCATGTTGTGCCTTTTCTCCCCAAAGACGACGGGCCAGACCGGTATGCCCAGGCCTCGTTCACGGCTCCTCGTTGGCTCCTCGCCATGACCCATCTTGCCAAGGAGGAGATTCTGCATCGCATGACGACCATGTCCGAGCTGGGAGTCTTCCCGACGTCTTTAAGCAAGACTGTATCCATCGTGAACCAGAAATACTCTGGCGACATCAACATTTATCCGGAAATCCAGTTTTCCCGGGTGCCTGTGATGTTGAGGAACCCGACGACCGAGTTCATGCTTAACGCCTGCCTGAGCGGCGAACGTGCCACCTGGCCCAAACTTGGGCGTATCCGCAATCACTGCGCCATTGAATTGGCCTTGGACTCGGCCATTCAGAAGATGCGGGCACGGGTTGCCTTCTACCCCAGTCGCATTAATGTCAAATGCGACACCATGGCCGGCCACTCTCTCGAAACTCTCGACAGCAGTGGGGGACGAGGGCGCTTGTTGAACCGCAGAAGCTCTTACAATCATGAAGTGGAAAGGACCAGACACGTTAGGCAAATCTCAAGCCGGCAGATACGACCATATCTGCAACGGTCTCGGAGCGTGTTACTGTCCGAACAGTCCCACAGCATCGACTCGGTGGCATCGGCGAGACTGGACCAAGCCGTCGATCAACGCACTGAAAGCCACCAGAACTCCTCCATGAACGCCGGAGATGGACCGTATGCGACGGGATCTGACAGTGATGAAGAGAGCGGAGCATCGCCCCCTGAATACTGCCAATCGCCGCCGAGATCTCATGTCTCCTGGGAGCCATCGTCCGAAGACCATCCCTTCGCCTGGTCGAGCCTAGATGGTAGCGCGCCATCATCTCAATCATATGCATCCGCCCATTCAGGCGGGTCAGCACACCGGGCCGCTGCGCGGTCTCCGGAGACGTCGCATGCGGTGCATACGATGCCCGAGAAGTCGTTATCCCCTCCCCGCCATCACCTTCAAATGACGCCCTCCGCCTATGTCAGAACTCCCGATTCTCGCACTTTTCTGAACTGACCCGTTTTAAGGTGTATAGAATGAGATGATAGCTCGCCGTGTTTTCGACTTGAATGCGCAGCTCTTTGGTTAGGGCGAGGCTATCGGATTTAGACTTGTGGCATGCCCGGCACCCATAGCATTTTTCATCATTCACCTTGTTTCTCCGTTATTCCGTTGATGCCCTTCTTGACTTGCTCCGATACTATCTTTTTGAGAAGTCCATCCGTTAGGCCGTGGCAATGAGGATAGACCGGGATCGCATCTTAGAATCATACCTCGGGATTGGCGTCTTGCTTCGATGGGGGGCATGATGTGCACTATGCTTTTGGATTCCGTTACAGCGATTGGACAGCATCTCCTTGGTTCTCTGACATGTTCTTTTTTTGGAAGTGGTTCGTTCCCAGCGGCGTTCGTTGTCACACAGCATAGAATACTGCTCGTTGTTTCTGCGAGCGCAACGAATCATGGACGGCGTGTTTCAGGTAGCGCCTGGAATGGGAGTGAATGTGTAGAGCTCCAAAAATAGACCATCACATTGGGTGGGCGGCTACAGGAGGCCATCGATTCGCCGGCCAGCCTACGCGCCGGACTTTGCTGAAACGACCGGGTGTGATGAGCTGGCATGGCGGCGACCTGGAACGCACCCGGACTGGTTTCAGGCCCCGGCTGAGGGGGTGTGCGGCGCCTCGCTGGCTGCAAGTGACGCCCTAGTGGTTCTAAATCCGTCCATCTTCACCGTGCTGCCCGCGTCATGGCCCCCCCCCGGGCGGTTAATTAGCAGCATGGCCTGTGATCCGAATATAGAACACTGGGCCTGGGCAGCCTATCAGTGTCATTCCATTTGCACCCGCCGGATGATCGCTTGGGCCGAACCCTTGGCTGGTGCTCCCCGGGCGGCTATCCGGCGTGGAGGTGGTGATGCTTCTATTCTTGGACACAAGTGAGCCTGCATCATGCAGCCAATTCCTTTCGATGGGACAAAAAAAGCATCATCAGGATCCTCGTGCACAGGCTTTTATATGCTCCCTCCGCCATGCTTCGAGTCCGACACAGCCTTACTTGAATTTTGCTTTGGTCTGTGCTGGCCTGCTGAGCTTGTTGGCGTTGGCTTGCCCTAATTTACACCTATCTTACCTTGACTGTCCTCCAATCATTTGGTCACTCCTGCTCCGTCTCTCCAGCACCGCCCCGCCACTCAGCCTCAACCCAGTGCCAAGGTCAACCGTGGAGTCCGGGGTAAACCTTCCTCTCCGGTGCTGAATCATCTTCCCTGTCATGCGGCATTCCCCGCTGTAGGGCTGAGACTGTTGTGTTCGTTCCTCCAATCATTCGTTCCACCTCGTATTCGACGCATACCCAACATGGCGAGCTTAGTGAATGGCCCCCTGGGTCGGTTCCGCAAACATGGATCCCACAAGCCGCTTCATGAAAGATGGGGAGATGTGGGCATCACGGTTCCGACCGAAGGATCGTGGAACCAGTTGGATAACCCTCATCGGTCGTCTGACCGACGCCCTGTCCACGACGTCTCCAATCGCGGGCATCGGGACCATGCCATTGTCTCGAGTCAAGACGACCGCCGTGCGTCCCAGTCCAGCTCCTTCTCGGTGAAGGCGTTGAACCCTCGCCGGCTCTCCATGCGTATCAGCCAGCGGTCCAAGCAGACCAGCGATCATCCCCCGGAGAGCGACCGTCAGACCAAAGCCGAACGAAGGGTGTCTCAATTCTCCTACCGACCCATTCATCAAGACTATCCAACCGAGATGGCCGAGAAAGCCGCCCGACAGAGCCAGCATGCCCCCAAGTTTCGGTATATCCCCACGGGACCGGGGTACGCCGACGAGCTTGGGCTGGCGGCTGCACCCCGACGGTCCAGTCGTCGGGAGAGTGTCCAGAGCAGCTACACGAGCGAGTTGACGGACCGAAGCGCGCGACACAGCTATCGCCGTAGCCCCATTCCCGGGAATGCGTACGAGGAAGACGACGAAGACGAGTATCATGAGGAGCGGTATTCACGGCCCCTACCTCAACGACGGGACCGAAGTAGTGTGAACTACAGCCGACGGGCCAGTCCATCTATGGAGCAGCGGGGACGATCTGGGCGATACCTGACTACGGCCATGGTCCCGGATGCGGAAGATGTTTATTGGTGATTGATTGTTGTGATGCGGTTCAGCGTCTGCATTGTCATGTCGTAACGGCTGATCGGAGCGTTTTCATACATCTTGCATACATTGGGCGGCGTTGGCGGCTTAGTGGCTTAAGCGAATATTGATTAGCTGAATTGAACATAATTCGTCCTATTTGTCTGATCTACTATAGTACCATACTAGTAGTAGTAAGCATCGAGGCACGGGGAGGTGGTTTCCTTGTGAGGCACTTGCAACGGTTGCCCGTTTGGGGTTCCGGGGGCGCGCCTTCCCTCCGAAAGCCCAGCCCCCTACTACTTAGCAGGCTACTTCTTGTGCCGACTTCCGAATTCCTACCACCACGCACAACTCTGGTCTAGCTACGCGGTTGTTACTATACTAGCAAGGACAGACAGAATTTTAGGCGTTTCTTCTGGATTGCCACGATACTGTGTACAGCACGGAGACTGTACTTACTATGTAACGTTGGACCGCCCATGCCGAGACTGACGTCAAGCTGACGAGCCGCCCCAGGCACCTTGTAGCATCCATTCCAATTTCCAGCACGACGGAGTACGGTGTACGATAAGACGGGGATAAGATAAGATCCATAATTTTCCCATCACTACTATGTCGTGAGACCATTCCTGGGTCGTTCCGACCAATGATCAGGGCATGACGCCATGCTGGGGATCCGAGCAGGACCGTCAGTCCATGACGCCATGTTCACGCAGCCGTCTCGACTATCATATAAATCTCAATGCTGAGAGGACTGGTGAATCGACCTATTCCTCTTGATTTAGATTTGGATTGATCTCATGCCGATTGGTTCATTCTTTTGACCGATTTGACAGTCCACCATGGCAGCGAAGGTGTTTCAGCTCAAGTGCGGGTGTAAGGTGAGTACTTCCTCGTAGCTAGCCCTACCTGGACCGATCTGGATGGCTAATGGATCATGCAGAACGACCCCTGGGGCAAAACAGGCAAGGACTCGTTAGCCGGCGTCCTGTGTTCTAAGACCCCTGGGGCTTTGGAGTGGGATGACTCCAAGACGTATTCCGAGGTTAGCAGCTAGCTGCCGCCATGTCCTCCTCGCTGGGAATGTGTATGCTGACCATGATTATAGATGTGGATGGGTACCTATCCTACCGTTCCCTCTCGGATCCTGGCCACCGACGAACTCCTCAGCGAGTATCTCCAAAAACACCCCGAGGTCGTCGGCCAGTCGGTGCTGGAGAAATGGGGCCCTGAAGTCCCGTTCCTCCCCAAAGTACGTCCATCCGATCTATACTCCCTACCAATCATCCACCACTAAACCTATGCTACAGATCCTCTCCTTCAGCAAAGCCCTCCCCCTCCAAATCCACCCCGACAAAGCCCTCGCCGAAAAACTCCACCAAACCGATCCCAACAAATACTCCGACCCGAACCACAAACCCGAAATCGCCATCGCCCTCTCCAACTTCGAACTCTTCGCCGGCTTCAAACCCCTCTCCGACATCTCTACCCTCATGAGAATCGCCCCCCTCCAACGCTTCCTTCCCCCCGACCACCCCCAAACCTTCACCGACTCTCACCTCCGCGACCTCACCCGTACCCTCCTCAGCCTCCCCGCCTCCCTCATCTCCACCACTGTTAACGAACTCCTCTCCATCCCGGAATCCAACTTTGGTCCGACCCAGCGGTACATCCCGGGCCTCCTCGACCGTCTCCGCAAACAATACCCCGATACCGACCCCGGGAGTCTCGTCGCCGTCTTACTCATGAACTACATGACGCTCGGCCCCGGCGAAGCCGTTTGTGTTCCGGCAGATAGTGTGCATGCGTACCTGTGCGGAGATATCCTGGAGTGTATGGCCCGGTCGGACAATGTGCTGAATACGGGGTTCTGTGCCCCGGCGGAGAGGGATGATGTCGGGTTGTTTACGGAGGCGTTAACTTTCAAGCCGCACGCCGTGGACGAGGGGGTGTTGGGGAGGAGGAAATCGGTGGTTGGGGGGATTGGGGAGGGGAGGACGGAGGTTTATCAGCCGCCGTTTGGGGAGTTTGGGGTTTTGGGCGTGAGTCTGGGAGCCGGGGAAAGGGAGAGGCATGGGAGGCTGGAGGGATTGAGTTTGGTGGTGGTTGTGAAGGGGAAAGGGTGGATGGAGGTGACTGGGGGGGAAGGGGAGGGAGAGAAGTGGGAGATTGGGGAGGGAGCGGTGTTTTTTGTAGGTGCTGGGGTGGACTTGGAGTTTGGCACTGAGAAGGGGTTGTTGGTTTATCGGCCGTATGCGGAGTAAAATGCTGTGGTGCGGGTGATGTGTATTTATAGGGTTGTCCGGCTATGGGTGGGCTGGACGAGTACATGGAGTTGGAGGGAAGATTGCACCTGGGATGTGCTGAAGGGCATTTTATGTCACTAGTCATGTACCTCGTTAATTATAGATCAACTCTAGCCTTACACAGATAGGAATGGTGCTGTTTTCGTTCTCCCCCCGGACCCTGGTTGCGAATAAGCGCCCGCCGATATAGGGTCCGGTCCCCTCCAAGCGCTCAGGCTCCGCGATCGACTCCTCCCACCCAATGGATTCCCATCCACGGCTATCAGATGTGCTATTTTTGGGTGTGCGTTGCTGTCCCTTCCCACGAGGAAGCAGGATGTGTAGATTCGTTCCTGTTCCTGCGGTGCGGAGTCCGCGTCGGTGAGATTAAAATAGACATGCGAGCGGGGGGAGGGTTCCTGGGAGGTTCGCAACAACTGGTGATTATTTTAAGACGGGCGGTTCTCGTCCGGTGGGTTCGTTCTGTGTTTCTGTTTCTGTTTTTGTCTGTGTGTGTGTGTGTTTCAGTGGTGTGTTGTGTTGTCAGTTCTTGTTGCATTGTCCAGCCATTCATTTATCCATTCAGCTTTGCTATCCACTGCGTCTGCTCTGGGAGTGGTCCGTGGATGCATGATGATCCTCCCTCGTGAGGGACAGATGGGGCCGTATCCTCGATCGACTTCCTCATCCGTGGAGTCCTCGTCGTCTGGTCGGGATCAGATGATAATCGGGGTTGTCTTTGGAGGTGTGGTGGTTATCATGAGTGAGTGGACATTCTTCATCACTGTCATTGTCATTGTCTGTTAGGGCTTGGTCCACAACATCAGCCATGTGGACACATCCTCAACTCACCTCATACAAGTCATCGCTGCCACACTCTTCATCCGTTACAAAAAGCGCAGTGCCGATCGCCGTCGTCGTCAACGCGAAGACCGCCTCCTCGCCCATCACTTCTCCCTCTCCACGGGGTACTATCTCGACCCCGAGGCAGCTGCTAGCAAGCCACACACCCCCGAGTATCCCCTCGAGATCTCCTCCTCATCACAACATCAACAACAGGAACCCTTCTCGTGTCTTGACTCCCCGCAGCAGAGAGTCATTGAGGATCCTCCGCCCGCGTACCAACCACTACCTGCGTATAACCCGTCCCGGTATCAGGGTGTGGATGGCATGGTGGGGATCGCGGTTCCGTATCCGGGCGTGACCGCGAGTATGTATATGTCTCAGAGGAGGGCACCCGAGAGGGATTCGAATGCGTTTAGTTTTGCCGTGGAGGAAAGGTTGGATGTTGCGGTGCCTCGTGAGGTAGGGGAAGAGGTGCAGCAGGAGGAGGAAGTGACTTCGTTGCCTCGGGTGGACGGTCAGGTGCCGCAGCGGCCCAGGCCGGTGTTGTCGAGGTTGGTGACGAACTTTGGATAGGCTGGGACTCTTGAAAGATGGTTGCTGTTTCTATTTTTTTGATTTCATTTGTTGGTTTGGTGTTGGTGTTCGGTGATTGGTGTTCGGAGTCAGTGACTCTTGCGGGTTATGGGTATGGTTATGGATGATTATGATTATGATAACGACGACTTGACTGCAGATAGAATGATGGGGGGATATGGGTGCTCCAAGGTACGTCTCTGCTCTGCTTCTCCCTCCCCTGTCACTGTTCTACTGTTATGTGCTTGATTTCATCACATTTTCTCCTTCTTTTCCCTCTTTTGGTATGTGATGGGGCTCGGTGCTGAGCTGAACCAGGATAGGAGACCAACACCACCCCACCACCAGCTGTCATCACCTACTAGAATACTACTAGTAGGATATAGTAGTACGGAGTACTGCTATCGCTGCTACAATCTCGTCTAAATTCCCGCAGCGGGCATGGGATGATGCCAACTGGTGATGGCAACTGGCGCCTGCCTGATCGGGAAGCGGCCCGCCGGGGAAGGAGCAGCTGGGCGGCAAGCCACCGCGAATCCCCTCTTCCCTCCTCTCCCTCCCTCCCTCCCTCTCTCTTCTTCCTCCTCTTCCTCTGCTTTCTCCTTCCTCACTCTCAGCCCATCATCCCTCCCCCTCCGCTTCAATCTATCTCACTTCCTTCGCCTGCAGCTAGGCAATCACCCGGACCCTACAGCTGCACCGTGACAGTGACAACAAACAGCACAAGCACAGAAATCACCGGGCTTCTCACGTCGTCTCCATCACGGCGCGTAGATAAGCTCTGCGGGTGGTTCGGGCCCAACCGCGACGATCAACCGGTGATTGTCCTCGATGTTCCCCCTCTTTTCACCCGTCAGACCCTGGCAGCCGCCGAAGCTTCTGTGCCAATCAATCCAGCGCCCATGCGATAGCGCTGTCTTAGTGACTTAGTCACGACACTGCCCTCCATCGGTCGCTTTCCCCTCTTCCAATGCTACATCGGACTTGAGGGCGATATCGTCTCGAGTCCAGTCCAACTGCTACCTCGTCCGCCATTCCCTGCTAGGGAGCGCCGCTAGCGTCGCTCATCACGTCCATCACGCTCCCCCGACCACATTGCCAGGGATCTCGCCCATCCTCTTAACCGCTGGGGTGACCACTCATCATCCCCCGAACAGGGATCAGCTTGTCTCGCATATTTTCTCATCCTCTCACGACCGCCGAATGTGCCACGCCAAGGTGACCACCAGCTGCAGCCGTGGTTGGATGCCGCCAACATCCCAGCAGCATGCTAGCAGCTCTTCCAGCCGGTTGCCTGCAAGTTGACTGCGCCGCTCAGTTATTCTCCCGACTGACCTCCCCTCTTTTCCCTCTCCAAGTACGCGGACCGGTTCTGCCCCCTGCTTCAGCGGCTCTCCCATGACCAGTGATTGCGTCGGATTCGCCATCCCGCTTACAAAACGAAGGGCGATCCCCCTCCGGTTGACTGATGTTTCCCCTCTCAATGGCCGCGTACGCCCGAGGGGCCTCCCCACCGAGGGAAAATATTGACCGTGATGGAGGGTGAACCAGACTGTCGGGACCAAGATGTGTCGCCTACCCGTACCACCCACGCTGGGCTCCGGTGCCCATCCGCCCTGCACTGAAGGACTTTTTTCCTGAAGGAATTCATCGTCGGTCCCTGGGAGGGTCCTCCTTCTGTCATCCTTTGGGCGATATGCAGCCGCCTTTCGGCCGACGGATTGCTGTGGTCTTCGGTCTTCGTACCCCGACATTACGCTTTTCCATGCCAGTCCCTCGGTGGCTGCTCTGTCCTTTCTCCCCTTCCTGTTCTAGCCCACCTTTGGAGCCCGGCCGTGGGGGCTCTGGATCAGAGGGACCTGACACAAACACGTAGGCGGCGGGCCCTTCATTTTAAGGTACCGTTGTGGACTCGATCCTTCTTAACCTAGTTCTTCCTCCGCGCTCTTGGTAGGGACCTGTGCGGTCGATGCTGACGCGGGCCCTGGATGCTCCAGCCTCGAGTACATTAAGGGCGCTCTTGCGACCATGACGGCCATCATCCAGAAGCTGCGTCGCAAGCAGAAACTTTCCTCCGAGTTGCACTCGCGCTGGGGGGATGTTGCTATCACTTATCCCACCGGTGGGTCCTGGAATCAATGGGATCATTCTTCTGCCGGGGGGCATTCAGCCTCGACCGACCCTGAGCGACGGCATGGCTCTCTGGAACTCAATCGGTCCGCCACCACCCCTCGGATAGGGAGTCAGATACGATCTGGTGCGCGGGCGCCCTCGGTGGATTCGGCCATGACTTTTCCTACGGGCCATTACGACGCACGCGTTGGGAGTCGAATCCGACGGAAAAACCAACCCAGTAGCCCCGGGATCGGATTGGCCATGCCGATGGATTCTCCCGTCGAATGCGATCAGTCCTGCTCTGACGAGTCCTCCGAAGACGAGGAGGATGCTACGGCCGTTCCAGCTCCTCTCAATGTGTCCCGCGATCGAAATCCAAGCAATGGGGAGGAATCCGACGCGTACTCGCGTGCCTCCAAATCCCCACCGTTATCAGTCACCTCTCGCATGCGTCGGTACAGTGTCCAAAGCAACTCAACGGAGCCCACGATATCCGGACCGGGGACCACCAGTTCGAAGCATACTAGTTACACCTCGTCTGCGCCCTCGAATCCGTCCGAAGACCCGCGACCTCATGTACATCGTCTATCTACGCAGCATGAGAAGAAGCCGGTGCGGCGTCCCAAACCGGAGCCGCTGACTCTGCCGACCCAGCCTGAGATGGTGCCGTCGTATGATGAATTGTATGGGTGACCACGGGGTCGAGGGCTAGTTGCATGGGAGGCTTTTTGTTTGATTTAGTTACTGCACATCTGTTCCACTGCTTTGGGGGAGGAACGAGGTACGCCGACCTGGCTTGTGTTTTTGGGTGGATGCGATTCTATTAAGCCAGCCGTAAGAGGGCAAAAGATTTAACCTGCATGCATCGTGGCGTCTAATTGCTGTCGGGAGGCGTTTTGTTTACCTTTTACTTGGTTTTGCTTGTTCCATATAGTGCCTGTCTAACTTTGGTTTATTTGGACAATTCTATCAGTCACACAGGACTTTACTTTTGGCGTCTCGCGGTGGGTGACCGAGGCGACACTACAGATCCGGGCAGGCAGTAGGGCTCCCTTTGGCGAAGCGCCCTTGAGATTCCGCGGATGGCGTAAAGAGGGGGTGGGGGAATGATTGGCCAGGATGCCGGCATGGCTGGGCTGATGTGACAAGTGCAGTGAGGTGCATGCAGGGCCCACGGGCCAATGCCCGGCCACGAGCAAGCGCCGGACCCCGCGAGCACCTTCCTCATCACGACGCCGGCTGGCCCGCCGTGCCATGCGCCCGCCCGCCAATAATCCTGCAGCTGCAGTGGCCGTCACAATCACTGTCACACGTCGACCCGCCTGGGCGGCCTCTGAGAGGCTGGCGTAGCGCCCAGCCAGGTGCTCTGTTGGATGTGGGATCTTCATCCACCGTCCCCGAGCTGGTCCTGCCTGGCCATCCGGTACGGAAACGCTGTTCCCCCCCGCGGACGCCTGCTTTATCAATCCACCATGGCACCGATCCTGCCGTCCAGCCGACGATCTGGTCTGGGACCGGTGCACCATCGCCATTTTTCTACCCTCTGTTCCCCCCGTTTTGTGTTCCCGAGTGTCCCTTATCTGCCTCTCGCTGCGCGGTGTTGCGACGCGGGCTCGGTCGATTACAGCCTCCCGCTCTTCCTTCGTTTGGCCGTAAGATAGACGGTAGTATTGGCGAGGGTGTCGTTGCTGTCTGACGACGACGACGATCGATCGATCCCAAGGCTACCAAGATGATCGGTTTCTGGGGCCCAAGCCCGAGATCTACGATATGGGCTGTGGCTGCCGCCGCGGCGCCTCTACTCCTTCTCAGCCACGTCGCTCCCAGGGCGGCTGCGTTGTATGTGACCGAGGGCTCGCCGTGTTGGGACGTTTGTAACGATCCGACTAATACCACCACGTCTGAAATTGTGTGCTTGGATGCGGCATACAACGATACCACGACGGGGGAGAACTTTGAGAAATGCGTCTCGTGTGCGTTGGAGAGCAACTATACGGATCCGAATTCGTCGCTGACGGACGTGAACTGGGGGCTCTGTAAGTGCGCTGACCTGGCTTCTGTGATTGTGCTCATACGATTAGACAATCTCCGGTTTGCGTTTAGCGCCTGTGTCTATGGGTATCCAGTGAGTATCAATGACATCTCGACGCCGTGTCTGGTGTCCTGCCTGGGGCTGGACGGCGCGCTCGAGTTTGACCTGCTCAATCCGAATGAGAACAACCTGCGGGCGTGGTGTTCGACGTCTGCGTTTGCGGACAACCAGATTGAGACGTGCGAATTCTGCTACAATCTGACTGGCAATCAGGTGTACATGGCCAATTGTGCGTCTTCCTCTTTTACTTACCCTTTGCCATACGCACGTGCAATTCGCTAACCTGGTATGGACGACAGTCTTGGAAGCGCTCCGCTATGACTGCCACTTTCCGGTGCCGTCTCAAACGGCTTTCCCGATTAGTCCCTCGTTGATTTTCTCCGAGTCTCAGTTACCGACCTATACCAGCGACCTCCTGGACAGTCCCAGTGGCGGCGGCGTCAACTACAAACTGGCCACGCTGATTGGCCTCCCGCTGATGGGATTCGTGATCCTCCTATTCATCCTGACCATTGGATGCGTCCTCGGCATCAGCTGGTGGCACCGCCAGTCCCGCGAGGACGAGGAACTCCGGCAATGGAAGACCATGGCGGCGGAACATCCCTGGAATGAGTACCCGCCGCAGGAGATGTACCCGCCGGGGGCATATCAGCAGCAACATCCATACGGCCCGGGGTTCCAGGTCGTGGATACTGACGGTCGCACGCATGAAGTGGGGTACTCCAAGCAGATGTTCGAGACGGTGATGCCGGGAGACAAAGGGAAGGGTCTCGCGCAGGAGTATCCGGTGGGGGACCTGAAGCTGTGATGCAGATGCAGCGATGCAGCGGTGCAGCGGTGCAGCGGACTGGATGAGGATGTAGAGTGATGAGTGATGTTTCTGCTTGATGTTTTGTTCAGTTGATGTGCATAATGAGGATATACCCTGCGGCACAGCATGCACATAGTCTATAGCCCTGGTTGTTGAGCCTTTTGTTTGTTAAATATGAAGTGATGAGAATCCCAACCATGGAAGTAAGCCACAAACAGGACAAAAAGAATTCCAGTAAGAGAAGAGTAAACCTGACACCAACTCAACTCAAGTCAACTCAACTCACCCCACCCCAAACCAACCCAAAGACAAACATAGCCCATGACAGCGAAAGAAGAAGAATAAAGTCTGAAGAGTGTGAAGCATAAGAAAAAGGTTAAAGAAGAAACAAAGACCCTGAGCTGAAAACAGGCACACCCCCCACTTTATACCCTCCCCCTTCTTAAAATAACACAGACACAGAGCAGTACCACAGACGTATCACAACCCGAACACAGATAAACCCCCGAATTTAACCCCCCGAAACGAGCGACTGTTACGAAGGTAACCGCCCATGGCTGCAGGGTCCAAACCCTATCCCGCGGCCGAGACGTCCTTCATCCTATCATCGTTACGGAGTACGGAGTACGGAGTACTCTGGGGGGAGATATCAAGGTGGCTGAGGAAGATGATAGGTATACTGGTATGCTGGTAGGAGGAGGAAGGAGGAGGAAGAGGAGGTGAATGCCGAAGGACTATAAATAAACACGGGATAGATTCACGATAGTAGTATGTGAAGGTAGGATCGTTGGGGTATGATTGGGTGATGGGTGGTGATTGGGTGCAGTGCCAAGATGTTTTGGTGTATGCCAAGATATGGTGATGAGGGGGGTGGGATGATTGGGTGGGATACCATTTTACTCCCGTACTAGGACCTGTGTGTGTGTGTGTGTGTGTACTAGATAGTAGGTAGGTATGTAGCTAGGGTGGTTATTTTTGGATACTTCGAAGGATAGTAAAGACTGGGTACTATAGGTGATTGATATGGATTGGGTTACATACTACATCGGGAGATGTGAGAAGAAGTGTGAGGTGATATGTGATTGTCCTTTTTTTGTTCTTGGTATTATTATTGGCATGGATGGTGGGTTGGTTTTTTGGGATTCTAGTATCTGTATGTTTGTCAGAAGGGAGTAGGATCGGTGTTTACTGGTGTGAGGTATTTCTTGTTGTGCTTTGTACTCCGTGGAGTAAGAATGGTGGAAAGAAAGGGAGGCATCGGTATTGTGTTGTTGCTTGGGAGTTGGTGGTTGGGTGACTGTGACAGTTATTGGAATGGTCTATCTTTAGAATCGTCTCTCGCTGTGATGGTACGGAGGTGATTGTTTAGGTGGTCCTAGGGCTAGCGTACGTTGATTTCTTGACAAGTTGGATCTAGCAGGTTGCGAGAGAAGGTCTAATTTAAACTGTCTGCCTGCTATTTTTAGCTCGTTGGGCAGAAAGGACAGTATTCAGATTAAGCGCTATGCTCGTGGAAGAAATCCACATAATCAAATAAACTCCGCTTGTATCGACGGCTCCAGCTTCCATCCGTCCGATTCACACTCTGCATCCCGTACTGGTTCGCATAGCTTCCGAATTCGTTGTTATCCAGGTAACTCCATGCCAGCGTGCCAATGACATTGACCCCGTCTTCGTGAATCGCCTTGAGAATCTCCTCGAGAAAGTCTTGGTAGTACAGGGTTCGCTCGAGATCGTATCGCTGGGCGTCGCTGTCGCGCTGCGAATCGGCAAACGGGTTAAAGCCAAACTCCGCGACCAGGATCCCCGAGGGGTTAAAGGTATCCCAGATGTAACCGAGCTGTTGTCGGACGTATTGCGGGGCAATCGCCGCGTAGGCGTTGGACATGTCGCCCATCAGCCAGCCGTCAGCTTGGATCATGGTCGTGGCCACACACTCGGGCCATGCGCGGTCCGACTGGTTGGCTGCACAGGCAGAGATGCCCGCTGGGGCTGGGGAGGCGAATTGGGCAACGTAGGGGTCAAAGGCCCAAAAGTCGACGGTGCCGTGGATGGTCGAGATCTGGTCCGGGGTCAACGCGGTGAGGTTCAAATTCGGGGTATTAAGGGCTTCCGAAGGATACTGTTCGCCAAGGAACAGAGGATTGCCCATGATACCGAGGATAAAGTCTTGGTATCGGAGCGCTGCATCCACATGGGTGGAATTAGACGGATCCAGAGGAACGGCCAGGTTGTTGGCGAATTTCACGGTGATCTGTCCCGTTCCTTGCAGCTCCTCCTTGTACCAGTGGTAGACTGCAGCGTGGGCCGTCAGGACGTGGGTGAGATCATTCCAACTACTAAATGATGTGCCAACCCCAATGTTGGGTTCGTTGAAAGTGACCCAATAAGGGACGCGATCTGCGTATCGGGTCATGACTTGCTTGGCATAGTAGAGAAAGTTCTCGGAGAGGGTGGAAAAGTCGCTCAGTTGGCTAAGTGGCATGTCAACATGGTTCAACGTCACAATAGGCGTGATGCCATATTCCAGGCAGGTATTGATGACATCGTCGTAGTGCTGCAGCCCCTCGGTGTTGATGGGTGAACCGGCCACCCCGAAAGGCACGATCCGGGGCCAGGAGATACTGAACGACAGATATGGGACACCGATGGCGGCCAACCGAGCAATGTCCTCTTTGTACAGGAAATAGCTCAAGTCGGCAATGTTCGCATCGGACGAACTGTCGTTGCTCTGGATGGCGCCAATAGTGTCCAAGGCAGAGGGGCCCCGGCCTTCGAGCTGCAAACCTCCCTCAATCTGCCATGCGCTAGCTGCAACGCCCCAGATGAAATCCGAGGGTAGCTTCAGGTCCGCATAATCGATCCTGTTGTACAGAGTCGGCGGGTAGACCAGTTCGCTAGAGGGAACTGGCGTCGGCGTGACAGTCGTCGTGAACGGCGGCGCAGACGTGTAGGACAAATTGGCCCACAAAGCGGCGTATGCACTCTGCCCATACTGTCCGTCAGGCGTAATAGTTTGGCTCGGAAGCAAAGCGTATGTGGTATAGGTCACGTTGCTGGGAAGCAGAGTCGATGCTTCACTGAAGGCTGGAGCAAATGGCGTGGCAAAGGCCAGCGGGGAGCTCAATGCAGTCGCATACCGAGTCGAAGTGACCTGAGTGTAGCTAAAGGAACCATACGAGTATGATGTCCTCGATGCCGGAGACTCCTGAGCAACAGGCGACGCTTGGGCAGGCTGACTCACACCAGCTACACCCAGTGCCACCACACAACTGAGAGAACGCATCTTCAATTCTTCAGACTATCTGATCCTTGGAGACTGACGAGATAACCGTCCTCCTCAAATTTATACTCCCCCGCCATCTCGCTCGGGAATCCAGCGCGGCAGTTCCTCGGACAATCCGAACCATAGACATATCAGGCAGAATCGGCTATATGGCATGAAGAGGTACTCGTTGACCGGAAATGTTTTCAATTTGCGGGGAAATGCGCAGGGACTCGGCATGGGGGAGCCGGGGTGGGGGAAACCCCCACAGCTCCTAACGTCAACGCAATATGAATCGGTGCATTACAAGGATTAAGTGTGGGGTGGTCAATACCCCGTGACGGAGTGCTCCATAGACGACAGCGAGAACAATGCTTTGGTCGCTGTGGTGCAGGAAGTTGTACAGTGTACTCCGTGACTAGCAACATCTCTCCGAACGGATACGAGGTGGAGGCCTGGATCCGCTCAGTCAACACCTCAGGCACCAACGATCTCCGCGTCTTCTCCGACCTGATGATTGTTGACGGCCTCGAAACCTCAAGATCACCCCCTCAGCTTACCCCACCCATCAAAAACCATGTCTTCCCTAAACCAAGACCAGATCAAAACCCTCGAACAATCCCGCCAACGCCTCATCCAACTCACCCATTCCCTCGCCTCCCTCATCACCAGTCTCAACCAAAGCGATCCTCTTCCCTCATGGTATGTCTACCCCAATGAGCCTCTACAGTCACTAACAATCCCAGGACATCTCTCCAATCCCAAGCCACCATCATCTCCAACAACCTCCTCACCATCTCCGACCACCTCTCCGATAATCGTGACCTCCTCGCCAACGTCGTCGCCTACCCCGACGCATCCTACCCCTCACGCGTCCCCACCAACAATGTCGCGCTGGAGCAGGTGCTACGCACGAAACTCGACCCCCGAGTAGAAGACTGGGTCGCTCGAGGTCGACGCGCCGGATCGTCCGATTCGGCGGCCCTAGGGCACGGACAGGGATTGAGTGAACAGGCGCTCTCGGATCTATGGCATTGGGCGCCGGTGGAGGCAAACCAGGAGGCAAGGAGGAGAAACTGGGGTGGGAATTTTACGCTGGAGGAACGGGAAATGGGAATTGAGAAGGTGGTGACCGGGTTGACGAGGGTGTTGGACGATGACGACGATGACGACGAAGATCAGAGTGACAGTGAGGAGGGAGAGGGCGAGGCGGATGAGATGGAGATTGTTGGGGTGAGGCGGAGGTCCGGGGCTGGAGCTGGGTTGGAGTTTGATATTGCGGCTGCTAATAATACGCCTGGAGCTGGGACGAAGGTGGTGGCCCCGGTGGTGCCTTTGGAGGAGATTTTGAGGTTTATGACTACGGGTGCCGTGCCGGGACAGCGTTGACATCTACAGCAGTTAGATCTACAGCAGTGAGGTATCTACAGCGAAAACCTTGGAATAGTGCCAAATAAATTAAAATCTAACAAGTTGAGAACGAAGTTAACCCCGGCGTCGGGTGGTGGGCGCCTTGCCGGTCGGCTTGGGGGACCCAGTGGGCTTGGGAGACACGCCCGTGCTGGTGGCAGTGGGCGCTTTCGCGGGAACCGCTGCCGCAACGGGCTTCTTCTGTGCCTTGGCCGGGCTGTTCCAATAGTACAGCATCTGGCCCGCGAGGATCAGGTTCAGAGAGAACCCAGCAATGAACCCATACAGAATCAACTTGTCATCCACCTCCTGGAGGGTTGTAAAGATGCGAGACAGAGAGCCGGCGAGATAGTTGAAAACCTGGCCTCAGTCAGTAAGGAAATACCTAGATTAAGACAGGTCACATACCGCAAAAGCGCTCAGTTGGCCGGTACCGCCTTCACGCCAGATGGTATAGATCTGAGGAGCCTTGCTGGCCACACCCAGAGCACCTGCTCCAGCCTGCAGCAGAGCCATTGTCTGCGCATCCACCAAGGTCTGGTCAAAGAGCAGTGCATACACGCTCGCCGCCACGACAGCAATGAACGCCGCCGCCGCAGTGGGCCGGTCCGCAAATGTCAACACCAAAACACCCACCACCACATCTTGTACCGCAATCAACGCCGTCTCGCCAAAGGTGCTGAAAGGGAACTGGTTGCGCACGCTGTAAGACAGCGTGATCAGCAGACTGGCTGTCTCGAGAGCGTACGAAACGAAGGATACACCGGCAGACGAGCGAGAGCCGATCAGCTTGAGAATCTGGGGCACCTTGACGATGGCGCTAGCTCCGACGATGGCAATGCCCAGTGCCTTTGAGATGGCGAGAGAGGTACAGGCAGGATCCTTGCTGACATCCAGGTCGACCACGAGGGTGTTGTGGCAGGAGGAGCCGATCAGCGAGACGATCGCATCGTGGACCGGTTCGGGCACCGCCGAAACAACGGGACGGAGGAGGGGTTGGAGGGGTTCGATGATGGTTTTCTGAATCGCGTCCATGGTGTCAGCTGTAGAGGACCGTGGAGTCAAAGAGAAGAGGTCCAACAAGGCCAAGGGAGGGTGGTTGACGGGAGAAACGCACGAAGCAAGGACGGAGACAAAAGCCGGAGCGGCCAGCAAAGGAAACCAACGCATCTCCGGATCTGCGCGTCGGGTCGCTCCCGCCCGCCGTGGCTTTTCTTCGTCTGCGGCTTGAGCTTCACTTCCGCTGCTTGGATTCTGGTATACCAGAACCCCACAACAGGACTCCGCCATGAGTCTCCTCCGGTCCTCGTTGCGGAGGATAGGCTCCCCCGGCGATCCCAGCCGGATATGCTCCCAATGTCTCCTGCACCGAAGCCGTCCCCCTCGATCCTCCCCCGCCGCTCTCCGCACCTTCATCTCATCCTCCCGGTCTCGCTCGAGCATTGCAGACGGCCCCTCCGCCCAGTCGGCCCTGAACAAGACTTACTTCTCGGCCAATCGCGCAGATGATGGCTCGACCAGCAAGAGCGGCTTGATTTCCTCACTATCAGGCGGCAATGCCTCTTCCGGCACGAACTCCTCCGCTGTGCCATCATCAGACCACCAGGTCCACACCTCTGCGACGGTCTCCGAATCCACACAACCAGAGCTCCCTCATCGCCGGAGGAAGCGCCTAAAGGAAGAAGCAAACGCCCAAACGACCAATCCAGACCATGTCATCCCCCCCGACGCCTCCGCACAGCTGTCGAACTTCTCGTCCACCCTGCCCACCTCCTCCCTCCGTCGCAAAATGGCGGCCTTCCTCGCCCTCTGCAAGCCCCGTCTCTCCGCCCTCATTGTGCTGAGCACGACCTCCGCCTATGGCATGTACCCGATCTCGTCCCTCCTCGCGCTCGACCCGTCCATGACCCCGCTACCGACCCTCTCCACCTCAACCCTAACCTTCCTTTACCTGACGGCCGGCACCTTCATCTCCTGCTGCAGTGCCAACTCAATCAACATGTTCCTGGAGCCGAAATACGATGCCCTCATGTCCCGCACGCGCAATCGCCCCCTCGTTCGCGGTCTCATCTCCCGCCGCGCAGCCGTCCTCTTCGCTATCGCAACCGCCATCACCGGTGTGGGTATGCTCTACTTCGGCACCAACCCCACCGTCGCGGCCCTTTCCGCTAGCAACATCGTTCTGTACGGCTTTATCTACACACCACTGAAGCGTTTGCACGTCATCAACACTTGGGTCGGCGCCATCGTGGGCGGCATCCCGCCATTGATGGGCTGGGTGGCCGCCGCAGGCCAAACCGCCACCACCGGCCACGACACCTGGCGCGATATGCTCTTCAGCAAGGACAGCATCGGTGGATGGCTAGTAGCCGGCATCCTCTTTGCCTGGCAGTTTCCCCACTTCAACGCCCTGTCCCATACCATCCGCGAAGAGTACAAGCGCGCCGGCTACAAAATGCTGTGCTGGAAGAACCCCGCCATGAACGCCCGTGTCGCCCTGCGCTACTCGGTGCTGATGTTCCCCATCTCCATCGGCCTCTGGTGGGTCGGTGTCGTCGGCCACGGCTTCCTGGTGAGCAGCTCCGTCGCCAACGCCTGGTTAGTCAAGGAAGCGTACCACTTCTGGCAACACCAGGGCGCCAACGGTACCGCCCGCGGTCTCTTCTGGGCGAGTATCTGGCAGCTCCCTGTCCTCCTCATCGGCGGTCTCGTCACCAAGAAGGGCCTTTGGGATGGTGTCTGGCGGAAGGTCCTCGGTCAGCCCGACCCAGAGGACGAGTACGTGTATATTGACGAGGACGAGGAACCGGTGTCGTCACCATCAACCACAGCGGTGACTCGTGCAGCATGATTACACCCTATAAACAGAACAAAAACCAGAAAGAGAGGAAAATGTATCCTCCCATATCATTGATACTTGTATGGATGTATTAGATTCCCGTTTGGTCGGCGTTTGTATAACAGCAGCTATGATTCATCCTTTATTCTCTTTCTTTTACTTTGTAACATTGTGATGTAGATATGTGTTAATCTTGAACGATCGCCTTTCTCGAGTTCACCCCATCTATACAGTATTCGATTCATTTCGGATTCATACACATGAGTAGAGAATCATCTAACGTACATCCATACATACATAATACACACTCAGCGAAACCATCACCGCCTCAATCCATACAGCTTCGCCACCTCCTCACTAATCTTACTCGGTGCCTTGACCATCGGATCCTCGCCCATTTTCCCGATCTTCGGGAACGCAATCACATCCCGGACCGACTCCTTCCCCAGCATGACAGCGACGAGACGATCAAAGCCCAGCGCGAACCCAGCGTGCGGCGGACATCCGGCCCACAGGGCACTGAGGAGATGTTGGAAATCGTCGATGCGCTCCTTGGGCATGCCCAGGATCTGCTTGAAAATGTAATTCTGGGTCAGGGCGCAGTGGATACGACGACTGCCGCCGCCGAGTTCGACGCCGTTGACGACGAGGTCGTAGTGGTCGGCGATGGCTTTGGTGGGGTCGGTGCTGAGGAGGTCGACGTCTGCGGCGGTCTTGGGGGCCGTGAAGGGGTGGTGTGTGGCGGAGAAGCCGGCCGTGCCGCCTTGGCCGGGTTCGGTGCCGTCGAGGGGAGTGAAGAGGGGGAAGTCGACGATCCAGAGGAATTCGAAACCTTGGGGGGCTTCGATGATTTTGCTGGCGATGGCGACGGGGGCGAGGGCACGGCGGAGGGCGCCGAGTTGGGTGGAGCCGCCGGCGAAGGGGCCTTGTGGGCGAGCCTGGAGGACGATTAGATCGCCGTGGTTGAGGTCGAGCATTTGCTCGAGCTTTTCGGCGGCTTCGAAGCCGAGGGCGCCTAGGCCGTTGAGGGGAGTGGAGGCGTCGTAGATGAAGATGCCGGGGGCGCCGTCGGGGTTTTTGTTGAAGGATTCGCCCTCGCGAGAGTCGAGGAAGCGGGAGATGAATTCACGGGTGGCGCGTGGGGACTGGTCGATGGTTTCGACCTTGAATGCCTCGACGATTGGGTCTGTCAGGGGGGTGATCTTCTGCACGAGGTCGGTAGGGAGGATATGTTCGATGCGATGTATCTCCATTTCATGGCGGGTATCCGGCTTGTCTGAACCGTAGCGGGTCATTGCTTCTTGGTAGGTCATTCTGCGGAATGGCTGAGCAGGAATCTCCTCCATCAGGTTGGACCACAGGCCTCGGATCAGTGATTCAACGACTGTCATGACATCTGCTCCGCTGGCGAAGGCCATTTCCATATCCAACTGGATTTGAATGAGCAGAAGACTTCGATTGGGATTTTAAGATCTCACCTGAGTAAATTCCGGCTGTCTATCAGCGCGGAGGTCTTCGTCGCGGAAGCAGCGCGCAAACTGGAAATATCTCGGCATTCCACTCGCCATGAGAATCTGCTTGTACTGCTGAGGACTCTGCGGAAGAGCATAGGCCTTGCCCTTCTTTCTGGTAGGGACTATAAACTCACGAGCTCCCTCCGGAGTCGACTTGAAAAGCAACGGGGTCTCTATCTCCACAAAAGCCGGGTTGGATTGTTCCAGTACCTCGCGGCAGACATTGCGCGCTTTCGCTCGGAACCGGAGCGCATCGCGCAGCTCGCTGCTAGCTCGCAGTTGAAGATGCCGGTGCTTGGGCGGGTGGACGACTTGCTTTCCAAACATCACAATCTCACGCGGGAACTCGTTCAGGGGCTGGATTGACTCCAGCGCAACCTCCCAGGGATCCGCACGCTCTTCTTCCGGGGTCCTTGAAACCTTGCGTTTAATTGTCCCCTTAACAACGACTGGACTTCCTCTGCTAATCTTCTTGAGCTGAGAAAGTGTGTTGCTGCTCTCATTTGAGAGTAGTTGTATAGAGCGATTCAGGTTGGGTTCGAACAAGGGAACGAACGAGAGCTCCTTGCCTATATCATCGCGCTTGTCTAGGTAGCCATGAAGAACCACCGATAGGCCTTCATGCCCCTCAGCGCGTAGAGTGTCGATGTCCCATGTCGCCTGAGAGAATTCAACTTTGTTATGGGATGTTAGCATCCTCCGGTGCGTGCAATTGCTTCAACTTGCTCTTCCGAGTAGAAATGCCGAGACGATTGCATCTGGTGACAGGGCAACGAACTCGATTGTTTGAACTTATCTAGGAATTCTGCAGGCGATACATTGGCGCGATTCTTTTCGCTGAAGTCGTGAAATGATCGTACAGGGGAATGAGCTTGCAATGCTGCAGGCCGGCCGAGTTGCGTGCCGCGGAAGTAATTGGAGATCTCCACATAGGTTGCACGGAGGTGAGGGGGGCATCGTGCCGCCCTGGCGAGAAACATTTTGCCACGAATCAACCTGAAGGTGCACACGGGGCAGTAAAGAGGCCAATGGCAGCAACCGTCCTGGTGAGGCGATGCAATCGAACGATGTTCCTGATGGAATCTTGCGATACTCCGATGCCCGGGCGGAGATATAGGGCAGAATGGTGCACTCCGCCTTCCTGGCCGAGTCTAGCGTCGTCCACACTGACAATAAAATGAAAATCTGCGGCGCCGAGTTCCTTTCCCTCTTCATCCTTCCAAGTTTTATTACTGTGAGTGCTACCTTTGCAAGTCGACACCTGTTGCATCCTACTAACATCAAATTTAGATGATGAAAGCCTAGCGTGTTATATATGACCTTTTCTCCTTCCTGGAGCCCATCTGGCTCTCCTTTCGGGGCTTAAGGGCTGATGGGTTCCGGTTGGAGAGAGGATGAAATCTGCGTTCGGCACACCCACCTTGTTACTTAACGGACGCGATTAAGGCATCTCTGACCCACATATTACTTGGAGGTGTTGACGCCTCGGGAGGTGGCGTGCTGTATGACTCTTAGGTGCTGCACCTATGACAGAGCTCTGCAGCAGGCCAGAGGTATCAGTTAGCATAGGACAATTGAAATTCTTATCACAGGTCTTTCTGCCAGTAGTGTGTCCTGAGCTTCTTGTACTGTGTAAAACTTTTTGTGCTCAGTGCCTTGGTGCCTTGCGGGGATCGCCGCTTTCACCAACCTCCAGGCCGTCACTCACGACAATCATGAGTACCTCGACTATTCTCCCAAGCGTTTACTAACTACGATAACTCTTGTATTTCAATTGACAAAAGCGAGCTCTCATTATCTATATCATGACATCTATCCATTCGTCATACAAACGGCAAGATTATATGCGAAGGATATTGTCCCCCCAGATGGAGGACATGTGTTCCATGTGATGCCAGCTCCTGGAATTCACCGTCTTCCTTGAACTCGCCTCGCAGCAGTGGACTGTTCCCATGAATCTCGACACGTACACTCTCCCCAGCCTCGTACTCCACCCCCATGGCCCAAATGCCAATTTCCAGCTTCACAATGTCCCCAGGGGTAATATATTCGTCGCGGTCGTGCGGATGAAAGGGAAAGTTCTCATGGAGAGACTTGGTTGGATCGATGGCTCGACGTGAGGCCCGCAGGATTCCCAACGACCCGACATGGAACATGAGGTTGTTCTTCTCCCGGGGCGAGATGCTGTCCACACTGCCTGGGTTGACACCGTACTGTGCGATTGACGACCAAGGAATGTTGAGATTGAGGAGAGCCTTTCCTTGCGCGTCGAGCTTGCGCACCAGAACATATACATCCAGGTCATGGAAGTCCGGGCACGACATGTATACCACTGCCTTGGGGATCCCTGCCAGTCGCGTCCGGCTGGGGAAAGTATAGGTGAAGCTCGCACAGTCTTGATACTTTTCGGAGTTGTATGACACTGATGAATCTGCACTTGGGGCATCAGGACTCAAACGGCCTTCAGGCTGAAAGTACATCTTGCGATACTCAGTCCGCGGGATCGGGTAATCCTCCTCCGTGATATTGTACAGCGGGTCTTGATTGAATCGCAGGATGGTGGTCCGTACCCTGGGTGTCTTCTCCCATCCATTATCGGCGCCATTCAGATAGCGGTCGAAGAAGGAAGCCATTTCGGCGGCAGAATCTTTGCAATTCCACATATCGTACCATTCCTGCCAGGGACAAAGACGCAGCCATTTATCAGGTGATTGAACCTGGAGCCACCCGCGCAGTGACCCCATCGTGTGCACGAAACTGGTGTACGACGCCGTGATATAGGTGGGAATGTTGATTTTGCTGATATCAGGTCGTTTGTCCTTCCAGTAGAGACTATCCGCAGTTCTATGTCGTCGATACATCTCATGGAAATCTTCGACGCCCCCGTGGCCCTGGATGTTGTGGTCGATTATAAAATCAAATAGACCAGCGTCGAAGACGCCCCCTCGCACGAATTGCTCCCGGTACAGATCACCGCATGCCTCCCAGGGAGCAATAGCCTTGAGTGATGGCGGTTGCAAGGCAGCGATAAACCACTGGATGATTGCCAGATGCGAGTTTCCCGCCAGTCCAACACTCCCATTGCACCAGGACATTTTGGCCACGGCTTCAATTACATCGTATCCGTCTTCGGCTTCCTGAGTGCCCATAATGCCCACCGTACCATCTGAATCGCCAGATCCACGGGCATCCACGTTGATGATTGCGAAGCCACGAGGTACGAACTCGGCTGGATCGGGCCCTTCAAATTTCTCCAGTCCACTAAGCACGCCTTCAGGAATTCCGAGGCCCCAGGGAAGCACCTTTAACATGCTGATTCCATTGAACTTTTTGCCAAACGGACTCCATGCTAAAATTGCAGGCACTGCCTTGGAGGTGTCTGTGGGGCGATAGATGTCGCAGTATAGTGTGCTTCCATCGCGGACCTTGATACCCACGTCGTGCGAGGCGTGGATGTCGCATGGCAAGGGACGCGAGCCATTCTTGCTCCAGCCTTTGGGAAGGACTTCTTCACGAAACCCAAAGGGCTGATAATTATTTCGGCCCACGGAGGGCTTGTCAATTGGACGAGTCGCAATCGGTACAGGAGAAGGCATGTTGAAAGTTGCTAACGATGGTGACCCAAAGACAAAAGGCCTATAGGCTTCTTTTGAAGGCTGCCAGGCGTTCATGCTAGCGCGTATCGGCTATTATCGCAATCATTGTCGCTTATCCACATGGGGTCTTTTCTTCTGTCTGACCGTCGGCATGTGGACATTAAGCGTTGCCCGGGTCTATACTATCCACCCCGGCCGAGCTCGGGCGAGTTTACAGCATCGCACCCTACCATTCGGCAGTTCGCAAACTCGCATACAGTCATTCGGACACAGCAAGCGACGTTTTCCGCCTCGGATGGGATCAGCTCGGCCGGGGTAATGGGTGGGCTCGGATGGAATCACCTGTCAGAGACGCAGTAGGCATAAAATAGTGAACCACCCTCCGTCACCAGAGCCTCAAACATCGTCCATTTCCATATCAGAGCACAACTTCGGTTGCATTTTTACAATACCTCAATACATCACACACCCAACATACACTATTAACTATTCTAATCATGGCCCCCTCCCGTATCGACACCCCCGAGCCCATCCCTTCCCCTGCCCCGGAAAAACTCCAGTCCATACAGAACCAGAATCTTCACTATGGCGACTTTCGCGACGACTTCTTCCGGGACGGTTACGCCGTCATCAAAGGCGTGCTCAGCAAAGAGCGCGCCAGCGAATACCAGGACTCGGCCCTAACCTGGCTCGAATCATTCAACCTCGGCTTCGACCGTAACGACAAATCCACCTGGAAGAAAGAAAACCTCCCGCAGAGCTGGAAGGGCGGCATGTACCTACACTTCTCTGCCGCGCACGAGAAATACGTCTGGGACGTGCGATGGTAGACACCCTTCCCCATCTCCCTCCGTCTCCCGCTGACAGCAGCCCAGTGAGCCAAATGTCATCGCCCCGTTCGCCAAACTCTGGCAAACCGACGAGCTAGTCGTCTCCTTCGACACCATCAACATCACCCTCCCTCAATCCATCGTCGGCGCCTACGACTCCAAACCCTGGCCCCACTGCGACCAAGCCCCCGAACGCAAGGGTCTAGTCTGCGTCCAAGGGATCGTGAATCTCTCCAACGCGGGCCCCGATGACGGTGGTCTAATCGTGATGAAGGGCTCTGCGCCACTCTTTGACCAATTCTTCGAAGAGAATCCTGTTACGGGTCCCACACCCTGGCGTACCGCCAAACACAAGGATTTCCATCCCTTCCACGATAAGGATCTGGACTGGTACCGGGAGCGCGGGTGCGAATTGATCAAGGTGTGCGCTGAACCCGGGGATCTGATTCTCTGGGACTCGAGACAGATGCACTGGGCGCAGTTTGGAGAGTCGGATGTTGTGCGTACGATTGTTTATGTGACGTATACGCCGGCGGAGTGGATGGGGGAGGAGGATCGGGAGAAGAAAAGGGAGTTGTTTGAGAAGTTTGAGACGACGACGCATTGGCCGCATACGAATCTGTTTACGCATGGGAAGGCGATGGTGAAGAATGAGGATGGGGAGGAGGTGGTGGATCCGTTGGAGAGAGATGAGCCTCTTACCAAGCCGGTTAGGAGTGAGCGGTTGTTGCAGTTGGCGGGGGTGGTGCCTTATTGATTTGAATAGTTTGTTTTATACCTGAAGAGTAAGGCCACTGCATTGCTGTATATACACACTCGTTGATTATTTCATACGCTTCAACTATAAGTAACTCCATTCCATATACCATGTACAACCCCTCCTGTTCCATCTGGTGACATTGCATCGTCACCTGCACTTATGGACCTTCCCCAGAGCACAATATCACAGCTGCGAGACCACTCAAAAGCCACGATATATCAGGGTTGTCACACGACAGAAATACTCCATCTCGTGGCTAGAGCAGACCAGATCTGGCCAATGCCGGCTCACCGTATAATTTCCCTGTCCTCAATGACTGGAGCCTTAAGTGCTAGGATCCACAAGGAGTCTCACACAGTCTCCATTCTGTTTTACCCATTGTCATTGTGGTTGCCATATTACTATTTGGATAATCTCCCTAGACTAAGTCACGCTTGAGGGGACCACATTTCCATTCTTTGCGTCTCGCATACCAGGGTCTCATCCTGGACCTTTTAGTCAGTCGTATATTTGCTGCTGGACTCTTGAGATCTTGCAATGCTCCTTCGCCTATGTTTTCGATGAATCACCATCCAGCTTTCTTTTCCACCGGGTAACCATCGTACCAATAATCTCAACCTCCAGTAGTGTACCAACCACTGGAAGATTATTTCATTATGCGACTTGATCGGCTCCTTCTGGACCGAAACGTTGATCTCATATCATCTCTCCAATCTTGGTTATATACGGCTTCCACTAGGATTGATACCAGTCATGCTCAGTGACGTTAGCAGACACCCACCATGACTGCAGAGGCTCAGGCAAGACTCAGCTAAGATGTAGGATATCGTCGTCTTTCGGCTAGCCCAGGAGTGTTGCTATGGGTTATGAGTATGATCAAGTATACAATGGATGAGCTCGGATAGGATGAATGGCCGCCATGCTGAGGATATGTCTAAATTGGACATAATAAGCAGAGACATAGCATGCTGACACTCTAGGATATTGACTTCCCATCAGTGCCCATGCAATCGGTCTTTGGTGTTGGAGTTCGAGATCCGGAATATCGTCCTTTACTGTGAGATGAGTCTTTTGAGCTTGGTTTGCAGCATCTGCACTGAGAGGTCAGGTTTGTATGATTAGGTTGAGCGACCCAGAACCTCAATATAAGAGATAAGAATTATTTAATGAAGACTTATCCACTTCGGGGGGGCTTAGGAGTGCTGACTTGCCAGCTCTGCCCAGAATCTCAGTTGGACAACACGACTGATCAGATTTATACCATCTTCGAGGCTGTTCATCAAGTGAGAGGCTCTGGAAGATCTCTCCTCTCGAGGGATTCCTTCCGACGTAGCAGGGAACCTCCCTGCAAATTCTCACCGATACCCATCAATCCACGGTTTCAACATCGCACTTGACTAGCTACCACAGAGCTGCGCTTCGGCTATTCCTAGATACTCCCCGTAAATTACCTACCGCTAAGTCCATGCGTATTTCTTGGGGATGGGGCAGTTCGGACGAGGCTAATAGCCGGCGAATCCATTTTCGGGTGAGCTCGGGCGAGATTCTCCCATCCAGATGGTCAGTCACTCACTCTTCCACATCCACATCCACCCCCAGCATCAGCATCATCACGCAGCACCCCCAGCAACAAGAAAATATACTTTCGGCTCCACGTTCATCTCTTCAACTCCACAATCGGTTTCTCCACGCCAATGGATGATTCCCAATTACGCGGGGAATAACCCCACCGGGGAGACAGCGACAGAGATGGAGTGCATATGAAGTCCGGGGTCTTGGAGGTCATCGTCTGCATCTAGTTTCTTTTCTCAGGAGCATTGTGAGAAGCAGTGAGCACTCAGTATGGATGACAAAGACGTCGACGCTACGCACCTTGAGCTCGCCAAGCCAAAGGCAGGACACCAGAACCCCACGGGTACGGTGAAGCTGGTTGAGGATGGAGAGATAGTCTTGATTCCAACCCCATCGCCGGATCCGAGAGGTATGATACTTCCTTATTGACTTTTGCGTTTGCATGTGATTGTGGATGTGAGTGGCTAAGAAGACAGATCCATTGAACTTCCCACAATGGCAGAAATGGGTGATCACATTCGTGTTGGGAATGTGTGAGTTCGACCACTAGCATATCTCTGGATAATTCTAATGGCATCTAGTCTCCGTTCTAGGTGTCCTAATGACCTCGGGCATGGGTCCCTTCGTATCCATCATGATGGCCTACTACGACTATAACCCGCATACCGACGATCTGATGACCTACCCGACACTATTCATGGGAATCGGAAATCTCATTGCCATGCCGCTGGCAATGGCTGTAGGCCGGCGTCCAGTATTCTTGGCCTCGGCATTGATTCTGACCGTGGGCTCCATCTGGTGTGCCGCGAGTGGAAGCTTGTCATCGCATATTGCGGGGAGAGATGTGCTTTCGTTGGCGGCAGGGCAGTCGGAGGCGCTGTGTCCGCTTATTATTCAGGTATTTCACGCCTTCATTTCTCATTCAAGCATGGTTGCGAATGGATTGGTATAAGAACCGGAACTAAAGGTTGATACTAGGAAATCCACTTCGTCCACGAGCGGAGCAGTCGACTGGCTTGGTTCAGCGCAATCCAGTCCATTGGCACAGCGGCACTAACCATCGCTACCTCCTACCTAGTCAGTAGTCTAGGCTGGCGATGGTGGTACGGGGTCTTCGCCATCGCCAGCGGAGTAGTCTTCCTCGCCTCCCTCTTACTAGTCCCCGAGTCACGCTACGACCGACCAACCGACGCCTTCGAAGGCGAAGTCCACGTCCACCACGAAGGCGAAACGCAAATCATCGTGCACGCAACCACCAAGAACCGCATCCCCCTAGACTACACCAACTACCAAGCCCGAACCTGGAAACACAGCCTCGCCCTCTACCACGGCCCCGCCAACTGGCACGAAGCCCTCACCTGCTGGAAACACATGGGCCAATGCATCCTCTTCCCCAACATCCTCTGGGTCGTCCTCATGAACAGCGTCGCCCTAGGAATCTACGTCATCGGCGTCACCGAATACTCCTCCATCCTCGGCGCACCCCCCTACAACTACCCCACCACCAGCCTGGGCCTCGTCCAGGGCGGCCAGATCGTCGTCTCCATGATCATGGTCCCCGTCCTCGGCTACGGCGGCGACCAACTCTACAGACTCGTCGCCCGCCACCGCAACGGCATCGTGGAATCCGAAATCCGTCTCCTCCCCATCCTCCTCCCCATCATCGTCCTACTCATCTCCTGCATCATCTTCGGCCGCGCCGGCTCCCATCCCACGCACTGGTCCCCTTGGGCCATCACCACGACCTTCAACGGGATGTATTTCGCATATATCGGCATCATCTTAATCGGATTCACCTACTCATTGGATAGTTACGGGGAACGGGCAGCGCCAATTTTGGTGCTCATTTGTGCGATCAGGGGCTTGATCTCGTTTGGGATCTCGTTTGGGATTACCAAGTTTGTCACGGAGAAGGGGTTTCAGGGCGCGTTGGATATTTGTGCGATTATTGCGGGCGTGGTCTCGGCTTTCGGCATCTTGGTGTTTGTGTTTGGGGCGTGGATTAGGAGGGTTACCATGCCGTTTGCGGTGGATGGGAGGTGTGCGGAGTATTAGTTTGAAATACTAGTTTATATGTGGTTGCTTTGTGGTTTGTGATGTAAGCTTGGTTGTTGATGTTCTTTTGAATTGCGAATGAATTGAAGGTTCTGTGTACAGGTATCTGGTTGTAGTGTATTTATTCTGGTAGGTGCGTCATACTCTGATGCAGTCTATCTATACCCGTATGTTTTGGATAGAGGGTACAAATAAACAAAACAATACCAAGAGATACATAATCCCGAAATCTAAACCAAGTCCTCTAAATAGCCTCAATAAGTCACCTCATTCGGAAACGTCATCAAAGTAGCAGGATCCAGCCACGGCAGCGACATATCAATGAGCTCGGAAGAAAACAGATCCTCGAAGCGAGGTTCATCCTCCGCTTGCACTGCAAATCGACCTAGACTGTCTGGTATATCTCCAAAAGCTGTATCATGAGCATCCCCGCCGTGCATATGTTCATCACTCTCTGATAACGATTTACTGGTCTCAGACGCATCCGTGAACAGAAATCGCAATGTTGCTTCGGCGTCAGAAAGTGATGCCCATAAGCGGGGAGATGCGACGAGTTTCATGATTCTGGCGAATACGCGCTGGTCGATTGATGGTCTGGGACGGAGGATCTCGTGCAGATTGATGAGACGATGTAGGACGAGCAAGGCGTCGTGTCGTGTGTCTGTGGATGAGAGCTCGATGAGAGTGATACTGTACATGATGAGCTCTTTCTCTTCTGTAACTTCGGTAGATGATCGAAGATGGCGGAAGCAGATCAGGTCCAGGGCGAGGAAGATAGCAGCCGTGACGGTGGAGCATGTTACTGCCCAGAACTTGTGGAAATAGGGGCATGGGTCGTGGTATCTGCGGGATAGAATGGCTTTTGCGCATAAAATGCCGTTCTGATGCACGGTATCACTGGCTGAGTTGTTGAGTAGTTGTGGGATCAAGGCAACACATAGGTTTATACGCCAGGAGTCTAAGCAGTTGCAAATCAGGTAGCGCTGGACGTGGATCCATTCGAGCCCTGGTTCGATGTGGGGTACGGGGTCATCGGGTCCATGATAGGAAAGGTGGGGTGGAAAGGATGCGGCTATAGAGTCAAGCTCCTCAAAGGAGGCTTGCACAGCTGCCGTTGTCCACTCGTTGATGGATCGGGCATGGTTCTGCATGGTGGCGGCAAGTTGAGCCATCGCTTTGTGATACTCAAATGAAGATGTAACATGGCTAGCTGCACCGGCCATATTTGGGGAGTTTCTCTGATCGTCCTCGATTTCTAATACGGTAGTAAAAGAATCAGGGTGTATTGAAATCGGGCGTGACCATACAGTCATCCTTTACTTCTCTCAGTAGTGTTCCAGCGAACCGAGGGGTAACTAACCAGTCGCAGATCACCAGTGTCCACCATAATCGTCGATGAACATTTCGATGTTCCCGAATTAACCCTGTTTCTTTGACGGGGCATGTTAATCTTTCGTGGTGTTCCCCAAGACGATCAATTCCAATTAAACGAGCGACATTGACGGCTAGACCATGCAAAGTATATTCGCGGCTTGACTCGCCAAGATTTTTGTGCACGATATTCAAGATTGCTAGCGCTTGGACTGTCGAAATACTAGGTTTGCTCAAGTAACTCGCATAGTTGAGCTCCTTCAAAGCAGCCTCGCACCAAGTGCGGCATAGGTCCGTGGGTTTCCTGCTGGGCAGCAATGCTCTATAAGGAGAACAGACAGGGAGTGATTCCTGAAGAAGGCAAATTCTGCGGCTCTGATCTTCGGCTATAAAGTATATTCCTACCTATGTAAGAGTGAGTTTGGAACTCTTTGGCCGTAAGGAAACTTACAGCCAGCACACTGAGGTACACAGCTATCCAGGCATGGTTCCTCGGGCTTTCTGATCTGCTATGGATTATGCGATCCCAGAAATCACAGTGCTCATTGATGAAATCAGAAGGTTCTAGAGCGCAATGAACCCATGCAAAATGAGTCAGAGAAAACTGTACGATTGTCTCACTCCAGTGCCGGTCAGGTAAAATGGGTAGTAGATGGTCATCTCGTGGGTGTATGATACGTCCAGAGACTTGCGACGCTCTCACCAAAAGCCCGAATGGGAGGCTTTGAAAATCGTTCAGAATCTTGTCTGACGACTCTGACCTTTCTGGAGCAGGGGAGACCCGGAAGATGTCTGTTTCAAGTTTCAGCATTTCAGGCCGGGAGAGAACAGATTCCAGCTGCCTGATCCGAGTCTTGAGGCTCAGGTTTTCCCGTAATAGGCTTGAACCATCGGGGCTATCACTTTGTGCCTCCTCATCAACTGCGCTGTAGTTCAGTCAGACGCAGGAAACGAAACCGGATAATATATCGGGACAAGCAAATAGGCAGGCTCACACAGTAACCTTGCCATGGACTTTGACAACCTCTCGCTTACAGGTCGCAGTATCACCGCGACGAATGCACTCGTCGCATGGGATTTTCTTGGAACATTTGATCTTCCTACGAGCACACTGGATGCATGTTCGTGGGACTCGCTGGGTCTGTCTCATTGATTGCGGCATGGCTAAGCATAAGAGTAATTTCGAGTATAGTTCACTCAGGGATCAACTATCCGATGGAGCCATCGAGCCATCATTGTTGCATGCTTTGAGCTCGGGCGAGCTCGGGCGAGCTGGCTCTCCAGCACTGCATTTCCAGTCTGGGGCTCTTCTTCCTTCGGCTATTTCTTCCCCGCATTGTGGACCTGCGGCTAAACTTCGCCCGGGGGCATGCGGGGTACGTCTTCTGGAAGTGACTGCATCGAATTGAAGGCATGGATCACGAAAAGCGGTTTCTAAATCCATGCATTCATAGTGAGATGTTGATACGATGCCTTGCTTTCCCAGTTGCATGCCATCAGGGACTCGTAATGAACGAATTGTACAGTAGTCACTGTTGGGTTTGGAATGGTGGATATACTACTCCCATTCTGCCTTGCTATTCAGTCCTGCTAGACATATATCAGGTAGTGTTCCAATTCCACCGAGGAGTCAACAAAGCACTGCTGGATGTTGGGATGTTTGCACAAGATGCGTGCACGTGACCTCCCAGATAGGAATCCGCATGAGCTCCGCATCAATGATTATCCGCGGCGACGCAACGGAGCGGCTTCTCGGAGGTAATTTTGGAGTCGATAGAACAGCCATTTGCCATTTCGACGCGATACATCGTCAATCAGTCACACGCACCGATTGATCGACCTGTTTGGTCACTTGGTCTCATGAGGCTACACTCAGGGGCTCTGCCCCGCACGGCACGCCTTCATGCGTCCACAATCCTCTCATTGCGACAAACACCATGCGGCGCTCGCAACTATGCGCGGACGGCACAAGTGCTGCGGATGAACCAGTCGCTCTCCAACGGAACCCGCCCTACGATCAGATATCCCGTCGCTTCAGTCGAGTCGGAACAGAAAAGATGGATCTCACAAAACTACATTCGAAAACAAAAGGAAGCTGAACAGGAATGGGCTCAGTTCGCACGGGAAATCAAGGATGGAAAGAGGATTAACTTTGCACAACACCTCGAGGAGAGAGGCCTGCTACACGATGTCGTTGGGTAGGTGATCTTCTTGGACTGCCTGTCTTGTGTATCAGTGATAGATGCATCTGCTAATACAACGCTTGATTTGCAGAGAACGGAAGATGTTGGACAATCTGTTCACGCACAAGAGAGTAGGTATGTATGCAGGTGTGGACCCGACTGGTCCCTCTTTGCATGTTGGCCATATGCTACCGTTTATGGTGTTGGCTTGGGGTTACGTCTGGGGTCTGCCTGTTACATTTCTGGTCAGTAATCTCCACGTGAAGAGCCATGAAGCCTGGCTAACTCGGACAGCTCGGTGGTGCCACCGCTCGGTTCGGTGACCCGACAGGACGACTCAACAGCAGAGAGCAGGTCCACTCCTCGGTTCGAAAAGCAAATATGGCGAGTATGCACATGCAGCTGAAGAAGTTGGGCTACAGTGTTGCCGTGTACGGTAAAAGGCATGGTTATGACAACGAGCGGTCCAGACGTGCTTTAGTGAATAACAATACATGGTGGAATTCGTTACCTCTTATTGATGTTTTCCGGGATCTGGGGGTTCACACGCGCCTGGGGCCTATGCTAGGCCGAGATACGTGAGTCCACAGTTGTGCGTCACTGGTTGAGGGCCGTACTCATCAAGTTACAGGGTCAAAAACCGACTGACAAAGGGTGATGGAATGTCCTTTGCTGAGTTTGCCTACCCGCTAATGCAGGCATGGGACTGGTGGGTACTCTTCCAAAAGGGCGTCCAGGTTCAAGTTGGAGGCTCGGATCAATTCGGAAATATCCTCTTCGGCATGGACGCTGTGAAATCGATCAGCAAGAACAACGTGGACCCCTTGCACAAGAGTGACTTGGAAGATGCTTTGGACAAACCCCTTGGAATTACGACACCTTTGCTCACCGCTTCGTCTGGCGAGAAATTTGGAAAGTCTGCCGGCAATGCGATCTGGCTGGACAAGGACATGACGTCCACGTTCGAGCTGTATCAGGTATGTTGGACATGGCCAGGAAGGGACACCTGTCTTATTAACACATAATAGTTCTTTGTTCGGACTCCAGACGATACCGTCGAGCGCTATCTGAAAATGTTCACCTTCTTGCCGTTGCCCGAAATCGCTAGGATCATGGAGGAGCAGAACAAGGATCCATCCAAGCGGGTGGCCCAGCATGCTCTTGCTGCGGAATTTGTCGAGCTGGTCCATGGCAAAGCAGAGGCGGATGCGGTCGCTCTCCAGCATCGCCAGCTGTTCCGCCCACGGTCGTCAACCGCAGAACCAAGCCCGCTCCCTCTGAAACCCACCACCCCCGGCAAACCCCAGTCCCCAACCGCAGGCTTCGATAATCCTCAATCTGGGAACGCCTACGCTCCCCAAACCAACTTTGCCAACATGCCACAAACTCAGGTTACCCTTCCCCGCTCTCTGGTCTACAACCAGTCGCTGCATAAAGTCCTATGGTCCGCCGGCCTGGTGAGTTCCAAGGGTGAGGGCCACCGGGTGATTGTGAACAAGGGCGCTTATGTCGGAAGCCGTCCCGGAGACAGTGGGCCAATGTCGGATGATCTAGCGTTTACCCCCATCAAGCCCTGGCCAGTGGAGAAGACGCAAGAGTTCATCCTTGGGGGAGACACCTTGTTTCTGAAGCTGGGCAAGTGGAAGTTCAAAATTGTCAAGATTGTCAGCGATGAAGAATTCCGGGCGGCTGGACTGACGGCGCCCGGATGGGAGCCGGAGACTACGGGATCCGACGAAGGTGCTAAGCCTTGATGCCGTGCTTGATCATATACCACTCTTGTATTATTAGACCTGTGTACATATGTATACCTTGAATGTACCCGTACGATCACCAACACCACCAAGGCCATTGATCAAGGTCAATTGTATACTACGTAGGCCGGCTGACCGTCAGACCCGATGTCACAGGTTAGTGTCTGATTTAAAGTGTCGATGTTGATCCGATCAATGGACTAGTTCGCGCTGTCCCACCTCCACTTCCATCTGATTGGTCCAGTAGCTGCCCGGTCCGTCCAGAAGGCGGCGGCAGAACCACTCAACGCGTCGACGCGTGACGCCCGCCGACATGTCCGATCCCGTTTCCTGTCGCTCCAGGGCTGTCACTGATCACCCTGTCCGATCCCATCCCCAGTCATTGCCCTGCCCCATCCTATCGTCGTATTCTTCTCACTTAAAGCATGATATAACTTGGCCTTCACACCAATCTATCCTTAAAAGTTATAGCCCATAATGGCTAGAGGAACGCCCGCCGTTTCCTCTCCCACGACTGCGACGCCCGCCTCCGCGGCACTGAAACGCTCCACGTCCAGTACGCAGAACATGAAGAACCAGAAGTCAATCCTTGGGTTCTTTCAGAAGTCGTCCCCATCGACTCCATCAACCGCTCGTAATGCGGAACCTGCTTCTTCGCCAGCGGAGAGGGTCTCGGAGCAGCGCCGCGGGGGTGCCAAGGGCGCGGCAGAGAGGAAAAAGAGCGTTCCAAAATTCAAGCAGGAATTGGAACCGGTGCCGAGTAGTGATCTGGTCATCCCTGAAGAGGATGAACAGGAAGATAATACTCAGGTGCGACCTGTGTTGAACGACGCTTGTCTAAGTGTACGGCTAACAGGGTTATAGGGAAGTCCGAATGGAAAGCCCGAACTGAAGACTGCCTCTCCATCACGGCGGGTAAGTCTGCACCATTGTATAACTCACTACATATAGAAAGGGTGTGCTGACAATCATCCCACAAGGCCAAGAAGCAAGTCAACTACGTCGAATCCGACTCTGAAGGCGAAGACGATGATGAGAAGATATTCCGCCCAGGCCGGAACAGCAGGAGCAAGCGGAGGAAGATGTCACCAGAAAGTGAAGATGAGTTCAACGATGCTGGCGGAGACGTGGGCTACTCCGACGATGGTCAGTCTTGTGCCGTTGATCTGGATGGGCGAGTGCTGATAACTGCCAGAAATGGACGATTTTGTTGTTGCCGATGATTCGGAGGAAGAAGTCAAGCCATCCAAGAAACGCAAGAGGCCGTCGATCCAACCGAAGAGCAAGTCGTCTTCCTTGCCGCCTGTATCAGCAGAAGAAGACATGGACCTGGACATTCCGGACGCGACTTCTGGCACAGCTCTCAAGTGGACATACGACCCGGAAACTTCTGAACCTCGCCAGCCGCGCGCAGCCCCTACTCCCAAGAGCTCTTCGGTGGCTAAGAAGCAGAAAGCACATGTTACGGAGCCTGAACAGCGGTATGCCTGGCTTGCGAATATCCGCGACATCGACGGACATCCTATCGGTCATCCTGAATATGATCCCCGGACTCTATATATTCCCCCGTTGGCCTGGGCCAAGTTCTCTCCTTTTGAGAAGCAGTATTGGGAGATCAAGCAGAAGTTTTGGGACACCGTTGTCTTCTTTAAGAAGGGCAAATTCTACGAGCTTTACGAGAACGATGCTACTATTGGACATCAGCTTTTCGATTTGAAGCTTACAGATCGGGTAAACATGCGCATGGTCGGTGTCCCGGAGATGAGCTTGGATCACTGGGCCAACCAGTTCGTGGCCAAGGGATTCAAGATCGCTCGGGTCGACCAAATTGAATCAGCCTTGGGCAAGGAGATGCGCGAGCGAGATGGCAAGAAGGGCGGAGCTAAAGAAGACAAGGTCATCAGGAGAGAACTCGCCTCTGTTCTCACAGCTGGTACTCTTGTTGAAGGCTCCATGCTTCAGGATGACATGTCTACGTTCTGCGTTGCCATTAAAGAAGCCCTGATAGATGATCAGCCTGCGTTTGGAATCGCTTTTGTCGACACTGCAACCGGTCAATTCTTCCTATCTGAGTTTGTAGACGATGTGGACATGACAAAATTCGAAACGTTCGTCGCACAAACTCGACCGCAGGAGCTTCTCTTGGAGAAGTCTACAGTCTCTCAGAAGGCATTGCGGATTTTGAAAAACAACACGGGGCCGACCACAATCTGGAACTACTTGAAACCAGGAAAGGAGTTCTGGGAAGCCGACATTACGGTGAAAGAGCTTGATGCTAGCGAGTATTTTGTCTGCGAGGACGGTGATAACCTGCAAGCATGGCCCGAAGCACTTCGTGAAGCCCGCGATAAGGAACTGGTCATGTCCGCATTTGGGGCTTTGGTGCAGTATCTCAGAATCCTCAAGATCGAGCGTGACTTGATAACCATTGGCAACTTCACTGCATACGACCCAATCAAGAAGGCCACCAGCCTAGTGCTCGATGGCCAAACCCTTATCAACATGGAGATCTTTGCCAACTCCTTCGACGGTGGCTCTGAAGGCACGTTGTTCCAGCTCCTCAATCGCTGCATCACGCCTTTCGGCAAGCGGATGTTCAAGCAATGGGTTTGCCACCCGCTTGTGGATGCGAACAAGATCAATGCTCGGCTGGATGCAGTAGATGCCCTCAACGCCGATTCAAGTGTCAGGGATCAGTTCTCCTCGCAGCTGACCAAGATGCCTGACTTGGAGCGACTCATTTCTCGTATCCATGCTGCAAACTGCAAGGCCCAGGACTTCTTGCGTGTCTTGGAAGGGTTTGAGCAGATTGAGTACACCATGAGTCTCCTCAAGGACAGTGGCTCCGGGGAAGGTGTCATTGGACAGTTGATCGGCGCAATGCCTGACTTGAACGAGTTGCTTGAATACTGGAAGACTGCCTTTGATCGCTCGAAGGCGAGGGAGAATGGCATCTTGGTGCCCAAGCCTGGTGTCGAAGAGGATTTCGACAACTCCCAAGAACATATCGAGCAAATCCACCGAGACCTTGAGAGCCTTCTGAAGCGCGTGCGCCGGGAACTTGGCTCTTCCGCCATCATCTACAAGGACAACGGCAAGGAGATCTATCAGCTAGAGGTACCGATCAAGGTGAAGAACATTCCCAAGGGCTGGGATCAAATGTCCGCAACGAAACAAGTCAAGCGCTACTATTTCCCGGAGCTGCGGAAACTTATCCGTCAGTTGCAAGAAGCTCAAGAAACGCACAGTCAGATCGTCAAAGAAGTCGCTGGCCGATTCTATGCACGGTTTGATGAGAACTATGCGACCTGGCTTGCTGCTGTCCGCATCGTTGCTCAGCTTGACTGCCTCATTAGTCTTGCCAAAGCTTCTGCCTCTCTAGGCCAACCCAGCTGCCGCCCAGTGTTTGTCGACGATGAGAGAAGCGTCCTCGAATTCGAGGAGCTGCGCCACCCATGCCTGGTCTCCGCCGTGGGCGATTTCATCCCCAACGACGTGCAACTGGGAGGCAACCGCCCCAACATTGACCTCCTCACTGGAGCCAACGCGGCCGGAAAGTCCACCGTCCTACGAATGGTAAGAACCCTCCATACCCCTCATCACATAACATCCTAACCAACCCCAGACCTGCGTTGCCGTCATCATGGCCCAAATCGGCTGCTACCTCCCTTGTCAATCCGCCCGCCTCACCCCCGTCGACCGAATCATGTCCCGACTGGGCGCCAACGACAACATCTTCGCTGCGCAATCCACCTTCTTCGTCGAGCTCTCCGAAACCAAAAAGATCCTCTCCGAAGCCACCCCCCGCTCCCTCGTCATCCTCGATGAGCTCGGCCGCGGCACCAGCTCCTACGACGGCGTCGCCGTCGCCCAGGCCGTCCTCCACCACGTCGCCACACACATCGGCGCTCTCGGCTTCTTCGCAACACACTACCACTCCCTGGCGGCCGAGTTCGAAGGACACCCCGAGATCGCCCCGAAGCGCATGCGCATCCACGTCGACGACGAGGAACGCCGCGTTACCTTCCTCTATAAGCTCGAGAACGGCGTCGCGGAGGGCAGTTTCGGTATGCACTGCGCCGCCATGTGCGGTATCCCAGATAAGGTCATCGAGCGTGCAGAAGTGGCCGCCAAACAGTGGGAACATACCAGTCGTCTCAAGGAGTCTCTGGAACGCCGGAAAGGCGGTGGTCTCATCGGAATGGGCTGGTGGAGTGATATCGCGTGGGCGCTGCGTGATACAACCACGACGACTGAGAACGAGGAGGTCAGTGATCGGAGTCTTGAGGTGTTGAGAAAGGCGATTGAAGCTCTGTGAGCATCAAAACTGTGTGTTATGACCTAGCCTGTGTTTTCTCCCTCGTCATCAAAAGCCATTCTCACATAGATATGATGTCTGTTACTACTACTCTTGTTCTCTATTTTTATTATATGTACTGGGTTGGGATAGGCGTTAGGTCGGGATATGTTACTGTTGATTTCAAACCCGTGGGGATATAATCCTGGTTAATCTATCGTGATTCAAGATTTGATTTGTTTCCTTCGTGCCCACGTAAACTTGAGCCAGAGGCCGAACAACACTTATCCAGTGCATCATACTTAGTCCTAGTACATAGATAGACCCCCCCCCATGTGGCTTGCCTGCCGCAACTCCTCAAGTTGATAAGCGAAGAAGCGGGCGTCCATGACATCCAGAATTCCATTACTGGGCTAGGTTGGGGGTTGGCAGTGATGCCTATGTAAAGGATTCCATCGATCCTATAACTCTTTCATAAGGTAATAAATACTCATTATCCGTTACTAAGTGATAATGAGGAGGGTTGACTGTCTGATACAGTTACTGTACGGTTGTGATACAGTTGCAACATACATAGTACTCCGTAGTTACAGTAAGGTTGCACTGACCTCACATGATTGTAATTGATCGTTCTGTATGGTCATTACACAGTTGCAGTATGGTTGTGATACGGTTGTATAGCCTCACAAACTATAATGCAGCGTTGGTTACAGCTAATTACAGTTGCTGTAGAGTGATGATATGGTTGTAGGTAGTAAGCTCATGTCACTATAATTCATTCTTATAAGCTATAATCAACCTTTTCTGCCTATTCGTTCATGAAAACTAGATCAGTCACCCGCTATGCTTTCTTTCGCTTGGGTTAATAGGGGATAGGCAGCGCTGGTATGAGTAGATGGCATTAAATACGATATCTTGTTTCTGTTGCTGTTATGCTTGGATCAAATGCCGCCATGTGCAAACTCGCCTGTACCTGGTGATGTACTAGTTCAACCTCAATATTGCAACCAACAAACCATTTGAAAATCAGAAACATCCCGCCCATGCGTGCCAAGGTGCGGACCAAAGGACAATCAGTCAAGGAAATTAATGAAAATCATCCATCGCGCCTGAAATCCCACTTATGAATCATGAACTCCGATCCCCATGCAGTAATTCCGAAAAACAGGCACCGACTTGATAGAAAACATAGACCGAGGAGGATATGATTGTTCACTTCTTGGAATCAGCCTTGGTCTCAGCTTTGGTCGCAGCCTTAGTCTCAACCTGACCCTATTCCATGGCGGTGAATTCGCGACTGAGCTGGCTAGAGTCCATGAGCTCCTCGGTGTCGGAACGGTCGTCTTCCTTCTTGACGAGAGCATCGTAGTAGGCGTCAGTATCCGAAGAGTCTTCCTTCATTTCCTCTTTCACTTTACTATTCGCTTCGTTCTTCACGGCAGCTTTCTTCGGGACCGGAATAGATGGTTCGAGGGTGCTGTTGCTGCGTGAACCGGGGAATTATTAGCATGCTTTGATCAGATAGGGTAGGACTAAAAGCAATAGATACATACCCCTCGATTTTCACGACTTTCTTGCTGACGTGTGGGGTTTTGGGAGTGTCGGTCGTCTTCTGACGCTTGGCCTTGGGCGGAAGGGGACTATCGACAGCGCCATCGCCATCTTCTTCCTCACCAGCTGCCTTGCCCTTCTTGCCCTTCGCGGGAGTCTTCTTAGGAGTGGCAGCGGGGCCTTTGGAAGGAGTAGAGGTTGTACCATTCTGGCCGCCGAGGAGCTTGCGCTTGGCGCCGCGGTAAAGTGTACTAGCGGATGGGGCATTCTTGTAGCCTCCCAGAACGGCCATCTTGTCAAAGTCGACCTGCAGTTGCTGTTAGAGGTCGAGCTTCAATGCGGGGAAGAAATGCATACTTTGCCAGACTCATCGCTGCTCAGCACGCCCAGAAGGATCATTCTGGCCTCGGCTGTACTCAGCCCCAGGAGGCCTTCCGGCTTGTTCGACTTGGGAGTTGACATGGTCAATGTAGAGAGAATCGCTGTGCGGAATTTGATAGGATGGATGGGTGAAGGTGTAGCAAGAGTGAGGCACAGGTGCAGATGCTCAGGTGAGGTGGAAGGAGGGAGGGGAAAAGTGAGAGATGGGGACCTGCAGAGGGAAAAGACCAGGAGCAAGTGATGCGAGAAGAAGATGACGAACAATGAACCCCCGCGAGTCACTATGCAACCCAAACGAGAAAACAGGTGGGGACAAACTGAAGCTTATTAATGTGAATGATATAAGAAAAGGCCCTTTGCATGTCACTAAGCCAACGAGAATAACACATATCGACTGCGGCCTTTGGTGCCTACTTTTTCATTTGGTAGCAGCGGTATGTCCATGGTCCGCTTCATTTTATTTTTTTCTTCATCGCACCATTATTCTGAATCTGCTTGTACACATGTTCCCACAATGCAGGGTAGAAGGTCGTGGACGGGCGCCCACGCTTGCTCTTCGAATCCGTGTAAAAGTGCTGGGGAGGTCTGCCCTCCCACCACCGATAGGGCGCTGGGTTCAAATTGGTAAAGCTCACGGGTCGAATGAGAGACTTATTCGGCACCAAATCACCCATCCGCATTTCCGTCTTGAGAGGCATTGACGTCGATCTCATGGTGGTCATGTATAAGGTGGCCGTGGGCGGCAAGTTCTTTGCGTATTCAATGGTTGCCTCCCGAGAGCGTCGGGCAAAGACTGGGAGCGCAAGGTGTACAAAGGTGACATATGGAGCCGAAGTCCAGGAGACGAAGATCATGGGGAAGGCGCTGGCAATCACAACTTGCTTCAAGTCAACAGACATTTTGCGACAGACGGAATGGAGCACTCACTGGCCGGAGCAAGATACCACGGATGTTCGTCGGAGTTGAACGCCGGGGCGACCAAGAAGCAGGAAACACCGAAGATGAATATCGTCGTCATCCTCAGCGTCCCCAGGATGACCGTCTTTCCAGTTCCGCCATGGTAAATGACAATGCGTTCCGGTGGCCCTATAGCTCCGTTCAGCTCAATTCGATTCCAATTTCACGCCGAAGATCGTCATACCTTTTCGGAAGGTCAACTTCGCATGCTTGGCCGGGGATGGCTGTGGATTCCGGGGCGCCGTAGTGTTGCGTTTGATAAAAGGTAGCTCGCTCTTTGGCGGTTGGACGGGGTTCTGGGTCGTCTTGAATCGGGTAAACAGTTTACTGTTAAGGTCTCTTCGCACACTCCGAGGGAGTGCTGCGCGCAGCTGCGCGCTCAACAGGATAAACGGCCGCATTGGTGTTGATTAGCAATGGGAGAGAATTGAACGAGACGCAATGGATCGACGGCGGCATTTTGGAGAAAGTCCGCGACGGGACCGGCTTGGCGGTCGGGCGTCGCGATTGACGGGCCGACAATCAATCGACCCCAATCACTGTCCCTTGACTCTCCGCTTGACTCCAACTCATCTTGATCCTCGATCCCACATCCCTTTGGCCTCGATCGGAGGCAGTTCAGTCGTTTGTCGCCTTTACCATGAAGGCTTGCTGATCCATCCACATCCGTGATGTATTCGGCTTACCGTGGCCTTCTGGCCCCCTTACTCTCCATCTATATCGCCGCTCTCTGCCTGCTCGCTCCGGGAAACGCCTACCAGGCCATCTCCGATGCGACCCTCGAATCCCTTCCTCGTCCGAACGAGGATTTCGATATCCATAACGGGGCCATCCTATCCCCAATCTTGCGGACCCGCGTTTCTGGAACCCCCGGGTCGACTGCGGTTCTGAATCACTTCGCCGACTTCTTCCGGACTTCTCTCCCCAACTGGAAGATCGAATTCCAAAACTCGACATCCAAGACCCCTGTGTCTAATGGGAAAGAGGTTCCCTTTGTCAACTTCATCGCGTCCCGCGACCCTCCGTGGGCGGCTGCTGGCGATGTCGGGAGACTGACTCTCGTCGCCCATTACGACAGCAAATACGAGCCGGAGGGATTCATCGGGGCCATTGACAGCGCAGCCCCTTGCGCGATGATCATGCACGCTATGCGAAGCATCGATACGGCTTTGACAAAGAAGTGGGAGGACATGCGGGCACAAGGCCGTACAAACCCCCTGGATGAGCAGAAGGGCATCCAAGTCTTCTTTTTGGACGGCGAGGAGGCTTTCAAGACATGGTCGGACACCGATTCCCTCTATGGTGCGCGATCTCTCGCCGAGCAGTGGGATTCGGAAGTCAACCCCGCCATGTCTGCCTACAAGACTCCTCTGTCCTCGATCTCTCTGTTTGTCCTCCTGGATTTGTTGGGCTCCAAAAATCCCACGATTCAGTCCTTCTTTCCCACAACGCACTGGGCCTACAAGAAATTGGCAGCACTAGAGCACCGTCTGCGGGGTCTCAAGCAGTTCAAGTCTTCTGGCGATTCTGGCGATGCCTCCTCCCGGGCATGGTTCCCGCACGCGTCGAAAAATGAGCACGAAATCCCTCACTTCTCCAGCATCCAAGATGATCATATTCCTTTCATGAAACGCGGGGTGGAGATCCTCCATGTCATCGATGCGGGTCCCCACGGATTCCCGGCGGTCTGGCATCGCATGGAGGACGACGGCGAACATTTGGACATGGACACGGTGGAAGACTGGAGCTTGTTGTTTACTGCGTTCGCTGCGGAGTGGATGGAGCTGGAAGGGTTCATGCCTGGGGCTGAAACGACCCCTGGCAAGAACAAGCGCTCTGGCAGCTATCAGGCGAAGACTGAATTGTAAGCATTGTCTAATCTATTGAATTGACGTGGCCTGGGCCATGGACTATATACATCTATACTGGATACTTTATGTGGGCTGTGCTGATATTGCATAGCTTTTGAATGGGCTTTGGCGGCCGTCTAACGGCCTTGTGAACGAAGATCCGTCTGGTATACCCAAACCAATTACACCAGATTTCCAAGCATGAAACCAGTCATCTCCGCCAGACCCCAAGCTGGTTGCAACACCGTGCGCAGGACCGCTGGGCCCGGACAGACGCCACGTAATCCCCAGGCAAGGCCAAACGCTATTGCACCGGCGACAAAGCGCCAGTCGATGTCCGCCACGGTGGCAGTAGGCAGCTTCCATCGCTCCGCCAGAGTGGGTTTTGACCGTGTGGCCTCGGTCTGCTGTCCTGGCTTTATGGACAAATAGGTCATCAATGACGGGCCGATTCCGAAGAGGATAATGAGTGCCAAAGACGGATCGAAGCGCGACGGGTCGGAGAGGAAGGCGAAGAACCGCAACACCTTAACTGGGTCGGCCATTCCGGAAAACAGTAGCCCCATGCCGAATTCCAGGCCCGCCAGATACGAAAAGATTGTCCTGGATTTGTCCGATCGATCAAGCGTTCGGGGTACGACGAAAAAGTTCGTCACGAACGCAAGAGCAGTGGTGGCGACCATGAAGACCAGCTCCGCTGTCGCTGGATAGACGGGCATGTAGCAGGGTATTCCCTCCGCACACGAGGGGATGTTGTGTCCCCCAGTGACAAAATTGGCTGTGATCAATGCCGTGGTGAAGAAGGCTGCGGTAGCAATGAACGAGCGTGGCGACAATCGGGAAATACCACAGAGCATGTGGCCGGACGTGCAGCCTCTACCATTCTATTTGCTTGTCAGACATCGCACGGGTAGTATTGGGGGGTTGATCTACCTTGGTACCCCAGCCCAGCAGAAACCCGGTGCCCACCGTGGACGCCAGGGATAGCCAGGATCTCGGTGCTGGAGGATACGACGGCATCAAAGCCGGCATGAAGAGCGCCACCGGCACGACGCTCGATGCCAATCCTACCATAATAGACACATTCTCTCGAGTCGGATGCAGAACCGCACCAGACAAGAGCGAAGAAATACCCAAGACCGCCCCATTATGCAAGAGCAATCCCGCGGAGCTTTGAAAGAGCAACAAAGCCCCCAACGAAGTATGTACAGGCGTAAACATATCCTTGAATATATTCCGTATAGACAAAAATAAATCTCACCGCAGTCAAAGTCTCACCTTTTTGAAGCCATCCCAACCTATACCACCATAATCCATACAAAGAACTAAACAAAAGCAAAAGCAAAAACAAAAGACAATGCAAAAAAAAAAACAAAAACAAAAAGGAGGTGAAGAAACCATCCAGTCACCAACCGAGGACACCGACACCGACACCGACTCACGAAGGCGATTTCGGGGACCATTGCCAGCCACGAATCCCCGAACTGGATCCGCGATACGGAACACGCACACACGCAATATTCGGTAGGATCCGTCGATCGTCATTTTTCGATAACCTCCTACGTAGATGGTCTTCTATGATTCAATGAATTCTAAGTGTCTGTTTAGGAGAAGTATATGTATATGTATAGTTGAGTAGTAGGATGTCAGAGGGAGGTATCTAGATCAGTGAAACGTGAATCGAAACTAGCTGCAGGGTCAGTCATGCAGGGGCGGCGCGGCGACCCGGGATTCTGGAAGCTGGATGGATGGAGCCTGGAACGGGGATGGCATGGGGCCCGAGCGGGTGGCTTAAGCTGGTCCCCGAGAGCGAGAGCCCGAGAACTATCTAGTCTACGAGGGAAGTGAAGGGAAGTGAAGCTCTGGCCTAACTGTATGGGGTAGGTTCTTCAGGCCAATGTGAGTGATGTGCACGATTTGGAATCTGGTGGTGGGTGAGGGTTCAAGATATAATTAATATATAGTGGTAATAGTTGCAGTGGATTCCAATGGTGCATGGGGATTTTTATTCAATAGATCCTGCAGTACACCGTACTCCGAATAGTACAGAAACTAGTTCACATGCCCTAATCAGTTATCTATCTGTTATTGGCGGCTATCAACGGGTTCTCCGTCCTTTGTTAGCCGATAGAGGGGCATTGTATCACTCAGTGAATATATGTCGTCACAAGGAAGAGAATAAGTAACACGATGGGGATGGCTTGCTGGGGGTATACTCTTGAGACTAGATACCTACAGGACTAGAAGAGCAAGTATCGATTAAAGTATCTGGATCATAGATCTTACCATGCATGCCAACAAGCGAGGAGGAATTGATTACGTCTGTTAAATGTAGTTGACAGAATTCCGGTCATTTGTTGTTGGGACTTCGGTTTCAAAGATAGGCTGTAGTATATACTTGTAGTAGTAAGGGGAGTTGACCCCATTACCAGAACACTGTATTGCAGTCATTCAAACCCTCAATAAGAAAGCATACTAGAATCTATCATCCAGAAAGCTCTCTCTGTAATATACCAAGAAGAACAACAAACACACTGCACCCCCAAAATGCATCCATCACAGTTCATGATATAGACACCATTTCAACTAGATTTCGTCTTTATATTCTTAATTATTCAAGCACATCATATCAACCAGCTCCTATGGCTCAGTTGGTAGAGCGCATGACTAGTAATCATGAGGTCCGCGGTTCAAATCCGCGTGGGAGCATTTCTTTTTGCTTTTTTCGGGGTTTGTATGCGGCAGTAAGTGGGGGGCGGATTGGTGCCCCAGTTAGATTAGTCTCCAGGTGTACCTCGGGTTTTCAAGTCTTTATGGTGGATCTGGTCCTATACTATGCCGTACTATAATCTCCTATGCATGCATCTGTCTGTCTACGGGAGTAGCTTCTTGAGCCGAAATCCGTGACGGTCATGTCGGTCGCATTGTTTTTGGTAAATGTATAGCAGCAGCCAATCTCAGGTGCCCAGGCTCCTAGGCAGGGGCATTGTCTCCTCTACCAATCAGTCCTAGCGATGATGGGAGTCGAATCTCCATTAGATACCGTATCCTCCCCCCACCTCCCCCCTGGGATAATGTACTATATGATTACTGCCCCTCCCCAAAACTCTCTCTCCACCAGTCCTCCTCCTCCTTCATAGCTTGCAGCCCATTCTCCGCCTTACGGGGAAATCCATGTCCCTCGCCCTCGAAAATCACCAACTTGGCCACCCCACCACTGCGCTCAACATCATCCGCCATCGCCTGTGCCTGGTTCAATGGCACGATTTCATCTTCCGTTCCCTGCAACAACATCGTCATAGCCTTGATCTTGTCGGCCTTGAACCGCGGGCTCCGGGCCCGATACACCGTCCGCTTCTCTTCCTCCGTCGAAGGGATCTTATCATCAAAGAGAAGACGGAAAGCGTAATGACTCTCGAACTTGTGTGTCTCGGCAACCAGGGCCTCGACGTCACTGATACCCGAGATGCTGATCGCGCCGGCCCAGAGGGATGGGAAATCGCAGATGGCTTGGAGGACGGCGTATCCGCCCGAACTGACTCCGGTAATGCCGACGCGAGACGGGTGCACCTGGCCGGTGGAGATGAGGTAGCGGGCGCAATCAGCGGCGTCGCTGACATCAAGCAGACCCCAGGATCCGTTCAGCAGGGTGCGGTAGGCACGCCCGTAGCCGGAGGATCCGGCGTAGTTGAGAAAGGCGACGGCGTACCCCCGGGTCGTGTAGTATTGCCACATCATGGTGAGGCCTGGGTCCGAGTGCGCAGTGGGGCCGCCGTGGATGGAGATGATGAGGGGGGGTAGCTGGCCGGAGGGGCTAGTGTAGTTGGGGTTGGTCGGGGGGAGGAAGAAAGCATGGGAGAAGGTGTTTGGGTGGGTGGGGGTGTTCCGGGGGAAGGAGATGTGCTTCGCGTGGGAGTAGAAGGATTCGGGAATGGTGGAGAGGGTAGAGGAGCGGAGGATGGTGGGTGGGGAGTCGGAGGTTAGAGAGATATGGTAGACAGTGCTGGGGGAGGTCGGGGTACTGGCGATGACAGCAATGCTGGTGGCGGAGGTCAGGGCTATGGAGCTGTCGCGGATGCTGGTGAGAGAGGCGACATGGGAAGGGAATGTGTAGGTGTTGGTTTTGAGGTCAATGATGACGAGGCGCTCGGCTGCCTCGTGCGTCCAGGTGGCGACGATGGTATCGGGATTGGGGAGAACATATGTACAGCTGGAAAGGTCAGTTTGGTTGGTGGTGAGATAGAGCAAAAGGAGATACCTTGCGAGAAACCACTCTGGGTGACCAAATTCGCCCTTTTCCAGGCCCTCGATGACAATGGCGCGTGGCTTGTCGCTGTCCGCACTATTACTCCATTGATAAAACTGCCAATAGCCACTACGATCAGACACGAAGAACAGCGTTCCATCCGGGCCCCATCGGGGTTGGATAACACTCTCTTCGCCCGCCTGGCCAGCAAGCTTAACCGGCTTCTCGAGCGCCCCATCCACCCACGAAGCAACAAAAAGCTCCGTGCCCGTCCACGGCATATCGGGATGGTTCCACTGGATCCAAGAAACCTGGTCCCCGGTGGGGTTAAACCTGGCATGGGAGTAAAAGTCCGCGCCCGAGACCACAACCTTGACTGTCTTCTCGGCACTGTTGATCAGAATAAGCTCATTGATCGCCTCGCCCGAGCGATGGTCCTCCCGGATCGCCAGGATGCTTTCGGGATTGTGCGGGTGGGCATTGAAATCCGCGTAGTAGATCTTGGGGTCCGGCTCGACAGCAGTCGTCACGCTGCCAGTTGCGGGATCGAGAATATGAACCCCATGGGTTTTCCAATCGTGGAAGACGATGTTTCCATTGGGGATGGCGGCAAAGGCGCCGCCGCCGTAGCCGTGGACCGCGGTGCGCGCGCTGTACTCTCTAGGCAGCACGTCGCGGGGTTGACCGTTGCGCCATTCGACGATGCAGGAGCGGCCTTCTTCAGCGGGGCGACCCTCAGCGACGTAAATGGTGCCATCAGGCTTGAAGTTGTTAGCTTGAGGGAGTGTTGGGAGGGAGGGAACGAACTGTAGTTGTAATGGCGGAGAAGGTGATGCCTTGCGAAGTGACGGTCTCGGCCGTGATGGGGCTTTCCCAGGTGCCGAATGGGGCGGGGGTTGGAGAAGTCATTGCGGCGACTGAATTTGAGTAGGTTAATGATTGCGGATGGAAAGGGAGAAGCCGACTGGGAGAGGGGTTCAAATACTGAGCCGGACCTTGAGAGATTAATTGCGAGGAGGGGTTAGTCCAGGAACCAAGCATCGAATGGTTACACGCCTCGGACGCTTAGCGGCCGATGCACCGTTAGTGGCCTTAGTAGTGGCCTTAGTGTCAGGTGTTCGCCCCATTTGAATGGCCTCGATAAGCCCGTGGTCCCAAGAAGCTTAGTGCTTACGCTCGCACGCAACGCTCAGCCCATCGTTCATATTGTCTAGTGCTGTCTAGCAATGGCTGCCTGCAACGAGACAGAAATTACAGTTTCACCGAGCCAACCACATCTCTCTCTAGCCTCATCGTGTTTAGCAAGTGAGGCCCTAATTCTGACATTTTAGTCACACCCAAGAACACCATATTCGACTCGATCTCCTGTCGCAAGATCTGGATGGCCCTGCGCGCTCCCTCCGCTCCATAGCCCGCAGACAGACTATACAAGAGTGGCCGTCCCAATCCTACAGCTGTTGCTCCCAAGGCAATGGCTTTCAGCACGTCGGTTCCCCGTCGGATGCCTCCGTCGATGAAGATTTGCATGTTGCTCTCGATCAGAAACGGCGCGTATCGTCGAATCTCCAGCAAAGTGACCAGCGGAGGTTGGGCGCTGTCCGGTTAGCAGGGCACTATATCTGGGAGAGAGAAGCGTACGTGTCCTGAGATCTTCCTCCATGGTTGGAAAGGACGATTCCTTGCACCCCGTGTTGATACGCCAGGACTGCATCCTCCACACACTGAATGCCCTTGATCACCACCGGTAGATCGGTGAGCCCTCGTAGCCACGAGAGAATCTCCCAGTCGATGAACGGCGAGATGGAGCTGGCCATCGTTTTCGCAACACCTTGTCCTTTTGCAGACGAATCTCGCGCCTGCCATGTGTTAGGACAATTTTGGTAGCATGGACAGTGTCTTACCTGAACTTCGAGATTCAATCTCTCATCCATCTCCCGCTTTCCCACAACCGGAGAATCAACCGTGATCCATATCCCACTAGCACCAGCCTTCACAGCCCGTCGGACCGTCTCTTCTGACTTCGTAATATCCTTGTTCACATACAGCTGCTGAAAGAGCGGCTGCTCAGAATGGGTTCCTGCCGCCCGAACAGCCGCAATGGACATGCTGGATCCATTGGCCAGCACCTGTGCCAGTCCTTCCTGGCCGGCTGCAACAGCAAGCGCGCATTCTCCATCCGGGTGAGCGAACTTGGCAATTCCTGTTGGACTCATATAAACCGGTAATGAGACAGACTTGCCGAGGATTGACGTGGCAGTGTCTACGCTCCGGATACTGCGGAGGATTCGAGGCCGGAAAGCCACCTTCTGGTAGGCCTTTTGACTCTGGCGTTTGCTGATCTCGTCATCTGCTCCTGAGAAGTAATATGCCCATGCGTGAGGGGGGAGGTATTGCTGGGCCACCTTTTCAAAGTCGTGTAGATTGATCAAATTTGCTAGCGGGGGCGGAGCTTTCTCTTCCACTGCTGAGGTTTTTGGAAGGGGTCGGGATGGCTTTGCCAGAGTATCAGGGTGGACAACGCCTTTGAGGGCAGACGGAGGCAGGGCTTGCGACAGAACGTCCTTGTCATGGACCGAATCGAAGTCGGCGGTAGCATCTCTGCCAGCGCAGCGAAGGATAACATTCACACCACCCGGATGCGAATCGAGGAAATCTATCAGGTGAGTAGACGGCGCTTACATTTGGATTGGGACTAACCAGTGACATCGTAAACAGAGCCGTGGATGGCCACCCAGCACGATTCGCGCGTCGAGTGCTTCTCAACTTCTTCTCGAGACAACAACATGATGTGTCCTGTTACAATGTCTGAGAGAAGAGCTGTCGAGGTAAAGGAATAGCCTCACCGGGCCTCGGCCCGACCCCGGATTAGCGGTCAGAATGCGGAGAAAAATCCGCTGCATGATGCCGATCCCCCACGCTAACATGGACTTGTCTTGGCTGTATACATTGTGGCTGGATTGTCCCCTCATTCTTCTCCTCACCAGTCATCGTCAACATGGCTACGGCTACAGGAAGCTCGACAGGCGCCCTCAAGCGGTCTCCTACGCATGTGGAGGATATTCAGCATCCCAGCAAAGTCAGCCATGGAGATACAGCACTGGCTCTTCTTGCTGATGGCGAACTGCAATCAGCAGAGCCTGCCGAGTTGAAGAGACTCGTACGCAAGATAGACTTGACGATCCTGCCGTTCCTTTCAGTCTGCTATGCTTTCTACTACGTGGGTACCACCCTTTGGACTGGACATTCTGACGCAACCAGATTGACAAAACGACCTTGTCATACGCAGCTATCTTTGGGATCAAAGAGGATCTGGGCCTGGCTGGGGATCAGTATTCATGGCTGTCTTCTGTCTTTTATTTTGGCTTCCTTGTGTGGGCGCTGCCTACCAACTTTCTTCTCCAGCGCTTCCCTGTGGGAAAGTACCTGGGCGTGAATATCTTCTTATGGGGAGCCTTTCTGATGTTACAGGGTGAGTACATCACTGGGCTGTTCATCGGCTGCTAACATGAACAGCTGCTGCAAAGAATTTCACCCAATTGGCCGTACTTCGGGTGATATCTGGTGCCGCTGAAGCCTGCAGGTAGGTACCCCTATTGATTCAATGATCATCACTAATAGACCAGTGATCCCGCATTCATGCTCATTACCAGCATGTGGTATACGCGGCGCCAGCAGCCCATCCGGATCGGCCTCTGGTATACCGCCAACGGGGCTGGAATCGCTCTCGGTGGACTTCTCGGCTACGGCATCGGACAGATCCAAGGTGCCTTGTCATCGTGGAAGTACGAGTTTCTGATCATCGGCGCGTTGTGTGCTTCCTGGGGCATCGTTATCGCCATCTTTCTCCCCGACTCCCCTGTCACAGCACGTACATTTTCGCCACGCGAGAAGCGACTAACAATTGAGCGACTGCGCGACAACCAGACTGGCGTCGAAAACAAGACCCTGAAACCTGCGCAGGTCCTGGAGGCCCTTCTCGACTGGAAAGTGTGGGTATTCCTGTTGCTAGGCTTCTCAGGCAACATCCCCAATGGAGGTATCTCCAACTTCGGCACTCTCATCATCCAGGGCTTTGGCTTTTCAACTCGTAAGCCCATCCTATTCCCACAGTATAGAGCACCACTAACTGATCAGTCGTAACGACCCTCATGCAAATTCCCTACGGTACCTTTACCTCCCTCATGATCCTCATCAGCGTGTTCATCAATGACCGCCTCCCCCCAAACAACCGCTGCGTCACTGCCATCTTTTTCCTTCTCCCCAATGTCTCCGGCGCCTTTGGCCTGTGCTTTCTTCCTGAAACTGAAAAGGTTGGTCGACTGATCTGCTACTACCTGACTGGATCATATAACGCATCATTTGTTCTGATCCTCTCCATCCTTACCGGAAACATCGCCGGGCACACCAAGAAAGTGGTCACCAACGCGATGATCTTCCTGGGTGTATGTGCGGGGAACATTGCGGGACCATTCTTCTATAAATCAGACCAGGCGCCACGGTACACGTTGGGAATTTGGTCGATGATTGTGGCGAATTTCGTGGAGATTGCACTGATAGTTTTATTGAGGGTGATGTTGGCATGGGAGAATCGGAGACGGGATGCGATGCAGGTGGACTGGGATGAAGGGGAAAGGGACGAGACGGCATTTGCGGATCTGACAGATAAGGAGAATCTGAACTTTCGGTATGTGTACTAGCGGAGGCGATGATCTGGAAAACGAGATTATGAGAGCCAGAGCCAGGTAGAATTCGCCATTACATAGCTGCATGCGTCTCCCTTCGATATAAGATGTCTCAATCAGTCAACCACAGATTATCTGCTGTAAGAGCAAAACTAAGATGCTGGAACTCTAGAAGGCCCTCCAATCTCTAGCAGTTCAAATCTCCTCCCAACAGCAAACCTAGTGAACTTTGATCTAATATTCGCAAGCACACGAGCTTCCCGCTTATACGACCCAACCGCAATCCACGTAAACAAATACCAACGTAATCGATCCAGCGTACTCCACTCCGAATGCATATCAAAATTATACATGGCAGCGTACTCAAAATAAATCGGATAAAACCCAGCCAACTCCCAGTCTAAAAGCCAAAGCTCCCCCGCGGGAGAAAGGAGCAAGTTCCGGGGCGCAAGATCATGATGCGTCAATACAAATTCTCCCATCATTGGGGGGATATATTCCGTCCCATTAAGCTTCTGGCCTTGCTTAGCAATCTGTATCGCCTGTTTCATACCCCTAAAGTTTCCCCAGAACCGGAAAAACTCTGCCAGATCCGTCGGCGTGGATCGTGCAGGGACGCCGAAGCGATCGTCTAGATAGAAGGATCGGCATTGGCCTGTTGCGAGGGATCCAGCGGTTGTAGAAGTGATTGATCGGAGAATCCGCACGAAATGACGGAGCTGGAAAGCTAGCTTGATTGTCGTGAACCAGCTTAGCTGTATCCAGAGGGCGTCTAATGTCGTTCCCTCGATGCGGTTCATGATGTAGTGTGCGGATGATCCATTGATGACTATTCTTTGTACGCGAGGGCTGCGGATTCTAAGGTGGTTTACAACTTCCATGGCTTTTACTGCGTCTTCTGCTTCTTTGATGCTGCTTGTTTTGGCGATGTATTTTGAAGATAGGAGGGATACGTCGAAGGAGGATGGGGCTGAAGGGGAGGACATGATGTGTTGGGTTAGTTCGGTGTCGGTGTAGGTTTGTAGTAGATCATCGCGAAAATTTCTATCCATGTTTTAGGGCTCAATGGGATGGTTGTGGTGTTGCAGCTGGAGATTGGGATGGTGGAAATGCGAGGAGCCGAGAAGACGGAGATACTTCGGGTTCGGGGCGGGAATCGGGGATCGGACTCGGAGATGGCGGGCATATCAACCAGATGACGAGGCAGGATCCGGCCATCTTCATCCATCCTCGTCTTGCAATAATAGCCATCGTCACACTTTAGTATCTCCTCCTTCCAGTCCTACATAGGCATCAGCCCTTGATACGAATAAACATACGCCGGTATTCTCCTCAAGACCAGAATGACCGACCCCGACGGGCGACGGAGAAGACCCGCCGTGTAGGTGGCTCCCATCAATGCACGGGTTGTGCTGACAGCATCAGGTCGTGCACTCTATGTCGCAAGCGCAAGATACGATGCAATCGACAAAAGCCATGCAGCAACTGTCTGCGGGCTAGAAATGGGTCCTGCGTCTATGGGACACCCCAGAGCCAGCCGGACTCGAGCCCAGCCTCAGAGCAAATTCCTATAGAGGCGGCATCCAGCACGAGCAGATCGACCATTCCAAGCCATCCAAGCTCTCTCGTCGGTCCGTCGAGCGTGTCAACTCCGATGAGCCAGGCTTCTGCTCAGGAAACCGAGTTAATGCGCATGAAGCTCAAGGTCCAACAACTTGAAGAGCAACTAGCGAAACAAGCAGCACCTGTCCAGTTGTCGCTGTTGACCCAGGATTCTTCAAACATCGAAACAACAAGCTCCAGCTTAGGGGGAACCTTTCATGTTCATACCGAGCGTGACTCTTTTGGCCAACCGCAAGCCATCGCTCGCAGTGTTGCGTACAAAACACGCTTGTTGGGCCAAAGCCATTGGGCCGTCAACGGCATTCTTCTGGTAAGGTCGATGTAAAGCTTTTGTCTGTCATCTAACTGTATCAGATCCGCGATATCCTTGAAATCACTGATGCATCTGATGCCTGGGCTGGCATTGAGAGGTGCAAATCTTTGGCCAGGGTCATCAAAGCGCGACGCGCACCTCCGTGGCCCTCGGTCCCTACTCCTGATGTACCTGTGAAAGAGGTGGCTGACACGCTCGTCGATCACTACCTCCGGACTAGCGAGTCAGTCTATCGTATCCTCCATGTCCCAACGTTCCGCCGCGACTACGAGGCGCTGTGGATGGATGCCACGCCAAACACCACCTTTTTGGTACTACTCAAACTTGTCCTTGCCATTGGCGCGACCACCTATGACCAACAGTTTTCTCTGCGAGGCGCAGCTATCCGATGGGTATACGAAGCACAAACATGGGTGTCAGAGCCCAAGTTCAAGTCCCGACTAGACCTCCAATCCCTCCAGATCAGTCTCCTTCTCCTGATGGCCCAGGAAAGACTGGGTGTGGGCGAGTTGATCTGGATTTCAGTCGGCGCACTACTAAGAAAAGCAATCCACATGGGCCTACACCGTGATCCCGTTCACATCCCCCAGGGTCGAGCGACTTTGATTGCAGAAATGCGTCGACGACTCTGGAATACGATCCTCGAGCTATCCCTCCTATCCAGCCTCGCCTCAGGAGGGCCCCCTCTCATCTCTCTCTCCGACTTTGACACCGCATCACCCAGCAACTTCACCGACGAGCAACTCACATCCGGCAATCCCATTCCAGCCCCTTCAGACCAATTCACCCCAGTCTCTGTGGCCATTGCCCTCCGCACCACCTTTCCAACCCGCCTAGCCATCGTCAAACATCTAAACGACCTCTCCCCCCAGAACACATACAAAGACACCCTCCGACTGGACGCAGACCTCCGCATAGCATACAAAGCCCTCACACAAGCCCTCCACCCGACAACCCCATCCACCCCCTTCTCAATCCACGCCCTCGACTTCCTCATCCAGCGATACCTCCTCTCCCTGCACGCCCCCTACTTCGGCCCCTCCCTCCACGAAGCCACCTACGCTTTTTCCCGAAAGGTCGTAATCGACTCCTCATTTAAGATTTGGCGCACTGCTTGTCCGTGTCCCAGCCCACCCTCGACCTCCCCCAGTAACGACAGCGACATCCCCCGTCTCGCAACCACCACATCAGGCTTCTACCCCACTACCACCATCCAATCCACCTTTCTCATTGCCCTCGAACTCCGCGCCCAGCTGCAGGAAGACAGTCTGGGCCCGGTCCTTTTACGGCCGGATCTTCTTGCCATGGTGGATGAAGCCCCGGAATGGTGTCTGCGGGTTATTGAGGCCGGGGAGACGAATGTAAAGGGGTATTTGCTTACAAGGATTATGGGGGCGCAGATTGAGGGGTTGAAGAGTGGAAAGGGTAGGGAGGAGATTTCTAGTATGTTGACTAAAGCTGTAGAGGATGTGGAGAGAGTTTGTATGCCTATGTTAAAGAGGATGGTGGAGGAGATGGGAGAAGTTGCAAGCGAGACACCGGGAGGAATGGAGTGGGACTGGGGTGACATGGTAAGTGTTATTTTTATTTACTACCGGGTGGTGAAACTGGTGACTACTAACATATACCAGAGCGCAGATGACCACTTCGATCCGAGTTCTGCCGAGTCCATGAGTTGGATATTCAACGAGGATGTTATTCTAGGATGGTAGGGTAGGCCTGGAGATATATATATCACTGTTGGACCCAACCACAGAAACAAATCCAAAAACAGAGTATTATTACCAACAACCGTAATCTATAACAAATAACAGAACCAGGCCCCACAAAATAATCAAATACAAAGCCACCATACTCCCCAACCACCTCTAACCATGCCACACCCCCTGGATAAATCTTCAATATACCTGATGGAGAGCCTAGACTTATGCTTGAATTTGTTCACGTATATACTATTACAACGACAAAATACCATGTCAACAGTCAGTGTGGCCGAGTGGTTAAGGCGTCAGACTCGAAATCTGATACGTTCGCGTGCGCAGGTTCAAATCCTGCCGCTGACGATATAATTTCATTTTTTTCCCTTTCTCCCCCCGCCTCCCCTTCTCCCCTTCTTTGATCTTTTTGTTTCTGGTTACTCAATCATAGTAGTATTTTTAATCGATAGGGATTATTTCTATATTCAATCGCGCACGGTATCTGTCCAGCATGCCAATTGGATATGGCAGAGGGACTAGATCTAGCACGCAACTATTGATAATGCCAGGATCAGCTGTTGAATTGGAGATGAAGACGATCGAGTAGGAGGTGTTTATCGTTTCTGTTATTGGTTGGGTTCGAACTCTAGTTACTGCGCTGTAGATGGTGTGTATATTGAACCTGGATTATGTCAATGCATCGATGTGTTTGTCTGAGTGATGATTATTCAGTTCATGTAGTTATGGATTTAATGGATGATTAAACTAGCCTCGGAGGCACATTCATAGTCCACATTACTTCGTTTGTTCTTGTCGGATCTTCTCTCGAAGAGAAGACTGGGATATTCGTCCTCTCCACACATATAGTGCAGTATTTCAAGTTATACACCCCAATCTCAGTCCAATTTCGGGCAAATCATCATAATTGATCTATTTTCCCAGACTCTCGCCCAACTCCGCCGCCCGATCCGTCGCCGCCTTAACCGCCTGATCGACCGTATCGGCAAACCCGAGCTTCTCAAACGTCTGCAACGCCGCAAATGTCGTTCCATTGGGACTGGTGACATTCTTCCGCAACTGCGCTGGCTCATCATCCGACTCAACCAACATCTTACCCGCTCCGAGACACGTCTGCGCTGCCAACCTCGTCGCCTGCTCCTTGGTCAATCCGAGGGCCGTGGCACTGGCAACCAGATGTTCCACCATGGCGAAGAAGTATGCAGGGCCGGATCCTATCCATCCCGACACAAATTAGCATCACCGCTCCGGATAGATAGGGATTAAGAGAAAAACGAACCCGAAACACCCGTAACCACATCCAACAACTCCTCCTTCTCCACCCACTCCGTAACCCGACTCACACTGCCCAACAACTCCTCGACCAACTTCCTCTCCTGCTCACTCACCTCCTTCGCCGCAAACGCGCCACTCGCACCCTCCGTCACCAAAGCAGGGGTATTCGGCATGACGCGCACCACGCCCGGCACGCGACCATTGTTCCCCTTACTCAACCAACTCTGTAGACTCTGCACCGTGATGCCCGCCGCGATACTCACCACCACGGGGAGAGTCTCCCGGGAGGACCACGCGGCGCTGAGTTCCTCGCACACGGCCTTGGCGACTTGGGGCTTCACAGCGATGATCACGATCGAGGCGGACGAGGCGGCGGTGACGTTGGAGGTGGTGGTTTGGACACCCAAGGAGGCGATCTTGTTGCGGTTGACTTCCCAGGGCTCGGAGACGTGGATGTTGCTCCCCGGGACGGATTTGCGGAGGAGGCCCGAGATGATGGCGGAGGCCATGTTGCCGCCGCCGAGGAAGGCGAGAGTGCTGGTTTGGAGGGACATTTCTGTTGTATTTTATTGGGTGATGGTGGTTGTAGGTTGGGGGTGGAATTGGGTTGAGGGGATGGGATTGAGGTGGGTGGAGAGGTGGTGATAGGAACCGATGCCGGAGCGATAATGGAGGGGTAGCGGAGCTGGAGCTTAGCTGTATCGGCCACGTGATGGCCCCGCATGGTGGGGTTGAGCGCTGTAGTGGCCATCGGGCAATGTATTTTGACAGCTCGTGAAAGATAGTATATTGAAGTTGTTTGATAGGGCGGATTAAACCGAGTTGAATAGCCCACCATAAACATCTACCGTCCCTGACTCAATAAGAACCTCACACTGAGCCTTGTCGGCAATACACATGTCCTGATATCCCATATTCTCCCTGTTAGCACCTGCCGTCCTGCTGAACGTGATCGATTTTGTTGTAGGATCGATTTGAATCGCCCCACTGCTCCCTTGTGGATCTCCTATGCTGTAGGGACTCATGCCACAGGCACCCGCTTCTATAGCTTGTAGAGACGGTGTCCCCTCATCTATCCCTCCCTTGATAAACTCCACCAGGGGTGTATGGGTCTCTGTCCATCGAAGAAGGCGGAATTCTGGCAGGAGTTGAAACAAGAGATGCGAGGTACCGGCCCGTGGTTGATCCTCGCCCTCACCGTATAGCAGGCTAGGGATAAAGACACCCACCACTGTAGCAGGAGACATTGACTCGCCATTGTCGGTAGCTAGGATAACCTTTGGGCGAGGGTTCCGTTGAAGTGCTTTGACGAGAGATGACGCTGTCATGTCAATTGTTTGCTCGGACTTTTGCAGGGCGATACGGGTATCTTGTGATGCGGGGCGGCAGTGAGCAGGCCGCAAAGAGTGAGAAACGAAGAGCGAAATAGCCGACAGGATACGCGGTGGCAGAGCACTACCTGCTGTCTCTTGAATCGGAGTGTTTGGTGGTGGCTGAAAAAGCACCTTCCAGAGCTGGTGGAATCCTAGAATCAGGTTTGGCTGCTCACGTTAGACTCAATTCAGTACGAGTAGAGGTACTCACCAAGACATCCTGCACTCGGAGAAGATCATCAACTCCTAGATCATTCTTATCCCCAACCAACCCACCGACCAGAGCCTCAGCCAACTGCTCATCACCCAAATGAACCTCCCCAATAGTCCCATAATGATCCCCATGCCCCCACTTCTCCCTCGCTAACCTCATCCTCAGCACCAAAAGCAGTAAAGTAGACAGATCCCTCCGAGTAACCCGACACCCCATAGGCGTCTTCCCCGAATCGAGCAGCTCCCGCGCAGCACGCCGGAGCTTATCAGGAGATGGCATCAATTTCATTGCTTGTGGCTGAGTAATAGCCAGAACATCCATCACATCATCCACTACAGCCTCTTCCAGCCCAGATTCCTCGAGATGACCAATACTCCTCAGCATCCGCAAGAAGCTAGCTTTCTGGAAGAACATCTCGTCGAACCGCCAGTAATAATCGCCATCTTCTTGGGTGCCCAGGTAATCTGTAGCGTCATGGGCCAGGAGTGTCACCGCACGTTGGAACCCATTGAAATCAATCTTGCTCGCGTCGGTGACGTAGTGAGGAAATGGGTGACAGGCATAGAAATAGAAGATTCTCCAGAGTAAATCGATCGCCTCATTGGAAAATGACACATTGGGATGTGCAGCCGCAATATGTTTCTTGAGACTTTCTTTTGTCCAATCTGGGTCTGTTAGTGGGTTGTGTAATATCCTATGGAAAGCTCACAATGTTGCCGGTCGGCTTCGTCCTCGATGCAGGAGGCCTCAAAGGTCGTCCATGCATTATTGATCCGTCTTATGTTTGGTGCGATGACGGTGTGGAGGTTCTTGAGGACGGAGTCTGGATTGATTAGCATCTGGCTGTGAGAGAAGAACATGGGCTGACCTGGAGTGGCGTGTCGGAGGTAGTCAGCCACTTTCTGTTCCTGTGGTGCGAGGGCAAGGCGGTTGAGAGCCTCGCTGAGTACGCGAAGCATGGCTTGATGGTGTTTTCGTTGGTTTGGGGGGATCAATTGCTGATTTGGAGGGAGAGGAGAAAGAAAACCAGGGACTGTAAGCAGCTGGGGAATAAGCACTAAGCAGTTTAGGCTACTGCGGCACTCTGCCATAGTCAGCCCTGCTCAAAAACCATCTGCTTGTCGGCAGGTACTTTATTGTCGGACGTAGCAAGTTATTCTACTACAAGCTAGAGTCATGTACGAACTGCAATCTTATGCAACTAGCACTGATCCATTTTCCATCTATGTTTTGACTTGCCACTAGCTTACTCCGTACCATAGACTATACACAGTTCCTAGAAACACCATCCATACTATATACCCATGCTTCCACTGGTAAAATCTTAGTGACAGTTTGCTTATATCTCATCTATGTAGTGCCCCAGAGAGAAGCTATTCAATAAGAATCGTCGAAATTGTATCGAAACAAGTATGTCCCCAGGCACTTCATCAAGTCGGGGTACTCCCTAGTACACCTCACCCCTGTAGCTCAGTGGCAGAGCGCCCCACCTTATTCTTAGGAGTATTCTTATGGGGAGGGCCGCGGTTCGAGTCCGCGCAGGGGCATCTTTTTTCTCTTCTGAGAGGGAAGAAAGCTACGTAAGAAGGACGAGATGTTGATATCAATGGAGGGAGGGCCTGAGGCCTGTGTAGGTGATATGTGGTCACGTGAAAGGCATCAGAAGGAATACCGACATGATGGAGCATGGGAAACAATCTTGATATGCATGAGGGTCTCACAGCGAGGTGAACTCTGGAAAAGGCGAGTGAAGCCCAGGAATGAGTGAACCAGTCCGATAAATGTTGTGACACTATGTGGAGATTAAGCCAAGAGCTCTAAAAGTCCAATTAAAGCTCCTATGTATTATGCTATACAAGAAACAAATAGAAAGCCTTGTACACCCTCTAGGGGTATCCAACAGAGCAATATACAGCCGGTGACCTGTCAAAGATCACTTGCACTCAAACGAGCTGGTCTCGTTCCAGTTACCACCAACATACTTAGCCTCCTTAGGATAGACACAGAGACGACGCTGAGCCTGCACACCCTCGGCAGGAGCATCGTTCACGTACTTGGTGGCAATCAACTCCTCAGGAGCAATTCCCTGCTCCACCCACGCCAACAGGGCCAGGATCGCGTCGTGCTTCCGGTCACGGTATCCAGGCACACCCCAGATATTGGTGCCGGTCAGACCGCCGGGCTGGTTTGCCGCGCCAATGTACCAGGGGGCATCGTGGACGGAGTCCAGACAGTGCTCCATACCCGGGATCAGGAAGAAGCGGTAGAAGTCATCGACCTTGATACCCAGCGGTGCAAGGGTCTTTAGGACCTGCTTGTAGTAGTAGATGCTGGACCCGGTGGGGATCTCTCCATCAGCAAAACCGTGGTAATGGATGAGCTTGCCGCCGCTCTCCTTGAACGGACGAAGATCAAAGTCGCCGGCGGTGGCGTTACCGGGGTCGAGAAGGTCCGACAGCTGGATGGTCGAGTAATCCAAGTTCTGCCAGGGCCAGTTGGCGTCGTTGTAAACAAAGTCGCGGGGGTAGGCAATACCGCTAGGGCTGTCCTGCTCGTCGTCGTCGGTCATGATCATCTGAGCGAACTGGGTTTCGGAACCGTAGGCGAAGCTGGGGAAGACAAATGTGTCGTTTGTCTCAACCCAAGGGGCATAGATCTTGTAGACAGTGTCGATCTGGTCGGCAGTGAAGCAGGTAGACGTATTGGCAGAGGGTCCATCGCAAAGTAGGGTCTCAGGGCGGAAATCACAGGCGTATCCATTCATGATGATGTTATCCTCGACACCATCGATACCGTCGCATTGGCGGAGGACTTCAGCAGCAAGGGCATCCACCTGGGTCTCGGTGATATGGTGGCTGGCGTTATTGGGAAGGTTAATGGTGGCGATCTTGAGGTCCCAGTTTTGCTGGTGAGTAGTCCACCAAGCGCAGGCACCGGCAAGGACACCGTCAAAGTCGTCAGGGAACATCTGGACGGACTTCAGGCCCTGACGACCGCCGGTCGAGCAGCCAGCGTAGTAAGAGTAGGTGATATTCTCGCTATAGAAGCCCTCAGTAAGGACCTTACCGAGAGCAACAGAGCCGTGGAGTGCACGCCATCCCCAGTCCGTACGGGTCTCAGGGTCGTTGAGAGCCCAGGGCGCATCGCCGGCTTGGGTCACGGAGGAATTGTGCCCAGTGTTGGTGGAAACGGAGGCGAAGCCGTAGTTGACACCAGGGGCCATGTCGGCAAAGGCAATCATACCGGTGAAACCGCCATTTCCGTAGGCCATGTAGCGCTTGTTCCAGGTGTTGATGGGCAGCCAGAGACCGAACTCATAGGACGAGGTCGCGGACGAGCTCACGTTGACGTAAACAGCACAGTACTCGGGAAGGCCGGAGTAGTTGCCCAAGGGGCCAACGAAGGTATCATTGGGGCCATACGGAACGGCATAGACCAGGGAGGCGTTGGATGACAGATAAGGAGTGAAAGTACCGGGAGTGCAGCGCGAGGCGGAGATAGCCTGCGTGGCAACCAGGTTAACGGCGCCCGCCAGGAGAAGGGAGAGACGCATTTTGATGATGGAGGAAATGCTTGTTTCGATTGAGGGAAGTGATCTTCACGCTGTATTTAAGCAGCGGATGGAGCCAGTTCGTTCCCCTGAGCTCGTGCATATCAAAAAAACAGGCATCCATGATCGGGACTGACGCGTCCAGAGCATATCCGAGTGGAACAATACCCGAAGGGAGGGTGTGCAAGGAGCATCCCACGCGAGCCCACCGGTTGCGCGTTCTCGTTCCAACTCTGGGTGGGGGTGGAGCAGCCCTGTCCGATTGGTGGTAGGTGGCGGGATTCTAGAAGTTTGCTGTTTGGGTAGAGGATCATCAAGGCCTTAATGTTATATTGATTAGAGTCGCCCCATTCTTTCATGGCGGCCAATGAGAAGAGACAGACATACCAAGCAACCAGTATCAGAAGCCAACTCCACATTCTGCACGCCCCTGATGATCTTGCCTGGTCTCAGGCACCTAAATGGTGCCCGGGGTTCTATATGATTATCATCACCAGTTCATAGACGACTATTGCAATGGCCTGGGCCTTGATACCTACTTTCAGTATGAATTAGCACAATCTGGAACACTCAGGGGGGTACTGTAAACCCACATGTCCGCACCTGCCGGAAACATGGCTCAACCAAGGCTTCGTCATCGTACGATGAGAATCTTGAAGTGGATGGTTGGATATGGCAAGAGAGCATGCAGATCTCGGAGACAGCAGACAAACGCCCTGTTGGATTGTAGCAAACCTACCGTTGCACAGAGTGAAGAACCAGAGATGCAGCCGGAAGTTGCCTTGGAACGTCGCCTCGGGATGGACTATGGCCACTTCTATGCCCTAAAGGGATTAGTCTCCGCAGGGGTTGACGATCGAATGGGACGCTAGTCCGGAATAGGCATCCTTGTCGAGGCCCGTCCTTTCCTCTTCTGGCTGGCGTGGACCCTCATCCGCAATTGGTGGTTTCAGGAGAGTAAATGCCGGGCAGTCAGTGACGCAGTTGGTCCCTCAACACTGATGCAGAGGCCTATCTCCGAGTTGATATAGCCGCATATCTCCTCTATTCCAGTTTCAATGACGACTTCCGGGAGGTGCTCGATAAAACTAGTCTCGAACGAGAGATGTGTCAGCGAAAGTTGTGTGGGGTCCTCTCATGGTGTGGAATGAAGCTCCTCCCGTTGCGTTTCAAATGCTGATTGAATATGGGTTTTCGTTAACGTTCACTGTTGCTAACAGGGGGAGAGAGCATGCCTGTGCTGGGCTTGTGGTATTTGCTTACTCGCATGCGTGAGACATTTGGCCAATTCCCAGAAGTCCACCGGCTACAATCAACACAAGTCATTTTCTACAAAGTTTCAGCATAAATATTCCCCTTCGACCCCTTGTCTTCTCAATGCCTCAGACTGTCGCACATATTCCGTCCCCTCTCTGATCCTTTGGGCGGGGTTCTAAGAAATAACTGACAGCTCTCGGTTGACAGCGTTCATACAGAGAAGTCATGCGCATAGGAGGTGGTGCACACCCATCTGATGACTTCTAGGCAGCACAATTCCTTAATCAACTACCTGAGTATGTCAAATTAAGAATTGATAAGGTTAGTGATCCGAGATATATCTCCAGCGGTCCAGCCATTCGCATGAATCAGAACCAGGATAGCCAATTTCGGCTTTAGACTATGTGGACCTTTGGCTGACTCGGCACTCGGTTCATTATCCCACATATAGACTAGCAAATGCCTTACAGGGAAACATCCGATACATCTCCCCCATAATCCAACCAACTGATCACTCCAACATGAAACAAACCTATCCTACCTCCCCATCCACCCTCCATCCACCAAGACCACAGTGCCCGAAACATACGCACTCGCCCGACTCGCCAGAAATACTGTCACGCCCTTGAAATCCTCTGGTGTGGCCCATCGTCCCGCGGGTATCCGTTCCAGAATACTCTTTGCCCTCTGCTCATCGTTCAATAACGCCGTATTCATCTCCGTAGCTACATAGCCCGGTGCCACCGCATTGACAATTATTCCCTTAGAAGCCCACTCATTCGACAACGCTTTCGTGAGCTGCGCGACGCCGCCCTTTGCAGCCGCATAGGCAGGGACGGTTATCCCCCCCTGGAAGGAGACGAGAGAGGCAACGTTGATGATGGAGCCGCGGTGACCATGGGGATCGGGAGAGCGGTTGAGCATGTAGGCGCCGATGTCGCGACAGAGGGTAAAGATGGTGGTTAGGTTCGTTTGGAGCACCTATTTCATGCTTGTCAGTTATTGATTCTGGTAGTAGCGATCGGGGTGTGGGAGGGGTTAAGACCTCATCCCAATCACTGTCAGGGAAGAGATGGCTGGGATGTCGGCGTTGGATACCAGCGCAGTTGACTAGGATGCTGATGTCGTGACCATCGGCGAGGATGGTGGGTGTGAGTGCCGAGACGGATTCCTTTGACGAGAGGTCGGCAGTGTAGATGGTTGCTTTGCGGCCGAGGGATTCGATACGTTGTTTGGTTTCGGGGTTGGATGTGTCTCTCTACATGGCTTTCGTGTTATGCTTGTTGCAGGTAGAGGCGTGTCAGGCATACCTGGACGAGGATGATGTCGCTGCCAGCTTCGGCCAGGGCAATGGCCATTTGTTGGCCAATGCCGCGGGTGCCCCCAGTGACGAGGGCGGTCCTGTTTTGCAGAGAGAAGAGATCCATTATGCCAATTAGGTAGGTGATGGTGAAGATGTAGGTGAATTCTACGACATGAAGGGTATATGTACGGCGAGAATACCGATGCACCCCCACGCCCCCCGCATTTCGGGTGTCACTTTGTAGATCTCCGCATCTTACTCCTCACATTCTCCTGCATGTCTCTATGAATCTAGTCTACCATTCTCGAATCCCCCCATCCGGTCCATAGAACTCCTTTGGCAACCACGGCTCCGTCTCCCGGCTGATTCTCCTCACCATCTCCTCATCAATTTCCACCCCCAGCCCTGCCCCCGCGGGGGCAGCCACATACCCCTCTTGAATATCAAACACGGAAGGATTCGTCAAATACGTCGTGAGATCAATATCTCCCGCCTCCACATTATAATGCATCCCCAGCGACATCTCCTGGATGACGAAATTGGGGATCGAAAGCGCCACTTGCATCGAAGCCGCGAGAGCAATTGGACCTACCACTCACATTAGCCCTAGAACCCATAAATCAAGATACTTACTCACCGAGAGGACAATGCGGCGCAATCGCCACATCATACGTCTCCGCCATGTTCGCAATCCTCTTTGTCTCCGAAATGCCCCCCGCATGCGCAATATCCGGCTGCAGAATATCCACCGACGCGTCCTCCAGGAACCTCTTCGCATCCCAGCGCGTATACAACCGCTCCCCAAAGGCAATCGGAATCGTCGTATGCTGTGATAACTGCTTAATCGCTTCTGGATGCTCAACGAGTAACGGTTCCTCGATGAATAACGGCCGGTACGGCTCGAGTGCTTTGGCGAGTTGTTTAGCCATGGGCCGATGTAACCGACCGTGGAAATCAAGTCCAGCGTCAAGACCGAGAGCTTTGACTTGTTTGATGCGTTCGACGCAGGAGTCGAGTATGGAGGGTGAGTCGAGCCAGTTCATGTCTTCGGTGGCGTTCATTTTCACGCATTTGAGGCCTTGGGCGAGGCGCGCTTTACTGGGGGTTGTTAGAGGGGGTTGAGTTGGGACAGGGAAAGGGGACATACGCAGCTACTTCAACGTCGCTGGGTCGGTCGCCTCCAATCCACGCGTAAACTTGGACTTTATTGCGCACCTTCCCGCCTAGAAGCTGGTACACGGGTACGCCTAGTCTGCGACCTTTCAGATCCCATAATGCGATATCAATGCCAGATAGAGCGGACATAAAGACGGGGCCGCCGCGGTAGAACCCGAGGCGCCAGATAGTCTGCCAGATATGTTCGATGTCACTAGATTATCAGCATGGAAGAACATCACCAGCAAAATCAGACAAACATACTCGGCTTCATATCCAACAAGCCTAGAAATAATCTCATCCAGAGCACCCTCCACAGCCAACGTATGGCCCTCTAGCGTAGCTTCCCCCCATCCGAACTTCTCTTCCTCGTCGGTGACTTTGACGAAAAGCCACCGCGGCTTGACGCGAAAGTACTCGATAGATTTGATAGGAGCCATGTTGGTTTAGTGTTACTTGTGATGAAGCGAGCGTTTTCCATGTTGTAGCCCCTAGCTAGCTAGATAGGCATTTTAAGTACGGTATCACCCCCACTCGGTAGATATCCGAACCCCGTCAGGAATAGCCGTTGATCCCCCACGCGGGGTGGTGCGTGGGGGTACCACGAAATCCGGGGTGACACAGACACTCCAACCGGGAAAGTTCATTATTGGTGGAGGAATCAGATATCCGTATCCGAGGATTACTTGGTGCCTGCTCGCTGGGAGATGGACCGGATTTATGACTGTTATCCGTGAGTTAGCCGAAGTGGGAATGTTCCTCGGGTTATTGGTTCCCATGGCGCATTGGCTTGGTTTTGGTGATAGGTAGGTTCTGGGTTGATGATGGCATTGACGAATTAGAGGTTGAGATGAATTTTAGGGTGCTTTTGTTATAGGGTTGCTGGTTTGATGATGGGTGGTATGCTAGTATGATATTGAAAGAGGATGGAAGGTGAGATGCTGACTAACTGATAAATTGTTGATGATATAGATGACTTCTGTGATTGCCAGATTATTGAGAGAGGATGGGGGAAGGATATGAAAACATAGAGATAGAAACTGAGAAGAAACGGAACATATCGCATGATAATAGCCTAGCGTTAGTCGAATAGGCTTTTACCTGCCATCTCACTGTACTTTCATCCCCTTCACCTTCCGTAGATACTCAATGAAGCCTTTACTTCCCTCATCATCCGCACCAACCCTCCGCGTAAAGGCCCTCTCGATCTCATCCAAACTTTTCCCTTTAGTCTCAACCATGAACAAGAAGCTCACCACGGTTGTCAGCGCACAACATCCACCAAAAAGGAAGTAAACCCCGAAATTAATACTCTCCAACAGAATCGGACAGATGAATGCCACAAACCAATTGCAGACCCAATTAAAGCCATATGCTAGAGCCGTGGCCTTGGCGCGGGTGTGCTGCGGTTGGATTTCAGGCGCAAATACCTTGATACTCACTGCCCAGGTGCAAGCGAAGAACACTGCATAGAGATAGATACACACGATGACAATCCAGCGCGCTGCTCCGTGACGTGGGTCCACTGCATTGCTTGCGTACAAACCGTCAATGAGCATGATAGTTGTGGTTAGACCGATACCGCCGATGATGGTGTTGCTGCGTCGGCCCCATTTGTCGGCCAGGAGAAGGGCAGGGACAGAAACGACGACGAGAACAATACCCGAGATACCGGACGCAAAAAATGACGCCTCTGCGCTGGAAAGTCCGGCTTGTTGGAAGAGGAGAGGGGCATACTAAGACATGTTTACATTAGACTTCTCGTCTTTCGGTGGCAGAGAGAAGAGGAGACACTCACGTATAAGACCGCGTCAATCCCGCTGAGCTGGAGAAAGCCCATAAGAAAGATGGCCAACATAGTTCGGCCACGCACATCCTTTTTGAACAGGTCGAAAAGGCTACCCTCGGGGTATTTTTGAACTACACGTGTTGGCGACAGCGAGGGCGGCGACTCGTCATTGGAATTCTGAGCACCCATAACCCCTTCCTCAAGCTCTTCCCCAACACCCTGGCGGTATTATAATTTGACACCGAGCGTCTCCCATGCAGCATCTGCTTCCTCGTCTCTGCCATGAAACTGTAACCATCGGGGCGAGGGTGGAAGGTAGAGCAAAACTGAAGTGACAAATGCCGCAGCCAGACCAGCAAGGACGATAAATGGCAATCGCCAGGACATTGACCCTTCAATATTTGCAGTGCCATAGCATGTGAAGTATCCCGCTACTAGACCAAGACAGACCATGAACTGCGGGCCCGTTGTCAGAGGACCTCGGACACTCGGCGGCGAGATCTCACAGACATACCTGCGCAAACCCATTGAATCAGCTAGAAGACAAGCAATAACAGGGTCAACGGAATACGCACACAGTCAAGGTCCCAAAGTATAACCCAAACCCCATCCCCTCAACAACCCGACCTACCATGAACATGGCCAGACTGACAGCACCAGCCTCTAATGCGGCACCTGCACCGACAATCGCAGCCCCAATTGCAATTGCCTGCGGCCTACCCAGCACGCCGGCGGGTCGACCCGCAATAAAACTCATGAACGAGGCTGACAACAAGATAGTTGAGACGATAATGCCATGCACGATGGCAGAATGCGAGCCGAAATAATCGATGTAGTTCGGCATGACAGTGACCGGTCCAATGATACTGGTGTCAACTCTAACCATGGGTACGCGTGTCAGTTGAAGTATTCTCAGTCATCCACGGATGAGATTTTGAGAGGAAAATAAGGAAGCCTACCCAAGCAAAAAGCCTCCCATTGCTGTTAGGAGACTGGCCAGGATGTAGCGAGGTGGCATCTGCAGCCATGTAAACTTCGCCATGTTCGCCCGTTGATAGTATGCAGCGCGGATGGAGCCATTCTGAGAGGAAAGAAAAGGAGAAAGGTGACTAGAGCTTCAAATATGAATGCTCATGATACTCATGTAGCAGCCTGATCTTTGAGAAACAAAGAAACCATATTCCATCAGCCGTAAGGGGAAAATGCTTTACATGGTATGGTAGGAATCTGCTGGGAGTGGACATCTTGATATTAGGAGGTGCATGAAATTGCTCAGAGACCTCCGCAGGATTACCGTACTAGGAAACTTAAACGGTCACATAGGACAGATGGGGACAAAGTCGACTGCCGCGTAAAAGCTTCCTGTTTGGGTATCCTCACTAGAACTGAAACGGTAATTGACCAGGGTAAGATGGGTATAATAGAGATACATATCGTCTCGAGACGAGCAGTCGGCATAGTGTTCGCTTCTCTCATTTTTCTCTGGGTGACTTGATATCATACGGAGCAGACGCTAAGTTACTGTTACACTGGAATTATACCTTGGTCATATTAGCCATTACGCTCCTCATATTTCTTTTATATTTAGTCCAGGCAAATTAAGATTTGGCTCTTTAATCAGTTGCTGGCATGAAAAATTGCTGAAGCTTCTGCACTAGCCCGCCAGTGTGATAACCAAGCTCGATTTGAATATTGCTCAGCAGGACTAATACTCTGGTCTTGCGAACGATGCTGTCGACATGTTTGCCGGCTACGTCATTTAGCTGCTTGACTACTGTGCCATAGGAATCTTTAATGCAGGAGTTAAACTTACCGAAGTAAAGTGGTAGAATAGAGAAACATCGAACCTGGTCTGGTATATCCGAGATAGAGATGTTGATTATCTCAGTCGCATGCTCTTGGATCTGTGCCATATGAGGAATGTCCGGAGTTGAGCACTGTAGTCGTACTCACTTTCGGTATATATGCAACATCTTGCAGCACTGGCTCAGCGTACAGCATGAGATGGAGAAGATGATACCAAAGCATTGCCGCAGCTAAAGCATAATTAGACCACGAGTCCAGCTTCTCTTTCCATGTAGGCATACAGCAGCAGCATGCACATTATATATAATATTATCCAAGCAGTTCCATCAACAGATGCCGGTTATAGGAATGAAATTCGAGAGTTGGGAGACAGACCTGTCTGAGGGACAGCAAAATGGACTTTGGACAGCCCATCTTCGACCATTTCTCCATACCTTACCCCTCGAAAGTGTTGAGACAGACCTGTATACCAACCTTCCGTGTCCGTGAGTAGCTCCTGATATTTGCGGGGCGTTTTATCTTTATAAATCCAATTAACTGCTCTACCAATAAGCCATAAGAGTTGGTTGCTTAACAGATCTTCGGCGGTTTCTCCTTCCCACCAGTTGACATTCCAGTCCGACGGATCTAATTGCAGGACCGCCTGATCTGTGATTGCGATAGTAAGCTCGTGTCGAATCCAAAATTAAGAGTTTGCGCGGTCAAGACCGGAGGATCGAGCACTAATGCCTTGTAATTTAATAAGCTTCCTTGCGCCTTCATAGTGCCGGTGATGCTCTTGGCCCTGAGCAGCTAAGACCTCATAGCTCCCAAGGAGAATGACAGCTGTAAGTGTGTCTCTCAGTGGCTCACAGCTATTCAGTTGCTGGATCAGCAGATGAAGGGATGGACTATTGTAGTTTGTCGCAGCCGGCGCCCAAACCTCGCCAGAAGCACGTAAACACAGTTGTCGCGCGGTGAAAGCACATATGCAGCGAAGGAGCTCCGATGTCAAGGCTTGACGAGCAACCTCGCGGTGGTATGTGTCACTCAGGTCAAAGACATCCATCCATGTTGCAAGACCCCGCCAGTACTCGTTGAGGAGATGAAACATTTCCGAGGTGAGAGGCATTGTCGGCTGTGGTTTCATCTGGTGAACCGTCGTGACAGCCATTCTATCGGGGTTATAGTGTGATGATTCAGAAAGTACAGGGTCAGGATTGCTGGAATGAGAATGCTGCAAGTCCGGGCAGCTCGCGCGAACTATATCCGAAGTGGATGTTGAGGCCAGGGCCTGATCACCAGTTCGCATGCTATTCTCCGTCGGAAAGGCCTCCTGCTGATCTGATCCACCCCGGTCGGTCGAGCACCATGCCGAGTAGGCAATGAAATTGCTGGGCCAACACTCCAGTTCGAATCGTTCACAGTTGCTGCAAATGGGTTTCTTCTCATCGCAGCGAGTGTGCCGCGCTTTGCAGGCGAAGCTGGAAATATAGCTATAACGCGTCAGAAGGCATCAGCAGCGGCGCGAGACAAACCATCCTAATCATGAAGCACCATGGTGTCAGTCAGTCTGGGGAGTTTGCCAGGAAACTTCAGGCACCTGTTTTCTTGCGCGTTCCTCCTCTCCGTCTCTTGACGCGAGTGTCTGTTCCCATCGTGGTCAAATTTCGTCGTTCCCTTTCTCCAACCAAGATGAGCCGGACGGTTCTTGAGAAAATTGGGCCTGGCTTCTCAGACGCGATGTTAGCGGCAACAGAGAGAAACTCTGTCACTGTCAGGGGTGGCCATGCTGATGGTCACGTGTGTCCTTTCATGGCCATCTGCATCCCGTCTCTTCGGAAAAGCTAGACTTTCAAAGAATCGTATGTCTAGCCAATCTGTTTCGCTTTGGGGTGGCATCAAGTGAACAAGCATATATTCTTTCGCCTCCACTAAGTGAACGAACAGGTGAAAAGCCAGAGAGTAGCTGGATCTGAGTACGCTCTACCGAATGTTTGCCACCAAACACAGAATGAATAATCGCTATACAGAACGAATTTTATTAAATCCAACATTCATAATGCCAGAATCATAATTTACACGTCATCGATGACCGGACGAAAGTGCCGTGGGGTTCAAACCATTGATTATGATCATCCAAGACACCGGCACGATAGGAAATTAGATGATAGGACTGCTCCAGAGCTATAGAGAGGTACTATAGGTAGTTTCCTTTTTTACGAAAGACTGTCATTTAGACTTGATTTTATGAAGAAGATATCCTTGCCTTAGTCCCACAATCACGGCAGAAGTAAATCTGTTTGACCCACTGAGGAACTGTATTTCTTCTGTGTTTAAAAGATTCCTTGATCAATGGCAGTTCTCTTCCATATTCCAATAAGAAGGGAGTTCTCAAGATAAAGTTGGGTACGGAACGGACTGCAAAGTGATTAGGTTTCCGCTACTGGCTGTCACTATGTTTTGATCCGGCCCTGAGAAGTATCTTGACAACCCGGGCTGTTCCAGCATTCAGTTTCGCCATTTTGAGCACAGTTCTTCCATCCCAAATTTTCTGACATCGGAAGCAACCCAGCATAGTCAAGCTCCCTAGAAAAACTGACTACGCTGTGCAAGAGCCCTCAATTCCTAATGGCAGAATCAGTGATCTCTGTCATTCGAATACGAGAAATCTCACTCCGGACCGATCCGATGAATGCTTTTCAGAAGCTCAATGAAAGCTTGCTTGAATGATCCTTGCTAAGGCAATTTACTGTGATATCATCATAGTCATCCTCGTATAGCACTATCACTGCTTCCCTGCTCGTCTCGAAACTCCATAAATATATAACTGCCCCCAGCGGAGGGCTTCGAATACTCCCCATCCGCACCAAACCAACTCTCCTCATCTTCAGTTCTCAGCTACTATCTTCCACGCTTCCAAAATGACCACCGATACCGCCACCACCGCCACTACCACTAAGGACGAGATCATCATCCCCTTGCTGTTCTACGTCCAGCGCATTCAACGGTACCCTCCTCATCCACCCCCTTTGCTCCGATCTTGCTAACCCAGCCATATCATATCTCAGATTACTCTATGAGATCCCCTCTGACGACGAGGCTAACGCCCTAGTGACAGAGACCTTCAGTCCGGAAGCGAAGTTTGAGTGAGCTGCCCCTCCACCTATATCTACTTCATCTCCATATAAGCCAGTCCCAATCACCTAACGAATACTCTCCCCTCCACAGATGGAACTCCGAACCCATCGAGCTCGACGGCTTCCGAAACTTCGTGCAAGAATGGCGCTCCCGCTACACCTTCCTCGACTTCGAGTTCCACGAGGCCGTGGCCACCCCCGACACCACCGACGACAAAGGCCGTGGGGGCACGGTTGGGTTCGGGTTGAAGGGACGTGTGCTGGGCAAGGAGGATGGCAGGATGTATGAGGGGAAGGTGCAGTAAGTTGATTGCTTTCTTGAGGAAATTCTTTGGCTAGGTGGTGGTGGTGGTGGTGGTTGTTGTTGTTGCATGGGACTGACAGTGGGCTAGTGCGATCTACAAGGTCGAATGGAAGGGCGATCGTCGGGTGATTACGAAGAGTACGCAGGTCTTGCAGGGACCGTATGTGGTTGATGATGAGAGATAGGTGATTGTTGATGAATTGAGCTTCATCTGGTGCAGGGTTTCTTGTACTGGGTGGAAGATCTTGATCTATGAGGGAATATGGGTCCGCTTGCGGAGCTCGAATGTTACCTATCTTGGATTTATGCTTTGATTGCGCAGGGTTGGAATCGGGAGTAGTGATTCATCGCCGAGATCTCTCCAGAATGTCCAAGTCATTTTCTTCGAGATAGCTTATCAATCTCTTTTAGCCGAGGAATCTACGTAGGTCCGTGATTGACCGGTCCAGACCAAAAGGTTGAAACACACCTAAAGTTTACTACTTCCGAAGAGAAAAAAAACCTATAACAACATTAAGCTCTATCTCGGCCTGAACACCTACACCCGCAGACCATAGCAACAAATATCAAAACCAATGCTAGAAACCTGAGATACACTGAATTAAATCACCAAGCTAGGCACAAACATCAAATCCAACCAGGCAAATGTAAAAAAAAAAGTGTACAACAAAAGGTCCTGCCTCAGGATCTCCATTGTAAAGCACAGCGATATTCCTACTCACCTTATATCTAATCCAATCTAATCACATAGATCCCGCTTCACAGCCCCCTTTCGTCCTTATATTACTCTAGTCTCTTTTTGACAGAGGCTCTCAGTGCCTAGATTACCCAGCAAGTGGGGTCCCGTCTCAAACTTCTGTCGTCAATTTACGGTAAATCTCAATGGCTTCTTAAGATCTACTGATGTCGCATTGCTTGGAGAGACGGGCTAGTTACCTTTGAAACTGGATGACCATGTAGATTCCGAACAATACCTTCGTTAGATTATTACGGTGACGGCGTTCTCAACCATCTCCCTTCATTCCATTCCATAAAGCACTATTCCGGCTGAACGGGGCTCACATGTCCAAGATCAGGCTCTAGATACCTCCCGGCCTCGGAATCACATGTCCCCACTATTCTCTCTCGGCAGGGACATCAACTTTATTAGATTAAATCGATCCTACAAGAAAGGAATAAGAACAAGCTACAAGGGACCCATCCCGCCCGTTCAGCTGCGGGGTTCAAAAGGAACAGGATGGCTAGTCCGAATGGGGTAATTTTGAAGAATATCAGCTCGCTTGATTCGTAGAAGCATTGGTAGTATCATGCGGGGACTGAAAGGGTCCATCACATATAATGAATTAATTTAATGAGTGATATTCTCAATGTCACATCGGAGATGACAGGCGGGAAGGTGTGAAGCGGGGTTCAGTGGAAGACGTGATCGAGCGAGCTCTGATGTCTGGTATACCATATAAATCAATAGATTTTGACTTCTTTCCTCGAGAAACGGAAACAGACGGCACTCACTATCGTACATTTCCCTATACAGCCTCGCAGCTAACCCTCAAAATGATGACCCTCACCTCCCTCCTCACCCTCCTCACTGCCACAACAGCCCTCGTAACCGCAACCCCCTCCCCAATCTCAATCCCCCATCCGGCAATCAAGCTCAAACGCGACGCCACCAGCGTCGTCTCCGCCGTCAACACCATCTCCAGCCAACTCCTCACCCTCAACACCACCGTAACCAGCTACCCCGGCGGCATCGAAGGCACGCTCTCCGCTCTGCAGATCCAAGCCGAAACCATCCAACTCGAATTCGACCTCAAGACCGCCATCGCCGTCACGCGCCAATCGGCCAATTTCACCGACGCCGAGTCGCAATCGGTCGCCGAGGCCTTCGTCACCCTCGAGCCGCAGATTGCGTCCACGTTGGATAACATTATTTCGAAGAAAGCGGATTTTGATGATGGGTTGTTGGGGATCGCGTCGTTGAGCTTTTTGGTCAAGTTTGATTTGCAGGAGTTGAGTGCTTTGTCGAGTGCGTTGGGGAGCGCGGTGCAGGGGAAGCTGTCTGGGGTGTATGCGCAGTTGGCGCCGTTGGTGTTGGATGAGATTTCGAGTGCGTTTAAGAAGGCCATTGCGGCGTATTAGGGGGTCTTTTTTTATCGTTGGGTTTGTTGATATGGTATGGGAATAGATGAGGCAATATGCAATCGATCGACTATTCCTCGGTCAATACTCATCCGATCCTGTTGATTGATGTTGGAAACGAAGAATTTGAAGCAGAGATTGGGGAGGAAAATGGAAATGCCAGGCTGAAAAAAAGTATCTATCAAATTGCTGGCTACCGGTCATTCCTATTTAGCAGGAAAACCGACTGTGGAATCGGATCACCCACAGTAGAGTATCGGCGCCTTCCAGCTCTAGATCACACTAGATAAATAGTCTGTGGCTCACAACCATCAAAGATAGAGGTCATGCCCATATCCCAGAAATGCTGGTAAAAGCCAATCCGCTCAAACCGCGGTGTTGCCTGCCCCGGGCCCGTTGTGCTCATTCGCAACACCAGCCCGGCAGACCGGACTCCCAATTCGTACTGATCCGGAGGGGAATACAATGGCTGGTCGCCCCTCAACAACAGCATCAAAAACACTTTTTGCTCTTCGGGATGCTTCCCCGACTGATCTAAGAAGATCGTGTGCCTCTGGTATCCATCCGTACTGTTGGGAACGTGGACACCCCTCAGTTCGAATGTCGCCTGGGATTTGGCCGGTTTGCTTTCGGGAAAATTCTGATGGAAAGGATTCGGCCGTGGCACAGTAGCTGCCTGCATCTGGGCCTCTTTGATCTTCGCCACAAGTTTCACATAGCCACCATTCACTTGATCGACTGCCAATTGCCCGTAGCTGTCTTTGTACTTGGGGATCAATTTATGCTCGAGCACCTGAATCTCCGACTTTGGACGATGAAGATAATGTCCAATAAATTCAACTTGCCCATCATTGGCACACCATGACCAAGATGGCGCCCGATATTGCCCAGCACGGGTCAATGGCTTCCGTTCTCTTTCCCCAAAATATCGGTCGGCGCCAGGGTTCATCGCGTAGCGGGGCGCCCAAAGAAGACCATAGGCCAGATCCTGCACCCATAGTCCAGCGATGTACTGGTCGTCCAGGGCCAAGGAATGCGTCTGTGCGATACCAGAAAGAGCGGGCAGTTTATCGCTTGACACGGATAGATCGCGACAGGTGTAGTCCTCTACGATTTTATACCAGGCCTGATAGAATTTTGCTTTGTCGGATGTCTGTCCAGAGACCTCGGTACCTGTCGCTGCTAAAGTTCCGATCTCCAGCTTATCCAGCGACTTGTGACGTCGGGGCCGTTTGATATCCTCGATGTCGCGCCCATAATCGATTTGCGTAGGGCAGGTCAACAAGCCCAGTCCAAGCATATCCGTCACGCCGATGTAGAGTTTTCGTGGCGATAGTAGTCGTTCCTGTAACGTCCATCCTCGAGTGTTCCATGCTGACGAGTCTAGCTCGTCCTCCGCAGCTAGGAATTGATTCCAGACGAGGTGGTCCAATTCACCTGTGTATGATAAAGGCTGGACGAAGAATGTGCCGTGGATCTCAGGGTGATTTTCGACCGAATATGCAATGGCGACCATGGGATCAAGGTTGGGCACAGGCCGCTCCAGGACGCTGTTAAGGGGTGTGTCTGTGGCAACCAAGACAACTGTCAGGTACGCTGACATGTAGATGCTGTGCATCTTGGCCGACTCTTTGGCCCAGTCTTGCCGAGATTGTTCCTGTTGGATCTTGAGCAGATCCTCATCGACGGTCTTATTTTCTTTTTGGATGATACAGAGACTGTCAATCCACAAATAGAAAATGTCCAACTCGCAGCAAATGTCGACGACATCACTGAACCCCTGCGGTAAAGTTTCCGTAGCGTCTGGCATAGCATCTAGCTGGGACGGCGGTAGTGGGATCTCCTGGCAATGCTTCTCCAGGTTGCTAGGCATAGTAGTGAGGAACTCTTTGACGCCCCAGCGGTAACTGAGCGCGACGTATTTGATACTTTGGGTGCTCACTGGAGAGTTCGGCCCATACGTGGTCTTTAGATTTTTGGTTTCTACCAGACGCAGTTTTTTGCCGCTCTCATCTCTAGTAATCTCAATAAGTCTTGAAGGCAACCTGTCGGATGTGGACTCCCCAGGGCGAATAGGTCTCAAGACGTGATTATGCTTTCCATCGCAATCCTTTAACTGATCTCGAACAGCCTCGACATTTTCAGCGGAGAGAATATCTTGTCCAGGATAAGGGTATGCGATGCCCAAATAGCGTGCAAGAAGGTCATCTATGGCTGTTAGCGCTCGTGATGATCTCATTCCAAGCCGGATCAATGAATGATAAAAGTCCAGGATGGCGACTCACCAAAGCGTGCACAGAGTTTGAAATAGACTAGACCATGAGGTCCAATCATGCCATTAGCAGGTCGATCACTTCCCGGTTCAAGGATATCCCATCCCACACAGATGGCGGCGAATTTACTGCCTTCGTTCTCTGAGGCTCTGTATGCTGCCAGTAGAGAAAGCTTCGTCACCTTGACTGTCAAATTTCTCTCACGGGGGACCTCCAGGAGCTTTTTATAATGACTTTCACCGATGCCCTTCAGCAACGAGTCCCGGAGCAGTCCACAAAAGCCACATCCTGCCTTTGCCGACTCTCTAAGCAGCGGCAAATCAGGAAGGTTATCGCGACAGTCATATGGAATAGTGATACATTGCTGCCCGGCCGGAAATTGCAAATGAAGTTTACCATTCTCTTCCTTTTCCGTGAACCCGTATCGACCCAGAGACTCTGCACTGAGATATAGAAACTTGCATTTCTCGCAAAGATTGCTAGGCATTTTCATGAAAGCTTAACTTGGGTTTGGAGGATTGACGAGGAAGTTGTTCAGCATTCATTATGTAGATGAGGGGAAGGTGGGGTAATCTCATAGTGTCCGCAAGACAACTCACCCGCCAGTCCAGACAGATGTTGAGCAGGGAGCTTGACACGTGGCGGGCGAGTGCTGGAGCAGGTATGGAGTAGATTCATGCAGATCTTCTGCTTGGGTTGTGCTTGGTGCAACTCGAGTTCGACATCTCAGCGTAGATTCATTCGTGTGCCGGCTAGTATGCTGGAATTAATTAATCTTGAACACAATGGATGTAGGGTGGACTTGGTTGCAATCACTAACTTGCATGGTGACTCACTTCTCCGCTGCAGATGGCAGTCGATGTCTGTGAGAACGAGAGCATTTAGGCAAGTCGTGGGCCCTTTGGGCTGATTCGATCGTTGGTAGCAGTAAGGTGCTCTTTATTTGGTCGGGGAGCGGATTATGAGATGTTAGCAAGTCTTCAATTCATTGGAATAGAAAGGCAAGGAGGAAAAGTGGGGATGATGATGAGGATAAGGGGAGAGAAGAACGGAGTACGGGAAGGACAAATACGGGCAATCATAGTGGCCATCGGGCAACAGGATGCTCCGTTTTTGGGCTATACTATATATAGATTACTATGGAAAATTTCTATGTACCTCGCCCAAGATTTACTCAGGAGAATGGTAGTCAGCATTAAGTTAATATGGTGAATAAAGAGCAACTCCACCGAATAAACTCCAGAAAGAAACAGCCAGATCCAATCCTAGGAACTAAGACCATTCAGCAAGAGGTGCCCTACCAGTTGCCATTTGATAAATCCTCGAAATCCACTGGAACAGGTATTGATGTGACAGCTGCCCTGGCGCACTCATCGGCATCCCTGTTCCATTTTCGAGGGATCCTCCATAGATAAACCTCTCGACCCTTCTTGGCCCAACCGTCCACGATCTGCAGCAGAGTCTGCCACAGATCCTTATTCTGGACCGGCCTCCCCGTCAGGTTTATCCACCCATTGGACATCCATGTCTGGAGCAACCGAGTAGCACTATGGACCACGTATGTCGAGTCGGTAGCGACCACGATGCTCTTGAACAGATCCCCATCCTCGTGCAGGTAACTCAGCGCTGCGATGACCGCCCGTAACTCTGCTCGATGGCTGCTTGGCCTTCGGGCCTTCCCGGTTGGCCCAGTGGCCTCCAGGCGCGAAGAAACCCGACCACTCGTGGGACGGTCTGGTGCAGGGGGTTTGAAAACGAAAGACCAACCGGCTTTAAGTTTGCCTTTGCCATTCTCCAAGCAGGCCCCACCTGCGTAGACGAGATACTGGGAGGTGTCATGGATTCCAATGAATCTTTGGATACCAGGGTGGTCCTTATGGAACACCAACCGAGGTCTAAAAAGAACCCGCGGGCTGACTACAGGTTCGGGGGGAAAGAACCTTTTGGGCAGCGCAGGGAATCTCGGTTTCGGGTCGTCGTCCACGGCGATCAAGATGCCTGTGGGCGCGACGGAAGGCGATGCAGCAGCTTCCTCGCTGCTCGAGTCGATTATGGTCGACTCGTCCGAGGTATCAACGCCGCTGGAACAGAGACCACTGACATCAGACAACTCGCAGCTTTGGTCATCGTTGCCGGGAATCGTATCGCGTTGCTTTAACATGTGGGAGCTATATTCGCCATCTAGTTCTTGCACGAAAGTGTAGTCAACGCAGCATTTGGCACAGGTCACGAAACCATGTGCGCCGCACAAAAGTTGGCCATTGGCCAGTCTAATGGGCGAGTCGCGAGCGTTGCCAATCATCTTCGAAAGGCGTATGTATGACAGGAAATAAAATGACGTATTTGGTAAAACTACACTAGAGAGTGGGTAGATTGGATGGTTTGCATAATCTGATGATCTCCAGAAGACCCAAAGCGAAGGCCTAGACGCCCTTTTTATAGGGCAGAGAGGTGACTAATCCACATGACATGGAGGGAGTGTTCCTTTACTCTGTAAAAGATAATGAGGTGAAATCCGGGGAAGTGGCAGATAGAAAAAGGAAGCATCCGGCAAGGAGCCGGCAACAGTCGACAAGAACCAGATCGATCATCGGAAGAGACAGGCTGGAGGCGGGAAACTCCCGTCGGATTGTAGCAACAATGAGAATATGGTGCTCCATGGATTAGATTGCAGGGATCTCATTTGATACAAAGCCAGATTATCGCTATGATTGATAAGCACCACAACTACCCATCTATCAACAATGTCTACCCTGACTATCAACAACCGCCAGGCAGGCAAGGACCTCTTAAAATTCCCGCTGCCCCAGGAACCCTTTTAAGCCACATTATTTGACAATGGAACTTTTTAGGACAGGAGACACACAAAGGGGCTATACCAAGCCTACAGCTCTTGCAAGGGCCTTACTGTACCTCCTCTGTCCCCCATTCTATCCTATAATAGTCTCAAATGAATCATCATTCATCACGTCAACCCAATGCACAATCGGAGCTTGACTGCGCAGTGGGCTACTCAGTAATATCTGGTCCGCCTGAGCCCACTTTCTCTCACCATCATATATGCCCGGTGCACGGTATCTAACCCAACATAGGACGCCAGATTGTTGAGTCTAGAATCAACAAATAAACTCCAGTACGCTATATCAACTTGTCCCCGTGTATGAGTTAGTACCGGAGCAATGCTAACATCCATGTCTTCAACTCTCTGAAACTGAAGGGTACTCCCCGCTATTACAAAAGCAGGCATTTGAGTCGCCCTCGTGCCAGAGGTTTCTGGAATCATGGCAATAAGCGTGAGAATAGTGATTGCCAGAGTATTTAAATGTTTTCTGTGGGTATCGTAATCCAACTCTCGTTGGAGGTGAAGACTGCAACTCGACGACCCCGGTTGGTCCGGGCGTAGCAACTCGGGAAATACTCGACACAGCGTAGCATAATCGATAGATGATAGGCTCTTCCTAGAATGCGAAATTGCTTAACGGGTGTAGATAGGTCACCTGTACCATGGAACTGTTCTGAAGAGGGTAATCTGTACCGGCATACTAACTCTTCTAGATGCTTTCCTTGCGATCAAAGTTCTTGTCGGTCTTCCTGGAGGGAGTTGCCCAAAGCCGGTGAAGTTGAAGCCCGCCGTAGATGGTATGTCTGTCGTGCAAGGGAGCCGATAGTAGGTACTATCGGATGCTTGTTTCGCAAGTAATATAGTATAAGATCAGACTAAAAGGCTACCTAGCTGCGAAGACACTTCCGTAGCCTGGTATTATATAGCAGGTACTCCATGCTAATCTACTCCCATGGCTGTCCAGTGGCGGTAATAACCCAGGTCTGCTTGACAGTTACGATCTTCTCCAAATTCCACCGCGGACATTAGTCCTTTTTCTAGGCCCTCGTCTCCGCCACTCGGCCTCCTTGACCCCTTCGAGAATCGGTCCCTGGATTGTGGACCGGCCCACTTCGCCAGCAAGCAAGGAATTACGTATACGGGAGCTGGCTTACCTGTGCCTAGTGGTCACTGTCCTTGGTCCGTTGCAATTGGTGCACTCCCACGTGCATGGTGGAGATTTAGGACGTTTAACCTTAAAATTCCCTGCAGAGGACAGTGGGCATGTCAATCTCTTTCACACGCTGGGGCTGTTACAGGGCGGAAGAATTTCCCTGTGCATAGCGGTATCGCCGGAAATGTTATTCCGACCGTAACATGACCCGTCACATGATGCTTCTCTCCTCGCACCGGCCCAACACTCAAGGCTGTAGTCTACATCAATGCCTTCTCAAGTCTCAACAGCACGGCACCGTTGGCTCATCAGAAAGCGGGGCGGAATACTCAGATCCCGGGCCCTGCGGTAATTTCAGGCGATCCATTACCTCAGGTAGTGGACTCCATTACGCAGTCAAACCCAGTCACCAGCACAGGAACAGGCTTGGCAAGGTGGTGAATCTGACCATTTGAATTCCTTGGTCCCCTTCCTTCCCTTACGGAAACTGTCCGCAGGTGGGGCACCACCCAGTGCCAATCTTATCAATCAGTCACAATGGACGAAACGTGACCAATGGAATGCCGCCGCTGCCGCAGCTTCATTATTATTAGCATATGGTATGCTCCAACGAGACGAGTTTTTCACGCCTGCCAAGCAGCCCATCGCACACCCAAGGATGGAGACTTTCCTCGATAGGTGTGCATTTGCGAGAATCGGAGAAACACGGGCATCTTATCTGATGCTATCTGCTTGGCAGCATGGGTCCTGATCGGTGAGAAAAGAAACTTTTAGCTTGTGTGGGCAAGCTTGGCTTCCGTCGCTGCGCCGTATAAAAGCTATGGAGGTCCGTTTCTCCCCTGCGTAGCTTGCATTTTATTTTCCACGACGATCGCTTCATTGTTCCGTGCCAAGAGGAGGACAACGTGTGCGAGGGCTAGAAGGTTGACACGACAGGTCACCCCCGAAATAAGATCCGGGTCGGAGCACACGTGCAGTATGGCGATCGAAAAAGACACAACGGAGGTTACAGCGGGAGAGGCCGCCACCTCTTCTTCTCTTCATTCGAAAGACAACACCACCGATAATGCGGACGGCAAACGCCCACCTCCGTTGCTCGCCAAGCTGATTGCCGTATTGCTCATTTCGTGTATTAGCTTCGGGTCGCACTGGAGCAGTGGCGTTACAGGCGCCATGAAGAGTACCTTGAAAAAGGTAACGTGACCTGCGGAGACACTGCAGGAAACGTCTAATGGTGTGGCTATAGGAACTGCATATCACAAACACCCAATACTCCCTCCTAACAGCAAGCGAGGACTTTATGGCCACCGCTCTTCTTCTCGTTGGTGGTATCATAACAGATCGAGTGGGAGGCGCTCGTATGTTTGATCCCATCTTTTGTCCGCCTCGAGCTGGAATCACTGACCTTTTGCAGGGATGATTGTTTATGGAAATGCCGTTTATACCATCGGTTCCATCTTGGTCGCCGCTGCGACCACAGTTCGATCTTTCAAATTCATGATCGGGGGGAGGATTATCCTTGCCTTTGGTGATATTGCAACCCAAACGGCTCAGTACAAGATGTTTTCATCGTGGTTTGCGCCGAGTAACGGATTCGCTTCCACTCTCGGATTTGAACTGGCAATTGGCAAGGTAAGCTGGCCGCTTTTGCGACGCCGGAAGGAGGCTGACCAGTACAGATTGGAGGTTTCGTTGGAAAGTCAACAGCCAACATTATCGCCAAGGTATGAGCCTTTATGCAATTGGAAATTCCCAATCTAACAACATCCTAGAACACGGGCAACTTTGCCTGGGTCTTTTGGACCTCTGTCTTCATGAATCTTTTCACAAACGCCGCGACATGTTTCTTCTGGCTATTCAACCGTTACTGCGATCGGAACTATCGGGGTCGCCAAGATACTGCCACCCAGGAGACCCTGACTGAAAGGAACAAGAAGTTCGAGATTCGGAAGATGTTCCAGCTCCCGTGGATGTTCTGGGCAGTTCTCGCTTTTTCGATGTTCCAGACCAGTACCGCTAGCGTTTTCAGCTCGAACGCTACAGAACTGGCCGAGAAACGGTTCGATGTGGATGCAATCAAGGCCGGGTGGTACAGCGCATTGGCTCAATATGCTGGTGAGTGAATCACTCATGCTGTTGGAACCTTCCTTGACCGAATATAGGTTTTTTCCTTGTTCCCTGCCTGGGAGTCTTCATTGATGTTCTTGGCCATCGTGCCTCTGTTTGTAAGTGACGAACTCCACCATTTCGATCCATGGTTACTGATTTGCATGTTTAGTGTGCGTGTGTGGACTGGGCATCTTTATCAGTATGGTACTGGTGAACTTCGCCGCAACCAGCCAGGGGACGGCGGCAGCGTTCGGGATATACGCGGTTGCAGTGTCCCTGGGTCCGACATCAATTATCGATGGCATTCGCACGACCCTCTGGCATCAATCTGTTTTTGGCACCGCGTATTCCCTCAAGGTTACCATGAACAACGCGTAAGCCCCCCTAGCGTCCAAGATGAAAGGCAAGCGCTAACCCTGTTCAGGATGACCATAATCATTGGCATCATTACTGGTGCTCTCCAGGATGCTGATAATGATTCGTACCACCGATCTGTGCGAGTCTATCTTTTCCTCGCTATCTGTTGCTCGATCATCTCCATCCTCCTCCTGGTCGGCTCGATGGTCGGCCGCAATCTGGCTCCCTTGCAGTGGACCCGCAAACAACGCCTTACCATTGGTCCCGAGTTCATCAGTGAGCTTCGGGAGTACCATCTGGTGACACACTGCCAGCGTAGTAAGATTATCTCGATCTGCAGTTTCACCGGACTGGTGCTGCTTGTGCTGGGAAGTTGGGCGGCGTATATCTGGGGAGCCGTCACAGGGAATAGTGCCTGAGGATGGATTAGCAATATTCGTGATGTGTAATGATATCGAATCGTAGCAATTAGAACCCTTTTAGCAGCCAGATGATAGACGAAGTAGTGGCAGGAGTAGATGCGAAGGCAGAGAGTAAGTCGAGTAACTCCAGTAAGTGTTGGGGGAACCACCACGCTAGGCTGGATCGGGTCTAGCCGTCCACTGGCTCGGCGCCCGCCAGGATCGCCGGCTTGTCGACTCGGACAAATCCCAGGGACGGTCCTGTTCGTTTCACGGAGCCAGCTTCCAGACAAGTCGGCTTCTTGTCAGAGTATCCTGCCTTCATGGCTGACAAGCCCCAGCAATTATCGCAGTGCTTCACGGGCAAGCAGACGGTGACCAAGGCAGCTCGACGCCTTAGTTCATGTTCGTCGACCATTGACATTGTTGGCCGACTAGAAGGCAAACAGAACCAACTCCTTTCAATATTCATGAGAGAATCAGTTCCTCGGTTCGACCATCTTGCTCAACTTTCTGTTCAGTGATCCCCCGTTGATCACTCACCTTTAGCTCCGGGCTCAAACACCCGGCGCTTCACGTCAAGGCCTACCCGCCAAGATCATCGGGATAGACTTGATGCCAATGCGTCTTCCACCCGAAATCATCCAACTCATCATTGAGTCGATTATACCACCAGACCCGCCAGTGGCCTACCCTATCTTCTCCGGGGAAATTGATACGCTAGTTAACTTGACGTTGGTTTCACGGTTCACTTGCCAGATCGCGAGGCGTCTTCTGATTAACCACTGTCTGCTCATTGACCACGAGGACTCCTTGAAGAAGCTTCTCGAATGCAAGCCAGCAGCCCTAATTGATGAAAGGTTTGTTGGACCCGGGGCAGATATCCAACAGAATGTTACCACTGGACTTGTACTGGCCCTGCTCGAGCCCGACAAGCCTTCTGTGGCGCAAAATATCGATACGCTCTCATTCTACCTCTGTCGCCGTTTGACCCGGCTGGTGGTCGATTTGCCAATGCGCTTCTTTCACCCTGCGCTAGATGGTTACGGAGTCCGCCCAATGCTCCGTAAAGCGTTCTTACGCTTGACACAGTTGGAGGAATTCTGCTCAGCCGCAGACGATCTCTGCCTTGACACGCTAGGTCTGCCTCAGGTCTGGGAAACGCCTTCGGATCAGTTGGATGAAGAGGACTACGAACCAGCGGTGTGGTCCCTCTGGCCTCGTCTGCGCCGCCTCGCACTGTGCGAAGTTGATGTGACATCTATACAGTTCATCGACGGGCTCCGTCGGTGCTCGAATTTGACGCATCTGGTACTTGTTGCACCTTATGGCTTGGATCGACCTGTCCGATCTGGCTGGCAGGCAACCGATTTCTTGCCATCACTGGAACGGCTTTTGATTGTAGATACAGCCGATGAATTCGAGATGGTGCAAGCCAAGGATCACCTTGGGGAAGATTCGGGATTTGTGCGACAATTGTTCCAGTGCTACAAGGACCGAGAGAAGGAAAAACAGCAGGACTGTAGCAAGGACGAGACAAGCGTGAGTTTCGACTCGCTTGTGAAGAAAATCGCCTTCCCAGTGCCCACGTATCGCAAGGGGGACGACGACATCATCTGCCACGGATGGCTTCTCGACGCGAGTATTGACGGAACCATCTGGACTGAGCCATATGGGATCGGCAGGCGATATCTGACTTACGATTGAGGCGGTTTCGTGGTCAGCTTGGCATGCTGTGTAGATCTGCGCCATGACCGCCCGGCCTCGGCTCTGCGGGGGAATCCCGCCGGCTTCCTAATCGTCGGCCACTTTCACTCCACTCCCGGATCTCGCGGAATTCCTCCACATTGCTGACCCGGGAGGGGTTTTCTTTCTGACCATGCTTCCTTTTCTTTGTTTCCCCTTCCTCCTGTGCAACCCCGGTTTCCGATCCCTCTGGTGGGTGAATCCCGCTTCAGGCCAACCAGCACAGCCTCCGCCCCGCTTGACTCGAGCCGTTGCTGCCTAGTCTATGCAGTTACAATCAACAAATCTCCGATTCGTTATTTCCAACGACACGAGTCCATCAATATGCGAGGCTCTGCCGATAACCGAACGATGGACGGTGTATGGACCTGCCAGTTTTGCACTGCCGTCTTCCATCGCTTAGACCATCACAAGCGACATACAGCTACCCGTATGATAGACTCATCCCTTGAAGCGATAGCTGTGTGGTGGTGCTGATGATTGCATCCAGACAGCGCGGAGAAGCCCTTCAAATGTGGATTCTGCGGCTCTCAGTACAAACGAGGGTGCGTATGTTTAGGGTAGAGGAGACGGTACCGTGAACTGACGTTGGAACCCCTGCGAAGAGACGTCCTGCGACGACACTGGAAATCTTGCTCCGCTCGTATACGCACTGGCCAGGCCATCCCCGGGCCTCGCATAGGCGGCAAAGAACGTCATGCATGTGATGCCTGCGCAAAGCTTAAGAAGTCCTGCGATGGGGGGCAACCATGTATCGAATGCTCCACACGACGGAAGCCCTGCACGTATCTGCGGCTCCAAGACAGTGGAGGACTCCCGCGCAGCCAGGGCACGGACTCCGCTCTGAACGAGAAGCCATTGCCCCCAGAGTCGACCCATCCAGTGCCGGCTCCGGAACTCTCCACATGGAATCTTGGGCCTCAGACGTTCTACCCGGATCGTGAGGCTCGCCTGAGGGCTTATAGACTACGTAACATTGTCCTGGACGAGGGACAGAGTTAAGCTCATCGTCTAGATGGTTGAAAAGTGCACTTAGGAGGAAGACGGGACTCTCACGAGCATGGAAGAATCAATCACTGTATATAAACATTTTGCATAGAGAAGGAGCCTGAACTTCACTTACCAGGGTGCTGATTTCCTGCCATCGTGCCTGCTAATAACCATATAGTGGAGAACCACATCAGGTGAAGTGATGGCCCATGAGTCGTTGAATAATCGCTGATGGGGCGATACTCAGGAAGCCGGCTCAGCTTCTCCTCCGGCGGGATCCCCCCACCTCCATCATCACAGCTCTGATTAACAACCACTCCAACTGACCACTGCTGAGGCTCGGCCTATAAAGGGTTCGCTCATCCTAGGTATGTTTCTGCTCCTCATCACCTTCAATCATCACGTTCCACGAAGACAGTTCCATAGCAAAAAAACAAGCCGCTCACCATCATGACTACCGCACAGGAGGCTCGCGTTGAAGACCACTTCAACAACTGGCCCAACGTCAAAGGTGTAAGTACTCCCAACTGGCACATGCATTCTTACTCATACCAACAACCCCAGTTCGATGCCAACTACGAGGAGAAAACGCCCGTCGAGCTCGATGTCGAAGGCCAGATTCCCGCCTATGCTGCGGGTGTGCTCTACCGCACTGGACCAGGCAAATACAAGGTCGACACCGTCCACGGAGACACCTTTCGTGCCAGTCACTGGTTCGACGGATTCAGTGAGACTCATCGATTCCAATTGGTCACTCCGGACGCCACGCACCCATCAATGCGTGTTTTCTACAACTCTCGCTTCTCGACCGATGGCCTCATCGAATTGGTGAGACAGACCGGTCACTTGGGCAAGCTGAGCTTCGGCCAAAAGCGAGACCCATGCAAGACCATCTATCATAAAGTCCAGTCCGAATTTGAACCCGCTGAGCGGGAGCCTGAGAGCCCTGCCCACGTTAACGTGGGAGTCACCCTCAGCGTCAACATGCCAGGTCTCGGGGTGTCTTCTTCACCCAACGGAGCCGGTATTCGCTGGGACACGTCTTCCGGAATCAAGACCTTGCACGCCAAAACCGACTACAACATCTTCAAGCAGCTTGACCCGCAGACCCTGGAGCCAATTGCCCTTGCCACGCAGCAAAACCTCCACCCGGACCTGGATGGCCCCGAGACAGCCTCGCATGCCCGTTCCGACCCCAAGACCGGCGATGTCTTCAACTACAACCTCGCCGTCAAGCCATCACCCATCTATCGTGTCTTCCGCATATCCGCCTCAACCGGCGAAACCACCATCCTCGCAACCTTCCCCGCCACCCCAGCCTATCTCCACTCCCTCCTCCTCACAGAAGACTACGTGATCCTCTGCGTCTGGAACGCCCACCTCTCCCTCCCCGACGTGGGACAGATGAGCTTCCTCGACGCCATCAAACCATTCGACCCAACCGCCCCAGCAATGTGGTACATCATCGATCGCAAGGCCGACAAAGGCCTCGTCGCCACCTACCAAACGCCCCCATTCTTCTGCTTCCACACCATCAACTCCTGGCAAGAACCGTCCACCACTGACAAATACAAAACCGACATCATCGCCGAACTAATCACTTTCCCCAACCTCGACTTCCTACACAAACTCTACTACGAAAACCTCCTCTCCGACTCCCCATCCGCAAAATCCATCTGCCAGGCACAAAGAACCTCCGGCTCCACCTCATCCATCACCCGCTTCCGTCTCCCCGCCATCCCCGACACCCCTAACCCCTCCCCTTCCACCACCCCCATCCCCGCAATCCTCGAATCCTCCCTCTGCAAACCCCTCTCCCCCGAACTCCCAACCATGAACCCAAACTACGTCACCCGCAAACACCGCTACACGTACAGCGTCGCCGATCGCGGCGAATCCACTCTCTTCGACAGCATCATGAAGCTCGACAACGAGACCCAGGAGACGCTCATCTGGGCTCATCATGCCCAGTCCCCCGGGGAACCGATTTTCGTTGCGAACCCTGACGGGCTGGAGGAAGATGATGGCGTCTTGCTGAGTGTGGTGTTGGATGGATTGACGGGCAAGAGTTATTTGCTTTGTTTGGATGCCCGGGATTTGGCGGAGTTGGGGAGAGCGAGGGTGAATGGGCCCGTTGCGTTTGGGTTTCATGGTCAGCATGTTCCTGTGAGGGGGGTTCCGACGGGGGATTATTAGATGGGGTTGAGATTGGATTATGTTGTCGGGAGGGATAGTGTATAGGTTTTTTTCTTCTGTTTGCCGGTTTTTGAGGTTTGCTTATGCTCTTGTTTGATTGTTGTGCATACTGTTTTGCTGTGTTTGTATAGTGTAAGTTTGGATGGATAATATATCGATTACACGTTGGTTTTAGGAAGATATGCCCATTCATTTCATTGATCAGTGTCGACATTCTAGAGACTACCTCAATTGTAGCGCATGCAGAATAAAGTAGGCTTGGTCCTGCCTAGCGATTAGAAGAAATGAGACATTGGACATTTGCTCATGTTCATTGGCTTCTAAGTCATATTGCCCTGTTCACTCGATCAAGATTAATTGGACTAAACTGTGTACGTTAACCCACGAAAATCTCAACGAGAACATCATTGCTCCATCCGGCCTGCAAGCCCATTGCCTTCCACGCCGCTAGGATATCCACCGCCAGCACTCTGCCTTCATCGCCGCCTTCTTTCCACACTGTGTTGCGAGGCACAGGTTTTCCGAGGATCGTGACCATGAAGTTTTCCTCGATACTCCAGTTCCACAGGTCCGACATATAGATGCCAACAGTCCCGAGAGCTTTCAAGCTGATATCGAATCGAAGTCGGCCGTTGTTTTCTAGGTAGATGTCGGAGTAAATTAGTGCGGCAGCACCGGTCATTTTGCCGATTAGGCCCAGAACCGCCACCTTCGTTGGGCTATCCGTCTTCATGTTGAACGTGTGGGTAGGATACGTTGTCAGAATCTCCCAGCCTTTCTGAGGCAATGATACGGAGACCAGTGAGCCCGTGTCCGAGACTTGCAAGTTCTCGGCAACCATGCCGCTGGTGTGTGCGCGGATGATGTACTCGCCCTGGGAATCGTGGTGGATGCCAGGAAAATCTAACAAGTGGACCATGGTGGATTTCTCAGTAGTGGAGATATTAAACAGACCCAGAATTCCGCTACCGGTTCGTGCCCAGCCGGTGTAGGTACCTACACGGACGATATGGCCCTCGTTATAGTCGTGGTACATGTCCATAGCGCGACCGATCAGGCTTGGCCGAAGAATCACGGTTGCCCCGTGTATGGTCGGAGCGGTCATTTGCTCAATCAACGAGACGTCATGCCTGCCTGGCTCATCCGTGATATAGACCGGGCCGCCAGAGACACAACGTGCCGCGGCGTGGAATCCGGCATAGGGGTGGCTTGTCTGAAACATGTCCCAGTCTGGGACCACGTTCAAGTACCGGGTAAGCAGCGCATTATGAGCATTACAGAATATATGCCAGGGATGGGATGCTTCGATGTCGGGGAAGAAGTCGTCCGAGTTCCGCAGAGGAATAGTGGGCTTATTGGTTGGAAGCTGTGAATGGAAGATGGCCTGTGGGAACATCGACATGCAAGATATAGCCCTCGAGCTAAAGTGTCTCAGTGTGGAGATGGACCAGGCGTCCTGGTAGGCAGTTATAAAATTCCGCCGGTCTTCCGGATCTTTGATCAAATCCAGGAAGAACTGAGCATCTGCCTTGACGGAATCCACCCCGATTGACGCAAGATATCTGTAGAAGTCGTCATAGAACCGTTGGACATCATCCGGGTCAATTGCTAGAATTGATCCTCTCTCAAACGCATGCGAGATAGCGCCTCCTACAGCTGGCACTTTGAGTTCAACTCTTTTGGTCTTGTACTTCTTGGCAAGTTCACCCTCCGATGAGATGCCTCCCCAGTATCCAAGCATAGCATGCCAGACTGCAATGTGCTCGATGTTTGGGTGGCTTCGCCGGATAGATTCGATGGTTTGCTTGAAACCCTTGGGAAAAGCATCGGGATTTCCTTCAAACTGCCTCCAGCCCCTCTTGAACTGCGAGTCCGCATCGTCCAGTGTCTGCCAATTGTCGTCGATAATCAGGTTGGCTATCTTGATCCCATGCGATTTGAGTGAATCGAGACCACGAAGGATTTTCTCTTCCGTCAGATTCTGGCCCAGTCCATTCCAGGTACAATAGGTCAAGCCATCGTACCACTCTGCTAACCACTGTGCCTTCACGTCCTTTTCGACCACAACGATGTCATCCGGTGGTGGTGACACCGGGGCTCGGACTGTTTCAGATTCCTCCTGCTCGGCATATGGCCTTAGGAGCTTGCGTGCCTCGTATATGATTGCACTCATGGCAACCTCGAAATCCTCCGCAGCAGATGCCAAGATTTCGAACTTGGAGGACTTCGTATTATCACTGAGGGATTTAACCACTACCTCGCCATTCTCGCCCGATCCAAAGGTCGTCAACACATTGTCCGTTCCAGACAGTCCCAGAAGAACGAGATGAATTCCATCTTTCCGAAGAAAGGAGCACATGATGGCATCCTCAGTCAACGCAAATTTTCCTTGTCCATGCCTTGGTCCGAGCCATGGAGTCCAGATCCGCACCAAGGCAAAGTACCTCGCGACTGATACTGGCACCCCAAGAGCCAGCTCCTGGTCCCCGGATGCACCTTCGCGAGCTGGCTTGGCTTCTCCAGAAAGATGCCACAAATTCGACCCAGGAGCTTCACTTTTCTTAGGCTGGATTTCGATATCGGAAGACATGCTATCGAAATACTTCTTGAACTCCGCTGAGGTCGACTCTGAGGAGTTGAACCCCGGCTTCGGCGAGCCAAATACCAAGACTCCGTCACTTACACTCTGCTGCTGGTTCACCCACTGCCACTCAGCATCCGGGTTGATTCGATACCGAACCGTAAATTGTGCGTATCCAGGATCTGAAGGAAGAGCAATTTCCCCGGAGAAGACATGACGGAAATATTTATATTCTTCCGCGCTGCTATTCATGAGGGGTGCCACGGAAGGACTGCAATAAGCCAATGAAGACGCGGTCCACTCTGAGCTGGTGATATTATGCCATACTTGAACATCCCATGGCTGCACGGGGAATGAGGTACTTGATTCTAGGACCACTGTGAAATTGATCTATCGAGATCAGCTATCGGCGGCATCGTGACTGGTAGGAGCTACTATCTACCGTATCAGGCTTCTGGGACCCCGTAGGCTTTGCACCCCTTGGACGACAGGTTACTTGGCCCAAGGGAGGATAGCACGTCACTCGAGCGAGCAAGCTCATCTGTGCCGGACGAATAAACTTGATCTGGGATCTCTTGATGTTCTTGCGATCGGGCCCGCAGATCGGCAGGGTCGATCTATGTCTTGTATTGGCTTGCATCTGGACCGGTGGCAGGGACTATCAAGGGAGGATGCTCAGTGAAGGAGGAAGATGGCACGAGAGAGTAGTCCATCTGAGCTCTAAGCTGGGGGGTGGAAGAAGCTGGGGGCCTTGCGGGGATGGGGGGGGGGGGGGGGGGGGGGAAGAGGAAGGTGTAGGATGATGTGGCGATGCGGTGAGGGGAAGTACCCCCATCCTTGATTGGCTTGCTGCACTCGCGCCTGCAGACGACGTGTTTTGGTCAACCTCCAGTATCAACCTGAGATTCGCCAGTCAAGCAGGTCAGACTCCAGACTTCATATACGTCATCACCTACCACTTCACAAGGCTATAAGCCTTCCATCCCCGCACGAGGTGAAGTCTACGTTTGGGAAGACTTGGAAGCTTCTGCCACAAACAAGCATGGGATCGTGTGTTGTATCTTGTGAATTATTTGATTATATCATCTACGCTGTATATCTAGAATTATTTGACTCGTTTATTCGATCTTGATGGCGAGCTTGCCAAAGTGCTTCCGAGCCCACTGTTTCAATCGGTTAGTATCATGCCAATTGTCTTGAACAAGCCTACTCACCATGTACTCGTATGCCTCCCTAGTCTGCTCCAGGGTAAAGACCTTCTCGTCCACTACCGGGTGGATGTTGTTGGCCTCAATGGCCCTAACCATGTCGTTCATCATGGCCTTGCTACCGACGTAAATACCCCGGACAGTGCAGATGTGGCCCAGAGTATCAAGGACGTTTGGCATGGTCTTGGGGTCAACTCCTCCAACAAACCCGATGATGCTGATCACGCCCTCAAACTTGATACACTTGAAACTTTGGTTGAGGGTGCCGCTGCCTCCGACCTCGACAATGTGATCGACACCAGCATTGTCAGGGGTGAGACTGCGAGCCACATCTCCCCAGTTGGGCTCGGTCTTGTAGTTAATGACGTGGTCGGCGCCCAGCTCCTTCAATTTCTTCTCCTTTTCTGCGGACGAGGTCGTGGCAATGACCCTTGCGCCGGCCGCTTTGGCGAACTAGCGAGTCATCCATCAGTTTACTGTGTGTTTCTCAAGCCTGGATGAAGACCTACCTGCAAAGCGAAAATGCTAACACCACCTGTTCCCTGCACCAACACGGTCTGGCCAGGCTGCAAAGGCTTCAATCCGTACAGAGCATTCCAACTCGTGAGAGCAGCGCACGAGAGGGTGCTGGACTCCAGGCAACTGAGGTTCTGGGGGCACTTGACCAGACCATTTTCGTTGAAGACACCGTATTGACGGAGAGTACCGTCAATCACGCCACCAAGGCCAGAGCTGGCGGCCTTGCCATCAACGGGGCCATACTGGTGGTCCTGGTTGAACAAAGTGACGACCTTGTCACCCTTCTTGAACAGGGAGACCTTGGATCCGGCGTCAACCACCTCACCAGCACCGTCGGAGCCAGGAACGACGGGGAAGTTGAGCGCAAAAGGGTATTTTCCCTGCGGAAACAAAGAGCAACTGTCAGTAGGAACGATGGTTAGGGCGGGAAATGAAGAACGCACCTGTGGGATGATCAGGTCACGGAAGTTCAGCGAAGCTGCATGGAACTTCACCAAGACCTCGTTTTCACCGACTTTTGGGATCGGCGCATCGCCAAAAGTGAGGCCATCAAAGCCATTATCCTTGTTCAGGACGGTCCACTGCTTCTGAGATGTGGAACCCATTGTTCGTATTTTGTTGTGATGTGGTTAAGTGTACACTTTTTATGGCAACAGAATCCGTTGGAACCTGGCTTGACTTTTGGTGGGGGATATATAGCTTATAGAGCAGCTTTTGAACATTGAGGTAAGTGGGCAAGCTCCACTTGATTGACCGTATGCTTAATAAGGACCGCAATTCCTAACGGCAACAAAGGTTCGGGATATGGAGACCGGATAGGAATCAGCAAATCATGGCAATCATAGAAAACTGTTGTCTCCAAGGTGTTCCTTGCTGATAAATCCATGCTGTGCCGAATTCTTGGGTTCTTCCATGCAAGTGGGGTTGGATAAGTACTATTCCGTATGTATCTCGAAAGATCGACAGAATTGGTGAAGCCTTCGTCTGCCACAGTAATGGACCATCGCTTTTTGGCTGTTCATGTTAACCGTAGCCAAAGCCATCCAGATTGCATGTCTTGCGTGGTTGCGATGAGGCCGGTGGGCCGGGAGCCCCGCCAAGGCGAGAGCAGACTTTTCTGTTTGGATTCAATTTCCTTTCTTCCGGTTACTTGATCGGGTTATATCCACCGACGAGTATCTTGGACCGAGAATTTCTTGCCATATAGCCATCGCGATGTTTAACATGACATGTATGTCAGCGGGATATTATAGTCCGACAAAACGATCAGTTGCGGCATGCTCCTTCTCTCATAGTGGGCAATGGCGGTGGGGCACTGGGCCGTTGGAGGGACAACCGCTCGCCGGGTTCAAAAACCTGGCTTCTAGAAGCCGGGAAAACCGTCGGTCAGCCTCATCGGAGACGTCGAATCCAGGATGTAACGGGTTGACAAGGATAAGCTGTTCCTGGCAGTCTTCGGTGTAAGCTCCAATCTCCAAAGAGCTTATGCTCATCTTGTGGCCCGTCTTCTGCCGGCTCGCATGGCCAGACGCGTGCCCCACCATCAGATAAGCCGAAGGAACTCCGCGTCGGCTTTTATGCGCGTCCCTCTGCAGGCCGATGCAAAGACTGACGACATTGAAATACTGGTGTCGAAGAGTGCAAAAGACTGCAGTTTGAACACTGGATCACTCGGCGATTAGCCACACAGGTTTTGAGGTGGCATACACTTCGCAGACGACCTATAATATTTTATGGCCATTTCTACCATGTACGTTTCGTGCATTCACCCACATCCTGGACGGTCTGAGGGCTGTCAATTAGCCAGGTAATCCCTCATACTGGTAAACTGGGACCCTCGGTGAGTATATAATAATCAATGCATCTACCTGTGTGTCACCGGTGGTGATGCCGTCATCTCAACAAATAATGTCATCTTCTGGAGTACGAGCGACGCATTTCTTGGTGCTAGAGCGGTCCCGCAATCACCACCCAACAAACAGGCTAGGCTTTGCGATAATTCCGGGTACAGTCAATGACATGAAATACTTCCGATCGGATCTAGATTACACAGATCCCCTCTTTGAAGAACTTAGTCTGCAGAAATACTGTGTAGTTGGTCAAGCGGCGAAGTAGGAAGTATAGCCCAGGGTCCCCGGTCATTTGTTGCCGAACCAAAGCGGGACCATGAAGCATCGCGCAATTCCTCAACATGATGAGCTGACAACAATAAACGGTTAAGCATTGTATCATCCACGAATCTATGTGGACTCATACGCTCATTCGTGAATGTGATTCGACCTCGCATTACGCGGACGGGATCGACCGCAGATGAGGGGTAATCTGCTAGGTATCCCCTCATCTCTCCTGACCATGGTCCCTTTCCCCTTTCCCTGCCTTTAAAGGCTGCGCTGCTGCTTTCTGCTCACATTCTGCTAGTAAATTTCTCGGAATATCTGTGAAAAGGTCCATTCAACAACATGTCTCTGGGACGCACCTTCAAGCTTAACTCGGGATACGAGATCCCCGCCGTTGGTCTGGGGACATGGGTATGTCAACACTTCGGGATATTGCTTCGCATACTAACACGTCCAGCTATCCAAACCTCATGAGGTGGAAAACGCAGTCGAGGCAGCCCTGCGCGCCGGATACCGTCATATCGATGCCGCCGCAATCTACCAGAACGAGTCAGAAGTCGGAAATGGCTGGAAGAAATCGGGAGTGCCACGTGAAGAGATCTTTGTGAGTGCCCCTATCGCATTCGCTGTTTTCTGCATCCTTGACTGACAAATTCCTTGTTATCTTTCCTTAGATCACTAGCAAGCTGTGGAACACCCACCACCATCCTGAGAACGTAGAAGAGGCCGTCAACAAGACCCTCAAGGATCTTCAGACCGACTACCTGGATCTGTACCTGGTACGACAGCTCTCAATATCAAATTTGCACTCCGCTAATAGCCCCAGATCCACTGGCCCGTGGCATTTCCACACCAGAACAATTTCCAGCCCCCCCTTGACCCAGTCACGAAGCGCTTCCGGATCGCAGACGTCCCCATCTCCGAAACATGGAAAGCACTGGAGGCCCTTGTCGAATCGGGCAAGGTACGGAGTATCGGTGTGAGCAACTTCACCATTGAGAAGGTGGAAGAGCTGCTCAAGACTGCGAAAATCCCTCCTGCTGCGAACCAGATCGAGGCGCACCCGTACTTGCTGCAGCCTGAACTCACCCAGTACCTGAAAGATAAGGTGAGTATCCATATCATGACCAGTTTCATTCTGATCGCTAATTGGAACGCAGAACATCCTTCCTGTCGCATATAGCCCTCTGGGCAACAACATCTTCGGTCAACCTCGGTATGTCGTCCAATCTAGGCCACTTGCACTCACTAATCAACCCATAGTGTCATCGATGAGCCTCAGGTTATTGAAATTGCGAAGAAACTTAACAAAGATCCCGCTATCTTGCTGATCTCGTGGGCTGTTCAGCGCGGCACCGCCGTTCTGCCCAAGAGTGTCACCCCGTCCCGAATTGAGAGCAACTTTAACGGTATTAACCTCTTCATTTTTCTACTATAAACCAATAATCTAACAACACTGCAGATTTCATCATCCCCGACGCCGAGTTCGAAGCCTTGAACGAACTTGATCGCAACACGCGGTACAACTACCCCTTCCGCTGGGGAATTGATATCTTCGGAGAGTTGGGAGCTGAAGAGGCCGAGCGGCGGGCTGAAGAGGCTGCTGCTAAGGCAAGAGAGGAAGCTTAGACATATACTTGTAGATGCTGTCAAAGGTGTCAGTCAACTGGCCAATTCATGTGCTGCGATTACACAAGAATCAACCCATATTAGAGACAAATACCAACCACATGGCAAACAATAGAATTAACCCCCTTCTAAACTCAATCACGAAGTCTAAAAAAAACGAGAGATATATCACCTCAATGCATTCCATGAGTCAACGCATACATGCATGCCTGCATGTACAACACCACCCGCCCCGGCAAAAATCCCGACCCATCAACCAACCAACCAACCCACAATCAAATCCCTCATCAGCAAAGCAAAAGAATAAGACACCCTACATACCTCCCTCCCTCCCATAGAAAAGCAATCCAATCCAATCCCATCCGAAACAAAAATCCACCACAAAGACAAACCAAAAATGTCCCCCACCATCCAAGAAGGCCGAATAACCAAGAAAACCACTACTCCTACACGTCGGAAACGCGTCCGCGGAAAAGAGCAAATGCCGAAGACACGAAACGGCTCTACCATCGAATACAATGATAAAAAGCAGTGTAAGACAAGCCAAGTCAACCCCGTAAATAATATTAATAAGATCTATTTATTTGAGATTTGAATGTAACGGGTTAGGCTAATTCATCCGGCTCAGATCATTATAAACTCCCACTGGTTGAAAGGACCAATTTACTTGGTATTCGGGATTTTGCAGAGAGATATATCCCCGAGGAAGGGCTGAGGTATATAGGTCGTGGGTTGGGGTCTGATGATGTTGAAGGTGAACGAGAACAGAAAGAGTACAAAATATCTGTTCACGACCCATCCACTATCCCAGATACAGACCTGAACCAATGCTTTAAGCTCATCGAGGAGACATCTTCAGCTGCATATCAAGCTTCCTCGACGGGGTGGTCGCCGACCAAGAAACGGAAGGAGATGAAACTGCCTGATATGAAGTATTTGGTTGTTCGTCGGGAGGGGGACGAACATGGCGAAGGGGAGGACGTGGTCGGGTTCATATCATTCATGATCACGTATGAGGATGGGAAGGAGGCGATTTACTGCTATGAGGTTCATTTGTCGCCGAGTGTGCAGGGACAGGGGTTGGGGAAGTGGCTCATGCTTATGTTGTTGGAGATTGGGAGACGAGTGGGAATGGAGAAGGCCATGTTGACCGTGTTTAGGTCGAATGGGGTCGCGCAGAGGCTTTATGCTGCGCTGGGGTTTGAGACGGATGAGTATAGTCCGCGGCCGAGGCGGTTGAGGAATGGGACGGTTAAGGAGCCGGATTATAGGATTATGTCTATGAAGTTGGACGGGGGTCCGTATGTATAAGGGGTCTGGGGCCAGGAAATGAGGCTTATCATTGTATATAATACACAATTTACACTTGTCGTACTTCTTTGCCCCGCAGCTCGGGGTTATCATGCTCCCATTCGTCGCGGAGAGCCGCGAAGATGGTGTCCGCGAGTAGTATCGAAAGGCCAAGACTCCATACTAGGGTGATGGCGTAGAAGAAATTGGCGTTGCCAGAGCCGGCGTATATCCAAAGATGATAGAACGCGGGGCCCAGAAGCGTGGCGTAGAGAAGAGCGGAAATTGCAAAAAAGGTGTATCGCATCACTAGATGACTTTAGCTGAGGTCAGCACGTGCGATGCAGAGGTACTCACAAGGGAAGAGGTGGCGGTAGAGTGGAAGGAGGGCGAAGTATAACGATGCATCGGAGATGCTAGGATAAGGCTTGAAGATGGCGAAAATCCCCAAAAGCGACGTGAGCACAAACAAGGGCTGCCGGCGCAATCGCAGTGTGAGACCACCCATGTATGCAGCTAGATGCAGCCAGAAGACTCCAAGGAAGAACTCTCGGAACGAGTCGAAGATCTCAATGAAGAAGTACCACCAAAGGCCCACATTGGGGGTCAGGTCAGGGACGAGCAACTGGAAACCATATGTTGCAGAGATGAAGGTGTAAAAGTCACCAATCAATAAAGTGGATACCCCAAGTAGCCCTGCAATGCATATAATAAAGATTGCAAAGTGTTGAAGAGCGAACGATGCGACCCCGGAGGACGTCTTAGCCTTCTGAGCTCGCTGGTCGTAGCAGAGAAGAACAAGCGGAATGAAGAGAAGCGCAGGGTATATTGATAGGTATGACGCAAATCCCAGAGCGAGCATCGCGTTCAGGCTGTTCCCGGTAACGGCACTTGAAAAGGCGTATAGAATCCCAGTCGTAGTAAACACCCCAGTTGACCGGCCTAGACATGTTGCAACGGTGAAGGGATTGAAAAGGAACCTGACAGCGTTAGCGCGTGTGAAACCAAGTATACAAAGACCACCAATACCATGCTGCAATTGACACTCCATCCCATCTAATATGCTTCCGCAATGCCGAATAGAATCTCCCCGAGACCGCCTGTCCTGAATCCGAAATGGTAGCCAAAGCGTTCGCGTTCACGAGATCTATTAATGAGTAGAATACCACAGTCGGTAGAGGGAAGGATTGAGCGTTCGGTAAGAGAGAAAATAGAGGAAGAAGTAGCGGTGCCTGTGCTGTCAGAATGAGCGCCCATTGGTGTCAAGGCATCGCGCCATACCTGGTGGAAGACGCCGCCATCGTAGGGAGAAACATTGCGGGTGTAGAGGAAAAGGCCTTCTTGAACTATAAAACACAAAATAAGTAAGCCGCCCAATTCTTCACTTCCAACTCCGACTTACGTCGTTTGAAACTGGTCACCGGCGTCGAGACCTCGACCCTGCCCGTCAACAAGTCGGGGAGTGAGGGGAACAGCACTAAGAGAAGAAGTCGCAGGGCCAGAGCACCACCAAACACGGCAGCTTTCCTGTGATCGACCCCCATGCTGACATCAAAAATCTGGATAATCAGGGCATGCCCGTCCGGATCAAGAATCGGCCAATGCAGCAGCCTTAAGACGAGTCGAGGGGCCAGTTGGAGGCGGAGAGACCTCCAGCTGTCGGAGTCGCTTCACGTGCCCCGACGCCTCCGCGCATTTCCCTTTTCCGCGGTGCACGGGCCACCCGAGCTGCTGATCCAGAAAAGTATTGGAAAAAAAACTTATCGAGATTTTTTCTGGTTATCGGATTTCCTCCAATCTTCAACCCGCAAATTTTACACCAGCACCGTCGCAAAGATGGCTAAGATCAAGAAGAAGGGTATGTCTTCTCCTCTTTTTGATGCGACAATTTCACGCTGACAATCCCTTTTGCAGGAACCTCTGGCCAGGCCAAAAACTTCATCACCAGAACCCAGGCCGTGCGCAAACTTCAGATTTCCCTCCCGGATTTCCGTCGACTATGTATCTTCAAGGGTATGTATTCTTCTGTTGGGATCGAATGTTTAGACTCCGAATCGAATCATAATGCTGATCGAACCTCGTTTGTAAACAGGAATCTATCCCCGTGAGCCTCGCAACAAGAAGAAGGCCTCCAAGTCTTCCACCCCCAACACTACTTTCTACTACACGAAAGATATCCAGTTCCTTCTGCATGAGCCCCTCCTCAGAAAGTTCCGCGACCAGAAGGCGCTTGCGAAGAAGATTGCCCGGTCCCTTGGACGTGGAGAAGTCGGAGATGCATCCCGCTTGGAGAAGAACCACGCGCCCAAACTCACCTTGGACCACATCATCAAGGAGCGCTACCCGACATTCATTGACGCCCTCAGAGACCTCGACGATGCCTTGTCTCTGCTGTTCCTCTTCGCTAACCTCCCCTCTTCTGCTCACGTTCCTCCCAAGACCATTGCTCTCTGCCAGCGGGTCACCCACGAGTTCCAACATTACCTGATCACCACAAACTCTCTGCGCAAGTCTTTCTTGTCGATCAAGGGTATCTATTACCAGGCGACCATCCAGGGACAGGATATCATGTGGCTGGTGCCCTACCGCTTCGTGCAGCGAGTGAACGGCGACGTCGATTACCGTATCATGGCCACTTTCGTCGAGTTCTACACGACTCTGCTCGGATTTGTCAACTACCGCCTCTACTCGACTCTTGGTCTCCGTTACCCCCCTAAGTTCGATACCCGCAGCGATGAGAACGGTGCTGAGTTGGCGGCTTTCACTCTGGAGGGACGCACTGTTGGCGAAGCGCCCAAGGCTATCGAGGCAAACAAGCAGACGAACAAGACTTCCAACCAGGAGGTCTCCCGTGAGGTCCAAGCCAAGGTCGACAAGGTTATTAAGTCGGCAGGTCTGGATCGGACCAAGGATGAGCAAGTCGTGGAGTCCACTGAAGAGGCCTCTGATGCGATCGACAAGTTCGAACCTACCGCTCCCGAGGCCGATACCCTTCCTCAACCTGACTTGAGCGGTGACCAGGCTGGCTCTCTGTTCGCTCCTTTCGTCTTCTACGTTTCCCGTGAGGCACCCAAGGCTCCCTTGGAATTCATCCTTCGTTCCTTCGGCTGCACCAGAATCGGCTGGGACGCTGTCCTTGGCGACGGAGCTTTCACGCATGACGAGACAGATACCCGCATCACTCACCAGATCGTTGACCGGCCTTCCTTGCCCGAGGCTTCGCTGCCGGCTATTCCTGCTGCTTCAGAGGGAGCTGTCCAGAAGGTCCGCCCGGGCACTCGCATCCCCGGTAGAACCTATGTCCAGCCCCAATGGGTGTGGGACTGCATCAACGAAGGCAAGCTTCTCCGTGCCGACCTGTACGCCCCCGGTGCGACTCTCCCTCCCCATTTGAGCCCATGGGTCAAGCCTACCCGGGGTGGCTACGACCCCCGCGCCAGCTTGGCTGAGCAGGAAGAGGAGGGCGAGGCGGAGCTGGATGAGGAGAGCGACAGCGATGAGGAGATGGAAGATGCCACTGAGGAGAAGAAGGCCGATACCAAGGAGGAGTCCGAGGCTGAGAGCGAGGATGAGGAAGATATCAACGGCGGCATGGATGTTGCTGAGACTGATGACGATGAGAGTGGAAGCGAGGAGGAGGAAGATGAGGACTTTGGCGGATTCGAAGAGGAGGCCGCCTCCGAATCCGAAGATGAGGAGGAAGCCGCCCGGACACAGCACCAGAAGGAACTCGAGGCTGAGGCAGCCGGTCTTCCTTTCTCCTCTGGCGGTGCCGCTGGTGAATCATCCAAGAAGAAGTCTGCGCAGGCCAAGAAGATCGCCTCGAAGAAGCGCAAGGAGGAGGAGGAATTGGAGAGACAGAAGATGATGATGAGCCGGAAGAAGCGCAAGCTGCTCGAGAAGATGATCTACTCGAACAAGAAGCAGTCCGAGGAGGCCGCCAAGCTGCGGTCCAAGCGCAGAAAGCTCGAGAAGGGCGAGAAGGGTGGCCAGAAATGAACATAGGCACATAAAAGTTGGCTTTTCTGTGAGAATAGAATGATATCCTTGATGGGATTTGGAAGCATTCCTATAACGGCGTCTTGAGTCTTGATTTACTAGCATCAGTTTCTAGAGTGTTGTCTAATAAGTCTACACATCTAATCTGTTCAAAAGTGCACACTATTAAGACTGAATTATAGATAAACTCTGTGGACGTAGAACTGGGACGGGAAGTGCTTCAAAAATCGATGTAACTCGATAGTAGCTTGAGTACTATCCGTGATAGACAATCTATATCCGCAGGGATCTACACAGTCGCCGGTTGGCCATCTAATACAACAAATTCCCATAATATAAATCCAGCAGGGATCTAAGTCCAGTCTCAATTTTGACCCCAGGATGTACTGAGCTATTTCAAAAAGATAGATTGGTGGACACGCACTGATCGAAATGAGACCTGTATCAAGTCACGTGCAATCGACTTTTTCTCTGGCTCCGCAAGCATTCAATCTCTCCATCAACATTCCCGATTCAATTCTGAAAGGGCGCAAAATAATACTGACCTGACTGGCTGTAAGAGTACTTCCACGGCAATAAGTTCCGATGGCTAATTCTCCGAAGATAAGCTCGTGTCCACACTGCAAACTGTGACAAACATCATCAACCGAACAATCATCTAGATTGTCGCTGTCTGCGGGCTTTTTTTTGGCTTGGCACATCTATGAACAACCGAATATCCACTGCATGTGCTTAAGATAGCCACAACTGCTTTTCAGCACTTCACTGAGGCATGTCCTCGCTTTCAAGCAGGAATTCGCCGCGCTTTAGCCCGCCACAGTCAGCGCAGCCATACAGGTCCATCTTCGGAGGCCCTAGCAGTCAGGATGTTGCCGATCTGGTACCCTACCCAGAGACTCCGTTTGGCGGGGTCGATGGCCAAGCAGACCTCGATATGGCAATGGAAGAGGACCCGTTGATTGAAAACGGTCTCTCTGATGCCACCTACGTCGAGAGCGATGTCGAATCCGCCTCAGATGGAAGCAGCTATGCATCTCGCCATCAGTCACCCGAAAAGAATCTTCCGGAAACTACGGAAGATTTCCAACGTGAATCAGAGAGTCCATCGGAGCCTTCGTACCGTCCTAATAGGTTTCGGGGACCTGAATCTACGTGGAGAAATCTGACTGCCGAAGAGAGACAGAATGCCCAAGCTCTGGAAGATATCCGAGCTCGGGATCTGGCGGCGCATCTGTACAACGCTTATGCGCTCCGGGTTCGGGCTCGGGAGATAGCGAAACGGGCAACAGAGACAAATGAACAACTTCTCGATGAGATGGAGGCTTTTGCTCCCCCAAAGCGCTGGGCCGCGTGGCCTCTTCCGTCAGCGGAAGTACCGAGACCGGGTGAGGAAATTCGGAGGAGTGCTGACGATGCTTGGACACTGAGGATGCAGCCCGATCCTCGGCCAAGTGCGGAGTTGGAGGAGAATCTTATGGCGATTATGCTTCGAACAGCAAAAGAGAGGTTCCTGGCCCGGGACTGGGAATATAAAGCGAGGCCGTACACTCCACTACGAATCAAAAGGTCAACGTCTCAGGCTGAGACGCAGGAGGAGAGTACCGGCTGGGAGAGCGAGCGTGATGGAATGGATGAAGTTCCACTACGCCCTGCTGTCCAGACAGATGATGACAAGTCACGTCGGCAACTACGCCCGCTGACTCGGAATATATTGTCTCAACTCGATGATCTTCTCATGGGCCTTCATCGTGCCCGTAAGGGCGGAGTAGCAGCAGATGATAGCTCCGCGAGCGACTGGCAAACTGACACCGAGAGCATAATCTCAGGCGCCTCGTCTCCCAGGAAGAGGAAAATCGCCCTCCAGCGAGAGAGGAGTCAGTCCCGAGGAAGAAAACGCACCCGGCGGTCGTCCTGGAAAAGCGGTTCGAGCGATACTCGTTCTCGTAGTACGCATATATCAAGCGAACCTGAATCAAGCGCATTTGCCTCCTCCCAAGCAGATTCACGTTACGAATCACAGTCACAGCACTCTTCCCGCTCACGGGGGCGCTCAATCGGCAGCGATCGCCGACGATCCGGGAGTCGTGTTCGCCTTGGGATACGGGACTGGAGCGAGGTGTTGGGGGTCGCCGCCATAATAGGCTTGCCACCAGCTGTGGTGATGCGAACCTCACAAAGATGCGCGAGTCTATTTGGCGAAGACATGGCTTTCCAGGTTCTCAAGGAAGGGAAGGTCACCCAAGAGGTACAAGAGGAGGATGCAAAGGTATGGAAATACGCAGAAAGCGAGTCGGAGTCTGAGCCTGAGCCCAAATCCGAGCATGAGCCCGAACTTGAGATTGAGGCTGAAGTCTCACAACCCTCTCGACCGGCGAGTAGACGGTCACGCTCTCGTGCTGCGTCCACGAAGGGATCTACATCGCGAGCCAACAGCACAGCGCCCGAGGACGTCGGTGATGGATCTCGTCCAAAAGGCAAAGGAGAGCATCGCAAGAAAGATCTGGTATGCCCTCTTCGGTCTTGTTCTCGACACAGCAAGGGCTTCTCGCGGACCTGGAATCTCAATCTGCATATGAAGCGCATGCACCCGAATTATCGTTCCAAAAGCTCTGATGGTCGATCTTCGACTGGCACACACGGCGAAGGTGATGTTTACGATGAGTGATGTCTTATAGACTAATATACTCGGGTCAATTGCCCTTTCTCATGCCTGAAAGGAACACACAAGTCCTGTACAGTATGTATGACCTAGATCGATGGTGCTAGATGAGTATATGTAAAATATGCCGTATTACAGCGCCAGATACCGGAGGTCTGGAACCGTCCGATTGGTGGAAGCTTCCGGAGCTGCCGTGAAGGTCCTTGCCGATTGGCTATACTCACCGAGACGAGGGATAGCATATCGATATGGTATTCCTCATACATCAGTGTATTTTGCGACGAAGGATAGACAGCTCAGGGTCAAAATGACCAGATGAGTCCCATATTTAGGGTCATTTTGTACTGTAAACCCCGCAGCAGATTCACCATTACTGAATTCCTACTTCTAAACCGGCCAGCAACCCTGAACAGGAGTGGGGCGCAATCGAAGACTCCGGATGACGTCTGTCCACGTGACCGGGAGCTCCCCGCTGGACGGCCACCGGTAAGATTCGCGACGCATCGCCATTGCGAGAATCCACTGCTGGCGCCGAGAATAAATAGCTGGCCTTGTCCGGGGTTCATTGGAAACTTCTTCAGTATTTTAATTGCTAACAGACCGGCAAAGTTGTGGCAGAGCGACCCCCAAGCGCATCCCGGAATCCCTTTGCTCTCCCGCAAACCGAGGTCTCCCCCGCACTGAGCTCGGAGCGAACAGCGAAAGAGCAGCTGAAGATCTGCTCGTCCGTCAATTCCGATTGTTGGGACGATCCGTTTGGGTGCTAGTGAGTCCAGTATTTAACTAAGCAATGGAGCGAATTGTTCGCCCTGTTTCCCGGCAGCTGTTGAGACCACGCCTTCGTTATCCCTTCGCTATTCCTCCTCCCATCTACGCTAAACGCCTCTCCACCATGGGTCACACCGTCCCTCCGGTTTGTGCACATCCCCTCTTTTCTTGTCCGGGGAGAATCAGTCGCTAATCTTACCCTTCTTATAGCTCAAGGACCAGTCCCTCTTCATCCAGAAGGCTTACGTCAATGGCGAGTGGGTAGACGCTCAATCTGGCAAGACCTTTGAAGTCCACGGTAAGCCGTAACTCACCATCCAAGTCAAAAGACCAATAACTCATCACAGACCATCTCTGTAGACCCCTCATCCGGAAAGCTCATCGGCACATGCCCCGAATTCACCGCCGCCGACACTGAGAAGGCCATCCAGGCTGCTCAAGAGGCATTCCCCAAGTTCCGCACAACGCTGGCCCGCGAGCGCGCTCGCATGTTGCGCAGATGGTACCAGCTTATGATTGACAATGCAGAGGACCTAGCCACCCTGATAACTTGGGAGAATGGAAAGCCCCTCGCCGATGCCAAGGGCGAGGTGAACTACGCCGCCAGCTTTTTCGAATGGTTCAGCGAAGAGGCCCCCCGTATCTACGGTGACACCATTCCCTCCTCCGTGCCCGGTAACCGGGTCATCACCCTAAAGCAGCCCGTCGGTGTCTGCGGTCTTATCACACCATGGAACTTCCCCGCTGCCATGATCACCAGAAAGATCGCTCCCGCCCTAGCGGCTGGTTGTACCGTTGTTGCCAAGTCCCCCGGTGAGACTCCTTTCACTGCGAACGCCCTCGCCGAACTGGCCCACCGCGCTGGTATTCCCAAGGGTGTCGTCAACATCGTCACCGCCGCTCAGAACACCCCCGAGGTTGGCGAAGCCATCACCACCCACCCCGAGGTTCGGAAGGTCTCTTTCACCGGCTCCACCAACGTCGGCAAGCTTCTCATGAAGCAGGCCTCTTCCACCCTCAAGAAGGTCTCCTGGGAACTCGGCGGCAACGCCCCCTTCATTGTTTTCGATGACGTCGAGGACATCGATGCCGCTGTCGCGGGCGCTATTGCCTCCAAGTTCCGTAGCTCCGGCCAGACCTGCGTCTGCGCGAACCGGATCTACGTCCAGCGCGGCGTGTACGACGAGTTCGTCAAGCGCTTCGTGGCTAAGGTCAACGACTTCAAGCTCGGTGCTGGTTTCGAAGCCGGCATCACTCACGGCCCTGTCATCCACAACCGCGCCGTCGACAAGGTCGACGAACATGTTCGTGACGCCGTGTCCAAGGGCGCCAAGATCCTGGCTGGTGGCGAGAAGGCCTCTCACCTCGGACCTAACTTCTACCACCCCACTGTTCTTACCGAGATGAGCAAGGACATGTTGATTGCCTCCGAAGAGACGTTCGGTCCCGTGGCCGGTCTTTTCCCCTTCGAGACCGAAAAGGAGGTTGTCGACCTGGCCAACCGCGCCGAGGTCGGTCTCGCTGGTTACTTCTTCAGCGGTAACGTCAAGCGCATCTTCCGCGTCGCGGAAGCTCTGGAAGTCGGTATGGTTGGTGTCAACACGGGACTGATCAGTGACGTTGCTTCTCCGTACGTTTCCCTTCTCATCATAGACTTAAGCAGTAGTACTAACGGGATATACAGGTTCGGCGGTGTCAAGCAGAGCGGCTTCGGCCGGGAGGGAAGCAAGTACGGTATCGATGAGTTCTTGACGATCAAGAGTGTGACTTTCGGTGGTATTGAGCCTCTTCAGTAAATGGGTTCCTACAAATTATGGAGATATGATGGATAGATTGGTCGGATACCTTTTTTTTTTTTTTTGGATATGGGAACGGATTTGTTATACCATGCTACTAGCTTTACTTACGGCGCTGTTTCTTCTTATGATCTCTCTTTTCCTTTCTTCTCTTCTTATCCTTCTCCTTCCACCCCCCTAAGCCAAGCCATTACACCCCCCCCCCCCCTTTTCCGAAAATTCTCCTCCTGAGACGTCGAATAATCCCACCAAAACCCCAAATACTGCGGCTGTGACTCTGGAACCTCACACTCCGACACAAACGACGGCAGTCCACGCACAAACTCCGTATAATTAGCCAAGGGACACGAATAACCCGGACCATTCTGGCATTCCTGGAGAGGAACGACGGCTTCGTTGAGCACGAGGCGAACGAAGGTCCCGGCTGGGGCGAGCGCGGAGGAGGTACAGTTTAGGCGCTCGATGGTGAGACGTCCGCCCATGGGCACGATGTCTTCGGTTTTCCAGGGGGTGGGTGGGAAGGGGATTTGGTTGGTGGGGAGGGGGGTGGAGGGGGTGGCGATGCCGAGGGCGGTGATTATCGGGGTTATGTTGCTGTCGTGGGCGCTAGGAAAGGGGGTTAGGGTGTGGTTTGGGGGGAGGAGGGGGGAGGGGGGTCCGTACAAGTTGAAGAAGAGAGAGCCGGAGGAGGGGCCTTCGGTGAGGAGGGCTAGGGTGGCGTTGATGTAGAGGGCGCCGACGGCGCGCATGTATGAGTTTCCGGGGCTGGATGGATGGGGTTGATGTTAGAGGGTGGGTAGAGGAGGTGATGGGGGAGAGGGAGGGGGGGATTTACCCAGAGCAGTAGTAAAAATTGACGTTCCAGATATGGGAGAAACTGACCCATTCGTCGGTGGTGAAGACCTCGATCCAGTCTGATGAAGAGCGCGTGTTTAGCTCGTAGGCGGTCATTACTGCTGGTTGTTAGAAAGTGAGTGAGGTGGTCTAGAGGAAGGAAATATACGCATTAGTGAAACCACGTCTGTCCAGTTGAGGTTCAGACCAGGGTACTGAGCATTCAGTCGATCTGCCGCTACATCAAATTGTGGCAGGTAGTATGGCATGCTATCGCAGATACTCTGTGCATTATCATCTTGCTTGTGGCAAGTCGGAGTCAGACTGTCTGCGCCCTGATCACTAGATTCAGAGATGATATTGAGCCCTGCTTTGGTCGCATAGCTATCGTTACCCAAAAACCCTTCCCCGAATTTCTGGGCCGTCTCGATGACTCGTTGGAAGTCAGCAGTGAATAACGGGAGAATAGACTCCCCGTCCCAGAGGTGTCCGTAGCGTTGGCGATATTCCAGGCCATGGTTGTAGGCATCCGTCAATCCTGCATAGGGACCTGTCCAGGTCTCGGCCTCGTAGCAGTCGGAGGGCACAAAGTAGGTCCAATTCTTCAGGAAGGCTAGATCGCCGGTGTAGTTATCGGCGAGGGTGTCGTTGACTTTCTTTAGGGCTTGTTCAATGGAAGCCCCTTCTCCGGATGCGGGATATCGTTCGCCGTGTCTTTTGATCATGATGACTTGATCGACAGAGCATTGCGCTGGAGTGTCGCGACTGACTCCGTAAGAAACGCGGTCCACGTAGGGACCACGGACTCCGTCATATTTGAGGAAATTCTCTCCGTCGAAGGTTTGCTGGGAGATAAGTGAACTGTCGAAGACGAAGGAGCTGGCCAGCGCAGTCGCTGCTGGGATGGAGCATAGAGAAATAATTCCTGCCAATAATCGCTCCATGACGACGGTGACAGTTGATGATAGAGAGTAAAGCTATGGCTGGGGGTCTGCTTGTTCAGGGGGCCGCATCCACGGTATGCGCGTTCTAGATCATTGGTATGCAGTGCGGAAAATGACTTCATTCAGGTATGGCAGAAGGACCTGTGGCAGGCGATCAGAGTATGTATAATTTCAATATGGCCGAGTCTAGGACGCATCCCTTGCATGCTGCCACGGGAATAACGTAATCCTGCGGAGTCTACTGCTCAGTGACTCAAACACATCTGAGGGATTCTTACCACGATCAGGATGTTAAGCCCACATATGACCCTTGTGCAAGGATACAAAAAGGCACAGCCGTGAGAAGATCGGCTCTGGAGGTGTCGCGTGAGGTACCCCGCCCGTCCGAGTTGCAATTGTCCCCTCAAACCACCCCCCAAAAACGGTCCACTCGGAAGAGATAGCCAAAGAAAAAGACAATTCCATGTATAGACACAATTAATGTACAGACAATGCAACAAAGCGCCTAACCAACCAGTTGGTCGTATCCCATAGCAAATGCGCGGGTTTCCCGTTGTCGAGACCCCGTAGCCGTACACCCACCCACCATCTATGCTTTCACGATCACCGTGGCGATATCATGTAGTGGGATTATTCTCCTCGGCTCCGGCTTGATGTCCAATGCATGCAAGCAATTCCCGTTCGAAGGTACGCTCATTCTCTCATGCTCTTGCTGTCGTTCCCACATCTATTTCCCTTGACGCTGCTTGTGCTTCGGGTTCTTGGAGCTATTGCGCACATATGTCAGTGATCATGACATAATGACTTGCAGCGCGCATCAATGTAACCTTACCAGATAATGTAAACGCGGTTCTTTCTCCGCACGGGCTGTAGTTCACGCTTGGTTAGCTTCACCCCACCCCAACGAATGCAGATCCTTCCAGATTGTATTCTCTCCAGTAGTAGGAGAGGCCCGTCCGGAGTATCATACCTTGCACCCGTCACACAGCCGCTTAACCGATGAGCGCGTCTTCATCCCCCGGACCTGCTCAACCTGTCTCACTGTCGACCCCAAGCTAGCAACACCCACATTGCTGGTCTGCTTGCTCGAGCGCAAAAGGCGAAGGCCATTGCCGAGGGACAGCCTGGCGATTTGCGAAAAAGGCCGCGAAACGAGAGCGGCGGACCGGCGAGAGAAGGAGGGGAGAATTTGGCGGAGGGCACCGGTCGAGGCCCCAAGGACGGAACGGAAAGACAGCATGGTGTCAGATGGCGGATGGTCAATCCTTCTAGAGCCGCCGGAAATCTGCAAGAGGACAAGAAAGCTCGAGAAAACGTAGACTCGAGACCGCCGCGATGCTCTCTATCTTGTTCGATTGTTCGGAAACCCTTCGGAGCAAATGCTGGCCGGAGTTTCTGTACCGCCGGTCCCCGGGGTCCTCAGTGGGCACCCCTGATTGGGTGGATTCGTTGGCCAATCATAACGTGCACATAGGACTAGAGCATCTATAAGGATCGATATGACAGTATGGATAATCGTCTAAAGGTCTAATACCCTCTGCGAGAATAGTAAGTTGACGTGTCAGTATCATGCTGCATTAAAGTATATACGAACAAAGTTCCTAACGTAGGTACACAGATCTATCTTTCATATGCCCAACAAACGCCCTAACATTTCCACTTAAAATCCATCAACGGCCCACACGGAGTTTTCTAGAAATCTAACATTATCGGAAATGACCACAGAAACAAAGTGTTGTCCCGCTAACGAAGGAAGGTCGTGTAGGTTGGAGAGTCGGTATGTTCGGTGAAGGGGTAGGCCAGGTCGCTGAGGAAAGCCTCCAGGTCCGACTTTTCAGTCTCAGGACACTGGATACCTGCGAGTACCTTTCCAACATCCCCACCGTAGTTTCGGTAGTGGAACAAGGAGATGTTTTGGTTGGGACGGAGGGTGGTCAAGAACTTGGCGAGAGCACCAGGACGTTCGGGGAACTCGAACATGAATAATCGTTCATCCGCGACATTGCTGCGACCGCCGACCAGGAAGCGCACGTGTCTCTTCGCAAGCTCATCATCACTCAGGTCCTTTGCATCCATGCCTCCTCTAGCCAATTGGGCGATAATCTTGGCCAAATCATCCCGACCAGTCAAGGCGGACAGGGAGATGCCCATCAGGACGTCAGCGGACGAGTCGCGGGCATAACGGTAGCTGAAGGCCGTGACTGCATGGGGAAGAACCACCTCGACGAGCTTGGCAAAAGCGCCCGGCTGCTCGGGGATTCTGACGCTCAGGAGCGCCTCTTTGCGCTCTCCCAGGGCGGCGCGCTCGGCAACAAAACGAAGACGGTCGAAGTCCATGTTCGCTCCGGAGGCGATAGCGCACAGCTCCCTGTTCGTGTCGGGGCTGGGGTACATGGAGACGTATTTCTTAAGACCGGCCAGGGCCAGGGCACCTGCCGGTTCAATGATGGACCGTGTGTCCTCGAACGCATCCTTGATGGCGGCACACGTCTCATCGGTCGTGACCTGAATGACCTCATCGATAACTTCACGGGCCAACCGGTAGTTCTCCTCTCCAACCGTCTTGACGGCAGCGCCATCGGCGAAAAGTCCCACATCCTTGAGGAACACGCGCGAGCCCAGGTCAAGAGACTGCGCCATAGCATTGGCATCGTGAGCCTCCACACCAATGATCTTCACATGCGGTGCGATCCGCTTGATATAGATACCAATACCAGCAATAAGGCCTCCACCGCCGACAGCACAGAAGATAGCCTCAAGCTTCTGCAAGTTGGCCTGGCGCAATAACTCCATGCCAATGGTTCCCTGACCGGCGATCACATAGGGGTCATCGAAAGGAGGGATCATGGTAAGCCCATGCTGCTGCTGCAACCGAATGGCTTCTTCCTTGGCAGCATCAAAGTCATCTCCGTGGAGGACGACGCTACCACCTAGGCGTGCGACATTCAGATGCTTGATGGCCGGGGTGCCCGATGGCATGACGATAGTGGCGGGGATCTTCAGTTTGCGAGCCGAGTATGCAACGCCTTGTGCATGGTTTCCTTTTCAATCTGTATTAGCCGATGGGTCACCATGACCAATTCACGGACGCCCACCCACCTGCTGAGCAAGCAATGACTCCTTTCCACCGTTGCTCGTGAGAAAGATGCGCCATCTTGTTGTAGGCTCCACGGAGCTTGAAACTGAACACGGGGAGGAGGTCCTCTCTCTTCAAGAGCACACGACATTCCAGGCGATTGCTGAGGTTGACTGCATGATGAAGCGGGGTCTCGTCGATAATGTCGTAGACACGGGATGTCAGGATCAGCCGGAGGTACTATACACGAAGAATTATATGAGCATCAACGTTCAATTAGAAAGTAGATAGCCACAGAATCTCACGTCAGGAGTTCCATTCGGAAGCAAATAGTCCTCAGGAATGCCCCAATCAGTTGCGGAGCGCTCCTGTCCATTGTGCTTGTCCGAAGTGGGAGACGGCGGCGAACTCTCGGTCAGAGTCAGAGTGCTCAACTTCGCAGCGATAGGAGCCGGAACACCATTCTCAGTGATTTCGCCCGGCATGGTGGCGTCTTCGTAGGATTGACTGGAGGGGTGATTGCGATAAGAACAAAGGCAAAGTCCAGAATCCGGCGGAGATTCCGTGAGTCAACCAAGTAAAAAACGGGCTGGTGGCACTGGCCCGAGTCCAACACCCTATTCCGCGGGGAGAAAATTCCGTGATCGGAGCGGGAAAGTTTATGTCATCAACCCTGGATCTGAGCCCTAAGCAGTGTATTTGGCTGGGGAAAAGAGAAGCTGAAGAGACAAGACAATTGGGAAAAGGGATGCACTGAGGACTTCCAAGGCTCTTTATACAATGCCGGGCTATCGTATCCCTGGGCCCCATGGCCATTCCGCGTGAGCGGCGATCACATTTATCCTTAAGCATTGTGAACTTACATACGGAGTATCTACCCCGTACTGCCATGGACGGCCGGGGTGGGCCTGGATGGATTGCAATTTGCAGGACTGTAAGTTCTTACGTACATCCAGATTTCTGGCCAATGAACGTGCGTCTTATATGATGACCGGTTGGTGTAGGCTCCTTTCTGGTTGATTAAAACTCTCAATCTCGGAAAACTAACTATCGGCGAATGTTATAGGTGGAGATCAGTTTGTGCCTGCTCTAAGGTTGCTGTCAAAAGAGGAAGAAGGATGGTAACGTTTGTCCGCGTGGATCTGCCAATACTTTATTGAGGCAGCACATTGACTCCAAGACGACTTGGCTGAAGTAACTATAAAGTTTGTTAATGCACATGATCAAGTACCTTTCTCGGAGGCTTTTTCCTACGTCCGTTCTTGAACAATATGCCATCTTTCGAGGACCAACTCTTGGTAAGAGTAAAGTGACATACACATACTATCCTCGACATATCGGGGTATGGTACGATCAGAGGGTCAAGGCTGGTATGGTACCTTACACTTGGACTGTGTAATGTACTGTATTGAATGATACGAAAATTATCTCCGCGGGCTCCTTCCGACGTCATGTCCCTCCGAGTTTACGCGCAATAGCATTTACTTTCACCGAGCCAGGCAAAATCAAACAAGGTCGGCACTCATATCAAGCTCATGTCACTCTGTTGTCGCAGGGCTACTTGGCTAACATCTCGCAGACTTGATTGACTCCAACCCCTCCTGCTCCAGGCCTTTCACATAATTGCCACCGCGAATTGCAGCTTTTCCTGAGACAGCCACAGCAAGATGACCGAGCCTCTCCCATCATCTTTCGAGGAACATCCGTACGTATCCGATGTCCTTATGCTCATACCATGAAGTTACATGCCGAAAATGTCTAACACATGCGCACCTCCAGTCAATTCCAGGAGGAGACTTCCCTCCAAAAGTTCCGCAGACGACTCAAGGAAGAGCCTCTGATTCCGCTAGGTAGGTTATTGAAGCTTGGAACCCTTCTTCCCACAAACCTGACCTAGCTAACTCTAACCAACTACAGGATGTGCTGCCACTTCCTACGCGCTTTACCGGGCCTACCGGTCGATGAAGGTCGGCGACTCGGTCGAAATGAATAAGATGTTCCGTGCCCGTATCTACGGCCAGTTTTTCACCCTTATCGCCGTGGTTGCCGGAGGCATGTATTACAAGACCGAGCGCACACAACGGAGGGAATTCGAGCAGATGGTGGAGGCGCGCAAGAGTCAGGAGAAGCGGGACGCTTGGCTGCGAGAGTTGGAGATTCGAGACCAGGAGGATCGGGGCTGGCGGGAGCGTCATGCGGCTATTGAGGCTGCGGCGAATGAAGCTGCTCAGGCTAAGAAACAGGTTGCAGAACAGGATGCTGCTCGGTCGGCTATTGAGCCCTCTGAGGAGAAGTCCATTGGGGTGTTGAGTGCCGTGAGGGAATTGCTGTCAAGGCAGAAGTAAGGCTGGCAAAAGCAGGTGTCTTGAAATTGTATTTCTTACGTGATTCTCATTGATCTGGGTATCATACTGTACATATATATATACGTTCGATTTGAAATAACACTCTCCGTATCTTATCTTAGTATTTTTCGGGTATCTTGTACTCCGGACTCCATGTGTCTTCGTTGATTCTGGCGACGTCTTGAGATGGATCTTGTCGATCTGGTAGAGGCTATCCATTTCAGCCAACGACCTGCTCGTCAACATACCGTCTCATCATGTCGAACTCAGACTTGCCCGTCTATAAAATGTTAGCGATTGCTTATCCAACAGGAGAATGAACGATAATCATACTGAGATTAGATACCGTATATGTTGCTGTAGGAAGCAGTCAGACTATTTTTTCAGCCTAGAATACTCACACAAGGCTTACCAGATCCGTAACATTCCTATTTCGCTCAAACTCCCCGCGAGCATACTTGTGTAGTTCATCTTTGGTTGACGAACTTGGTATTTCTTCAATCTAATCAGCATACGAAGCATCTTCTGTTCCGCATAAGTCACAACTAACTATTCAATGCTCGAACAATCTCCCGCCATAGAGAAATGACTCGTTGCCTTTGGATGAACTATGAGTCTTGTCAGTGTATGAAATAACTTGACTGGTGATAGAGTTATCCACATGATCGAGGCTAATGGTCGGCTTCTTGAGCTTCGACGGCCGCACGGAAGCTAACAAATTTAGGGACGATCGCATATCGCCAGAGAAGTTATGATGTGCTCCACTGGTCGTCAAACAAGGTTGCTGAGGGATATCGACATTGATTTTGTCGCAATCTCCTAGAAACAATCATGGTTCACCTTGACGACAGTGGCGGTCAATAAGGCGGTCGAAGAAACTGCCGTGTGGTACGGCTGTGAAATCTTTCGGCTTATGGGGTAATTACAATACACTATAGATGCCTTCCGCGTACCTGATGGTCTAGAGCACGGCCTCATATGGGTCCGACTACGGGAAAGACAAGGCCTCCGGGTTGACCACCCCCATTGTTAGAGGCAATGACCTGGTAATACGAGGAAAGGCCGCACCGTGCTTACAATGCCGTGCGGTATCATGAAAATAGACCTCGGTGAGAAACAGGCCAAAGCATTGGCTGAATAGCGTACGAGACGGCGGAGGCCAATCATATCTAGTATATTTCACGTGACCACGTGCCTGGCTTCCCCGAACTTTTTTTCGGAGCCGCAGAAAAAGATCGCGACGCTTGGGGACCCAAAGAGCGTCAACATTCGATTGAGCCTCGGTGTGCACGGAGATCATCATGAGGACCCCTTCTCTCGCACGGTTGCCTTACCGTGCCGTCTCTGGCCTGACCAGGTCTTCTGTCCGTCTGCAGTCCCAGAACTTCCTGGCTCGGCGATGCGCTTCGACGGCTGCTCTCCGTTCACCTACTGTTGCTCCGGCTTATCAGTCTATCCTGACCAGCCGCTCCCAACAGAGGAGAAACGCTTCTGCTACTGCCTCTGCTGTGTAAGCATTCTCTGTCACTTCGCTCCCGTCCCCTTCGCTTCTGTCTCGCTATTTGTCTTCTGTTGATACTCGATTGCTGATCGCTGTATCTAAATAAATTCAGGCTTGAGGCTGCCGCTGCCACCCCGGACGCCCTATCCCAGGAGGCCATCATTGAGAACCTTGACCCCGTTGAAGCAGCGCGTCTGTCCAAAGTCCGGAACATCGGTATTGCTGTAAGGCACATGGCGAATCAGGCGTGTTTGTAGTACTCGCATCTAACAATCGTCCCAGGCACACATCGACAGTGGTAAGACCACATGTACCGAGCGAGTCCTCTTCTATACCGGACGTATCAAGGCAATTCATGAAGTCCGTGGTCGTGATGCTGTTGGTGCGAAGATGGACTCCATGGACTTGGAGCGTGAAAAGGGTATCACCATTCAGTCCGCTGCTACTTTCTGTGACTGGGTGAAGAAGGACGCGGAGGGCAAGGATCAGAAATACCACCTTAACTTGATCGATACCCCGGGACACATTGACTTTACCATCGAAGTCGAGAGAGCGCTGCGCGTTCTGGACGGAGCTGTCATGATCCTGTGCGCCGTTTCTGGTGTCCAGTCCCAGACTATTACGGTCGACCGGCAAATGAGACGTTACAACGTTCCTAGAATCTCTTTCGTCAACAAGATGGACCGTATGGGTGCCAACCCTTTCAAGGCTGTCGATCAGATCAACAGCAAGCTCAAGATCCCCGCTGCTGCTGTTCAAGTGCCCATCGGTGCGGAGGACGAATTCGAGGGTGTCGTCGATTTACTTCGCATGAAGGCGTTGTACAACCGTGGACAGAGTGGTGAGGAAATCGTCGAGAAAGACGAGATCCCCGAAAAGGTCAAGGATCTGGTGGAAGAGAGAAGGCGGATGCTCATCGAGACCCTCGCCGACGTCGATGACGAGATCGCCGAACTCTTCCTCAGCGAGATCGAGCCTACTGAGCAGCAGCTGAGACAAGCCATTCGCCGGGCGACCATCGGTCTGAAGTTCACCCCTGTTTTCATGGGATCCGCACTGGCAAACAAGTCCGTTCAGCCGATGCTGGATGGTGTTATTGACTACCTTCCCAACCCCGCTGAAGTGCAGAACCTTGCCCTCGACAAGAAGCGCGATGAGGCTTCCGTGAAGCTGGTTCCCTACAACTCTCTGCCCATGGTCGGTCTTGCTTTCAAGTTGGAAGAGAGCAACTTCGGTCAGTTGACCTATATCCGCGTGTACCAAGGTACTCTCCGCAAGGGCTCCTTCGTCTACAATGCCCGCAACGACAAGAAGGTCAAGATCCCTCGTATTGTTCGGATGCACTCCAATGAGATGGAGGAAGTTAGTGAGGTCGGAGCTGGTGAGATCTGCGCCGTGTTCGGTGTGGACTGTGCTTCCGGTGACACCTTCACTGATGGACAGCTGGGATACACCATGTCCTCTATGTTCGTCCCCGAACCCGTTATCTCCCTGTCTATCAAGCCTAAGAACAACAAGGATGGTGCCAACTTCTCGAAGGCTATGGCCCGTTTCCAGCGTGAAGATCCAACGTTCCGGGTGACCTTTGACGCGGAGAGTGAGCAAACCCTCATCTCTGGAATGGGTGAACTGCACCTTGAAATTTACATCGAGCGCATGCGTCGTGAGTACCGCGTCGACTGCGAGACTGGCCCGCCTCAGGTCGCCTACCGTGAGACCATTGGCGAACGTGTCGAGTTCGACCACCTGCTGAAGAAGCAGTCGGGTGGTCCTGGTGACTATGCCCGTGTCGTTGGTTGGATGGAGCCGACAGGAAGCCTTACCGAGAACCACTTCGAGGAGCAGATTGTGGGAGGAAGTATCTCCGAGAAGTTCCTCTTCGCTTGTGAGAAGGGTTTCTACAGCTCTTGTGAAAAGGGTCCTCTTGTTGGACACAAGGTCCTTGGTACTAGAATGGTGATCAACGATGGTGCTACTCACATGACCGATTCGTCCGAAATGGCCTTCAAGATCGCGACCCAGCAGGCTTTCCGCAAGGCTTTCAAGGAGAGCAAGCCATCTATTCTTGAGCCCATCATGAAGACTGTTGTGACCGCCCCCGCTGAGTTCCAGGGTGATGTTATTGCCCTCTTGAACAAGCGTAATGCTACGATCAACGACTCCGAGGTCGGCGTGGACGAGTTCACTGTGTATGCCGACTGCAGTTTGAACGGCATGTTCGGCATCAGTTCGCAGCTGCGTGCGGCTACCCAGGGTAAGGGTGAATACACTATGGAGTTCAGCCACTATGAGAAGGCGCCTCCTCACCTACAGTAAGTTCTCTCTCTATCAGGCCCCGTAACACAAGATCGATGCTAACCGAACGTCCCACTTGTAGGAAGGAGCTCATTGCGAAATACCTGAAGGCTCAGGCTGACAGGCACAAGAAATAAGCTTGTCGCGACCCTGCCCCTCGACGCATGGAACGGCTTCGTGAAGGCAGACTCACTTCCTGAAGCTACGCTACGACAGTGAACGCAGTTCAACGGGACATCTCATTACACCTCCTCGGAGCCTTGAATATACCACCTCCCACCCGTGCCCTATTCCCCTGCCTTCCTCTTTCCATTCTCGGCGTGTATTCCACTACGAAGACTATGTTTTCATTTATGTTTAGATGATTTGGCGCCATGTATTATTTATCATGCAATATAGACGGGCCCTGTGGGCATTGAATAGCTTCAGCACCACTGGGCCGGGTGGGTGTGGTACCCTCGGCCGTCTATCCTGAGAAAAGCGAGGCCGTTTCAGACTGTATATATTTGACCTTAATGGTCGTTACATCTCCTCTCATATTTGATTTAGCATAAACGGGTATCACCCTATGACCATCATGTTCATACGAGTGTAAACGCACATTGTTAACTATCACTTGCAGCTCCAGGAAACTCATACCAATGAAAATATCATGATGTTGAACCAATCCATGAGATTCCCCGACCACAGCATATCTATAAGTTCATGATTATAGAAGCACATGTCTCTACAACCATCCTCCAAATCTATGAAATAAAAGAAAGAAATCTTCCGCTTTCCATGCTATCTATCATATCTCTAGTCTTCATCCAAGACATTCATTCTACAAACCAGACCTCCGTACCCCCCCACAAATCATACCAAAATCACCCCCCTGTCGTCATTCACTCTAAAACTAAGCCGAAAGCTCTAAAACATCTCCCACATAAATTTAGGCTAAAAGTCACGTCGACGCGTCTCCGAGCACGTTCTTGATTGGTCTGCCCTAGAAGTGGATTTTCGCGATTCCTTTAACATCTCTCCTCTTTCGGTGATTCTATTGGTTGGGGTGTGAGTCAGGGTCTGATCTGGCCGTGGATTTAGACTGTACTAGTAATAGGTGTGGGTGGGTAATGTTGAGGTCATTCACTTCTCAAAGGCCCGGAGGACGGAAAGAGCGGCGACGGAGAAGGTCGCGACGCGGTTGTGGCCTGTATCGGTTAGATGTTAGCTGGCTATTGGTTTTCTAATTTGGAGGATTTGTTGGTTGTTGCTGGGTTATTTGACGACATACCACCATGGCTCACACGCTCCCATCGGACACGTTTAACTACTGCAGCGTCCTTGGTCGATTGGTTCTCCCAGATTTGTACCTCGTTGGGCCCGTTAGAGTCCCTTTTCGAGTGGATTAGCTTCCCCGGGGCATTCTTGATGGTTTCGCCTGTGGCGGCGGCCCAGACACGACGGTCTTCCTGCCAGGGGATTTCGACATCATTTGATGCATGAATGATGAAGAGGTCGAGGCCCTTGTCTGTGTATGCGGGGTTAGGGTCGTCCTTGGCTGTGGTGTTGACTCCGGATAGACGTGCGACTCGTGCGGCGGTGTCCCAGCGATCAATGATATGGCTTTTGGCCCAGTTCTGTACACGAGGGTAGGCGTTCAGTGGAGAGAGCATTGGAGGTGTGATTCCCTTCATGCTGTAGGAGTCGATGAGGCTTGGGACGTTGCTGAAGCACGCGAGCAGGATGACGCCCGCGAAGGGCTCCGGGTCTTTCAGTGTCGGTTGTATGACGGTGGGATCTGGGGAGCCGAATGCGAAGCGCTCAGCCACTGCGGCGCTGACGGCCGTGCCTAGGCTCTGGCCCATGATTACTATACGTGAAGGAGGTATGTGCAATGGGCCGGAGGTGAGATAGTTGAGTAGGGAGACGCCGTCGGTGATTAGACCCTCTTCCGTGGGTGTACCGGTTGAAAGGCCGAACCCGCGGTAGTCGATGGCAAACACATGGACAGGGTTCTGGGGTGTGGATAGACCAAGGACCTGTCGGTAGATGTCTGGTCGCTGAGCGGAAGCGAGGTGAGCAGCATTGCCGTGGACTGGAATCAGACAGATCAGCTATACCACGTCTTACATGCTGCTACATGTCGCGATCTACACCGTCTACTTACAGCTAACTACTACCCTGGCATTTGGCTCATTTTTAAGGAGTTTGAATGCAGGGGTTTGAGTATAGTCGTCTGCTGGTCCGTCTGGCTCATTCGCATTCAGCTCCTTCTCATGCTCATGGCACAGGTGCAGAGGCAGAAGATGCCATCCGTACAGCGTTTCGTTGTCAGGAGTCACCAGGTTGAAGGGTTGGACCTGGGTTTCTGTATTTCTTGTCAACGAAATCATCCGAGCATGGCTTGGTCGAGTAGACCAAGGTCGTCTAACGTACTGAGAAAGCCGAAGGACTCCACCAAGTTGACGTCCTGCCAGCGAGTGGGATTGACCTTATTCACGTAGAGAGCACTGAGATGTTCAGAGAGCATGTCAGCGGCAGAGTAGGCAGAATTTCAACTGCAAGCCTCAAAATGAAATGGCATACAATCTCTGGACTACGGGATACGTCATGGCACAGACGAAGATCACATAGAACAGGCCACCGGCGGCCAGCGTCCAGTAGGCCTTTTTGAAGATGGTCTGAAGCTCAGCCATCGCTGCTAGAGTCCTACACGTAGTTAGACACAGTTTAGCGGATCTGAAGGTCGGTATGGAGGCGAGATGCAACTTGAGGTGTCCCAGAAGTAGCTTACTTCAAGACCCGTCGAATAGCAATCGCGACAAGCAGTCTCAGCGCATGCGAACGTTCAATAGAGTGTCATCGAGATAGCAGAAGAAATTGAGATTATTCTCCGACGGTTAAATCACCCAATGCGACTTGTAAAAGTGAACAGAAGGGGTTATTGAATCTGGAAGCCAAAAGGGGCCGGAGATGCTGAGGCTCGGCGGTGGTTTTGCCCGGTCACGCCTCGACTTCCTTTCTTTCTCCGCCGCCATTTTTCCCTTCTTCTCCGCAACCCCTTCCCTTCTGCCATCCCAGTCTGCTTTTAAGGCTGCGAGATGTCCGTCACTTGAATCAGCAGAATTACTGATTGGCAAGTAACTGCTCGTCAATAACTAATAACAGCATGGCCGAGAAACGCAGACTCTCCGCCCGCGAACGTCGCGAACCCGCGGCGAAGCGACGAGCTTCCGAAGCCGTGTCTCGACCATCCCCTCAACCTCAACATTCCTCCAGGAAGAAAGCGTCTACTCCAATTGTCGCCGCTTCACCTCCGCCGCCGCCGCCCGAGCCTACCGAACCCCCTTTGCCTACAAAGATAAAGGATGGAGAGGGTCTTCCGACTACGGCTTCGCCGCAGTCAACCACTCTTACGGCAAAGGAATACCAGTCGTTCGCAGAAAGGTACAGATACACCCTGGTCAACAACTGCAGATGGCCTATGCCTGAATTCTCACAAAGTTTCAAGTCACTGACTAGCAACAGTGCGGTTCTTCTAGCTTCCTTGGAACGGTCGAAGAAGAAATGGTTAAGCGATGGCATCCTGGAGAGATACTGGACCAAACCCAAGAAAACAAAGAGGGAGCAGATTGAAGGGAAAAATCCACCGAAGGAGACCATGTCGAAGGTTGGAGCTTGCAACATTGTGGTCGGGCCTCATCTATTCGATGCGATGCTGTACACTGTCAAAGATCCCAATGCGCCGCCGCCGATCCAGTACACCACTCCCCAACGCCCCATGGTCCACTACGGCCATCCGAACAACTTCCAGCAATACCATCCCTATCCTCATACCCCTGCTCCGCCCCAGAATGCAAGACAACATCCTGCCCAGGGCTCTCCTGCAACCCCAGGAACACCTCAGCCCGGTTACCCATCTGGCAGTCACCCACCCCCTTCACATCCCGCTCGAACTCCTAGCCAGCCACCACACCGTGCTCCTGGCCCGCAGTCTGCGCAGAGACCATCGCCATCACAGAATCCTCAAACCAATCAGCCGCCCAAGCCTAGCCCGGACCCTGTCATTCAAATGCTTGCAACACGAGCTGCTTCCGACCCTGACCTGAAAGCGCTGATGCGAGTGGTGGCATCAAGCAAAGCGTCCCAAGAGCAACTCCGTGCTTTCCAGGCCCATATCGATGAGCTTAACGCGATTATTCGCGCAAGGGAACAGCAGCAACAACGGCAGCAACAGCAGCAGCGACAGTCTCAGCCTTCTACTCCTGCCCATCCGCCTCCGCGACAATCACAGCCCCCACCGCAAACCCCCCAGCCTCAGCAAACGCCGCAACAGTCACAAACGCCGTCCTCACAAAAGCCTCCACAGCAGCCAGGCCAACAAAAACCACAAGGGCAACCGCCGTCTCAATCCTCCCCGCGAGTTGAAGTGCAAGTTCCTAAATCCTCATCGTCCGCCGCCTCCGCCCACCCTCCAAACACCAATACGTCACAACCACCTCCAACTCCTACTCCGCAGGCACCCAAAGAGTCTCCTCAAGTTCCAATCAAACAAGAACCTGGTGTGGTAGCATCAGGCCAATCTACCTCTCAGCCGGCATCGAGCCCCAATGTTACCCCAGCTCCGGCCGCTACCCCAGATCCGCAAAAGCAGTCGAGCCCCGCTGTGCGGCCAATGCCACCTCCCCAACAGCAGCAACCCGGACCGCGGCCAGGACCTCCATACCCACCCTATCAACAGGCCCCCTATCAAGGGCATCCACCTGCCATACAATCACGTCCTCCGCAGTACGGGTCACCCGCACCATATTATCGTCCGGCACCACCACCGCCCCCTCCAAGGCTTAACTACAAGTCTGTGGTCTTTGAATTTACATCACCCCTGACCCCATATGGAAGTAGCACTTCCGGGCATGCGGGATCGGGTGACCGCTATCTATTTCCCGAGTACACGATCTTGGAATGGCTCCCCGGAGGAAATACTGTTCTTGCATCCTTTCTACTCGTAAGGAAGGTGGATCCAAACACACCTTTCCCCCTAGAATCAGCCTCAGAGACGACCAACTCCCGGGCTAAAGGAAAGGCATCAAAGTCCAAGTCTAAGAAGGCGGACAAGAACAAAGACCAAGCTGCCGAGGCAGACAAGGAGAAGGACAACGAGAAAGACAAATCGAAGGGCAATGCTAACGACAAGCCTGAATCTTCTACTACTGACCCTAAACCCGCCGGCGATAAACCCGAACAGAAAGCCGAATCAATCGCAACACCCAACAAATCCGCCACCGACAAAGAAGAATCCAAAGGCAAGAAAGGAGACGCCAAGGATACTTCAAACCTCAAGGAATATTACCAACCCGTCACATTCCGCATCTTCAGCAACAACCCTAAAGTCCTCGAACCTCTCAGCCGTGTCGTAAAGCCCCCCGACGAAGTGCGCAAGTACATGAACGAAATCATGGATCGAGCGGAACGGGCCCCCGAAGGCTTCCTAGCATACCGTCTACCCCAGGAAGAGCCGGAGGATAACCAGGGTCGCGAGACAGAAGACACAAAGAAAAGCGCAACGCCAGTCCCTGGTGGACGTGGCCGGTTGCAATCCAGAAGCAAGACGGTGGATGAGGAATCTGATTTCGAGAACATCGAGAAACTCGCCCCGGAAGAGGAAGAAGAGGAATTGAAGGATTACTACGGTCCGCCCACTGGACTTCCGCCTTTGGGTGCGTGATCGATACAAACGTCCCTAGGAGACGCAGAATTAGATTAATGCATTCAGGATATGAATACATGACTATTCACTCTATTATCTACATAGCTCTTCTCCAATCATCCATCTCGATGGTCATCCCTCTACACCAATAGTCCATTTACAATATCCCAGGATGGTATTCCCCAAGGATGAAGCCCGGAAAGCAGTGATACGGCACCTATCCTATTCTTAGAGAGAAGCCCTTATGACGGAACCTTTCAGGACCTTCACTTCCTCTTTCTGCCGTCCTGTCTACATTACAAAGTACTAATGTGGCATTGATGCCACTATCTAGAAAGTATGACCCATGGCCTTTCGGTCACGTGAGCTCGATCATCGATTACTGTACTCTGTACAAATGATTGGTATCTGGTACTTTTGTATAAGTGCTTGACAGCATTATATGATTTCATTTGTGTATTTTTGAGGGTAGGAGATTGTTCGTTGTACATGCCCGTCATCATCATCCCCTTGTGCGTTTTCGTTTCCAGACCGGGGAGAGAAGGGGGGGGGAGGAAGGGGGGAGATTTTCAAGATAAACGGCCGCAATATGTCCCAAATTGCTCATTTCCATGAGAAGGTAAGGTCAAGAAGAACGAAGCTGTCAGACTTCAAGAAATCACACATGTCCATTTGGAACAAACAAACAAAGGTAGGAGTAAGTATAGACAAGATTTTGATAGTCCAATTGGTATCAAACACTGCCTCCGGCGCGTCCAGTGCCACTGCCGTCACCAATCAAGCCTGCAGTCTCCAATAGCCATCTAGCGCTGTCGACGTCAGAGCCGCCGGGCCCGCCCTTCAGGTTCAGGTTGCGTCTTCGTTCTGCCTCGCGAGCTTCAAAGTCCCATTTGTCCTGTTGCAATTCAACCGCGCTTTTCCCGCCCTCTCCGGAGGTGGCTTCAGGATCGGGGACTAATCCCCATACTTCCAAGTTGTAGATCTCAATTTGCGTTTTGGCCGTGGTCTCTGGAGTAGATCCTGGGGGTGGTGGAAGAAAAGCGCCGTTGCGGCCGAATGGCGAAACGTGGAACTCGGCGGTTTCGAGACTGACATCGATGGTTAAACTGCCTGCCCCTAGTGGAGTGGGAGGCTTTTTATTGCTTCGTGATGAAGGGGGGATTTGGCAACCTATTGAGATGCCCGAGCTTGTGGAGAAGTAGGCGACAGGTGTATTTGGCGATTGCACAGATGGGGAACTGTTCCCTTGTAGGAGTAGGTGCTTTGGCGAGAGCTGAAAGAGGCATGGGAGGACCGAATTGGAGAATTTGGAAGTGTTCTGAGTTGACGTCGATGACTTCCATGGCTGCGGTAGGTATGCACCAAGTGTTACCATGTCGCCCGATTCGGCGGCCCCTTCGAGTACAAGAAGAGTCCCCGAGGACCAGGTAAGCACGTGGTGGGAGAAAGAGGTCAGAGAGGATCCGTGTGCGACTGTTGAGAAGACAGGGTGCAGGCGCGCGTTGCCACGGAGAAAGTTCAAACTTTCGGAGGATGAGGGTAGAAAGAATGAGAGATGTGATATGGCGCTTGAGTTCAGAATCACTGATTCGAAACTACCTGGGAGTGTAATAATTGGAGGCGAAGGTAGATCTTCTGGGGACTCTTCGACCGGCTCTGAGGCAGCTGAGGCAGCGGAATCAGCCCTGTCGCGTTTCTGGGATAAATTCAGATTCCTGCTGAAAAGGAGATGCTCAAACAATGGTGTCAGAGGATCAAAAAGATATGGTAATGAAGAAGTCACAGTCCGAGCAAATTCTTTGTAGCTTATCCCGCCGGATGGCTCCTGCTTGAATGCTGCCATGATGCTATCGGCCTGCGCCCGAATCACGTCCATGCGCTTTTCATTTAGATCAGACGTATATGTCCCCACAGGCTCAAGGAACTTTAAAGGGGAAATCACTATAAGTAGCATCAAGAGGCGACGGAGCGTATCGGCGGATATTCGAGCTTCGTAGACGGTCCTATCCATGCGGGAGTCGTGCTTAAACACTTCAATGGCATCCAAAGATTCCAAAGCAGCTAGTGCAAGGTCATCGTCCTCCTCGTCCTCATAGTCATCGTTAAGCGGCTCGTCGACAGCAAACCCTGGGGCATGGGAGCTCGCTACAGATGCATCCGCATCCTCCTCCACTTCATTACCGTTACTCCCCCGATCAACATCCTTCCTTCCAACGTCAGCAAGGCTCCCGAAAAGCAACCGTATCCTATCCCTGCGCGCTCTCCTCAGGACTTTACCATATCGTTCAGTCAGCAAGACAATCACTTTCACCATAGCGTCAAAGGTTAGAACGCTTGGCGCTAGCGTATTCTGGAAAGGAAACGCCCCCAGATACGAGACCATGCGGAAAATCACCGGGCCCGCGTCCAGAGGACATTGAGAATCACTGCTATCTGGAATCCCCAGGAAGTCCGAGAGTATCTTCTCGTTCCAGTATTTCCAGCCACCTTGGTCAATTGCGCGTGTGAAGAAGTTGTCTTTGAGATGAGTCAACTCCAAAGAAGTGAAGCATTTTGTTGCAAAGCGTTCCGCGAGCAAGTAGCTCAGCTTCTCTATTATCTTGTCAGAGATAGGGTTGCTCTGGAGACAGCATTCGTTATAACATGGAATTGACTCATTGGTACGATTTCAAAAAACGAAGAACTACTGACCTGGAGAGGACGCCTGGCTCTCCGATTCAGTGGACTGGCCTATTCCCATCCTTGCGTCCAGACGGGTCTAACAAATGACAACTATGAGAGTATGGAAATGATCCCGTCAAGTTCGTGCCATAAGCACTCAGTCTTGTAGCTATCAATTAACAGATTCGCGGACAGCAGTGGACAGCTGCAGCTTAAGCGGTATGCTCCGTAGTGATGACGAAGTGAAACCCACTTGGAGTATCTGACTGGTGATCACCATCAACTACTGGAAGCGTACCCGGCATCCAAGGGGACTTCGTGGGAGCAAAGAAGGGGTGACTTGGTGATCCATCAAGTCTCCGGAAGAACAAGAAACAGCCACGCAACTTTGTTGATGGGGAGAGAAGGAAAGTCTGGGGGATGCTTGCTAACGCTGGGAGGGCGAGTCCCGCATGCGGGAAGCAGACAGCCTTGGCACCTGAGGCATGACACAAGTGGGTTCGGCGGGACTAACGCTTTTCGGCTCAGGTCCAGGCACCCACCTCATCCAGCATTATTCAGGCACCATGTACAGTTCGGTAATCATTTACATTCATGTTAAATATCCACAGCTCCTTTCTCATGCCACCACTCACTAGCAACAGATACGGAGGAAGAGAAGTCCATATGTCAAGAATGCAACAGAGTGCCAGACCCTACAGCATAACGATTCCAACACCGCCCATCTTATTTTCGTCTGGGAGGTTCTTGTCGTTGACACCTCCGGGAACGGGGGCCGTCCGGTAGTTGTAAAGGTAGTAGTGAAGCTGGCCGTCACCTGCTCCGAATTTGAGTTGTTCCAGGAACAGAGGGTTGTCATGCAAGGTGAGTGCGTTGAAAACGTCGAAGCGAGCCTGTCGAGAAGATGAGATTAGCGACGTTTCCAGAAGCCTCTGAACGCAGGGTAATTCATATGTTACCTTCTTCGCGAGGATAAGCGCGTCATTTATCAGCAGCAGTAGTCTCTCCTTTAGAGCCTTGAGGTCCCCGGTGAAGGCAGTTTCGGTAGCATAATAGTAGAGATACGCGGCGCGCACATTGTCGTGCTTGGGATGCTGGATCACAGTAGACTCAAGGTTGTAGAAGGACACGCAGTCAGTGATCTTATGGGTTTCAGCGTCCTCAACCACGTATGACCAAACCACCTGTTCCTTCCCGGCCTCGTCTTTGTGTAGCAGCCAGTGCTCGATTTCCTCGCGGGTGAATGCCTGGTTTAAAGCAAACCGCTGAGAATACCGCTCCAGCAGATCCTTGACTGCATCAATGTCCTTGACCTCCATAGGACGCAGGCCGGGAGTAGACGTGTGGCTGGCAAGGTGGTTTCTGGTGATCTGACGCGCTTTGGTGGAGCCACGAGGAAGATGAGAAAATCCAATCTCGTAGAGCTTCAACCAATCCAGTGGACGATGGTAGTATCTGCAAGAGCTCACGGGTGTCGGCAAAACTACACCCGCAGTGTAGACAGCCTGGTAGATACCACTCAGGTAGCAACGACGGGTGATCTCCTTGATAAGAACGGGGGCCAAGCGCTTGGAGCGCAACTTCTTGTGAATGCACAGGAAGTTGATCTCTGTCACCTTAAGCTTCTGGTCACGCACGCGAATCTCCGTGGGAACACCGCAGATCGAAGCAACCAACTTCTTCGACTTGGTCGCACGAACACCGACGTGCCATTCCTTCCTCCAGCCTGGCGCCATCAGAGCCCTGGAATTATATTTCAATCAGCAAACCGACGACGATAATAAGGGAGCATAGGGATGTAAACCAACCAATGCAGAAAGGACTTCGAGTATCTGAACCGGAACATGGCATTGTCATCTTCGACGTAGTGGTATGTCAGCAGGTCCCACAGCTCCTGAAGTTCATCGTCGTTTGTAAGGTCCAGGGTTGTCCACTCGAAACCTTCGATGAGCGGATCAGGGGTCTTAGACACCTTCTCGGGGTCGATGATCTTGATAGGTCCGCCAGCATCGTTGGCCGCTTCATCGAAACGAGGCACCGGTTGTGTCTGCCAGAACTTGTACGAAGCCATGTCTTTCTGGTTCTTTCCGCCCACAGCCAGACCGGTCAACAACTCGGCGATATCCATCTTTCGCAGAGCCTCCGCCGCCTTGTCCTTATCCAATCCAGCTAACTCGTTCTTCAGGGCGGGGTTGTTCTCCAGCAGCGCCTCCGCCGCCTTCTTGGTAAGCTTTTGACCTGGCGCATACTATGGCTACCTGTTAGGCGATCTCGATGCATTGAAGGATGGAAATTTCACGCACAGGGTAGGCAAGATACTTACTTCGGGATTGGGCGCCTCGGGGGCCTTGCCCTTGTTATCCTTGGGGTCAGACATGACAGCTCGCGCGGTGGGAGTGAGGCGAAGTTCGAGGGTCGGACCAAGGTGGGCGCGGGTAGGTTTTCTAATACGCCCCACGTTGCCGTTCCTTGCGCGGGGAGAGAAGCTTCCACGGTCTGCCGCGGCAATGACAGCCACCCCCTACATCTACTATGACAGCGCCTCTTTGAGACCTTCCAAGTAATTCTAGACTCGTGAATAAACAGATTTTTAAAGAACTCTGTTGAAAGTGATTGACCGTCCCGTCTAGTTCTATCCAAGCATCATCAGACCATAAAAAACAATGCAATCAAGGCATCAGCCCTTGCTTGCGGGTATCACCAGAAATGTTGTTGAAACCTCATGGTGAGGCGAAGGGAATCCATTTACATGCAGCAAACAGTAGAGGGAGTAGGAGAGCGTGTTCAGCTCTGCAGACCCGGCTTCGTCTCGATCACATCCAAAAATCCACCGACGAGGAGTAGACTACCGGTGACAAAGGTCATGACAGGAGCCTCGTCTTGACCTACCAGGCCCCTCTCCTTTGCCGCGAGTTCCCGGGCAAAGTCGACCGCTTCTTCAATGGTCCCGTAAACCTTGACCTCCGTGCGTGGATCAATCGAATGCCACTTCTCAGCAAGGCTCCTCTGGACCTGTAGTCTCTGCACATCGTCTGCATTCGTATTCATGCTAACAAGGTCAGGGCGGTAGCCTGCATCCTTGTAGGTGACATTGGTACAGAATAGCGCATGCGTGAACGGCTGCTCTGAGCCCAAGGCTGCAGCTAAGGTCTCGTAAAGAGCCTCGGCAAGAGCATTGCTATCGCGGGTTTGTTGGTTGAAGATCAAGACACGCAGCTTCTTGTTCGCGGCGGCGGTTGAGGAAGAGTTGGCGTGTATCTGAGAAGCGAACCACTGGCCAGCTAATCTGATGCTCTCCAGTGTATGGCCTCCATCAAGATACCAGGTCACATGCTTCTCATGCCGTGTCTCACAACGACCTCCCAGCCGGGCGGACTCCAGCCCTTTCCGGAATGCCGGAGGCAAAGGCTGTGCAAGGATATCCGAAGGAATGCCTTCAACTCCGACCTTCCGGAGAAATTCGGCGGCGGCAGCTACAGCTACTGCCGCATTCGTATATTGGAATTCACCAGCCAGGCCAAGCTTCACATCGCCTTTGCTCGTGAGTTCGGGATGACCCCTCACTATCTCTAGTTCTGTGCCCCTCTCTGCTGCACGCTCGTACAAAACCTTCTCCGCGGTTGGAGGTTGCGGTGCGCTGAAAGCTTTAGTGCCAGGTTTTATGATGCCACCTTTGTGCCAGGCTATCTCTTCAATCGTGTTTCCAAGCATGGCAGTGTGGTCGATGCCTAAGCTGGTGATCGCGGTTGCAGCTGGCTTTTCAATAACGTTTGTGCAGTCATACTCTCCACCAATACCACACTCGATGACCGCAGCATCTACCCCCTCGCTAATGTAGGTGTGGAAAGCCATCAAGGTCAGGTACCGGAAGTATTGAGGCTTTGTTCGTAGGCTTGTAGGGTCCTCGCCCGCCTTTTGGGCAGCCTCTTCAAGTCGATCCCATACCTCGAAGAAGTATTTGGTGAATTTCTCCTCCGAGAGTGGCGCATTATCGATCTGGATACGCTCTCGGGCAAATCGCAAGTGGGGTGAAGTATAAAGTCCAACCTTGTTGAGCTTGTGCACGGAAGCATTCGATTCGGAGGACTGTGACGAAGTATACTGGGATAAAATGGAGGAGATGAAGGAAGAAGTTGAACCTTTGCCCTTGGTCCCAGCAACGTGGATAGGATTGATTTGACCGAGGTCCGAAGGCTATACGTGATGCGAAAGATCTCGTGTTAGTCATGACATAGACAACACTGAACGACAAAAGGCCTGGCACAGTGGAAGAGAGTACAAACCTGGTAGCCAATACGTCTAAGCCATTCTATAGTCTCCGGCAGGGAACGCAAGTTCATCTCTTTCCTAGATACAGATTTCCTCAATTCTTCAACTACCGCAAAGTTGGTTTGCAGCGAATTGAGGGCTGCGATCGCAGCCTTGATTCTCGTCAGAAGGCTATATCATCATTTATGTCACAAAGACCCGGTCGGATGTGCGCATACCTCATAATTCCGAGACATGTCGGTGGTGCGAGATGAGAGTCGACGCAGCTGACGAGACCTATAGGAGGAAGAGAATGTTCGAAAGCCCCTCATTAGGGTCGAATTGGAACCCGCTCACGTGCTTTCTGGTGGTTGAGGGGTTGCAAGTCGATTACCACACCGGTACCAATAGATAGAAGCCTTCTGCACCGATCGAAATCGACTGATGGAGTTCGAGCTGTTCTGCCGGCAGTACTTACGCTAAGCCCGATTACTTTCAAGCGCTACTTATCCGACAAATCATATTGGCCCATATGGCCATCTGTGGGCCGTCCCGCTGTTGTCCATTATAATACCATTATAAAAACCAACGTAGCTGTTCACATGTACCGGTTACCGCTTACTGCTTGTGGCTCACTCTCTGCAAAATAGCCCTCGGTCATGTCATGTGGAAGCTACAAGTGGGGTGCGAACCCCATTCTAGACCCAGTCACTTATCAGAGGGACAAGATGCCCAGATAAGGAGGCACAGTCCCGAGGGAACTATTTTGTCATAGCAAGCATAAAGGATCCGTTTCGGGGCGACGGCTAACTTGGTAATGCTCGAAAAAAGGATCGGATAGGGACAGCCAATGGATTATCCATTGGCGAAATTCATATTAAGTGCTGATGGGCTTCTATGAAAGAGAAACAAAACGAAGGCCGGAGCAGATCTTGGAACAGAAACGAGCTGAAATAAGAGGGAAGAAAGTAAGATGAAATGAAATGAACGGGTCTAAAGCCAGATATACGAGCAAGCAACACTAGATGTACAGGAACACGTAGTGAACATGCAACAAGAAGGGATTTTGGATTTGGAAAGAAAGAGTGGAAATTGCTGGCAAGACACACTACTCGATCCTCGTTTTTCCCTCCTCAAGGAAAACCAGCCGAGCGTTGCTGTAGCCACGCTGGTGCCTTCTGGCAGGAAGGAGCTGGCCAACTATCGGGTCTGAGCGAGCTTTTATGAGTGCGTCTTGATACCCTTCAGAGCCTGCTGTGGGTGTGTTCAATTTGGGCCAGTTGACCTATTCCACTGGGTCAGCACAAGTAAGAGCGGGTATAGGGATAATGAGACCTACATAGAGCATTCCATGAGCAAGAATGAAACGTGCACACCAGGCGCTAACTATGAAGCAGAAAATAACAAATAAACGCAAAGGCCACACAGTGGAGTCTGGCAGACGTCTGGTAAATGTAGCCACCATGATGAGGAAAACGCCGGCAGCGAAGATATACGGGATAGATTGGATGATGAGAGGTCGGCGGTCCAGGAATAGTTGAATGTTACCCAGAGTAGAATTTGGGGGAAGATAGGTGCCCAAGAACACATCGAAACCATCTTGTCGGGGACCATCCAGGAAGTTGTTCCGCACATATCGTGTGATGGAATTGTTCAGATCCTGCAGCATACCAGCTCGAGTGCGCTCGCCAGTTCGCGTGAAATCGGTCTTCAATGCGCCCGTACCGGAATAGGACTTGGAGACAACATCTGCATTATCAGCCCAGATGTTACGGAACAGGTTTTCAAATTCGCGATCGTCATTCGCTGCTTCCCCTGGCCGCAAGACTCCTGCATCAATGAGCTGGCGTGTTATGGCCCAACGTCCTAGCATACTTTGAACCACATTTGTTCGATCCAAGCAGTCCATACAATTCGTCCGGACAACGCTGGTTTGCGCGGAGCGTGCATCCAATTGACCACCAGGGGCACCTGGACTTTCCACACCGCGGAAGTAACCGCCTCGTGTTAGACCATCCATCAGCCGTTCCAGCAGCAACTCTGCGCGATGCCATTTGAGACCCTTAGTCTCATTGTGAAAATCGAAGTACACGTAGTGAAGTCGGTCCATTTCCTTCTGTCTGACACCCGGTTCTACGGCGTGCACCTTCTCCGAAGTTTTGTCGTCAGCTTCGGTGGTTTCGGTTGAGGACGAGACTAGAACGCGAACCAACTGCTCATAGGCACTTTTGACACGCTCTTCCCTGCCCTTCTGGTTCACAAGGTTGACCAAGTAATTCTCGCCATAGACACGGATTTGCTCCGCAAAATGTTTGCGAGCAGCGTCAACAGCAGTTTCAACTCCGCGGACTTGAAGCTTCGGGGTGTATTTGAGGTTGTTAACTTCAGCCCAATACACGGGTACGCTCCCTCTTGTCTGCACAAACGCCATGACCTGGAGATCTTGGGACGAGTCGCCAGATTTTTCCTTTGCCAAGGGCTGGCCGCCCGAGAATCCAGAAAGACCCCCAGTCGCATCATTCAAAATAACGATCTGCTCCGTTTCGTTGTAGTTCGACACATGGCCTTGTTCATCTATTCCGCGTGAGAAATACCTTGTTCCAGCACGATGACGGGACCTTCTGGTGATGAGGGCAAACGTGAACGAAGTCGATTTGACCTTTGCTGGCGTGATGCGTAGCATTCCGAACATTACAGGCAGGATGTAGGGGTCGACTCCGGGTTGTGGTCCATAGCGCACACCCGTAGTATCTTGCTCTCCGAGACTGAAGTCTATCAGGTCTGACTGAATGAACCGGTTCCAGAAAAATCGATCATCGGCCCGCTTCCACATGGGAAGGTTAGGATCACTCTGTGACTGCCGTTGGAAGCTGTTGGTGATGTCTAAGGCGTAAGAGAAATACATCGGACCAGTACGAAGCAACTCTTTCAACAGGGCCAAATAGGTATCCTCATCATAGTCATGTAGAGAGCGCTCGCGCAGGGGTAGGAACTCGGTCGCTGCAACTTTATAGACCATGTGGCCGCGTAGCCGCCCCACGGGTAGGGCCTTTGTGATAACTATGATATATTTGTCTGCATTAATCAGTATGGGTGCACCATCAGATACTGTACCGGTATTGACTTACCCAGCTTCAGCTTGATGATTCCCAGAATGCCTGCAATGCTAGAGATGCGCTTAGCACCGGAAAGGGTGCCGTTATTGAGCCGCAAGTCGCCGGTCGGGCGTTCAATAACAAGTGTCGGAGCATTGGGAGAAGATGGTGAAGTGAAGGCATAATGAGAAGAAGAAGCGTGCAGATTGATGTCGCGGAATGGCAGAACGGAGGCAGCCATTGTTGGCAGTTACCCACTAATGGGGATGAAGACGCTCAGAACCGAGAAGGGGGGCTAACTAGTAGTAAGAAGGTTTGATCAGGGGAAGGTTTAGAATGAGTGACGAGAGAATTCAACGCATACTGCGCAGAGGTCGGGAAATTGAAAGGAAGGTAGAATCCGGCGGACAACAGGCGACGTAATGTGAGGAGCCCGGGGGTGAACTCCAGGGAAAGGCTCGGGTAGGCAGACGTACGTAGTACCTACAGCGCCTCGTTGTGCCAGCATGTGCTGGTGGTGATAAGCAAGGCTGGCCGGACGGAACAGGCCAGGGGCGCCACACCGCCCCGCAGAGCGGCCAGTCGGCTTGGGCCAGGTGTGGCTGAATCCCTTCGTCATCTACCACCGACAGGCCGCCATCTAACCTCCCAGCATCCCGAATCCGCCTCCAATACTTTTATTCTCACTCCATACCGACCCATCCACCTCGTTCGACTCCCTCCCGAGCCGGTATTGTGTGCGCCACGTTTACCTTGCCATTTCCAGACGAAGCTTTCCCCCCTAGACCATATTCATTATGGCCTCCAGAGCCGCAGCAGGCGCCCGTCCCGGGGCCAGATTCGCTCAGTTCAAGCTTGTATTGCTGGGTTGGCTCCCCTTGTTCTTGGCCCCACCGTGGTCTCAGTCAAAAAGTACTGACGTTTGCACTTTTTTGCCCTTTCTAGGAGAATCCGCGGTCGGAAAGGTCAATATGCCATCATCATTTACTGTGCTGAACAGCGGTCGCTGACTTTCTTGCTCCACGACAGAGTTCGCTAGTTCTGAGATTCGTTAAGGTGGGATAAGTCTCCGATATTTCCGGAAGATCAAAATTTCGTGGAATGATTTTCCGGGGAACTTGTAGCAGCTTACACCGGACAGGATCAATTCGATGACTACCGCGAGTCGACTATTGGCGCTGCATTCCTCACACAAACCATTTCTTTGGACGAAAGCACGACTGTCAAATTCGAGATATGGGACACAGCTGGTCAGGAGAGATACAAGTCTCTGGCCCCCATGTACTACAGAAACGCCAACTGCGCGGTCGTTGTCTACGACATCACTCAAGCTGTATGAACCCCGGTCCAACCGTCCAGTTTCCACGGAGAACTAATTGAGCGAAACATCGGACAGTCGTCGCTGGACAAGGCCAAGTCGTGGGTGAAAGAGTTGCAGCGTCAAGCAAATGAGAATATTGTCATTGCCCTTGCGGGAAACAAGCTTGATTTGGTGACAGAAAACCCAGACAAGAGAGCCATCCCTATGGCTGATGCTGAGGCCTATGCACGTGAAGCCGGACTACTTTTCTTCGAAACTTCGGCAAAGACCTCCTCAAATGTGAAAGAATTGTTCACAGCAATCGCAAAGAAGCTTCCCCTGGATCAAGCAGGACCGCGAAACCTGCGGACAACTCCCCGTCCTGGTGTTGACCTGCGGCCAGAAGCACCTGGTACCCAGGGTGCTGGCTCCTGCAACTGCTAGATTCGCCACTTGCTCCAACTTTTGCCTATCAATTTTCCCATCTACTACGCTCCCTCTTCCCTTTCCCCCTTTTATGCATCAGCTGTCGTTAGATGCGGAAAATTCGCGTCTGCTGGCTCGAATGCGAACCAGTATGTCGGGCAAACAGTGTGAACCCGTCCGCAACCCTGAACAAGACTGCTTTATCTTTTTAATGGTGCCGTGGTGACTGCAACTTTGGCCGATCGGCGTCGTATCGGTGTCTCTTGCTTCCCAAAAATTTTGGTCCCCCTTACAAGACTGGATCTGATGGTTCGTCCAACCTTCGTCAGTCTGTTACCGGTGGACCTTGGTCTTATCGAGCGAAGACTTAATTACCGCTATTGGACGTGGGGAGCTCGGATACTATACGATGGCACGGTTGGATTTGACTGTCTAGACATTATGCGACAGGGATGACCTATGATTTCTTTGTTCCGCCTTGTTCTATCTGTCTCTGTTTCCTCGTTCCCGGCGTCTGTATTCTTTCTGATGGGTTGAATTCATGTTACTTTCTTACTTTTTCTTGTTGCCCTCTGAGTCTCTCAGTATGCTATGCCTATATAATACTTCCTCAGTCATCGGATTTGAACTAGCTATCTAATTCCAGTGCCATTTGCATAGTAGGTGTTCCTGTACCGTATGCATGATTCAATAAATGCCCTAGAGCCTATATGGCAGAAAACTCCCGACAGGGTTGGTTGGTAGACAAGATAAGGCTGCTGGGGTCGCTGGGTCTATCCGGGCAGCCGGCGCGGGCGGTGCGAGGTGACCCGAGCTGAGCCACTGGTTGGCGGTGCAGGATCGGAGCGGATCGTAAAAGCACCTATCCCAATTCCGGTCCGCGTTTTCACTCTCGTCAACATCAACCCCTCAACTAATCCCGCTCTCAGCGCTCATCTCCACAGTAGTGTGGCCCACGATGCTGCGCTCTTCTGTTGCACCGGGACGGCAGTTGTTGCTGTCCTCCGCTCGCCAACGGACCGCCCCCCAATGGCTGTCCAGAGCCGGAGCAAGCAGCCGGCTCTCTGGTCAGGTACGGTGACGGCATCTGGGATTGATTCCTGCACATGTCAGCTAACATGTTCCAACCTCATGCAGAGATTCTTTGCCGACTCTAAGCCCCCCACCACCGCTGCTCCTACGCCCGCGACTCCATCCTCCGACTCGGTTGTGCCCCCCGAGACCGTTCCTAAGCCATCAGCCAGCGAGCAAGGTACGATTGCGCTTATCAGTTGAGTCATGACCCTGTTCAGTGCTGATGGATGGCAGGCTCCGAGATCCCTACTCCTTCTCCCCCTGCTCGCAAGGGTGGACGCTTCCGACGATTCCTTCTGTACTTGCTACTTACTTCCGGATTCGCATACGGCGGCGGCGTTTTCCTAGCTCTGAAATTTGATAACTTCCATGACTTCTTCACAGAATACATTCCGTATGGTGAAGAGAGTGTTCTGTATTTCGAAGAGCGCGACTTCTACCGTCGATTCCCGAACACCCTGAGGAACCAGAACCGCCTTCCCTCTAGCCCAAGGGATGAAGGAAACAAGATCACCATCCCAAGCAAGAGCGGACTTACCTCCAAGGTCGCCGAGGAGCAAACTTCAGGAACCGACGTCTCCCAGAAGGGTCCCCATATGAGCGCCAATGCGGCCCAGAAGAGCTCCGAAGCTCAAATCAAGGCTGCCAGTGCCAAGCCCGAGGAGAAGACTGCGACTGTGGTGAAGGCTAAGGAGACTAAGGCAGCCAAGGAGGAGGCGCCTAAGGCTGCTGAAAAGAAGGAGGAACCCAGACAACCAGCCCTCCCTGCTATCACCCCTCTCGAGTTCGCCCACGTCAACGAGGGAGATGAAGCCATTGTTCAGGAGTTGGTGAAGACGTTCAACGACATGATCACTGTCATCAGCGCCGATGAGAACTCCGGCAAGTTCTCGGCACCAGTCGCTAAGGCCAAGGAGGAGCTTCAGAAGGTTGGGGAGAAGATCATCGCTGTCCGCGAAGAAGCACGTCGTGCTGCGAAGGAGGAGATCGACCAGGCCCATGCCACTTTTGATGAATCTGCTCGCGAGCTCATCCGTCGCTTCGACGAAATGCGTGCGTCCGACGCTGCCCAGTACCGCGAAGAGTTCGAGGCTGAGCGTGAAAAGCTGGCCTATGCTTACCAGGAGAAGATCAGAACGGAATTGCAGAGAGCTCAGGAGGTAGCTGAGCAGCGCCTCAAGAATGAGTTGGTTGAGCAAGCCATTGAGCTTAATCGCAAGTACCTTCATGAAGTCAAGGAGCTCGTGGAGCGGGAACGCGAAGGTCGCCTCAGCAAGTTGAACGAACTGACCGCCAACGTTAGCGAATTGGAGAAGCTCACTTCTGGCTGGAGAGATGTCATCGACAGCAACCTCAAGACCCAGCAACTGCAGGTGGCTGTCGACGCTGTGCGCTCGGTCCTTGAGCGCTCTGCCGTCCCTCGCCCATTTGTGCGAGAGCTTGTCGCTGTGAAGGAGTTGGCCGCTGAAGACCCTGTGGTTGATGCGGCTATCGCTTCCATCAACCCTACTGCCTACCAGCGCGGAATCCCTTCGACTTCCCAGATCATCGAGCGCTTCCGCCGGGTCGCTGATGAGGTCCGGAAGGCTAGCCTCCTGCCCGAGGATGCAGGTATCGCTAGCCACGCAGCTAGCTTCGTCCTGAGCAAGGTCATGTTCAAGAAAGATGCTGTTGCCGGTAGCGATGATGTCGAGAGTGTGCTGTGCCGGACCGAGAGCCTTCTGGAAGAAGGCAACCTTGATGCCGCTGCGCGTGAGATGAACAGCCTCAAGGGATGGGCTAAGATCCTGAGCAAGGACTGGCTCGGAGATGTTCGCAGAGTGCTGGAAGTTAAACAAGCTCTGGAGGTAAGTAAACTGTCCCGCCGTTATATATCCGCTTTAACGAGGCCGAGCTCACACATGTCTTCTACAGGTGATTGAAACCGAGGCGCGCTTACAATGCTTGAGAGTTGAATAGACAATTACCTCTTCAGCATTCATTTAGCTTTCTTGTACCTCATGCCACCTATCTACAGGAATTGTACCTCTAGTTGTCCGCCTGCGTTGTTAGATTCAATGCTAGATATTTTTTCCTTTGTACATTGTATCGTACCGAGGAATGTTAGACTTCATAAGATATCCCCTAGATACCTACCAACTATTGATAACGAGACCACGGTCGATGTTCCGTGATGACGAGTTGTTTGCCATGTTTGCAGCTCCACGTGCGCCGCGGCGCATGATGCATCTGCTGCCTAGCGATGGGATAACGATCATCGGAGCATATCTCGACAGCGAAGACGAGGGGGTGGGCCAGATCCGTCTCCTTCCAGGTCCTTGAATGCCCTTTCAGAGTCATGTCTGAGTTCTAACAATATCCTACGAATCCTCATGTCTGCTTTCACTCGCGGACGATACCCCTTTCCTATCCCGCGGGACGGACCACCTCGTCACCATAGCTCTGATGTCGCCGAAGGCCGATGAATCCACCTTACCCTCACCTCATTTACCTAGAACCGATGAAACGCGGTCGCAATTGCCCCTGCGCTTCAACACTTCGAATGATATTTCCGACCGACGAAAGGGTTTGCAAATGGACGAAGGACAACCAAGCGGGGAGCTAGAGGGCAGCACGCTCGGTAGCAGCTCTCGGGATGGCGAGAAAGGAGGCCGGTCCCAGCGACGGACACCCAGCTCCGGCGGATTTTTGGTCGATTCATCATTTTTACCTAGATCGAAGAGCCTAAGGACAAGTCATTACCGCCCCCGCCGTTCAGAATCCGACCGTAAGGAAAAGCGTGAAGCGCCCGAACCTGACCTGGTGGTTCCCAAAAAGCGATCGCGATTCCCTTGGATTCGGTCAAAAGAGCCTAAGACATCGCAGGCGGATCAGACAGAAGCCACGGCACCGGAGGAAACATCTGCTGCTTCGCGTGTGGAACAGGATGCAGCATCACAGGAGTCACACACGGAGGCGACGGAAAGTCAGGCCCCCGTGGGTCTGGATCGAGATTCTCTCCAGATTGTGAATCTTGCATTGAATCTCAGCGAGTCGAGGAAGAGAAACAGCCTGGGTCGTTCCGCTTCAACCCGTCTTTCAGGGGGCAAATGGAATTTGTCAACTGGTCAGACTGCCGCTCCATACGCTGATAGGCATGCGTCAGTTCCAGTAAACGACCTTGGACATGGAGGCCCTCAGAATGGCCGCAATGCCATGCAAACACTAGGAGACGATCGTATCAGGACAGTTGGAGCCAACCAACTAGGTCTACCATCGATCCATGCTCCGTCTTCTGTGGCAAGTCTACTTCCTCAATCTGCCGGATCGGAAGCCTTGCCGCAAGGGTTCTCAGAGAGCACTCTGGCTCGAGCTGAAAAGGCTCGTCGTCATTTTGAGCTGTTCTCGGAATATCTACGACTGCTCCCTTCCCTCCCCCCTCTGGCGCGGGTCGACAGTCATACTACAGATTCAGCATCCTTCGATGGCAGCAGCCATCCATCATCCCGTGTCTACAATCCTCTTCAATGTATTCGCAACCGGAAAGTGAGATTTCGAGAGCGATGTGCGATAGACACGGGGGCAGAGGGCTGGTACGATACTGAGAAGGTACATCAATGGGTTGATTCGGTAGAAGCTCAGCACAGCCAACATAAACACAGTCCCCTGGAATGTCTACAGCTTCCATCATTCCATAGCTGTAGGGAGACTAAGCCGTGTGAGGAGGTGGACGAAGCCGATTATCTTGCTGTCTCCCCTCCTTCAAGCCTGAGACGTGCCAGCCGCGCTAGTAGTGTCAAGGCACGCCGACCACGGTCAGACTGGATCATTGGCCCGGCAGAGTTCCTTGCCGACGCTGCATGGATTGAACAAGGGAAGAATAAGAGTAAGATTGTTGACAGAGATGGGAATCACCTCTATCCGGATCCCTCGATTTTGATAACTCCCGATGCCAACCAGGCAACCACTGGACATCCGGAGCAGCTACAAGACAACCGGATGTCCCTGGATTCGGAACATCCCATCTCCCGCACCTCCTTATCCGATGCTCGTTCTGGTCTGGCGACAGAGTTCAAAAGGGTCGGACGTGGGCGGCGACGGCACAGGTTTAGGAGCTCTGGCCGTAGCGGGCATGGTAGCGATGTGGCAGGGAAAGGGACGGGTTCCAAGAGGCACAAGCTTGGATTGCTGTCAAGTAGCTCTTCAAGCATATCTAGTGCTGATGGGCGATTATACCGGCATTCCCCTATGTACAATGCCCTGTCCTCCGAGAGGGACGCTTCCCCACTTCCCGACGCCACACGTCTTCGAGCCTCCGGGGCGGTCTCTGAAGAAGATGACAGCGCCGTGGATACCAGACTGACGCCAACCCACGACACCTTTCCCCGTTATAAGTCCGGAAGGTCTCCTGCCTGGGCCCTGTCGGAGGGAAAGCGAAGCTCTGTATCCTCCATCCCGAGCGTCGATGATCGATACGACCCTCTTACAAACTTAGCGACTGCAGAAAGCAGATCGCCCGAACTGCATGCGCAGGTCGGTGTTTTCCCGAGCATCGCAGCTAACTTATCTCCACCCTCGAGTCGTTCACCGTCCCCTTCGAAAGGCCGTTTCTCCCGGGCTATTGGCTCTCGGCATGAGCGAAGCAAGAGTAATATCCGGGCGAAAGATGTAGCGGATGACAGCCCCCTGGATTTGGCAGCTTTGCGCAAGGATAGCTTGTCCGCACATCTCGAGGACATTCCTCACGCCAGCAGGCTGGAACCAAGCCCGATCCCCGATCGGGTCTCTTCGTTATATCAAGAAGACCAATCAAGGATACACTCGCAGAATTGTAAAGACGCATTACAGCCTGAATCCAAACTACGGGGAATCTTCAAGGGGCCCGGAAAGATTGCGGAAAAGGTGGGCAACGAGATGTCCAAAGTAGGGGATCTAATCCTGAAGAAGGATACCTTCCCACACTCGCGGAGGTCTTCTGTTTCCAGCACAAGCTCTTCCGATTCCAATTCCTTGGACAATCTGGAAGAAGCTCGTGGTGATAAGGTATCTGGCGCCAAGTCTCTCTTGCGCCGTTTCCCCACGTTCACCGATGATGCCAGTCGAGCTTCACGCAAGAATCTGGAGAAGTTGAATGCGAAGAACAATGTGTCCTCGGCCGGGCAGGAAGAGCATCGACTCTCTGAATACAACAGTCCTCCCAGGCCCGGTGCCGACGCCAGTACGGTTGACCCCCCGAGAGAGGCTGGTGGGTTTTCTACATCTCTTCATGCGCCAATCGCTCGTCACGAGAAGTTGAGATTTGGTCCTGAGCTTCATACTGTCCGGGAGCAATTCAAAAGGGGCAATATCAAAGATGCTGGGGTTCCCTTTAGCCTCACGAGGCCTCCTGTCACAGGCCTTGCACAAGCGAGAGCGGACACTACGTCCTGTTCCCAGGAAAGACGCCCCAAGCTGTCCAACCAGTCGAGAAGCTGGAGCATATCTAATCGCAGCCTCTCGACTTCGCTAGTTGTTGGTGTTCCTGGGAAACGGGAAGTTGAACGGACCCGAGCCCTTCTCCTTTCTTCAGGAATCAAGGCCCGCGAGATCACTCGCCGGGCAGACTGTGTGCGACACCCGCCGCCAGATTTTCTTCGGCGCGCATTTGACATGGAAACACCCATCCCACAGGTGACCCGGCTTTATGAGCATGAAGTGGCAGCGCAAGGTCTACTCAGACGGTTTGAAAAAACACATAGTTTGTTCCAGCAATCTATGGACAACTTTTCCGGCTCCATTTCGTCGCCTTTGAAATCCCAATTGAGCAGACTCGAGGACATAGTGAACGACACCATTTCCCCACGAGTCCAGGCAGCCACACAAGATGCGGAAGACCTAAGCATCCAGCTGAACACGACTAGCACCCTTGCGGTCAAACAACTAAGCGACACGCTCGACAAAGGAGTCCGGAGGCGCCATCGCCGGCTGCGCTGGATACGGCGCACGGGATTCGTGATGCTTGAATGGGCATTGGTCGGTATGCTGTGGTGGGTTTGGCTGGTTGTGATGGCTTTCAAGCTCTTGCGAGGCGTTTCACGGGGCGTGCTTTCGGGTATCAGATGGGTTTTGTGGCTGTAAAGCGATCGGTTGTTGGCGAAGGCCATTGATTCGACATTATTATACCCCTTTGATTTTGTCACGTTCTAGCGTTTGTTTCCCTTTGTTTCACTATACCACCTCTTTCTTCCTCTATAGATTTTCCTGATACTATTACTTTAATTGGGTTTGCTGTGAAACCAGAGGCTATAGTACGTATCTTCACCCTTGTTCTAGACATCGCTTGGTGTCAGGATCCTCTTATGACGGAATATTCAGCCGTTTTGGAGGACTTGAAAGGGCGATAGACTGGTCGAAATAAAGAACCATAGCCCAGAGGAGAAAGCCTAAGCACTCACTCACGGACCGTGGATCAGGTGACGCCGTTCCCTACATGAGCCCTTGTATCCAGAGCTCGAAGTTACACCAGTCCAGATTCAACGTCTTGGGTACCATCTACCCTCGCACCGGGCATTCCTACCAGGATGACATGTCAGTCCGTTAGGAATTCAATATTTACGGGCAGCATCCGGTTCAAACAAAGAAGCTGCAATCTCGTGAAACATTGCTGGTGTGCTCTTTGTTTGGGCTTCGTCCAAGCCTATTCGCATGCAACATAAAACATGCCAAATCCCCAAGTATCATTTTATTCTTCCTGTACATGATCATCGCTTTCAAAATACCATTACTACCTTTTTCTCTCCATACAAACCTCCCCATACCTTGATCGACCCTCACGAGCCACCCCAGTGATATGTCCCTGCCTTTTCAACGCACAGCTAACACCAATACCGGCGCCGGATTCCATACCAATTCCGCGGTGAGTGGAGGATTGAAACGTTCAAACGCATTTTCCCGCAAGCGTGAAGAGAAGAATCCACTGATAGACCGTCAACAGCCACTGAGATCCGATCCGTCAATGTCTAGAGAACCAAATAGCTGGACCAAATATGGTCGCAAGGAGGATATCCGTCCTGATATGACCCGAGACAAGGGCAAGCGCCCTGAGGGTCTTAGGGCTGGCGCGCCTGCCAGTTCATCGACGCAGAAATTGGCAAATAGCTATGCTGATCCATCTCCCAAGCGCGGGGGGATCGAAACCAATCCGCAGAATGTTCGGTGGCCTTTTCTGGGTAAAATGCGGTAATTCTGGTCGGCTGGGTCCGTCAGATACGGTATGTGCATGGAACTGAGGTGCATCAAAGCATTAGAGATGTCTGTTATGTCTGCGTGATGCTTTACGAGTTTCTCTGATGACTTATGACATTTTGATGGGTATGATCGTGATGCTCGATGTTATCTTCTACTGCATTTTGGCTTTGTTCTTGTGGTTTGCTAATTTCTCGCATGGCCCTGGTTGTGTTTGATGTTCGAATGTACTGCGAGGTTCTAGAAATCTGTAATTCTGCTTATTCTCGCGTCCTATCATGTGATCTAATCACGTTACTTCTACTTTTGCTCCCTATAACTACGATTTCTATAGCTTTGCCCCTCCATCTTCTTCAAATAATCTGGTCGTGCAAGATTCATCGCAGACGAGTCGGGGTTCATCAATCTCATCGCCATGTTCATCATAATGTCAACTCCTGGTATACTGTACGTCTCCAAATTTCATTTTCTACATTGTCAGCTCATGTAACATACAAGCTAAGCAAGGCATGAAAAGGTCCACTACCTGATACGCATTTGTAATTCCTGTTAGCTGAGATATATATTCCTGGTCGGACATTCATGAGTTGACCTGCAATAATGTCCCCTAGCAGTATGATTGTAAGAAGCTCAGAGCCCTGAGCTGGAATCTCCAATTTTCTCTAAAAAGCCTAAAACTTATTCCTTGGACAGTCCAGCAATTATCCTGAAGCTGTTGCTCTGGTGGTGCAAATAGGATAAATATCACGTGCCATAGAATGCCGATCAGGGTCTCCGACCGCCCGGGGTGGGGCTACAATACTGCCCGTCAGTCAGACACAGCGGTCAAGCTTTCGGGACCAATGGTTGGGCGGCTAAATAAGACGCATCTAAGAAGTCCGGCAGCGCGCGTCATGCCGCACCTTCCAAGGAACAGGCGTCAGTGGCAAACCAGGAACAGTCTACTCCGTGCCTACACCGTGCGCCAATAGCCGGCTCAATTGCTAGTCTATCTGAGGGAATTGCCTGGATCCCTTGTTTACAACCGAGGGGCACTAGTCCGTCTCCTTTGGGTCGAGGGAAGAGTATGTCGGACGAATGACGCATCCGGGAGGGGGGCTGAGGAGCAGTCCAGCATGCCGATAAGCATGTGTCTTAGGTAGAAAGTCGCTCAATGACTCAAATGTCAGGTCCACGAGACGGCCTGGACGCCCTAAGATTCAGACGACGGATCTTCAGGGACTGATCTATTGGAAGTGAGGGAAATTATGGGGGGCGTCAGGCCGAATCACCAGGCACGGGGATCTGCCAGATTCCCATGGAACGGCAGACAGGCAGCAACCATGAGACCACGTCAACCGTTACTTGCGTGAACGGGAGGAGTAACCATACTGTGCGAGAGCCCGCGATCCGCGCCGGGGTACGTCGAAGGCGAGGGGGAAAGGCATGGCCGAGCCAGGTAGAGGCGGAGGTACGATACCGTGATACGATACGGGCGAAGAGACGGGGAGGGGCAGGGCCATCGGGAGATGCCGTAAGCGCCCCCACGAGAACCACTCTTGCTCCCGGCCTCGCTCTTCCTCTGCTTTTTCCCCTCGTCTCCTGGTGCTGCATCGTCTTTGTTGCTGCCCCTTCCACCTCCAGCCATTGCGGTAAGTCCTCTGTTCATTCTCACGTTCCTTGCTGCGTGTCCTGCAGCTCCCGGGTTTCCTCGTATTTTTCGAATCATCGAGATCGCCGGGTGTCTGCCTGACGCCGTGCCCTTTGCCCTAACCTCCGCGTCCACTGGTCGAGTCGTTAAAACTCTGCACGCACCTTTCCTCCCTCCTCCCACTTGGACCTTCCCCCCCCCCGGCCCAGAAATTAAATCTCGCATCCCTTTTCGTCTCTCGTCGGAGCTGTCATACAAGCTTGCTGATCGTTGGCTGGTCGCGTCAGATTTCTTCTTGGGAAAAACCTTGTTTTTTTCCACTCATCCTTCTTCCACATCGCATTTTCTAGGCCTTTGGAATCCACCAGTTCCAAAGGCTCTCTGGTCACCACGGCTTTCGTAGCCTCCCGTTTCGTTCTTCGTCACATTGTATCGCCGAGACGTCTCCGCGACACGCTTAATAACATTCCCCCTCCTGCTGGTCTCGATTCCCGTCCCCTCGTCCGGTGCGCCCTTCTTTAACGACCTGACGCCCTCGGAGCCCTCCCCATCTTTTCTTGAGCTGCCGCATAGGACTTCTCTGAAGGTTCTTCCTCTCAAGGAGGAAGGGTCTAGGAGGCTTGGTCCAGTCAACTTCGGTTGCGAATCTTTTCGCCCTCCCTAACACGCAGTCGCGTTATTCAATCTTCTTCTTTTCAACTTCTTTTTTCTAAAGTCCTACCCCGTGCTCCGTCGCAGCGCGCATGGTTATGGCACCGACTGCTTGTGTACCTGCTGAAGTATGCACTCCGAAGTTCTATTCGGAGAAACCCGATTATAGTCTCAATTGGGACCATGGTCAATTCAGCAATCATGGAGGGGATGATTTATCGCAATCCAGGTTGGCTGCCAAGGGACTGGTCTTGGACATCCTGAAGAAGCGTGCAGCGGAGGTGAACGTGGACTGCTGCGCGCCTGGAGAGGAGGATGCGTTTTATGTGGCCGATATGGGCGAGGTTTACCGCCAGCATCTGCGCTGGAAATTGAATTTAAGCCGAGTGCGACCTTTCTACGGTAAGAATCATGTCTCAAGCGGTTGTCTGGGGCGGTGACTGATCATACATGAACAGCGGTCAAGTGCAATCCGGACCCCGAGATCCTGCGCCTCATGGCTAAACTCGGAAATGGCTTTGACTGTGCGTCCAAGGCGGAGATCGACCTGGCTCTCGGAACAGGCATCGACCCGAGCCGCATTATCTACGCGCAGCCCTGCAAGACCAAGTCCTATCTGCGCTACGCGGCCCAGGTGGGCGTCAAGCAGATGACCTTTGACAACGCCGACGAGCTGTACAAGATCAAGGCCAACTACCCGGAGGCTGAGCTCTACCTGCGCATCCTCACGGATGATTCGAACAGCTTGTGCCAATTCAGTATGAAGTTCGGCGCGTCCATGGACGTGGCTCGCCAGCTCCTGGAATTGGCGTACCAGCTTGAGTTGAAGGTCGTCGGCGTGAGTTTCCACGTCGGTTCTGGCGCTGAGGATCCTAAGGCTTTCTTGAAAGCCGTGCAGGACGCACGCCTGGTGTTCGATCAAGCGGCGGAGATTGGCCATGAGCTCCACACTTTGGATGTCGGAGGAGGATTCTCTCAGGAAACGTTTGAGAAATTCGCCTGCGTGCTGAGTGAGGCTCTGGATACCTATTTCCCGCCCAACATCCGGATCATTGCGGAACCGGGCCGGTACTACGTTGCCAGCGCGTTCACCCTGGCAGCCAACGTCATCGCTCGGCGGGACGTGCGGGACCCGGAGAACCCGACCCATGACGCTTACATGCTGTATCTTAACGATGGGGTGTATGGAAACTTTTCCAACATCATCTTCGACCATCAGCATCCTGTGGCCCAGGTCCTTACGTGCGCGTCGGCCGCCAACTCCCCTTATGCTGCGACTTCGGGGGGTATTACGTACTCCATCTGGGGGCCGACCTGCGACGGTATTGATGTGATCTCCAAGCGCATCCAGCTCCCGGCTCTGCTGGAGGTGGGCGATTGGCTCTACTTTGAGGAGATGGGAGCCTACACCAAGTGTAGCGCGACCCGCTTCAACGGCTTCTCGGACAACCACGAGGTGATTTACATCTCCAGCGAAGCCGGGGCTTCCGCGCTCCTCGAGTATTGATATAGTTTATTCTTTTTCTTTATTCTTTATTGTTTGTTGATTTGATGATGTGTTGATTTTGGTTGTTTTGGTACTTAAATATTGTTTATTACTGGGTCGTCTGGCCTGCTTTGGTAATAAATGTTTGTCTTGTGTCTTGATAGAGTAGATGGAGAATAATGCGCGCGGTTTAGAGGTGAATATATTGCCATATAGCCGTCTTTCATGGTCCACTGTAACATCACTTGCGAGTGATATCGTCTATATCTATTCATCTATCATCCCACCATCGTCAACTTCGTCTAACATGATCCATCCCGCATGTAGCAAATCATCAGATGCAGAGCCAGCTCAGCATCCTGCTCCAAGTCTAGAATCAGGACCTCTATACCAGTCTCTCCACCACCAACTCAGTCCCCTCACTGCCCTTTCCAACCTGAACCAGGCCCCCGGCCTCCAGCCTCTTCTTCCACTTGCCAGACTCATACCGGGCCAAAATGAGAGTAATCCTGGCCGCAACCCCGGGCTCTAGAGTCCCCGCCACCGCATCCGACGGTGTGAAGGTCCATCGCCCAAACGCCCAGTTCAGGATATAGTGTCTCGTCGCACGGCCATCGCCATTCGTCTCCGCACCCACGATCGACTGCTCCTCCTCCGACGCAGCAGGCGGCTCGGCAGCCAAACCCCGCATCACGCCCTTAATCCGATACACCTCTTCCTTGGGGGCAGCCCGCAACAACTTCTCCACCAACGCCGTGGTATCCACTACCGGGCCCTCACCCGCCGCAGCACCCTTTAACGTCACCGACAGCACCTCCACCTCGGACTGATGGCCATGCCTATCCTCCCCATGCTTGTGCTCATGCTCATGCTCATGCCCATGCCCATCCGCACATCCATCCCCATCAACAATCCCATCCAAAACCCCCTCCTTTGCCACCAACGCCCCATCAATCCCCAAAAGCACCCCCATCTCCACCCGCCCCCTATCCGACTTAACCCACGGCGTCTCAACCTCCAAATCGCCCACGCGATCCAAACACACCTCAAACCTCATCTCCTCGACCCCCTCCCACTTATTAAACACAATCAAATCCGTATACTTCGCCTGCAATTTCGCCGTATAACTCGTATCCTCATACCCCTCCCAATTCTCCACATCAATCACACTAATCACGCCATCGAGCACAAATGTGCCGGGGTGTTCGCGCGCCAGCCGATTCACTTCCATGGCTAGGGTTGCGGGGAAGGCGGACCCGGAGGTCTCGATCACGATGCGGTCGGGGGTGACGGTGGTTAGGAGTTGGAAGAGTGCGTCGCTGAGTTGGCCGACTAGGTTGCAGCAGATGCAGCCGTTGAGGAGTTCGCGGACCCCGCTGATGGAGGAGGTGGTGGCGAGTTGGGAGTCGATGGCGACATCGCCGAATTCGTTTTTTAGGAGGGCGAGGCGGTAGGTTGGGGGGAGTTGAGGGATGAGGTTGAGCAGGAGGGTGGTTTTGCCGGACCCGAGGAAGCCGGTTAGGATTGTTATGGGGGTGGGTGGCATTCTTGTCTTGGATTGAGGTGGATGGTCGGGGTGGGTTGATGGTGGGGTTGCGGAGGTGGAGTGGTAGGTGTGTCTTATAGAGTATCTGTGTGATAAAAAAGAGGAAGAGGGGAAACGAAATCTAAGTCTAATGTATACAGGTCAAAGAAGGACCGAGCGATGCGTGGTGATGAAGTGGAGGGAATGTCGGAGATGGAAAGATTCATCGGACGAGGGGGAGGGGCCCACTAGACCCGATCGGGGTGAACCCTAAGATGCTGCGTGGGGTTGATTTGGACATATTCTTATCAAGTTATACAATATTTTCTTTATGTTGGGTTTATGCAGTAGGCAATTATCATTTAGTCTTATCTCACAGTTTCTCAGGTGTCGATATCATCACGACCCTTGCTGTGTGAACCCAACATTACTAACTACGTAGTAGTACGGAGTACATTCACCCCCCCCTCATGGATAGCAGTCATACCACAAATGCATCACCAACCAACCACCAAACCCCGCAGATCCCTACTATGCAGTCAACCCATCAAGGAACCAACGCCCAGTAAGGCTGAACAATTACCTCCCTCAACCACTCACCACGCACCCTCAAACCCCAAGAAGGACGATGTCCCCACAAGGCTGACGACGATGATATCATCCCCCCAACCACTTGATGTCATGTATACCTCCATCCCCTTCCCCCTACCCCCTACCTCCCCAAATAAACCAACCAACTTATTTCATCCAAACCAACAACATCAACAAATCCCCCAAACCACTAAACACTACATACTACCGAACGTTGTCATGAAAACCATCGACGATACCGCCCGCGAAACAGCCCGCGAAATGGGCTACCAGGAGCCCCGAACCGACGACTCCGCAGACCCCATGTTAAACGCGGAGAGCTCGTTCAGTGAGATGGCGCAGAGCTCGGTGACGGAGATGAAAACGATGCTGCGGGATAGTATGACCCCGGGGGATTTTTTGGGGAGTACGTGGGATCATGTGCGGTCGTTGACTGCTGGTGGGAGTGGTGGTGGAGGGGAAGGGGGTGAGGAGGGGAGGGGGGAAGGTTTGTCTCAGATCTTTTTTTCCGTTCTTGCTTTGTTGGTTTATGTTGGTTGTGCTGATGATGATGGTAGAGGTTGGGGCGACGGATCCGGAGGAGATTCGGTGTATTGAGAATTTGGAACGCGAGAAGATTATTCAGTTTTTACAGGAGAGGCATCGGAGTGATCCGGCGCATATTAAGAAGAAGGTGTGATTTTGGCAGAGATTATGGGCAATGAATAACTGCATATGCTTGCTTCAAGATGGCTGGTTAAAAGATAGTAGTAATCTGTATTACAACACCGCTCGGAATCCCTGGTCTTGCTTGATATCCAAGCCCAGAAAATCGGCCACCTGTCCCAGATGATCAACGCCCCAGAACCCCTCGGTTTCGCCTTGGGCATTGGTGCACTCAAACCACGGGATGCCAAAGGCACCAATGTCGAACGCCCGATTGGTGTTGGCAGTCAAGATGGCCTTGGTCTCTGTATGATTCATCTGTCATGCCATTAGCCCACACGAAACTGGAGTATACAACACAGGTAGCGTACCGCTTCCATAACCACCCGCGCCTCCTCCTTTCCAAGCACCTTTTCAAGCACCGGACCAAAGCATTCAGGCTTTGCAATGTCAGGATTCCCCTCCACCCAGAAACACTGATAGAGAGCCTGGAACGCCGGCACAAGCTTGTCCGGGAACTTCTGAGACACCGCACAGAGAGCACGCTGGGTGCTCAGCGTGCGTGGAGGAAATCCTTCAGGGGTCGTCTGGACTATCGGAACAGAAAAGTATCGAGCCCAGCGATTGCGTTCCTTTTCAATCCACGCATTTTTATCTATGTGCAGTAGAGTAGGGTCAGTTCTATAATATGCTCAGGATGTGTGTCGCTCACTTGTAATGGTGATAGGGGCGGTATTCTGGCATGCATGCATGAGACCGCCCAGAAAGATGGGGACATAAGCGATATTGCATTTGGCAAATACGGGCGAATTCTGCCATGTTAGATTGTATAGTCGGTGGTATCTGATAATAGGGAAGGTTGGCACTCACTCTCAATACGCTAAAGGCAATGTAGCCAAACGGACTGACAACGTCCAAGTATACGTTGATGCGGGGCACAGCCATGACTTCAGGGATGGTAACAAAGAAATAGACAAGCTGTATCACACCCAAGGTTAAAGACAGCCAGACTACGCACTAGAACAGAACAGACATGAAGTTACACGAATGCGTCCTTGTAAATCCCCTTGACCGGATGAGTCAGCATCACCAACCGAGGCACGCGGATATTGGCCGGTGGCTCTCTCTTGATTTCTCATCCTCGGTCTCGGGACGTCATCGTCGGCTATGGGAGGCCTAACCCCTCTTGCTACTTCCCGTTTGAGACATGATCATGCGTGCTTGCCTCGATGGTGCCTCATCATTGGGCAGCTACGATGCTGCTGTCTGGGGTGGCAGATCGACCAGACCGTGGTGTCTTCGTTCCGACAATCGCATAGTGCTTGCATATTTACACCATAGTTGGCTATGTACAACATGCTTAGCGTGGGCTCGTTGATCAGCAGAGACCGACCTTCCAAGGCTTCAGGGAATGCCTTTCTGGTGCCCTTCTCAAAGTTCGAAAGCTCAGAAGAATCTGTCTATGGCTTCGATGTCTCCGATGAAGAGTATTTTCAAGATTCGGTGACGAGAAAGCGCCGCCATGCTGTTTACTATCACCGGCCTCCTGTTTGGTGTCCTGCACGTCAGGCAAGGGGCTCATCTGGTGTTTTCAGAGGCAGCAGCTGTTGCTCGGGGGAACTGTGCAGTGAGTGCGCGGCTAATGACAGTCAGGTGGAGGAAGATACGTATTCGTGCATCGTGGACTGCTGTGACACCACAGCTGCATTAGCAAGTACTCTATCTGGCAGAGAAACCAACACGTCGCAGTCTGATCAGGACACCATTATACTGGTGAGTTTCTGATAGCTGCAAGTGTACGTCGAGTGGACCTGATGCCCTTTGTAAAAACAGGACTGGAATTCTCTTGACAGGTCCAAAGTATGGCGACAGCAGAGCTCAGCCGAGAGATATACTTTACCAGATCGGCGAGTCTCAGCGAAACCTTACCCTAATCGGGTCCTATTGCAAAGCTCTCTCTATCAGCAAGGAATGAGCCCTGCCGCGCGCTTACAATCCTACAAGGACATACGGTTAGGGCTGGACGAGAAATGGGCCATCCACGAAGGATCCCTAGTGATCTGCGTTGATCCTGCGTATACTTTGTCAGACCGCGGCAAACCACGCCCTGACGAATTCGAACTTGTTAGCGGAGAAATTTTCGTTATCTGTCGACTATATGCAGATTTGTGGGCGCTCTGCGCCAATGCTTCGTCGGCTCAGTTTGAAAGACCTTTTGGTGAGACGACAGCAGTCGAGCCTATGCGACTAGCTTTCCTGCCACTATGCGCAGTCACACTAGCAGCAAACTTTAGCGCTTTCAACCAAAGATGTATCACTCACGCTTGCTACGAGACAGACGAACCTAAGCATCCGGGAAACGGGCTGCCGGTTATGCCTCCTCCACGCTCTTATAGCCTCAGCGATGACAAGCAGATTTACCGCGGAAACCGACGGCACATAGCTTTTCCAGAAGTGGTATATGATGCTTTCAACCGGGTCTCCCTAGAAGGTAGCAACGCCGATTATGTATTGGCAGATTCTCCCTCTTTGGAGAACGTGTTTTCTAACTTGACCGATCGAGGGAGCCGTCAACTACAGCGCTTAGGCAAGCGCATGTCACTCCGGAAGCTCTGGAGCGATTCCAAAACACCTGTAGTTGGGGACACTGAGAACCGGTTCTCTAGTTCACTAGGCTACCGCGATGAATATTGTGAATCAGGCGCAACGCAGCGTCCTTCAGGCACGCAGCGGCGCAGTTCGTCGAAAAGCCAGAGGCTGAGGGGACTCATTCGGATTACCCGGTAGGCCAGGGTCATTTGACAGTCGGTTCATGCAAGCTCAGCGTTGCATTGTCAGCGATACCTGGTAGTTATAGACATCGAACATCAGGGATGGCGAGTATAAATATGGTATTAACGGCCGAGGTTGGATTGCACAGGCGCGTGCTGAGCACGAGGTGGATCAGATGTGAGGGAGGAACGGGAGGAAGGGCGTGAGGACTGAGGAGACCGCGGAGCGAGACAGACCCCTGCACTCTGCAGGCCAAACCGGCCCGAAATTAATGCCTCCCTTGATGGTCCTTCCCCACCCATTGTCCTCACTCTGCTCATGATCCGGTGTAGTCACTTCGTAGAGCAGTCCATAACATGAACAAGCAGCCTCCCATCATGCCGACATTGCGAGCCATGCTCTACACCAGCTTTACCCTCACCACTCTCCCGATTCGTATCCTCGGCATCCTAATCTACTACATCCCCAAGGTCACGCGTCCCCATCCGGCATGGACCTACCGTCAAGCCATCGGCTTGAAGATCTTCGCCATCTGGTGGAACTACGCAACAGCAGTGGAATACCGCACACCGAAAACCCTCACTCCCGGCCGTGAAGGGCAGCGCTTCGTAGTCATCGATCCACCCTCCAACCACCCAGCCCTCGACCGCGGCATCCTCCGCAGCGTGCCCTCCATTCACCCCAACCCCATCGGCGCAGTCTGGTACCCTTCCACCCCCTCCAAACCCCCCAGCCGCGTAATCCTCCACTTCCACGGCGGCGCCTACGTCCTGGGCGGTGCCCGCCGCAAACAAAATGGCTGGGGCCCTCGAATCCTCAGCCAATATATGAACATCCCCGTGCTACAACCGCAGTACCGTCTCTCCGTTGAAGAAAACGCCTCGTTCCCCGCGGCTCTCCAGGACGGAATTACAGCTTACGTATATCTCCTGGATACATTGGGCGTGGCACCCAAGAACATCATTCTCTCCGGGGACTCAGCGGGGGGAAACCTCGTCTTGGCAATGCTGCGGTATTTAACTGAGGAAGTCGATGCGGGGGTACCGGTACCGTTACCGTTACCCTTACCTGGGGCGGGGTTATTGTGGAGTCCGTGGGTGGATTTGACGGATCGGGCGGCATGGAAGGTCGATGGGCATCCCTGTCGGGGGAATGATTATTTGACTGGGAGGTTGGTGGAGTGGGGGTGAGACGGGTTACGCCGGATGGATGGGAGAGGGGACATCGGTTTTTGAGTCCGTTGGGGAGGGCGTTTCGGGTTGGGACGCCGTTGTTTGTGCAGACGGGGACGGCGGAGGTGTTGTATGAGGATCATGTGAGGTTTGGGGGGGAGATGAGGGGGGTGGGGAATGAGGTTGAGATGTGTGAGGTGAAGGATGCGCCGCATGATGTTTTTGCGGCTGGGGTGGTGCTTGGGTGGGTGAGTGAGACTGAGGAGGCTATTGAGCGGGCGAGGGTGTTTGTGAAGAGGGTGGTGGGGAGTGGTTGATGGTACGTTATATGTGTGGATTATACGATGTAGAGATGATATATGTCTGGTTTATCTATTCTTTATTTCTTTGTTTGAGTGTCCACCGAAGGCGATGAGCCGTTGATTATCGATATAGTAGGACCATTGATTCCACATAATCACCGGTGGGGTTGTAGTTGCCACAGTTATAGTTGCTCCGTGCCTGGTTGGCCCAGTTTGGAGTTTGCAGTCGCGTACACTGTTGAGCCCGAGGCTTAAGAGTCTTATCATCCGCGTGTGCGGCGAGCTATACAGGCTGCGAAGTTGCGGATGGGTGATATTATAGATAAGCCTGCAGCCTATGCACAGGGCTGGCCTATTGGAGCTCCATTCGGGACCAAATGGACCAAGGAGAGCGGTTTCAGTACAGCATCCAGGCGTTCAAGACGTACATGCAAGGCATGATGAGTCAAGCTGCGGTTCATCATCCCGCTATTGATTTGGGAGCATCTGTCGCTCTTCTCGGCCATAACAACGCAGTTCTATCTGGTCAAACTGATCGTGTTGCGATGGGAGCTGCTTCTGGTCGAGGTGCAGGTTGTGAAGTCCGGCAGACTGCATCAAGTCGAAGAAAACAGACTCACTCTCATGGCGCCTCTTCAGTGCCACTAAAATGATAGCATCTGGAGACATCTGTACTAAGCGGCTAAGTACTGAAACCAACGCCGGCAAGCTGTCTGCGTTGTAAGTACAATCTGAAACGAGGATTAGGTCTACTGAGCCTCCACACAGGTCGCTTGGGAGCTCGTCGTCCCAGTCAAGCGTGCAAAACTCGAGCTCAGAGGAATGGGCTGGTTTCGCGACAGCAATGTTCTGCGTTACAATGTCCTCGACCTCGGCTAAGTCAGTAAGTACCACAGAACAATGAGGCAGAAGCTCTGCAAGAGCAATTCCGACAATGCCACATCCTGATCCTAGTTCGAGGACATGGAGAGGGGAGCTGCGCTCGCCTCGTAGAAGCTTTTGCAACAATGGTACGGATACCGCTGGGTCTCCTGTAACGATCTGCTCAAGATATATGACTGACGCCACCGCTGCATCCCTAAAATAAGTAAGTTAGATTAGTTAGAATTTATTCTTTGTACGAGGACGCTCACCAGATATGCCGAGCAATACTGTTTCCAGTCTCCTCCCAGATCCTCAAGCCTAGGCGATCTTTGGGCCCAAAGCGTCTCTCAACAAGCTTCTCCGCTACCGAGGACGGTGATCTGCCAAAGGGTGCACTCCAGGCAGACATGACTAGAGGAAGACTGGAATTGCCCAGCAAACGGTCTGGTGAGGGTGACCGCCGCTTCTGCGAATCTGTGGCAGCCACGCCTAGAACGATCGTCTGCTGAGCGATATTGGCAGAGAAGGGCCCGAGCATTATCGGGAGCTCGCGTTTGCCGGCCTTCCAGCTCAAAGGTTCCTGGTAGAGGATTTTACCAGAGTGATTAAGACCCAGTGTTACGAGTAAATCCACATCCTGTGCAAGAAATGCATCCCCCAGGTCGGTGGTGATGCAGATCAGAGCGGAAACGGATATCGACCCAGGTTTCTGCTTTTGAAACCTAGGGGTCTTGAGAAAACGGATGTAGTAGACCATGCTAGATTTGATCGATTATCAGCAGGAACGAATGAATTGAAGAATGAAACAATATCCTGAGTACTTGAATGAAAGCTGTAGATTCGCGATGGGCACGTGTGGGCTGACTAAGGACGGGCCGATGACATCGTGCGCCCAAGGCTGTTTCTTCCTCAGGCTCCCCCCAGTGGCTCCCCCTCGTTATTATCTCCGGCTATCCAATGCAGGTCCCATCGTATCGTCCCACAGCTCTTTCGTGCCAGAAGATATCTCCTGATATCCCCATTCCCATCGCAGCTGTCCCATGGGGCTACTTGGCTTGACGTTGAAGTGATCCGCCTCGCTCCTTCGGCCGTGGCGTGGCTTTGGCCAACGTCGCATCCCTACCGCCATCTGCCATGATGCGATCAAGAGACCCTCGGGTCCGCCAGACAATCAACCAAATATCCCATAACCTCGAATCCGCGAACGAGACGGCCCAGGAGGGTCTCTACACCTTATCTCACAATTACCTGGTACCATGTTTTGCAGCGATTGGGAACTGTGTATACTCGTGCACTGCGCCTTGTCTCCCCAGCCGTGAAGACCAACTTCGACGCCGCCGCCGAGGCCGTGCGGAGGCTAATTTCGACTTCTACGATGACTGGGATAATGATGAGTCCAACGATAGCCTGCTGGGATGGGGTACTGACGAACTTGATCGCCTGTTGGCTGGAAGTGGCTTGGCTCGCGGGAGTTCAGAACAGCCTCGAAGGCAGCGAAAAATGAGCTACGGAGCTCGGCGCACAAGGCGAAAAAGCAGTGTTATAGTATCTGACGACCGTAATGATCCGACTGTCATTCCGAGCTCTTCATTCTTGGGGTTTCTGGAGCGCTTCCCATGGAGATTTGGCGCACGGGGGCTGAAATACCGCCCGTCGGCGGCTGATCTTCAGGAACATCCCGCAGGGCTGCGACGATTCGAGCACGAGGATGAACCTCTCATAGAAGAACCCGAAGAAAATGAAGGCCCAGCAGCCTCCAATGGGAGATATCGAAGTTCAACACAGTCTTCGCGGGACACGACTAACTCCTTGAGCTCGCGGGGAGATCTGATCCCCAGCGACGAGGAAGAAGATGCCGTACCGCTAGATGACGAGTTCGCTCTAGCTCTAGCCAGCCGTCGTGGGACGGGACTAGATTCAATTGATCTAATAGGGGATAAACCCGCGAGTATGAGGTCTGTGTCTGGAACGTTTAGTCTAAAGACAAATGCCTCTTCAAAGGAGTCGAGGATGAAAAAGAAAAAGAGGAGCAGCCGACTGCGATCTCCTCAGGGGTCGTATGTAGAGGTCAATCACGAAGTTGGTACCCCTACACTAGCCGATCTCAAAAAGGAGGAGGAGCGAGCAGCGCTCGAAGAAGAATCGGAGATCGCGCGAAGACGGCTTGCTGCACAACAATTGGCCTCCACTCGTGGCCTGGATCAAGCGAAAGACGAGGTGGGTAGCTCAGTGAATAATTACTCTGTTGCCATACTCAGGACAGGCTAACAAGACAATCCCGTAGGCGTCACAGGCTCCGCCGTCGCAGCCTCGTACCGTTTCATCGGACATTACTCATCACGAGACCGTTGATACTCCCCTAGACTCAACTGTAGAATACGCTTCAACTCAAAGTCAGGGTGTACAATCGCAACCTTCGCAGAACCCGCATTCCCCTGGAGAGGAATCGCAAACAGAGCCTTTCCCGCCTTTCCCTTCTACCCCCGAATTCCACGAAGATAGCCCCGCGTCACAGCCTGGCTATCATCAAGACCAACCCAATGGTCCGAGTCCGTCCGAACAGAATAACACGACAGACGCACATAGGGACCCATCCTCTGATTAATCGAATCGCGAAAGGTAGCTTTGCGAAGGGGACACGGTCCACTGGTTTAGGTTTGCAGGTCAAACCCAACCATCTAGTTCGCATTTTCCTGGCGATTTTTCTGAGATATAGTGAGACGCTACCGCCTCCTGCTTTTTATGGCGCCTTCGGACTGTATATTAGTATGATATGACTCACGAAACTTGAATATATAGCCTATCTTGAGGATAGGTCAGTTAATCTGCGTTTTTAGCGTGTCAATATTGATGACTTCCATATTTGAAACAATTGAAATGCCGCAAAAAGGGAACAGAATCCCGAGAGTGGCTTGATGACTACGCAATGCCATCTTGACATCGTGAAGATAACCGTGAATTTTGTCTCTTTACCTTTGAAACCCGTCCTCTAAAGCCTGCGTACTGTGCATTACCCCGGTACCAATTGTACCTTTCGTTCTCATACTGATACTGAAGTTGACATACAGCGAAAATCATCCCATTCGATACCCCCTCTGCACAGCACTACTACTGCCAGCCAACGTATCTGGCCCTCCCTGCGCCAAAGCATAATCATACTGTCCTGACAACCCACTTTGATGATCATCCGGCTTGTGCACCTCCCCAACAGGATACCCCTCGAAAAGCCACGGCGGATTCGCAAGCGACAGAATCTCTTGATCAAAAATGGCCCAAGAATAGTCTGCACCCGGCGCAGTAAATGCCAAGCCAGATCCAATCTCGGGCGGTGTATGCATGCTTTGGAGACCCGATTCTAGTCGATCTGCCAGCGTGTTATAGATACTTGGTATGGATGGGTGGTCCCTTTTCAGGCCGTCGATGTGTTTTTCGATGAGGGGGAGGTCTGGATGGGTATTTGTGAGAATGATGTGGGTTGATGGGATGGTGTATAGGGGAGAAAGCTCATACCATCTTGGTGGGACATTCCGTCCTCGATTCCTCGTAGTAGTAGCATGGCGGCGAAGGTTACCATCTGTGAGGTGAGTTATTTTGCGTGGGCAATGATGATTAGAAGGGCCGGTGCTTACTATTAGATCCCAGTTGGACCATATACTAGGGTCGTCTAGACGAAGTCGTAGAACTGCACGGGCTGAGACCAGTAGTTCAAGTCTTTCAGGGGGCGCAATATCCGTTGACCCGAGATCAAATCCTCGAGCTGGATGATAGATTGATAGAACGTATAGTTTGTGAAGATGGTACTGTAGGAGGATGAGTATGCCCTGGCGATCGGATGCGGAGGGTTCTAAATGTGAAAGGCTGCGTTAGTGATGTCTCATGTGCAAGTCTTTCGGGAATCTTACGAGATGCTACATTGTATCGAACCAACCAGTCATCTAGCTTTCGGGCCCAGAGTCGAATGACCTGTGCGTCTTTAGCGGTGAAGGGCATTCGAACGGGGGATAGGACTTCACGTTCTCTTGCGCTTACGAAAGACCATATGGTGGGAAGTCCCCTTCCGACAAAATGGCTGAGTCCGTGATGCATCATTTTAATTAAGCTATGAAACGCGTTTTCCTCACGAGCATTGAATTGAGCGAGAGAGGATATGGGTGGCTGCTCCGGTAGGAGAGGACAACACATGTGCATGGAAGCGTGTTCGATGTCGATGACCTGGAGGCCTGAGAACAAGCCAGCCCAGTTTAGAGCTGTGTCATGTACATCGTGCGGGGTGTGGTCGAGCAAGAGGCGATAAGCGATGGCTATCCAAGTGCCAGTGGCTGGGACATAAGCTTCTGAGCTCAAGCTAGCCATAATAAGGCCAAGGATGTTATGAAAAATCATTGATTCGTCCGTATGCAGGTTCTCATCAGGTTCCCCTGATATGTCTCCAGACCCGTTACCTAGAAAGAGCAATGGATCTGGATTGACAAGCTCAGTGATTGCGCAGCACTGAGCGACAAAGTAACCTTTCGTAAACTCTGAGAGATCCCTAGATGGCCCATGAAGAGCAGATATGAATAGGACTGATGCAAGCAGAAGTGGTGATGGTGATGCAAATGCACTCTGGTCCTTCAAAAAGTGCAAAAGCGGTAGGTTGTTGAGAAAGCTGGATTGCGTTTAGCTCTCTGCCAAATAGAGGACATGCTCATTATCGAGCAGGTTTCGTACGAGTACCACAGGTGTTTGATTACCGGACGTGACCAAATGGCTTCGTCTTGGACAGGCCGCGTTATCTTTCTGAGATGCTTAACAGCTTTCAACAGAGGACGGAGAGACATGTTCTCTGATTCCCCATCCTGACCTGAATCCGGGCTTGCTGCTGTCACAGAGATGCTTTCTCTGCCGATACCCAGAGCATTCTCAATCCTGTCCAAACGGCCGAGGATGGCATCAAGATCCTGAACCCTGTTCAGTGTATCCTGCAGTCCCACCACATCGTGGATTGCTGCTGCTGCCTGAGAGCCCGTGAGCATGACATAATCTATCAAAACACGCCTCTGATAAATGGATAAGCTAACATTCGTTCTTGGTCTGAAGACACAGGTAGCCTTGGTGTGTCGACACCGACGACACGGGGGATTCCCATCCACCTCACATTTCATCTTAGGGACTATCAGCCTGCTCAGTCACAGCATACTGGATTAGCAACTGTCTCTGACCTTTAACCTGCGGCAGTTGGCTGCATAGAGCGATTAGTTCACTACTCGGTTTAGCGTTCGCGAATTGTGCTGCTTACCGCATGCCTTAGTCGGCTTTAGACCCAAAGTGATTGCTTTCGTGCCTTTCATGATAATGGGTTTTGCAACGATGGCTGTCCTTCAGGGCGCCAATGCCAATAGGCATATCTGGGCCGGATGGCATTAAAGACATGCACTATAGCCGACGGCTTGATTTGGCGCGTGCCACGTGAGTCGGGCCCTACCGTTCGATGATTCTAGCCCCTGATAAGAGGCGATTGAGCTTATTGGAAATGGAGATAGCGGAATCCTGGACCCATCCAAGATGCTCCGAGACCGGTCCTATTGCCCAGTTTTGCCTTGGAGAAACGGAGTACCCATTGCTAACCTAATTGCTTTACTATATTCGATGTACGATGTTACGGAAACACATCTACCATGTCGCTCACCTTCAAGAATCTGTTTCATCGTTTTTAGTCCGCTCTGCGTAGGCTGATAAAGATCAGAGCGGGTCTGAAAACGGGAATTAGAAGTGTACCATTGCGGGCTCACATTCCTGTTGATCTTGCGCTTGCTCCTTGGATAGGAGGGCTGACCATCTACCGGCCATAGTGTATAGACTGGAGATGGAGCTCGTCTGTTCTTGATGCGCGTGTGCGTCCGAGATGCTGGGATGGATAGGCAATCCAAAGACCGGAAAGAAAGGAGAACAATGAAAAGGACTTGTACAGGCAAAAGTTCTATATACATAATCTTGCCATGCGTGTAAAAACCAGCATAATACTCAGGATTATACGGCACACATGCCCGCCGAAGCAACCTCAACAATTCTGTCAAGACTCAGGAATCGGTACCGCTCAGAGAACAAGGATAGGGTCAAGGAGTCGACATATCTGCCAGGCAACAATATAGGGATTCGGTTGCCTTTCTCGAAAAGAGGAGTCACTAAGCGCCTAGGCAGATGCTGCGATATATATTCCCCCATGGTGCCCTGCTCACTTGCGCTAGAGACGATTAAAGGAAGGCTCCGCATATTCCAGCTTTCTGATCTATCCCGATCTTCCTTTTCAACGGACAGACAGGCAGATCGCTATGAGCCCTGAACTAGATGCCACCTGACTTGTCGACGTCATTCGAGGTCATAGCAAGAATCCTTTTTACTCTGGTGCTGATACATTTCATGAGTCAGTCACGCCAGTTATGAAATTTCTGCTGTCCCCTTTAGCAAAACTCTTTGAAGCTTCCTGGCTCTATGTGCTAAATTAGTGCTCAATAAGCTCATAATCCCACCAAGCTCAGTCCCTAGCGAATAATCCAATTCTGGGAAACCATCATGATTTGATGAGATCGAGGTTCTGGTAGCTAGTAAGGCGAACATTCCTTTTATTGGTCCATTCGGCCTCCCGTCATGGGCATGTCCTTGTTTCCACAGCCACATGGATGTAGCCCGCATCGGTCTTTTCATGCTCTAACCAACTTGCTGTGAGGTATGATGCTGGGAAGTGCTCTTTTCTTGGACGGCGAAGTTATCGATCCATTCTCCGACCTCTGGAAAGTTCTCAAGCTAGTGACTGTCGGAGTAGATCATCCAGACTAGCTCGAGCGGAGCAGAGGGCTATTGGACCTCACAAACGTCCGGGATTCTGCAAAGCTGGATTCGGCCTCGGCGGCGAGACTTATCCCACGCGCTGTACGGACATCTGACGTACTTTAGCGAGCCCGCTGCCGCTGTTAGGGTAACAAAGGTGGTCCGGGGTTGTGGTCCCGAGCGGACCGGAATCAAGCGCAAAAGCTAGGATACGCAACAAACCGACCGCGTCCAGGGTAATATCGGAAGGATGAAGCGCATGTCGGGTCGTGGGAGCATCCTAGGATGGGAAAGGCCGTGGAGGGAGGGTGGAAGGGGGTTAAAAAAGGAGGAGCGAGGGTGAGATGGGCCGTGTCATTCGGAAGGCGGACAGTGAATTAGAATAGCGCCAAGAGAAGTTTTCGAAAGAGGCTAGTGCAGGTCAAGTGCGCATCCCCCCTCTTACGACTATTCAATCCTCCCCGGCAAGATCCTCGAACCGTCCGGCGTTCCTGTGTCGACTCTGTCGCCAAACTGCGTTTCGACTCCCAGCACACTCTGCATTCCGCTCAAAGCCGTGAGCTTTTGGTCGGCTTGGCAGAACGGGGTTAGTAGAGGACCTTAGGGATCCGTTACCTACCGAGTTCTCCAAGTCTGAAAAGACCACCCAGGTTCTCCGCTACTTTGGATAGTGAGATTACCGAGTGACCATCGATCACGGCACCTCTCCTCACTCTCGGAAGCACGATCATCTTATCGGACACCCTTGCTGTCGACGTGTTGCCACAGCTCCGTGCCGGAGTAGCGAATCCATTCCCTGCCAGTCCCAGCCAACCGTTCCGTCTTCGCAATTTTCATTTCCGTGGATTGGCCACGCGACCACCACCAAGTCAATCGCTCAACAGAAGCTCGAATCGTCGAACCCTGTGTACAACTGGAAGCAATGTCATCTGCAGCAATGTCGAAAAAGAACAAGGGGAAGAAGGTCGCAGACCCCAATGAGACATCGAAGCTCTTGGCTGCGAAAATATCACAGTTGGAGCAAGATGCTGCTGGGGAGAAGGACCAGGAGGCAGAAATCGGTGCGTGATCCTTATGAGCGGTGGAATAAGCGGGATAAATGCTGTTGCGTGGACGAGGGCTAATGATCTATCGCCTATAGAGCGCGAAGTCAAGAAGGCTACGAGGGACCTGAACCAACTCCTTAGCAATATCGAATCTCCGATGACGCGGCTCGAAACCGTTCATAAGAAGTACACCGAGTTGCTGGCCGATATGAAGAAGTTGGATCGCGACTATTCTAAGAGCAAGAAGCGGGCGGATCAACTGCAGAAGGATCAGGACAAGGGCAAATCTGAGTTGAACAAGACCGTCACCATGAAGGATAAATTGGAGAAGCTATGCAGGGAGCTTACTAAGGAGAACAAGAAGGTCAAGGTGTGTTGGTCCGAGCTCTTCAATGTCGCTATTCCGTTACGCCGGGCTGGATGAGGGCTAAATGCAATGATTGCTAGGACGAAAACAAGAAGCTCGAGGAGACTGAAAAGAAGGCACGGCTGATTGTCAACGAACGACTCGATTCTCTCTTATACGACATTCAAGACGTCATGGCCGCCAAAGGAAACCCGCGCAGCGAAAAAGCGGATGTTGATCTGGATGAAGCGTGAGTTACCGCGGCTCGCCGAGTAAAGCTCTTTCAATGCTGACTCTGTATTATAGTTTGCGCGCAAAGATCAAAACCATTGGTGAGAAGTTCGAGATGCGTGAGTTACATTACAAGGCACTCCTTCGCAGCAAGGATGCGGAGATACAATGCCTTACCGCCAAATACGAAGAGCAGCGCCGTGCAGCAGAGAATGAAGCAGCTCGTTGTCGGGCTCTGAGCTCCCAGGTCTCGACTTTTTCGCATACCGAAGCCGAACTACGCAGTCAACTCAACATCTACGTGGAGAAGTTCAAGCAGGTATGGACCGATGTCGATGGCTTGCTCGGCCTCAGCCTCGTTTTGACCGCTGGTAATAATAATGTCGCAGGTGGAGGATACGCTGAACAACAGCAACGAGCTTTTTCTTACGTTTCGCAAAGAGATGGAAGAGATGTCGAAGAAGACCAAACGACTGGAGAAAGAAAACCTCACCCTTACACGGAAGCACGATCAAACAAACCGCAACATACTTGAAATGGCCGAGGAGCGCACGAGAAATCATGAGGAGCTGGAAAAGTGGCGAAAGAAAAGCCACCATCTTGAAGCACTTTGTCGCCGAATGCAAGCCCAGGGCCGTGGTCAAGGTCTTGCAGCGGATTTGGACGGCGACGACGAAGGAACAGAGAGCGAATATGATGAAGATTACGAAGATGAGGAAGATGATGAGGGAATTAGTGACGATGACTACGAGCTCGAAAGCCCGGATGGCGACATGAACGGAGACCGCGTGGTACCCCAGCCACAAGAAAAGCCAGTATTCGGGCCACCTCCGCCCCCAAACCTACTGGAAGCGCGAGCCAACGGAAATAAGGCAATGATCAATGGATGCCATTAGTGGACTTTCCATCTATATTATGTTCTCGTTTATGTTTCCTTGGCTTGGTAACCACTAGCGAGTGCCGGGGGGCTTGCCTTCTGCGCTGGTGATGCCGCAGTTGTCTCGGGTGTTTTACTTCTCCTGTTCAGCTGCGTGGCAGATGACCTTGATGAGCTGAAAATATGCTTCCCCAGGAACATCCACTGGCAACTGCGCAGTGTAGCACTGGGTCTTTCCTATTTCCGTATACAGATATTGTAGCGGTTTAGCTCTTTGCAAGAGGATAGGTGCCCGCGCTCATCTCGGTTACTATCGGCCTTAAACTGCAACATGCACTATCACAGCTGTGGGTTTTTGCAAGTCGTGGTCCTACGTTTTGTTCGCTTTTCCTTTTCGTGTACTTGTACATGCTAGACACCAACATCTAAACGTACTTATTACGTTATCATGAAAATTACCACAATACAATTCATGTCATATATGCCAATGGCGAGTTGAGACAGAGTCAACAACCCGATCAAAGTCTACTTATTGGACCGCTTATATAAGACCCTCCGGTTTTCAGCATATCCACAGCTTGCTGTACCATCTCCCGGACAATCACACCGGCCGGTTTGATATTTTGAATACTGGCAGAAACGTCGCCCATCAAGAAGGGCACATCGACTTCCCTGTCGTTCTTGAAATCATGCTCAATTGGAACAATGCCTTGGGCCGTCAACCTGGCAATCTCCTCGGGTCGCTTCTCCCACTCTTTAATATAATCATTAGGGAGCATGCGCAGCGGCCTTCCAGAGATGACGAGCGTCCGTTTCGTCTCTCCATATTGCGCTCCAACAACAGCTTCCTTGTGCAAGCGACTTGCACCGCTTTCTTCCGAAGCAACAAATCGGGTGCCGACCCAGACGCCTGCAGCGCCCAGCATCAATGACGCAGCCAAGCTACGGCCGTCGTTGACACCACCAGCAGCAACAACCAAGGCGGGCTGGCCCGTCAACGGGCTCTTGTATTTCTTAGCCACGTCCACAACCGCAGGGACGAGCACCGAGAACGGGATATCACCAGTGTGGCCGCCTCCTTCGCCTCCCTGCGCACAGACAATGTCCACACCTAGCTTGAACGCCTTCTCGGCGTGCTTGGGCGCTCCCACCATGTTCATGATGAGGATACCTGCGTCATGGAGCCGCTTGATGACTCGCTCCGGTGGCACACCGACGGCGCAAACAAACAATTTGGCCCCGTGGGAGATGACAACGTCGATGAGCTGGTCCAGTTGGCCATGGGTGTAGTCATGGTTGGTGGCCCGTGCTGTACCACCGACCTGCGGCAAGGCTAGATCGACACCGAATGGCAACGAAGGGTCTCTCAGAAGTGATTTCAGCTCGGTCAATATCTCCGATAGCTGCTCAGGGGTATAGCCCAATCCGCCCACAGTTCCAAGACCGCCTGCGTTGGAGACGGCGGCCGCAAGAGGTGCTCCAGATGCACGAGCCATTCCCGCTAGCAAAACGGGGTGCTGGATCTTCAGCAACGAGCAGAGGGGTGTCTGGAGGGACATGTTGATGGCTTTCGATGCAAGAATGATGGTAAAGAGATATATTTCCGAATCTATGATGTTTTGGTGTAAGGAGCTCTTGTCTGGAGATTGGGAAGAAATGCGGTCAGTAAGCTGACGTCGTTTGGTGGTCTGTGTCTTGTCAGACAAACATACCTAATGCACTGTAGATGAGTATGATTTCAGATTTGAAGACTCCGCTGTGACCAGCGGTCTAAATAAGCTCGGTCCCATAGCTAGATGAACTCCCTCACAGAGCATAACGTAGGGTGTACAAAGCATATGCTCCGCAGGGGTTGTGCCTGAGGAGGTGAAATGCGGGGAAGCGGAGCCTCCAGGCCTAAGGCCCGGCCGGACCGAGGCATTGGCCTCTGGTGCCACTCGGACCAACCTGTTTTCCTCGCTCCAACTTGGCACCAACCCCGGTGATCATAGCTGGTCACGACTGTTATGCCTTGAATTTATGCGGTGCCGCTACCATGTGCATATCATCGAGCTAGCACGTGGCAAATTCCTTCTAAGCCGTGAACAGGGGCTACTATGGTAGTCAGTCTACGTTCATCCTTCACCATATGTATAGCAGAGGTAGGCTCCTTTCGCTTATGTACTGAACGCTCCGGATAATGACACAAGTGCTGACATATAAATTTCTAGATATTTTAGTACCGAACAAATGATTTAGTTATGGACCCCAGCATTGATCGACAATTGGGAATCAAGTGAAATGAACATTAAGCACACAGCTCTATGATACACGTTTATATTCAAATTTGCAGTACACCCAGTATAATTGAGAGCAAGAAGCCTCCAGAGCCCAAGATCATGTCTCTATTCGCCATCGCCGATTGTGTCGCTTCCATGATCACATGGGTCCCAGTCACTGTCCCAGTCACTGTTCCTGATACAAGAGCAATGTTCTTTCGTGGCCTATTCAGAAAACTGTCAGCTGTACGGCACCACTTCTCGAGCCCATGAAACGGTAGTCTTACCCATTGGTGCCGGAATATCCCTCTTTGGATGATCCTCCTGTCGGTAATCCCGCATCTGTTGTCGTGGCTGAAGGGACAGAGGTTGTTTCAACATGGTAAGGGTAGTCGACAGCAGGACCCGGAGGGGGCTGATAGTAGCCTACTGCACCTTGAGGCGCTGTTGCGAGAGATGCTGGAATACTCCTTCTGAGCAGATTCGACTGCAGACCGCGCAAGAACGAATCAAGATACGCCGAGGTGAGGGCGCCCGCTAAAAGGCCAAGGACTAGAAAGCTGCGCAGCAGGCGATTGAAAGAGTGTAAGACCCTCATATTGAGGCAACCACGGACTGACTATGGAAGCGTGTCGTGAGCTGCTCTTCAGCATATGGATTATGAATCTGAGGGAAGGAAACACGCGTGAATTGGGAAACCATGCCCATACATATTACACGTTAAGCCAGAGAGCGTGACTCTACGAGGCCAGGGCGTAGCGAGCATTCCCATGTGTTCGGCATGCCACAATGATAATGCCATATCCCTCGCTAATCTTTGCCCAATTTCCGGTATCCCGGAGATATCTTTTATAATTCGGCATAATATCCTGATTGGATAGTACTGCGCTAAGCTTTGAGGTCAATGGTTTCAACCTTCAGAATGAAGGAAGAAATGTTTGGGCGGTTGCTCAATGAAGGGGTGGCGCTATGGCTGGAATGGACCAGACCATCAGTAGTCTTGCATGCCATTCTTGACAAAAACCCTGGAAGGAATCACACGGACTTCTGTGTCGCGTGTAGGGGTTCCTCTCGTCTGCCTGAAAAGCTCGCAGAGCCTTCAATTACCCCTGGCAGCACCGAGATACAACGTTGTTGGGCGTCTGGTATAGCTTAGGCAAATTCTGGGTAGATGATTCTTTCAGCCAAGCCCAACAAACTCTCACCTATCTGCCCTTTTAGTTTCAGGTCCTCGAGGGAAGGCAAATAGTGTTGTTCTGCTCCGTAGGGAGAAGCTAAACACCAAGGGTGCCAGCATCGGTGTTAAGAGCAGAAAGCTTCCTCGAGGTCAAAACTCCAGCACGCAGACAAAAAATGGATTCCAAAATTCTCGATATTCTCTCCGAATCGCAGTCTTTCAGTTATACAGTCGCTATCCATAAAGCAAAGCGTTGAATTCAGAGCAATCAACGCTCCTTAATTTGGCGAATATCCACGTGAGCTAGATGTCAGCCCAGCGTAGCATATCGCCGTGACCTGTCAGCCCTATGAAGCAGCCAATTGTAGAGAATGCTTTTGAGCCAATAAATTATTTTGTCATGAATTCTGCCATCATCTCAAGTGTGTACTTCGCAAGTTGCCAGCTTGCGCATGTGGAGAACCCCAAAGCGGTACTGTAATTACGGAACGCCAAAAGACGCGTGATTCGCGTAGGCGGAAGAAGCACAGGACAAAGCTCCCAGCATCGGCAGCTGCGTGCAACAACACTCTTCAATTACTTTACAGTTGTGGCATATATGCAACTACACTGAACGAACATAACAAGTGTAGTTAGCAGCCAACACAAGTATGGCGACCAGCACAGCAGGGAGCGAGTTCTTGCGTCCCCCAAGGTTTGTTCACTATCTCATCCGCTTTCTAGATATGTGAACTAACCATGAATACGATCGCTATAGCAATCAAGATTTCGATACCGTCCGCCGCGAGCCTTCACATTATAATCCCCTCGACACATTTCGACTACCCAGCGGCCAGGATCGGCATTACCAACAGCAGTATGGCGACATGTACTTCTTGCGACTGGCGAAGCTCAAGCCCGCCGTTGAAGAGATTGCAGTGGACGCATGGGAAGGATTTAGTGTAAGAATATACTCTTCCAGAATCGGCGAAGACCTTGAGCGGGGAATACAATAACATGGCGATGAGAAACGGAAAGGCTTCGTCGATAGTACTGTCAGCTAACGAGTTCGGCTTGGTGATTAGATCGCTGGAGAGAATGCGCGTCGCGTGGAGAGAGTCCTCGATGTGAGACAGGGAGAGCTTTGCTGGGTTGCAGGCACGATATATATGGATATGCCATTGAAGCCGAATATTCTAGACGATCTTACAAAAGAGGTGATACACTACCCCGCCACTCTGTATACGGCTTCCATTCTGACCCCGACGACAGAACTATACATTAGCACCGCCTCCTCGACCGACTTATCAAGATCCCGCCAATCCTGATTCTACACAGATTATGTTGGAGGATGAATCCGGCCGATTGCGCTTAACAGGGAGCATGCTTCGGAACACGCAGCTATGCACGGGAGCTATTATCGCCGTTCTGGGAACCGAAAATTCGAATGGAGACTTTGAGGTTATCGATATTAAGGTACCCGATTTGCCGCAACAGCCTCGTCGATGGGAGAGCGAAGGAGTGGACGCACCGCAAAAGGGACCGAGTAAGGGTAAAATTGCCTTTGTGAGTGGGCTAGGAATTACGGGAACGTCGAGCGATACTCTTGCGCTGGAGCTTCTGACCGACTACCTCCTTGGTTATACCGGCACTGCTTCCGCCGAAGGTGCGCCGCCAAATGCTTCTGCGATTACAAGGTTGATTATTGCGGGAAATTCGGTGGGGGCTAGGATGACAGTGGATGCCAACGCCGAAACGAAGAAAAAGTCCGGTCCAAAGAAGTACGGATACGACGCCTCTGCGTATAATGCGTCGCCTATCACCCGGCTCGATTCTTTTCTGGCAGAGATTCTGCCTAGTATACCCGTCACACTTATGCCTGGTGAATCGGACCCGGCGAACTTTTCTCTCCCTCAACAGGGAATTCACCGCGCCATGTTTCCGCAGGCAAGGGCCTACTGTGCCCCGCCTGCTGCTGGTGCAGAGAAGCCGGAGCCCGGTTGGTTTGACAGTGTTACGAACCCATGGGAAGGTGACGTCGAGGGATGGCGCCTATGGGGCTGTAGCGGCCAGAATGTGGACGATGTCCTTCGGTATCTGAATTTCGCAAATGAGGAAGGAAATGTCGGCGACGGCGCTGGAGATGTCAAGGCGAGGATAAGGATTATGGAGGCCATGTTGCGCTGGAGATGTGGAGTTCCCACTGCTCCAGATACGCTATGTAAGTTCTTTACTCCCTCGATTATCCTGACACTAGTGCTAATGTTTCCTGAAACAGGGTCCTATCCATTCCAAACAGATGATCCATTTGTGATGCAGGCCTGCCCTCACATTTTCTTTGCCGGCAACCAGCCACGGTTCAAGACAGCCACAATCGAGAGCGATTCACCTCTGAAGCTGAACGGGGCCGACACGGAGATGACCGGTACAGATGAAGAGACCACATCTGGGCCTCGTGTGCGTCTTATATCTATACCCAAGTTCAAGGAAACCGGAGAACTAGTGTTGGTCGATACCGAGACACTCGAGGTGGAAGTGGTTAAGTTCAGCACATTTGCCGGGCAACAAGAAAAACAATGAACAGCTGATACCAATAAGGATAGAATAATGAGATATAAGTCTTATGAGTCCCTGATTCATTGTTTGTTCCTTTTCAGTCCATTGACTCCACTTACTAGTCAAATCGATAAGATAATAGCCTTAAAGCGGGCGGTGCCAAGATCCGCGCAGAAAAGTCACGGCTCTTCAATTTGGTCTTCTACCACCACATATCGCAGTCTAAAGACCATCTACTCTAAGTAGACCCGTTCCTATACTTTAAGCACTCCCCAACAAGATCCCTTCCCACGCCAGGCGTCCCAAAATGCTCCTCAACGCCAAAACAGGTCCGTCCAAAATCCCAATCGCATGCGCCACACCACCCAGCCTAACCAATTTCCCTCTATAGCCATTTCCACCTCCGCGGTGCTCCTAGTCCCATACTCCAAATGGCACGTCCCCCGATACCACGAATGGATGCAAGATGAGGTTCAACCCCTTCCCACCCCCCCTAACCCCCATCATAACCCCCACAAATACCTAATTAATCCCCGAATAGGAAATCCAAGAAGCAACCGCCTCCGAACCCCTCACCATCGAAGAAGAATACGCCATGCAACAAAGCTGGCGCCAAGACCCCGATAAACTTACCTTCATCATCTGTCACCCAGCGCCAATCCCATCCCCAGGCCCTATGCAAACCACAGCCGACACCCCAGACCGCATGGTCGGCGACATTAACCTCTTCCTTCGCATCGACGACGGCGAAGAAGGCGACTCGGAGCCCCAGATCATCGGGGAAATCGAACTCATGATCGCGGAGAAGAATAACCAGCGGAAAGGGTTTGGGAAGGCGGCGCTGAATACGTTTCTTCGGTATATTGTTGAGCGGGAGGGGGAGGTTTTGGAGGAGTTTGTGGGGAGGGATGAGGGGGCGAGGAGGGCGTTGGAGGGAAAGGGGGAAGGGAAGGGGTTGAGGTTGGAGTGTTTGAGTGTGAAGATTGGGAAGGATAATGAGAGGAGTTTGGCGCTGTTTGAGGGGGCGATGTTTAGGAGGGTTACCGATGAGCCGAATTATTTTGGGGAGTTTGAGTTGAGGCGTGGGAGGGGGGATTTGGGGAGGGAGGTGGTGGAGGGGGGGTTGGAGAGGGCGGGGGTGAGGGGGTATGAGGAGGTGGGTTATGAGAGGGTGGAGTGATTTGGTTAGATGAATAGATGGCTGTGTTTTTCTTATAGCTCTTGTTTCTCTGTTGGATGGGTTCGATTGCTAAGACTCAGCAGGACCTATCTACAGCCTGGTGGAGGCCGAGCGATTAAGCATCGACTTGTGATAGTTCGGCCTCGACTATGACATCAGAGGGCGCAGTGACCTCAAGTGTTCAATCGTCCACTGGGACCAGTGTAGCCTGCAAAGCTCCATAGAATGTGAAGCTAGGCGTTATCAATGTAGGCGTTGAGTCGGATGCTGTCGCGGCAAGTGGAGAGAACATTCAACCCCATTTGCTCGATACCCATGACCTACAGGATGTAGACTGCCTTACTATCAAACACTACGACTACACCTGCAACATGGACTGCATTCCACGAACAATGCCCGTCCAAGCACAAGCTAACCGGAGAACGTACCGCATCATCGGGAGAAGTCGAGGTATCATGGAATTTTCAACTGTTTTCTCCATAAGTTGTAGGATGTAGGGTGCTCCGACAAAGCAAACCCCAGCAGAAGTTCCAGTCATGCAGGTCGTCTGGTCGGTATGTTCGGACTAAACATCACAGTCACCGGCATCAGACGCGGAGAACAACCTATCGGATCAATGATCAATCATCCTCCGTGTCGGCCCACAGAAGCAATCCATGCCCCATGCCAATCCTAATCGACAGTTGTATTCATGCTTCGACCAATTCCATGCTGCGACCTCCTCTCGTTGTGATGATGGAAGGTATTTACAGAGCCTTCTTCTTGTCACCCTTGGAGACGTCGACAACCTTGAGAGCTGTATGAGACAAAATGACGTCAGTATTCAATCCGAGGTCTCGACCATTCTCAATGGGTCGTGATTCAATGCCGATAGATGTATTTGATCCAGAATTTTCCATCCAAACCACAAGTCGATCAGGTGACGGGAGCAAACGCACCAGGGGGCAGGCTCTGCTTGAGCTTGTCGGCCTTGTCGGAGTCCTTCAGGACAAGGGTGTAGACGAAGCGGGAGCAGCGGACCTTGAACTTGATCTGCTGGTCCTTGGGGTTGCGCTTGATGCGGGCAGCTGTAGACGAGCATCACGCGTTAGCCTCCATCCATTCTGCCTTGGTTTCGTTGATGGTATATCGGGTCGGGTCGAGCTTCCTTGGAGCTCCGCGGAGCTTCCACTTCCATCATCACTAAGCGGCTAAAGATCGGGTAAACGTACAGGACGCATCCTTGCGGCGGCAGACCTCGATGAACTGCTTGATGTCGGAGATTTCCTGAGGCATGGTGGGTAGCTGTTTTGGGACTTGGGTTGGGTAGTCTTGGAGAACGTCGGGACGGAAGAGGATGACAATCGCGGGTCTCGAAGCTCGACGGCGGGCGGTGGTCGGGGCCACGCCAGCTTCTGTGGGTGGTAGGGTTGCCCCCCGGAAGCCCTTAGTTCCCGTGCCACGCCCGGGCGGGGGAAGCCGCCTCTGTGGCGGTGCATCATAAGGCGGCAGCCTACGAGGATCGGCAATCGGCCTACGACTATTTGGCCACCCCAGGTCTATCTATATCTACTGGGATATCTGGCAACAACCTTATTGTCTGTCACCAGACTTCGCCGCTCCTTTCTGACCTCTTGACTCCTACACACTAGACAGCTGCGTGTATATACAGCAAGTGATTCCTAATCAGAGAAAAATGCCGACGCCTTTGGATCGCGCATTAAACTCCAAGGTATATACCATACCCACGGAACACAGTGATCATCAGCTAATAAAGTTCCAGAACCTATTCCTAGGTACCTCCATCTAAGTTGCAAGATGTTGGCGGTGACTCCAACCTAACGTCTCCAGGTTTTACCGGAATGGTCACAGCGGCGGCTGTTTGGGCCATCTGGGGTAGTGACATGTTTCCCGCTGAAGCTGACCCAATTGGAGGTATATATCGAGATGTGTGATCGTGGATGCACCAATCTGACGTCTAAAGACCCGGAGAACTGGACTGCAGATGAAATGGTGAGATGGCTTCGTGTGGTATGTCTTCTTCGCTCGTAAACAAAACAATCAATGTCTCCAAACTGAGCAATGGATTCTAACTGTCACTTGAAGAGGGGCCTCTTGCCCAATGAGAACGCAACGCGCGAGGAGTTGCTCGAGCGCATCAAAGCAAATCTGCGTGTGCCGCGAAGATCCGCGGCCTGAACGCAGTGGCGAAAGACAGCAATTTGTTTGTTTCGGGATTATATGCTTGGCGTATCACGGAGTGTTTCATGGAATTTCCTTTGGTTGTCCATCTTGGCTCAAATTGCGTAATCATGTGGTTGACTCATAGCGCATAATGTATTTATCATGTCGTCAGACCGTACTGGTAAATCTCGTCATTTCCATCGAAGATCGGGGAACTCGGCCCCCTCGTAGGAGATTTTCTGATAATTGATAATTGTTCAAACAACAAGTCGGAAATTCTGAGTTTGAATAAGCCATTCGCGCTTGCGCTTTCCCTTGGGCCCGTCGGCGGTTGGGTTCGGGACCAGCACAAAGGTCTCGCTGAAACCGCGTTGGGGAAGATCTCTGGACTCTCCAAAGCGCACGTAGCCGCTAACAATCACCAATATGGACATGTCCTTGAGAGTCGTTTCGGTGGGGAGTTTTACACCAGTCGATGTAGGTGTCGGATACGCCCGGTTGATAATCTGACAATCGAATGACTGCACTTCGTAATGCGTCGGGGACATCTGGTTGACAAAGATCTCCTGTACAGCGGCTCCATCGGCAACAGCGTTTCCGTTGAAAAGGATCATCGAAGGAGGTTGGCTGTAGAATGAGCCTATCGTAGAGCGGTTGTTCTCGAGTGCAGGGTAGAAGGACTGGACGAATTCGCAAGCCGCTGAGAAAATCAAAGTCAGAAATATCATGCCACATGCTTGCTGCAAGTCAACATACCATCCGTAGACACTTTTGTCAACGTATCTTCTGAAGGAGGGGCCATCGTGTAAGCTTGTCGAGGTTGTCGCGGGTAAACTTCAAGACTAATTCACCGTTGAAGCCGGAAAACGGGGAAGAGATCCAAGATAAGTATGTAGTGAGATCCCGAATGGCCAGAAATGGATGATAATAATAACGTTAGGGTAGAGTGAGCGACAGTAGATCTGATGTTGAGAGGAAGCACGCGGAGAAGAGGAGCAGACATCGGACGGCAGAAAAAAGGCACGGAAGCTTGGACTACCCGGAGATGATGGTCGAGCTCCGCCGAAAACGCCGCCTTGAATAAACCATCGTCGCTCCTCTCCGCAGTCCCGCGCCAATGGCTATCTCGAGGGCAGGTATTCGTGCGGCTTCCTGGGCCGGCCAATTCCTGGCCTACAGCCGACCGTCTTGGAGATGTGTTCCCAGCACAACTGCGCGTCCAGTGACGACGGTCCGTCCGCGTCGGTTTGCAACGGCGGCCTCCGAAAGCGCTCCTAAGAAACCCTACTATGTGACGACGCCCATTTTCTATGTCAATGCTGGTACGATTTCGTCGGACCTGACTCTAGGATTTATCGCAACTGCTAACGGTTTTGGCTTATGTAGCACCTCATGTTGGTCACTTGTATACTATGGTGCTTGCCGACGTGATCAAAAGATGGCGGACTCTCATCGGCGATGCTGACGCCCAATTACTCACGGGAACGGACGAACATGGGATGAAAGTGAGAGGCAATCTGGGTTATGGAGCTCCTTCAGGTGCTGATGCGGTATAGATCCAACAGGCCGCTTTGGCGGCGGAGATGGATACGCAGGCTTTCTGCGACATGAACTACAAGACGTTCGAGGTTAGTATCAATATATTTGCCATTTATGGAATCTACTTCCAGAGTTGATGCTAACATTTCTTGGTAGAATCTAGCAGATGCCGCGAACATGGACTACAACTACTTCATTCGGACTACGGAACCTGCACACAAGGAAGCTGTTCAGTACTTTTGGGCATGTGGCTATCGACGCTTTCGTGCGCATAGAGCGAGGCTAACACAATGTGTAGGAGATGTTGAGTCACCGGGGCTATATCTACACCGCAAAGCACGAGGGCTGGTACTCCGTGAGCGATGAGACATTCTACCCCCAGACACAAGTGCAGAAGTCGCTGGACCCAGAGACGGGTCACACCAAAATGGTAAGCACTGCACCAACCTCTCTACTGCACATCAAAGCTTACCCAGACAGGTCTCCATTGAGACCGGAAAGGAGGTAGAGTGGTCCTCGGAAATTAACTACCACTTCCGTTTGTCGGCTTTTCAGGAGCGCTTGCTGGATCTATACAAATCTGGATTTATTACGCCCACGATGTATGCGGGCAATATTGTCAAGTCTGTTTCCTCGGGTCTTCAGGATCTTTCGATCTCCAGACCCGCGGAGCGGCTCACCTGGGGCATTCCGGTTCCCGGCGACGACACACAGACCGTCTACGTTTGGCTAGATGCGCTGGTCAACTACTTGACCAAGGCAGGCTACCCGTTTGCACCCGGTCAAGGAAGCCGTCTCGGATGGCCAGCGGATGTCCATGTGGTCGGTAAGGATATTGTTCGGTAAGTATCTGTCCTGATGCTTCCTGTGGCGGGCGTATGATTAACTGGCAACAGCTTCCACTGTGTATACTGGCCTGCATTCCTCATGGCTCTCGACCTTCCTCTTCCCCGTAATGTCCTCGTCCACGGGCATTGGACTATGAACCGGGAGAAGATGTCGAAGTCGACGGGTAACGTGGTGAACCCGTTCTTCGCCATCAACCGCTTCGGAGTTGATTCGATGCGTTTCTTCCTTGTTCACCAAGGCGCTTTGGTCGGAGACGCCGACTACGACAATGCTTACATCATCCGCGACTATCAGAAGTTGCTGCAGAAGGGCCTCGGAAATCTAGCGCATCGGGCGATCGGCTGTGCCAAGGGTAATCTGCGCTCATACATCGAAAACGGCACGTGCGACAGGCTTCCCCCCGCGACTCCGGCCGACGAGGCGTACGAGACCATGCTCAAAGATGTGCCCCAGAGGGTTGCGAGAGAGATGGAAAACCTAAACCCTCGTGCCGCCCTGCAAGAAATCACCTCTTTGATCGATCAGGTAAGAATGGATCCACCCTACGGTTGGTACAGATTCCGGATTCGTTCTAAATCGCTCTAGACCAACAAATATTTCCATCACGCGGAGCCTTGGAAGAGCCCGAACGACCGCCAGCGATCCATCTTCAATGTGGCCGAATCGCTACGGATGGCCGGCATTCTCCTGCAGCCTGTCATGCCCACCAAGGCCAACGAGCTTCTGGACATGTTCCACGTAGACAAGACGGACCCGGCCAAAAGGAGCTTTGCGGCAGCGACATACGGCTCCGACGCAGACTACGGAGAGAATGCTAAAAAGAGTATCCTGTTTCCCCCTCTTATCGTGGAAAGTTAATATGGCCGCCTTTTTGATTTGATAACAGGAAAGGCCCGGATCCAATCACGGTCACCAGATTGGATGTTCGGTCAGCCAGGCAACGGGCACGGTCTCCGCCAGGGGAGGGTCTGTGGAAGACAGCCCGGTGTTTTCTCGATGTTGGTTTGATGGGGACTGGCCTGCGACGGGGGTTGTCTTGTCTAGGCCCTTACACGCGTGCAGAAGGTTTATGTTATGTCATGGTTATGGTGGAAATATGGAGCAGCATTCCGCAAGGTTATCAGCGGGAAAAGGGTGCCGACTGGGGCTTACCTGATAGATATCGGGACGGGAAACTGAGGGTTTCCCGCGGCAAACTGGGGTGGACTATATCGGAAAGCGACCGTTGTATATCAAGAGTATGGGTTTCAGCGCTATATCATGGGGAGTATATGAGGTTTGTATCATATTCCAGGGTTTGTGTTCATAATACTTATCATTTATACCTAATCTCCTCTCCTACATCCCCTCCATCTCCCTCTTTTAATAACTACCTAAACCCATATATCCATTCACCTATCTATACATTTTATTCCAGACCAATTCCATCATCCTATCTATCAATCAATCAATTGAACTCTCTCTCCTCAAACCACCTCCCACACCCTCCTCAAAGAACACCCCCCTCTCCTCCAAAGGACCAAACCCAACCAACATGGGCAGCATCACCACCCCCAACAACCCCCCAACCTACAAAACCCCGTGGCACTCCACGCCCCTCATCGAATCCACGACCCTCTCCCGCGCGGCAGGATGTAGAATCTTCCTGAAACTCGAAAACATCCAACCCAGCGGGTCCTTCAAGTCGCGCGCCATGGGGAACCAAATCCTCTCACACCTCCGCAAGCCCGAGAACTACCACAAACCCGTGCACTTCTACGCCTCGTCTGGCGGGAACGCCGGTTTGGCCGCCGTCTGCGCGGCCCGGACCCTGGGATACCCGTGCACGGTGGTGGTGCCTGTTTCCACGAAGCCGCTGATGGTGCAGAAGCTCCGGAAGGCTGGGGCGGCGGATGTGATTCAGTATGGGGAGACGTTTTCGGAGGCGGGGATGTATATGAAGGATGTTGTGATGAAGGGGAACAGTACTGGGGGGAAGGAGAGAGATGATGATGATGAGGTGGTGAAGATTGCGCTGCATCCGTTTGATAATGAACCCATCTGGGCGGGGAATAGTACGATTGTGGATGAATTGGTGGAGCAGATTCCTCCGGCTGTGGGGGAGGAGGAAGAGGAGATGCATGCTGGTCGTGCGTTGCCGGTGGATGCGATTGTTTGTAGTGTTGGGGGTGGGGGGTTGTTGAATGGGTTGGTGATGGGGATTGAGAGGCATCGGAGTGGGGATGATGCGGATGCGAAGCCGGTGCATATTGTGGCCGTGGAGACGAGGGGCACGGATTCGTTGGCTACGGCGCTGGAGAAGAAGGAGCTGGTCTCGTTGCCCAAGATCACGTCCCAGGCTACGTCGTTGGGGGCGATCAGGGTCTCTGAGCGGACGTTCCGGTATGCGGTTGAGCCGCCGCCCGGGGTGAAGGTGCATAGTGCGGTGTTTTCGGATGCGGAGGCCGCGAGGGGAGTGCTTCGGCTTGTGGATGATGAGCGGTTGTTGGTTGAGTTGGCTTGTGGGGTTTGTGTCGAGGCGGCGATTGGGGGGTCGGGGGCATCGAAGGCCTCCGGGTTGGTGTCTGCAGGGCAGAAGAGGAAGAGGGGAGTTGAGGTGGAGTATGCGGCCAAGGATGAAGGGTATGGTGATGATCGGCTGTCTGCGGGGGAGAATGAGGACGATGGTCCTTCTCCTCCGTTGTCGCCGTCGTCGTCGGGGGAGTTGCAGTCCAAGCTGAAACAGTTGGTGCCGGGCTTGAATGCGGATAGTCGCGTGGTGATTATTGTTTGTGGTGGCAGCAATGTCACGATTGATATGGCGGCGGAGTGGAGGAAAATGTTGGCTGAGGGCTGGGCGACCTCGGAGTGATTGTTGATATTGATCATCTTGCTTGGGTGATGGTGTATCTCATGGTTTTGATTTTGTTTCGATTACTTGGGCGTGGCGGACTTTACTATACAGGTTAATGACGATTATGATACAGCGTGCTTAGATATGGACCTTATTATTGATATTGACGAAATATTTCCAGAGAATCAAGAACCACTGCCAACTTATCCAGTAGACAAGTCTCCATCCTATACCCTCGCTATCGATACATCACATTCGAAAAGAATCATGCGGAAGTAGGAACTTCTGCACCGGCGATCGTACGAATCCGATAGTCCCAGTAGTTCGCCCGGATAGGATCATATTTCTCCTTCAGCAGGGTAAGCATGCGGACGGCATCCTGTCCTGATGCGCTTTCTTCGGCAAATACATCAGCCAGCCATTCAACAGCATGGCTGCTCTTGACCTCCACATCCCCGTCCTTTTCGATCACGAATTTGCTCGTAAACTCCTTCCATTCCGAAAGAGGCCGACCTGCGGCGCGCAACACCCCCCGCGCATACGACCACGGACTGCGATTCTCAGGTGCCCGAACGATCTTGGACTTGGCGAACTGCAGCTCAGCGTCGATAACATCTTCGTCGACAACGGCCAGTCGGCCCTTCTGAGAAGGGTCCCCGCCGCTGTTTTGCATTCCGGCGTCTGGCTCGTCATCACGCGGTCCAAACCGGAGCATATACCGGTGATTCCAAGCGGAGTTGTTGCGGACATCCGATGCTAGCAGGGCTTCCACATCCTGGATTTCGCGCGGGGCATCCCAAAGCTTGAAATGACGGACGTACCAATGGCGGTAGGTCCAGACATGGTAGTTTTTAGAATCTTGAGCGAACATCTCCATGAGGAAGTCTGGTTCCTTGGCTGGTGGGGTGGGGAAGGAGTCCCTGCGGGACATGAGGACTTGACGGTGATGCCTGATAGTGACAGTTAGATGTGCCGACTGTGATCAGTAAAAGGAGCAATTGGCCGTACCATATTTGGTAATTCTTCAGGTACTTTAGAGAGACGCCGTTCAGCCATTCCAGCTCATCTTTGAGATCTTTTTCCAATGCAACCAGGATCTTTGCACGGTAAATCCTAGTATTTCTGGTCACTTTCTGGCTCCAATGGGATATTTGATAATCAGTATAGTTAAGCTTACCACACGGTATAATGAGCAGGGTTCATCGAAATAATGTCTTCGGTCAACTTCAACGCTCTCTCCGACATTTCGTTGGCTGCCATGACCGCTCGTAGATACGATGTGGCCTCGAGGTACTCCGAAGCATAGGCAATGGTGGCCAAGGGCTGTGCTCCGGATTCGGCACCATCATCGAGGGGAATTGGCTCAATGGAAGCCCATTCGGGGTCTGAGGCGTATTTTCCCTCCATCGTTAAGGTGAGGTATAGATATAGTGGATAATTGCCGGTTAGGCAGCTGGACAGATCTTCTGTGGATCACGCTGTACACAACCAATAGGATTCTCAGACTCCCAGCTTAATCTAGGAGTATGTTTGACGGTGGATAAGGCTCCAAACTGTGATGTCCCAATAGCCTGGGCAATTCAAATCCGCCCGTCAACTGAGGGCAGTATGTCGATGACGTCCAGTAGAAGTTGCCGGAAAAAAAAGGCCACGCCCATGCACCTATACTTCGTCACACGCAAAACAGCCTTGGACTTGAATCGACACTTCGGTCCCTATTAGCTCTCGGAGCTACTGCCAAATATGCGGAAGAGCTGCACGATCAAGCCTCAGTTGAAGATGTCGACGATTTGATATGGGCCAAAGAACGAGTCCGCAGTGGGGTATCCCTGCCTGAGGCAGACACCGAACAATATCAAGGCGGCCAGCCATTCTTGGGATTGTTCTGGCCCTTCTGCCGATTGTTTCCTTCCTCCCTCCTCCATTCCAGTCCACAACTGAAGGTCGGCAGATCCGAGGTTCCTGGCTTTCGATCGACTGGCTGTCATCAGTGAACCTTAAATCGCCAATCTGGAGCATCTGGCAACCCTCCAGTCCATCCGTACCGATCCACGATTCTCGCTGGCAGCGTGCATTTCCCAAAGAGGATAAAAAGTCCCAGGCGGTCATCATTGGCTCGCGATAATGCCTGGCCAAGTTCCCCCCGCATTCTCCGACTTCACATCGCCGTCGCCTCCTCATCCTCCGCCATGTTTATCCGTTCGCTTTCTTTATCCTCAATCTACCATGAGCCCACCACGGACCGATAATGCGTCGCGTCAAAAAGTCCCGTAATGGCTGCGCCCGGTGCAAAAGCAAACGCGTGAGTTTGGTACCATTTCTGGCCATGTCTTATCTACCCATTTGAACCATAAATTAATCTGCCGCTCTTGACAGGTAAAATGCGGGGAAGAAAGACCTCACTGTAGTCGTTGCACCCGTCTGGGCGTCAAATGCCCCGGATACGTCCAGTCTCTCCGCTGGGTTACCAAGTACCCACCGCTGGCCCATGGGGAGCCCAACCAGGATACCGCTGAAGATATTCCCGATGAATCTCGCTCCACCCCTTATCAACATTCCGATCCGAATAATCCAGCTACCAGCCGTCTTAGCCCTGGCTTGGTTGACCCACTGGCACAATCTTTGGCCGTGGATGGTGACAGCCTGAATCTCACCGCTTCTGACGATCCGGTGAACCCTAGGAACCTGGAGCTGGATGAACCGAACGGTATATGTGACAACTTATGGGACCTACAGCAGGCAGGTTCCCTGCCGGAACTTGCAGACCTCCAGTCTCCGGTATCGGCATCGGTATCATCAGCTGGCCAAACCAATCCGGTCTTGAACTTTGAATCCTCAGGGGCTCATGTTGAGGACCCCTTCGGGTTGTTCTCCTTAGCCGCGCCGGCGCTGCAGGATGAACCTCACATCTTTCCTGGGTTTTCGCCAGCTACCATTGTACGTCAGTATCCTCCACCTGGCTCGAGGCCACCACAGCGGGAGTTCGCATCAATCCCGCAGCCTCTTAACAACCCCTCCTGGACTCTCATCGAGTACTATTTCAAGGAGGTGGCGGCCTTGTTTTCAAGCTACGACAGCCAGATGAACCCATTCCGATCCACTGTTTCCCGGCTATGGGGCTCGTCGTTGGCTATGTGTCGGACCATGCAGAGCATGGCAGCCGCGACGCTTGTGCACGACTTTCCACAGTTTGGACCACTGGGTCGGAAAATGCGCGATGAGGCAGTGGACATCATTACGAAGGAGACTAATCTAGATGACAAGTCACTTCTAGCGTTGCTCATGCTTGGCCAGACTGCCAGCTGGCACGACCCCAAGGATCTCGGCATTTCCTTCTTCAATCTGCTGCGAAGCCATCTTGACACCAAACAAGCAAGGCCACCAATGCCAGGCCGTAGCAATAATCATCAGTTTTTCGAAGAAGCGTTGGTCTACTGGGAGATGCTTCTATCGTTCGTGGCCGATGATTCGGCGGTCTTGTCTGGGTCCGCGGCCATAGCAGCCGATGAATCACTCGTTCTACAACGCGTTCCTCATCCATGGACAGGCATAGCGCGTGACACCCAGTATACCGTTCAAGAAGTAGGAAGGCTCATACGTCGGGAGCGGAGACGCATCCGCTCTCGCGCTTTTACATCAAACGCAGACATCGCGAGAGCCCAACGTGCCATGGAGAAGGCACGCGAGCTGGAAGAGCGACTGCTCAGTCTCGCTCACCCAGCCGAAGCCGAAATTATCAGCCCAGGCGATGATGAAACACCGGTCTGGCATCTCCTCACGATGGCCGAAGTGTACCGTTGTACGGGTCTTATGCAACTATACCGGGTCTTTCCCGATCTTCTCCGCCGTCGACTACCCACACAACGTCCCCCCAACCCCCATGATCCAGCCACGACAATCCCGGACCCCTTTCTCTCTCCTCCGATGGGCGGTACACCCTGGTTCTGTGAACCCTCGTACCCGGCCCCAAATCCAGAAGCCACCGAGACGGCCGATCCAACGACGGCACACCCAGACTCCTACTATGACAGTTGGCTGACCGAGTTCACACTCACCACTCTTTCCCGTCTCAAGACCATCCCCCTGGAATCCCGCACCCGGTGTCTCCAACCCTTCCTCCTCGTCGCCTCGAGCAGCGAGCTCCGTCTCCCTCGTCTCCCTCCCCTAGACACCAACCTAGACAACAACGAACCAAGCATATCTTCCCATGCTGTTGACGTCTCTCGAACTCGCCGATTCATCCTCGGGCGACTCACCTCCTACCTGCACGTCCTGCCCCCCAAACCCATCAGCGTCTGTCTCCAGCTAGTGCGGGAGGTTTGGCAACGCATGGACGCCGGAGAACCAGGGATCTACTGGATGGACGTGATGATAGAAAAGGGATGGGAAACAACCATGGGATAATCGAGGTATCTCCCGCCTGCTCAAGATCAGGCATTGTAACGAATTCACATGAATGGAACGCTTCTGTTACTGTTGGAGCTGTATGTATATTACTACTTTGTTCCGGGGTAAAATTTACACAACGGTATTAGTATTGGTATTTGATTGGAACTGAAAGGGAACTTAGCCGTCGCTACGCCCGAGACCTAATCCAAGAGCTAGGTAAGATAATGTCAAGAGCCACGTAGGCCAAAAGGAATATATCCCTTCGAGCCCCGGGCGTACAAGGTAGAATATAACATGTCTCAACAGATAAGATAGATCGACATCACTTGTATCACATTACCTACATCACTTAGATACACCCATTAAGAATGCAAACAATAGTCCCTAATGACCGGTTTTCCCTCATACAGCATTTGGAGAAGAGAATGTGCAACACCACAAGAAGGCAAGGAATGTTTTATAAGGCATAAGATAGGGGAAGAGAAAGGGGAATTGCGAAGAGGGAATAGATTGTGTAATTGAAGTAGAAGCGTGTCAAAGTGTCAAGGAATTATTATACACAGAAGAGAAAAAGAATGAAGGGGGCCGTGAGAACAAAACATAGGATGAAGGGAATTGAAAACCAATTAAATGCGTAATAAGATGCAGTCATGCAATGCCCTAACACCAAGCTCGGACGGAAGGAGAAATGATCATAAGAGGTGGGTTTAGGAGAGGTAAATGAGTGATGGTGGTAGAGGGTAATCCCATGGGGCTGGGTTGGAAATTTGAGTTCAAACGGCTCGTTTCCAGAACTTCCATCCTTCCCGTCTTTCTTGCGTGCCGACGCCGACAAGACGCTCGATACCTTCGGGTCCATCGGCATTCTCGAACTTCTGTTGGTCAATCTCCTCGCCGCCCTCTTCCTCGGAGCCGTTACGTAGCACTGCCGGCCAGAGGACTCCAACGCCGTCTCCACCCAAGGTGGTCTCATATTTCTGGAAATTCTCCTCGGCGAGCTGGTCCTGGAGCTTGCGGCGTGCGTCCTCGCTGGCATCCGGGCGTAGAAGGGTGATCGCACAACCCCCGCCGCCCGCACCGGTAAGCTTTGTCCAACCGATATCAGCAAAGTCGACCAATTCCCGAATCCGCTCCAGTCGCGGATGGGAAACTCCTAGGGACACGAGGAAACCGTGGTTGACACGAACCAGCGTTCCGAGGTGTTCGAGGGTTTCCTTATCGACATCCTTGCCATCAGTCCCTTGGATCGCCTCCTGCGCGGATAGGGTGACCTTGTCAATCGCATCGAGGATAGATTCGGTAACGAGTGGATGTTCCTTTTTGAGCTTCCCGACTTTGGCGACTTCAACCGCAGTCGAGCGGCTCTGTCGTGTGTCGACCAACAGGAGGGGTAACTCAGGGAAGTTCGGCAGCGGCACGACCTTCGGGGGCTTCGAGTAGTCTTCCCTTCTAAAAATTACGGCCTTGCCGCCCGTGGAGACCGTGTTGTCCACTCCGCTCGGGTTTCCGTGTATACACAATTCTCCAACGAATGCCCATCGGTTGATTCGCTCGATCTGCAGCTCCGCCTCATCGGGCGGTTGGTCGTCATGAGGACCTGCTAGAGTGCGGATCTGAAGCAGCAGCGCGGCACTGAGACATGTGCAGACACTGGCACTACTTCCAAGACCTGCGGCCATGGGGATTGTCGAGCGCAAAGTGTAAATGGCACCCGGATTTTGGGGTGAACCCAGGGAGCAGAACAGGTATAGGAATGCCAACGCCGACCCTTTGTGTTTCTTCCGCAACTCCTCCGGCGCCTTGGGCGAAACCTCTTCCACATATGGTTGTAGTGAGTTGTACAATTCTTCATCGAGGGTGGTGACAAGGTCGTAATAGTACTTCTTCTTGGAGGGTTGCTTGAAGAGGTCCCAGGGCAAATCATCAAGGTTCCATGTGTGTTTGAAATCCATGTCCCTGAAGTTCAAGGTGATGGTGCGCTGTGATTTGGACAAGGTGGTAACGAGGAAGTAGGAGCGGAGGGAAATGGCGGCGGCCATGGCAGCCTTGCCGTGCACGACGGCATGTTCACCGAAGACGATGACCTTGCCCGGCGCGGATACCATGAAAGGGGGCGCCATGGGCGATGAAGCCTTCCGAGCCATGGCTCTCTTCACGGAGTCGACGCCGTTGGTGGGAGAGGTGGCAGGGAGGCTAGAGGCACTGGTGATAACGGTCGTCGCCGATGTGTTCGATGCGGCGTCGGAGATATCAGGACTATCATCGCTAACAGTCACTGTTTTGGGGCGAACAAGGGGGGCAGGATCGGGAATGAGGTGGGACATGTTGCGACGTTGGCCTGCTTTCGAGGCTCTGAGACTGCCGTTCTTGCGACGTGCGCGTCCGTTGTGCATTACTGGAACGAGAGGCAGGGGTGCGTAACTTAGGGGGGCGATTGGCGGCTGACAGTCGGGGGTCTAAGCGTGGAAGGACTGGACGGTGAGCATGGCGAGACGAGAAAGGAGAGTTGCAGAAAAGGGGATTCAAAGAGAGAAAAAGGCCGCAGAAGGCGCCCAAGTCAGCATGAGTGGACAGGCAATGGAGGAGTAAGAAGATTGAGAACACGAATCGCCGGCGCTGTCGACGGAGGGATCCAAGGATGCCGGAAGGGGAAACCGGGGTCGCAGCCAATCACGGAGCCTCAATTGTGCATTAGTCACCGTTGGGTTGCGGGCCATCTGACATTCAGCTCGAATTGCAGCTGCCCATGCATCATCATGGTCTAGATTCTACACGGTAGCCCTGAGTCTGATTGCGCCCGTTGCAGGGATCGGCTTCCCCTTGCCAACCCCCGGAAAAAGCAACCAGCCTTCCCGGCGCTGTGGGTGATCGCTTGGAGGTGCCTAGACTGAAGCATGGGCGCCCACTCCTTGCTACCTTACTCGGAAGGGTGCGTAAAGATTGGCTAGTCGCCATGGTCAGCTTGGAGGCCTTTGCATCTGCATGGATTTCATTGGAACACGCCCCCTCAGCTGGATATCACCTGGATGGATCAAGGAGGACTCAAGCTGAAGCAAGACGGCGTCCGGAGTATATCTATAGTCGAAACAGCTCGTCCGAACCGACTCCCAGGCAAACATGATGCCAGTGGTCTTCCACTGCATTAACTCAGGGTGCACAGCTCATTGGTATGCATGGTCACTACCTATAGACCATCGAAACCACCCTGCGTGATTTAATGTTCAATATGCAAAGCATCGCTTTGGGAGTCCCCTAAGATGCGTCGGGCTGGGCATTACTAAACGCCTTCCTCGGTTTTTATTTCCCTTTTGATATAGTATCCTTGCCGACGGCCTTTGCTTCACCCAGTCTCTGCGGGTGATAGTTCACCTCTGATATGCCGAGCCACTCCTAGGCTTCTCAAGTTGATAGACTTGTAAGTCGCTGGATCTTGAAATAGGTATGTCGAGCCAATATGTGGCCACGCCACCTGGTTCTTACAACGGACCTGACACTGTAGCAAGGAGTATCGCAAGATGGTATTAAGAGAAAGTGCACGTATATGGTTTTTATCAGGACAAGTGTAGGACCAGTAAGGGGGGAACTGAGGCATAAGATGAATGCTGCTCAGAACTTTCCACACGGCGACCGGCTGTGCGAAATTTGCACTTGCAGACCAGTCCAACACATGTCATTGCCAATGCCACATGCTTGGCTCTCATGCACCTCCAAACCGGCCCAGGGCGACTTTTGTACAACAAGCAGCACTTCTTCTACATGAACCGTCAACTTGCTCCCTTCGTCTCCTATAATTTTCAGGGACATTGCTCGAAGGGTCAGCCTGGGATTGTTTATCTCGCAAACAGTTTCACCTTCAATAATGTATTCATACCTTTTGGCTCCCACAAACGGCAGTGCCATTGACAGCATTACTTGCCTTCAACACCTCACTCATAAGCGCCAGGATATGAAATCTGTGATAGAATACTTCTTATATGCAGTTGCCTTGAACTTAGTGCAGCAAAAGAGAGAGTAAGAAAAGTTATTGAGGCGCATGCTCACTTGGACTTTGCCATGCAACTGGTGGAATATGATGTTGGTGCCGAACACACTGCTCATCACATTACATCGAGAGAAAGAATGTTCACACTGTACCCGGAAGGTGCACGAGACTTTCTTGCCTTGGCTCATTAACCGCTCCCTCAGCCCTGACAGTGAGAAGCAGCTCGCGAGCATATGATGCAGCCGTCGATGCAGCATAACTGCGCCATCTATCATCCTGGCAGCTATTACAATAGTCGCCGATTCCTCGTATGATGAACGAAGGAAAGCTATTCATCAAGCCTGCGGCTACAGTGTCATAGCATAGGATGTTCATCTTAGGGTCATCTGCGTATACGGCCTTGGTGACGACATCCGCGATCTCACAACCTGAAGCAATTGTCCCATAATGGGCCATTACTCCACGGGTAGTGCAATTGCTCCCTCTCCGATCGAGCCTGTCTCTGGTTTCAGATCCTTTACTCTGTCCACCATGCCTATGATCGGAATGGTACACTCGGTCATACTCAGGACGTTGAAATCCAGGCAAGTCGTTCATCCGTTTCAGATGCTCCGTTGTGATGTCTGACTTCATCGGGCCATTATATTGGCCTTGTACTTTGGAGACTGCCGACAGAAGCACATCTGGTGGAGGATTCAATCGCCCAGTTAGTTCGAAGCGGCCACCCCGAAGATGCTTTCTCATATCATATTGCTCTATGCCGCGAGCCGTATTCGTGGGCACACCAACCACAATATCACCTACCTGGACGTCATGTTCTGGGCTAGGGTTTCCGTCTCCAACGCCAACCGACAGTATGAACCGCAAGTGAGGAAATGAGCGAGCCATATCTCGGGCTGTTTGTGCAGCAATATAGCTCTTGAAGGAACCCGTCCGTAAGAGTGTGAGAGCCACCAAATGCTCCCCGATGCGGCCAAAGACATAGGCATTCGGGTCGCGCAATTGCTCAGTGCCTGGGTTTTCGAACTCTTCGTCCAGCATTCGGCAAGACGCATCGTACTCTTCTCGCAGAGCACAAATCCAGCCGACTGTGTAGGCGTCGACAGGAGGGATGTCTTTTGTTGTCTGAAAAACTGCTTTCACCACTGCAAGCAACCTCCAGGCTGCATTTTGGGCGGAATGGAAATTCGGGAGGTGCATTCTATCGAGAATACAAGTTACACCATGAAGCACGGTTGAGATCTTATGGTTCTGCAAAAAGGACGCAGTCGCACATTCAAGAAGCAGTAGTAGGGGCACATCTTCAAATGCAGGTTTATGCGCGCTTACCTCCCAACCCCGCTTATCCAAGCGTCGACATTGCAGCCCAAGCGTTGGTATCAATTGTCCTCTCGCCAGGTAGGTACTGATGCCCAAGGGTCTAGATTTTGAATATGTCGTTTTCGGCTCACATCAAAGAGTGAAAGAGAGGTTCGAAAGCCCATGGCTCATGTTTATGTTGTAACCTTGCTGTTAGTTGGGTTTCTAGGCATAGGAATGATAATCCTGGGCGCCTAAAGGACCCCAAGTGCCTGGCTAGGTTATTAGCATCACACGAATATTCTTAACTGCTGACCAGTCAGCCTGCTGAAACCATAACAATGAGGAAGATGATATACATTCGTCTGAGACAAGAGCATGTTGTGTGTAGCCGAGCTGTGCAAAGGTTGACAGCCAGTGTTAGCATTCAGCAGCATCACTTACAACCATTCTGGATTACCGAGATAAGGCTCAAGCTTCCTTGCTCTCACATACGATACCTTTACCTCCAATCAGGAACAGCAACTGGCCAACAAAAAAACTGCCGACAGCCACCTAGAAACCTGCACATGGCTACCGGGAACCAGTCCGTCGACCAAACTTCGGCGGGGTCTGAGCGGGCTGTCAGCTGCCAACCGACCCAGAAGCATCATGGACTCTCATTTGCTATCGCTGCGAGCCAATATACGGTACTAAGTTTAAGGGTTTTGAAGCGCCGATCTCGTCAGAATACTCGAGAACTGAAGGCGACAAAGCTGCCTGCCAAGTTCTAGTGGTGCGAGCCAGCCACCGGCTAGGAAATAGCAACAAGATTCCACCAAACACCGCTGTTGGAAGCCAGTTCCTGGAGACGCATTAAACTGGCTAAGCCTATGATTTGGATAAGCGGCAATGCCGCAGAGAACCATTTAACCTGCGCGATTTAATTGAAAACTGCCGCCCGGTACTCTATTGGGGAGAGTGACAGAGTATCGGGTAGTTTTGCGATAGATATGTGCCTATATAGATCTGCAATTGAGGAACAATACCTGGGTCTACATACCTGAAGACTTAGCATCAACAACAAAATGACCAGACTGTTGAACGCTGTTACTTTGCTTGGTGCAGGCACACAAGGCTCGCGCCTTGCCTACATGGTACGTTCAGTTCTCTCACCAAAGGACAGTTTCATACTAAGAATAACGTGTATAGTGGTCGCGCCTAGGAAGACCAGTCTACCTTGTCGACAAAACCCCAACCCAGCTTAATCTAGCATTAGCTACCGTCCAGAGACTACGAGCGAGCAACCCACCCAGCGAGGAAGGAAAGGTGATCAGTCTCACTGCAGATGATCTAGACAAAGCACTCCATAATTCCTGGCTAGCTATCGAGGTGAGATTCTCATACATGATTGTGTACTCTAGCTGACTCCTACCAGTGTGTCTCAGAGGACCTAGAGTGCAAGCGACCCGTGATGGCGGAGCTCGATAGGAAGTCCGACCCCGAGACAATAATTGCGTCGAATTCGAGCAGTTACTCTATTTCAGAGATCTGCAAAGGACTCAATCTGAAGGCGGAGGACAGATTCGTCAATCTGCATTCATGTTGGTCTATGATCTATCCATGTATCTTGAAAGCTCCAAGGCTAATGATGCACTAGTTTGGCCACCCGGGACACAAGGTAATCAGGAACGGCAACATCCTCATACACTCTCTAACTGACGTATTGCTTCAAAGCGGTCGAAATCATGGGTTCTAGCCAAACCAGAGCTGATATTATCCCTCTTCTCATGAGAGAAACCCAAGATCATGGGTTCCACCCCTTTCATGTCCGCAAATCCTCTAACGGGTACACCTTCAATCAGTACCTCGCAAACCATGTCGTATGGGACAGTGCCGTTCACTCTAATCATGTATAATATCTGGGCAGTCATCAACGGGAGGCCCTTTATGTCTTGGAAATGGACATCGCCGCTGGGCATTGAGTCCGGAAGCAGTCTCTTCCACTACACCTAACCCCCATCATCAGCCATCACTAGCATAGTGTACATAGAAGCAATGACCAATTACAAACATGCCCCATACCACTACCAACCACCACCCCCCACCAAAAAAACAACCAACTACCTACTCAAAAACCTCCCTCTCCGCCATCAACCCCCTCGCCACCTCCATATCATGCCCAAACACCAACCTGGCCCCAAACAACCTCTGCAACCTCCTCACGCGCCCCAAGCTCCTATACCACGCATTGTGGTCCCTCGCCAACCCGCCATGCGGATGTCCCAACTCATAATTCTCCCTAACATGAAACTGATCTGTCGTCCAAATAAACGTCCCATCCCGTTCCAAATTCACCTGCATCACACACAATCCCGGCGTATGTCCCGGACAATGATGTAACGTAATCCCCTGATACAAATCCAACGAGTCCTCGGAAAACGTCACCCACTTTAACCGTTCCAGTAACATGTAATGGCCTAGGTAGACGCCGAGATCGGCGCCCGTTGCGACGGCCCAGCAGGCGTGTTTGAATTCTTCTTCGTGTACGTAGATCGGTACGTCCGTGTCGAGGAAGTGTTCGAGGCCCCCGGCGTGGTCGAGATGTAAGTGGCCCAGGATGACGGCTTTGATGTCTTTGATGGAGTGGCCTGTGGCTTGGATGGCCGCGGGGAGTTTGTGTTTTTCCGTGTAGACGGTCCGGGGGAAGATGTCGGTTATGGGGGCGCCCCATTTCTAGTATGGTTTGTTGGGTGAGGTCATATATAGGAATAGGATAGGGGGGTATGGGGGGTACGTACCACGTCAAGATCCTCTGCACAGCCGGTTTCGAATAGGATGAGACCGACACCGGGGTAATCGATTAGCGCGGATAAGAGGATCAAGTCTCGACGACGGTTGACGGGGTTGGGGTTGCTGAGGGTGCTGACGTTGGCACCGCGGAGGAGCCTATTCTTGTTCAGGTGGGATGGCTATTTGGGTTTATGGTAAGGGGGTTATGGCTGACCAGGATTCGTCGACTTGGAGAGTTCCCAGATCCAGAATGTACATCTTTGTTCCTGGGGGACATTTGAAGGCTGGGATACCTGCGGAGACGAGCATGGAGGCTGGGTCGGTGATGGCGGCCATTGTGGTGGATGAGTGGGAGAGCAGACTGGGAGCTGGTTCTAAGCAACGAGGGGATGAGAATTGGAGGGGAGAGGGGCTTGTTTTCTAGCATTAGGTCGTATTTTATATGTGTTACATTGGTAAGAGCTTGATGTATGATTCGCGCGGAGATGATTACAATCCCGGTTATGGGTGCATTAGTCTAGGGCTTTAGATCTTGGGTAGGCCGTCGAGTTGCATGACCCCGCACGCCATCAGGGATTCTGCAATGCCCGAGGTCAATCTTCGGAGAAATGCTTACAAGGATGCTAACGGCCACTGGCGTTGGCGGTGGCCTGTTGAGTGGGGTTGGAGTTTGTACGCTTGTTCGGAGTAAGTGAGGTCGAGTCATATCCTATCAGTCTAATGGAGCTCGGGTATGTAGGTTCAGAGCAACGTTTGGCTATCTTCAGGTGTTTATTGACATTCACAATTGACAATAGTTATACATATTGCCGTATATTCTAAAGCTTGGCGTATGTATGGCACGCTTCCCTTCTATTCATGCCGTCAGAGGTTCATCGTCACCGTCATGCTGTTGCTGTGAACCAGCAGACACGGCGGCAACCCCTGCCAGAAAATGTCCAAATCGCTCAGGTAAGAGGCACTTGCAGCCTCGTTTTGTGCGGTGCCTTCGGATGGTGACGGCAGCGTGGTAAAAAGAACTGCCGTGTCGCTACTGTGCTGGTTCATCAGTTCATTCAAGATTAAGTGCTGTGCCCGACTGGGGAGATCATTGAATGACAAGGGAACTGCCGCCTGCCGTGGGTATCCAGACGCAGACTTTGTGACGGATGGTCCGGACGATGAACGTCGTGTGTAGATGGAGTCAACTCGATTCGATTTGCGTGGCGGGGATGAGCTAGGGGCGAACATGATTGACGGTCCCCCGCCTTCTTCAGTGTTGACACGCGCTTCAGGGATTGGCGACGAGCTGAATCGGCTGCTGGACGGCGAGCGAGTAATCTTCGGCCGGGATCCACTTGATTGGCTTTTCGGCGACGTCCCATCCTCGGTGGTCATCACTATGGATGGAATCGCCTGGTCGGGAGCAACCTCCTCGTCAACTTTCTGCTTTGCCTTGGAAGGACCTGCCCGCCCAGATCGAGGACTCAGGGCTCCGTAATCGGCATCCTGGTTGATATCTTCCTCTGCCTCCTCCTCATCCACGTAAGGCGGAAATTCTGCTTCGTCACTGCTATCACTGGTGCTGCTGTCGCTGCTTTCGTAGTCAACAAAGGCATCGAGCAAGCGATGGGTTTGCATGCCTAAGCTGACGCTTCCGAGGCCCCTGAAGCTAGATATGGATCGCCGTCGCTTGGAGGACTCCATAAATTTCTTCAGTCCACCAACCAGCTGATGTGATGGTTTATGGACGCTTTCAGGACTCTGCGAGGGCCAACTAGGCATCCGTATGTTCGGCCTCTTGATCCCTACTTCGGCTCGGTGCTGGGCTTCATGCGTACTTCGAGCCTTTTGGACTTCCTGCCACCACTCTTCATCGCGCAAGGCTTCGTGGACTCGAGCTTCGTGATCCTCAGTCTCCGGGGAAATCTCGCCATTGACGATGATACGGTATGTCTTGAGGTCGCCGCATGCGAGCCAGAAAACCAGAACCTCGGCCTCAATCCTTAGCTTTTCGAGGAGTGCTTCGACTCTGCCTCTCTCATCCTCCACGTCAGTTTCATACTCCACGAATACAGCCACCCGAAGCTTGTATGTCTTTTTCCATGATGGCACCGTGTTGAGGATACACCCTAACTGTAAGATGAGGGTATACGTGTCGAAGTTGGTGGTCAAGACATTTTTCTTGCTCTCGCTATCTGCACCGAGCTCGGCGCTCATCTGAATGGGCCATAGATCAATGTACTTCTTCCGATGTTGCCCGTGCGGACCGGGAAGCTCGAGGTCTTCAAATCCCTTGGCCACGGCAACATTCATCCGTAGTTTGAAGAGCAGGTCCTCTAGAATGGTCACATAGGTCCTTGAGGTCATTGGAAGCTCCTGCGAGCCGTCTTCGGAAATCGCAGGCACCAAGTCGCGCGAGACGCGTCTTGCAGTTGATTCCCTCCGCATCGAAAGCTGTGGCCTCTCAGCCAATGATTTACCTTTGCGGAACTGATCAATGATGACAATGTTCGGCCTCATACCTCCCAAGCCAGCGCTCAAGGTAACATTGCGAACGCCCCATTCGACGGTAGGAGAGACTGTAATGTTGACAAAGGCCTTAACTCTGGAGCTTTCAACGAATTTGGTCCAAGCCGTCTGCTGACGTCGGGCTTCTGGTACAGCGGCTGAGAAATCATCTGTTACGAGGACATGGCCCAGCACAAATAACCCTCCTTTCTTCAGAGAGTTACAAAATGAGATCATCCTGGATTGTTCACTAAGGTCATTTACGAACAGCAGGATTTGGGGTCGCCAGAACTTGACATGCTCTTGGCGAAGCCGGAGCAAATACTTGCGCACTTGGTGATAGATCAACCCTTGGCTGACATCTCCCCACGGCTTGGGAGGTGAGGTATAGTGAATCAGCAGGAATAGCATCATCAATATTCCAACACAGCCTGTGGCATAGATCCCGTCAACGAAGAACATGCTTGCGCCGCAGACCAAAGTGCCCGTTGCTGCGGTTTTCCAGTTGAAATAATGGAAAGACGGGCGAAAATTGGGCGCCGATCCGATCTTCAGAAGAAAGCAGGCCAGATTGGTCACAAGAAATGTCATCAGATAAGTCATCGTAACGAAGGACGCGATTTGATTGATGTCAAATAGCATTGTGAGCTGTGCGACCACATAGGTGACAATGATCGCGTAGACTGGTTCGTCGGTCTTCTTTGCACCCTTGCCAAAGAAGCCCAGGCCAGGAAGCAGAGCATCTCGTGCAACTGCTTGGAGTAACTTGGCGGAGCCAATGACACCCATCAAAGCTGAGAAGAAACTTGTCGCGAATTCTCCCATGAGGATAATCGCGCCGGAAAGATTGGCCTAAGTGTGGTCAACAAAGTACGACTGCGTGCCAGGGAACAGAAACATACAACTTGAACAACGTTGGCATTCTTGTAGAATGACTCACGAGTTATAGATGCAGCCATGGCAAGAATTACGATGGCATAGGTGATGAATGTCAAAGCTAGCCCATACAACGTTCCCTTGGGAATCGATCGGCTGGGGTTCTTTAGGTCACCAGACATGCTCGCGCCGCTGCAGGTACATGAGCTTGGTGTTCTTAACAGCCGGAAACGTACCTACGCGAATATACCACCAGTAGCGGGGAATAGAATTCCAAATAGGTCCTGGAAATTTTCTCGTCCACGTATTTGGCTACCAGCAGCACCCTTGGTAAGTTTGGGTTTGAGATTTTCTAGCAACGTCTGAAGCCGAAATCCCGTAAATTCTACCCCTTTCTTCGGGATACTGAACGGCTTCATGAATATGGCAGACACTGGTATGCTGAAAGTCGCGATGAGCAGAATGATAAGCAGCCCGTTGCTAGCTCTGGAAAACAGAGAGCTTCCCGCTAAGCATATTCCAGTACACATAACCAGGATGGAAGTTCCCCAGAGGTACTGCCACCAGAAGCCTTCTTCAAGGAAATTGCCCCAAGTACCAGACTCAGTCCCGAAGTTCTGGGTGAAACAATCGACAAGACCGACGGCGTTCATGCCAGTGTTTAACACAGAACCCAGGTAGAACACGATCCCTATAGATCCACCAAATTCTGGACCTAGCGACCGAGATATCAGGTAGTAAGCACCACCTCCTCGTACCGTTCCATTGGTTGCAATAGCGGATAGAGACATGGTGGTCACGAGATTAATTGTGTAGGAAATAACCAGCAGACCTTGGTTGCGTCAGACTTTGGTTGACTCGGAATGAGTTGGATTAGAAAGGCGACATACCAAGCATCCCTAACAGACCGGCTTGTCCCAGGACAAACCCAAAGCGAAGGAACATCAGGATACTAAGGACGTTCAAAGTAGTCGGCACAAAGACACCAGAGAATGTTCCAAGCTTATTGGGGCTCTCAGAAGCGCGGTCCTTCTGGCCATCCCGTTCCTTCTGGCTTATAGCAGCCTCTCTGAACGGCCCAGCGGCTGGGGGATGGGGAGAGCTCCTCTCCCTGGGGAGATCATGCCTCCCATTACTCCCACGCCCACTCCACCAACGAGAAACATTATCTAGGACATTCGGTAACGACTGATGTCGGCCCTCTGGTGACTGATGGGACGAGTTCAGAGGCTCTGGCGGACGGAACGATAAAGCGGTTTTCCAGTGGAGATACTTGCTACTACCTTCCTCGGGAGATGCATGGGCAGATTCGCTGGGATCCAGTCTAGAAACGTCCTCTTCGGCCGTTCGCGTAGAGAAATTCGGCCTCCTTCGAGACTGCGACCCTGAGGCACTTTCAGTCCGACCGTCAGTCATCGGTCAAGGCGCCTCCACTCCTGATTGCAGGAGCGCTTCTCAACCCTCATACAGCGATAATTCGATTGTGGGGGGACGAATCGGCGGAACAACGATGAGGAGGGGGTGCGCTAGGACCGGTTAATGGTAAATCCCCTGCAAGCATAGTAAGAGGTTCCGGAATACGAACAAGCAGCGACCTCTCGGGGCCATGCACGTTGAGTGGCCGTGTAACAAAATGGGATGCTGAAGTTAAGGACGCTCAAGTCCAGATCGTCGGCGATGACCTCATGTGCCGAGAGCCAAACAAACAATGCAAAGTGGTCACTGGGTCACGGACTCGGACTGCCTCATCTGATCCTCCTTATCTCATCGCGCTGGCTCCATTTGCTCGATCATTCTCTTTGTTGGCCCTTTCGAACCTCTGTTTATAATTGTCATGGTCGACACGGCGCGGGGTGCTTTGGGGTGCGTGGAAACAACAGCGAGCCTAGTGTCTCCGCATACATTGCGGTGAACGACCTGCGCCATTCTCATTATCGACCCTCTCTTTCTCTCCCTCCGCTCTTATCAACCCTTGCCAGCCATTCCATGATCCTGGTTCGCCTCCGGAAACTCAAATAGACGAATTGTTCTCGGAAGCCACAAGGTTTTCTACTCCGACAAAACTCATTCTTGTCTTTTGTCAAAATGTCATCCCCAAGGATGTCTGATAACGGCGAGGGCTCCTCGTCTCAACGTCAACGTTCATCGTCGCCGATCTCCACGTCTGCGATGCGCTCCGGATCTCCTGCACCAGACGCTTCGTCATGGAGGCAAGCTTCGATAGCGCGTCTAGCATCGCCAATTCCTTCTCCCTCAACCTCCTATTCGTCTAGGCAGTTACCGCTCCCCATTCAGTCAACAGCGGGGACCAACCAAGATCTCCGGAGAGTCGACAATCCATCCTCTCTGCCGGGGCCCGGACAATCTATGATTGCGTCTGCGCTCCAAGACAACCTAGGCCGATCACCGCCTCCACGGGTGGGTACCCCTCCGAAACGGACCGCGTCGCCTGCTCTCCTGAACCAGCCCGTGAGGTCGATTTACGGTTCCTTTGATAATACGGCTGGGAGGGAGGGCTCGATATATTCGGCTGGCCCTTTCGAGGACCCAGAAGTTGTCAAGAGGCACCTGGTGCAGCCGCAGATCGAGAATCGGGATACCCATTCTTCTGGGGGTGTTACCAGCAATACTGAGGACGAGTTCTCCAGTCTGCAACTCCAGGGCGGTGACATCACGAGGCAAGTGTACAGATGGGCGGAGGACGCAGAAGCCGGGAGCTCGCTGCGGAAACCCCATCGGAGTAGGAGCTTCAGTCATGCTCGGCCTGCACCCGAGGATGACACGATGAACATTAACAGCATTCGTGTGCCAGGGGGGTTCAGGAGAGACTACTTGCGACGGGCGGTAGGCCCTGGAGATTTGGATGGCTCAGGAGCGCAGGCTGCTGCTGTTCAGCAGTTCCCAACAAGCAGCTTTCTCGAATTCTTGACACTCTACGGCCACTTTGCTGGTGAAGAGCTTGAAGAGGACGACGAGGTCTTGGGCCCCGATGAGTACTTTTCCTCCGATACTTATGATGAGGCGGAAGGCAGAGAACCAGGTGAAGACTCTGCCCTCCTAAGGCCGGACACGGCTGGCAGGAGGAAGCGTAAGCCGCGCGGTGGAACGGGGACCAACACGAGAACTGGAGCAGCGTTACTTCTACTCAAGTCCTTTGTTGGCACAGGAGTCTTGTTCTTGCCAAGAGCTTTTCTGAATGGCGGAATGTTGTTCAGCAGTCTGGTACTGCTTGCCGTGTCACTTCTCAGCTTTTACTGCTTCATTCTTCTGGTTAATACTCGGTTGAAGATCGATGGTTCTTTTGGTGACATTGGTGGCGCACTCTATGGGAAGCACATGAGGCGCATTATCCTCGGATCCATTGTTCTGAGTCAATTGGGCTTCGTGTCGGCGTATATTGTTTTTACTGCCGAGAACCTGCAAGCCTTCGTTCTGGCTGTCAGCAAATGCAAGTCCTTCATTGACATCAAGTTCATGGTGTTGCTGCAGTTGATCATCTTCCTTCCTCTCTCGTTGGTTCGCGATATTAGCAAACTCGGTTTCACTGCTCTCATCGCGGACCTGTTCATCCTGCTGGGTCTGGTCTACCTATTCTACTACGACTTCCTGACCATCTCGTCCCAAGGGGGCATCGCGGATATTATTTCTTTCAACCCATCCACATGGACACTTTTCATCGGAACAGCCATTTTCACGTATGAGGGAATTGGATTGATCATCCCAATCCAGGAATCAATGAAGCATCCCCAGAAGTTCCCCGGTGTTCTTGCGATGGTGATGGTCATTATCACGATTGTCTTCCTCGGCGCTGGTGCATTCAGTTACGCAGCGTACGGATCAGCAACGAAGACAGTAGTCATTCTTAACATGCCTCAGGATGACAAGTTTGTGAATGCGGTCCAATTCCTGTATTCGCTGGCAATTCTGTTGAGTACCCCGTTGCAGCTTTTCCCGGCCATTCGAATCATGGAGAACGAACTATTCACTCGCAGCGGCAAGTACAACCCCACTATCAAGTGGAAGAAGAACTGTTTCCGTTTCTTTCTCGTCATGATCTGCGCGTTCATTGCTTGGGGGGGAGCAGAGGATTTGGACAAGTTTGTTTCGCTTGTGGGAAGTTTTGCCTGTGTTCCCTTGATTTACGTTTACCCGGTAAGTTGCCCTGTCGATCGTCCTCACTTAACTCATCATGCTGACTGCTTGTGCCATAGCCCCTGCTGCACCTCAAAGCTTGTGCTCAATCGAGACGGCAGCAAATCGCCGATATCGCACTCTCCATCTTCGGCGTCCTTAGCTGCTTGTATACGACTGCCCTCACGCTTAACAACTGGGTCAACGGAGAGGATGTCAAGGCTCCCGGATACTGTGACTCATAGTCAGTATACAAGCCATATCAATTGTATCCCTATTCCTTTGGAATCCGCGCTCTGGATGTGAATGACTGATGCTATGTTGCGATATTATCGTGATACGATGATCGATATTTGTTCCCTTGGTTACCTAGTAACCCCTTGTCTGAGTAAGCTTTTTTTTTGTTCTCGTTGCTGTTGGGTCCTTATCTACAATTGGTATAGACTAGAGATGAAATTGCCAGTACATATCTCTCCTGTAACATCATGTCTTCCTTTTTTTCTTAAGCTAGTTATCCGTTTAAGGCATAATCCAGATCAAGATTTTAGCGTAATTGTCAATGTCTACATCTTGTTGATTCGCGAAAGCAAAAGTCTATATACAGATACAACCGCCATGCCCAGCTGCTAGATACAAAATAATCTCAGTCAACAACAGACCCCATCCAACCACTACTACCCATTTCAGCGCCAGTTAGAATACAAATAGCCAGAGCCATCGATAACCATGCTCTGCACCTTACCCAGCGAAGTATTGTTTTTCCCATTGGCCTAGACCACTTCGATCATGACATTGTGGTATTGTCTAGGTAGGTAGGTAGGTATGAAGTGCTGCCGAAGAGATATAAATGATTCATAAGCCGCGCAGCCAGCGGCATTGGGCGATAGATTGAGAGAACACGGAACAAAAGAGAAGATGGCGTTATTTAAGCGCCAGCTTCGGTGGCTTGCTTGCCCTGCTTAGCGGCCTCCGCGAGCTGGGCTTCACGGCCTCCCCAGCTGTTTGATTCATTGGTATCAGCATACTTTCTAGACGGATGTGTAGAAAACAGGAGTGGGGGCCTTTTCTTCAACGTACTTCCAGTAGTTCAGGTAGCGGTATCCTTGAGTAAGCTGGGCGGAGAAGTTGACGGCGTGGCAGGCGAACAGGAGGTAGTTCTTGGGGGAGACGGCAAGAGCGTAGCGCATGAAAGTACCCGAGTAGATAACGAGAGCACCGGTCATTTGACCGGAGATACTGTAGAAAGGGATAGCAGGTCAGTAGTCAAGTCATCTTTTAGTAGGATGATGTTGATGTTTGTGTGTTTGCTCTTCTGCGGAGCTTCCGGGAACTGATCCCGGTGTATGATAGAACATTATGGGGAAGAAATTCGGAAAGGAGGACAACGGTAGCGACGTACATTTCAGGGTCCTTCTGAGTGTCCATTACAGCTGCAATGGGGATACCGAAGTTGGAGGCAGGGCCCCAGAAGTCTAGTTAGGATTGTTAGTCAATCAGGAGCAATTATTTTGTCTGCCATTTCCTTTTTTATCGGAATAGTTGTGTGCTCCTGACCGGTGCCATGTGTTGAGAAGGCTCATTGGGGTTGATCAACCCCTTCAGAACATGTCTTACGGCAGGCATCTTTGCCGGCCGATCTCGGTCAAGAACACGGAGAGAGAAATAGTGAGATTCAACGTACGGGTGGAGCAGAAGTAGTCCAGGGCCTTGTTAGACCGGATCTTCGCATTGATTGCCTTGATTGCAGCGGCCATCTTGACGACGAGAAGGCTAGGACTGAAGCGAGGAGTGGAGAGTTGATCAGAGTTGAGGATGCAGACCGGGCGGTTTGCTTTCCTCACTCCGTCACCTGCAGTCCGCGCCGGGCGGAGCTACCGGAGACGGTCACGTGCGACATCGCCCGTTGGTCGATCAACTCGAAACAGTGCTTATCCCGAACTTACACCTGCAGCTACAGTATCCAATCTCCATGAAATATAGGTACATACTCCGTAGTATAGTCTACAATGAAAAGAAGGCCAAGGCTGTAAAATCTCATGGGGGATTCACTAGTACAATTGAGTGCTTGAAATATATCTAGCATTACTTCTGTCGGTCCTAGCCTTTTTCGGTCGACCTTTTCTTTTGTCAGGGCATTCCCTGCATCCGCACACGCCGCAACGCCTTGCCTGGTAAAACTTGGGGTGCTATGCCTATTCGTTTGAGGGTCGTCAAGATGGCGACGAATAGAGAGTGGATATTGTTGCTTGGGTCGTAGCTCAAAACATCTGCCATGCCTATATAATGGCCAGATTCCAAGCCATCATGTCGCGCAAACTTTGAATCACCGTCCACCGAAGCCGGGAGGGGGGAATCCACGGCCCTGTCCGGGAGGCTGGAACCCCGGCGGGGGCTGGAAAGCACCGGCTGTAACAGCATTAAAGTCAGCTCAATACATCATAGCACGTGGCACGTGAGATACTTACGAGGAGCACCCTGGGGTGCGAATCCTGGGGGGGGAGCGAAGCCAGCTGATGTTCTAAGTCAGTAACCAGGTTCATCCATCGAGATTAGACGTGCAAACTTACGGGGTCCACCTGGGGCACCTCCACGGCCAGCGAATCCCGGAGGCGGCGCTCCAGGGAAACCACCCGGAGGGAAGCCAGGGAAACCGCCAGGCGGAGGAGGGGGTCCACCAACACCTGCAGCAGGACCTCCCAGGCCAACGGGCAGACCACGTCCAGCGGGTTTGCTAATTCCAGGGCCAGCAGCGAGAGTGGCAGCCGCGGCAGCAGCGCCGGGGCCGGCAGTACCAAGTCGGGCAGAGGGATCGGCGGGAGGAGGTCCATCAACGGAGCAGGAGACGACATGAGTACCGCGCACGATGGTAAGGCCAAGGGTTCGCTTTTCTTCCGCTTCGACAAGAGGGGCGGTGGTCGAGCCGGCGGCGGGCTTGGATTTGCGCTTGACGCGACGGAATTCTTCTGTGTCGGCGAGGACGAGGTTCATGTGCTACATACATTTGCGTCAGCGACCAGCTAACATAGGAATCCAATAAAATGTAAAGCTGTTGGGAGATATACCTTGTCGAAAGCCAGCATCTGTCCGGTCATCTGTCGGCCATCGTTCAACGTAACTCTCATCCGGTAGTTGATCTGCGTAAATCGTTAGGTATGCGGCGCGGGCAGGGCGAGTATGATCAGTCACTTACGAGGTTTTGCTGTAGAGAGGAAAGGGAGAGTTAGCCACGCGTACTCGGGTGTACAAGCTGATATCAACAGCAATAGGAAGGATCAGATCAACTCACCATCTTGCCCTGCTTGTTGGCTGCCATTCTGGGCTATGAGTGCGCACGAATGCGACTTGGGGAGAACCAAAGAATATAGCGTGAGATGGTAGAAGAGGGGAATCTCCTACGTAATCGTCACTTTTCCTTCTTGAGCTGTCGCGCCCGGGGTGAAGGTCGGTCGAGGTCTTTCCGTAGGACTTTCTCCAAGCGGCACCAGCTCGACTTGCTACGGGTCGGAGGTCCATGAGGCGCGGCTCTGCGGCTTAGCGCCAAACGACGGCGCCAAGCCACTAAGGGCTCTCGCTTCCCACTTCCAACCCACACACTTCCCTTTTACACACTTTTCGATCCTGACTTTCTTCTATTCAACCAGTCGACCAATTCACGCCAAAAGCAGTCGCCATGGTATGTTGCCCATCGCCGTTTCACCTTCCAGCCCTCATAGAACCTCGAATCTCGAATTTCCGGAATTTTCATGCAGAAAATTTGTTTCTAACATATTGTCGCCATGCAGTCGGAAGCTAAGGACAAGTCCGCCAACCCTATGCGCGAGCTGCGCATCCAGAAGCTCGTGCTCAACATCTCCGTCGGCGAGTCTGGTGACAGACTTACCCGCGCTGCTAAGGTGCTCGAGCAGCTGAGCGGTCAGACTCCGGTCTACAGTAAGAACGCCCGATCCCGATGAAACCATGAATGTCGAAAAACCCGAAACAAACGATGAGGAGGACATTTCGACAAGGCTATGGAATGGGATGGCTGATGGGAGATTCTTTTTCAAACTTATAGGCAAGGCCCGTTACACCGTCCGTACCTTCGGTATCCGTCGTAACGAGAAGATCGCTGTCCACGTTACCGTCCGTGGCCCCAAGGCTGAGGAGATCCTCGAGCGTGGCCTCAAGGTCAAGGAGTACGAGCTGCGGAAGCGCAACTTCTCCGAGACCGGTAACTTCGGTTTCGGTATCTCCGAGCACATCGATCTGGGTATCAAGTACGACCCCGGTATCGGTATCTACGGCATGGACTTCTACTGCTGCATGTGAGTGCTTTCCGAGCTCTACAACGGACTGGATCAGCAGATCCATTGGATTCGCCCAGATCGATCACGGCAAAGCAAGTATCAGGAACTGACAAGGGATAATAGGACCCGCCCTGGTGAGCGTGTTGCCAAGCGCCGCCGCTGCAGAGCCCGTGTCGGCTCCCAGCACCGTATCACCCAGTCTGAGACTGTCAAGTGGTTCAAGAACCGCTTCGACGGTATCGTCCGGTAAATGCCTCCTTCACAGGGTCTTCAGGAGTGAAAGCTCCGGGGTTGTGTTTATGATGAAGCGATCAAAAATGGTCAGAAAAGAGGCAGGCGTTCTTGAAAATCATTGTCGCTCTGCTCTGAAATTTTCTACCACGGCATGATGTTAGGCGTGTTAGAGATATCAAATTTCCAAATTTTTCATACGCATCCACTTTTCACAATGAAGGCTTCACAAAGGGTGATGATTTCCGCATAACCATTGATGAAAAGTATCCCATGATGCATTTTGCTCTGCTTGCCGCATGTACCACTTCTACGGTGGTTCTCATCGCGTGCATTTGGCCTGAAACTCGTCTCTGCTCGGAGATTTGAGTGTCCTCTCGCACGAGATATGCCACCGGCATACTCTCGGGCGTTTTCCTACAATGGATCCAAGAGCACCGGCGTCAGACCCTGGTCTGTGCCCGTCCTAGAATAGTGTAGTGATACTCTGTCCCAGTAGATAAGCCGACCGATTCGTAGCCAGACCACCCAATGTCCGGACTCCGATGGGGCTTCTAGCCTTCTAGCCCATTACCCCGGATCTTCCTAGTCAAATCTCTGACGGGGAATCGACGCCAGCAGAACGGCTTATCTTTGTTCCAGCCCTACTGCACCATTATCTATGTCCACCTCGTGTGGATAAAAGAGCAGACGCCATCCTTGGAACCTGTCATGTCACTCATGTGGGACGTATCTATATCTGCGACCGCTGTACGGAGTACGGAGTACATCCACTACGATTCAGCCATGTCACCAAGCAATGGCTCCACCATTTTCATTGACGTTTCGTAACTGAACTTCATACGTACAAGCAACCCACTTTGTCATCATATCTCACTTCCGATCTGTTCTTCTCATTCGAATTCCCAAATCGCAGTTTTAATGATCCTCCATTATCTTTTGATGCATATTCAAAACGAGCGACGCATCATAAAAATGACTACATGGGGCTATTTATTACCTCTCGTATATCCATCCCACCACTTTGAGAAAAATCCGCCCTGCTGTCCCTGCTCGTTCCAGCTTTCGCGGCGTGTGTTGAGATTCTGGTCCGTAGAGCTGCGCTTCTGGCTGGTCAGACTTTCGAACAGGCTCGACGGGCCGTGGCCACTCGACCGTCTCCTATCTCCAATACTAGGAGGGCTGTTGCTCGCGTTGGCTGAGTTAGAAGACATGTCTGATGAATTGGAGCCCTTTAGAAAGGTAGGTTAGCATTGATCTATGTTTATGATGATATGCTTGGGTTGGATTGGACAATGACAGAACTGTTCAGACATACACGTCTGTCGGTAATGTCAGGTCTAGCAGCAGTGGCCTCGGTGGTAGTAGGAATCGACGGACGACGGTAGGCCTGAGGAGGACCGCCGCGCACCCAGACATTGTGGTGCTCGTAGCGGTCACCGACGGTGCCATGCCAATGACGGGGAGGGGACTGGGGCTGCTGGTTGTTCATTTTTCACTCTTGTATTATACTTCTTGGTTCGTGTTGAGATCGAAGGAGCAGTATTTACTGCGTTCTTCGTAAGTTGGCGTGGGAATGTGAATCTTGGAGTACACACGAGATTGGGAGGTATGACAAACACCGCAGAAAATGGCAGTTAACGTTCACAGGGGATGATGACATAGCACTTTCATCATGGATTCGAGGGTCCAGACATCATCTCGAACAATGAAATGTGAAAGGAAACGCGCTCCGACTGAGAGAGACGCGATTAAATGGGCTTGAAATCAAGGCTTCTACTTACCAGATGACTTGATTTTGGTAATCTATCGGTACAGAGGGTGATTTCAGTGAACACTTCTGGGACGACAGCAGCTTGTTATATGGGAACCCCAAGGAAAGAGAGGGGTAAGTCACCCATCCCCGAGCGCTGTGGAACAAACCCTGGGTGTGATGATGCAGCGAGGGAAGATCCCATAGGTCTGAGGGGGCAAAAGTACGGCCATCAGCCAATAATGGCCGGTGATGGCTTGGAAATCCCAGCCATAGGAACGCAAAAGCTTCTTTCACGACCGCAATGATTCATCGTTTCTAGAGAGTCGATTGGGTCGATCCACGGATGGCGCTCCAGAGGGTCACAGGACAATTGAGATTAATCAGCTCTTCCAACTGAATATTATCCAATGGAACCATGTACATTCTTTGGTCGTGTGCCGATGGGCGATCGCCATGACAGCTGACGTCGGGTGTTTTGGCAGATGCGGGGATCGCAATGTCTCGACCGTGCAGGGAGAGACAACGTAAACCAAGATAACTATCCTTTTCCTGTGAGGCTTTGTCACCCAATATCCTGCACGTACTATATGAAATTGCGATTTTCGCGGTGAAAACGAAGACTGGGCTAGCTAGTTATTGGCACCTGTTAGTCTTTTGGATCGGCCTCGGAATCGTGCTCTAGAACGTACTGGCTCCAAACTTACTTTGAGGAGTATTGAATGAAGCAGGAAGAAGGAGCAATAGGAGGGGGACTCGTTCAATGATCCGACCGCCTGTGTCCAAGATGGCAGCCAATGCATGTCTGCCTCAGGCAATAAACGGGGTCCAAATCTGGAGCCGATGCGGAACGACCTCGGATTTCCCCGCAGGCGGCTTCGATATCTCTCGCCCAGCCTACCATTTATCATCCTTCGGTGTCCGAATTCCCTCTTTTTTCCGGTTATATCTCATCACGCCATAGGCTATATTTGCCGACAAGCTAATCTTTATTTCGGTTCCTCTGGGATTTGTTGGATTCCTTCCTTATTCTCCACTACTTGCTATCGTTTCGGCTACTGACCAGATCCTTATCTATATATACTGACGGCCCGAAATACAACGAGGCACCCCTCGTGCGGAGATCCAGTAGCTCAGGATTCGCCCTCCCAAGTATATATCAAGCCATTGAACCTCGTGTGGGCACGCTCTTCGACGCCTACTTAATCGCCAAAGAATCCAACTAGCTCCAAGACAGCCCGTCATCCGTACCAAAATCCCCGGACCACTACAACAGACATGGAGACTTCTCGACATCCCTATTTGAAATCACTTGCCCATCGCGGCTACATTCAGGGCGTCACGCTGCACTCGAGCGCGACTGACAAGCCTCTCTGTCACTACTTTGGAGGCGTTCGGTATGCTCTACCTCCCCCTGAAAGATGGCGGAAGGCTCAAAAGCTTCCTGAATCCTATTCCTATGGCACGAAAGACCGACCCGCTTCCTGCGATGGAGACACTGCGGTCTGTCCACAACCCAGCTTCATGAATCATCCCTACCCCAAGGGGTTCACGGAGGATTGTTTTCAGTCCACTGTTTGGGTACCTCTGGGCGAACCTCCTAAGGGAGGTAAGTGTCAAGACGTCAATTATTGCGCGAAACAACCAAAGCTAACAAAAAGTTGCTTTAGGGTGGCCCGTTCTCTTTTTCATCCGTATGCGCACCCTCTTCGAGAATACAGCGACATCTTTTGTCATCCAATACTAACGAATTACACATACAGACGGTGGTTGGCTACAATTCGGCCACCCAAACGGGTTCTCGCCCGCAGCCCTACTAGGTGATGCTGGCCTCAATGCCATCGTTGTTGTACCTGCCTACCGTTTAAACGTCTTTGGGTTCCTATACTCCTCAGAGATCGAAGAAGATGCCTCCACGGTGGGAGAAACAGTAGGCAACTACGGATTTTGGGACCAACGTCAAGCCCTCGAATGGACCAGGGACAACATTGGCCTCTTCGGAGGCGACCCTTCCCAGATCACCGTCTCTGGATACTCAGCCGGTAAGTGTTTCGAATTCTTCAAAAAAGCAAAGCTCACCATTCTAACCTAACTACACCACCAGGCGCCTACTCCACATTCTACCAATTAGCCTACGACCTCCAATTTCCTGACGACCAAGCTATCATTAAACGTGCCTGCATCTGGTCCAACGCAGCTGCCGTCCAGCCCAAAAACCCAGCATCAGCACAAGTACAGTTCAACCAACTCCTCTCGGCCCTCGAGATCCCTGCCGCTCTTCCCTGGACCGAGAAACTCTCCCGACTCCGCTCCACCCCACCAGAGACCCTCCTCTCCGCTGCCACGAGCGTTGAACTCCACCAATACCGTCCAACTTCCGACTCGGTCTTCATCCAGCCCACTCTCTTCAAATCGTTAGACAACGGCGACTTCGCTCGTAAACTCTCCGCCCGAAACGTCCGTATCATGCTCGGCGAATGCCGCGACGAACGTCACCTCTACGCAGTTTGGTTCCCTCCCCAAAACACCCTCCCGTCTCTCCGCCAAAGACTCCTAGCCGACTACCCCCGTCCCGTAGTCGACACCATCCTCAAACTCCATTACCCGGACGGCAAGCTGCCAGCATGTTGCAAGAACTGGGACAACGATGCCTTCGGCCGCATCTACGCTAACATGCAAGTTCACCACATGCAACGGGGACTGATCCATGCCCTCGCCAGTGGTGGGGCGTCTCATCTACTCTATCGCTACCGCATTGAGTATCGGGTCAAGTGCGCTGACACGTCTGTTCCGCCGAGCTGGGGTGTTACCCATTCTACCGATCAGTATATCTGGTTCTGGGGCAATGGGGAGGTGCTTAAGCCTGAGGAAAAGACCATCGTCCGACGTGCCCTGATCGATCCTTTCATCAATTTTGTTCATGGTGAAGTGGACATCCAGTGGGGAACAACTAGTCATCGAGAATTGAGGACTTTGAAACCCGATGGATCGGTTCAGGTTGTGCAGGATGCGTGCTGGGATGAGGCAATACGGGTCTGGAAGGCATTGCGTGAGGTGGGCGAACCCGATGCCTCTAATGCGAAACTCTAAGATGCCCACGTAGACCTTACTTTTCGATCTAGAATACTGTATACTCGGTGCATGTATATCGAGATCTCTCATACAATATTGTTTTAGGATACCTGCTTAAGCTACGATGATCATTTATGCACACGTTGGAATGGAAGTACTCGAATCATTTGGTCATTCATTTTGTGCACAAAGTATGTCCTTAACAACCAGTCCTTATGAATAAAATATGAAGCAAAATGGACGTAACCCAAACCCAACCCAAAACAATTCATAAGCACAGAGAACGCTCTAATCTAAATATCAGAAACATGCAGTCCTTGTTCAACATAGACGGCATTACGCCAGATGTAGACGTCAACCTCGGCATTAGCTTTTTCAATTCGTGGACTCTTCGTAACAATGTTTACTCTAGGCCTTGGTGATCTTGCAGATGAGATCCTGGCCATCGACCGAGTCACCTTCCTTGACCAGCAAGCTGGAGACCTTGCCGCTGTGGGGGGCCGAGATAACCATTTCCTAATGAGCGTTAGCACCGGATCAAGCAAACTGTGTTGATAGACTGGGATATACACATACCATCTTCATGGCGCTGAGGACTGCAAGCGGGTCGCCCTTCTTGACTTCCAAGCCATCGTGGACGCGGATCTCCACGACCACACCGCTCATAGGAGCACCGACCTGGCTGCTGTCGCCCACCTCAGCCTTGGGGCGGGCTGTGTTCTCGACAGAAGCCTTCTTGTCGTCGACACTGACCTGACGAACCTCACCATTGACTTCGTAGAAGACCTCACGCTGACCGGTCTGCTCGGAGAGGGGACCGATGGCCAGCAACTTGAGGATCAGCACCTTACCCTTCTCCAGCTCGACGTGGAATTCCTCGCCGATCTCGGGCTTGGCCAAGAAGTAACGCGTGGGCAGGACGGACAGATCACCGTACTTGGCGACGAACTTCTTGTAGTCCTCGAAGACCTTGGGGTACATAGCAAAACTGGCCACGTCGTATTCGGTGGCGGCACCGAACTTCTCCCGGATCTGGCTCTTGATCTTGGCCAAGTCCAAAGGCTCCAGGTAGAGTCCAGGACGCTTGTCAAGCTTGCGACGGTCGCGCAGAGCGCGCGAGCGCAGGGGCTCGGGGAACCCACCGTAAGGCTGGCCCATGAGACCCTCGAGGAACTCCAGCACGGAAGCAGGGAAGTCGAGCTCGCCTGCGCGAGCGACCACATCTTCGGCGCTCAGTTTGTTCGAAACCATGAACTGGGCCAAGTCACCGACCACCTTGGAAGTGGGAGTGACCTTGACGACATCGCCCAACAGGTCGTTGGCAGCCTCGTAGGCCTTCTTCGTCTCCGCCCACTGCTGGCCCAGACCAAGCTGACTGGCCTGGAAGATCAGGTTGGTCAACTGACCACCGGGGATTTCGTGTTCGTAAACTTCGGGGTCGGGGCCCGTCAGACCCGCCTCGAATGGCGAGTAGAGCAGGCGCAGCTGTGCCCAATAGGTGTCAAGAGCGCGCACCTGAGCGGAGTTAAGACCAAGGTCTTGCTCTGTTCCCTCGAGAGAGGCGAGGATGGCACCGATGCTGGGCTGGGAGGTCATGCCAGAAAGGCTGTCCGTGGCGGCATCGATAGCATCGGCACCAGCCTGGGCGCAAGCAATCATGGACGCCACACCGGTACCGGCAGAGTCGTGAGTGTGCACGTGGATGGGAAGGTCGGGGTAGCGTTCGCGAATGGAGCCGATCAACAGGCGAGCAGCCTGAGGCTTCAGCACACCAGCCATATCCTTGATACCCAGGACATGGGGCTTGAATTGGACCACCTTGTCCACAAGGCCCAAGTAGTAGGGGAGGTTGTACTTCTTGCTGGGGTTCAGCATGTCACCACTGTAGCAGATGGTGGCCTCGACAACACCCTCAGCGGCGTGGACAGCCTTGATACCGACCTCGAGCTGGTCAACATCGTTGAGGGCGTCAAAGACACGGAAGATGTCGACACCACACTTCTTGGCCTGCTTACAGAAGTGGTAGATGGCGTTGTCAGGGAGAGAAGAGTAGGCAACTCCGTTTGCACCACGCAGCAACATCTGGAAGGGGATGTTGGGGACGGCCTTACGCAGCTTGCGCAGGCGGTCCCAGGGGTCCTCGTACAGGAAACGCATGGCAACGTCGAAGGTGGCACCACCCCAGCATTCCAAACTGTAAGAGTTGGCGAGGGCGTGGCTCGTCTCGTGAGCAATGTTCAAGAGGTCAATGGTACGCACACGAGTTGCCAGCAGCGACTGGTGGGCGTCACGCCAGGTGGTGTCCATGATCAAGCAGCCCTTGTTAGCACGTACGGCGCGGGCAAAGGCCTCGGGACCCTCCTGGTCCAGGATCTGCTTCCAACCCTTGGTAGCGGGGACAGAGACGTCGATGGGCTTGCCTGCCTCGTCGAGGAGGACGGGCTTGATGATATCGCCCTTGAGCTTGGGCTCGCCCATCTGGCCCTTGATGCTGCTGCCATTGACAGCCACGTCACCCAGATACGCCAACAGCTTCTGAGCACGGTTCTGACTGCCGACGAGGGCAAACAGCTCAGGGGTGTCGTCAATGAAAGTGGTCCAGCAGGTACCGTCCACGAACGTGGGGTGACTGAGCAGGGAGGTAAGGAAGGGGATGTTGGTCTTCACACCACGGATACGGAACTCAACCAGGGCACGGACGACCTTACGGCGGGCAATTTCGTATGTGGAACCACGGCAGGTACACTTGACCAGCATGGAGTCGTAGTGAGGAGTGATGATGGCACCGGCAAAACCGTTTCCACCATCCAGACGGACACCGTTACCACCGGCCGAACGGTAGACTTCAATCTTACCGGTGTCGGGAGAGAAACCTTTGGAGGGGTCCTCGGTGGTGATACGGCACTGGATCGCAAATCCACGAGTGGAGATGCGGTCCTGGGTCAGGCCCAGCTGCTCCAGTGTAGCGCCTGCGGCGATCTGGATCTGGGCAGCAACGATATCGATACCCGTGATCTCCTCAGTGATGGTGTGCTCCACCTGAATACGGGGATTGATCTCAATGAAGTAGTAGCGGTTCTGCTGGTCGACCAGGAACTCCGCAGTACCGGCGTTGCGGTAGTTGACGGACTTGGCCAGCTTGACGGCATCAGCCAGGATGCGGTCACGGACATCGGCAGGCAGATCCTTGGCCGGTGCAATCTCAACGACCTTCTGGTGGCGACGCTGGACGGAGCAGTCACGCTCGAACAGGTGGACGACGTTGCCGTGGTTGTCACCCAGGAGCTGGACTTCAATGTGCTTGGGGCGGTCGAGGAAACGCTCGACGAAAACGGTGCCGTTGCCAAAGGCAGAGCGGGCCTCGGAGGTGGCACGCTCGAAGGAATCACGCAGTTCGGCCTGGTCGCGGACGACACGCATACCACGGCCACCACCACCAAAGGCGGCCTTGATGATGATGGGGAAGCCGTAGGTGTCGGTGAAGGCCTTGACCTCCTCGTAGCGCTCGACGGGGCCGGGGGTACCGGGCACGACGGGCACGTCACAGCTCATGGCCAGCTGACGGGCGGAGACCTTGTCACCGAGGCTATCGATAGTGTGGGGGGTGGGGCCGACGAAGACCATGCCGGCCGCCTCGACCTTACGGGCAAAGTCGGCGTTCTCGGACAGGAAACCATAACCGGGGTGGATCAGGTGCACGCCATGCTCGAGAGCAATCTTGACGATCTCGTCACTGGCCAGGTAGGCTCCGACCGGGGTATATTGGCCGCGGTGGCCGATCATGTAGGCCTCATCGGCCTTTTGACGGTGCATGGAGAGACGATCCTCATGCGAGTAGACGGCAACGGTCTGGAGGGACAGCTCGTGGGCCGTCCGGAAGATACGAATGGGGATTTCACCACGGTTAGCGACGAGGATCTTCTGGAACTTCATGATGGCCGAGTTGGCACGCAGACGGGTATGAACGGAATCCCGGTGGTGGTCATGGTGATCATCGATGAACTCGGCGTCATCAACCGCCTCCTCGGGCTGACGGGGAGCAGCCATGGCGAATGTGTGATAAGGATGGGAAGATGTGAGGCGGGGGAGGAGGATGGAGGAGGGATGGGAGGGAGAGGGGAGGGAGCTGTTCAAGAGGTTCTAGAAAGAGAGAAGGCACAGGGGCTGGGGCGAGGGGAAATAAATGCACGAGTTAGCCGACTGAACCAATGATGCTCGGGATAAAAGCAAGCCAGAATGGGAGGAGGAATGGAGCAGAATGGGTGAGTGAGTCACTTGGGGAGAAGGTGCTTCCGGGGAAGAAAATGGCCCGGTTGCGGAACGGGAAGGCGAGGGAAAGCGCGGGGAAAGAGTGGGAGGATTAGGAAGCTCAATTGGGGATCGGCTACTCACCCGAGGGAAAGAGGAAGGGAGGATGGAGGATGGTCGTTGATTTAGGAGAATTACTCGAGGAGAAAGAGAAGGAGTTTAAAAAAAGAGGAGGGGGAGGTAGTCGAGGAGGAGGCGACGAGGGCATTGAAGTACTTGGATGCGGCCCCCCCGGCAGCCCGGCAGCAGTTGCTGCAGCAGAGGAGCGGAGGGGCAGGACAACCCAAGGCGGAGGAGGGGATCCCGGAGGACGATGACGCTGCGGCATGATTGGCAGGTGGTAATGTAATCAAATTACACCGCGGGGCGCTGGATGGTAAGCTATCGCCATAGTGAAGTGGCGCCAGTCCGGAGGAGGATTGGTAATTTCGTGACGGCACTAGTAAGCGCCCCCCAGACGCTCGAGTCTCACCGGCACACCGGGCTGCAGCATGTGGGATGGTGACCCATGGATGTCATGCCCGTCCTGCCATTTCTTTTTTCTTTGCTGCTTCTTTGCTTCTCCCGGGCAGGGCAGCGGTGCAGCCTCCGTTCGTCCGGATAATTGGCTGTCAAGCACATTACAGTTTGGTGGGGATTTGTCCAAGGTTGGATCATCGCTTCTGACGGTGTCTCAATGGCCCGTACCGCGCCAACACCAGCTGCACACGATGACTCTCTTACACCTATCCCATCCTCATCGTCTATTGCTCCTTCATGGATAACCGAATGCGTGTCGGGTGGTTCAGGCATCGCGTTCTCTTGCTACCTCGGGTGCTCGGGCTAATTCTGGCCAGCGTCTGAATCCCAGCGCGGGACGACGACGTCTCGTCAAGGTTACCTAACAGCATTGGCCCTCCAGCCCTGATATCATCAGCCGTCAGTAAACGAACCGAACCCAGACCCTCCCCACCGCATCTCCGGCAATAGGCGACGGGGATCTTCATCCAGGAGCTGGCAAGAATCATCCGAGCACACCAGCTCGGTGTCCGTACTTTGGGGCGTAGCTGCATTGTGCCCTTTTTCCACCGATCCAAAGAGCATCTATCAGCTTGGCAGCTTCAGCGATCGTCGCACATCCCCGCTCCGACGGGTGGTGTCTAGGCCGGGCTGCTAAGGACTTACATAGTAGTAGTTATATGATCTACCTCGGACAAGCAGGAACTATTGCATCCAGCGAGTCGGCTCAGTAGCTCCTCAGCAAGCCCTTTTGTCGGCTTTCTTCTGGGGGCAATTTCCCCATTGAGGAGGGTAGCGTTACCCATCCGCCCATATAAAGTGAAACCACGCCGGAGAGGATGGCCAACTCCATCGATAGTCTGGTTTTCCACCGGTTCCCATGACCTGGCTGCAGAAAATCCCACCCGCCGGGACAAGCCCTGCCTTCCCTAATCTCACACCGGGCCTCTCATCTCCGGTTCTAGATCTGCTTGGTGTTCCCCCTGGTGCGCCAGTCCCTAATCTTGCCCAATTATTATCGGATAATTGGCATTATGAAACGGCATGTGATAAGGTACGCCTTCGGCTCCTGGTGCCGTAGAGACAACTCTGTAGTAGAGCCAATCGAGCCTCGTTGGAGGATTGCATATATACCATCGTTTACTCCGTACATCCACCCTCCTCCGTACTCGGGTGTCCTCTCCGCTGCAGGATCCCCTCCTCCATCCGTCCGTCACCCCGGGATAATTGCTTATCGCTGCATCCTCGTCCGCACACACCCTCCGCCCAAAACGTCACTGATCCCCTGCCCGTCCATTCGGCTGTTCCTCCAATCCTCCTTGGTCGGTCTAAATCCTTTCCCTGACACCCTTACGACTAGGCCCTTCCATTCAACCGAACGCGTTCATCTAGGGATTTCAGATCCCAGATCGCTGTTAAGCCTAGCGTAGGAGTATCTAGCAGCACAGACTACCGAGGATCTTGCTCCGGTCAGTATTATAAGTGTCCTTGGGGATGGGCTTACCCCATCCACGGCGCCATCTGCCGAGATCCAGTCGTAGATCATTCGCCTTCCACTCCCGAAACCCCAACCACCTGTGCATCGGGCCTACGGCCCGAATCTCGAATTAGGATCGAACCTCAAATAAGATTTTATTAAGTACGACAAAGCCCGTGACCGCCCAGAGTCCCGGAAACTGAATACACGGATTTTCAAAGCCTATGAAATACATCAAGAGGGATAAAGTTGTAGGTGAAATGAGCAGGAAATCGTCAAAGAAGAGGAGTACAAACGGATCCATAAATGGATAAGGATCAAGTAAAGTAAGAAAGCCCGACCGGGCGGAACAGCGGACCCGTCAGCTGACACAAGTCCATCCAGCCATTATCTATGCACAATAGCTTGTCCCACCCTCATCCGGCAGCAGATCAACCATCGCTCATGCTATACATACAGTGTGTTATTCAAAATGATCACGAAGGGGTGCGTAACAAACGTTGAACTAGAAAGGGCGGAACCCAGTCGCCTGCGGAGCGATGCCGTTGGCCTGGCCAAACGCCATGGGACTTGGCGCCGGCGCAGCCGGGCCCTGGGTCAACATCAACCGCGTGCCACCCAGAATCGGGGTGTTGTCCTCCTCCGTCTTCTGGGTCACTTCCCGTGCCTTCCGTTCCTCGTTATCCTTCTTAAGCATCTCGATTGTGCGTGTCTGCTCACACAGGAAGTTGATCATGAACGGCATAGTGAAGTCATGGAGGCCGTGGCGCCACGAAAGCTCCAGGATCACGTCAGGCCGGATGAGATCGTAGCAAGCATACAGCATTCCAACATAGCACTCGCGGCTGCCAATGTCCACGAACTAAGAGCACAGTCAGAAAAGATTCTAAGAAACAATGGGACTGGAAAGAAGGTGAATTGAACTTACATAGCGAAGAAGCTCCTCGACAACCTCAGACTTCCCGGAAATAGCGGAAGTCTCAATGGCATCCTTGTAGAGCTTGTCCTGCTTCGACAAGGCGATAGACTTCTCCCAGCGCTTATTGTTGCGGTAGATGTTGGCTGCGACCTGGCGGAAGAAGATGAGATCATGCTTCTCCAGTCGCTGGGCAAGTGCCACCGCATCGAAGTTGTCGTAGTTATCTACCGAATCGCGGAGAGTCTTGTAATCCTCCTCCTCAATCAGAAGATCGTTAATGGCATCATTCACTGCCCTCTTGTTCTGTGTTTGCACATTGAGCAAGAAGGGCTTGATCAAGGGAATGTTATCCGAAGCCTGGAAAATGCGCACGACGCGGTTGACGTCAATTCGAGCAGTGAGCACCTGCAGCAGGTCGGTGAGTAGCAGGGGCTGCTCCTGCAGGTAGAAGTTAAGCGCACGGTAGTAGATCTCCAGGTTGGCCACCTTGACAATAATGTCCTTGAAAGAGTGGTGCTCCCAGGCGTCGGCAGCACGCTCCATCATTGCCAGTGCAGCGTTGTCCCATTCGTCGTAGTGGCAGTACAAGAAGACCAGTTCCGGCCATAGGTTTGCATCTTCGCAAGCCCGGATCATCTTGGGGATGTTAATGCGAGACCAGAAGAGCTTGAGGTGCTCCATCACGCGGTCAGGGTGATACTTGGAGAGAGCAATACCCAGCTCGGTGAACATGCCCATGTGCGCCCGTTCCAGGCCTAGACCAGCCTCCAGAACTGCAATGAGTTCGTCGAAGTAGCCATTGCGCTCGTACTGACGCACAAGGTCTTGCAGCTCTTCGGCATGAACGATCAAGTTGAGACCGCAAATCTGGGCAAGACGGAATTCCTTCTTGCTGACACATGCTTCGTTGACCTGCTTCCAGACCTTGACGCTGTTGGCTTTGCGTGCACACTCCACTGCCGCCTGGTAATCTTCCAGGTGCACCAATGTCGTTGCCAACTTAGCCCAATTCGAGATGCTAGTGTAGAAGATCTTAGCGGCCTGGTGGAAGCCTTCCTCGTAGGCCTTGTCACCAGATGCCTCGATATCTGCAACGTTGGTCGTCCGCAAGAAGTCCTCGAGCTCCGAAAGCTGATCAAGGCGGGCGTAACAGAATGCGAGACCCGTGTCAATGGCAGGCTCGCGCAGAGTCTTACGGGCCATCTTAAGATACTTAACAAGATCTTCATCTTTTCCGGCATGTGTTGCCGTTTCGATAACCTCATTGTAGTTCGAGGCATCGCCAGCACGAATATAGGACTCGATTGAGTCAGACACGCGAAGACCATCCAGCTGGGCCTTGGCAACTTTGCTCCACACCTCCGGCAACTCGACGCGCTCGGCAAACTCTTGTGCGCGGTCAATGCTGACAATGTTCTCAACCAAGACATTGACAGCAGCAAGGAAGTTGTTCACCTTCTTGTAGATCTCGAACGCCTCCTCGTACAGGCCGACCGAAATGCACATCTCAGATATCTCGTCAGGGCTGAACTCGTTGAGCTGATGAATGTAGTCCATCAAGCGACTCTTATCAGCCTTAGCGGCAGTAAGCATCAGCAGATTCTGCAGGCTGCCGTTGTCACTGAATGGCGAGGGTTCGAGGATGATCTTCTCGAGCAATTCAATCAGCTCACCAGGCAGATCCGCTTCTAGGAAAGCCTTGACAGCAACTGACACCTTATCAGGCTCAGTCGATTCGGGCACCGCGGTCGCAATGACCTGGTCGACAAGTGAGCGCCGGTGCTGGTTGTTTTCACTGAGAACGAAAGACCAGATTTCTGAATCGGCTCGCTCCACAAGATAGCGCGCCTGGGCACGGTACATGGCGTTCTCGTTGGTGATATTGATCAGTTCGAGATCATTCTGTCCCTTGCGGTAGGCGATGTATGCCAGGTTCGGATCACGTTTCTCACAGTACTTTCCGACAGTCAGGGTGTCATACAGATCGTTCTCCTTGAGGAACTTTTCGGGATTGTTGTTGCTATCGATGTAGATCTTCGCAAGAGCGTTGTAGACGGCCTGCTGCTGGTTCCCCGTGGCAAGAGTAGCCTCAAGGAAGGGCAGAAGCAACTTCAGTCTGTTTCTGCTCTCAACCTCCGAGACAAGCTCGTCAATGGGAATCACGGATGGATCGACGGTAGAGAGAAGGTTCTTGATGATGCTCTCGTCGCAATCAACGTCTAGCAGGCCGCCGACGACCGCGGGAGCGCGCGATGGGTTGATACGCTGTACGTACACCTCGATGGATTTATACTGCTGGTTCTGGTAAAGGTAGAGAACCAAGTCGTGGACAAAGTTGAAACGATCGCACACGATGATCAATGGCAGTTGCTCTGTCAACTTGGCTTCCTTTAGGAAGTTCTTCACCTTGTCCGGGTTGTAGTAGTTGCTCTCACGGCAAATGCGCTCAACTTCGTTGGTCTGCCCCATAGCAGCAGCAGCCTCAATGTACTTGAAGTGGACCTCGGGATCCTCGCTAAGGTTGACAATGCTCCCAAGGTAAAAGTAAAGACCTTCCGCGGTACGATATTTCTCGAGTAGGCTGATAAGCTGAGCAGGTCCCAAAAGGTCGGAGAACTTGGTGCAGATCTGAACGACCGCTTGTAAGTTCTGGCGGATGTTAACCTGCAGCATGGTGTCCAAGCAGTCAAGGGTCTGCTCGACCGAGAGGCGACCGAAATAGCTCATCAACCACTCGGGGCTCAGCTTGTCGGTACAGACAATGTTGCGCTTAATGGCGGCAGGGTCGTCGGTGTTCTCGAGCGCACGTTGGATGAGACCGGCATTCTCACAAAGCTGAGAGATACGAGGGCGATCGTAGTGAGTAAAGATCTCATTGCCGAGGATGGCATCAGCGACCTGAGGGGCATTGACAAGGTTCATCTCAAGCAGGCGTGTCTGCAGGTGGCCGTGCTCGGGCTTGTTATCCTTCAAAGCATCCAGCAAGAATGAAGTCGCCTGCTGGATCATGTTCTGGGACAGGAAAACATCCACAACGCGGTCGAGATCGATAAGAGCACCAGATTCCTCATTGGCAAGCTGAGAAGCAAATTCGGCACCCTTTTCGGGGTTCACGCGAACGATATGCTGCAAGAGCTGGGTATAGTCCGGCTGGTATCCAACCTGCTTCGAATAGCTGAGGATCTTGTCAAACTGTCCCGTCTCGGCGAACCCAGCGATGACCTTGTGCGACACGTTGGCCTGCAGGTAGATACTGAGGGCCAGGTTCATATCATATGGTCGAACAATATCACCAAGTTCCTCGGAGCCTTCCAATTTGCTTTCACGCATCCACTTTTCAAGAAGGTGCTTCCTGTTTTGTTGCAAGACAGGACGGACGAGCTCAACACTTTCATACTTGTTCAGGGAGCCCTTATCCAACAGCATACCGAAATACTGGAGGATGACAGACATTCCCTGCCCGGATTGAGGAGCGCTCTTGAAGCGGTTGATGGTCTCTGGAGTACGCAGGAAGCCACGGGGTGAGTTGGCGGCGATCTTGGCGGCTTCGGAGTAGTTGCCTTGTGCGATGAGGTTGTCGAACTGCTGCTGGTACAGGTGGTCTGCACCAGGAAGGCCTGCCTTGGAAGCAAGCTTCACTGCGAGGCCAGACATGGCTGGGTTCTCCATCAAGTACTGGATGATAGTACCCTCGTCGACACTGACCGACAAAACTTGACCCTTGCGATTTACGCCGACCAGACCAGCAGAATCGGAGTCGGGGGCAGTAGTGAAGATCGTCTCGCTTGAGATGCGGTTCATGAAAATGCAAGTACCGGTCTCGAGGTCATAGAGGTGGATGAAGCCGTATTTGGTAACCAGGTACACGATATCGTACTTCCTGGAAACCTGCATAGCAACTGGGAAATCATTGACCGCTTCTTGAGGGAAGTATACTTCCACGGCCTTCTTCTGGAACCTCGGGTTTGGCTCCTGATGGTCGATTTCAGCGATCTGCAATTTGGCACCAGTTTGCGTCCGAACAGCGAAGGTAAAAAGCTTGTGTTCGAGAGGAGACCCTTCGACTCGGATCGAAGCAAAAGCAGCTGCGTGGCCTTCAATGAACTGCGAGATCCCACGGTCCTTGGAGAAAAGCTGCATTGAGCCCACCACGCGGCCTTGCTGCTGGCTGATGCCGACCACCACCATCCATTTCTCGTCATCGTTGACCCGGTAATTGATAATTTGGCATCCCTGTTAGTAAAGAGCATGCGTTAGTAAGTGTACGGGTACGCCATCACCTAGCGAGATCAAATGTACGTACGTTCAGGTTGGGAAGCCTATCGAAAACCTTATTTGGCTGAGACTGGGTGGGATCGAAGACATCCCAGTGGTAAACAGAGGACTCTGTCACCAAGCCCAGGCATTTTTCACTGAACCACTTCCAGTAGACAACATCTTCATTCATGACCGCTGACTTCAGCTTCTGCTTCGCCGTCAAGTCGAAGATCTGGATTGTGCGGCCTTGAGCCTTCAGAGCGATGATGTTGCGGTTATAGTGCATGATAGCACTATCCGCATTGATTGGTCGCTTGATGACCTCATTGTTGTTCTTCAGGTTAATTATGATAACTTGAGGCTTGTCTTCTTCGTTGAGCTTTTGCCGAACACACACGAAGTGGTCTGATTCTAGAGTCTGTCCAGCAGTGATATCATCATTAGCGCTTTTGTGTCGGGGTTGACAATGCGGTTAAGAAATCCTAAGGGAGCTACTCACACATGAGTTGAAACCAATCGATGCCGGCTATAGGCAAGTGAGACGTAAGTAAAGTGGCCAGCTACAGTTAGGAGGGACGAGCGGGCGCGTCTCCACGGATTGGGCGTGGAAGGCCATCGCCCGATTGAGCATCAACACGTACCGCAATTTCAGCAGCCGTCAGCTGGGAGGATAGGAGATAATGGTCAGTTCCGATGTCACAGGCGATTCAACGACCCAGGGTTGACATTACTCACATTAAGAAGCTCCGTAAACTTGATCGGTAGAGGAGCCATATTTACCTAAGGCCGCAAGACGACCTCATCCACCAAACAAAACGCCACGCAAAGGGATCCGCCGGATAGCAAAGGAAATGAAAGCGAGAAAAGAGAATTGGGGGTATGAGCGAGGAAAGAGGAGGTGAGGGGGCGGAGGAGAAGGTAGAGAAGTTCAGATGGGATCGGGGAATGGGAAGGCGAGACTGGGGAAGCGGAAAGTGACCTCAGGAGGCCGGCACGTTGCTGAGGTGTCGCTTATGGGGGGTGGCGTCACGTGCAACCACCAGGGGTACCGGGCGGTACCTGGCTCCAACGGCCTTGTCTAAGACGAACTAGAAGAGCTCTAAGGTTCAGACGTTATTATTAGAATGAGGCTCAGGTAGGATTGAAAAGTAATGCATAGTGGGCATGCTCTGGGCCTGGGTGCTTGCTTTTTTCTCCGAGCTCTACATGTGGAGGCATCGGGTCTTTCTTTGTATACAGGTGTCTTCTCCAGTACCATACTGTCTTAACAAGCTATGACCATGGTAACAGGTGAAAGCTGCTTCTCCTGCGGCCTGGAGAGCTGGGCAATTCACTTCGAAATCCGACTCATCTGAATTGATTAATTTGGACAAGTAAGGTAGATGTCGATCCGGGTTGTTGCTCCAAGCCTAGGAAATGACGTTCCAAGGCTATAACCGCTACAGTACTTTCTCCGTCCGACATGGAGTCTAAACAAACAGCGTCAATTAGGCCAGGAATAAGTATATACTGGCATCTTCAAGTAGTACAATAGACGGCTAATTCCGTGTTCATCCAGCTCTAGCGTACGTAGTACATGCTGTAACCATTCCTTGCCCCTAAGGGTTATAAATTTGAACTCGTCCACCGCTCGGTAATTGACACTGGGAAATATATGGTGTATCTGTGAATGGATCTGTCCTCGCATATTTTTCGGTCTCCATTGACGCACTTGTGAATCCCATTGGGGGCATCCGAATATACCACCCCGCTGCGGCAAGGCATGGGAAATTGGTTAATATGCCAACCCACTACTGGATGAGTAGGTAGCCCGCTAAGACGCCAGTAGATTTGTATTGTTTGATAGCGGAGACACTAGCCAGGTGCTTGGTGACTGGTGTGGCTAGGCATCACTGGTTTGGTGGTACGTATTCCCAACCTCCGGATTCTCCGACATAAACACTATGACGTCAGGTGTACTCCGTAGGAGTATCCCAAACCCTCGACTAGCCGATCTTACTTCCCCTTCGACCCTGACTGAAGTGGTAGGTAAAGTATCATAATCCAGGCTATCTTCTTATTCACATAAGCCTTTGGTAGGTAGTACACAGTAAATTGACTCCCAGAAAAATCTTAGCCCTAGTGAAACAAAGAATCTCGAAGCTTCTGACTGCCCAGTTACACTATTTTCATTGTCTTTCCATACAAAGGCTTTGTCCTCCAGCTGCTTTGATAGTTTACAGCTCCTCTATTTCTCTCTTCCGTTCCTTCTATTCGACATTTTCCTATCACTTTGACCCCACAACGCGATTCCATCACTAACTTACCGTGTACACCAGCCATTATTATAATCCAAGCATATCACGAAGTGATGAGATTGCCCGGGTCACCTTCATGATATAAGTATATATTCTACCAGATCAAGAAACAGCCAGACGCACAAGGTTCGAGCCAATGTCAATCTGAGTCAATCCTTCGATAATATCCCGCCGACTATCGCTCGGGCTGGTGGTGTTGTAGAGCAGCAATGCGTCCCGATAGTGTTCAGGGCAGTCTTTTGCGTAACCTCGAGCATCTTCCATGATAACTTCGTATACAGGAACACTAACTTCCTCAATGGTGCCATCCTTAGTCATGCTGAGGCTTTTTAGTTGGCCATCGACTGTTGTTCCATCCATATTGTATCGTGCCCAGATGGCGTCCCCATACCGCTTTTCTGAGATGGCTGCGCAGTACTCCGAAGCCCATGGTTCGACCCATGATCGTCTGCTGCTCTTGTTCGGGACGTGCGCAACCGGGTAGTCGAGGAATAGCTGTTCAGGCAACTTGGATGATTCGTCTTTAATGTTAGTGGTCGACATTGCAGGTGAGATCGTAAAGGACTGGGCACTGGAGTCGCATTCAGGATGATGTTGGGGGAGATTAAACAATTAACCAAACGGTGAAACGTATACTATTAGAAGTATGATAGAAATAACGATTAGCCGATTTACTATATTGGAACTTTAGTATACAATTTGCGAAGATGCCTAGTTTCTGCCTACGCGCGGCTGCCTAATGGTTTAGTGTTGATGATCTTTTATCTTTCCTACATTTATCGTCCTTACGTAGTGGTCCAGACAATTATACGATGATATAGACTAGTTTACCCTCTAAATGCTGGTGAGCTGGTGATTCTTCGCTATTTAGTTCATCTAACTTGGAGCAGGGGGCGTCTGTCCGTTAGTTTTCTTGCCGATATATATCATTCGATTAACATCATCGTGCAAAAGAGCAAAATCATCCATCACGATAAGATAGACATCATACAGCTCCCATGTTAGTATACGGATTAGCCTCAAAATAGTCTTTCCATGCTAAATGCCCGATCAAGCAAGGGACCGCAAGTACGGGATCTCCGGGTGCCTACATCAACACTGCACCTCTGCACCTCCCAGCAAGGCACTACGAAGTACAGCACCCTGGTAAGTCCCAACCAGCATGATGACGTGCTACCAGGCATCGGTTTGCATGCAGACTACATTCTGCAGCTTGCTCCGGCCTGCATTTGCGATCCCGTCGGATATGACAAGGATTTCCCTGGGTATCGCCTTATGTATGTACTGCACTGGCTGGACCGATGGGACAGACAAACCGCGATCGTTTGTTGCATGAGAACAAAGTTAAGCAAGCCACATTTCCCCTAAACGCCCCTCTAAGGGGAGAGAAAAGAAGGAGGAGGCGACGGTAATTACACTTAAAGGAAATAAAAAAAGGTCAAAAAAAGGAGATTACCCCCACGCGGATTCGAACCGCGAAGCTCATGATTGATGATCATGAGCCTTACCAACTGAAACATAGGAGATGTAGATAAGAATCATAATGATGACTTTTGCAATATAGCCGGCAAAATTCTAGGGGGCCGCTTCACTGCGTGTAATGTTTGACGATTGATTAGCGAGCCAAGCACTCATACCACATAGATATGCTAGCTACTGATGGACTTGGAATGTCCTATAGAGGCCAAAAAAATATCACGGTATCACTATCTAAATAACTAGGCCTCACGATAGTGTTGTAGTGTATGGTTAGTCTACGTGAGTTTAGGCTAACAATCTGGGTATTTTTTTTCCCAGCTTGCACCACACGTATGACAATGCCACTGGATGATGAACTCGACGAGATTTTTATGGCATATTGTGAGGTCCCGCTTATGCCTCGCAACGTGGTTTCCCACCGCTGAACTAACCATCGAAGTATTTTGAAGTCACTTTTAATTTGGGATATCGCTACTACAGGCCTATCTCCTTTTGTGAAAGGTATAGGTATAATGTCGTGAGGAAGACAGAAGCATCATGATGCGAATAGCCTTAACATGAACTCAAACCACTGAACAGGAGAATATATTGCTTAGTGGTGGAACAAACGAGTGCCCTGCTCGACGAACACAATGCCAAGCTTCTCAGAAGTCTCGAAGACAGCACTGTCGTTCTGGCTACCGCTGGGGGCGGCGATGTACTTGACACCGGAGCGGGCGGCACGGAAGACGTTATCAATGAAGGGGAACTGCGTAATAGAGGTCAGTGTTTATCACACATGGTATGGGAAGTGTACGTACGAAAGCATCCGAGGAGACAGCAACTTCGCCCAACTTCTGGAGCCATGAGTCGCGCTCTTCCTGGGTGAACGGAGCGGGGACTTCCTCGAAGACACGCTCGTACTCGACCTTTTCGGCCTCGGTGCGAGGAGTCTGACCGGAGCAGAGCAGGTCAATGGCATTGCTCTTATCAGGACGCTTGGTGCCCTGCTTCCACTTGATGTTGAGCACACGATCGTGGAAGCGCATCCACCAGTTGTCTGCCTTGTCACCAGCCAGGCGGGTGCAGTGGATACGGCTCTGTTGGCCGGCACCCAGACCGATAACCTGACCATTCAAAGCATAGCACACAGAGTTCGACTGAGTGTACTTTAGGGCAATAGTAGCCACGGTGAGATCCCGCAGAGCAGCCTCGGGCAGGCCCTTCAAGTCCTTGGGAGTAATGATCGTGTTGAAAGTCTTCTGAGGGCTGATCACAATGTCGTTGCGGTGCTGAGTGAGCTGGACACCGTACAGAGTACGGGTTTCCTCGGCAGCAGGCACATAGTTCTCATCCATCTGGAGCACAAGGTACTTGCCTCCCTTCTTCTTCTTCAGGATCTCCAGAGCTTCAGGGGTGTAGCCGGCAGCGATAACACCATCAGAGACCTCGCGGGAGACGATCTTAGCGGTGGGAACATCGACGACGTCACTCAGAGCGAGAATGTCACCGAAGCTGGACATACGATCGGCACCACGGGCACGAGCATAGGCCTGAGCCAGACCGGAAGACTCGATACCAGCAATGTCATCGACCATGTAGACCTTACGCTCCTTCTCGCTCAAGGGCACGCCCACGGCAGCACCGGCCGGAGACACGTGCTTGAAGCTGGCCGCAGCGGGGAGGCCCAGCGCTTGCTTGAGTTCCTTGACAAGAGCCCAGGCGTTGAGAGCGTCAAGCAGGTTGACGTAGCCAGGGGCACCGTTCAGGGCCTTGAAGGGAAGCTTGCCTTCCGTCGTAAAGGCGGAAGCCGGCTTCTGGTGGGGATTGGTGCCGTAGCGCAGAGCCATGTACTTCTCGCCGTTGCCCGCATACTGCTTACGGAAGAAGCCCGAGATGGCAGTATCATAGTCTGCGGTGTGCTCGAAAGCCTTGAGAGCGTAGGACTTCCGGCTGACGTCGGTGATCTCACCGGCTTCCAGCTCCTTGAGGAATTCAGGGTAGTCCTGGGGGTCCGAGAGGATGGTAACGCGGGAGTGGTTCTTGGCAGCAGCACGAAGGAGGGTCACTCCGCCAATATCGATCTCCTCAACAGCTTCCTCAATGGTGACATTCACCTTGTTGACGGTCTCCTTGAAGGGGTACAGGTTGCAGACCACGTAGTCCACCTTGGCAATGTTCTGGTCGGCCAGATCCTTCTCGTCAGACTCGATGTCACGAGCAAGGATACCACCGTGGACGGCGGGGTGAAGGGTCTTGACACGGCCACCGAGCATCTCCGGGGCATGGGTGATGGCGGAGACATCTCTGATCGACCATCAGTTTGAGGTCTTGGGAGACCAAGGGAAGCTTAATCCCAGTCATGACCATAACAATATGGTGACTCACTCAACGGGGAACCCCGCCTCCCGAATCAATCTCGCGGTACCACCAGAGGCAAGCAGCCGGACATTGTGCTTGACAAGGCCTTTGGCCAGGTCAAGCAGTCCAGTCTTATCGTAGACGGAGAGGATGGCTGTAGGTTGTATATGAGTTTGGACGTCAGCCCCGGATACTCTGGATTCTCACAAGTAACAGAAATGCCAAATTGTGGGGACAGGTATCGGACCAAGCCCACTACTTGACAGGCCTTGGGAAGTTCCCAATCAGGGAAATAAATGCACCAGACAGGAGATGGATATAATCAATTGACTTACCAGACTTTTGTTGAGACATCCTGAGATACCGACAGTGAAGAGATCACTAGAGCAGAGAAGGAGAGTCAGGAGTGATGACGAGGGAAAAATTGTTCAGGTCGATTAAAACCCCCCCCACAACCCCTCGGGACGATCGATTGGAAGCTCCGCACACAGAGCAGGAGCAACAGCAAGAGCAAAACGAAGAGGCAAACGTACCTGAAAGTTGAAGGACGCTGAGGGAGGAAAGATGGTCAGTGGCCTCCAAGATCGAGGTATCACTGTCTGAACTGCAGACAGCACAATGGGAGAAAGATTGATGACTGCTACCGATCGATCAAACACGCTGGTCACTGAAGTTCCCTCAATTTCTCCTCCATGTCCCGCCGCGGGGTCCTTCGCCGCTTTCGGACCTGGCGGGTGACCAGGGTGCTATCGATTACTAACCGCTTGCTGTCGTAGCTCGAACCCGTGGGTGAGAACCATTGGGTCCATGACGGCCGCTGCTTGACCCCAGAGGGCTTAGCGTTATCGCAGACAGCTTATGCCTTCCTCGCTTAATCATTAGTGTATAAAGCCGTGAATGCATCACGTGTAGTCACCTGACCTACGCACAGGCCACCCATCATCCACTACAAAACCTTCTCTTTGCCGCGTCCGCTCCATTTTCTTTTTTCTTTTCTTTCACATGAACAACGCAAAATACAACATTCTTCAAAAAGCGTTCCTGCGAGGATACTCTTTCCCTCTTGGGTCTGATTAGCCGATGAAGTACGGAAATCGTCATACAGAATGGAGAGAAACTGCCCTTGGCAGAGTGTCGATCTTGGGTGCAGTGTCTGACTTGAACTCTACGAGTTCGGTGGAAGGGACTGCAATGATTGATTCTACAATCTCTATCATCAAATTCTATCTTAGAACATGGATCGCGTGGTCGAAGCTCGTAGTCAACCTTTCGTCATTTGTCGCCATGGTCTTTAGGCATAACGGATCGTCTATCTAGTACAGACCCGTCGGGCCCGAGCCAAAACTGCAAGTACAGGAAGGAGACGAAATTCCTGAATTAAAAAGTGGAGGGGTATTGGGGTATACAAAGTTCCCGATGCTATTAAAATGTGGAATAAGAAGTGAACCGCCTTGATGTCGCGTCACTTTTTCAGCGACTCTGGGGCAAGCTGCCGGCCAATGTTTCCAAAGCAGACGCATGCGCAGAAAAGCACACTGGCAACCCAAGTCCGTACTGCAATGCTTTCCTGAGACATCTCAACCGCAAGTCCGTGATCCCATCCGGTGATGTTCGAGATGGGTGCTGTAGGAGTGGAAGTTTCTGCAGATGGGATCAAGTCAGGCTTGAGTCCCAATATGATTCCCATCCCAGCCAATCCAACCATAGTTGACAAGAAAAATCCGGTTCGGGTACGGTCGATGAGATACCATAGCACGGGGTTGACGAGTGCGAGAGTCACCGATGCTTGAGTAGTGGATTCCCAGGGAAGCCGGCGCTGTAGAACACGAAGGATGGTTAGTGAAAATACAAGAACCTTGACTGCTGATGTTCTACTTACCATGGCAAACGCAATGCCCACAAATGCACCAACACTGCGAACCACTGCAACCCACGATACAGTACGATCCGCAGCCTCCTGATCGCTGGGCCTGCTTGTCTGCTTGGAGTTATCAATTATTTGGCCCCCAAACTGGTCAAACCACGGCAGAATGTTTCCCAAAGCGATGCCAGCCACACCCCAGAAGGCGAGGTATTGCCATGATCCGTAGTAGTGTGTGTTTTCCAACTTCACCGGGGTGATCCAGTGATTCTCATGCAGATGAATTGTGATGACTCCATAAACAATGCCAAAGCCGAACAAAAAGGCGCTCTTCAACGCCTGCGGAAGGATAACGCCACGAAACAGACCGTGACTGAGACGTGACCGCGTCCGCTGAAGTTTTCCTGGCGCGGGAGCTTCAGGCTGGATCCTCGGGCTTCCTGGCTGGGGTGTGCGGGCTTCCGTCCCCCAAGGACTAGAGTCGTCCCGGGAGCTTTCGAAGGCTGTTGGAGAGTATATACCGTACAGCGTCGAAGAGGTCAAGTTCATAATCGAGGCATTGCGGCTCACACTGGCAGAACCGCCATCTTTGGGGGCGAGCAGGTCCGGGTTGGCCGGTTCCGCAGGGGTAGAGGGCTCTTCAGGCGTAAGGTCGAACACACGTCGCGGACGTGGGCGAAGGATCGTAGGGTCGTCAGACATGACAGGCAGGTGCTGCAATCGGAAATCCGGGGGTTCTATGGGAGGTGCAACGAGAGGCGTGAAGTAGGTGGTAGATGTGGAAAATCTCCTTCTAATCAACACAGTCACCAGATATCGTGATCCACCGGCTCCAGCAAGGTTAGCCGTCAGCCCACCCGCGGTTAAATATCGGTAGGTGGACTCCTTTCGAACAATTGTCCTGTCTGTGTGAGAGGAGCGTGCCCGAGGTGGGGAAAGACAAAAGGAGAAAAGAAAGGCCAGAGCGTGTCGGGGCTGCAAGCACACAGACGGGCCAAATAATAATAACGGAGAGGCTGGAGGCAGATCTGTTCGTTCTAGCGGCCTAGTGGAGCGCTACTGGCAGTACTCCGTGACTGGGGGTGCAAGATGTGTGGCGGATCGGCAATGAAGGCACACTGAGGGGAAAGAATGAGGGACCACCGAGGGAATGGCAATGGCTGTCCAGTGATGGGGGTACGCGCCCCCTATGAGGTATGAATAAATAACGATGTAGTGAGTCCTATTGAGGCGGAGCCCTGAATCAACTGGAAACAGTGAGGAAGCAAGAAAGGCTGGAGGAATGTTGGGGGAAGCCGTACTCCGTAACCAGGAGCCAGTCATCGGCGATCACATGCAAATGTCTGAGCTCCCTCAACTCCAGCCGCCGCCACAAACCACCTGCCAAAGCTTCCCAAACCCCAACCGATCATGACGATGAGAGTCAGCTGGCTGCTGCATATGTGCCTTTCTGATTACACAACATCCACAGAGCGCGCAAAGTCAACGATACCCTCTCTTTCCCAAGAAACAAAGCGGGCAAGCGCTCCAGTAACTTAACCTGATCTAATGGTCCAAAGGCGTCCCTCGGCGCCCTTGCGTCTTTGGCACATGATATACATGAGACCGTGTCGGAGAAAATCGACGGTGTTATGCCTGCTAACCATTGGTGCAGAGAAGCCAGCTCAGCTTCAAAGAAATCCATGTTCATCTCACATCTGTCACTTCATCCCACCCATCTTGCTCATTTACCTCGATGCCCTCATGAAATTGTGTACTTCATTGAGACGTGCGTCAGCGTAACTTCCCAACCTCAGAACACGGCCACCCCCGGTATTCAAGCAGCTTAAAATGCACTTCTCGCGGGATGTCGTGCTGCGGCTGAGCTTGGTCATTTTTTCCGCGATCGACACCTTCTTTGGTGAATAAACGAAGTTTGATATTCGACCCTTCGATTAACTCGTCATAGATGCGTGCCGCCCCCTCAACTGCTATGGCCATCCCGCATCTGCTTAGAGTCAACATAAGTCATTCAGCACCGGGAGCAGGCACTGTCAATATTGGAACCCGTGATCTCATGTCTGGTAACTGGCAACTCCTGTCCTTTAACGCATACCCGACAACCCTACTAGTACTATAGTAAGTAACACAGAAGAATAACCGAGCCGATTATCAGGGCGGCATGACACCGCTGAAAGAAGCTTAAGTCTAGATGAAATCAGTGCTTAATGGGGCCTTAGCCTATTATCGGCCTGAAAGCCGGTTGGTAAGAGCGAAATAGTCTATTACATTGGTAACAGTGCACTGCATGACGACTCTGTAGCGGAAAAGGTCTATTATGTATAACAGCTTTCTGCGGAAAGCTGCAGGGCTTATAAAGAAATAACGGTCTAGGTACAGTGGATTGCTAGGACCCATGTATCCATTTCACCAGGGGTTACTGATGCGTGGCACCAGCAAACACACCAGCAAACATTTGTCTCTGACTTTGGCTGCATGGGAAGGTTGGTGTGACTGCCACTCTTTGCTCTACCATAGAGTTGTCTCTCTTTATAGCTATCCCCAACCATGCCTTATTACTGGGGCTCATGGTCCATTACCCATTACCACCCTGGTCAATGTATTTTGGTTGTCAGGCACCTCGTGCTTCACATGGGATGTGCAAGAGGCTGGATAGACGCATGCAAAACAAGGCACCCAGGTCTCGGCTTGATTCAAGTCGCTGATTCAGTCTAAAATGAAATCTCACGTCGCGAGGCTCTGTCGGCCCTACTCGGTGGTTAGATGCATGCCGGGCCTGATAGGTCGCAGTGCGGTTTGGCACCAAACAAATGGATCATGCATAGCAAGCTGGCGCGGATGACGGAGTAGATCAACCTGTTATCAAGCCACGCGGGTACCTTTCCCTCTCGCCTCCGTCAGCCTTAGCCTTGACCTTGGTTTCAAAGTCAACCGACGAAGCATATGCACTAGGCCCTTGGTGCCTGGGCACTGAGAAGTGAGCGCAAATGAGCACATGCTCACAACAGTGGCCGTGATAAGCCCCTGCCCCTCGGACAAGTGGAGCCTCATAAGATACGGACATGGCAACCTTTCAGTATATTGACCCCATCTCGTCTGCGGTGTTTAGGGAAGCATGCCCTGCTACATTCTTTTCTTTACCTCGCCCATCGGCACAGTGTTCCCCGGAAAGCCTGCCATACTACACTGGGGTCAGAACAAACAGCGATCAAATGTTCTGCACGCTAAAACGATCCAAGGACGCGAGGGAATCGTATGCTTCCGAACTGACAACTCCTCCCTTCGCCAAGCCGAAAAGCAAATACAATGCTGCCTGTACAAATTGCCGAAAAAGTAAGGTGTGGGAGACACTGCACCTGTATGCCCGCAAGTCCTACTCTCCAGCCGCTCATAGCCAGTAAAGCTGAAATGTACCGATGAGCCTCAGGGCTGCCAGCGCTGCTTGGTAAAGAACCTACAATACGGTTACTTGAGCTTTCGAGAAGGCATCAGCCACGAAAAGGACCATACCGGTCTCTCAGAAATGCACCCAGCTGAGAGCAACATGATCGTCGAGGCAGAGAGCGAAGCCCAGATTCATGATAGCGAAGCGGTGCTCCTTGGCTTTGATACGCTCGACTGTGTTGATATATTTGGACCTGGTGCAGCTATTCCTTGCCGCGGCGGTCAGCAAATGCTCCTTCATATATGAAAACAAGCACTTACTTGTGCAACAGACTTGAATGCGGACTTGCCCGAAGGTATCACTCCGTGTTTCGATTTCGAGCAGCAACCTGCATTAGGACACCAGGCCCAGACGACCGACTTGGACTTATATGATCTTATGAGCTATCATAGTCAGACACCGATGGAGCCACCAACTATAACCGAGCATGTTTGTCTATGCTTTACAAGAGCTGTTAGGATTCATGAGGCCCTTGAGGTCGATCTCCTGTGGATCAACCAGAAACGGTGCAGCGATGCGGTCGATATGCTGCAGAATCAAAAACGAAACTTAGTCAACAGTAACGTGCTATTCGAGTGTCAGTATTGTGGAATACAGTCTTCATACGTTATGCTGCTTCTAGCCATTCTAAGTAAGATAGCCAGTGCCCTGGATTTCGTTTTCCACGAGTCTCGCCTGAGATATACAGATTGCACGTTTGAGGGATAGCAGGGGGACCAGAATGGCCCTCAGACGGTTCTTCACCGTGAGAATCGGACTAGGTAGAGTACTGCGTTGTCACGTTCCTCCAGTTGCAAGGACTGATGCCGAGCAACAGCTGCCGATATTGAACCCGATGTCGATAATACGGCCAAGGTGATCACAACATTGAATATGCTAGGGCACCCCATCAAACCTCGGCGGCTTATTGAGGTGTTCGAAGCAGCGACTCATTTCCACGTTTACCCTGGTGAGAGGGATGCAAGTTTTAGCGCCAACTGCAATGCGCTAGCTGCTTTACTTCGACAGCCAGACGTCCTCTTATACTCCTCCCAGATCGTGAAGATTGTTACCTTTCTGTGCGACAGGAAATGGCGTGCTGATGATGAGACCAAGGATAAGTGGGTGAGTAACTCCTTGTTGACATCGTTTAGCCATCAGGCTAACCAGCAGATACAAAATACAAGTCACCTCTATTCGTCGGTGCCATACGTTGAAGCCCTAGTCGACCTATTGGCCTTGGTGGATCAGCATAAGTTGCCGGGTGTGTTCGATCCGCCATTCTTGTCAAAGGTAGCAGTGACTCTTTTTCAGACCTGCTTGAGACCCTTACCAGACCAGGAAGCGAATGGATCCTGGAATAAATCTGTGGATGAGACTGCGTATGCCATTCTGCTCCTTGCTGAGGCTCGGCGTCTCTGCTTTTTTGACAACCTCCGCCACCCATTGCAAGCCGCCATCGAGCGCGGCCTGGAGTTTCTTGCATCTAGTGGTAGTAATCCTGGCAGTTGTATTTGGTCTGACAAGGTCAGCTATGGGTCTTTGTCCATCACGGAGGCGTACATCCTGGCCGCTCGGAAGTCGGTTCAAAGTATCCGAGCTGAAAGACCCGTGGGACTGAGCTTTTGGAGCGAGAGTACACCTGCACGGATGGATGGACGCTTGACGCTATTCCGTCAGACCCCTCTCTTCAAGTCTCTGCCTGAATGGGAACTTCGCGCATCATTGCTCGAGGCCATGCTCTTCCAGCCCCTCTTGGAGCACATAGACCTTGCTATACCTCCCCGGCAAGATGCCCACGGTGGAACCTATTCAATGATCATCCCATTCACCTGGACCAGCTGCAACAACCGGACACGAACGTATGCTTCCGCATCGCTCTTGTATGAGATGATGGTGTTATCCTTCAGGACCTACCAAATCGACGAGTTCATGGAGGCTGTAGCGGGACCTGCTTTCAAATATCACACGGAGGACCTTCACCACCTAGTTGAAACCGTGGCAGCAGCGGTGCCCAATTACTCAAATGGCTTGGAGCATTGCACCGATATCAACGGCGACCATATAAAACACTCCCAGTATCAGGACTATATCGATAAGCTAACCCGTTGCGTTCAGTCGATCCTCGAGAATCCGGCCTTTCAATCTGCAAGTTCGAACGATCGCAAGACACTCGAGCAGGAGCTCAGGATCTATCTTCTTGCACACGCGAAGCAGGTGGCAGATAACTCGCAGTTTGAAATTGAACTCAAGCAAAGTAAAAGGCTTACCTCTGCCACCAGCATCTATTTCCGCTGGGTCTACTCCACCTCCGCTGATCATATCGCCGCCCCTATGTGTTTCGCCTTCCTCTCCTGTATGATCGGAGCCACCCTGACACCAAGGACTACCACCGAGGACTGCTTTCACAACACAACCACCAAGTACTTCGCCGCCGCAGCATGTCGTAACCTCGCGGCCATGTGCCGCATGTACAACGACATTGGCTCCTGGGTGCGCGACCATGAGGAGGGAAATCTGAACTCGATTCACTTTCCCGAATTCACCGGGACAGACGACGGTACAAAACAGGCGGTGCTCTTCGATCTAGCTCAATATGAGCGCAAATGTTTGAATCATGCCCTAGAGCGACTGGCTGTAGAGATGCTCAATGATCCCGATGCTGAAGCTAGTCGATTGGGCAAGCGGCGAATGCATCTTGTTCGGATGTTCTGTGATGTAACGGATCTTTCCGGTCAGATTTACGTTCTTCGAGATATGTCGAGTCTGATTCGACATACGATGTAATTCGGCACATTAGAATCTAGCCAGCTAGTAGTTGATGATGGGATCGTTCCGGGCGCTATGCTCCTATCTATAATTCATCCTAATCGATATGCGGACATATATCAACTTATGGCATTTATACGCAAGGGTATCTAGCTCACATCCACAATCTACAGATAGCAGACCAGAAACACGATCCGGAAGGAAAAAAGGTCTTAGAATCAGCAACGCCCATTCAAACCTGTAAGCAGGAGTAGAGATATTATCCGCCTTGTTAACGATATCACAGTCAGTCCCCAGAACTATCCGATGGCCGTGTCAGTTAAAACCCGTAAACGTACTGTGGATGTTTGTGGATCGAGCCTGATTCTTGGATTGATTTTATTGTACAGTATGAAAGATCTATCATGGGTGACTGGCTAGAAATAAGAAGAGAATTATCTTGGAAATAGGGGGGTTATGCTGGATATTTCCCAAAATCATATCCATTCCATCATTACTGTGGTTCGCATCGGCCTAGGGCGAAATATTCGATCGATGTAATTGGACAGCTCATATTTCATGAGAGTGGACCCCGCGGATGATTGCGGCTATGAAGCAATTAATGGGATGACCGTTGGGATAGATGCGAGAGAAGTGGGGATATCCTTGTCCCGCCTGTCTTTCGTATAGACATAATACCGAGATCTGAGTGATTGCAGAAATAACATAGCATAAGTGTAGTGTCAAGCTAGAGCGAGAGAGGAACGAAGAAAGGAAAGAGACATTATCAAGGCGATGTCAAGATAAATAGATAGGCCAAATTAGTCATATGAAAAGAAACATAGGAAATGGATACAGCCGAAGAAGTAATTGCATCAACATAAAGCAGACCTCAATACTATGGTCCACTAATCTTCCATAGTCTCATCTTTGATCTCCCCTCGTCGGGCCGTCGCGCCTCCAGCGGGCTCAGCGGCATCCCCAGCGACAGACGAGATATCACTGGCAGCATACCCGTTTCCGCCTTCCAAGGTGGAGGAGTTGTCATCTCCGTCGACGTCTCCTTCTCCTTCTTCAAGGTCATCATCATCGGCCTCTTCGTCATTCTCATCAGAAGACAGCGCCTCGGCCTCCTCGCCGATAAAGCTGTCCTCGTAGCCAACTTCGGCTGGGTGAGAGGTACGAGCTTTTCGAGTCGGACCAACGTCCTCTTCTCCACTTCCCTCGCCTAAGATTTCCCGGTCAATATCATCGAGGCCTTCCTCAGCTTCGAGGTCTCCGTCCTCATCACCCAGCTGGGCCGAGCCAGGCATCGGCGAAAGTTCCTGGTCTCGGGACGGCACGTCGAGGCCATCCTTAGTGACACCAGGAGTGGCCGTCTCTGCACCCTCGGCATCGCGTTGGGTACGACTCCGGTTAGCTTTAGCACGAGACGACGTCGACGCGCCTTGCTCCTTGAGATCTGCTGCTGTACCAGATGCCGCCCCCGCAAGCTTGCGCTTAGCATTGCGTGCAGCGCGGGCTCTGCTACGGGCCGAAGACGGGGCGCGTCCAGCAAGATCTGCGGAGTTTTCCATAGCCAATCTAATTTGCCTTGCCTTCTGACGCTGTTCCCTTTCCTTCTTACGGTCACGCTTCGGACCGTTGGCATCGTCATAATCCCATCGATCCAGGCGCCTAGCAGCCTTGCGGATGACAGACAGGTAGTAGCTGGCGCATTCACCGAAGTCCTCTTCTTCGTCCGGCTTTGGAATGAGCCCACCCTTTCCCCACGAGTTCTCCTCATCGTCCGTATCGTAGTCATCGGGCAGAGTGGACAGCAAACGACCGTGGCGGACGATTGGAATTTCGCTCTCTCGCTTCGCACGTAAAATACGATATGCTTCGCTCTTCCGCTTGGCTAGAAGATATTCAATACGCTGTCGTCGATTCTGCTCTACAGCCAACTGATGCTGTGTAAGGGGCCGTGGACGGCGAGCGGAGGATTGCTGCGGTAAGGAGGGTTCTGCGACGAACCGATTTAGGATTGGATGACCAGAGCCTGGAGGAGCTGGAGAAGCAGCGTCAGGTGTGTTTTCCATCTTGGTTTTTAAGATGAGACGCTGCTGACCAACAGAACGGTTGAGAGAAGACTCTCGTTTGGGTCTCTTATACCGAGACCGAGCAGACTGACCGGGAGTCTGATAATCATCCTCATCATCCTGCGGATACCGCTTGGATGAGGGATGCAATGGGGTGGACATAGTAGAGCCGCGACCATCACCTCGACCTAGATTAAACTCATTAGTAGCTTCGAAAGTCTGAATTCTTGATGGGATGAACTTGCCCGAAATATCCCCCGAACCGTCTTCATCGTAGCCGAAGTCTGGCAGGCCTACGGAGAAATGTCAGTGGATATAGGGTGACGGATTGGACAAGGGTAGAGAGACCTTTCTTGGAACGCTTGGTCACCCTGGGAATGGGCTCATCTTCCTCCAAGATACCTGTGGATCGGGGTTAGTGATTGCGCAGACACAACCCGAGGAAAGATGCAAGCGACTGACGTTTACGTTCCAGGCGTTTAGCCTCTCCATAGTCAATCTCAGACTGAGTATCAACGTTCTCTTCATTCGCCTGTTCTTCGGTGAGACTTTCAAATTGAGGTACCTTGATGGGCAAGCCCCCGGTCCCTTCACCATCCAAACCAGGGCCAAACGGATTATTGAGTGCGGCTTCGGGGCTAAAGTCACTCTCGAGGTACCACCACATCAACCAGAGGAAGGCTTTGGCACGACTTTGACTGCTCAATGTGCCCCGCATAACAAGGTCGAAAAAGTCGCGAGGAGGGAAGAAGTGCATTTCAGACACCTTTGGGGCATATTGGGCTAGAACAAAGATCAAGTTGACCGGGTTCGTGCGGGGAATTGCATGGCGCTTGATTCTCTCCAAAGTATTCGGCTGGTCCACATCTTCTGATGCACCCTTGAGGATCGATTTGAGACGAGGTGCGTCTTGCAGTTGCTTGTAGGCATTCGGGTCTTGGTGGGCTTGTAGCGAAGGGATGGAGTGATAGGTTCGCAGCTGTGCACGCATCTCAGGGAAGACTAGATTGTCATCAGTTAACAATGCAAGAATGGGAAGGTAGATAGACAGTGTAAAGTAGAAAGGAGGACATACAATTGAGGGTGGTATTCATCCTTCCGAAGTTGACCAGCAAACAAACCATGGCCATGCTGATAGCTGCCTGCTTATCGTTCTGAAGTTTGTCCTTCAGGATCTTGCTCGTCTTGCTACTCCTCGCCATAGCATCGATATAAATGTCCGCGAAGTCTAGGTTCTTCTCTCCATCAGGCCAACGAGTGAAGACCTTGGTTTGGTCCTCGAAGACGAGCTTGAGGAACTGATATTGGATGTCTTTGCGCCACAACGGAATGCCATCTTCTTTCTTGAGATGCCGAATTTTGTTACCCGAGTAGACCGATCCGATGGTGCCATTCGCCTGGCGTCTGATACCGACCGTCATGTTGTGAGTTTGCTGCTCATCTTGAGGCTCGGATTGCGCAAACGACTCGTCTGCGGCGGCAGTTTCAACTTCGGCCATCTCGGGTGTCGCGCAATTCTAGGACCCAATGTCTCTCTATAACAATGCGGTAGTCTGGAGCTTCCCAGACCGCAACGTGGGGTTTTCGTTGTCCGCGTGCTCTGGGAGCGGAAGTCGCGCAAGGGGAAGGAGACGACTTATGGAATCGATAGCTTATGGACGGTCCAATAGTTGAACGGGGCGAGAGTGGGTGTGGAGGGGATGGGGAAAGACTAAAGAGGGATGAGTAAAGAGAGCTGGGGAAGATTGACGCGGACGGAAGATGAAGAGAAATGGAAGAAATTGGGAGGGTGGCAGGCAACGTGATCCTGGACGATCCGTGACTTTCTGCGCTCACTCCCTTGGCTTTGATCTCCGATCGTGGGCGGGAGTGACTAAGTTAGCCTTGTAACTATAGCACCATTCCGGGCCCCGGTTCCTATCTTGTCATGTAATTTGATCCCGGCCCTCTCCACATATATCTAAACAGAGAAATTTGAAAATAAAGGAATTCTAGACGTTTGATTACGTACGGACGTTATCAATAGGCAGCAAGCCAACCTGTCCTGTTCAGCTTAGACTACCATGCAAAAAGACAAGGCTTCACCATCGCTACTCACTGGGCCGGCAGAAGAGTTGAGCCGGGCTGGCCGAATCTACTCCGTACTTAGTAGAAACAAATCAGAGAGGTTGGTCAGGGGTGTGACAGGAAACAGTACGACAGCATTGTGTGGAGACTGGATGTGGTTTTAGGCATTGATCAACCACTTCTACAGGAGTACGTTCCAAACATACAGTTGGTCATCATTTCAATTACACATAAACGAGCTTCAAACTTTTTGAGTTGAACAGAGAATAGCTAGCTCCCTTCTCTTTGAGACTCGTGGTCTCGTAAGCAGAGCCGTCTTCGGCATTTTCCGTTGAGCCCAAACTGCTACTGACAAGAGACGATGATACCCACAAACAAGCGCCAGCAAAGCAGCTTCCCATCCTCCACGGATCCGAGATATGAACCAGAAAGAAGATCCCACTCAAAGTCGGCCTCCACGGACCCCAGTGCAGAGAACATTTTTGTGGACACAGCAGCTCAAGCCAACGCCATACACAATGCAAAGAAGAATCCCATCTCTATCACCCCCATTCCCATTTTGTGCACCAGCGTTCCTTGATACCGTGCATAGAGACCAATGCCCGCCGAAGAAACCTGGCCCCATGGCGAAACGCATGGTTTCCCTGAGACCTTGATGCCTCTTCCGCACGGTGCCAATGCCCAGCCCAGAGATACCATCCCCAGCCGAAGAAAAGTGACACAGCCCGGAGAAGAAAGCAGGTTCTCAAGCGAAGCACGAAACAAAAACACGGATGGAAGATGAAAAGGAATAGAGACAACCCGCCATGAGAAACCGAAACTGTAAGAAATCTATTCGCGAGACACGGTCGATGCAGCTGCCTGGCACCAAGCAGGGAAAAATCATAAAAAGCACTTTTCTGAACACGAAAAGCCGGCACCCCCGCTCGGCACGCGTCGTTCAAGCGGATCTCCGCATGGCCGCCTGAGAACAAAAAGGGTATCTGATGAAGCGGTCGCAGGAGAAAGACAACGCATTCTATGATATCCATGCAATGCCGACCCGAATGCTCACGATTATAAACGGGTATAACCAGGAGCAGCGAGATAAGGAGATCGGACCACATCGAAACCCATGTCTAAAAACAAGGCAATAAATAGACGACATTGGCAAAATGCTCAGCAGAAAAAACACCTGCACATAGAAAAAGAAAGCAAAGGGAAAAAGAGATCCTTAGAGCGTATCTAAGATAACGTCGTGGCGGTCATGACAAAGCCGGTCCTGAGAAACAATAGGAATAGAGGAAGAAAAAGAAAACTCAGGGCTCGTTCTGATCGTATCCGTCAAAGGAGAGGCAAGTGAAGAAAAAGGAGCCAATCAAACCCGACGGCCTCGTCACAGACCACAACCTCTAGGTCCTAGTAGCGAGTGATTTACCACCAGGAAGAAGGTCCGGTAGGGCCAGACGGGTTGCCGTAGCTACCACCGTAGCTACCGCCACCGCCGCCGCCATAGCCACCGCTGCCTCCGTAAGAGGGAGGACCGCCGTAGCTGCCACCGCTACCGCCGTAGCTGCCGCCAGGGGCACCGTAGCTGCTGCCGCCGCTGCCGCCAAAGGAAGGAGCGCCGCCCATGCCACCGCCCATACGACGCATGTCGCGGGTGGCATTCGTACCACGGCCACGGCCACCGCGGCCACCACGACCACCGTAGCCGCTACCCTCACGAGCAATGCTCTCGAGGAACGAGGGGACCTCCTGGTGAGCCTCCTTCAGAAGGTCAATCAGGTCGCGGACGACACCCCGGTTGCCACGGTTGAAGAAAGCAGTGGCAATACCGGTGTTACCGGCACGACCGGTACGACCAATACGGTGAACATAGTCGTCAATATCAGTAGGCAGGTCGTAGTTGATGACGTGAGTAACGTTGGGGATATCGAGACCACGAGCAGCAACGGCGGTGGCAACAAGGATCGGGCAGCGGCCGGAACGGAACATTTCCAGAGCACGCTCACGCTCGCGCTGGGTACGGTCACCGTGAATGGCGGTGGCAGGGAAACGCTGGTTGAGGAGGAAGTCCGAAAGGGAGTCGGCCATACGCTTGGTCTCGACGAAGATGAGGGTCAGACCACTGGTGCCGTGAGTGTGGAGGATATCCAGCAGGACAGAGCGCTTGTCGTGGTCCTCAACGTATTCAACCTTCTGAGTAATGTTCTCGGAAGTAGAACCCACACGGCCAACCGACAGGAAGACGTAATCCTTCAAGAAGTCACGAGCCAGCATCTGGATGTCCCGAGGGAAAGTGGCGGAAAACATGAGGGTCTGGCGGTCGTTCACGTGGGGCATATCCTCGCCCTCCACAATGCGGCGGATCTGGGGCTCGAAACCCATGTCCAACATGCGATCAGCCTCGTCAAGAATCAGGTACTTGATGTTGACCAGAGAGATGCGACCACGCTCAATAAGATCGACAAGACGACCGGGGGTAGCGACCAACAGATCACAGCCACGCTCGATCTGACGGAGCTGAGAGCCGATATCGGCACCACCGTACACAACGCAAGGGCGAACCCAGGAGCGATAGGCGAACTTGCGAGCTTCATCAAAGATCTGGGAGACAAGCTCACGGGTGGGGGCCAAAATGAGGGAAGTCGGGTACGCCTTGCGCTGGCGACCGTAGCCGAACTGACCGGAGGCCTGGGCAGGAGCAGGAGAGGGACCGTTCTGGTAAGCCTGAGACAAGATAGGGAACAGGAAACCACCAGTCTTTCCGGAACCGGTCTGGGCGCAAGCCATCAAATCGCGACCGTTCATGACAATCGGGATCGAGTATTTCTGAACGGGCGTGGGAGTCTGATAGTGGGCGAGGCGGATGTTTTCGATAAGGTGGTCATCCAAGGGGGGGTTGGTGAAAGCGTTAACCGGCTCGGGGACATCCTGACCAGAAGCTTCAACGGGGATGTCGTCGTAGTTGGCGAAGTTGATACCGGTATTCTGCTTGGTGGGATCGTTGGGAACACCGAACAGTTCGCGTTCCAGACGGGCATTGGCGGGACCGGGGATATGCTTGCCGTCACGCCACTGGCCGTCTCCAGAGCCTCGGGCAGAACCACCACCACTGCCACCTCCTCCGTAGGAGCCTCCGTGACCTGGGTTTCCGTAAGCATTTGGGTTAAAAGGTCGACGTTGAGCTTCTTGAGGGCTCCAGCTAGTGTTACCATTGGGACCGCGAGGGCTGAAATCAGGGGCGTTGGCGTTAGCCCAGTTGCCACCACGGGGACCGCCTCTTAAGAACGAAGCCAGTTAGCCACTGTATACAACGTGGGAGATACACGGCTGGTAGGAAAACCACATACCTAGGACCACCCCAGGAGTTACCAGGACCGGCAGGGACACCGGCAGCAGGAGCGGGAGCAGGGGCAGCACCGTCCATGTTTCCACCAACCTGGCGTTGGCGAAGATGAGGAGGGATGTAAGCGGCGCGACCCGTCGAGGGAGCAGGGGCAGGAGCGTGTTGAGACTCGTTGAGGGAAAGGTTTCCCATCTTCAAGCTGTCGGCCATATTTGCGGTATTTCAGAAGACGTTATCGACGATTGTTCAACACTGGAAATTTTCTTTTCTTCTGTACAGGACAAAAGGAAAGAAGTGAAGTGAAAAGTCCCCGTGTCTCTATCGAGTGGCAATACAGAGGGGATCAAATTGGTGCGAAGAGTGACACAGTGCGAAAAAGAGGAAAGGGTAAAGAAAGACCTTGGGGAGAAATACTAAAAGAAGAACAAGGCGATCTCCCAGATCTAATCCTCTATTACGGTGTAGAAAGAAAGAAGAAAAAAGGGGGGGAGGGGAAGAGAATAGGATATGATGTGGAGATATTGGAGAAAAAAATTGAAACCAGACTGAATTAGGAGGGGAGGTTTAGAGAGGATGGAAGAAAAGAAGTAGGAAGAGGAAGAAGGTTTGTGGGACGGAGAACGGGGAGGAGAGGCAAAGAAGGATGGATGACTACGAAAACTACCTAAAGGAATAATGCACTGGCAGTGGTTGGCAGGCCTGCACGCTGGGAAGGTTTTGCTTGCTTATTGGCAGCCCGTCGATGGGATTATTGGGAACGGCCGGGTGAGAAAAAAAGGTTCAGCGTGTAAAAAGAAGCGAAGGGAAGCAGCAGGAGGGCAAGCCAGCCAGCGAGGGAGGAAAAAAAAGGGTAAAAAAAAAAAAAATAAAAAAGGCTAAACGAAACAGAGTGGCGGCGCGGTCTGGTGTTGCCGGATGGTGATGGGCTGGGCCCTGTCTATTTTGCCCTGTTGCACTCCGTTTACTGACCTGCTACCTTCCTCACTGTCCACAGGGTAAAGCTTGTTAATCCACGAAAATTTCGTTTGCAGTTTCCCTCTGAAAATTTCTGCTCCAGATTGGATGCCATGCGGCTGTAGGTCCGGCATATAGATCACAGTAGTGGAAGATGAGAAGTTGCACGGTGCTAGGGTTGATGGCGGAGATCCCACATTCTATACTATCTTTGGTAGTCACAGCGGCTTGTTCACCAGTTGATCCCGTTTGAGCCAATCTGACGAGGTCTAATAAAATTCTGTTCTTTGCCTCAGGCTGCCGACTAACCGTAGATACTGTCATGATCACGTGCCCTTGCCCTTTCAAGCCAAGCGCCTCCTCGCCACATCTAACTACAGAGTACTCCGTACACCTGTCTACTCCGTACTTGTTCTCAATGAACATGGTCAGAACTAATTTCCAGGATTTTGCAGGCAACCGTTCTACTAGGTGTTAGAACGTACACTACATAGTAGGTACAAGTAAACCAACAAAAAAACCAATGCGCCCATTCTCCTTACATCATGATCTAGTATCAGCAGATGCTGTACTAGTACTGCATAGAGAGTTTCCCATTGGGATTGACGTGATCACAGCATCATTATGCATTTTCCAAGCCCCAATTAAAATGGGTATATGTTGGTCATGGCCTATACATAGTACTATGTATTGTCACGACTTTTAGCATTCTAGGTAATTATCTGATAGCTATTGCTCAAAACCGCCCAGCCAGGAAGGGGGTGTCCAGTGGAGAGTATGCTCTCAAGATTATTTCGACCACGCTAAGATCAGGCCGCATATATGCCTTTTACGAGTCTCAGTCAACAGTTTCAGATACTACTGAGGCGTGATACTACTGGGAGTACTCTGTACGAGGCCAAGATAGTAGTAGTCTTAGCCGTGCGTGGCCTCCATACGAGCCATCAGGGGTGGGTCAACAAAGTTACTGTGTACCATAGTATCGTGCTGTGTACACACTACTGTGTGGGGGAGGAGTAAATCTTATCGCTCAATGTTCCGCGCTGAATACAAAGTATCGTACGGAGTAGTACTACCTACGCCTAAGAGGGGCGCGGTACACAGTACTTGGTAGTAGGCGCATCCTTGCCGCTGTCTGCCAGTGGAGCTTACCACAAAAGTACATTGTTGGGCCGATTGGAGGCCAAGCCTCTCTACTTGCCACCGAGAGATGATCTCACTGCTGGCCAGTTTACTGTGCACTCGCCACGACTGATCAGACCGGGCATGAATTGTGCTTCGATCCATCATATGCGTACTACGTACTACGTACATAGCAAATACCACTATATTGGAGTCATAGGAGCTTTCACTAGATAAGTTGGAGTTGCAATCGTGAAATAAGGTCTACTTTCGATATGCTTTCGCAAACGTAATGAGGCTATCTCTCAAACGACGCTCCTCTCAGCCTTCTCCTGTTGTCTCTTGAGGCTGCTTCGGACCAGCACCACCAAGATACCAACAACAATGGCAAGCGCTGCAAATTTCGGGAAGATATAGGGAGTGTTGTCAGATGTCATTGGCAGAGGGGTTGGAGAAGGAACAACAGGGATAGCTGAAGGTTGTGACGATTCTTCAGAGCTCGATTCTTTACGAGTAATCAGCACATCACAGTCTTATCGAGAAACAGGCCGAGACCACAGGAAACAGGTCTACAGCTCCTCATGGCTGCTACCTTTCTCTTCGGCCTTGTCTTCCGACTCCAGTTCTCCACTCTTGACAATCTTGACAGTCTCCACAGGCTTGTCACCACGGCCCTTGGGCACATTCTCAATCTGTGCGACAATCTCGTAGCCCTCGAGCACTTCGCCGAAGACAACGTGGCGACCATCAAGCCATCTGTCACGAGATCCAATAAGCTAAGTGTCGCACCACTAACCGGATTGAGGTATACTTACGGAGTAGGGACGGTGGTGATGAAGAACTGGGATCCGTTGGTGTCCTTGCCGGCGTTAGCCATGCTCAGGAGTCCCTTACGCGTGTGTCTCAGCTTGAAGTTCTCATCTGCGAACTTCTCGCCGTAGATCGACTTTCCGCCGGTGCCTTTTCGCGTGAACGGTCAGCATGCTAAGGGACATTCGGAGTATTCATCCATAATAATGCAAATACTGACCATCGCCACGGGTGAAGTCACCGCCCTGGATCATGAAGTCCTTAATGACACGGTGGAAAGTAGACCCTTCGTAACCAAAGCCATTCTCTCCAGTAGCGAGAGCACTGAAAACAATTGATGTCAGCACGGTAAAGATGATTTAGCGAGCTCAATCCTCGAAATCATACCGGAAGTTCTCAGCGGTCTAAACATCCGTAACGAATTTATCAGTCTAGAGACCCAAGATATAGTAGTGCGGCGATCACCTACCTTGGGAACAGTCTTGCCGTACAATCCAAGCACGACTCTGCCAAGGGGCTTGTCTCCGTGTTCAATATCGAAGTACACCTGTACATGGGTTCAGTCAGTATGCAATACTCGAATTGCGATACGAATTGACTAAAGCGCCCGAGGATCGCAGCTATACATGCCTTACTGGTGATCTTGGGGCCCCGGGGCTGAGCGTCCTCGGCGTGGACAAGAGCAAGCCCAACGGCCAGAACGAAGAAGAAAGACAGGAAAAGGTTTCTGAAGTTCATGATTGCTCAGGGTGACTCCAGCGTAGGAGACTACTTCGAATTGTTTGAGAGCGCAGGAGACTCAAGGAGCAATCGTTCGCGCGGATCGAGGCCAGCTTGCATTACTGCGGAGGTGCCAAGACCACCATGATCGGTTGGGGGTTAGCGTCTACGTAATTTAGCGCCTAAGAAGTGAGAATTTCTGCTCAACCCACCGCAACTGACAAAGAATACCTGTATTATCGGTAATTCCGAGTGCAAATTACTCTAAGTCTTTCGGAGAAACATTGTTACTGGTTAATTTCTTCCGCGCTCAACTGCCCGTACCAACTGCGGCGGTTGATAGTAGAGTAGTGCAGTGCATAGGCAATTGAAGCCATACCCATACTCCTCCAAGGATCCAACAACTTGAATTCGTCAAGATGGTATGAATCATATGATTGAACATAGTATTTAGTCTTAAGGATGTAGCTAACCAGCAGTCAGGTCTTCATTCTGGGCGTGAACTTCCCCGAGCGAAACCTCGTCAAGGCAAGCAACTCCGGACTCTCATGCTTTCCTCAACGCCCGGTCTGACTGAAACCAGAAATCTCTCGAATCCTTCTTCGGAATCGGTAATCTTACCTCGACCCGTCTGCTTGCTCGCTTTCACATTCACCCGACATGCAAGGTTGGAGAGTTGGGAAACAAGCAGGTCCTTGATATCACGGCCGCCTTGTCCGACATGAAAATCGAGAACGATCTCCGGAGACAATACCTCGATAACATCAAGCGGCTGAAGGAGACGGGTACTTACCGTGGTCGGCGTCATGCGCTCGGTCTGCCCGTTCGGGGACAACGGACAAGGAGCCAGGTTGGTTTCTCCCTCATTTTGTGCCCTTGTGCATGCCGTGGTGGAGAGGGTTGAATCTATCCCCACCGGTGGCTGTAGCTACGGGGGATTGTACGAGACAAGATATTGTACTAACATGTTACTTAGATCAAAACCGCCGTCAAGCTCAACCGTATGGAGAGAAGACTGTAAGATTAAAATGGTGGTTCTATTATTGACCCCAGCGGTCTTGCGTCCGATTTTGGTTTATTAGGGGCATGGAATGGCGTTAAATTTTTGTTCTTGTACTCTAGTTTCCTGGCTTGATAATCTCTTTCCCCGAGATGTACTTTATGTAGACAATGAGACATCTGACTGAAGAGATATAATAATGCCGTGTTACTTGGTTTTAAAGCAATTAATAATATATTGCAGGAAAAATGGGAAACACCAGCTCATACAAGTGGCTTGTTCAACGAAAGCCAGAACCAAACTTTTCATAACGCCAGAACCGTATGTGCAACTCCTCTCATGCGGAAGACAACACGCCTTCTCCTCGGTTGATCTGAATCCTCTTATCCTCACCGGCACTGACAATACCAACCGAACGGTCCCAGCACACGCCGAAGACCTTGACTCCTTCTCCGCCCACACGCTTGACGTCCGCTTTGCCCTGCTCTTCCAGACTCTTCCGGGTAATCGAGTACACACTCTCACCAACCACGCCGTCTTTATCCGTTTTGGTAGCCCGGATATCCCAGATCCGACACGTGCCGTCGTGACTACCACTGATGAGGCCGTAGCTGCTATTAGGATCGCGGGACAGGGAAACCACGGCATTGGTGTGGCCTCTCAGGGTCATGGCAGAGATAGTCGTCGCTGATGTACGAGGATCGATGAGGGTGATGTGACGAGCGGAAGTTCCTGTCGCGAGGAGGTGATGTTCGGGGAGATGCTCAAGAGATAGCAACGAATGAGATGTTGTTCTGGTGTCCACTAAGGCGGCAGTGACCAGGTCCCATGTACGTAGGGAGTGATCCCAAGAAGTAGAGTAACCAACAGTCGAGTCATTCGTGTCAAAAATCACAGCCGACACCGGGGCAGTATGGGACGACAGCAGCGCAAGCGGACCGCGTTGCGGGATGCTGACAGACGTGCTCAGCTTTCTCCGCTTGGAGCTTCGTGACGCGGCAGACGGAAGTAGGTTCTCAGGAGCAGCGGGGGCATCTGACTTCTTTGTCGACCAGAAACCTACGCTGTGGTCGGACGACGCAGATAGAATACGGTTCGAGGGTGCATGCACAGCCAATGAGTTGATAGCGGATTTGTGCCCATACAGCTCGATCTGGGGAGAGATCTTTCCAGAAAATCCATCCTCGCTCTCGGTATATTTCCACAGTCGTACGGTGCGATCCATGCCCGCTGATACGATCGAGCTCGGCGAGACAAACTTAGCAGCTTTGATGGATGCACTGTGCCCTCCATCGGCCGGAGAGGGCGAAGTTGCGACAATCTGAGACGACATATTCCAGACACGAAGCAGACCATCATAGCTTGCCGAAAGAATCCTTTCCTGACCTGGAGAAACAATCGCAGAAGCCCACGACGCGGCAGGCGAGGTCGCAGAGAGAACATCCACCGAGCTGACCCAGTCATCATGCTCGAACGAGGCAATGTGCAACGGGGGAATCAACGCCCTGATGTATTCAATCTCCAGAGTGGTTTCCGCAGATATGCCATTAGCCGTCAAGTATTCATCGATCGAAGTTCGAAGGAATGCGCCGTTGATCAGAAACTCGAATGGCACCGGCTTGTCGTTGGCCAAGAGATTGTTCACTAAGGTGGAAAGCGCATATCTCCGCAAGCCTACAATATATTACAAGGAATAGTGAGCACTTATAATTATCCAAAGAGGACCAACAGTGATCTGTCGCAAAGCATTCTTACCAGTGGGAACCAAGATGGGGCCGGTATTCTCAGGCAGCGCAATATCTTCTTGCTTGCTAATGAGCTGCACACGCACCTGCCTCTGCGCGGACTGGGACGAGGCCGCAGCCGAAGCCGAATCCTGAACACCGTTCATAATGGCACTGCGAGAAAATATGGGGGATATAGAGAGCGTGATCAAAAGCGCATCAAGTCGCAGTCGAGAAAACTCCACCGAGTGAGGAAAAAAATACGGCGGCCGATGCGGCCACATGTGCAAAGCGCGGAGATTCCCCGCGGCAACACCACGCGATAAGAAGGTCCATCGGACAATTACGCAGCAGGCACATCGGAGAAAGGGTGGAATTGCTATGTTTAAAATACTATATACAACTTCATGAGTAAAAGATCATTGCCCTCGGGATGCCCTTCGGATATCTGAAATGGCCTTTCGCCGATAGTCGGATTCAGCAAAAAGAGCTTCAATCAGATCGACTACTTCTTCTGGTGAAAACTCCAGACGCAATTCGCCTTCCAGCCAAAGAAACTTGATGTCGGCCAGAGAGCTTTCCAGGATATTGATCAGATACTGGAATTTTAGCCAGTTCTGCACATAGACGGCTGTCATGGGCGAACGTTCGGTGTCTTCCAAGGCCTCCGGGATGAACAGATCCTCTAACTGGGACACTTGGTTGCAGAATGACACAAGTCGCTGGGACTGTGGTTCTGAGATGTCTCCCAGATCTTCAATCTCAATGATGATCTTGCTGACAACAGTTGATACCAACGAGCCGACGGATTGAAGAAGCGCGGAATGTGACAGGATCGGCTGCCATTCCTTGAAAACGTCCCGAATTCTGTCCACAGTCGCGCTGATCGCATTCTCGCATTCGCCAAGGAACGGCTGCTCTGAGCATTGGCTGAAGCCTTGTGCCCCATCGAGAAGGTCCGTGACAATTGTGCGCTGAGTCTGCATCTCCTTGCTGTAGGCTAATTTGCCATATTTTTCAAGTGCGGCAATATCTGCATGAAGCCTTGTGAGCTGGTACTCCTCGGCGATATTACGCACTTGATCGGCGAGATACAAGCTGTCGTTATATAGGTACATCTGTCCTGCATTCAATTTGAGTCCGTAGAACGTCGAGGCGGTAGCTTTGAACATGGCCAGTATCAGGGTAGGGAGCGCAAGAAGTCCTGTTCCAGAGGAAACAACGCGTGAGTGGGCATGTCTGCGATGTATTAGCATTGCAATGGGGCGACTCTCAAGGGGGAATCTTACGCAGGTTGGGATATGGCATTGGAATCTGTGATTTGCTGCTTAACAATTCCCAAGATAGAGTGGGGAATGTCTGTTATAGTATACTTCTCCTTCAAGGTAACCTCTCGTGGAGAGGCCTGATGTGCGACCCCCTTGCCATTGGCAGCCCCAGTAAAAGCGGGTTCTTTGGACTGTGAATCGTCGGCATGTTGTTCCTCATCGTCATCTCCCCAGCCCCAGGCATCTCCTGCATCATCCTCGTCCGCGGATGTCGTAGTTGTACTTTGTTTCGTTTTCATGTCATTTTCTTCGGTATCGTCGTCGTCAAGACCCCAGGCGCTCACGTCCTCTTCATCGTCGGGAATAGCAGACTGCTTCCCTTTAGAGCCGCTTTCGTTGTCCTCTTCCCAACCAGCGTCCCAGTCATCAGGTGTAGCATTCTCCAGGAGGGCTTTGTCGTTCTCAGAAACTTTCTCGACTTCAATTCTTTCTACCTGTTGTGTGATACCATGGGATGCAACGAGAATTCTGCGAACCTGGTCCAACGAGTCAACCCGTCGTCTAGCCAGCCAAAGGCGTGGAGCCTGATTAACCCAAGAGACGAGTTCTTCTTGGCCGTGCCAGCCAAAACCTTCCATGGATTTGGTAAATTTAAGGACACGATCAAGGATCTGTTCGAACTTGCCCAGGCCTTCAAGTTCGGTTGGGATCGCGGGTGATAACCAGAACTCAATGATCTTCGATGACAGCGAGGGAATGAACATATCTGAGAACGAGTCTGCAATGGAACCTGGCAGACACTGCCTCAAAAATCCCAGCACGTTGACTATGCGATCAAGAAGTTCAGAAACAGAAGTCACCGATGGCTGCGGCTCGAGACAGATTGCAGACTCCGAGACACGAACATTGTGGCTGTGTCCAGTGACTCCGGGCAGCAAGACCGGATCAATTATCCTAGACATCAACTCTTTTTGGAACCTATCCTTTGTTGAAGAGAACATCTCTAGCCGAGTTAGAGCCACGATAGTCTCTTCCAATAAATCACCTATACGTTCTGTTAGTGTACAGTCTCATTAGGACGCTACCGGGTCAAGGTATCCTACCGTTGTTTCTGGATATCACCAGCTTCCCCTCCCTCTTGTCAATATGCAATTGTCCGTTCCAATGGTTACGGACAGCTTCCATTATGTCTTTCCGCAGTCCAGCAGTATTTTCTAGCAGTATATGTAAGACGTTCGTGTTTGTAAAGTGGCTGTTCTGCTTGACAGAATGCTCAGTAGCTTCCAATATCTCGATGGCAGCCATAACGCGGCCATCTCCAAGAGCCGTCCGTCCGTCATCAAGCTGTCTACAGAGCTTTTGTACTTCTACCAGTGCACTAGCCACGGCCTGATTGAATGCAATTTCGGTCTCAATTAGCCCAACTTTTGCGGAAGCATCTTCGACCCTCAACTGTAAAGGCTGCGTCTTCTCATGTTGCTCGACAATCTCACGCGCAGTAACCCTAGAACGTTCGATGTCGGCATGAAGTTGTTTCGCTTGTGAAATCCACCCGTCGGCGTCAAAGTCATCTTCGCGACTAAGAAAGCTGATTTCGGCCTATGGGATATGTAATTCAGTATACTATCATCTAAACTGGTACTAATGCGGGGCTCTGCAGTTGACACCGCTTACCTCAACTTGCTCTCTAGCCTTTGATATCAGCTCCAATTCTTTCACCAAGACAGAGGTAGGAAAGTTGGAAGCAACTACATGCTCCGACTCTGGATAGGTACCGTCAGTCACGAAATCCAGCACCGACTGGCTTATCTCCTGCTCTGTGGCCTTAGCCGACATCTTGTATCGATGTCGACACGGGAGTTTCTGTCTTTTGATAGTTAGCGGATCGACGAAGAAAGCAGAAGTGACAGCGACAGGACATGAGAATGCCTCGCGCCCGTTTGTCGAAGATCTGCCTGGTATTGAACCAGAAGAGTACAGCTCCGGGGCAGCAACCGAAAGGGAAGGCGAGCTGTCAACACCGCCATGTGACTGCACCGCTCACCGCCTTGGCTGCGATAGGCAAGACCGCGAACGAGTTGGTCTTTCCCCACGGTCAGAGTGAGACCTGGTCTATGGGTGCGAGCGACTGCTAATTTCTTCGGCTTTGTGTCCTATAAAGACATTCTGGGACCGCTTCTGGGTTGAATTTCTGTGAAGAAGTGTTGGCATGGTGATCTCTATCAAAACGGGAAACTAAACTCCACTCCGAACCGTTACAGTTGGAGGGCACCTTCGTCCAGCGGCCAACTGTGTGCCTACGAAATTCTTGAATCTGTTATAACCGGCGTCAAGCAGAGTCCATCGTGTTGTCTCAGATAATTTTGAGAGGCCTGACTCGGGCAAACGCTTCTCAATCCATGTGAGTCTATGCTACCACTCCTCACCTTGAATGAATAAAAAAAAAGAACAAGAAAAAAGACTGCCCCTCCGTCGTTGTCTCTACCAATCCTTCAATCCCTCAGCCGGCCTTATATCGGCTGCCACAGTTTTAGCCATCATACAGCATGCTTCGTGACCTTCATTATGTCGTATTATTACAGTTTTCAATGCCCTTTGTCTTGCTATTGGTATTCCAGTCATGGAATGGGTGCTTTTTCCCTCCTCATATCCAGCATCCCAAACCCCAAGCATTGCTAGTTTCCCTAGAATGAATAATAATCTATCTGCGTCCCTAAGCGTATATCTCGCTGCTCTATGGAGTGCTGACTATCTTCCAGATTGTTGCTACGGGGAGCGATCACAGGATTTGGTATTCAAGCACATTTCCAGAGATCATTTAACAAAATGGCACCTAGTCAAAACAGCCATTTCAAGCTGCTCCAGAGATTCAAGCCGGACTATTCGCCCAGCGAGTTTGTCCAGTATGAATCGGAGAGGACGGGCATGAGAGTAGTGGTCATCGACCAAAAAGGCCCTAAAGTCACAGGATATTTTGTTTTAGCCACTGAGATCCTCGATGACTCTGGTGCACCTCATACATTGGAACACCTGTGTTTCATGGGCTCGCGGAACTATAGATACAAGGGATTCCTTGACAAGCTTGCAACGCGTGTTTATTCCAATACTAATGCCTGGACGGCCACAGACCATACGGCTTACACGCTGGACACAGCTGGTTGGGAAGGATTCGCTCAGATTCTGCCCGTGTACCTAGAGCATGTCATAGCTCCAACTCTGACAGATGAAGGGTGTTACACCGAAGTGCATCACATCGATGGCACCGGAAACGATGCCGGAGTCGTCTATTCGGAGATGCAGGGTGTGCAGAATAATTCTGCAGAGTTGATTGATCTAACTGCTCGTCGGTTGACTTATCCACATGGTGTGGGTTTCCGCTACGAGACAGGCGGTATGATGGAGCAGCTCCGTGTCCTCACAGCGGAGCGGATCCGGGCGTTCCACCGCGAAATGTACCAGCCCAAGAACTTGTGTTTGATCATCACAGGCGAGGTAGACCACGAAAACATGCTGGAAACCTTGGACAAATTTGAAGATACCATCCTAGACGTTATTCCCAGTCCCGATTCGCCCTTCAAGAGGCCCTGGGTAGATTCAAAGCAGGCTCCGCCCTTGGAGAAGTCCATTGTGCAGACTGTGGAATTCCCGGAAGAAGATGAATCTTTTGGGGAGATAGAGATAAGATTCCTTGGCCCCGACTGCTCTGACCCTGTTCAAAGTGAGTTTGCCGCGATATATTGCCTTTTCGGACTGGAACTTACTTTGTGATAGCTGGGGCCGTTAACGTTGCACTGTTGTATCTGGCTGGTTCATCTGCTTCTCTCCTGGATAATATCCTGGTTGAGAAGGAACAGCTCGCAAGTGCCGTCTATTACGCCACCGAAGACCGTCCTAGCATCGAGATCCGCTTCACTCTGACCAGCGTCGAGACGGAGAAACTCGCGCAGGTAGAAAACCGATTTTTCGAAGTGCTCAAGGATGCCATGGAGAAAGAACTTGATATGAGGTATATCAAAGAGTGCATTGACCGACAAAGACGGACTTGGAAGTTTTCTACGGAAAGCTCTGCTTCGTCCTTTGCGGAGTACGTTATCTCGGATTTCCTTTTCGGAAAACGGGACGGATCGACTATGCTTGATGTTGCGACGTTGAAAGAATATGAAGTGTTGGAAAAATGGAGCGAGGGAGAGTGGCGCAGTTTCATCAAGAGATGGATCTCCGACGCCAAACATGTCACCATTCTGGGAGTCCCCTCCGTGAAAATGTCCGATACATTAAAGAAGGAAGAAGAAGCAAGAGTCGCGGAGCAGAAGAAGCTCTTGGGTGAGGATGGCCTGAAGAAGCTGGCTGACAAGCTGGAAAAAGCGAAAGCCGAGAATGACAAGGAAATCCCTAAGGAGATGTTGGAGAGATTCCAAATCCCCGGGATCGAGTCTATTCATTTCGTGGAGACTACCACAGCCAGATCTGGTGCTGCCCTGGATTCCGGCCGCCCAGCCCACAAAGCGCAAAAGCTAGTGGATGCCGACGGTTCTGATCTGCCCTTGTTCATCCACTTTGAGCATATCCCTAGTAGCTTTGTTCAGCTCTCCCTCCTCATCTCTGCGCAAGCTGTACCTGTACAACTTCGCCCGCTGTTGTCTGTTTATACGGAGGCATTCTTCAACCTGCCTGTCAACCGTGACGGGGAGACAATCAACTTTGAACAAGTTGTCGTTGAGCTTGAAAGAGATACAGTGGGTTACTCCATGGAAGGGGCTAGAAGTCTATGCAACTCGGAGATGCTGCGTATCTCATTCCAGGTGGAAATCGACAAATACAGCACGGCGATTGCATGGATCCAGGAGCTTTCCTGGAACTCGATCTTCGATGTTGAGCGACTGCGAGCAATCACCAGTCGACTGCTTTCCGATGTGCCCGATTCTAAGCGCAGTGGCGATGACATGCTTGCGGCTGTGCATGTGATGGTTCACTACGCGGCAGAGTCTATTGTCCGTGCTCGGAGCACCTTGGTGAAGGCCCGTTACCTGAAAAGGATCAAGAAACAACTAGCCGAAGATCCAAAATCTGTCGTTGCGCGCATGGAAGAGATTAGAAATGCTCTTTTCCGTTTCGAGAACATGCGAGTTCTAGTTATTGCGGACCTCGAGAAACTCCAAAACCCTGTGTCGGCATGGAAACCGTTTACTGAGCGTTTGGGTGCGAGTGCCCCCCTGCAACCTATCACGGCCAGGAGACCATTGCTCAGTGAGGCTGGCCAGAAGTTGGGCGGCAAGTCGTATGTGGTTCCTATGCCAACGATTGATTCATCATTTGCATATGCAACGGCACGGGGTCTTGATTCGTATGATGACCCGAGACTTGCTGCCTTGATGGTCGCAATTTCATACATGAACGCGGTGGAGGGACCCCTTTGGGTTGCAGTTCGGGGCAAGGGCCTAGCCTATGGCACCACCTTCGCCTACAACATCGACACCGGGTTTGTCAACTTCGATGTATACCGCTCTCCTAACGCCCATAAGGCCTTCGACTCAAGCAAGCAGATTGTTGAGGATCATCTTTCTGGAGCCATCCCCTTCGATCCTCTGATGCTGGAAGGCTCGATCAGCAGCATTGTTGTCAGCTTTGCTAACGAGCAAGCGACCATTGCCAATGCTGCTTCTGGCAGCTTTGTCCGACAGGTGGTGCGACGCTTGCCCAGCGATTACAAGGAGAGGGTGCTCAAGCAGGTGCGCGCCACTAGCATCGAAGACGTCAAGGGCGCATTGCAGCACATCATCCTGCCTTTGTTCAACCCCACTACTGCGAATATCGTGATTACATGCGCCACAGTGCTTGAGGATGTATGTCTTTCCCAGGTCTGACAATATTTATGTAGCGTTGACTAACTGTTGGCTTAGACGATCAAGGAAGGCCTCGAGGCATCCGGATTCACTCCGAAGGTACAGGCACTCAAGGAATTTGAAGATGACTATGGACTGAAGGTTGGTGATGATGAGGATGAGGAGTCTGACGACGACGATGAGGATGATGAAACTGGATCCGAAGACGAAGACGATGATGATGACGAAGAGTCTGACGACGAAGCTGATGAGTGATGCTATTAACGACTACAGTTAGACATGATGGGATTTCTCAAGGCCGATAACTCAATGACACCTAGATCAAGCCAACCACCATCATGAGTCGGGAGAAGTCGAGGAGAGTAAATAGGCAGACCGATTATCTGTATTGTTAGAGATGTCTTTAGGCAGACGCGCAATGACTTTAATGATATGTTTTTACTATAACGGCCTGATATTTAAACCCCTAATAACCAGATAATCTAGCAAGTGAAAGCCGAAATGGCGTATTTATCTTTCCTGGGTCATAGCACACTGTTGTTGAAGCATGATGGTATCGCTGGAAGGATCGAAATATATCGGGCCCAGTCTATATACTAGATTACCACTCCGTAATTGGCACCCCATACCCACAAATTACACCCGAAGTAGCACCAAAGATGCCTTCAGACCCTTGTTACCTATAAACCAAACCCTATTCTTATAATGAAACCATCAAATCATCGAATAAGCAATAAACGAAACCCCATGATAACAGCATGATATCTATGTATAAATGTATATGGTACACGTAGGTCAACGTCCTGTTGATGATAGATCGCGTATCACATAATGTCTGACCCGCATCACCACCAATCCAGCAACGCAGAAGATTCCCAAACCAGGCTCAAGCCCGCTTAAGCAATCTATAGGATACGTGGTATCCTAAACCAGCTAACCTCTCCCACCCCAATCAAGGTCGATATGTCATCAATGCTTCCCCCCCCCCCCCCCCTATACCCACCCCAAATAAAAACAAATTCAAAAAAAAGGCAAAGGACGATGGTTCATGGTACACAGCACACACACGCACACACACACATGAAATTATAACACAACTTAACATCAACCAGCACCAGAAACCCTCGACTAATCTACCAGCTCAGCGACTTCCGGCCCTTAGCCCTTCTCCGCATGAGGATCTTCCGACCACCTCGTGAGCGCAACCGAGCTAGGAATCCGTGACGGCGCTTCTGCACCCTCCGCGAGGGGTTATAGGTAGCGCGCTTTCCGGCCAACGAGGCACTAGCGGAGAACGAGCGGGTCTGTTGGGTTGTGAAGGGGTTGGTGGTGAGCAGGGAGCGGATGGAGGAAGAGGAGAAGGTGAGGCTCTGAGAGGGGATGGATTGTTGTTGGCTAGGGACGCGGAGGGAGGTGAGGGTGGTGGAGGAAAGGGTTCGGAATGGTGTTGATAGGGAGGTTGCGATGGGTGTGAGCGGAGCGGATGAGGGAAGTCTAGTTGTTCAGTTGATTAGTCGGTCAGTCCATTCAATGATCATCCAAAGTAGTATTGAGGTAATTGATTCTTCTTCTGATGGCCCGGACCGGTAGTCAGGTAGTTAGGGCCTATATAAATAGGTCCCCATTGGGTGACCACTTGATTGGATGTTGAATGGTAACGTGGAACGGACGTACCTGGTCGCCGGGGCCGCATAGGACCTGAAAGCGGTGGGGAGAGCTCTGCACCGAACGCACAGCATGTTGACGAGCAGAAGGGACCGGGAGTTGAGACGGAATCGAACCACGCCGACGCGGAAAGCTGGAGATGAAGATGCGAGGAGATGGAGGTGACGGCGGACTGAAAATTGAACTCCGGCGCCGCAGTGCACGGACCACCTCCGACTTTTTCTCTCCGCCGGCGATGCAAGTCCGCATCTACAGTTCTCCATATCTGCTCTCACTTGGCGCAACTCGCAAGCCGACGGGTGTGCTTTACTCTGCTTGCTTGAGATAATATTATTCCTGGTCTTGTTGTTTGACGCCTGAACGAAATCTCCCATTCGCAAGCATCGTAATCGAGATCCCGACCACGACATCTTATACTTCTACATCTGCGACAACTTGAGAAACAATCTATATTCACAATGGCCGCCCAGGGTCCCTCCCCGCTCCATCCCACGACGATCCTCTCCTCCAAGCCTATCTCCCAAGCCGCCGCGCATGATTTCCTGGCCGCTTACCTCGATCGCGCCGCCACAGACCCCGCACTCCAGCCCAATGCCGGTATCAGCGAACATGGTCCTACTTCGCGCACTACGGCTGCAGCCCCGAATCTTATCCTGCACAATCTGAAGCGCGTCCAGGCTGGACTGGCGGGTGAGGTCCTCGGTCGGGACCTGGCTCTTGCGAAGCTCAGCGCCGGAGAGGAGGGTAATGCGCAGTCCGGAACTGAGGGGTGGGAGGATCCGAAGAAACTTCAAGAAGTCGTTGCTGAGGATGACGATGAAGGACAGATGGACGTGGATGCTGCTGAGCCGGAGCAGGATGCCGTGGCCGCCGGAGGTCTTGATAAGGAGGAAAGGAAGCGGAAGAAGAAGGAACGGAGACTGGCGGAAAAAAGGGCCAAGGCCAACGCCTAAATACGAAGAGAAAGTCAAAGAAAAGTTGTTGTTTTTGCTGATACGGGTTTGCACTGGGTTGCATCAGCTCTACTATGGGATCTGCTTTTCTGTTGTTGTCTTGGGTCACAAAATAGACAACATGCATACTGCATTGGCGCATTCAGGGCGAAACTGTCTTATTGGAGGACGATCATGATTTTCTTATTTTACTTTGGTGATAGAAGCCAAAAATCCATCCACAACTAAATACCTTCAAAAGCCCATACCCGGGCCTTTCCTCAACCGGTCCCAAACACCGTACCAGAGAAAACAAGGGAACGTGCGAAACACAAATCTTCAGATTCACAGCTCGCGGTCTGACGCCTTAACCGGTGTCTCACTATCTTCCTCCTTGAGGCCGGTAACCTTTCCGCCCTTCCATCCGAGCGCCTTGAGTCTCTCAGAAAGGATAGGGTGGGAGTAGTGGTAGCTTGCGTACATCCAGTCGGCATCCATTGTGCTCAGATTCTGGATCTGCAGCTTGAGAAGGGACTGCGCCAGCTGCTCAGAGTAGCCGAGACCAACAGCGAATGCATCTGATAAGTCAGTTAGTAATTTGTCCCGACCAAGGCTATAGATGCCAGGAAGACATACCGGCTTCGAATTCGAATTTGCGGCTGAGGATGTTCATCAGAAGCTTGACAACGGCATCCATCGGCGCGAGCGCATCCGAGAACAAGAGGAATCCAATCATGATGGGCTGTTGACCGTAGAAGCCAAATGACTGATACAGTGACTTGTTGTTCACGAATGCAGAGAAGAGCGCAAAGATGTAGAACATGTGGAACTAAAATGCAAAAGTTAACATATTGTCAAGTGGTGAGTGATGTGCTTCTGCGCCTGTGAACGTACCTGAGCAATACCAAATAGCTTCGTGGTGTGGCTAAGGCTCCAGTGACCCAGTTCGTGGCTCAGGACTGCAACCACCTCCTCAGGCTCACTCTTTTCGATCAGGGTGTCGTAAATGACAATGTGCTTCTTCCAAGGCAGACCATAGAAGTAGGCGTTGCTGTGAGCGCTCCGCTTGCTACCATCGATGACATGCAGCTCCTGAAGGGGGAACTTCAGCTTCTTAGCGAGGTTCTCGACACCGGTCTTGATAGCACCGGGTTCAAGAGGCGACAATTTATTGAACAAAGGCAGGATCACGATCGGGTAGATGGTGATAGCGAAGATCTGGAGAAAAACGCCAAAGAGCCACAGGTAGTAGAAGAACGAGTTGCCAGTTTTCTGGACGATCTTGAGCACTGCGCTGATAATGGGCGTTCCAAGCACGATACCCAGCATCTGTCCCTTGAGCATGTCGGTAACCCAGAGGCTAAAGGTCTGCTTGTTGAAACCAAACTTTTCCTCAAGGACAAAGGTGTTGTAGTACGAGATCGGCAGAGAGAGGACCGTGCTGATTAGATTGAATCCGAAGACGAATAGAAGCGTCTGGGAGATTTCGCCCTGGAACCGAGAAGGAAAGTACTGTGCCAACAGAAGACCGCTAAGCCCCCAAAGTTTGGGGAGAACGTCGCCATAGATGAATGCAAGATTTTGGATTTGACCGTAAAGAGCTGCAACGAGACCAAATTTGGCCTTTGCACGACCGTAGGACTAATGAACCAGAGAAGGCCACGCATCAGTATGACCTGGTTGATGGGCTGAGTGGAAATAGCTCACCTGGCTCTGATCAAAGACCTTCTGAGATACTTCACCCGCCAACACTTGCGGGGGCTTGGTTCGTTGCAGGACTTTGTACTGACGGAGAGACAGGAATCCTTCTAAGAGGAACTGACCCAAAGAGAACCCCACGAGGACATTCTTCCAGGGGATGAATGGGCGGTCAAGAAGACGCGCCAGTTGCTGTAACGGCCACGGTAATCCGAGTTAGCTGGAGCTTCCCTGGAGCTTATGAAGGGAGGTACAAATAATCCTCTAATACGTTGGAAAGAGCTCGATCGGAAAACTTTACCTCGAGAATGTACATTGCGAATGCCCGCAGCACAACAGCAGCCTAGATTTGAGCCTGCTGAGATGTGGCCGGTTGGTTGCAGACAAAGCAATGGGGAGTACGAGAGTAACCGTAGAAGAGAGGAGAGATGGGCCGCGCCTTAGTCAACCGCGGCGGTGGCCTCGGAGGCAGGGCAGTCAGCACCAACAATACTGGCTAAGCTTCCATTCAAGGCAGGTATTGGACATCGAGAAATTCTGACTTTTATTTCGTTGCGTTCATCATTCCCCTATACAGCATCTACATAGAGCCATGCAAACCGGATCGAATAATAAGAATGAACAGAAAAGATGTAAGAAGAATTTTCCACAGAACAGCGTCATAACACACGTCAAAGAAGTGGCCTGCGCAACTCCAGCCATGCCACCCCCATCCTCCAGCTTGCCTATTCACCCTGCTCCTTACCTGGTCTCCTCGTTCCTGCGAATCTTCCAATTGGCTATCGCGGCGAACATTCACCACTTCCTGTTCTTCGCACTCCTCAGCAGGTGGAATAGGCGACGATTAGGCCCCCTGTGGTCTCTAGTCAGGGAGTAAAACTGAACCCCCCTGTCGTTACTGCAAAATAATTCTAATTCATTCGTGACTTGACCCGAGCGTATTTTGGTGCCAGAGACCCCTTGACGTCTCTATCAACCGTAATATGGCGGGTACAAGCCCGGCAGTCCACGCAAAAACGAGCCTGTTTAGTTCAGGATAGGCTCAAGGGTGTTACCGCTGAGGCAGAGTTAGTTGTTGATGCTCCTTGCTCTGGAAAGTGGGGGGAAAAGGTAAATAACGAAAGGAGTGGGGGATTTGAGACTTACGCGACAATATTGGCCCAACCGATCAGACGCCAGTGCTTCTCAATTCTCCGACTGATGGCGATCTTCTCTCCGATTTCGGTACAAGCAGGGCTGGTCAAGCTGAGCTTCGCGGCATCAGCCTTCACACCCACAACCTTAGCACCAGTGGCCGTGGAGCCGATGTTAACCATGAGAACTTCGTTCTTAGTCAGCTTGGCAACCTTAGCCTGCTTGCCATCAGCAGTCTTGACACCGAGCAGACGACGAAGCAAGAAGTAGTTGACTTCAAGTTCGGTGTAGATGGCGGGGAGGCGTCCACGGTGACCCAAGACGAAACCAACGAGACGATCAGCACGGCAGAGGGTAGGGTCCACACGAGTACCAACACCGATCAGACCACCGGGGACGGCAAACCTCAGGTCGTTGTGCTCGGCAAAGAGCGACATGACCCGGGAGAAGATGGGACGGCACTGAATCTTGCCGTTCTCGTCCTTGGTGACGAGACCGGGGCGGATCTCAATTTCGTCGTCCAACTTCAGCACACCAGTCAGGATGGAACCACCAGCAACACCACCCTTCAGCTCCTCAATCTCGGCACCAGGCTTGTTCACATCAAAGGAACGAATGACCATCATGTGAGGAGAAGCGGTGAAATCACGGACGGGAACCGGAATGTGAGAAACCAAGTATTCGTTGACAGCGTCGATGTTGTACTTGAGCTGGGCGGAGATCGGAATAATGGGCGAGCCATCAGCGACCGTACCGCGGATAAATTTCAAGATCGACTGGTAATGTTGAAGGGCACCATCCTCTCTCATCAAGTCCACCTTATTTTGCAGAATGATGATGTGGCTAAGCTTCATGATTTCGATGGCTGCCAAGTGCTCCGAGGTCTGAGGCTGAGGGCAGTTCTCGTTACCGGCAATAAGGAGGAGGGCAGCGTCCATGACGGCGGCACCTGACAACATGGTACTCATGAGAATATCGTGACCGGGGCAGTCGACGAAACTAAGTTAGACCGCTGAGTTAGCAAAGATGGACTCGCCTCCACATATCTTTCGGGCTGAACATACGAAACATGTCTCAACAGCCTGTACCGACCGGCACAGCCATCCCTCTCACAAGGCGGGTCGACTTCCTTCTCACTCTTGAAGCTCTTAAAGCATGTCGGCCGGGGGCACTCGGGGTTGTCGCACTTGTAAATCTTGGCGTTGGCGTAACCCAGCTTGATCGTGATGTTCCGCTCCAACTCGTTCTTGAATCGGACTGTCTGGACCTCGGAGATAGCTTTAACGACCGTCGACTTTCCGTGAGCGACATGACCGATGGTGCCAATGTTGATCGTGGCCTGGCGCGCGATAATTTCGGGGGTCAAAGGAGTCAGCGTGGACAGGTCCAGCGTCTCCGGGTCGGGCTGCTCGGGCAGCTCTGGCCGCTTGGGCTGGGGAGGAGGGACCTCCTTCTTCATCGCAGACTTTAAGGGCTGGTCGAGGGGTTCTTGCTCTTCGATGTCATCGTGACCGTTCGCTTCGAGAATGGGAGAGCCAGGCTGGGACTCGTCGTCAGAGAAGTCGCCGTTGGTAGCCATGATTGCTAGCGAATCGAGAGACAACAGCGGTTCGAGAAAAGGGGGGTATGGAGGGTGGAGGGGGTGAGGGTCGAGGGTCGTGTTGTTAGATGAAAATTGCTGCTTGAGGACGGAGGAGGCGATATGATACGGTTCGGCCAGTGGGGTTCTGATTTGTGCAGTGGAGAGCGAGTGGGCGGTGGGCGGCGGCAGGATAAATACTGACTCACCTCGAGTCGGCCGCGGGCTCAAAAGAATCACTTGCACCTCTTAAAAACATACGGTGGGATCTACATATCTCATCTTGCGTGCTTCGACTCAGGCTCTGGTGCCCGACAAATCCTTCCAGAAAGTCCACATTACGGTTGTAGACTTAGCCTGCCGAATAATCTGATCGTAGCGGAATGAAGGGAGGATTAGATGAGGCTGGGAGGGGCACAAAGGCACTACAATGGAGCGTCGAATCCTATGTACAAGATGGGGCACAGTTCTGAGCGCAGCTCTGCGATATTAACTTTTCCCGTGGCATGATTTTACACATCCGTTTGCCTAACAACAAGGGTTGGGTATATAAGACAATCATCAAATAGGCGGTAACCTACTCCTCATCGCTCTCTTCGCTGGAGTACTCGTCCTGGCTCACATCATCCTCATCCTCCTCTTCCGAATCCTCGAGCGTCGAGGGATCTTCGGGGGGTAGCATAACGAATGCTTTGAGGCAGGTGATCCGATTTCCTGTTCCATAAGCATTCAACAGCTTCCCCACTTGGACATCCTTCTTTTCCTTGTTGCCCGGCGACTTCTTCTTTGTGTCCGCTCTGGTCAAATCTTTGCCATGTAGAAGCCATACGCGAACCAAGCCCTCGCTATTTCCAGTTACCACTAGAAGGTCATCCTTTCCGGCGGCCCGTTGATCGTTCAAACCCAAGATCTCGAAGTCTTTCACTCTTCCGGGGAAGCCGGCTGCTCTGCCACCGAGCTGAGCGACAGCTTCCGCATAAGGGATGGGCGAATCATCTCCCTCTGGTGCGTCTTGAACCTGTTTGGTGGAGTAGAAGATGACCCGGCCGTCTTCCGTCGAGACGGCAAGCAACTCGTCGCTATCATCCGACGAGGGGTTGGGGTTGATGTACTTCATTTGATGGAGCTTACTTCGGGGGTTTGGGAAAACTCTACAGACAGGGGTGGAGTCCTAGTACAGTTAGTTAGAGATGGGCATGCCTCAACATACAGTAGGAGACTTACGATTCCAAAGACGACAGCACCCCACTCGAATGCGACGGCGAATTCATCTCCCTTCGCATTCCACACAATCTTTCTTCCTTCCCCAGTGCTCCACTTGCCTTCTTTGACACTCTGTAGGATTTCTCGGTTGAAGTTCAACACACCAGCTTTCTTTCCAGTGACCAAGTTCCAGAGCCTCATACATTTCTCCCCCTTGCCCACACTCAACATCAACTTCATACTGGGGTGGACGGCAATATCATTGACACCTGACGGAGAGCCCCCGGGAGGTGCGGTATCACCACTGGGCCTACCCTGAACTTTCGGGCGAGGAGCCTTGATGGTAGAGACGACAGAGAAATCCCGAGTCCTCGTAATAGAGATGGTATTGTCCTCAGAGCCGACTAGGATCTTTGAGCGCGAGGGAAATTCTAGAGCCGAAATAGGGGCGGAATGATGCATCAATGTGCCCACCTCGCGGTTCTTGGGGTTTTCAAGGATCTTGTTGCCCGCGAGAGTCGGTACGGTCGGATAGTGCTCGTTTACCGCAACTGGGGCAGCAGACAGAGAGTAAAGGTTGACACGTTCATCTGTAGCACCACTCGCCAGAATAACTTGGGGTTTTTCCGTCGAATCAGCCTTGGGCAATGGCGATAAGGCGAGACACCGAATGGCAGACGTATGAGCCTCGAACAGAAATGTATCCACGAACTGCACTAGATCTGAGTTACCACCAGCCTCTTTAGCATCCTGAGACGTAAAAGAGGCGGGCGAAACAGCCGCGGTAAAGCCATGCAACACTCTTTCGTAGGATCCAGTGATAATTTGCAGTGTGACCGATGGACTGTCGGCTGCTGAGGTAGAAGGGATTTTCTCGCTGACTGTAGCCTTGACAGCCTTGGAAGGCTGCTTGGAGCTCTGGCGGTCCTTTGCCGTTTCCTCTCTCTTGCGCTTGACCATGACTGTTGACGGTACAGGAGACGATATTGCAATGGTTTGCTTTTTGCAGACTGACTATCGGGGAGCATCTATCTGAGCGGGCAACTTTTTTTTTCTGCCGGACGTTATCACGGCGCCGAGGCGGTGAATCGGTACAGATGTGTGCCTGAGGTGTCCGAAAAACGAATGCGGCAATCACTCGGTGCACGCGACAGAAAACAAAGGATGATCGAGGAGCTATTTCCTGCCTCAGGCGGCCACATTTCTGGTGGCCAGCCATTCAGCGGTTCACATCATACCTACCTAAGGTACAGGCATGGAATGGTGGACTATCGCCCCTAGTAAGGAATCTAAGGATAGCTAGGGGACTCCTACCCGCCTTGCTAGGTACCTCCCATAGCAGTACCAACCCATACCTGGCGCCCTCTGCTGCTCCCGGCACTCACCCAGATCCTCCAACCAACCAACCAAAGTTCCTCCCATACTACCCGTCCAGAAGTCTCATCACCACTAACACCCCCCCAAAAATCCCTTCCAGCGAAATCTTCGCGTCGTGTCCTCTGCATCCCATAACAACACAACCCCATACTTTCCATCATTTCTGAGCGATTTTTTCCATCTGGATGACTTCGCTCAATCCACTCCCCTTAATTTTAGCGCGTTAATCGGATGCTGTGTTCCCCGAAATAGACTCCATGCTCCGTGACGAGCTTCTCCGGTCTAAGAAAGATGAGATCGCGTACGTATTTAATTTTTCTCAGCGACCCAAACCTTTTCCCCGGTGCTTGCGATATTGAATTATCGCTTACTTGGAATTTTAGACGTTGTTTGTCGTCGCGGAAGCGCAAACTGAGCGAGCTCTACTTTGCGACCGTAGGCTTCGCGGGCGCGACCGAGAACGCTCCGGCGGACTCACTATATCACCAGAAGGAACAGGCGTTTCTCGACGCCAACGACCTTTCAAAGTAAGTTATTCAAGCCAACGCTGTTAAGTCAATTGTTCCTCCTTACGTTCAATCTATCTTCGCGTCCTTTCTGTCGCCATCGCGCGTCTATAACGATTATAATATTTATACCCACCTTCCCTGAGACGCATTCATTAATCGTTATCAGAGGCCGTTATTTCAATGAAGCCACTCTTCCACCGTTACCGGATTATGCATCCATCCTAGCGCGCAGAGCCAAGGAACAAAAACGATCGGAAGCTAAAGTAAACGATGCTACGATTGTCATTCCGCCATTGGGAGCCCAGAGTGCTGCTGCGCAGGCTACTGCGGATGTTGATGGGCGGCAGTCGAAGCCCCAGCAGGCTTTAGAACAGAAGCCTTCTGGTCCCAAACCCGAGCACTCAGCACCGAAGGCTTCTAACCAAGTTGCGCCTGCCATTGTATCTCAGGTGCCCCAAGGGCCTAATGTGCTAATTCCGGGGGTCGCGCACCCCTCTCAATCTTTCGTTGCGGAAAAGAAGGTGCCTCTTTCCAAATCATACAACCACCAACCTTTCAATATCGGCAATGCTCTGGAAGCTAGTGTATCCGCAGCCCTGGCTCATCCAACTCCTGCCGCCAGTGTTGCATCACCTAGTACTCCAGGATCATCTGCACCAACATCTGCATCTGCGCTAGCAACGGCACCAAAGCATCATGATGCTCGCTCTTTTATCCCTCAGAGCCGGGCTGCCTATGTCCCTGAACAGCCACTCTCTCCTGTTTCTTCTGTTGGCCCGTGTTCCAACCATACACCAGTCCCAGTCACCGTATCACCTGTTACTAGCCCTGCTGGGGAGATGATTGATGCATCGGACAAGGTCCCAACCCCCAAGGATGACGAGACCATCAAAGCACCACCTAGCTTGGTTCCTTCGACCCCCGACGAGCAACTTCGTCTGGAGGAGGCTCAATCCCTTCAGCAGAATGCTCTGGTAGCAGCCAAGACAAATGGCGATGGGGTTGAGGGAGGCGCTACTACAGGCGAAGTGATTCAAGAGAATGTTACCTCGACGCCGGCAACGGCCAAAGAAACATCAAAAGAAGAAACCGAGCTGGAGCCTATCCTTACGCCGCTGGAGCCGAAAAGACACGATGGAGTGGCTGAGACTGCGGATGATCCCCATCCCGTTATTCAGCAACCCGTGCTTGCTCCTCAAACTGAGGCAGATGCTAAGGTGCCTATTGAGGCGGCCCCAGCCTTGAAGAAGCCCACGCCGCCAACCATTCAAGCACCGCCGCCGCCCGAAAGAATGACAACCAGGGTATCTTCTGGAGCCATCAGACATAAATCCGTTTCGGAGATTCTTGGAGAAGTACCAAAAACACCCGTTTCTCAATCGGACAAAGGGTTCGTCACCGAGAAGCCTGCGGAGACGGCGCGGGATGTGTCCGCTGCCACTCCTGACTCTGCAGCACGGATGCGGTTCAAAGATCGAAAAGCACGAGAGAAAGAGAGGACCAAATTGTCCACGGTTGTCTTTCCCAAGCAACAGCAGCAGCAACATCAAACGCAGGATAAAAACGAGTCTATGGAGTTGGTTCGTCAACATGCTGGTGACCTTGCCAAGCTAAATGAGGAACAAGACTATCTTTTTACCTTGTTCCAAAACAGAGCATATGCGCCTCCCCGAGGAACAAGTCTGAGTACACTTATCGCGTCTGCCCACAAGACTTTAACTACATCCAATCACTTCCTTGATTATCAAGAGCAAATGGACTGCCGTACCCTGCGTCGAATCTATTCTCTGCAGAATGCGAACAGGTGGCCCTTGCGCCAGCTGAAGCGTTCAGTTGAACCACCCCGCGAGGGAACACATTGGGACGTCCTTCTAAATCATATGAAGTGGATGCGCACCGATTTTAGAGAAGAGAGGAAATGGAAGATCGCAGCTGCGAAAAGTTGTGCTGATTGGTGTGCAGAGTACGTCAATAGTGACCGAGAGCACCGGTCGCTACTGCGTGTCCAAGTCAAGGCTCCGGCATTGAGGGCTGAGAATGAGGCTGAAGCCAAATCCAGCATGATCTCGCCACTACAGGAGACAGGGGATGAGATGTTGGCCGTGTCTCACCCTACACCAGATCTTGTGCCTTCCACCGAGGAAGATTCCGTCAGTGAAGGGTTCAATGATGAGCCCCGTCATGATCTGCACGACACAGTTGCCCCTGCTGCGATCTTCTCCCTTGGCATCGATGAGTTCACATTCTCATTAGACATGACACCGGCGGCTCAGAAACTTCTCGATGAGCTGCCGACGTATATCCCAGTCACTATTACTCCGGACACGGACCTACCAGCATTCAAAGAACCCCCTGACTCTGAATGGAAAACCGAAATTCTGCCTGTTTCGAAGTACGCGTCAGGCAAGATCACCTTCCACGACGATGAACCTCCTCCAAAACGTAGCCGCTACGACTATTCGCAGTACCAATCCGACCCCGAACAAGCCGTACTGGATCTGCCACCCGAGCAAACCAACGTTGCCCTTTTCCGACCAGAAAACAGACATATACGTGATAGGATCCACCCTGGCCATTCATTCCGGCCGCCAACTGAACATCCAATGCCTTCTGTTGGATTCTTTGAATCCAGGCAATCATCTCAGTGGACGTATGCAGAAGACGATGAGTTACGACGCCTGGTGAAGGATTACTCGTATAATTGGTCCTTGATATCCAACTGTCTCACCCCATCATCGCAGTTCACTTCAGGGGCGGAGAGGCGGACGCCCTGGGAATGTTTTGAGCGCTGGGTTGGTTTGGAGGGGCTACCTGCCGACATGTCTAAGACACAATATTTTCGTGCCTATCACCAACGGCTTGAGACTGCACAGCGTACTGTGCTGGCTCAACAACAAGCTGCCCAGCAGCAACAGCAACAGCAACAGCAACAGCAATCCAATAACAACAGCAACCCACAATCACTACCCCCTGTTCGAAGGAGGACCACGCAGCCCCTCAGGGTAGACCGGAAAAGATCCTCTAAGCACCTTGCATTGCTTGATGCTATGCGTAAACTGGCCAAGAAGCGGGAAACGATGTTGCAAAAGCAACAACACGGTAAGAAATGAAGCCAAGTATCTGCTTTGGATGGTGCTGACTGTTTACATCTGCGTCAGCCTCGCACTTGGCATCATTGCGGAAGGTCAATGAAGCGAACCAACCAAAGCCTCCCATTTCATCGCCCGCTGAATTTAGTCGGCTCAAGTATGAGCGTGAGTTGAAGCTTCAGGAGAGGCAAGAGCAGTACCGACAGCAAATGATTGCCCAGCAAAGAGTATGACCGTGTTTCTATCATATTAACCCAATACTCAACTAACATGTTTGATCAAGGCGAACCTAGTGGTTCAACGTACTGGCCAAATACCTAACCAGCAGCCGATCATGAACGCTCCCGGACGGACCCCTGGTGCTATGCCTCATAACCCAGGAACTTCGGCTATGACCGGCAACACTACGAATGGGCTGCCCAATGGGGTGCCACCTGCAGTCGGTGCAAACCAAGCGCGACCTCACATGCAGGGCATGCCCAATGGCACTCCTGTGAACCCACCCACACCACAGAACACAATGGCTATGAAGATGATGCCACAGTCCGGCATGCAACAGAATAATGGCGCTCGCCCCGGAATGCCCATGCAGACACCGCCAGATAATACGCGGGTCATCCGGGAGGCAAATCGGCTTCAAGAGCAGCAGCGGATCCTACAGACCCGGCAGCAACAGCCACACCAGCAGCCTCTGGGTCAGTCGCAACACCCGCAACAGCAATTCCACAATCAGCCGCAGTTTGTGCCTCAGGGATCCCACTCTCCCAACCCCAATATTCCCAACGTCAACGGCACTCCGAATAACCCTGCGATGATGGCGGCACTCCAGGCTGGAGGAGGAATGCAAAGCCCGTCCTTCCATAACGCCACCCCTCAGGGGGTCTCGACGCCTTCTCCTCGCATGGGCCAACCCAACCTGTTATCTGGTGGTGTCGTTCCAACTATTAGCAGCATCCAGAATCAGATCCAGCGGAACAACCCTACGATGCCCCCGGAACAAGTCAGTAAACTCGCCACGGACAGGTTACACCAATACCAGCAGCAGCGCATGTCTCAAGTTGCCATGAGCGCCGCTGCTGGCAACATTGGCAGTGTGCAGGCCAACTATCAGGTCGATGCCAGCTTCCAGTCCCCTCAGCCCAGTTTGAACGGTGGGGCAGGGATGCAGGTACCTCAGGCCCAAGGTTACTCCCCAATGATGCGTGTTCCCCAACCCGCTCAGCAAAACCGTGTTGGTGTAGGGGGCTCCCCTGCCATGAATGGAGCGATTTCTCAGCCGAGCCGGAGCGTGACCCCGCAGACCCAGCGCAGTGGCAGTGCCCAGGCTGGCGCAGTGGCCGGGACGAGCAAGAGTCCCAACCCTCCGCAAGCTCAGCCGGTGACGAACTGATGCATCCAATTCACCTTCTCTTCTTCGCCTGTAAATATTCTTCCACCCACTTTATCACCTTTTATTCATCCCCCTTACTTTGAGCGCCCATCGTTTTAGCCGGAGGCGTGGAAGTATGCTACTTGACCCTCCGACCCTACCTTTATCCTCTGGTTCATCACCTACCTCTTATCCTACCCTCCTCCCCTTTCACCTCCTATGACCTTTCTCTATATTCAGCGGTTTCCCGATCTCACCTGTTCCACCAGCACTCTAGCGGTGGTTGAATGCACAGACAGCTTCCGATCCCCGGCATCCCGGGGCTTTCCATTTCAATTTCCAATTTTGTACTACATGTATTGATAGGGCGGATACAAAAGGTCAGGAAGTACTTGGAACTTCAGTTGGAATGGATGCATTAGAGCAAAAGAGAAACTAATGACTACGACTGTACGATAACTATCGGTTCAATCAATTCTCGATACACAAGATATCTTCCACTTACCCCGTTGTAGCTGTAGTTCTCCGTCCCGATGGGTCTAAGCGCGCGCCTGGCCCGCCGCCTCTTTTGCCACCGCCTGCTTTTATCCCCCATCTCAGGACCTCCACCAGCTTCAATCATTCACAATCCCAGACCCCACTCGCCGCACGCTGCGAGTACCTGTCTCGCATTAATGGGTTGAAATCAGCTTGAGTATCTACGACCCTCTCATTTTCGCATCGGTCGCCCAGACGGGGAGACCGTCACAATGTCATCTTCACAGCCTCCGCAAAACGGCAATGCGGACTCCCAAGGGAAATCCGCAGCAAAGCCATTCTCCCTCTCCCTTGGCGGCGGAAACTCCACAGCAACAACAACAACAACGCCAGTAAACGGTCAACCCAAGAAGACAGCCTTCAATCTCCAAGGCCCAACGCGATCCACCGACTCACCTAACCGAACCCTCGCGCGCCGACCTCACCACCTCCACGATGACGAAGACTCGGACGAGGAAGCACCACCCGTCCACGAAGCCGTCACCGGATTCGACACCTTAACCGGCACCGCCATTCCCGCCAACAAGCCCGCCGAAAAGCGCGAGCTGGTTATCCCCGTCGCGGGGAACAATAACTGGCGAGACCGGCCGGGGGTGAATCTTCGGAAATCGAAGGGAAAGAATCTCCTCCCGAAGGAAGTTCAAGCCATCCAGGAAGCGCAGAAACGGGGCGAAGTGGCGGGCGAGAATGTTGAGACCGAGCGGCCGAGTATGGCCTATGGGTTGACTTTCGCTCAGCGGGATTCGGAGCAGGTGGGGGTGCAGCCGGATAATGATCGTCCTATGCTGGATGCTCCGGAGCCTGCTGCTGCTGCTGCTGCTGCTGCTGCTGCTGCTGTGGCTGAGGAACGGAAACCGCTTACGCAGGATGAGATTGCCCTGCAGGCGCTTATTCGGGAGACGAATGGTGAGCCGGAGAGGAGGTCGGATCTTGTGATTGAGTCGGCGAATCGGGATGATGGTGATGAAAGGGCGGGCGGGCGATATGATGAGACGACTTCGTTTCGGGCGGATATTGCTTCGCGTCCGGAGTCGGCGAGCCTCGATCAGTATAATGCGATTCCTGTGGAGGAGTTTGGCGCGGCCCTGCTACGAGGTATGGGGTGGAAGGAAGGTCAGGCTGTCGGGAGAGGAAAATATGGTGGGGCTTCTGGGAATCAGGATAATAAGCCGCGGATTCCGGAGCGGCGGCCTGGGTTCTTGGGCATCGGAGCGAAGGATGCGTCTGGGGGGAAGGGTGCAGAGGCTGAGCTCGGTGCATGGGGAAAAGCGGCCATGCGCAAGGGGTCCAGAAAGGCAGGGAAAGAGGGCGAGTCTAATACGGAGGGCGTGTATATGCCCATCATGATGCGGAACACCAAAACCGGCGAGTTCATCACAGAGGAGGAACTCGCAGCTCAACGGAAGGACGTCAAGAAACGGGGCGACGATGATGACTGGAAAGAAAGGCGCGATCGCAATTTGGAAAAGAGTGGACGCGATAGAGATCGTGATCATCGCGATCGCGACTCTCGCCGCCGTGACTACGATGACGACGATAGCGATCGCTATGACAGACGGCGGACAGGATCATCTAGAAGAGACCGCAGCTTGTCGGCCAGCGACCGACACTCAAGACGGCGCAAATACGGGGATGAAGATAGCGACAGTCGAGATGATCGCTACTATCGGGACCGTGACTCTCGCCGGGATCGGGATCGGAATGGGAATGGGGACCGGGACCGAGAACGCGATAGGGATAGAGATCGGGATCGGGACCGCAGCAGACGGTATCGTGATGATGATCGCTATTCGAGCTCAAGACACTCTTCGTCGCATACATCGAGTAGACATCGGGATCGGGATCGAGAGCGCGATAGCGATCGCGACTCGCACCGGAGACGGAGAGACGATGATCGATGAATGCAATTAGTCGTCTTTGTATCTTATAGAGAGTTATAAAATCTGTCTATACCATGATTTTTATACCATTAGCAGTGTGCTGGGTGAAGGAAGACGGAGATGGTTGCGTGGTTGGCAAAAGTTGTCCTTGGTGACGCTGATGATGTTACCGATCTACGAATGCCCCAACGCGTAAACATGTGAAATAATGGTCCAAGTAGCTTCTATTCGAAGCAGATAGTGTATCATCCAAGAGACAAAAACTTTTATATACCAAAAGAATAATGTAACAATACTCCTCCACGGAAAGCGCCAGCATATCACGGTATTTGCAAACATCCAGATTAACTTGGTCTATTTGTACATAGTCTCATTCACAGGTTTCTTTATACCCCCAGCATGACCACGTCTTTTTCAGCGCTGTCTTCGGGGATGCTGCTGCTGCTATAAGGATCATACGGGGCGGAAACACCCAATCCTCCCAGGCCCACGCCGCCGTCCATCTCGGCAAGAACCCATTCCACGAGGTAGCTTTCATCGGAGAGTTCCTCGATGCGACGGTAATGGCGGTCGGTGTACGAGGCTAGGGCGGCCAGGATATCCTTCATGCCTGCTGCGGTGCGCCCGTCGCTGCGTCGCTTCGCCATGCTAGAAGTTGCAAGCTCGACGAATGTGGAAGCAGGATAGGAGCGGAACAAGGCGTATAGGATGCGCTGGGAGACTCTGGAGGTGCGGGCGTTTGTGTTCCAATCACGCAGTCTAAGGAGAAGGGTGCAAAGATTTTCGGGGTCAAGGGATTGCAGAACCTCATCGATCGAGGGATCGCCGGTTAGGCTGTTAGCACGTTCGGTGGCTTCGGGGTCGGCCGAATGCGGGTCATCAGCGGCATCAATTGCAGTAGTGAACAAGGAGAGTAGCCGGCCTGGGTGGTTGAGTTGGAGTGCAAGGGTGATGGCTTCGCGATAGGCGCCGGCGCGAATGTAGTTCTGGAGCTGTTGGTCCTGCTCGATACGGGCCGAGTTGGCGTTGACCGTAGCTGTGTAGGTGGCTGAGGTAGTGTCGGTCCAGAAGGTGACGGTAGAGTCGGCAGAGCCAGAGGCAAGGCCGTAAGGAGAGGAATGCTGGAGGGTGGAAGAAGACAGAACATCGTCGCGGCAGCCAGATGGTGTAGGGCTGGCAAGAGCCCAGACACGATCCTCGTGGTTGTCAAGGGTCGTCTCGAGCTCGCCTGTGTAAGGGGACCAGACCTTCACCAAACCGTCGGCGGCCGCAGACGCAACCAGGGGTCGCAGCTGTGCAGATGCATTGTGTGCCAGCGCTTCATCTTCTTCGTCTTCCTTGTTGGACAAGTCCGGAGGTGGAAGCCAAATCACCTTCAGCACACTGTTTGTGTGACCTTCAAATGTGAGGAGGCAGCTGTAATCCGACAAGCTCCAGATCTTAATGGTCTTGTCACCTGACCCCGTGGCAATCATGCCTCTGTTGGTGCTCGTTCCGGATTCGGAGTTGAGGATAGGAGTGCCTCGAGGCGCGAAACGTGCCGACCAGACTCCTCTCTTATGTCCGCGGAGGACACCCACAACGGAGCCATCCTCAATGGACCAAATCTTCACCGTACGATCCTGCGAGGCGGATGCGAACAGGGTTGACGAAGGATTGACATCCAGCGCATTGATATCTTTCTCGTGGGCTTTGCGTGTGAAAACCGCCTTAGGGTTGTGGGGTTTGGAGGAACTAAGAGGAGCTAGTTTACCCGTATCCCATCGCTTGATGGTACGGTCCTGAGAACCTGTGAGCAGGAACGCGGGAGGATGGTTCAAAGGGTCATTGTGTGCCGGGGTGTTGGCTGGAGGTGGAGCTCGAGGAAAGCTGATGGCGCCCAGGGACTCCGCATGACCAGTGAGGACCGCAAAGCACGTGTAGGAGGAATTCTTCGGATCAAGACGCCAGAGGCGTGCGGTGTTATCCTTGGCTCCAGTCACTAGCCAGTGGCCTGACCAGTCCACGTCGATACAGATGATGATGTCGTCGTGGCCTTCTAGGTGCGTGATATCGGCACCGAAATAATCGCCCTCTCCAGTAGATGGCCTATCCTTGGATGGACCAACTGAAACCACGCGGATACTCTCTGTGTTGGTAGCCAAAGCAAGCATTGACCGATCGGGGCCGACATATGCAAGATCGATGATATCATCATCGTTGCCGGATATACGTCTAATGACGGGCAGAGGCTCGAGCGTAGACCCAGCCTTGTAGTCGGACAGAGGCTCAAGTGAGTGGAGTCGAATAGTTTGGTCAGCATGGACAGTCATCGCGAAAGACATGCCTGCGGAGTACTGGATCGCTACCACAGCCTCGAATTCGGCCGCAGCTTCTTGCTCGTGGGTAATCTCTCCGCCGCGGTTGCAGTCCCACACGCGCAAACGGCCGTTTTCTCCACCCACCAAGCACAATCCACTATCAGCAACAAATGAAGCTGCTTCCACACTCTCGAGGACGGGGATAACCCTCCGTGTCTTGAAAGTCCGCACATCCCACACGATGACAGTCTTATCGCGGCCTCCAGAGAGCAGCGCATTCTCTGTGGGCGAGTACGAAAGGCTCCGAACAACTGAAACGTGGGACTCAAGGGATGCGATAGGCTTTCGCTTATTCAAATCCCATACGCGCACCATACCCTCCTCGTCGCCCGAAGCAAGTCGAAAAGCGCCAATTGAGTCGACCGCTTCATCCATCTCCTCATCCTCATCCGAGTCGTAGGACTTGCCCTTGGACTTCTTCTTCTTCTTTGACGACGATTTGTTATCGTTTTCTTGGGATGGTACTTGGAAGAAGCACAAGGCCGAAATGACACCACCGTGGCCATGGAAGGTATGTGTAATGTATCCACCCCGAATGTCCCAAACTTTGATCGATCCATCTGCGGCGCCGGTGGCCAAAAGAGTACCCGTGGGGTCAATCGTAGTCGTGACAACGGGTGCTGTGTGAGGCTTCAAGCTTCTAGCGAGCTTGGCCTCGACGGTTCGGGTGGTTTCATCAAAAGGCGATAGAGAGTAGATGCGCATGGACATCGAACGTGAGCAGAGAATGACATGGGAAGCCGACGGAGTAACTAGGCGCGGTTAGAGCATGCTCTGTAGCGGGTATAGAAAAAGAAGCCAGAGGATGGGAGCTGCATACTGGCCAAGCTAGTGATTATTTCGCCATCCTAGAATATTCGGATCAGCAATTTGCGACAGGCGGGCGGTTTTAGAGGGCTTACTCCTTCAAGGCTGGCGAGCTGGTCGCCGGTCTCAAGGTCGACCACGAGAGCATCCTCGCCGATGCAAGTCGCCAGTAGACGGCCACTGGCATCCAGCGCAGTGCTTCCTCCGGTGTAGATGGGACGAAGAGTTCGAGACGCCTCGAAGGTCGTCTTAACCACGGCTTTAGACATGATGTGCAAAATTTCTCAACAACCAGGGATCTAAGAATCTATCGCGCCATCATCCAACAGACCCGACCTGCACCTGCAAAGAGATTGACAGTTGCGTAATGCCGTCCGCATCGCCGTCGCACCGAAACTTTTGGGTCTTTTTTCGAGATGTTTGCTCTGTTTGTTCGGGCGGCGGGACCCCGCTAGCTCGTGATCTAACCCGAACCGCTCCAGGCGCCATACCCGCCCATGTGATCACTGATCAGTGACACTTGCCATTTGGGGCAGGCCCATCTTCGATCCATCCATCCATCGAGTACCTGCTGCGGCACTTCAACCTCCCCAGCAAGGAGGATATGCCCGTCCTGCTCACCCCCCGATGAACTTGGGAATTCGGCTCACGCAATGGGGCGTCGAGCATACCTGAATCGGCTGGCTCTGGTAGGCTCACTCTCCGTTCTTTTGTATATGCTTTGCCGCGAGTGGAGATGCATCTGGCGTTAGATTTTACTCGGACGTAATGTTCCTCTACCTCAAAATAAGTTTCCTTCCAAGGATGTCCACACTTTTGTTTACTTCTCAGCTTGTGGTCACCCCTCAGTATTCGCTCATTTCTGTCTTGCATGTTACGGCCCACTATAAAGAACCAAGAGTTAACGATCACTAAGGGCCGGTCACCTTACGAAGCTCCCGAGCGTCCTGCAGGTTCTGCAGGAGACTCAGGAAATGCCACGCAGCGGACAGTATCAGGGGTCCATGCGGACGGTTATGTCCAGCATTATGATGAAAGAGGCCATCCTGTTAACCCGGAATCCAAGTCATTTGGTAGGGAACTCCGCCGGGCAAAGAATGACATTCTTTCCACCATGGGGGTTGTTGTCAGCGAAGATCGTAACATGGGTGGCCTCGATGAACAGCAGAAAATTGACATCATAGCCACCGAGAATGACTACGGCCTGGTTATGGCTACTTTGGACCAGGTTTCGGTTTTTCTAGGCTCTTGGTGGACCTCATCCCTCTTGGGCAGAATTCAGGTGAGTTTTTTTTGCTCTAAAACGGGGATTATAGCTTGGGGCCATCTATTGGCTAAACCATCCACCAGACTTTCAGGAGTTACACTCGCCTGCCTTTGCTAAGCATTGTACGCCTTGAGCGCCCAGCTTACGGGCTCATGGGATTCTACTTTGCCGGAATTCCAGCATGGGCAGTGTCCACCTGCATTTCCTTCTGTCGCCATCAGCCCCTGGAACGCTTGATAGCTTTCTTGCAGAATCAATTCCTGAACGATGACGTGGGGTCAAAGCTTGTGCGAGCATTGCTAAATGTTCTACACTCATCGTAAGTGCCTGAGCAACACCACTTCACTGCATTTTTCTAATGGCTTGCGTAGGGCGAGGGGGACATTACTGGTTCTGGCAATACAGACATACATGTACTCTCTCTTACAGTCTCTTCACATCGTCCCCGCCCACTCTATGCCTGGAATTCGCTTTTTTCTGCCATTCGGAGAACTGGCTTCAATGCAACTTCCGGAGTTGCCGACTGATCTTTCAATTGGATCCCTTGTCGGGCTTTTTTTGAGCATCCTGAAAACGCCATCTGTGCTCGTCTACCTCTCTGTATATCTACGACCAGTAGTCGAAGTAAGACTCTATCGATTCATTCGACGCAGACTGCCGAAGCCTATCTACGCGGATGCGCTTTCTGTCAAAGTGGCGTACGACAATGATCTTATCGATTGGATGATGCCATCAATTGGGCGTCGAGCAGAGGAGGAAAACCTCCGCGGTAGTCTTTCCTTCGCAGAAGACCTGATGTATGAGGTCAATTTTGTACGGTCCTGGGTACTGTCCTGGTTCGGCTTCAAGTCATTACGAACGGCACGGGCGGCAGAGCAAGCGGCAGATGCTCGCCGTCGGCAAGAATGGTTAGAATCACTACCTCAAAGCATAGAGCAACTGCAGCATGAACGTCAGTCACGAGCCCGTCGACCACGAAGACGGTCATCCGACCCTCCGCTTGTGGACGGCCAAGTGAATCATGACCCAGCCCGCCCTAGTTCCCCAAATCGACGCTCTGTCGGCCAAACTCCAGATTTAGATGTCGATTTTACGGGTAATCAAGTTCTTACCAATGAAGAGAATCGGATGTCGCAATCACCAACCGAAATGAGTAGTCGTGATCTCGCGGAGATGGCTCCTCTGCGACGGGCAAGGACCTTACCTCCACCAGATGAGACCCCTTCGACTCTACCGAATGCAGAGTCACAGCCCGGCGATGCAAATGAGGCTCACCGGAACTCACAGTCCAACACTCTTTTCTCCCGTCCATCTTCACCGGCGACCTCTTCTCCAACCTCACCCCGAGTCCGGGCTTCGTTGATCCATCAAACATCCGATGTTATTACCATGCAATTGGAGCTGTTGGGGTACCGTCGCACGGAGAACCAGGAGCAGGCAAATACAAGGCCGGGTAATGAAACCGGCCAATCGGCTTCCAACGGCGAAACGGCAGATGGGCAAACAATCTCCGAATTTCTCGATAATCTCTTGTCCAGTCAGGGCCGGCATCTAACTACTGTTGTTAGCTCAGAAAACATGGACAGTGATGGGCTCTCTGAAATGACCACCAATGCATCACCAAGGCCGGTGGAGGATATAGCTCCCGAGTCTCAGAGTCAGGTACAGGATTCGAGAGTAGAACAGCCACCTGCTGAAGCGTCTGCATCGGATCCTGTCAATATATTGCCTGAGAGCATAGAAGAACCGGCACAAGTGGATACACTCCATCAGCCTTCTGAAGAAGAGCGAGCCCACGAGAATGATTTTGATTCCGAGATATTCCCCCACATCTCCGACCCCAATATTCGCCAGAACATGGCAGCTAATCCTTCAGCGACTGCACATCGAATTACTATTCTCTCATCTCACCCTGTTGATTCTTTAGCATCGCATCTTGCATCTATAATCACTAATGTGATGTTCATCCCTCTCGAGTCCCTCTACCTGCGGTCTCTTGCTACATCATATCTGCAGTCTACTCATGCCCCTGTCGCTCTTCGGGCTGATGTCCGGACGATGGGAGATTGGGGATGGAGCTCACGATCAGATATCCTCCCATACCTGGGTAAAATTGCTCTTGTTTTGGGAATTCAAGTTGCCGTGAACGCCAGTGTATGGGGTGTAATATCCGGCAGCGCTATGAAAATCGGAAAAAGGTTCTGTGGTTGGGGATCACTGTGAGCATCTTTCCGACACCACCTTGAGCAGCTTCTTGTTTGCCACTGGTTATTCTCATCCACCAGTATATCTCTATGGCTGGCATCCCTCTTTCATTCTTTGCACAAATTACCTAACATAATGGACACCTTCATCGAAAAGTAGATTACATGTAATTCCAGATATCTTGAGGGCTCGCCCGTACAGTGACCATGACCATGATGGTCCTGATAGTTCCTATCCATGTTTAACCTACAAAAGCAGATCAGGAAAGGGAATTGTATCTTCTATCATCATCGTAAGTTCTTAATTATACAGTAGTCCCTGGATCATGCGGCCTCTGATTGGGACCATTAGCAATTTTTAAATAAGATTCTACACCAGGAAACACTCCGGTATCATTTAGCTGGATTCTTCCCCTTGCGATTTGTCATGCCTGGAACTTTCCGACGCTCCCAAACCATCAGGTACCCTTCCTTGGTGAACAATGTTTCACTTTCTGCACGCTTGACAAACAAGTCTTGAATCTCCAGCCACTCCGGTCCACGCTGCTCGCCAGTGTGTTCTTTCTGAAGTCGGCTATTCTCCGCTGACATAGCCTTATCATGCAGCTGAACAAGCCAAGAGACCTTCTCGCTCGCGGCACCCGCTCCTGACGAGGCTTTGCCGCTCGCTGCGTTGACGCCTTTGTCTGCAGCGGCTTCCTCGTGGGCACCGGGGGCCGCGACGGTGGGGTCGAGAATGATATTTGCGACGAGATCGTAGAGGATCGGTTCGCCGGGGGGCCAGATTGCCGGGTTTGGCTCCACGTAGGGTGACATGTCCAGGGAGCGCGGGGACGGGAAGGTGACGATTGTGGGGTTTCGTTCGGAGACGAAGCGGTTCTTGCTGAAGCGCTTGATGTGGAACAGGAGGTAGGGGGGCAGGGGATGGAGGAGTCGGTGGCGGACTCTGTGGGCTAGCTTTTCAGATGCGGTGATGCCGTTGTACTTGTTCAGGAGGGTGGTCAGGGGAACTTGGGGGATGATGGATTCCCGGTTGGCGGATTGGAAGAGTGGAGTAGGTGGGAGATCTAAGGTGAGGATGAGGAATGGAGTCGTTTGGCTGTTGATGGTACCGGACTCGGTGAACACTAGACGCGCGTTTTGGGTATCGGAATGAGCTGTGATAGCTTGGCTTTCAATCTTCAAGTGACCCTGGAACGCGGCTTGGATAACACTGGTGGGCGTCTTGGATGGCTTTTTGGAGCCTCCGAGAGAGAGATGGAGGTTGTTCAAGAACCAGGATAGGAAATCCACCGGGTCGGACTGTTGGGTGAGGGTGAAGCGCTTGGATGAGCGCAAAGCAATCTCCTGCAATAGTTCGTGAGGGGATACATGGGAGCGGAATGCCTTGGGGTTCCACAATTTCCGGACCAGGGTGCTGAACCGGAGGGCTAGTTGAGGCGTTCCTGGTTGAGAAAACTCATGCAGCAGGAAGTAATTGCGGATGGGGAAGACGTGAGCTAAGAGTTGGACCACCACGTTGAGATAATCGTTGGCTTTAATGTTGTTCATACCCACAAATCCTATGAGGGTCAGTATATGGTGCGCTCCATAAGATATGCGGGAATCTTACCGGGCCTGTAACGATTGCCTGCAAGATCGAACGCATCGTGGACCTCTTTGTCTAGCTTCGTCACCTCTTCCTTGTTGTAGTACGGATCCACGACATACTTGATGTCGTCCAAACTCTGGTTCTTGACTTCGTATCCTTCGGGAAGAACGTAGACCTTCTTCGTGCCCATATTGACGAAGACATGGTGTCCGACCTCGAGCGCATGGAAATACGCATGCGACTTCGGACCTCTGCCTTGGAAGTATTTGCCGCACACCAGACAAGCGTATACATTGATGTTCGACAAGCTCACAGAGCACTGTTTTTCGAAGTCAAAATCGAGAATTTCGCGATTGATGGTATCGAGGTACAGGTCGCTGTAGCCCTCCATGGGGGCGCTCTGACGTTTCGGGGCTGCGATAACCGGCTTGTCGTCATCGTCGTTCTCGTCGGAGGATTCGGCACCTCCATCTTGCGCTGCTTCTTCTAGCTCCTCCCCCTCTTGATCAGCGGCTGCAAGCACATCCTGTCCAGCGCGCTCATGCTGCTCCAGCTCTTGTCCAGCCGCCCGGCGAATCGGCAAAGCTCCACGGCGCGGGTCGTCTTCCGGCAGGTCATCGTCCTCCACGCGCGCTCTCTTCGAAGCAGGGGAGCCTGCCGTAAGGTCGTCCTCAAGCGATAGCTCAGCTTGTCTCTTCGACATCATGACTGGGTACAATGGGGGGTTTGCGAGGGACGCTGCTGGCTTTGCGGGATCCAAACGGCGAAGACGCGATGCAAACCGCCGGTTGCAAACATGTCAAACACCCGCGCAGCGTCATAAGGCGGTTGATTACAGCATCGTGGAGCGCAACCGTCGCGGCCGAGCTAGGTGGGATATGGCTACGATAGCACCGGCATGGTGGTATCTCAAGTAATCATGGTCATTGGTCTCGACCTCAGCTAGATAATAGGCGAGACTATGTCTCGGTTCAAGTCATGGAAAATACCCTGCCATGCAAACCGATCTTCTCTTAAACCCAAGTCCCGTGAAACCGCAAACATAAGACAATCATTGGTATGATACAACGCATTAGGCACTCTTGACGATCCTGTTATTATCGAATTCTACTTCCTTCACGCCATCTTTAGTGACCACCTTCACCAGAACCTAGAAGCTGTTAGCTAACCAATCTCACACCGCGGGACTAGACGACTCGGGGACATACCCCCTTGTAATCGATCGGTAGTCTGCGCTTCAATTCATCTGTGCACATTTCCAGGAGCTTCATTCCTTCTTCGAGCGAGATGTCGGGATGGTGGTGTTTATCGAGGGTGGATAGGCAGTAGTATCTAGAGCATATCAGCATAAGCCCCGACGGCCGGAGACCGCTGATACTCAGCGCCCAGACTTACTGTGCATAGCCGTGGGCAGCGTATGGTACAGGAGCCAGGGAGGCCAGATAGTCTATCCAGTATAGATGGGGCTTCTGGGTGATGGGATCGACACCTCCCAGGAGGAGGTTGACGGTATAAGGATTCCGGGACCGCAAACTCCGCGCCATCTCTCCCCGGACAAAGCTAGCAACTGCATTCGGACCCAGTTCGGTATCGTTCCGCATCGTGTATAGCTGAATGTTGGCTTGGATGTACTCCGCAAATTGTACTATTCAAGCTTCGGGTTAGCTAGGTAGTTCCTGGCGGTTCCGCGTTTCCAGTCGTTGGGTGGGCTGCACGAACCTGTGTCTCCTGCCTCTCCCGAGAAAGCCATAAGGCTGTGCTTGTTCAGCTGTTTTGTCTTATCGTCTTCGGCTTTGAGGATGGTGGGGCCCCTCATGGCAGCTTTGGAGGCCGCCAGAATGACGAAGTCCTTGCCAGTGATGCCCAGTAGAACCTCCCTGTGAACGAGGATGAGTGAGCGGATTTTCCATCAATTTGCCATGCGGCGTACCTACATATCTGCGGTATCAAGTTGTACGGTTGGTTTAGAGGAGAGATGAAAACGAGGGGGATAATGGAAGACGAGATGGGTAGATGACAGTCAAGAGCCCATCGTTGGCCGCGCGGAGCTTTGACTGCCTGGAGCTGGGGCCTGCGCTGCCTTGATGCCTGAGGCTGAAGCTCCGCGCTGAGTCAGCATTTAGGCGTAAAGTTGATGCGCTTTCCGCCTGCACGGTCCACCGGCAGAAAAAAGTGAGAAATCGAGTATCTCCGTCGGATCGGCCAATCTGCCTGTGACTTCCCCCCCTCCAGCCCCTTGTTTTCCCCCGCATCTTACGCCCGGAGCTTCAGCCAACTACCCTGGGTGATGTCGTCCTTTTTCACCCTGCCCGCTTCGCAGCGGAAGCGCAAGAGGGAAGACCGCGCCGGAGCCCCCGCATCTAAGAAACGAGGTGTCGATGCAGACGGAGATGCGAGCGGAAAGAGTGGCAGCAAGAAGAACAGGGAGCCATCGATTTCAGGAAGCGATATCGACGAGGATGAGCTCAGTGCTGTGTCTGGATTGTCCGATGAGGAGAGTGGCTCGGAATCCGACGAAGGAGAGACGGCCGGAGACCGGAGGTTGAAGCTTGCGGAGCGATACCTGGATAATGTCCGGGAAGAGGTGGATGACTACGGCTTCGATGCGGCCGAAATTGATCGGGACTTGATCGCGGAGAGACTAAAAGAGGATGTGGTATGTACCGGCCTTCTCATTCTGCCTTTGCGCGGCTGGTCATGCCTGTTACCTAGAGCTGACGAGATTTGCAGGATGAATTCAAAGGACGCGTTTATCGCCAGATTGCTTCGGATTTGGCTTTCTCGACAGCTCCTCATACATTCTTCCGCGCAGACACCCAATCGACGACGTCAATTGCAGTCCACTCGCCCTATGTTTATACCGTGTCGAAGGATAAGACCCTGATCAAGTGGGAACTCGCCACACCCACTTCCGCGGCATCTACGACGAACGGCGAAACGTCCAAGCGTCCCCCACGGCCACAGCGCAAAAAACCAAAGCAAGTGAGATTCGTCCGGGGCTTGCGGAAGGTTGCAGAAACCGGTGAAGAGCATGGTCATACCCAGAATATCTTGTCCGTCGCAGTGTCACCGTCTGGAAAGTTTGTGGCTACTGGAGGACAAGACCGGAAACTCATTGTTTGGGATGCGGAGACGCTGACTCCTCTGCAAACCTTTATCCAACACCGCGACGCTGTCTGTGGTCTTGCCTTCGCTCGCCACATCTCTACCATGAGCTCCGGAGAGCAGCTTTTCTCCGGCTCCTATGACCGAACCATCAAAACCTGGTCTTTGAGCACGGCCGGCCATGCATACGTTGAGACGCTTTTCGGTCATCAGGACTATGTGACATCAGTCGCTGCAATGACTATCGATCAGTGTGTCAGTGTCGGATCCCGCGATCGCTCGGCCAGACTGTGGAAGGTCGTCGAAGAATCCCAGCTGATCTTCCGCTCCGGTTCGAAGAGCGCTTCTTACCAAGAAAACAATATTGACTGCGTGGCACCTTTACCTCCTAACCATTTCGTTACCGGGTCAGATTCGGGCTCACTCTCGCTCTGGTCCGTCCACAAGAAAAAGCCTCTCCATACGATTCCTCTCGCCCACGGCCTCGACCCCTTACCTCCACTAGACGAACTCTCTGCCGAGGTCGACCAGGCCACCGCAGCGCACAACTCACGTCATCTCCGGCGCATGCCTCGCTGGATTACCGCATTGGCTACCGTTCCCGGCACCGATATCGTGCTCAGCGGCAGCTGGGATGGCTTCATTAGGGCGTGGAAGATCTCGGAAGATAAGAGGACCATCATCCCACTGGGCCCTGTCGGAGCAGGGTCCAGCATCCCGCTACCCCCCGACACACCATCCGAGCAACTGAAGCAGTCCCTCGCATTCGACACACCGACGAGCCCGGATCGCATGGCGGTCGATGACGCGCCGGTCCAACAGACCGGAAGCGCCGATGAAGAAGCAGAACCGCTGATCAAGGGTGTTATCAACGACATTGCAGTTTTCGAACGTCGCGCAGATACCGCCAAACCGGGCCAAGCATCCACGGAGCCGAAGTCCAAGTCCAAGTCGAAATCCCAACCCACCGCACCCGAGCAACGTGGCCTCTGTATCGTAGCCGCCGTTGGCAAAGAACACCGGTTAGCACGCTTCAAATGCTTCTCCAACAACTTCCACGACGGCCCCTCCGCCGACGGCCGGAACGGCGCCGTAGTCTTCGAGGTGCCATTCATCTCCGATCAGCAGCCGAAATAGGCGCTAACTTCGGCGGTGTTGGCGGCAGCGACGGCGACGGTATGAAATGTAGTGAAATGGATGGCGTCCCGTGTATCCCATATTTTCTTCCATGCATGTACTATCTTATTCCCGGGCCGGTGGTGTCTGCATCCTGCTTCATCTTCATTGCTTTAAAAAGTTCGCATTAGAAGAGGCTTTTCCCCTCGTCTCTGTGATTTTAGCCGGTTTGTACTGTATATACTTTTAAGATATCTTTTTTTTTTTCTTTTTTCTTTGAATGGATGTATGTCAACCTTTCAGTATTATAAAAAGCGTACGGAGTACAATAAGCACGTACTTTAGAAGCAACACTTGCCAACTGACCCAACCAAAAGAATTAAAATTTAAGGAATAGAAAAAAGTAATCAGCCCCCCAAAGCACCAAGACGTCCCCACCATCCCCCAACTACCACAGCCTCATTCCTTCCAAATTCCAAGTTCCAAATCCCAACATAAGTAAATACACCTACCCAACAACCATACAAAATAACCGCCAAATACCCAACTACTCCTCCACCCTAACCAGTACCAAATCTCCAGCCCCATCCGTCCCACTCCCCTCGACTCACCAGGCCCCAAACCTAAGCGCCGTGTGTGACTATACCCGCATATCTGCATATCTGCAAGCCGCAATGCAATGCCAAGGGTGTGGCAGGCTGCCAGTGCCAGCAGCAAAGCGGTCGGTCCCATTAAGCCCCGGCGCTAAGGCCGGCGACTAAACTGAAGGCGGATTGGAATACCCGGGCTCGGGGCCCAGGCGGGGAAAATTGGCTAGCATATGGAGTACTATGCAGATAGGCGGTTGTGGGAGGGATTGATAGTCCAGGATTTTGACGCGCGATGGGATACAGGCGGTTATTTCATGGGAAAGAGGAAGAGAGGGGGTGAGGGGGGTAAACCTTATGCGTAGGGTGATGGGGATATAGATGGTGGTGACTGGGTGGTTTAGTTGATGGCGAGCTAGGTGGGTTCAGGGCTGAGCTCTGGATGCATAATAGTGAGAGGATTGTTGGTAGGTGGTGGTCCCAGTCATGGGGTGATTGTCATTTTTGCAATCTAGAAGAAGAGGGGGCGAAGTGCGCCCCAAGGTACCTGGTAATACATGTGTTTTGAGAAAGAACCGAACTTCGCTAGTAAACAACCCCTACCCAAGGTACAGAAGAAATGGCGAATGACAGCGGATAACAAACGGGGGTATTTTTTAGATGGCTTGTAGAAAAGGCTAGGATTTCGCCATTCAATGATACAAAAGAGTCCCTAACACCTGTAGAATGGAACGTAACCCCTTGTTGTTTCACCACCGCAATCTGATGGGGTGAAGGTACCTGATATGACAAGGGAAGATTTTTCATGTCTCACGCATTGGTGGTCTAGCACCAAACAAGAGCAAAGACACAGTTGAAGTGTCGTTAACAAGAGATTATCAATCGTCATTAGTCGTAGATAAGATGTTGAGCTGGTTCAGAAGGCAGAAGGTCGGCAGTTGCCTCGATCCCTTGTCCTCCTGGTCGGTCGCACGGGGCCCTCGTCAGAATCATCGTCCACACTGATTGCATTCATGGTGGACGACCCCGCGGGCACCTGCTGGGGACGACGTGCATCCCCATGAGATGTTGCTCGGGAAACAGATCCGGTCTGTCTTGATGCTGTGGCAGGTGTCCCGTTTTCGCGAGGTGGAGAGCTGGACTGTATGCGGTAGGTCGGGATTCGATTGCGTCGAATGCCACTGACAGGCGGCCGAATTGGCTCGTCATCCTCATCGTCGTCATCGTCGTCGTCATCGTGCTCCCCATCCTCATCTTCATGGCTATCATCAAGGTCGCTTTCATCCGACATCTCGTCAAAGGCTTCGCTTCCGATAGTTGTCGTGCGAGTGATGGAGAACTCATGCGGCCCTACTACCGTAGATCGGTCCGATTCGGAGTAGTTATCATGTTCCAAGTCATCGTCGATGAAGGAATCCATGTCCGCATCCTCATCTTCATCCATGTCACTATCCTCTTCAAGAGCTGAAGAAACCCCCGAAGGCCAGTCAACAGGAATCTGCCGGTGGAAGGGTGCATTCGCGCGCGCTGGGGGAAGATCCCCGGGACGTAGGCCGTACCATTGACGGTAGAGTTGATCTAGCTCGGCGGGCCGAATATCAAGAGGCAGCTCATCGAAATTTTCGTCCCATCCATAATCGTCAGTGTCCCCAAATCCATCTTCAAGCTCGTCGTCGTCCAGATAGTCCGTCATTTCGGAATTCTCTTCCGATTCGCTCCAACCAGAGCTGTCTGTCACGGAGTCATCATCCTGCCGGTATCCGCATTGCGCGCAGCCTGAATCCTCCTCAAGCTCCCATGAGCAACGTGGACAACGGACAACATTGTCCTCAAGGTCCACAATAGGTTGCGCAGTTGGGACTTTCTTGTTAAAGGTTCCACGAAACAGACCTCCTTCTTTCGGGTGTGTATTCAATTTATCTTGTTCAAGTCGTCCCGCTTCTTCGCGTTGGTGGCGTAGGTGTTCGTCTGTCGTCTCGCCCTTATCGAGCAGCTCTGGGCGGCTCGTGAACATTTGGACAACGGCGCGAACCTTCACCGTATCAGTCAGTGCCCATTGAGCGTCCATCAAGATTGCAACACAGTGCAGGCCTTACCAGGTAAGCGGGAGCGGGTTGCGCTTTGACCGGCGCTCGACAGTCCGGACAGGTCTTGTTGTGCCTCCCACCGACGAACCAGGATGTCAAGCACTAGGATGAAAGATTAGATATCGCCCAAGCAGCTACTGTAGAGGCAGGCTTTACTGACACTATAGCAAAAGGTATGTCCGCAGGCGAGGGTGTAGGGTTCATAGAGAGGTCGGATGCAAACACCACATTGTAGGATAGAACGAATATCGTCGACATGGCCTTGCAGTGTCTGAAAGAGCTAATAGAGAAATAGTCAGCATACAGAAAACCCAGGATCCGAGTAAAGCAGCTCACCCCCGATGCGTTGTCCCCGTGGTTCACTTTTGGCGCGTTGCTACCTGCGCCATTGCTTAAGGCAGCTCCAGCGGGAGTGGATTCGGACATGGTGTAGATTTCCCGAATCAGACGTTGATGGTAAAGGCCGTATATAGTGGAAGTCCTGTTCTTGTATACAACGCGATAAACGGGGTCTCGGATATAGAGAGGCGGTACGCGGTCGGAGAGGAAGGGGGTGGCAGATAAGTCTCTAAGTATGGACGGACTTTCAGGTACGCGAGAGAATCGCCGACATAACTGGGTCCCGGAGGTGCTTTGACAGAAGGAACACCCCGAGAAGTGCTCGAGTCCAACAATACGGGAGAACGGTCGGGGGGTTGTCGGGAAGAAAAGCTTGCTGGCTTGAAGGCACTAGAAAATATGGGCAGCACGAAACAAAGCAGACGCGAAGGCCAAAGAAAGCATCATTGGTCTGGACAGGGCGGCCGGGCAAGATGTGAGCATGATTTTCTGGTCGGGAATCGGCGCGCAAACCGAACAAACACGCGCCATCAAATCGGGTCCGATCATGGAATGGATCCATCCAACACTTCCCCCATCCGCAATTACGCGGGTCGCTAGGAGCATCATCTTCATCTCAGCCCGAACCGTCGCTCGCGAAACTGTGGCCGATGATTTGTCCTTGGACGAGCTAGGGGCCTAGCTGCCTAGCAGCCTACCCTAACGAGGACTAAGGTCGAGGGGTAGGTAGGTAACTAACTAACCGGCTCCATCTCGCCGTCGCGACGCCAATCCATCGCTTCCGCTTAGATACCCCGTCAGCGCTGTCGTGAGCGGCTGTGATCAATAATCTTAACAATAACGTACTCCGTCTAGCCGTCAATTATGACAGCAGCTTTCCAGATCACATCCTCGGCGAGTTATCACACGGGGGGTACCAACAACTTGATATGCCCCCTTTCCAGACCTGTGCATCTGCCTGCACTTCCTGGCGCTTCACAGGACTGCTGAATGCCAGCTGTGTGTGGTCACAGAGCATGTGATGCATCCGAATGCATATCGGGTGCTTCTGCCGTGGCAATAACTAGGCTTGCATGTTTCCAGCATACTCCGTATGGCGATAAGAATAAGGCAAAATTGGGGCACAAATGACTACCGGCCACATTTAAGATCCAGAAGCCCCTCAGTCAAGTCCTACCGCCAATATGCTTATTATTTATTACTCGCTTCTCCCCCGTTGTATGAATTCCCTTGGAGCCGCGTTTGAAGGTGTTGACAACGCAAGCATCAACGTGAGTCACATACCTATAGAGCATATAACGAGATGATTTTTTCTAGGTTTCCCTGTCCAAATCTTACACGGTTTGAGTCGTCGCGGCGGCCGGCGGATTGTACTTTAGCCTGGCACATGCATATCTTTGGCTCACTACCTCCTTAATCGCCCTCATTGCCCCGAGGCGCTTAGTAGGCGCTTGATGATCTCACTATTTCAAACCATCTCAGGTTTATCAGGTTCTTTTCATGAGATCATGGTTTGCTAATTATCTACCGGTTACTATTACACAGAATCGAGGATACTGAGAAAGAAGAAAGAATAATAAATTTTATTTCAATCTGGCATCCTACTGGACGATATCAAGGGAATTAAACGAACTGTCAGTGCTACATCGCTGAATCATTCAAGCCCAGTAAAGCTACGAGCTCAACAATTCCCGTGCAACAAAGCATCAGCATTTTCGATCAAGAAAAGAAACCCATCAAATCAGTGGCCCAGTTGCAACCATTGTCGTTATCACGCGCCAGTCCGATAGCACCCAGCGCGACACCGAAGCCATCAGCGGGATAACCTAAGAATAACTAAAAAGAATACCTAAAAATGACATCTCGAGACCAGCCGGACTTGATTTTGAGAAGATGAAGTCGAAGAAGAGAAATAGCAGAGCATCACCAGCCTTTGGATAGCATCCGGAGACCGGTTCAGTCCACAGCAGCGAAAGTGCGCTTCCTGGACTGCTGCAGCTTGAGATCCTCGGAGATCAAGTGGCTGTCATCGAGGACGCCCTTGATAACTTTGTCATCATCAACAATTTCCTTGTCCATATGCTCCAAGAAATCAATCTGCTCGCGGATGAATCGTTTCACAGCACGAGTATCGAAAGCCCGTTTAGCTCGCTCTCGGTCCCGCATGAGCCTGTTGGCTTCGCGAAGACGATCTTCAAGGATCTCAAAGCGGTATTCAGCGAATCCATGATATAGTTCGCTTAGGTTTGAAACGGGACGAACTGTGGTAAGAACAGTGTCGTCCTTGATGGCGGAAGCGCGAGGTCGGAATGATGTGACCATGGAGATCCGCTCGGTCGTTCCCAGCGCACGGAGAGCCTGGTGTTCAATGTACCGTCCCTGAAGAATCACCGCCGAACCCTGTGACGATCCATCAGTCCTGTGCTCTATTGAGTAGTGATCTTGTACTTACCATCTGCGGTCCTCTAACCTTTACAACCTCGCCGTTTCCCTTTCTAAGGGCTGTTTCTCCGCCGACCATGTCCGTGCAGTCGGAAAGCATGGTCACACAGACGAAAGGATAACTATCAGTATGCCAGTCCACGATGGGGTTCTCATCTTCCCAAGGGGTTCCTGCGACCCCCTCGTTAGATGCTCGGTTGACCTTCTCCAGAACTTCCTGGACGGCCTGGTTCTTCTCCTCCTCGCTATTCGTGGAGATGTTCACGTGCCCGATCTCGAAATCCATGGCGGGTACGAGTTCAACACCTGCAATCTTTGAGATGATAGCCAGCGTCTCGGGGTTTTTCCAGGCATCATAGACGAATGGTGCGCACCTGTTTCAATATGTCAGTGCTAACTTGAGATGGTGGAAGAAGCTGGGCTACTTACTCTGCTGCATAACCCCGCAATTGGCACTGAGCGATGTTGCTCGAATATTTGTGCTTAGCAAACACTTCGTCGCTCAAGACCTCTTCGCGCATGAGCCGGATGGCCTCAGTCGAGAACAGCGGGAAGGGCTCAGAGACACCAATCGGCGAAACGCCACGACTGTCAGGATAACCAAGCTCCTTCATAGTGTGCACCTTTGAAGGAGGAGTATGTGCGAGGTGCTTGGAGGGATCGAAAGATGCACGATCGCGTGCCAGGGTCACCTTTTTCATCTGAACAGTCTCTTTTCCATTGAGCTGAACAGTTCCGGTGGAAGTTGAGACTGAAGTGGCCACGGGCGCCATTGTTCGGAGTTGTGAGAGCTTTCACGGAACTCTCATCAGCACTGACCTCTTATATGATGAGTACCAGGAACTTACCGTTTGGTTGGTCTTTCGAAAGCTATGAGAGGTATTTTGGCTATCGACTTGCAGGTGCTCGAAGGATATCTGCGAAGAAGATGGGAGGAGGAAAACTGTCAAGGCAGGTCAAGGTATTTATACGCCAGTTATCACGACCTCACTTTCTGGTCAACTCCGATGATAAATTCCTTGACACCGTGCGAAAATTCAATAAATCGCTCAAATTTCCTCTCATAAGGGAGATTCAGATAATGTTTGGCTGCTGACAACGGTGCCTAGCTAGGAAATACTGCGGGATCACCCATTGCCAGTGAATGCAGATGTGGTGGGTTCCTTCCGTTCATACCAGTCCCGTTAATGCATACATCAATATGACGAATGGTACCGATAATACATGAATTGAGGGGGTGAATTTCCTGTTATCCGGCTCCGATGTTCGTTCACTTCCGTTGCTGCCTTTCCTGAGGATTGGCCAAGCGCGATTCTCCTCATGCACAGGCTGTGACAGCGGCATGAACACGCTCCTGGCAACTGTGGGTCAGGAGAGGGACCCGCGGCCATAGCCCATGGAAACTGTTCCTATGTTCGGTTTGGCACAGTGAATCGATATTCCACAAGGCATCCTTGCTGTGGCGATCAGTCACGGCTTGATTGGTTCTTGATTGCCACTTGCTTAGAGTACTCGGTGGGAACATGACAAGAGGGTCCCTACGGGCGTCCTTCCCATGGTCAGATAGCGCCACGACGTTATAGTATTCCTGTCAACCGTTTTGGAAAGTCGGACCAGGCAGCTTTCGAACCGACACTGCTGTGGCTAGCGTCCAAGCATCCGACTACGCCAGACCGAGCCCGATGCATGCTACTACATTTCCTGTTTGGGAAAGGAGCCGCCAATGAATCGATAAGGGAATTCCAGGATCGGTCGGGCACCAGTTGACATCCTGCTCAGTCCAAGATCTGAGCTTGGGCGAATGATGGAGGGATGTCAGCAAGCTGCGTGCTGGGCTCCGCTAGCATGCCGCTAGATGGGACTTTTTGACTTGATTTGGGATTAGGATCGGAGCGGATCCATTTGTCCAGCTCGGCAAGTTATCAGAAAGATTGGTGCGGCTATCAGATAACGGAGACCCCCTCCCTCCGTCTGTTGGCGATTTGCGACCTGCACGGCTGTCGCGGCCTCGCGGGCGCTCTTTGGCCCTTGCGCTCCCCGCGCATATCCTGGTGTCACTTGATGTCTACCCCCGGTCAAGGGGCATTTCGAAATGACTAGTGGTCCTCGTATCTCGACAAACATGTGCTTTAGGGGCAGGGTTCTAGACGCCCCCTGCGTGGCAATGTCGGCTATAGAGATATCATCGCAATCACCACCACAACCAAACCACCAACGAGTTCGGGGCCGAGTAAATGGGGCTATCATGGTCTACCGGAGAGACGTAAATAAGGATTAAATTGCAGGGACAAAATTCATGTCTATCAGGGTTGTCGTATCAATGACGGGCTTTGGGATCACTGTCAGTCTTCTTCATAGATCGAATCCAATCCGCGTGTCTGTAAACGACCAGTCGGTACTTGATGATTAGGGAGATTCTTTTCAATCCTCTCAATGTTGCCAAGTGGGGTTGTTACCTTCTTACGGGGATGGACCACGCGCCAGACACGGCAGGCATGACTTGCGGGTTGCGAGAGTTGAACCCAGCCCAATCTGCTATCTTTCTTTGATCTTATTTACCTTCTTAGAGTCAGCATCACCATATCATAAACTGGTTCGTCACCTTTTTGACAAGCGTAACCGAAGTCAGGAAGCTTACGCAACAGAGATGGCCGCAATTCTGTTTAGAGATTGTGTTAAGACCAGGGTGATGCCCACGGGGAAAAAGAAAAGAAAGCAGGAGGGGTAATTGTTCGGGGGGGGACGAAATTGGTGCAGGGTTAATAGCCTGGTAAGTGAGACGGTTCACATCTAGCTCCTGCAAACCTAAATCTGGAATACCCCGGAAAAGGTCCGCGAATGGCTCGTTCTCTTCCTTGATCCTCGAATCCCGAGTCTCGAGTCTAGACGGTGGTGAAAGCACGGAGCATGCCGAGCAGTGCAGTCCCGCTTTCCAGGAAAACACCGTGGTAATCGCCTAGAATGCTCCTTTGGGATATCTATCTTTATCTTAGCTGGAAGTATCAACTCCGTAGGCTTGTAAATTGTCGGGGCTGGATCTCCACGCCAAGACTGGCGGGTCTAGATTTTCGCCCGGCCGCCTTCGATTGGCAGTTTGGCACAGGAGTCCTCTCCATCATCAACAACAACATCCGCAGTCCCCGAGATACTGATCCATCTCCCAACTAGGCATCCAGTCCTTCCTGTTCGGCGCCACCTCCCTTAACCTCCGTATATCCGGTCTCAAAGGTCTGTAACCGCTTGTTGGCTTGACTTCTCACGGACTATGGCCTCCCAATCGGATCAGCAGCCACCCTCGTCGGAACAAACCCAGACCAATGCCTGGGAACGGGTGGAGCGGAGATTCACCAGGTATGCTTAGGCTTTCGACGGCCTCTTCCACACTCACCGTCTTTTGACACCGGTGGTCACACTCAACGGTGTCCATGTGCTCGAACCTGCAGCAGTTGGTTTTCCAATGCTTGGGCGGTTTTTGCCCCGTGGTCGGTTGATAGATGCCAATGGTTCCCTGACCATCATCGCCATCTTCTTCGTCTTCGGGGGACAGGGTGTCTCTATTCGTACATGGCGGATTTAGGGTCCATGACTAATGGTTTCCTTTCATTCTCAGCAAACCTGCAAGTGAATACTTTGATCCATGTCAAGATTTTGCGGATAGAAGCCTAAAGTGCATGAAGCGCAATGGCTTCGATAGGGAGATGTGTTCGGATTATTTCCAGTAAGTTCTATGGTTCCTTGCATTATGTAACCTTCATTCGCCTTGGCTCCAATGGATAGATGTCTTGCAACCATGTATATCCAATAGACTACAGTCGCTGCCGTCTCATTCTATCTCGTGACCAGATCAGCTCCTTTCCTGAGCTTCTAGGCTGTTGTGGATTCTCTATCCCGCTGGCTAACCGAAAACCTCCCAGGGCTTATCGCGATTGTAAAAAGCAATGGGTAAGTACGAACCATCAGTTTCCTCTTTTGCAGCCCTGCCGACCCGCTGGTTATTACAAGAGCTCGGAGATGTGCTGCCGCGCGCATCGAGGGTATTTCCGTATTGGTTTCGGTCCCATGACTGACAGAGTACCACTGCAGTTAACTCAGAAGAAGCTTGGCTCGTCGGCTCAGAAACAGTGATCGAGAGATCCCGCCGGTCCTTTCAGTTGTGCTGCACCAATTGCTGGTGGCCCAATCATGCTATCAAGCCTACGTTTGCCGGTCTCCATTTTTGACTGTGTCCAGGCCCATGCCTCCAAAAATTCCTTTGGCTCGTGGGGAGCAGATTAGGCTTTTCTCGCATCATGGCGTCAGGATAACCCTGGTTATCGGTCATCCCGGTCATGGACCAGGAAGCGACGGATGTCTTCATATCTTGATAAGAGATTGCTTCCTAGCGCTAGCTTTCCGTCATCCAGAAAACAATTGCTGCTTCCGCCATCTGATCCTTATCTCTGCAATGTGTTGGCTAGCCTGCAAAATAGCAGTTGACTTTTTTGGGCAGGATTCCCTGGCGTCCTGATGCACGACTTTCGTCTATGTTTCGGCTTTTGATACCTGTATATTATCTGTGTCTACATTGGAAACGTACCGTTTGATTAAGAATGAGCTCCAAGTGTCCCATCCTATGAATAGTACTCATAATCGATGGGTTAGAGGAATTGACAAAGTGGCTTGGTACATGGGATCATGTATGAAATATATACTATCTGAATCTCGGGGAATCATAGGAGTGTTCCACACCCCAAAGCTTCGAGGATTAATTCGACAACGCTCAATCTACTATAGAGGCCATTGAAATTCTACCTTCGCTTCTCACTTGCTACTACATGCCCATCCTTAGTGCCCTGATCAATGTCTACATGGCATTGCGGACTATCAGCAAGTGTCGAGCTCTCACCGCCTTCCCGTCGAGCTTCCCCGCCCACCAAACTCAGCAGAAAGCCGATAAAGAAAGTATGGAGAGCCACCTTAATTTCTCCCCTCATCATCGCGGTATAATCTTCCCCGCACACCGTGTGCTGTGCTTGGACGCGCAGCATACGCTTCGTTCGCCTGATCTGGGTATAGTCAAAGAACCTCTTATAATTTTGCTCACTCGTCTCCTCGAGTTTCCCTTCTCATCATGTCCACCAATGACGCCGTGTTCCAGCGGCGGAATAAGCAGGTTCAAGATGCCATTGACGGGCAGAATCTTAAGCAGGCTCTCCAGCTGATTGATAAGCGTATCAAGAAGGGTGAAGATACGAGGTTCCTCAAGGTGGGTACTATCTTAGCTTATATGTTTTCGTTGCACCCTGTCTGCGTGGACTAAGCAGACTACTCCCAAATTGTTTGTTACATATTCCTCATCGTACAACTTGCTGACTAGTGAATGTGGCCCAAAAGGCATGGAAGGCAAATATCCTGTTTCGTCACGCTGACGAACTCAACCGCAACCGTGGTATCGCGGAGACCATCGAGCTATGCAAAGCTGAACCGCCCACAACGGATCTCGACACCCTGGATATCCTCCACGAGACGCTGGAGAGGATGCCTGGTCATGCGGACACGCTGAGGAGCATCTGGGAGAAAGCTTCGAAGGCCAACCCCCGGGAGATGGATATCCAGATGAGATGGTTCGACTATGCTTTCGACGGTGACGACTGGAAGTCTGCACAGAAGGTCGGTGCTCGACACGTGCCCTGACAAAGAGATCTACGAGGCTGATTTACTCCATATGGTCGACTCTTAGGCTGCTATGGCTCTTCAAAGCAACTTCCCTAAGAAAAGGAAGTACTACTTGTGGGCCATCTTCCTTAGTTATCTCGTCTCCGTTGACGAGGCTAGCTCGGAGACTGACCGCAAACTTTTTGGAATGTTGGCCTACCGTATGGTATCCAAGGCTGCCGAAAGTGTTCCTTCCGATTCGGTATGTTCCATAGGATTAACCCCAACTCTGGTCAGACATCAGGTTGGGTGTCGGACCTCCTACTATTGCCTTTTGTGACAACATGGTGATTTATGAAAACAGAAAGAATTGCTGAGCACCCCCAGAGCTATACAATCAGCTGAGGAGCTGCTACTACTCATCAAGATCTTCGAATCTCAAGGACGGCATGCCGAGATTGTGAAGATCCTCGATAGTGAGAATCTGGGCATCAGCTCACGCCTCATCCAGAATGATTGGTCTTTCATTGGAGATAAGCTCTCAAACCTGGAAAAGGCCCAGATGTGGGCCGAGGGGCTGGCGTACACAAGGGAATTACTTGCAATTCCCACAAATGAGGCTGAACGCAAGGCTCTTCAAGAGCGTGACGACTGGGCGGTCTGGCACCTGCTCATCGTCGCGACCAAACAGATCAACAGTCCAGAGTAGGCTCTCAGCTCAGTTGTGGGGGAATCGTGCACGGTAGCTGACAATTTCCTAAGGACTACGACCGAGACGCAGAAATTCCTCGACGATTTCATTGCGGCTTCACCGAAGTCCCGCAATGCGCAATTGGCTCGACTTGACCTTGTGCACTGGTCTTTCCTGTCAGATAACCTGAAATCTGATGATTTGATCTCTGCTTGCCAGGAGTACTTCGATCACAACAAGCACAAGCTTTATTGCTTTGGTGATTTGCGAAGCTATGTGCCAGCACTGGACAAGCCCTCTCTGTTGAAATTTGTGGAATATGTCTCTAAAGGCGCAGAGGTACAAGCTGAAGTAAGCTCCAAACACTTGCATGTGCTGACTTTAGCTGATCTCATGGTCCAGGGGCAATCTGCGTCCAAAGAAGTTGGAAAGATCAATGCGCTCAAGTGCGAATACTGCTTTCTACTATCGGCAGACGAAGCCAATGCGTCTAAGCCCAAAGTCGAGGAGTTCGTTTCCCGGTGCTTGCAGGTCTATCGCGAGGTCGAACGCCCCGAGAAAAGCTCGGCGCCATCTACGATCGAGAGCCAGCCCAGTGATGACTTATGTCTGCTTGCAGCCATGAGTCTAATTCGCTTCAGCGGCGCATGGATTTCTGGCAGCAACGAACAAGTCCCGGATACTGCTCTTATCCGCGCAGCAGCAATCTTGGAGCGCCTTCTGGTTGACTCGCCTCACAACTACCAGGCGCTGCTGCTCCTTGTCCGCATCTATCTGCGTCTTGGTGCAGGATCTCTTGCCCTCAAAACCTTCAGCAAACTTTCCGTTAAGCAGATCCAGTTCGAGACGGTTGCCCATAACCTTTTCACACGTCTCGCGACCATCCACCCACACTCTGCACCGCCGATTGAGGGAGCAGAGTACAAAGACTTCAACCCTCAATCTGCTTTCGTCCAAGCCCTCAATTTCTTTAGGACGGCGGATGTTACAACTGTTCGGAATCGTTCCAAGGGACTTGACTATGGAAGCTACGTGAACATTCAAGGCACCATTGATCTACAGAAGCGCCTTAAGCAGAGTATCTGCCGCAGAATGTGGGCATTGGATGTGAGACGCATCCAGCGCCTGGCTGGCGGGGACCCTATGGGCCGCTACGAAGACATGGGTAAGTCTGTGACACCCTCGCCCGATGTGCCCTTTCCTAACGTAACCCACAGCAAGAGATAAGTCACCCCTGGTTGATCAGCGCATTTTCGATGCCTTCATGAACTGCGAAGCACCTGGCCAGCCTACATTTGAGGAAAGGATGCGCGTGGGACCCCTGCCTCGTGTGAGTTATATTCCATTCCATGACTCACGGATGCGGCTGACTAGTACAGGATCAATGGGTGAAATCTTCAAGAATGACAGACCATCTTTTTGACCTTCTGAAAACAATGGCGGCTCAGAAACCAGTGTCTGTGGAACCTGAATTGCCCAGTCTCGAAGATGTTGTGGGACCCAACGCGGAAGCCGAAATGACTCCGTCTGAGATCGAAAGTGCCAAGGTAAACTTAAGCATTTTGACGCTGGCTCTGTTCCTGAACGGATCAAAGTCAATCGCCTCCGAACAGGTTGATGCCTGTCTCAATCTACTAGAAGAATGGTTGGAGTCTACGCTTAAAGGCGTGACTGTGAGCGACGCCAATGTTTCGCCGGTCATGTCCAGCACGGCGATCTTTTTGAAATCAGAGACCCCCACTGCTCCATCCTGGGCGTACTTCCACAGTCTCTTCATCGTACTCGACTCTCTCAAGGCCATGTCCCTTCTCTGCACTGTTGCGCTAAGGAAGGGAGCTAAGGGCAAGCTACCGAAGACGCAGGTGGAAAAGCTGGCTGACGTGACGCGTCAAGTCCATCAGGGCGTACGAATCAATATTCGAGTCCTCAAATCTCACATCTCTGCCCCCGGGGTTCTGGGCTCTCTGACTGACTTGGTTGTGGCTGGCTCTGGCCACGAAGACGGCCCCCAGCTTCGTGCTGAGCTGGACAAGACGCTAGACATGTCCGCTCTGGAGGTGTTCTGCGGTGAGTTGATGGAGAGCTGGGAGGAAGGTCTTGGTGGTATGTTCGCTGTGTCTTTGTAAAAGCCAGCTGAGGCGGTACGCAATGAAGCAATACATGTGAATTATACAATCGCCAGATTTCATGGCATTTCTATCTTTCGATACTGACATGGTCTGACGATGTGTGACATTTGTGTCGTCGCGATCGACAGGGAACATCACCTCCGCTGGGTTGATACAGTGTGTTTCGGGACGCTCCCGATCTCCGTGGCACCGTTAGACCGCGGAAGGTACTCCGTACCCTAGACAGCAACATAATTGTAGGACTAGTGTGACTTTGGTGTTTGAATGCTCACGAGGCCGAAAGGTGGGAATGCCGATCTCCTTCTGCAAGGGCGCTTTTGTGGACTGTTTCCTCCCTTGATTCCCGGCCTGGACCCGGTCCTGATCTCAATACTCGCATGAGCGACGTTGCCAACGAGGCTAGCAATTCGATATTGGCAGATGTGCTCAAGGACCAGCCTGCTGAGAGAGAGGGAGGGTCACACTGCTGCTGCAGCCGGAGAAGGAATCTCCCTGGAACACTACGTGGGCATTTCTCTTGCGGTTCCATGCTTGTGCCACGCACACATTCTCCGGCAGACGGCGCCGCCTTGCTTCCAGGGGGTAACAGACTAGGTAGAAGCCCCCCGGTGCCAGGTGGGTGCACTGTGCCATGCCTGATCGAGTGCTTAATCCTCATGGCCTGGTCCTGTCAATAAGCATGGTAAGAAAACCTGCAGTTACACCTGAGAATGTGTCACTCGGGCTGGCTTGGGCTACTGCTAAACGACAGTTTAAACTCCTGGTCTCAGCCCGACTGCTCTAATACTATTGTTCCTCATTTGTGATTCTGGCACGATAGACGATGCCATGGCCAGCCCTTCTCCACCCTCTTACGATTATCGACATACTTTCCAGCCATGGGATGTAGTCACTCAGACCGTATGTCTTACTGTGAGCACCAGCTTTGTCGCCATGCGTCTGTATTCAAAGCTCCATATCACAAAGGCGCCTGGATGGGATGACTGTACGTGACATTCAATCACAGTTTATCTTTGATGATGAGTGACTGGGCGATTTACTGAGCTTGATGTTCGCCAGGGACTTGCTGTATGGCCTGGGTATGGAGTTCGAGTCATTTGCTCTCGCTCGACGTTCCACACACTCATAAAACTCTCACTAGCTCGGACTGATAGGATATGTCGTTCTTGCTTTCGAGGCAGACAGACACGGACGTGGCGTCCATCAATGGGAGATAGACGCTTCGGATCTGCGCGAATTTTCCAAAGTATGAGGGTGTTAGGTTTTCTGATTCGCACCTGCAACAGCTGCTGACAATCGTATAGTTGGCAAACGCGTCCCAAATTCTCTACGGGCCTTTGATCTTCTTGACGAAATTGTCCATCTTCCTGCTATACGTGCGGGTATTCGCGCCATCGGCCAAGTGCAACCCATTCTGGTTCATACAGGTCCTTATCGGGCTGAACTTCCTGTTCTATCTGGCAGACACCATCGTGAAGATATGCGAATGCACCCCGCGGGCGAGAATCTGGGATAAAACCGTCCCGGGCAATTGTATCGACCTCAACGTACCGATCCTTGTGACGTCCATTGTGAATGTGGTTTCCGACCTTATGATGCTTTTGATGCCCATCAGGTGTGTATGGCGTCTACAGATTGCCGTGCGAAAGAAAATAGGAATTTCCGCGATATTTGCTGCAGGCATCTTGTGAGTTACATCGCGCGGATGCTCGTTCCTTGAGTGATAGCGCTAATTGCGTCGGGGGATAGTGGCTGCATCGCCAGTATAATGCGTCTTGTAGTTAGCATCGGGCAGCGAGACACGCCCGATAAGACGTACGACTGGTTTCCGGGGTTTCTATGGACGTAATGGCTCCTCGTGTCTTATAGGAACTGACTCTGACGTTCACATAGCTAACTTCGTGCAGAAGTGCGGAAATCACCTCGGGAATCGTCGCCAGTAGTCTGCCGGCCTTACCAAGCTTCTACAGACACACTTCTGAAAAGGTGAAGGTTCTGCTGACGGGTATAAAAACGGGAAGCTTTGCGACTTCTACGAAGAAATCAGTCAGCACGAGCAATGGATCTGGGGCTGGACAGTCCACTTCGCGCCCTGTCTGGCGCGCTGCTCAGTATCCTAGCAGGACCGATTTGGTGTCTGGGTCGGAATGGGAAATGGGCGAGGTCGGGCCGTTTCATGGGACGTGCTATACGACTACAGAAGCTACGGCGGAGATAGATGGGGAGAGAGGGTTCCACTTGAATGTCGATGGTCTCCGGGTCGGGGAGGGATGTGGACCGAGGGATGGGATTCTGAAGATCGTGGAGGTAGATATTGAGTCGGGTCCGGGGTGAGGACAAAAGCGATAAGGGCAGATGAAATATAATCTTCATGGATTAATGGTGATGATGAAATGAGCAAAAGAACAAAATTATTTACTTGACTCCGCAACTATCCCCATAAACTTAGGGTCGAGACTCCATACCCGGTTATCAGACACCTCAGGCAGCCGGGCCGCGGCGGATGACAAAGCGGGTGGGCAACCCTAAGCCCTAGGCTCGCTACGCACGCCCGCAACGGCCAACCAAAACCCGGCAAACACTATCGCGATTCCATCCGCACCGACGCCCATCGACTCGACAACTCCCAGCAGCAACCTCCGTCGTCGCCAACCGCAGTCGTCCCAACCGTCGAGATGGCGCAAGAACGTTCCGGAATCGTGGTCGGTCTGAACAAGGGCCACGTACGTTGTCCCCTGTCCTGAGCTTGGTTTTTCCCTTCCGCGTGGAGATTTGGTCCGGTCGAGTCGAACGAAATTTCAGATGTTTGAATGGATGGCGGAATGATACAGATATGGAAAAGCGAAAGCCGGGGAGGATGAATATATGCCGGGAGAAGTTTCTGCGCAGGATGTTTTATTCTACAACCGCCCAACATCTTTTTCGACCTTGAAATTTGAGCTTGAAATTGAAATCGTCCGACTCGGCTGGATCAAATCGGGACATGCCATTTTTTTTTATATTGCCATTTTTGATATAACGAAAATCGCGCAATGAAGGAAAACCACGGACGACCGGACTAACATGGCTTTGAATCTTTGCAGAAAACCACCCCCCTCAACACCCCCAAGACCCGGATCAGCCGTACCAAGGGCCAGTCTTCCCGCCGCACGGCTTTCGTTCGTGAGATCGCCCGCGAGGTTGTCGGTCTTGCCCCCTATGAGCGTCGTATCATCGAACTCCTGAGAAACGCTCAGGACAAGCGCGCTCGTAAGCTCGCCAAGAAGAGAGTACGTTGGTCCTTATGGAGGAGGGGATGGTTGGAGGTTCGATTGCTCGATTGCTCGATTGCTCGCTCGTTTGGTTCTATCTGCAATATTTGTCTATCGCGCTATCATATTCGACATGTCCGCCACCAAACTCGACTATCTTTCCACTCCGCATTGAACCAACATGCACATCAGACGAACAACACATTCTACCCGCAACCAACCACCAAGCACTACTCCACACCAACCAAACAAACCAGCAAGCCCATCCCATATAACCCCCGACCTAGCCATGAACCACCGAGCCATCGACCGAGCAATCCGAACCCCACCCCCACCTCCCAAACCCCCCAAATCTAAACCGAACCATCCCCGCTAACACTATCTCTCTCCAGCTCGGAACTTTCGGCCGTGGTAAGGCCAAGGTTGAGGACATGCAGCGTGTCATCGCCGAGGCCCGCCGCACTGGCGCTCACTAAACTTTCCATTTCTACCCGATCCATCCTCCTGTTTCCAGTTTTCTCTACTCCTATTAGCCAAGAATGAGATAACGAAAACATCATCCACCCATCCATCAAAAATGAAATGAAAGTGAAAGTGAATGTCAGATGAATACCTCCTCTTCCTCTTTTTTTTTTTTTTTTTTGGTTTGAGTTGTAGATCGTGTACGTGTGTGCGCGTACTTGGTGGGATGTGCATGCATGCATGCATGCTGGACTGGCCTGGTTGGTTGGGCGTGCTGACTGCGGGAGTGTGTGGTTGTGTGTGGACGGAGTAAAAAATAAAAGATTATATGAAATCTAATACAAGACTGCTTCTGGGAATTTTTTTTTTGGTTTCGGGGTGAGATTTACGTGGTATGTACGGTGTAACTTGATTGCGGGGTTGTATGTCATGCGTAGACACAGGAGTACTCATGTAGATGGATTCATATCAATCGTGTAGGTACATGGCCTATCTATCTTAGATTATTTCTTGCCGGGCAGTTTCAACCATTTAGGCATTCCGCCCGGTTTCCGCTTCTCTCCGCGGGCCCCGTCCCCAGTGCTGGTCGGCTTCGGTATGCTCACGTCCTCGCTCGTGTCCATCACATCCGGGGGCTGTTCGACTTTGAGTTCCTGGGCGCGCGTCTGCAGGGCAGGTTTCAATAGCTCGCGGCTCTGGCGGGCAGTCGGTGATGCAGTCGGATCCCAGGTGAAGTTGACCAGCACACGGCCGATCATGGCTAGATCCTTGATTAAGAGATGTTGGTCGGAGTCGGGGACGATGTTTTGGATGTTCCTCCCGGGTCCGCTCGTCCCTGCGGCTCCGGAGAGGGAGGATGTGATGATGAATTTCTCGTTGGCAAACGGCGCCGCAAGACAGTTTCGGACGAAGTCGTAGAGCGATTTACCCGTGTCTTCTTGTCCGAACTTTGCCACCACTTGGCTCTGGTCTGGTAGACGGACCTTCACATCCACTTCCTTGACCGCGGCGAGTCGTTCCTCCTCTGCGGCGGCTTTGGCGGCGATTTCGGCGTCCGTGGGAAGCCGTTGAGGGCGGGAGGTTGCGTTCAGCCGTCGCTGATGCGCTTTCGCGTGTTCGATGGATGGGACATAGTCGGTTTCGTTGTATGTGGTTTGTGCGGACTGAGGGGTGGCATTGGACGGAGGAGAGAACACCGTTACGGGTCGAGAGAAACCGGCTGGTACCTCCGTAGGTTCGGCGGCGGGTGCAGTAGGAACGGCTGGAGTGGCTTGTTCCGAAGTCCAAGGGGACTCATCCGTGGAGGCTGGCTGTTGTTGTGACTCTTCTGCTTCATTGGACGACTCAGCCTGGGATGGTTGCTCGGTAGGTGCGGGCGATGCTTCGGTCTTGGGGGTCGCGTCGTCGAAGGGTTTGAAGTAGTCTTGGATCTTGACCATCGCCTCCTCCAAGGGTTCCTCCGTGCGCCGGAAACTCAACCTCAGCAGTACATTTCCGCTGTTGAATCCCAGCTGCGCCAAAGATTTCTGTAGATCTGTGAACGAGGAGAGCTCCCGCTCCATAATCTGAACTACCGGGGTCTCATAGTACAGTCTTCCTGCTCCCTCATTGCCACTGGGGACACCACGTCCCGTCAGATTCCGAGTCGAGGCACCTCCCGCAACTCCAGCCTCGAATTTGCGCAGGATCAGCCATATCGTTGTCGTACTGGGGAATTTATCCAAAAGACGTCTGGAGGAGGGTGCTCCTCGTGCTTCCGATTCGGGCAGTTGTAAAGCGACGGTGACGACGGAGGGCGATCGGGAGAGTTGAACCAACTCCAGCTTTGCGCCGGGTGTGAGTCCCGAGAGGCGAAACACCAGTGAGAGATCGAGTTCTTTACCTTTGTATCTTGACAACAGTCGTCAGTCTGGGGAGTTTCGACCTGCTAGCATAGTTGGGCTTACTTTAGTCCATGCTGACTGGCCTCGACACCTAGCTTCTTGCAGGCTTCCTGTAATATATCGGTCAAATGCTTTCCAGGAGTAGTCTTGACCGTAGCTCTCCGAGCTGTTGAGTCCAGGACCACGACATGAGAGCTCATGGTTTGAGAGATTGGTGGGTTGCGGGGCGGGGAACTGAGGTTGACGATGGGACAAAAGCAGCGACGGTCGCGTCCCTTCTTTCGATAGTAGGGCTTAGCTGTCTAATAGGCGTGTCCAAATGTCTGGCTGCAACCAAAAAAGTCTAGACAAATAGAGTGTTCCAGGGATGAAGGAAGATGCTTGGTCAGGTCGGATGGATTAGTGATTGTAGGCAGCGGGCGCAAGCGTCATCGGCAGAAGCTCGGCGGCTCCACGCGTTGCTGGCAGAGCTTCAATCACTCCTCCATCCATCACTCCTCCGCCCATCTTCCATCTCCCATCGCCTCACAACCCCCTCTCCCTACTCACATCTCCCGTTATACCTCTAAACCGAACCGGAGATTCATATTCTATCTTGTCCCAAGCTTCTAGTTTTGCAATTCTTTGGCAACCATGGTATGTGTGCTGCGTGACCCTCACCTCTCCCTCGAACCAACCTAGCTGACAGACCTCCCCCACAGAGTTCTCCTTTCGATATCAGTACGTATCAGCTGCTAATAGCCTCCCGCCTCGCTTATTAACTCTCAGCTGTACAGATGGTGGCGCCTGCGTTGCCATGGTGGGCAAGGACTGCGTCGCAATCGCCTGTGATCTCCGGTTGGGTATGCAGGCCCTGACCGTCTCCAACAACTTCCCTAAGATCTTCAACTACGGCCCCTCGACTTTTCTCGGTCTGACCGGTTTGGCCACCGACGTGTCGACCGTGTCCGACCTCTTCCGGTACAAGGTGAACATGTACCGCCTCCGCGAGGAACGGAACATTGCCCCCCAGACCCTCGCCAACCTGGTCAGTTCATCGTTATACGAGAGACGGTTCGGTCCCTTCTTTGTCAGTCCTGTCATTGCCGGAATCAACAGCACGACGGGGAAGCCTTTCATCTGCGGATTTGACAGTATCGGTTGTATCGATTTTGCGAAGGACTTTATTGTGAGCGGAACTGCCAGCGAACAATTGTTTGGTACCTGTGAGGGTCTGTGGGAGCCGGACTTGGTGAGTTCCGATAGAAAAACGTCCAGTTGGTGTAATCCGATTGTGCTAATCCTTGATGTAGTCTCCGGAGGATCTGTTCGAGACTATCTCGCAAGCCCTGCTCAGTGCCGTCGACCGAGACGCCCTCTCCGGTTGGGGTGCGCAGGTGTATATCATAGAGAAAGACAAGGTTACCAAGCGTCTACTGAAGGGAAGGCAAGATTAGAGGGCATTCTCTGGAGTATTTTTGTTTTCTAATGTCACGCCGTTCGTCTGTTCTAATTTACGTTTCACAACCTTGGAATTTGCTGTCGAAAGCAGTCTCCGGGATCTCGACTCGAGGATATGTGCGGTCGATAGAGATGGGGCCAGACGAAAATGAGTATGGACTATGACCGAACCCTGACTACCATGCTTGGGGTCTAGACCTGCTGCCTAATGTATAAGCCTAGTCGGAGTACGGGTTCTTGTGCTCGTGTACCTCTCATTACCTTCAACGCCTAGCCTTGTTTGGATGATCAACGGGCTTAATAATACGAGGTGGCTGCCACAGGAAGGATGTCGTCTTCATGCGTCGTTCTCCGCCGCTCCTCAAGGCATCGACATACCGGCGGCAGTGAGTCGAGCGCCCTCGCGTGCTGCGACGCACACTCATGACCCGATGCCTTGATTTTGTGCTTCGAGGTCCGTCGATTCCACGCCCCGGCAAGGGCCGCATGACGGGGGTGGCTGCTGTACGGCTTTAAGATTCTATGCCGTGGGTTACCGGGCCCGTGGATTCGTAACCATTCCTGTCCAATGGGGACCTTGTACGTAGTATGTCTGGATGGCACAGTTGCAGATGGCATCTGCCACTTTCGGTCGAGACCTCGCCATCCGTGCATACCCACCATCTTGGCCGGTAGAGATAATTGCAGGAGGACAAGATGATGCAGAAGTCGTAGGAGATGATCGGCTACGCTGGAAGGGAGTCCGGGTCGGGAGGTCTCCGGGCGAGGGGGGAGAGCCAGTGAGAAGGCGGGTGGACGGTCGTCCTTCAGGATACCCATGGATCCGCCCGAATGGCGGCTGGTGACTCGTTCCTGGGATCTGGGTATGATACTAAATTACTAAATAACCCCGTGTGCAACCAGCGAATACTGAAACTGGGCATTGAGTCCCGGGGGGGCCGTCGTGCAGTAGTGCAGGGTTAGTAGGCAGGCATGCAGCGATGGCCACGGGGTCTAAGCCGATTCTCACCTCCACGGCCGATCGCAACCTTGAATCCTTCCCTCCCTTTCGCGTCGTCCCCTTGGTGATTCCCTGCTGTGATCGAGAGGAGAGCGAGCGCGAGCCTTGTTTTGGGGGCCGTCGCCAACAAGTTGCCTGAGAAGTTTGCCAGACTTGCCAGACTTGCCAGCAACTCGCTCCGTTTCAGCCTCCCCGCGTCTAGACCTGGCGATCGGCCCAAACTGGCCCCATCGATTTCTCAGGCTCGCTTCTTCCCCTCCTCATCGTCCCATTCCTGTCCGCTCCATCCCATCCGGCCTTTTCTTCGCTCTCGCTTCCCTTCACTCTCTGCTCCCCATACCGCCTCGATCTCCCTCCCGATCTCCCATCCACCCTGATCCGCCTCTCCCACTGGCCCATGCTACCGGCCCTGCTGCCACCCTGTTCCCTTCCTCCCATCCTGTCAACACCCGCCCGTCTTGCCGGTGGTCTGTGCCATTAATCTCTGCCCCAGAATTTGCCAGCCAGTCATCCAGGACGAGCAAACCGACGACTGCGAGCGAATCCCCAACGACCGACTGAATCCTGGGGGCTTTCAGGAACGGGACACGAAAAAAACCGAAATTATACCTTAATCCGAAGCATCCAGCGAATCACCTACAGAGTCTTCCAGGCGGAGCCAAACAGCGAAAAAAGGGAGAAATCCCCGAGGACCAGGACGCCGGTCTCTTCTCTACCACCATTCTCTCTGAAATCGCCCAATTATTATCTTGAACCTGTCGGCGGTGACTCGTGCAAAGACGGTGCCTGCTCTTTGCAGAGCATCCCCCGCGGTGCAGCTCAACGTGGGCTCATCTTCCCACCGACCCCAAAGTGATGTATGTATTGAAGAGCCAGAGCCATTTAGGACGGGCATTGTGCTTGGTAGCCTCCTTCTATCCCTACTGCTCACGGTAGTGCTTGGATCGATCATAGCTAACGGGCGCCCGATGACTGATGCTGCAGACCGAAAGCCATGCGCTGTGTCCCTTCCAAAAATCTGGGTCTTGATTCATTGATCTTTTACCAATCCCCCTCGGTAACCTGGCGACCTCCTATATCATCAGCCAGTATTATATCTTCCCCTTAGATTTGATCTTCAACAGCAAATCAAGGATACAGAAGGGCAGTGATCGTCCGGCACATCATGCCCGATTCAGCGGATTCAGAATGGTCTAAATCCTTCGCATCCGGCCCAACCATGTCGTTACTTCCGTGCAAATCCCAGTGCCTCCCGGGTGACGCAGCTGCGTCCACCCTGCTCGACGACGATTCGCAGGTCGACTCGTCCGGTCGCAGATATATCGGCGCGCCCCAGAACATTGCAATCGACCGGCTAGTGAAATTAAAACAGGAGCTTCGAACCCTAGGATCGGAAAAGTTTTGGCACCAGTTGATGGACCAGATCAGCTCGATTTGTGACGCTCAGTATGTGTTTGTTGCTCGCAAGGCTCGGGACGACGAGTCTGTCAATGAAATCGGAGGCCACAAGCCCTATCTATTCGGCACGGCCTTCTATTACAATGATGGGTACGAAACCGCGGGCATGCACCGACACCGATATTTTGCCGGGGGTAATCCCCTGTCCCATATGGATCACGAGAAGCCGTGTCTAATCCCCGAAAAATTGGGCTCCTTCATATCGTTCGATCACGATCAGCTGCCGTTTGCCGCCGAGGGCTATCTGGCCGTCCCATTGTTCTCGGAAACCAAATGTCTTGCGTATCTTGGGCTGATGTGGTCGGAGTCTGGCTTGAAGAAGCGGAGTCTGGCATGGTCATTTCTCGAGATGATCCTGTATTCATTGGAAGATCTAGTCGTGCAGCGTATCCGTGACGATCTAGAGTGTGCAAAGCCACAGTCGTCCAACAGCAAGTCTCGAAATGTCTCCACGAGCCACACGATCGTCGATGATGCGCACATCAGCATTCCTCATGGACTAGCCGACTTTGCCTCTCACCCTTTGAAGCCATATGCCCGGAGCTTGTCGCACGAGCTCCGGACGCCCATGCAAGGTGTCGTCGGGATGCTGGACGTCATGCATGCTACCGTTCGTGAAGCTATCCAAGACAAACCATCTCCAAAGGCGGGGTACGTTTTTCGGACCCTCAAAGAGAGTATCGAAATGGTTCAAGGTTCGTATCCCTCCTCCACCCCTGTAGCTGCCTTAGATGCTAATCTGTCAATTCCATCCTTACAGACAGTGCAAGACGTGCAGTCGAAGCGGCGGATAACGTGGTCCATGCGTACGATCTGAACATGCAGGTCCCCAAGACGCCACAGCTCGAGCGAGACGATTGCTTTGGTGGCCCAGTCCAGTCCCCATTGAATGGTTGCGACAGCCGACCGAGCGTCTTTGTTGAAGGGAGCAGCATCGCGGTCAACCCCTACAAACGGCGACGAAGCAATCCTCCAGAGTGGAATATTGGCACCACGCCGAAGCAGAAGGTCCCACGCGTCGTTTCGCCCAAGGGCCTGTCCCCACGTAGTGAGGAAGTCAAGAACGCGGTTCATGAGAGCGAGAAATTGATGAAGGCCACGCCGGTTCATCAAATAGAAGCAGTAATGGCCAACATGGTGAACCCCCGTCCATCCCTGGCGGTGCGGCGCTCGGCACCGCATCTTCTGTTGGAAGGCATCAACGTCAACGTCGTGCCTGCGCTGAGGTTCACCAAGCTTCGCGATCTGCTCCGTCTTGTGATCAACGAATCCTTGCACGTTGGCGGTCGACCCGACTTCGCCGTGAGCAACGCGACCGAGACGGGGGAGAAAATTGAGATCCGGTCCCGGTCGTCCAACGGCGAGGTGTTCTCGAAGACCATCAATTGGTCGGTGGATCCCGCGCTACCGGACACACTATTTGTGGATGACAGAGACCTGGCCAAGTTGATCTCGTGCGTTTTCCTCAATGCGGTCAAGTTCACCAATAGCGGTGTGATTACCGTGTGTGCCACCGTTGGCCGCAAATCCAACGATGTCTTGATCGCTGTCAAAGACACCGGCCCGGGCATTCCGGAGGCTTTCTTGCCCAAACTTTTCAAACCGTTTGCCCGGGAAGACACGTCCACCACGCGGAGCAAAGATGGGCTCGGTCTGGGCCTCCTTGTAGCCAAGGGCCTGGCGCGGAAGATGGGCGGCGACCTCACCTGCGTTCGCTCCTGCACCACCGGCCCCGATCATGGCTCCGAGTTCGAGATCAGGATCCCGGCCAACCAGCCCGAGCCTACGGGGCCACTGGCGCCTCCCAACAAACTGCTGACCCCACCCCAGCTCTGTGATCCTTCGCGGATGAGCAGTGCGAGCAACTCCACGGTAGCTTCCTCGTTATTGTCGCCCGCACTTCGCACTCCCAGCCGCCCGATTCAGCAGCCGTCGCCCAGCCTGACCGATGAGTCGTCAGCGAGCTTGACCCCGGCACGCTCCGTCCCCAACTGCAAGTCCATGCCGCGTCACATCAACGGTGACACGCATGACAGTAAGCTCGGGGAGAAGCATCCGCTTACCTTCCTCGTGGCCGAAGACAACAAGATCAACCGGCGGGTGTTGGTGCACATGCTGAAGCGACTGGGCTATAAGGATGTCTACGAAGCCTGCAATGGAAAGGAGGCGGTCCGCATCATGCAAGACGTGTTGGTCTCCCAGCGGTCTGCGGAGGACTCCCCCAAGTGCGAGAGCACGGCCGATGGCTTTCCGATCCCCACTCTCCCGAATCACCGCAAGAAGATGAAGCCGGTGGATGTTGTCTTGATGGACCTCTGGATGCCAGAAATGGACGGATACGAGGCCACCTCCAAGATCCTCCAGCTGATGGATGAATCCTCCGGTCATCTACCTTCCACGGCGACGCCTGCAGCCCGTCCGCTCGTGGCACCGACGGTGCTGGCCGTCAGCGCCGACGTGACCGACGAAGCGCTCAGCCGGGCTTCGAAAGTGGGGATGAAGGGCTACATGACCAAGCCGTACAAGCTCTCGGATCTCGAGCGATTGATCCTTGGGTTTTGCAGTGACACCCCGACCCCTCGACACCCCGACGACTCGACGATGAATACATGACATAGAATCTCCGGTCTTTTACGTTCTTGATTCCCAGCCTCGCTTTATACCTCTTTGTCTTTCTTCTGTTGTCTGCCTTGAATCTGCTTTGGTCCGGCGCTGCTCTGCGCGAGCAGTGTGCCGTCCTGTTAGAATAATTTATAGTGCTGATGTATTTACGAGCGATCCCCGCATCCTTAATGATCGATTATGACAGGGGCCAGATGGAAACACCTACGTTTCATCCACTTGAGAGAATGCAATGATTTGGATGGTATACTTGTATCCTGCTAGATGGGCATGCCCTATCACGTTACGATGTATCCCCCCTCTTCTCCCCCTCATCAATCCCATACTCCGTCTCCAACTCCTTCCTCAACTCCAGTCCCTTTGCCATCCACACCGCCCCCAACCTCAAACAACTGATTCCCAAACCCACCCACCACACTATCCTCAACCCCTTAACATACACCCCCACCACCACCTTCCACTCATCCTCCCCCATCACCCCCTTCATCCCATGCATCTGACTCGCAAACGCATACGCCCCTCCGCGCTCTAACTCGCCCCTAACCCGCGCATCCCGCACCCCCGCAAGCTCCCCTCCCACCACTGCATCAAACACCACCGACGCAACCGTCACACCCCAGATATACCCGAACGTGCGAACAAAACTATACGCCGCCGTCGCGGCCGCGACATCCCTTTCCGGCAACGCGGCCATAATCGCCGGCAGAAGGACGGAGAGAATCATCCCTGCGCCGACGGCCGCAATGAGTTGATAGAAAACCCATTCAACGGTGGTCGAGGACTCGTCGAGAAGGGTTAATAGGCCGAATGAGACTGCGGAGAAGGCGAACGCAATGGCGTGAAGGGGTCGGTAGGCGCCAAAGACGCTAAGGAGGGTGCCTGCCAGGACGGCGAAGAAGAGGGTTCCGATGGCGAAGGGGAGGAAGGAGATGCCGGAGCGGGGGACGGTAGTGGCGTGGACGGCTTGGAAGTAGATGGGGAGGAAGTAGGAGAGGGCTTGGACGAGGATGGAGGAGAGGAAGGTGAGGAGGTAGGCGGTTGCGGAGGTGCGGGTGGTGAAGAGATGAGGTGGGATGCTGGGGGTGGAGGTGAGGGTTTGTTGGATGTGGAAGATGATCCAGCCCATGATGCCGAGGATGAGGGGAGTGATGATATGCCAGGAGGACCATGGGTGGTCGACCCCGCCCTGGATGAGACCTAGCAGGAGGGAGATCATGCTGGGGATGAAGATGAGGGTGCCGAGGTAGTCGAGGCGACTGGGTGGGGAGGGAAGGGGGCTGGTGTGGTTAGGGTGGGCACCAGATTTCACGCGCATGAAGAGTAGGATGGCCACCAGGGCGACGGCGCAGATGGGGATGTTCAGGTAGAAGATCCAGCGCCAGTTGGCTTCGGCGAGGGCACCGACGACGACGGGGCCCAGGGCTGCGGCCAGGCCGGACCAGGAGAACATGAGGCCTAGGTATTTGCCGCGCTCGCGAAGCGGCACCAGGTCGGCGCAGACAATGTCGAGCAGGACATACATGCCTCCGGCGCCGACTCCTTGGATGGTACGGCCGGCTATCAGCATGGCTTCATCTGCGACAACGTCCATTGCTACGACATCATCCTGGCGGATGGCACCCTCGTCACTGCCAGCGCCACCTCCCATCCAGACCTATGGTGAGTATTGGGTATGCGGCTGCGTTTGGGGGCGTGATGTGTCAGAATCAGGTGTATTACACGGGGGCGGACTAGGGGGAAGGGGGGTAGGGGAGTGCTGGAGAGGTTCACGGAGATTACACCCCGGTTGGAGGAGTTGAGGGAGGTGAGTCGGAGGTATGATCCCCAGGGTGTGTTTCAGAGGTTGGTGCCGGGGGGGTTTAAATTGGGGTTCTAGGTGGTTGGATCGTTGCATGGTGGTGAGAAGGAGTAGTGTTGTCGGACTGCTGGGTGTCTGTAGATATTGAAATGAGATGCTAGCAGGGCATAGAATGAGTATGAGCATACCCGTAGTACAATCCAGACAGCTCATGACCTGCCAGCCAGACATACCCAGCCGGACATAATCAGCCCTCATATGCCACCAACTCACCATCTCTACACCACCCAGAACCACTGCCATACCCTACCTACAGCCCCAAGCCAATCTACCTACACTTCCTTCCCCCAGGTAGAGATTATCGCTAAACCATCAATAAGGTAGTTTATCTGCTCGAAAACAAACCCATAAGATACAACAAATCAGGCCAGGTACCTGCCCGCACCCACCACCCCATTCTTTTCCTCACCATAACCACCCCCTCATCAATCAGAGGTAGGCAATTATGTCAACTTCTGCTTGATAAAAAACGACCGCAGATGCGACAGTTGCCAAGCACACGTCACCGACAACACAGCCAACTGGATCAACGTCCACCGCACCACACGTCCATTAGTAGCCTCAGACTGGTCACGGAATTCGGCTTCGCGCTCCTATTATCCCATTCATTAGTCCATGTCTTTCCTTCCCTGCATCTCCCCGACACTACCACACCCAGCAGCATATGAATACACTGGTATAAAAAAAAAGAATACTAACCCGCTGAAACACCTGCTCCCTACGAATATCCTGCAATCTCCCATTCAAATCCTTAACCTTCTGCACAATATCCTGCATCTTATCCTTATCCTCGGTCTCAATCTTGCTCGTCTCCCCGATCGCCATATCCAGGGTAACTTGGACCGCACCGTTAGGGGCACCGCCCAGCCAGCCGCTACCCACGGCGGCGTTCGTCTCGGGGGTGACGCAGATCTTGTGCAGACCGGCGTCGGCAGCGGAGAAGGTAAACCGGCCGGTGTCACTGTCGCGCTTGGAGACGACGCGGTGGTCGTTGTCGAAGATCTCGTCTACCGTTACGAGCATCTTGAGGTTCGGGTCTACCGTGTAGGTGTTGGTTTGTTGGTTGATTACGGCGGTGGAGTAGGTTCCTGTTTACCAGCCTGTTAGATAAGATGTATGGGGGGATATGGAGGGAGGGGTTATAGAGAAAGGATGGACATACCAACGACCAACGTATCCTTAGGGAGCTCCTCAAAGAAGCACTTGGTCTGGCGTCCGTCCATGTAGAAGTAGAGAGCATTGGCGGGCACCGTCAAACACAGGATGGCACACACAGCCAAGGCGGAGGACAGCCATGAGGCGGAGGATCGAGACGGCGCCATGGTGTGGTTCCGGGGGGTGGAATTGAGGTGGAGAGGAGAAACAAGAGAAGAGGAGGGTGAATTGGTGGTGATGTTAACAGTTGGCGATGAATTGCTCCAATCCAATCTGGCCGATCCCGTCTTGGCGCGAATTCTCACGTCGCCGGGTCTCGCCGCCTTCATTTCCCTCTTCTCTTCTTCTTGGTCATCAATGAAGGCTGCGTCGGTGGGCTTTTATTAAATTAAAGCATCCGACATATCTTTTTACTCTTCTAAGCACACTTGAATCTCCAGCAGGCACGCCATCATGGCCGCCGCCGATGTTCGCGACATGCTGGATCTGCCCGCGGAGGGCCAACCCCGACCTCACAAGAAACAAAAGGTCGTCGAGAAGCGTCCTGGTGAGCTGCCCCGATCCTCTTCTTCTGTGTGAAGCTGTGACTTGATCTGACTGTCTCAGAGGGCATCACCCGTGAGCTCTTCGCCCTGCTCGGCGAGCGAGCCCCTCCGATCGCCATCAACGAGAACCGATACAAGGGCCGTCCGAAATGGATGAGCAAACTGCGCGTCCGCCCATGGTACGTACGACCCCGATCCTCTCTCTCGTCGCATTGAACTAACCCATCAGGCGCATGACCCCCTTCGTGAATGGTGCCCGCTCCGACGGCCTCGTTCTCCGCCACTGGCAGCGCCAGCATGAACCCGCCAAGGTCCCCGCACTGGAGGGATCGGAGATGGAAATCGAGAAGAAAGAAGAAACAGCCGATACAGCATCCGCCGAGACACCGCAGCAGGACTCGATGTTCTCCAAATACAACGTCAAAGCCCGCGTCCCTAACCGCTACACCGACGAGGAATACAATCGCCATCTCAAGAGCGACGACTGGACGCGCCAGGAGACCGACTACCTGATGGACCTGGTCGAGGAATACGACCTCCGCTGGGTCATCATCGCCGACCGCTACGACTACCAACCACACCCGGTCGACACCGAAACCAACGCCAACGCCCTCGTCCCCGCCAAGCGGTACCGAACAATGGAGCAAATGAAAGCCCGATACTACTTCATCGCAGCCAGCATGCTCGCCCTCGAGCACCCCCCGTCCGAGATGTCGGAAGCCGAATTCGAACTACACGAGAAGATGCTCAAGTTCGACGCCGACCGCGAACGATCCCGCAAGGAGCTCGCCGCTCTGCAACTAAACCGCACCGCCGACGAAGTCCGCGAAGAGAGCATCCTCCTCGAGGAACTCAAACGCATCACCGCCAACGAACAAGACTTCATCACTGAGCGCCGCGAACTCTACTCCCGTCTCGAAGTTCCCATCAGCGTTGGCAACACCACCATGTACCAATCCAGTCAAGGCCTCTCTCAACTCCTCCAGACCCTCCTCCAAGCCGACAAGAGCAAGAAACGCCGTTCCATCCTGGGTCCCGAAGCCGGCGCCGCCCCCAGCCCAGCCAGCCAAACCCCGGCGCCCAACGCCCCCAGCAGCACCCGCGACAGTCGCGCGGACACCCCTAACGCCGCACCAGCAGCCCCAACCAACAAGAAAGCCGCGGCAGCCGCAGCCGCAGCCGCAGCGAACAAAGAAGCCCAACAATCCATCCGAACCCTCACGCCCGCCGAAGAAGCCAAATACGGCGTGCAGCACCACGACCGTCTCGCTCCAGGCGTACAATTCCGCAGCGACCGCGCTCAGAAACTCACGCAAGCAAAATCCAACGTCCAGACACAGAAGCTCGCTGCCGCGCTGGCAGAACTGGAGGTTCCGCTGCGGCTGGTCATGCCTACGGAACGAGTCTGCAAGGAGTTCGAGAAGTTGATCCACTCGGTGAATTTACTGCTCGAGGCGCGCAAGGTAGCTGAGAAGGTGGAGAGCGAGATCCGCGTGTTGGAGGCGGCCAAGGAGGAACGGGAGCGCAAGGTCAAGGAGGCGCAGGAGAAGGATAAACCGGAGGTAAAGTCAGAGCAAGAGGATCAGCCACTTCCCGCGGTGGAGGCTACGGATGGTGTGGAGAATATTGATGATGCGGCGGAAGGGGGTGAATCCGGGGAGAAGACGGGGGAGGTCGAGAGGACGTCGCATAAACGCTCGGCGAGTGTGCTGAGCAATACCAGCGATAAAAGTACCAAGCGACAGCGCAAGTGAGTCAGGCATCTATGGGCGTTGGAGGGCGTTTTGTGTTTCAATATACCTATGTACGACTACATGAACTTGGTCTGGATAAACGGGCAGCTAATGTAATTCTGCTGATGCAATACATCGATATTGGTCGTTCCAATTTTTCTGGGTACATTGATGGCGGGGTGTTTCCCTTAACGGTTACTGGTGTAGTTGAGGATATTGATTGGTTAGAAGAGCGCAATGTTGCATGTAGTACATCGGACTAAGCGCTGCAGAGGACCTTGTGCGCTCTCGCATCAATATATAGATGCCCAACCTACCCGAGCATTTCCTGGCAGTCTTGGTAAGTGCTCTTCCAATCGTCGGTGATGGCTTCCGATCCAGTCTTGTCCGAAGAATGGTGCCGATCCCTTTCGACTATCTGAGCGCCGGTGTCGATCATCTGTTCGTCGTCAACATGCTCGTCCTGGCATTCTCCGGAGTCGGCATCTCCATGCGACTGCTCGATGGGGACAATAGGGACAATAGGGACATCGTCATCGGCGCTCTTGGCCTTATTCTTACGGTCGAGGACCTTGAACTTCAGCATCCGACCCTCCTTTCTCCGTGCCACAGGATATCGCCCGGCCGGCGTTGTCAACCTTGAAGTCGCTTTTGCCTCGAGCCCACGCGTGATTGCCGACACGCTGCGACCCTTGGTCAAGAGACTCCCCGTACGCCGTAACGTTGCCCATCTCCCTACAGACCGTCCTTCCGTACTCTTGGTGGAGACCGATGAGCTTTTCTGCGGGCTCGATTGGCCGCTCACCGGCTGGTTTGGGTCAACCCAGGAGCAAAAATCCCAAGGATTTTTGGCGTCGCCATCTGCCCCCGCATCACCTTGATCTTTCTTTCGTTTGAGCTTCTCCAATAGCGAGAACTTCATTGGATCACTCCCGGCTTCGCTAAAAGCGCTAGACAAGCTGCGAAGACGCATGCGGCTCATGATGCTTGATATATCAAAACCGGGATCCCCCATCTTGGGAGATGTCTTCCTAGTCTGCTCTGTAGCTGCGCTCCCAACACGCCTTGACATTTCACCTTGGAAACGTGTGTTAATGGCTTCCACTTCTGGGATGCTGGCCTCGCAAGGATCAGACCTATCTGGAAATTGATCGGCTCCGTCATTGGCGGGAACCAGGGTGTATCCATACCCAAGCCGCCGTCCTCCCGACATCCATCCCACACTCACCTTGCGAGGGGATACAAGATCAGACTCTGTGTCATGGAGGCCATGAGCAAGAGGGGTCAGTGACCGGTCTGACTCGAATCGCTCGGTAAACTTGCTTCTCTGCGCCTCTGCTTTATCAGCATAGTTGTCCGTGACGGAGGTATAGAGAGATTCCATAAGAAAGGAATTAGGTGAGCAATTAAAGCCCGCAGTAGGCTCTGCACCCAGTTCCTTTGAGGTGGCCTGATGTTGAATTTGTTTATCCACAGAGTCGCTTGGGATGCCGGCAGATGAAAGGCTGGTCTTTTGAGAATAGCACGAGGAGGAATGGTCTACCGGGGCCTTTCTGAATCTCGGTCCTGTTTGGCTAAACGGTGCCTTTCCTGTGGCAGCTCCAGGGTCATGAGGGGGCCGAGGAGCATTCCACGTCCCGGCATTGGTAGCCCACCTGTTTTCATCAAACGATTGCTTTGGGGATAAGATACGAGGTGATGTCGAACAAGACGCCAACATCGTCGGGATGTTCATGTCACCAAGGTGAATCGAACAGTTATCTGACATGGTGCCTGTGGGGGGCTGGCGCCGTCTCTTCCTGACCGAGATCTGTGAAGGCCCAGCTGGTGAGTCTGCGGATGTAGTATAAGGGAACGGCACAGGAGAAATCGGACTCGAATAGCCAGAACCGTGTCTAGGCATACTCGGGTCAGGTGTCGCCATGCGAACTGGAGGACGATATCCTTGATGCGGGTACGAGCCGTTTCTCTTATTGTGAACGGGACTGCCTCCGCCTCTTTGAGGTCTTGCAACTCTGATTCGGCGACTCCCGTCGTCCGCACGAAAAGCAGAAGAACCTGATGACTGGGTAGCCCAAGATGTTTGGTTCCTCGAGCGCAAACCCGGCTGTGGTTCTTCCATGACGGTACGGTCCAACCGTGCATCCGCCATTGTTTCACTCTGGGGACCATGACCTTGGTCATATGAAAGCTCCCGCTCGATCTCCTGCCGCAGAGGGGAGACAGTCTCCTGAATGATGCGTGTTGGGTGATCTCTGGTATGACTGATCTGCTTAGGGGTGCTGATGAACTGCGCATCGCTGTCATATCCTCTTTCGCTCATCAGGCTACTGCCGATGTCGTCTGGGGTGATTACTCCTTTACTGGTGTTGGCCGGTTTGGACGAGAAGGGAAACCCAGGGGACCCCGACTTCCTTTGGGCTCTCGGCTTTACACGAAGGTCTTTGGCTTCTCGGGAGAAACGTCTGCGCAGTCTATCGGACAAGCCACTGGAGCCTCTGTGATGACTAGAGCGTGCATCTTCCCTTGTCGAGGAATTGCCTGTCACAGTCAGCATGCCACGCAGACCCGGTCAACGGCGGCTCACCCTCAGGCTCTTCGTCTGGGGATGGCCTCGCCGGCTTCAACTGGTAGGAGCGTCTTGTGTCCGAGTCGGAGGTTTTCCAGTATCTTCGGAAGCGAGGGCAAATGAGGAAGAACGCCATTGATCTGACGGGGCGTGTGAAAGTGGGTTGTGGCCCTTGTCAACCAGGCGACGGTGATACGGATTCATGGTGAGTGATCTGATGACAATTGCTGCCACTGTTTCTTGAAGATGATACCACGTACATATGAGGAAGGCGGAACCGACCAAAACAGCAGGTGCGTCCCTTGTTGATGCTTAACAGGAACTAGGACTGAGCACATTTTCCTGTCCGTCTATACGGGAAGGAACAGAAAGTGTCCGGCATGCCTTGAGGGCAATTGAACTTCCCCAGATCTGCACGAAAGATACTCCGCATCCCGAAAATCACCGAAGCCATCTCCGGTAGCTGAATTCTTCAGCGCGCGGCGCACCCATTGCATTATATGTTGATATATATCGCCGAGGGTTGTCAATCTACTCCGTACTAGGTGACCTAATCGGACTCCGAACTAGGACTTCATGCACCGACTTCCTATCGGCGTGTTTTAGTTCTACAGCATGGACCAGGATTAGCACGTTGAGTCAAAGCAACTTCCGCCCTGGTCGATAACAGCTTTAGTGGCGAATCGGGCGGATCTCACCTCAGATTTGGCCAATTGCCCACGCTGATAGGCTCTTGGCTGTCTCGTGCAGCAGCGTAAGCCCGTTACTCCAATGGGGTCCATCGCCGATCAATTGCAGTCCGAATCGGCTCCAGTCCCACGATGCGTGAGCGGGTGCAACGAGCCTCGACTGGAGCAGACAGAGTGTGGAATACTGTGTAGTAATGGGCGTGGCTAACAGCTCGTATCAGCCTGGCATCCACCGGCCAGAACCTTATTAGGGGCCGATCCCGGAAGGGAGGCACAGGATACTCCGGACTTTTCCACGGCGCTGACTGGCCGGGTCGGGGGTCGGGGCGGTGGTCTCGTCTCCGCGCTAAACATCCTGGTGTTCTTACAATCACGCCATTTGACGCTATGCACTGGAAGGGTTAGTCGGAACCCCTCCACTGGAGGAGACTCTCGATTTTTTCCAGGATGACACATCCCTCCCAGACACGGAAGCAATTCGTGCTTCAATGCGAGAGTTTTGCTTGCAGGTTGCTGCAGCTCCAAGGGATTTGGTAATGGAATTGGTGAAAGCTGGGAAGGACGAACCTTACTTGGATGGTGCCGGAGTGTGTTTGGAGGATCATATCTTACCTTACCAAACGGAAAGATGTAAGTCTGCCTGACATTCCGTCTGGAATAGGTTAGGTCGACAGGTACGGTGTTGTACGCGAGTTGTAAGAGGTCAGCTCGACCCCTCCATTCACTCCGATGGCCCACATCGGAGGGGGTCGACGAGGCCCGCCCCTCGAGTGACTCCCCCTCCGCCTCTGCTTATAATACTCCCCCTCCATCCCCTCCTCTGCTCCTTTCTTTCTTTCTCTCTCCATCCCTCTCCCCTGTTTTCTCCTTCTTCATCTTGCCAGCAAGAGACTATTGCATAGTCCTTGTCTGATTTCACCCATTCACCCATTTTCCAATCTTGTTCCTTGTTTTTATCACTTCACACACACACAACCGTCAAGATGGTTCAGTCCTCCGTCTTGGGTTTCCCCCGTATGGGAAAGCTCCGTGACCTCAAGAAGGCCACCGAGGCGTACTGGGGTGACAAGATCTCTCGTGATGAGCTCTTGGCCGAGGGAAAGAGACTCCGTCTGGAGCACTGGAAGATCCAGAAGGAGGCTGGTGTTGATGTGATCCCCAGCAACGACTTTGCCTTCTACGATCAGGTCCTCGACCACATCCAGATGTTCGGTGTATGTTCTACTGTCTCCTGACATCCTTGATCCTCACTAACATCGTTGCTAGGTCGTTCCCGAGCGCTACTCCAAGTACAACCTCCACCCCGTTGACGAGTACTTCGCCATGGGCCGTGGTCTCCAGAAGCCCGCCAAGGATGGCCAGGCCGCCATTGACGTCCCCAGTTTGGAGATGGTCAAGTGGTTTGACTCCAACTACCACTACGTCAAGCCCACTCTCCAGGACAACCAGACCTTCAAGCTGGCCGCTGAGCCCAAGCCTGTGGTCCAGTACCTCGAGGCCAAGGAGGCTGGTGTCATCACTCGCCCCGTCATCCTCGGACCTGTGTCCTTCCTGACCCTCGCCAAGGCTGACCGTGGTCAGTCCGTGGACCCCATCACCAAGATCGACGAGCTCCTCCCCGTCTACGTTGAGCTCCTCACCAAGCTCAAGGAGGCCGGTGTTGAGGATGTTCAGATCGATGAGCCCGTCCTCGTCTTTGACCTGCCTGCCAAGTCCAAGGCTGCCTTCAAGCCCGCCTACGAGAAGCTCGGTGCCCTCGGTGCCCAGGCTCCCCGTCTCCTCCTCGCCACCTACTTCGGTGACGTTGTCCACAACCTTGATGTCTTCCCCGCCCTCCAGAGCCTCTACGGTATCCACATTGACCTCGTCCGCAACCCCGAGCAGCTCGACGCTGTTGTTGCTGCCCTGGGCCCTCAGCAGGTTCTGTCTGCTGGTGTTGTTGACGGTCGTAACATCTGGAAGACCAACTTCAAGGCCGCCATCGAGAAGGTTGAGCTGGCCATCCAGAAGCTCGGCAAGGAGCGTGTCATCGTTGCCACCTCCAGCTCCCTCCTCCACGTCCCCCACACTCTCGAGAGCGAGAAGAACCTGGACCCCGAGGTCCGTGACTGGTTCAGCTTTGCTGTGCAGAAGCTGTCCGAGGTTGTTGTGATCGCCAAGGCCGTCACCGAGGGCCCTGCTGCTGTCCGCGAGCAGCTCGAGGCCAACGCCAAGTCCGTCCAGGCTCGTGCCTCCTCTGCCCGCACCAACGACCCCAAGGTCAAGGAGCGCCAGGCTGCCGTCACTGATGAGCAGCACAACCGCCAGTCTCCCTTTGCCACTCGTATCGCCGAGCAGAGCAAGTCCATCAACCTCCCTCTCTTCCCCACCACCACCATCGGATCCTTCCCCCAGACCAAGGAGATCCGTGTCCAGCGCAACAAGTTCACCAAGGGTGAGATCACCGCTGAGCAGTACGAGAAGTTCATCGAGAAGGAGATCGAGGAGGTCGTCCGCATCCAGGAGGAGCTCGACCTGGACGTCCTGGTCCACGGTGAGCCCGAGCGTAACGACATGGTGCAGTACTTCGGTGAGCGCCTGACCGGTTACGTCTTCACCACCCACGCCTGGGTTCAGTCTTACGGATCCCGCTGCGTGCGTCCTCCCATCATTGTCGGTGACATCTCCCGTCCCGCTCCCATGACTGTCAAGGAGTCCAAGTACGCCGTGTCGATCTCCAAGAAGCCCATGAAGGGTATGCTTACCGGCCCCATCACCTGTCTGCGCTGGTCTTTCCCCCGTGACGATGTCCACCAGTCCGTCCAGGCTCAGCAGCTGGCTCTCGCTCTCCGCGACGAGGTTGTTGACCTCGAGGCTGCTGGCGTCAAGGTCATCCAGGTCGACGAGCCCGCCCTCCGTGAGGGTCTCCCTCTCCGTGCTGGCAAGGAGCGTGAGGAGTACCTCAAGTGGGCCGTGCGTGCTTTCCGCCTGGCCACCTCGGGTGTCACCGACGGTACCCAGATCCACTCTCACTTCTGTTACTCGGAGTTCCAGGACTTCTTCCACGCCATCGCTGCGCTGGATGCGGATGTTCTGAGCATTGAGAATAGCAAGTCGGACGCCAAGCTGCTCAAGGTGTTCGTCGAGGAGGCCTACCCCCGTCACATTGGTCCCGGTGTCTACGACATCCACTCGCCCCGTGTTCCCAGCGAGCAGGAGATCAAGGACCGTGTCGAGGAGATGCTGCCCTACCTCAAGCCCGAGCAGCTCTGGATCAACCCCGACTGTGGTCTGAAGACGCGCCAGTGGCCCGAGACCAAGGCTGCTCTGACCAACATGGTCAACGCTGCCAAGTTCTTCCGTCAGAAGCACGGCAACTAATTTAATCTTTACATTTTTTAATAACCCATGATTGGGGGCGACATTCTCAACCTGTCGTCTCGGGATCGGATTGGATCCGGTCCGTTTTTGATGAGTTACGATGATGATACCAAAAGTTCAACATATGGGTTGGGTTTCATTAGAGGGTACGGAGTTCAACATATCAACGCTTTCAACATCGGCGTGACAGACGCCAGTATCGTGCGGACTTGATGTCACAGCCGATCGCTAATTTCAACAATGTTGTGTATCAACATGGTAGCTACTTTACTACCACAATGCATTTGCATTACCTGCATTACCTCCATTACATGTCTTATTCTGTAGTTGTATGTCTGTAGTCTGTAGCGATCATAAGTGTAATATCTGAACTCGACAACATGTCAATATTACCGACCCAGTAACTAATCATACAGGCATTCCTAATCCAACCTCATGTGGCATCTCCCCTACCCCAGATACCCATTCAACTGACCATCACATCACACCATCACCACCACCACCAAGCATAAACATACTCCCAATCTCACCCACCCAACCAACCCACCCCAATCCCAAGAAAGAAAAATAATACTCACAACCACGAAACAAACGGCACCACGGCCCCCCGTCCCTGAACCCTCTCCCCAAACCTCTCCACATACCACACCCTCCCCCACCGCGCATGCGGCAACATATTCGTCACCGCATTCACGACAAACACCACCGCCGGCACGGGGAACCCGACCCCAGCCCACGACGCGAGCTTCGCAGCGGGAACGAGCCACGGCGCGAGATGGAGCGTTGGTCTGGAGCCAAGTGTGTTGAGGATGGGTGAAGTAGGGGAAATGCAAGCGCCTAATAAAGCAAACCCAGTCCATTCGATCCATTCAGCGACGTAGTGCGGGTAGAGAATGGATGTGAAGAGTCCGGTGGGTGGGGGGATGGTGTAGATTTTATGGTAGATATTCCTTTCCCTATTCCCATTATCGTTTTCTTGTTGGTCTTTCTGTTGATTTTGGGGGGTGGTATCTTTGATGGTGGGTGTAGAGGTAGAGGTCGAGGGGGAGGGGGATGAGTTCTTCTCCAACCTCCGAAGCGCCTCTTCACGTCTCAGCCGGAAGAGAGTCCGTTCGGCGTGGATGTTACATGCCATGCCGAGGATGAAGAGAATCAGTCCCAGTTTACCGATTATCATCTTCATCACCCCATCCCCTCCAGTGATGGCAGTCCCACTCCCATCCAAACCCTTCAAAGAAAGCGGATATCCCACCAACCACCCCGCCAAACACGCCGAATTAAACCAATTAAACGCCCCCGCGGCCAGCACAATCCCCCCATGAATGGGTGACATACTCGGCGCGGCAAAGAAGGGAGAGATGATAGCGCGGTTAATGTAATGGAGGACAAACAGGGCCGCGAGAAATTTATTCAAGGGGGGAAGAGGGGGCAGGGAGTACTTTTGGGGTAGGGTGGTGAGGAGGTAGAGGAGGTTTAGGGGGGAGATGATTTCCATGGTGAACCAGGCCCAGCGGCCGGGGAGGTTGAGGGGGGAGGATTTGAGGGAGGTTTTGCCTGCCGGGTGGAAGGAGGTGAGCCATTGGATTAGGGATATCTATTCTTTCTGTTAATGGGGGGTGGGATTGGGGGGGGGTGGGATTGGGGGAAGGCGTACGGCGGGAAAGTATTGGAAGATGTTGATGAGCTGGGCGTAGGTTTCGGGGGGGGGATGGAGGAGGGTGTCGAGGGGGGGAAGGGCCTGGATGCAGGAGATGGCGGTGCCCATGGTGGGTGGGAGGGATGCACAATTAGGATAGATGTTAAGAGATGGATCTTCCCGATTCGAGGTATCAGGAATTACATGCTGGATTGCTGGGGGTGAGTGATGTCAAACGGAAGACAGATGAGTCAGCAGCTGGCAACACTACAATTCAGTAGTTACGTGACATCCATAGCATTGCTCTAACCCAATCGCCGACTACCAAAACATAGATAGATATAGTGTTCTCTCATCCCCAGTCACCCAGTTCAGCCACTCGTGTCCATCTGCTCCGACACCAGCCCTCGTCGCCGCTCCGCCAGTCGCTCGTTCTTGAACGCCTCGATCCGCGCCTTCATCTCCGTATCTAGGCAGGTTAGTCTTCGCTCGTTTAAGATCAGATAGACACCTACCAGGTATTACATCCTCCATTTTCAGTGGTGCTCGGTTGAACGGATCATGTGGATCGCTCAGCAAGTGAGACCGGATCGTAGCGCGGTCGATGGAGACGCGCGAGCCAGGCAGAATGACCGGATCCTCCATCAAGGTATACATCAGAGGATCTAAAGATGTCAGCATGATCCAAGAACCGCGCAGCAGCAGCCTACCTAAGAACTCGTCCGGAACCTCGCCCAGATCCTCCTCGGCCTGCTCATCGGCCTCCTTGGCCTCCTTCACCTTCTGCTGTAATTGCTCCCACCGTTGAAATTCTTCCGGCGACTTGAGCGAGAATTTCTGCAGAATCTCCGCCGCCTTGACAAAGTTCGCCGGCTTGTACGACCGCCCATCACGAGCCACCGCAATGATGAAGTTCTCTTTGAGCATCAAGTTCAGGTATACATCGACAATCTCACTGAGCAGCGCTCGCGGGTTGAAGCCGTACTCCTGCAGGTTGTCCACCCGGAGACTGGCGCTCTTGGGTCCCACCATCGTCTCCAGGTTGTAGTCCAGCATGTCCGCCAGGCGCTGCACGATTTCGGGCATCGTAAACGAGTCCGCCAGCGCGTCCGTAAACAGCTTGAGCATCGCCACCGTCTCGTTCGTCAACTGCATGTATGACTTGGCGTTACGCTGTGCCGACGCCAGATGCTCTTCCTTCTGCTGCCGCACCGTGGGATCCATCCCCGCCGCGTTGCGCAGCTCTGTTTGCGTCTTGTAGATGGTGATGAACGCTCCAAAGGACTCGTCGAGCACGAACGTAACGTCGTTGAGCAGCAAGTTCACGAAGCGCACGAAGAAATCTAGATTCTGTTTGGACTGGTTGTACAGCTTGTTGCGGTAGAGTGTGTTCGGCCAGATGCATTTGATGATCTGGAAGATTTCATACCGGATGTTGAACTTGTCAAAGAACTGCGTATGCGTGCCCGTGTGCTCCGCCTCGATGTAGAACTTCATCAGCGCGTGCAGCAGATGCTCGTTGGCAAACGGCATGGAATTGAGCAGGTCCACCAGGACCCCCCGAGCGCCCCCAGGGCGTGGCCAGGTGCCGCGGAACAAGATCGACACCAGTCCCGCCTTCAGGTACGGGTTCTTGATGTAGTCCGAGCTCTCCAGGAAGGTGATACAAAGCATCACCAGCTCGTCGCCCTGCGTGGCGGTGATGATCTGGGGCATGCACCACATGATGAACTTGAAGTTGCTCACAATGTCGTCCAGGAAATACTCGGGCAGACATTGGAAGACCTCCGGCTGCTGCGGCGGAAGAGGGAGCCGGATCGGTTCCTTGGGGAAGTTGGTGCCCGAGACCACCCGCAGCAGCCACACAATCACGTATCGCATGAACAGCATTGACCGGGCCTGCCATTGGTCGTCAAACAGGACGCCCTGGAGACTGTACTTCAAGGCCAGGCCGAGATCCAGCTTATCCTTGTACTTCTTGAGTGCCTGCTCAAAGACGCGGAGCTGCACCGGGTTGTTGACCCACCGATGCCGTTCCAGCTCGAACTTGTTGATGGTAGACTCCATGTGCCGCAGGTCTTTCTCGAGCTGCTCCAGCTTGGACGTCAGCGACTCGCTGCCGTAGTGATGCGCAGCAACGGTGAGAAAGAAGATCTCGGTGATAAAGTTCGAGGCACCGTCCGCCGTCTTGGCGTAGAACGCATCCGATGCGTGCTTATCGGCATTGATCTTGGTCTCATCCCGCATGTCCACCCGAGGGTTGCGATGCAAATAGTTGGCATCCACTCGGTCAATCTGACCAGTCGTTAGCTTGCATCATTCCACGACGAAGCGCACTTACCTTGGTGAAGCTGGCATCCATGAATGGCTCGCAGAGTTGGTCCAGACACGTCGTAAGGTTGAACATGAAACCGTCGGATGAAACCGTGTTAGGGTCCACTTGCATCGCCCGACGCTTATGGTTGATGTTCAGGGAGGCCGCGAACCAATCCAAAACACACTCCCTGGCATCTTTCGACGCGCGAATCAAATGGTTCACGATATCAAGCAAGTCCGCGCTGATCATATGCTGCATCATGCGGATCGACCGCTGTGCGTTCAGGATGTACGCCTGATCCCTCGTCTTGGGACTGGAAAAGTAAGTCAAGGTCACACTGCTCTGCAGCGGCGACAAGCGGAACCATGGCCCGAGGAGCGTGCTCTTCTCGAACGTAGCCGGATCGCGAGTCGCGTTGAAGATCGACGACTCGGTGATAGCCGCCGCGATGACCGCGTGACGGACGAGATTCCGGAGAGCCTACAAATTAGACACGCGCTCCGAACGAGGGAGTGGTCTGCACATACTGTCATATATGGCTTGTAGTCATCATTGATGGTCATGGCCGCAAGCTCCTGGCTCATCTCCTCCACCGCCGCGATGAAGGCCGGCTTGAGGCTCTCATCCTCGTCGAACCGCTTGACGGCCTCGCCGATGAACTCAAAATCGACACCCTTGTCATCCTCGGGGTCCAAGAGGAGATACGGCTTGAGCGGGGATTTCTCCGATGGCTCGAGCCTGTACACGAGTCAGCCGTATCCTGAGCCAAGAGGACCACTTCACCGAACGCACCCAAACATCTCCGGCATCGTGATCGCAAAGATACAATAGCTCAAGCACAGACGGCGGGCCTCGCCGATGGCATTGAACTTGGGGTCATCTTCGCGACTCCGACGGAACCCTTTGTGCAGTCGGGAGATCCGCCTCCAGCAGGGGAGCAGGTAGTCCAACGGCTTCTGCCGGGGGGCATTGGAGGCCGCTTCCAGAAGGGCCTGATCCAACACCGAGACATCCACACGAACCTCCCGTCCCTGGTCCTCGAGCTCGCTCCGCAAGCCCGGCAAATATGTTAATCTCTGTCCGTGAATATCCTTCTGCCGAGCCTCGTTCAAGGACAACTTGAAGACGGCGCTCAGCGTACGATCCTGGAAGGCCTCGATGGTCTCTTCTGCTCTCGACGGTGGGGGTGTACCGGACACTGGCGTCACGGTTTGTGAACGGTCTGGCACCGAACTGGCAGAGGCTGCTGGGGTGATTTTGATCCGCTTCCAGTCCGACTGGGGCAGCAGTTGTGGTGAAGGGGCTGACGAGCCGGGGGCGCTGCCCGGATTCGATGCGGATTGAGCATGGTATCTATCGGAGGGAAATCGAGGGGACTGCGTGGACAGCGAAGGGGAGGCTGGTTGGCTGGATGCTGATTCTGCGGCGCCTTCAGTCTGCGCGGGCGGTGTTGGGTTGCCCAATTTTGCCAGGCGCTTGCTGCGGATCTGGACAAGGTCAGGCGAAACTGCGGGCGGAAAGGGACAATGATCGAGCCGGACCACGAGAAGGCACTCACCTTGTCCGCTTCAGACTGGCTCTCGGACATCGTGGATAATGCTGATGGGGCAGCCCGAAGCAGAAGGGCTTCCGTGATCAGCGGGGCTGAGACGGCAAGTCGTGGCTGGAACCGAAAACTCAGATGGGAGAGAAGAGACGTGAAGATAAGTAACCGAGAGAGGAGACAGCCGAGGCGCGGAGAGATGCGATGTGGCCTGGATGACCCAAGGCGAGGCAGAAGGATGGAAGTAGTGATCCCTGGGCGTCGTTCTTCTGGCCTGGTCGCTGAGGTTCGCCCGCATTAACTAAGCTGGTCGGCGTTTGTTGTTCGCCGCAGGCCATCTCCACTCCACACTATCGTGATTCGTGCCTATCATTTCCGACGCTCCAATCTGAATATACATTCCTGTCAGGCTAGTACTAAACAAAGCTACTCCAAGCTGGGTCATCACTCCGTCAACGCCGTCAAATCCTGCACACGTATGGACATCTAATGGACAAGGGGCTTGGTCGTAAAAAACAAAAGAATTAGGTATAAAAGCCGCAGAGATGGCACCCACGTGCCAGACAAGTCTTGCTTTAGTATTTCCCCTTCAACGAATCCAAACGCCGACAGCTCTTCAGCTCCATCGCTCTCGCTTCCTTGATCTTCTCTACATCCGGGAAGAACCAGCCCTGGGCGTCCTGCAGCATGCGATCGCGAAGGTGTACCTCGCTCTCACACTCATACCGAAGTTTTGAAACGTAGTCCACCTCCACCCGTTGGTCTAGTTGTCGGAATTTCCGCGCAGTGTAGTCCTCCACATCACCCGGATTCACGTAGTAGTCGATATTCAACTTGGGGGTCGTGCGATGCACCGTGTGGGGAGGCACAGCGGCATCAAATCTGTACGAAGGGCCAGCAGGAGTCGAGGAACCGGAGAAGAGCGACGAGATCCAAGGGAGCACGAAGAGGAGGATGAGAGGAAGAAGCTGCTGAAAAGTCGACCACATCGACGGCGCAGGCTCGGCGGCCCGGGCGTTGGCTTCGCGTGGCCTTCTCCGTGGCCGAGCGCCTCCAAATTGATGGACTCGGAATCCGGGGCCGCCACCCATGTTGAAAACGAACTGAGGTCCACCTACACTAGTTAGCCAGATCCTCCAGTATCCTCACGAACGCGCCGGCGGGTACATACCGAAAGGACTAAATCCACCACCCATGTTGCCAAAGCCTCCGCTAAAGAACCGCTGGAACAGCTCCTCCGGCGAAATCTCCTCCTCGAACATCGGACCACCAGCGCCTGACCGCTGGAACCCACCGCCGCTGAATCCGCCAAAGGGCGAACCGTCCGAGGGACCAGCACTCGGGGTGAACCTGCTGTCCGGATCGCCTCCAAACTTGTCATACTTGGCTTTCTTGTCGGGATCCGATAAGACCTGGAAGGCACGCGCGACCACTGTCCAGTCATTAGCAAACCACAACCCTCATAGATAGCGATTCCATCACTCACACTTGAACGCCTCATCCGCGCCCTCATACCCGTTCTTATCAGGATGTGTCATTAAACTCAATTTGCGATAGGCCTTCTTGATCTCGCCATCCGAGGCCGTCTTCTCCAGCGACAGGATCTCATAATACGCCGTCGACGAACATTTCCGTATCCTCAGCACCGCCGCCTTCTGCTCGGGTGTGTATTTCCGGTCCTGGTTGCCCTGGTTGTGCTCGCGGGATTTCGCAGAGCCCCCAGTGTCTGCCCCAGACGCGGTGGCGGATGGCATGGCAGCACTGGATGTGACCGTCTATCGAGAAATCTTCCCCACTTAGTCGGTCGTAGAAATCCCACTCTGCCGGAGATTTGTTTGCGGAGGTGGAGGTGGAGGCTGAGGCTGTCGGAGGAAGAGTGGGTGGATCAGCGAGAGCCGACAGATTGCCAGATTATAGAGGGGGGCGATTTTTGCAATCGATCCGAGTGGTATCAGCGATGAGGAGAGGCCAGGGGGCACAGGGATTGGCTGGTGCTGACTGGTGCGAGCCACCCTCGATCTGGGGAACAATAAACTGTACTGGGATTGATAAAACGTGGTGAGTTTCTGGAGGTTCAGTTGTTGACGCTAAGCCTCGGGCGAGTGAATGAGTGACCGTTAAGGTTAGTCAGGAAAGCAGTGGCTGTCACAAGCCGCTCCATCGCCTTCACTGCACCATCCAGATTCTATCTGTATCTTGCACGTTCATCCTCTCTTTTGCTACCTTTTTGGTCTGTTCATGGCGCATTCCTAAGATAATCTCACTGACACCGTCTCCCTTCCCCAGATTACCATCTCAATCATGGCTGGTCCGAATTCTCCGATAGACGAGACGGAAAAGTCTCTAGTGCAGAAAGCTAGAGCCTGGGGAGGTAAGTCATTGTCCATGCGCATACACCTTATTCGAGACATTGGCAATCGAGCATATCATTAACACCTCGACGGTTTACAGAGAATTCGTTTCCGCCCACTCTGCTTGCCACCCTCATCACAGCACAGTACATGCGCCCGTTCCAACCACTTCCGATGCTGTTCCCGCCCGTCCTCCTGTTCACCAGCTATGCCAACATCCAGGGCTTCAAGACTGATACGGCGGGCATCAGCGCGGCGTGGTCCGGGCTGTATCTGTTGCTGGCGGGTCGCCGGAAGCAGCCATTCATGAAGAAATGGGGTGCTCGCGGCATTGTCCGCGGCATGACCATGGGTCTGTGCTTGGTCAATATGGTCAGTGGTGGTCTGGCCTATACCCTGGGGAAGCGCGAAGAGGAGGAGGATTAATGTGATACTGCATCTGGCGCGGGTACAGTTATGCGGGGCAGCCTCGTGTACGATATCAGCTGGGAAAGGCGTCGCTTGGGCATGGTGTTTGGTTTCTTCAACGGCGGCATCTATTGGCCTTCATGACGGTGTCTCTACATGAGCTATGTGTATAGTATATAAAATCTGAGCGACCGACTCTCACTCATCCTCTGGCCGGCCCTTGCACGATTAATGTTGCATCTTTTATTGCCGTCATCACTCCGTGTATGGCCGTTCAGCAAGGATGGCATCGCGGACACTGGGAGGGACCAGCCACTCGAGATCTTGCGGGTTCGTTACGGCAGCTTCCCGAGCTCTTGTCGAGCTTACCGACTGCGCCCCAGGCTTCTTGCCTTCGACGAGCTTGATGCGTTCAGCCCATTGCCGTTTGCCACCCACATGGTCTTGACCTCCCTGTGCCAGGTCGGCCATGAACGCCTCCTGCTCGTCTCGACTGCCCCAGTCACTATCCGGACGCATGGTGACTCTCAGCCGATGCTGGGACAGAAATGGCCCCAAAGGCTGGAGGGTATACTCCGGCGGGTAGTACTTAGGGTTGAAGATGCGGATCAACGTATCATAGCCCGTCAGATGGACCTGCTCGAGTGGCTGGGGGTATATACCCGCGCGCTCAATTTCCGCCGCCTTATCCACGAAGTACGGTTTCTTGGTGACACCGATGTCGATCACGGGAAGGTTCCGGGCCACCGGGATGGACTCATTGGTCCGTAAGGACGAGAGCAGATCTCGAGCGAACAGCTCCATCATCACGAGACGGTCCTCGAATGAGGCCGGCTTGGAGGGCTTGTCGGCATTCTGCGTGGCAAGAAGCAACAAGAGGCGTGCAGGCTTGTGGGGGTTTTCTAGAAGAGCGGACGTCGCGATTCTGCTGTGGGCAAGAGTGGGCGGGTTGAAGGACGAGTCGAGCACATATAGGACGTCACTGGCAGGAGGATCGTGGCGCTCGGAGGGGACGGAAGCCAGAACCTCAAGGCTCCGGGTCGATGCAATGAAGTGTCTCAGTCCGGCAGCGTACTTTTCGCGCAGAGCGTGAAAGGCGGGGCTCGTCATTCTGGGAGCAGATGTGTCAATCGGCGTAGTCAGACAACTCACAAAGTGTAATCAAAGTGGTGTGCGAGGCTAGATACGAGCAAGGATGCCCAAGCCCAGTCACGTCAGAGGCAGCACGAAGAGGTGGGGTTATGGACGGGAAGTATCCATGGACGTCGCCGAGGAGGAGACCCTTTGGCGCGGGTGGCTGCAGGACCCGGATTTCGAAGCCTTCCTCATCCGTATGGTCGGTATGCTGTACTGTAGTAGATGCTGTATCTACCTACTATCGAGGGGTCTTGTCACGGTCGAGACCCTAACCCACACGGCAGGGCCGATATTAATCTTTATCTGGTTGCAGTGTCTGGCGGTCTGTGAGCGGTCCTCTAGGATCGCAACACTTAGATTAACGGGATGATCACAATCAGGGACTCGGGACCATTTTCGGTATCCGTAGGACCCGAAATTTTTGAACATCAACATTGGCCGGTTGAATTAGGTTTGCATCAGGGCCACTGTGTTCTCGCTAATTGCCGCTTACTCCGTGTGTGTGTGGAGTCAGGGTCGGTCACGGAGTCTGCCAGTTGATTGTGTCGCTGGTCCATACGGAGTACACAGTAGGGAGTCAGGACTCAGGAGACATATACGCAGTCCTCCAGACGGAGAATCCGGAGTAAGCAATGCAATCAACTGCACTGGACACGAGTGCCCCCCAGGCTCCTGACCCATAGCCGATAAGAGCCGAAGGCGATCATTCTTAGTGCGCCGTGAGCGAGTTCACTGTTCAGGCAACCAAATATCGACCCCATCTGCGTGAAACGCTGGCGGCAGTCGTTCCCGGGCTCCAGTCAGGGTCGAACACAGCGTTCATCCCATGGTCAACTTGCCAGGTCAATATCCCGGCCCGGACAATATCATTTATTGTCGCTGGCTTTGCGCCGGGTCCCCAAGCTATCAACCGGCGTGATATTCTTTGTTCTGGAGGAAATCGCCGCTGTCTAGGCCCGATGGCTGGCTCCACTTTGTGCACCAACCATCGAGGCCTCGTAGGCTCAGGATCATCGCCGCGTTGATTCTTGATCAACACTGTCAACGTTGCTGGGCGCGCCCACTGACAGAACAATAGTGTCGGGAATCGGGATTGACCATGCTGAGCCTCCTCAACTTTTTTTCCCCATCGTTCGCTGGCGTCTCAGACTGGAGCGATCTGGTTACAAAGCGTCTCACACTATAACCAGGAGGAATCCTGAATCGACTAGCCAGTTTGGTTTGGCCCCGGGCATCAGTCAGAAGCTTCAAGTGGCAAGCAAGCATCCAACTGAGCGATCAGGTTAACCGCCCTGGCCAGGATGAGGATAGAGCTCGATCCTTCTCGACAACCCCTTTTCCTAGAGCTAGCTAGCATAGTACGTTGCTCCGACGGGGAATGGATATTGGATGATGTTGTCATCTCCGCACGGTTAAATCCACACAATCCACCGCGGATTGTTGATTAAGTGTGTCCACCGGTAAATTACGGTAACGGCAATTCACCTCCGACCCATAAATGAGGTTGAGTCAAGCGCTGCGATGAAAAACCGAACGTATGATTGTTCCATGGATGCTCCGTTTGAGGACCTACGGGGTTGCCCGATCGGGGCAATGTTGACATCCACGCGATCTACTCGCTGCCACGATTCTGAGCATTCCTGCCCGAACAGTGTGGCAAGCGCTGGAGCCCTGCGTTGTCCCTGCAAAGGGCGGTAACGGTCGCAACTCATTTCCTGTACGGAGTAAAAATCCTGCTGCATGCGCCCTGGCAGAGAGGGAACACGGGGGAGAAAAGTGTACAGACTCAAAAGCCGTGCGGTTGGCCCGTCGGCCAGGCACCATGAGATTAAGCTGGCGGTGAAGGGCCAATCATGGGCAGCGGTGACGGGATGAAACGGGGCCTCATCTCTGCCGCAACAAATCCGCGTGTGGTTCCTGCGCCGGGACCCACTCGCAGTTGAGGAAATTAAAATTAAGAACAATATCAGGAGGAGGGGGTCGCCGCTGATTCGATGCAGGTTATCACCACGACACCACCTCGTTCTGCCTAGATGAGACAGCCTAGCGTTAGTGGCCGATTAGCGGCGTATGAGACGCTTCCCAGCGTGCCAACCCATACGATGTTGGAGCAACTAAGAGGGCGGTTGGTACGGTGCCTGGTAACCTCGCGTACGATAATTAACGATTTTAATCAATCATCTCTCCTTTTGTGCCCCCCGAGCGTTTTCTTTTAACTCCTTCGATTTCTTCCCGGCCTGTCCTCCCCGTCAGACTGCTACATTCTTTCCGTTCAACTGTCCTCTGTGTAGAGACGTTGCGACCTTCCTTTCAGTCACTCTTTATCTGCTTTTTGCGAATAGATTTCGCATCACTTTCGTTGAGCCCACGCAGTCTCTCTCAACACCACCACCATCACTACCACCATTTTTCCGAAGGAATCTTACAATCTCTACAATGCAGCTTACTACCAAGGTTTCCGTTGCCCTGCTGGGTGCTTTCGCCGCCGTTGGTGAGGCCAACAACCACGGCTTCCAGGCGCGTCAGTTCAACATCCACCCCGCTGGCTACAGCAACCAGACGGTGTCGACCTCCTATGTGCCCGTCTACCCGACTCCTCCTCAGTCCAGCGCGGCCGTGGCTCCCAGCTCTCCCGCCGGCGGTGCCCCCAGCTCGGCGCTGATCCACCCGGCTGGTTCCAGCTCGGCTGCCGGTGCCGGTGCCGGTGCCGTTGGCGCTTCGTCCGTTGCTCCTGTGCCCGTGCCTCTCAGCACTGGTGTCTACAGCAGCGCCCCCGTCTCTGCCTCGGCTGCTGCTCCTACCGATGCTGTCTCGACTGACTACGAGACTGTCACCTCCACCAAGGATGTTACTCTCACCTACACCCTGGGCACTGGTGCCTCCCAGACTGTCGTCACTACTACCATCCACCGTACCGTGACTGACGTCGAGACCGTCTACGTGGTATGTCCCCCCACTCGCAGTTGATTCAACGATACTAATCCGTGATAGACCCCCTCGGCCACTGCTTCTTCCACTGCTCAGGACACCACTCTTACTTCTGACACCACGGTCACCTCGACCTCCACTTCCTATGAGACCTACACCCTCTACGCCGTCTCGTCCTCTTCTGCGGCTGCCGCCAGCACTGCCCCCGCGGTCTCTGCTGCTGCCAGCTCTGGCGAGACCTGTGCTCCGGTCACGGTCACTGTCCACGACACCGTCACTGTGGTATGTACCCTGCATGTCTTGGCTGCCATAACCCTTACTGATCTTTGCAGACCGCCACTGCTGCTCCTCTGTCCACCCCCGACAGCATTGCCAAGATCGGAGAGAACAGCTCCAGCCAGGCTGAGACCACCGAGGCGGAGACTTCCACTGTGGCCCCGACCACTGCCGCCGCCGAGACCACCACCCACAGCAAGCCCACGGTGGTCCCCACCCCCAGTGCTCCCTTCGGCCACAGCAACGGCACCTTCCCTTACCCCAGCGGTGCTGCCCGGCCCACGGGCTTCCAGACCAGCAGCAAGGTTGCCTTTCCCTCTCACTTCCGCCGCGTCTATTAGACGGGGACTGAGACTCGCTTGACGCCACGCCTGTATTGAGATTCCCCAGTGGCGGACAAGACGGGCCTGTACCTACGAGGATAACTGTTTTGCTTCTGGTACAAACTTGACATTGCACTTGACATTTGACATTACTTGACATTTACTTGGACATTCACGTTTCACCTAGACTTTTATTCTATTCTGCTCCGACTGGGGCTTTTTCTCTTCTTCTGCTCCGACTGAGGCTTTCTATTCTCTGGATCTCGATCCCCCGCTTAACGAACAACGTTTTTACGAATCTTCTCGAGAGCACCTGGTCTACCGGTGTGGGCTTGCCCGCGCAGATGGCGACGGCGACGGCGACGGCGACGGCGTCTACGGGTTACATCGGCTATTGTACATTTGATTTGTGATTTAGTAGATATTTTGTCAGATGATGACTTGATTACGAGAGCGTTTGTCAATACAATGTCACTACAGTATTATGATAGTATTATAATGAGTAGCGATCAATCGATCTGCCCTCCGATAAGACCACTTGTTGCCGCATGCGCTGCCACTCGAGCCAAGTGATGCCCTGGACGAGACAGTCTGCTAAATCGTCCAGTTTTCCGATATCAAATTCCACTGCATCTTTTCTTCGTCTTTTGCCTTGGTACTTTTCCAGAAATGCATCCACCCATTGCTTCACCTCTTCATCCTCAACCAATATCCTCGCACCAGACTCTTCACCAGTCTGTCTCAACCACTCTCCCACCAATCCAATCTTCATCTTCTTGACATCTCGTACACTCTTCTTCTTCTTCCCCTTCTTCCCCTTTCCACCCTCATCCCCATCCCCATCACTTTGACCCTGATCCTGATCCTGATCTTGAACCCCCCTCTCCGCCCAAAACCGACTTACCCTCCCCGGCTCCATCCCCCACACCTCCACCCCACCCTGACCCTCACCCCCAAAATCCCTCGACGACGAAGTAGAGGTTGAAGAAAAACGGCCTATGGCCTCCAAAACAGCATACAACATCCCCTCGAACATACCCACGCGAATGGTCCACTCCTGCACCGCGGACCCCCCACCACTGCGAAACCGTTGTCGTTCGATCAGGATGTGTGTGGGCTGATAACGGTCTAGGAGGGTCGTGATGAGGGTGTATGCGTGGTGGGCGTAAATGGGGGGGGAGAAGTCTTCCTTGGCAGCAGAAGTAGATTCGCTGGGGGGATCTTCGTCGGGGGTGATGAATTGGATTTTGGATTTGGATGTGCGTTGGGGGGTGAGGTTAAATTCCTCTCTAAGATGGGGAATGGAGAGTCGTCGCCAGGCTTGGAGGGTGATGCTCTCTATTCCACTTCCTTTCCCATTTCCTTTTCCGGGTTCATGATCCTTTGTCCCAGCTAACCCCCCCGAAGCAGACGCAGGAGAATAATGAGGAGGAATAGTTACCCTCAAACACGCAAATGCCAAATTCCGAATCCCCATATCGATACTAAGTACCCTCAACTCTTTACCCTCCCCACTCCCCCGTCCTCTTAACTCGCTACCACCCCCAGACCCAGACCCAGAACCATGATAATGACCGAGGGGAAGGGTATACACACACCTCGCCAACTCGCCCTCCAAGCGTCGAATAAGCACGGGCTTCGTCCCGGAACTTTTGATCCCGGTTTGGTGGGCCAGATGTTGGAGGGTGGTGGATTTGAGGGTGTGGAGCCAGGGGTATTTTAGACCATTCTGGGTGGGGAGGGCTTTGGGGAGGGATTTGGTGGTGAGGGCTTTGAGGGTTGGTCTGGTGAGATGCATTGTTGGCAAGAACCAGGTTAAGAGGAGAAGAATGATAATGATGATAGTAATAAGCTCAAGTGTGGTTTGTTGGTGTGGTAGTGGGGATGGTTGTGTCCATGAGTTCAATCTGATTGTTGAGGAAATGAAATAAGGGAGAATGGTCGATGTGTTGGTTGTTTATTCTCTATTCCGTTGGAATACAAAGTACTCCTAGTGACTGCTAAGATCTCTATCTATGGCGATGATCAAATTAGAGTTATGGACCTGAATAGCTTACATAAGATCCATCCAGTCATCCATAGTTACAGGATACTTATACTTATACTTCTTTCTCCTGAACACTACATACTGGTCCATTGACTGTACCTGATACCTATAATCTAGTATATATAATATACTATCGTTAGATGATACTATTGTATTAGGTAGTACAGATACCCATCACCGGGAGTTTCGCAGGTATCTAGCTACATCATACATTATACTTCCATGGGGTCTAGTATATAGGTATGTAGCTGCGTATCGGATTCACCAGCTGGAATGTACTATTTGTTGATACTATTTCGTTAGCAATATCAATATATAAGTAACTCTTCCTCCACTTAGATACCACTCATAGTATCTCTACCATTTCGCTACCGTTATAACACACCCGTACCTTATCCATCTAATATGATTTGTAGGTAAGTGCGAGGCAAGGATTTTATTAGTCTAAACATTGCCACTGATGATGATGATTATCGTGATATCAAGAATAAATATACAAGAGGATCACGCCCTGCTATGAATGTATCCTGCGTAGTAGCCGTGAAGGGAAACACTCCGACAACTTCCATGCAACTACGGAGTTCCATACCATTGCTCTGGTATCGTTCACTAGAATCAAGTATATGCTTTCCTCGGAGTAACTTGAACTGGTGAGATTAAGAACTACTGATGTATCGAGGATACCCGGTCAGCTGCTAAGTCCTCGACAGCAACTGCCATCTATTTTTCGGCCCCAACACCATCCAGATGAATGTATGCCTCAACGCCAACCAAACAATGCCACACGCTGAACTGCAATCAGAAAGAATCAACGCCACCAACCATGACCCCAGACCGTAATCAAAAAGTCGACGACCGGGCCCCGTCAGTCCGCGCCCCGTCAGTCGGTGTCACGCTCTCGCGCACGTAGAGAATCGGCGCCCACACCTTCCAGTGTAGCACGCCCATGTGCGCCAGTCGCATCGAGATCCGCTCGACGTCATAGTGCTGCTGTCCCATGGATGCCGGTGGCTGGTTGCGCTGCGACTCGCAGATCGCCAAGGGGGACATGTTCAGGTACTTTTTCGCCGTCGCAAACGTCGCTCCCAGTAGCCTCTCGCGCAGGGAACCCTGGAAGTACTGGAAGAGGTAGGACTCGTTGGAAAGGTGCCACTCCAGTGCCGTTTCAATCGGCGCAATGACATCGTCCGACACCGATCCGTCCTGGAAGCACGCCGCGCACGCAAAGCGCGCAATCTCCAGCGCAATGCAGCGCACGTTCTTCAGCCACAGCGGCGACCCGCGGGGACACTCTTCGTTCTCTTCCATCAAGGATCCAATCCGCGTGCGGAACGTCGCGTACGTTTGCGCCGGCGCCGAGAGATATCGTTTTTGCGCGTTGACGTACGATTCAAAGATGAACCAGCAGATGTCGAGGCTGATCAGGTTTTGAAGACACGACCGCAGCTGCCACAGCCGGTCCGAATCAAAGACGAACGTTTCGGGGAACCCTTCCGGAGGGTGGAACTGCAGGAGAAAGTCGGAGATCCCGCCAAACAACAAAGAGATCGGCCAGAACCCGTCCACCGGCACTGGCTTCGCCATCTGGCGCAATTCCCGGTCGCGGAGATCCAGATACCACAGTCGCGACGCCTCGACGCGGAAGTTGTCCCTCTCAATTTTGCTTCGGAAATACTCCTGCAGAAACGGAACCGTGTCTTCGATGAGCAGCACCCGGAATGCGCGGATCTGGTGATTGGCAACATCCTAGACTGGTCAGTGACGTCCGGTGACAAAAGCTCTCCAATCCTTACCAGTTTCATCGCCTCCAGAATTGAAAACAGCGTTTGGAGTCCGCCGACAATCTCGAGCGAGTTTTGTGTCTCCGACCCCGACCGGATCTGCTCGACCATGCGATCCGCCCATTCATCGCGCATGGGCGCGCAATGCGTCTTGAGCAGTGCCGCCAGCCAGCGCGCCACTCCGACCATGTCCAGCACTCCCTTCTGTATTTGCTGCATCAGGAGCGTCACTTCCAGGTTTTGCACCACTCCCGGATGATCGCGCTCGGGCACGAGGGTTTTCAGAACGTCTTGCAAGGTTTCGAACATGGCCGGGAGTCGGGGTTCAAAGGTTTGGGGCGGGCGATTCGGCGAGCCATGATCGTCGGTGTCATGCACGGCGCCAAATGCGTAGATGGCAATCTCGACGGCCATGGCCTCCCAGTAATCCGCGGCCTCTTTTCGTTTGCGGCGACCCTTTTCCCCATCCAAGTCGGGTTTGAAGTGCAGATCTCGGTCAAAGTTGGCGTCCATTCGGAGGTTGATGTTGCTCATGATGCAGGGCAGGTCCAGTTCACTCAACGTGCTCTTGGTCACTGGCGGATACCGTTTGGCGGTCAGTAACAGTCGGTGCTGGTTTGCGCTGAGACCCAGGGCCGTGGGGATGTTCATGGCTTGCGGCGAGGGCGCCAGAGCTCGGGCTGCTGCCTGCAGGGAAGGCGAGAGAGTCGGGGCGACCCCGTCATGGTAGGCGAATTGACCAGGTTGGCGTCGCTGGCGCATGTCGGTCGAGTCCGAATGGCTACTGGCATCCCGGTGGTCCAAGGAGTCGTTTTTAGGAGAGTCCTTCGCATGGCCACCTCCATATGCTTCCAGGGGGCATTCAGAATTCTCTTCTTGCTTGCCCGGCGTATTCCGCCGGGCCTCCTTCGTTTTTTGAAGGTCCATCTCCATCGATCAAGTGTAGGCAGCAGCAGCAGCAGCAGCAACAGCAACAGCAACAGTCAAGTGCACTGCGACGATCCAGAATCGTCGGTAGTTCGGAGAATGAACGAGGACCTGGAGACAGCGATTAGATCGTGGGGGTCACGGGCATTTCCTGGGCGATGGACGCAAGGCACGCAGCCCTATACCGAGATCCCTTCCACGGCCCTGCGATCAATCCTTGCCTGCGGTGGACAGGCACCCAGGCGAGGGAGGGAGAAATAGTACGCACTCGAGGTTGGTCAACGACGGCGATCGTCAATGCCGATCATCCAACGGGCAATCGTGGACGCCGGTCAGGTCAAAATAGTGTTTCGATAGTAGTGAGACCCTGGGTGAACCTTTTGGGTCACAGCTGCTTCCCTGTTTTCCCCCCTCGAGTTTAATGCTTTTTTTCTGTCTGCTCCCTACCAAGTGGGAAGGGACGGAAGTCACAGGCAGCAGAGGGATGAAAGGGAGCAGGTCCAATGACTACGCGCGACAGCAGAAAGGCAAGGAAATAGCAAACAATGGCGAGCAACAGCAGTCCAGGCAGCCGACGACGTCCAGAAGCAGCAAATCGGGACGGACCACTTGACAAAGAGACCGGGATGTCAGTGTGTTGATATAGCCAATGACAATGCCATGCGGGTTCGATTTAACGGCGTTCGGGGACAGAGGCAGACGGTAGAAGAACAAGGATTACACGCCCGCAGCAGGCCGACAGACAGACCGACGAGAAGGGGAAGAAAGAAGAGAAAGCGAGCTCTGTGCGGCGGCGATATGGTGGTAGAAGTCGGCCAACATGGATCGACTAGTCAGAGGCACGACTGCCTTTTGCAGGACCGCTGGGAAAAGTGAGGCTGATCTAATCTAGACGCTTGCAGCAAGCTACGAACTTTCCGGGGCGTGTTTCGCACCTGGGAACGGGCGCCGACAAGAAAGGAATATTGGAAACGTTTAAGCAATAAGAACCGCTGGGTGGCCGCTGGTCCAGCGATCCCCTCGTCACATAGTGGATGACGTGGGATGCCTCGGGGGGATGGTCGCTTGCAACTTGCCAGGAAGTGGGTAAAGAGCAGGACTGATCATGATCCTGATCCATTCCTTAACGGCCGCGCGAGGGCGCGAGGAAAAGTCAAATCTCACGCCCCCCGACAATCCCTGACTGCGTCCCCCCTCCCTCCGCCCCAGCAGCATTCCTCCAACGACGGGGGGCCGGTATCGTGTGCGATCTCAAGGTCCGGGCGTGTGCCGGTGCCACTGCTGGTACCCGGACATGGTGCCAGAGCCAATGTGATAGGGAGGGATGCCCTCCAGGCTCCCACGTCCTCCAGTCTCCAGTTTCAACAGCCCGGCCACGACGCCACCCTTCAATGCTGGGTGTCGGGTTCTATTCGGCCAGGAGCAAAGTGGGAGATCATCGAAAAAGAAAAACCATAATTTAGGTGGGTGTGCAGGAGCCGGACACAAGCACGGAGTATACATGCGCCCTCCGTCCATCGAGGGCATTCGGTGTATTCCCACTGAATCCTGTGCAGATGGACGATGCAGCCTGCCGTCCCCGGTGTTCAGATCAGTTGGGACGACGGATCCATCTTGTCCCGGCTTTGTCCAGGTATATTGCTTTTGGGCTTGGGTGTTTTTTTTGGTTTTTTTTTTTTTTTTTTTTTTTGTCTTTCTTTTCTTTTTCCCTTTCTTGCTGGGTGGGTTTTGGAGGAAAAACCGGGCAAGCAGGGGGCACCAGGGGACATCAATAGCATCCGGGCATTCCAGCCCTTCATGCATTCAAAAGTTCCCCCCTGGAACTGCCTTCGTCATCGTTGACATACTGAAGAAGCTCGGGATATAACCCGGTCACATCATCCATGTTTTCCGATCAGATCATTCTTCTCCTTTGACTTTCTTGGTATATCCCCCAAACCGGAAAAGAGTCCGTCAACGGCTCTCTCATACCATCCAGGCTGGCCTCGTGTGGTGACTTTGTGGATGGTCGTCTAGTCGCCTGTACCCTGTCAGGTACCAATTAATTGTCCCTGTGGCCTGCGCCTTCAGCCCCTACAGGATGCTTCCCGTCGGTTTGTTTGCGATCGAAACACTGGCTCATGCTTCATCGAAACCTTAAAAGTCCAGCATAGGACTCATCATCTACTCCGTTCGATCGCATGTAGGATTGACGGTGATAGTCTTCGGCTGGATTCCGTTTTGGTCCACCGACATTTCCAAGCCGCGATCCAGTCCTGGTCGGTGACCGCCGACGGAAGATTGCGCTACAAGACCCCTATTCTTCACCACCACCACCACCACCACCGCCGCCGCCGCCGTCCTCCGTTGTAGCGGCAACAGCGTGGGAGAAAGGCCAGAACCCGTGACCAGGTATCGTCCATCCCGACCATGGATTGGTTCCTTTTCGAGGTGGGACATGGGGATGTTTTCCCGATCCACCCGCCCTAACAGAGCAGATTGATAGAGAAAACCCACCAAGAGTCTCGGTCAGAGTGGATCACACGCGTGGTGGCATCGGTAGACCAACCCGAGTCAGCGACAGCCCTGGTCCCCCAGTTCTTAACCACAATATCAGAATCCGGCCGGCTTCCCCCTGCCAGTGGGTTCAAGGAGGTATGGATTATTGACTGACTCCGACCGCTCCGTCAGGAGCAACCTATCGATCGGCATCGTAAGATTATTATTTAAGCTCGGAGTCTCCTGGCGAGTGGAATCTTAAAAGGTCCCAAGGGTGGATCCCAGGGAGGTGCCTGGCGACGAAAACGGAGGGGAAGCAGACAATGTGGCTGGATCATATCCAAGGCCGCGCGCGAATAAAGGGGCTTCACTGCTGGACTCTGGCGTGCGCTTGGCGCCTCACTTTGGTAGCGCACCGATCACAACGATTAGATACTCCACGCGCACTCGCCTCATTCTTCCGGACCGGGTCGGAGCAGCAGCAATTGGAAAGCCAAGGCTGTTTGCAAGCCCGCTGGTATAAAGAGCGGTGTTGGGGGCAGACCCAGTTCGTCTGGGCCTGCTGCAGGCGACACACAAGATGTATGCCGAACGGTGCCATCATTGGTTCCGTGCCTAGTTTTTCTACTGAGGCGGGGGGCGAAGCCACTTTCTCTCCGGCTGGTCAGCCTGACAAGGACACAGCCGTCAGGGCGGGAGGAATGATGTTATTCTTCTGGCCTCACGACACCGACTTTTCGTTGATGATCGGAGGTGATGCTTTAGCCGACACGGGCCAGACTGACAGGCAGCCGCGAAAGAAGCTGAGGCCAAAGATGAGAGGATACCATCCATCCCGTGACAGCACCACTGGCCCTAGCCCTGTGCCCCGTGCCCTATGCAGTCTGCAGTACATCTGTCACCACGGACATACCTACCACCTATAGCTCTCCACGGCGCCAGCATAGATCTCAGGTATAACTGACAGGAAGTATCTTCCATCGGTCCGGGAACAATATCCGGCATATGACCATAGGGTAAAAGGCCATTCCTTCGGCGTCTGTATATGCGATGACAGAATCCATTAGTTGCTTGCTTCGACGCCTGCTCCATTTGTACTAACGGATAGATCTTGCCATGCTGATCCTTCACTACTCTGTAGATTCGCACTTCATTTTCCTCAGATGTCCTCAGATGTTTCATTGAATTCTTGAGCCCTCGATCCTAAAGTACTTATTCTGCCGCATGCTCTTGATTCCCATTCAGCCAGACCGGACGATTCCATTTGTCACTCATTATATAGAGCACTTAGTCCAGTTTTTCTACATATCCAAGTATAGTAGGCACTACAACCGATGACTACTCTAGCAATATGGCTTAACAGCAGTCCAGTTCCACTTTGATACCACTGATGAAAGGCAAAGTCTCTTTTCAAACCGTCATTCAATAGCTGCATCATCCCATCCATCCATCCATCCATCCACTCAATGTCACTCCCCAGACGATACTCTCCACCATCACCACACCAACACCCAGGTCATCTGCCCAAGATCTCCGACCCCTCTCCCATCAAATTCCAACTTAACCAAACATACTGCATACCCATTCATCTACATTCCAAACCCCACCTTCTGCACCAGATCTTGTGCAACCCAAGGCCCCCCTCCCCTACCTCCTCAGCAACAGCCACAGCAACACCAGCAGCAGTAAGCAAAAAAAAAAAAAAACGCATCACGTATGTACTATGTACAACACACCACGACCCGTCCCACCGTCTAGCCCTCACCCGCCCCACCTCCTCTCTTAACCCCCTGCCACATTGGTATTTCAACCGTATTCAACGACAGTTTCTCAAGTCACACCAAATCCGCCCGCTTGCTGGCCGCCCTTCCATCCCCGGATGATGGGCGTAATTGGAATTTAGCCTTGGGATGGTAGGTATGGGGCTTGGTTCGTTATTCTATCTCCAACTTAGCTTAACATGACATGACATGACATGGGCGGTTCCTTTTCTGCTGTATGTGTGATAGAACGGAGTGCTCAGCTTGTAGAGATATGTAGGTTGTGGATTGGAGGGGTAGATTTATCTCACTAGATTCTACAGAGGAATATGTGTGGGGGTGTGTATATGTACATGTCTGGATAGTTCTGTTCAGTCTGCGTACTTGGTCTCTTGTTAAATAACAGAACAGAATATACCCCACACCTCGATCCCCCCACGTTGAAAGAATGAATGTACTCAAGCGGGCTGGTTGGTTAGTTGGCCCGAGCAAATACACCGAGTCCGTACTAACAGACACACAGATAGACAAAACTCCCAATTATACAACTGTGATGGATAGACAGGACGGAGTACCAGTAAGTACCAGCAGCATGACTCACGATAAGCTCCAAATGTAAATGTATTCCGGATGTGGCGACGTGCAGGAGATTTTTTGTTTGCTTGGGATATAGGGATGGACTGTATGTACTGGGTGGGGGTTGGGGGGGGGGGGGAGATGTTTGCTATATGCATGATATTGCCGGGTGTTGCGTCTCCTTGTTGATTTGCTTCGCTTTGCTTTGCTTGCTTCACTAAGCGAGCGACCACACAAGCAAAGGAATTGAATATACCGTAAGTAGTATCGGTATCACTGGTGCTGTTTTCCGGCTACTCCATTACATGGGATTTAGAATGCTGTATCTGGTATTGTCATCATCATTAATTGACACGCTATGCAAGGTTCCTGAGAGATAAGACCCGTACGCCGTCCGTCGCAAATCAAACCCAATCGAGTCCTTTTTATCCCCGACTCCCTGCGTTCCGAGTGCAAAATGGAGGCGGGCCTGAGAAACGAGAAATCGAACGAAAGAAAGAAACAACAAGGTTGAAGACCAACAACATAGATCGAAAGATGCGGATAGGCACGCAAAGTCACGGCTGGGATAGGCGGACTGCCGAAAGCCGTCCGGCGTTGGTTGGATCTCCAATATATCATAGGACTGCGTGGCCCCAGGCCCAGCATCCAAATTGGAGTAGCCATACCTCGCAGCAGACAATAGCACAATGTATGGAAAAACCCCATGCAACACATACTCCAGAAGAAGCGCCTCTTTTGAGGAGGCAAAGTTGGTGGCTACCACCTCACCGTCTGAAGAACGGTGCCTGATTGGGCATCGAGAGCAACGAGTCAGCTCTCTGAAATACATCGCCTTCGAAGAATTTGTCACTGTACGCACTCGCGGGGGTAGATGGCACCGTCGCCTGCGCCGCTGGTCCAAGGGCAGCACTCAGCGGTGTCGCAGGGAGATGGATCGATTGTGGGGATGCACTGGAGTTGATATGAAAGCTGCTCGAATTCGACACGGACGTCTGGTGCTGCAAATGCTGGGATTGCAACGGTGGCCCGTAGATGTTGGCCGGTGCGTTGCCGGGGGCCATATCTGCAAGATAAGACCACGGCGAAGCATCGATCAACCGACCAGCTTCCCGGCTGGCCCTCTGCACGGGACGAAGGATCACAATGAGGTCACCGGGAAGAAGCTGCATACCTCGAACTTCCCGCATGTCGGTAACGAGGTCGACAAAGGACTGCATGAACGCCTTGCAAAGTTGCCAGAACTCCCGCTGGTTCCGCATTCCGCCGCCGGGCTCCTTCACCTTCATGTTGGAGAGACGAAGCCCCAGCGCCTCGGAGACTTCCAAGCACACTCGACACCGGCGAATCAGGTTGTTCCATAGCATCAAGATGCCTTCCGTTTCGTGTTCTTGCTCCGCTACCTCATGGCATCGCACCAGCTGACGGCGCGCCAAAGGCAGCGCTTGGAGGGCGGCGGTGTAGGCGGAGGTAAGCTGGTAGAAAATCTTTTCAAAAATGCGCTCCTCTTCAATTTCATCCAGGCCCGTCAAAGGATTGATCCGAGGGACAACGGCGCTGGGCATTGGGGGGAAGGACTCGCCTGAACGAGGAGTTGCGAGAGAGGACGGCACCGAGGTATTGATATGATTAGACCGGCTGCTCGACCGGCTCCGGGCGCCAAAGCTAAAAGGCGTTGGAGCAAACCCAGGCGAGCTGACGGCAGATTGGTAGTTCTGGGCCGCCTGGAAAGGCCCCGTCGTAGTGATCTGGGGGTGCTGGATTGTGGTGTCGCTTCGGTACCGACGCGTCGACAAAGATGGCGCTCTCCCCCGTGTTGGAGTGACGGTGGGCCCCAGGAATCGGTCCGAACCAGCAGACTCTTTGATTTCCGGTATAGGCGGCTTCGCCACAGAAGGCCGCTTGCGAGCTTGGAGGGGAACGCGCAAGCTCGCACAGGCGTTGCGCAGTTCAACCACGCTGCCAAATATCATAAGCATCAAGGAACGCAGGTAGCGGGGGTCGCCGTTGGTGACGATCTTGTCGATGCTGTTACGCAGTTGGGTTCCCACATGGGTGTACGCGATGATGCATGTTTCACATTCCCGTTTGACAGCCTCATTCGATGTTCGCACGGCGTCCACATCACCGGAGCGACTATGCTCCGCATTTTCAATGGCCTCATTCAGTCGCTCAACGTGGGTAGAGGCATTGTAGAAGACGATCTCGAGACTGTTCCGCCGAGCATCATCGCGTTTGATCACATTGATCAGGGAATACACATTCGATTGGACCTGGAAAAGGGCGAACAGAATCCCCTTGGCACACTCAATGATCGGCTCTGCTCTTTCTCGTTCGCCCTTATGTTCCGGGAGACTCGACATCCGATTCACAAAGCCATCCTTTAAGCGCCTGCGTTCCCTCGGGCTACTGGGACTGGAGGAGTTGCTGTTACACACGGCTGCAATGGGCCTCGTGCGCAGAATCGAGCCGTAACTGAGACCCCGTAGATGACTGTTCCGGTACGGTCGCGTCTCGTCCAGCGTCCCTAAATCGGTATTCTTCCGAATGACCCCCATCCGTTTGTTGCGCGCCGCGAGCGAGGCCTGGATGATCCCTTCGCTGTTGCTCCGGTTGCGTTCATTGACTCCAGCGATAGGCCGGGCCCCGGGCCGTGGGAGAAAGCCGCTGTGAAAGACCGAGTGCTGCCCCGAAGCGATGCGGTAGTGAGATTTGAGAGGAATCGGCGGGGGTCGAGACAGTGACGGTGACTTGGGATCCGAAGAGATGTCACCGGTGCTTGGGATGACAGGAAACCGACTGCTCACTCCGCGTTTGACGGGCTTAGGCGTGTCCAACATGCCCTCGCTGGAAAGCCAGTGTGAGCTGGTGACATCTGGATGAGGGTCAAGTCCGTACCTGATCTCGTGCCTCTCGCTTTCCAGAGCCGTAACGGGCTGTTTGGTCTTCAAGAACCTCTTGAGTTCGGCAGTGACCGCGACTTCTTTCTCATTGTCTGTCATGGTCGAGGGGGCAAATTCTGTCTCAGAGGTCTCGAGAAGCCGTCGCAGGGGGCCCCGCAAGGGGTTGCCGGCGACTTTGAGAATTTGAAGTTTATTCATGTCGGAGATCCCTAGAGGCAAATCGTCAAGGCGGTTTTGCATCACCGATAAAACCCGGAGAGAGGACAGTTTCTTGATTTCTTCCGGAAGGTGGCTGATCTTATTGCGACTGATGTCTAATATCTCAAGAAGCGGCAACTTGTATACCTACATGTAGAGTCAGAGATTACGAACTACCACATAGGCTGGTTGAGTACGTAACACTCACCCCTTTGGGGAATTCTCGAAAACTATTTGCCCGAATATTGAGATAACGAAGATGGGAGCATTCGGCAAATCGGTAGGGGATATGGAAAAGATGGTTGTTCGATAGAGAAAGCCTGTCGGCCGTTAGTTGTCTGGATGCAATAGTCATGGCGATCATAGATGAAGCCATTAGGTCCTACACACCTTTCCACTTCATCCTTGATGGTGTCCACTACCGCCTCGGGTATGCGGACAATGTTGGAGTGGCCCAAATCGATGGTCAACTTGGGTTTCACCACATCGCTGACTGCCTCGCTGCCAGCCAAAGAGCGTTTGGTCTCTTGGATCCCATTCTCCACGGCACGACGTGCCAATTCAATCGTTTCATCCGGTGACAAAAGACGGGGACCCGTCTGATGTTTGCCGAGGCTACTGCTGCGCCCATCCCCGGCAGACCCATTTACTAGTGTCATCTCATCTTCGCTTTTGGTCGCTCCATCGTTGTTAGAGGAAGAGGAGGAGGAAAGTATGTTGTGTTCCGGAGTTCGTCTGTTCACATCATCCTCGTCCACGTCACTGCGGTACGAGCGAGGCATCCTGATGGCGTCCTCCGGGCGGATCATTGTGGACAGCATGGCTGAGGATATTGAAAAGGAGGGAGCCAACCAGTTGACTTCGGTTAACTCCTAATGGAGTCGAAATTCGAACAGTTGATCAGTTAATCAGAGGGTCACCGAGACATGCATTGAAACCGGAACGAAGCATGATCAACAGGCGCTGCAATAGCGGCGGAACCGTCAAGACCGAAGGAGGTGAGATGCCATGCAGAAGTGAAATGGGTGTAGAGTTGACTCCAGGTTCAACGGCGGCGCGAGGCTGGCCAGAGCGCTTCCGTTGGGCTTCAAACGGACGAGGACCCGCTCGGGTTTGAAGGAGGAATCGGAGGTAGGGAGGGACCGTAGGATGAGCTTTTGCGCGATCGCTGGTTGAGCTGTCGAATTGACAGGTTGTATCAGAGGGCTCAATCACCCAGTCGGTTGTCCTCGGTGCCAAAAGATGGGGGAGGGTGAGCAGTGAAACGCGAAGAGGTGCAGCTGTCAGATGAGAGCCACCGCCCGACCGATCATCCAAGCATGCAGGAGGAATGACCTTCAGACTGTGAAAACTCCCGCTGCCAAGGAGGTAGACGCCGATGCCAATGGCCAGGATAATCTGCAGTCTCTTGCAGGCCGAACAAGCCGATTGACAAGCAAGTCAGGATGGATGAAGAACTGCCGTCGCTAACTTTCTGGGGGTGCCGGGCGCGATAAGTCCGCCCCGATGATTGGCCCAGGGGACATCCGGCAAACACACCTGAAACACCACTATTGTTTGAGGTTCGCAGGCTCACGAACTGCCCGGTGACCTTGTAGAAATGTTCTCACAGTTTCAGAGGTGGGATGCAGAGCTACAGCTGCACTTGGCTAGTCAGCATAGCGGATGCTAACATAGTAACAAATCTATACATATGACCCAAGGATCTTATTCACAACCAGGATATAAAGAAACACAGAACAAACAACAGAGAGCAACCCAAGAAGAAAATGAAGACAATCCAGTAGTGTACATAAGCCATAAGAGAGTCTGGCAAAGCCCCTCTCTTCCGGGGTTGACTATACTAAACTCCTAACAAGGACAGCTGCCCCGGGTTCACGCTGCTTGTCCAGCCTTGTCCACGACACCATCTTCCAAGGCTTGTTCTGGTTCCTCAGCAGCAGCAGCAGCCTGGACTTCCGGATTCCCAAGGAATGCAGCCAATCTCTGGTCTGAAAGTTGGGCTTCTGTCTTGGCCCACTGTTTCCAACGCTCATACTCCCGGTTCTCGAGCTCCATACCGATTTCTAGGCGTGTCGGTCCGAACACCGCACCAGTAGCTTCGGCCTCTTCGGCAGCAACACGTCGCTCAATGTCTTCCTGTAGACGGAGGCGGTAAAACTCGCGGCGTGCAATATCATAGGCGGCGCTCTTGGTCATATCGGGGACATTATTAAGGAGCCAGAGCTGTCGCTGAACAACACTATTCGGCAGAAGCCAAGAACGTTAGCATCATCGGACTAGATGCGAGCCCCTCCCGCCTTGAAGAAGAACATAAGACGTACCTCTCACCATCCAGACTCTTTCCCGGTTGCTGGAGCCGGCTCCAGTTATATCTTTCAAAATCCTTGCCGGACTTTTCGACGAGGATTCGGGGTCGTGCCAATTCCCAGGGGTGGTCGCGGAAGAATTCCTTGCGCAGCTGATCTTCCTCGTACTTGATTTCAACAGGCATGAACATGCGGCTTGCCTTCTTCGGCTTGACGCGTTTCTCCTGGACTTCGAAGACGGCCTGCGGCTTCGATGCACCGGGGATGGTTTTCAGACGCTGGCGAACCAGTTGGTGTTGTTGGGGCTGATTCCGCACAAGAACCTGGGCCGGAGGGACGTCGTGCATTACATCCAGCCAGCGGGGGGGATCTGTAACAGCACTACGCTTTGAAGCGAGCTGCTCTGCCACAGCGAGTTTGCGAACCCGGAGGGCCGCGAGGTTATATCTGCCCATCGTGAGAGCCGGTGCAGAATCTGCGAATAACAAGCAGGCAGTCGGAGAGCAGCACCGACAGGATCAATTGGCCGGGGATCGCGGGGGGTCCGTGGCAGGCTTTGGGCGGTTCAAGTGGTGGTTCGGGATCCAGATGATATGAGCGCAGGGTGCAAAAAAGAGGATTGGCAATGCGCGCCTCCGATTGGCCCGCCGGCGGCTCCGCCCGGTGCAAAGCCAGAGACAAGCCCAGCGAAAGCCCATAATAATAATTTGACCCGGAGCTCACCTCGCTGTCTACTCCCTCACCTAGCATCCCTCTGCCCACTGGGATTCCTCCAGGCCACTCGTGCTCCCCCTGCCTTCTTCCTGACTTACGGCCAGCCGCGCTTGAAAAGCAGCCGGCTCCGTCCTCAGTTAAACTGCTCGAGTTTTCCTCGGGACATGCAGGGCTGATCCAATGCCACGATGTCTGCCATCTCATGCCTCCTCCCAATAGGTACCAGAGCTCACCCGACCTGCGACTACCCCCCTCGCAGCAGTTGGATACGAGCCTTCCCGCCCGCTACGCTTCGATGTCAACCCCCGACTCGTTCTCCTACAATGCCTCTATCAGACGACTCGGTTCCAGGCGTGCTCGCCCTACCGCGGCGTCGTTAGCAGACCTTTTCGTCGGCTCCTTGGTCATGGCAGGGTACTGCCATGAACACGCCCCTCGCGCCAGGCGGCTGTCTACAATTCCCATGAATAATCCAGGGGGCAACGTGGTTAGATGGCAGGACCGGCGTTTGGCACACCGCAGGCAATTGTCGTCAAAACATCGTCTTGATTGTCTAGGCGCATCAGCGGGGGCGCTGCATCATTCAAGTGCACAACGAATGATTAATTCCGGGGTTGCATTGAGAGTGGAAGATGATGATGGCCAAGAGAGCCGTTTTGCGAACAGCCCGTCCAAGCGCCCTTCATTCGACAAGCGTTACCAAGGCACGAATACGAATTCAACGTTACAACACCAAAATGCTGGGTTGCAGGAAACATCTCTGGAAACATCTAGCAGACAGATACCAACGGCAGATACGAACCCAACCAGCGCAGATAGCTCTACTGCGAGCCTCAGCACCCCTGAAGGTGAGGGAATGAGCAAGCCAGAGAAATATCGTCACTACAGGAGAACGAGTCCAACCAAGAAGACATACATATCAACCTCGCACGTATACCGAGCTGCCTTTGGTGATTCACTCAACTGGAAACAGGCAGTTGATCTTGTCGCTCATGAGGCACCAAAGGCGTTGCCCGCTATTGATGCCTCCCAGAAGAAGGTGGACAACTCGCGCGATGCCTTGGAGTACCGTTCCGTCGAGATCTTTTTGGACGCTATGTGGGACGAAAAGATCTCCAACCATTATGTCTTTCGACTCTACCGAGATCTTCCTGCCCCCGGAGTTGCGTACTTGTCCAAGAGCTCTCGGGGGGCTCTCTTACGTCGATTCGCCGATCCTCCGCATCGCCGTTGGGTCGATTCTCGGCGCTATCTTGCGTTGGTGGATGATATGGTTGCTGCAAAGCTGCCCATGTCCCTCTCACTGTGGAGTTCCGCTATACATCTTGCAGGCCGGGCATCAGGCAAGGTTCGCCAGCGAGATTTGGTCAAGGCGATTGGTATCTGGCAGCAAATGGAACATTTGGGAGGTATCAAATCCGATGGCGTTGTATTCACCATCCTCTTCGATATTGCCATCAAAGCGAGCCAGTTCACTGTTGCGGAACGACTATTGGAAGAAATGAAGAAGCGTAATATCCAGTTCCGTCGCTTCGGGAAGGTCTCGCAGCTGTATTATTGTGGCATGCAAGGGGATGTTGCTGGCATCCAGCAGGCGTTCGAAGAATTTGTGTCGAGTGGTGAGATTGTTGACACGGTCGTCATGAATTGCCTAATGGCGTCCTTCATTCGCGCGGGGGATGTGGAAACAGCACAGCAGATTTATGCGCAAATGATGGAGGCTCAGGCTACCTTGCAGCAAGCAGGCGACCAGAGTCTCGGGTCGCAACATCCAGGAAGTCCCAATCTTGTGTCAGAGATGAACCTATATCGAAGCCGAGTCAGAAAGTTAGGTCGGGTTCTGCAAGAATCCACATCACTCCAAGGCATCCTGCCTGACCACCATCGGGCCCTTCAAAATTCAGTTCGGGCGATTCCTGACACGCGGACGTTTCATATACTTCTCTCGTTGCACGCCCACAAAACGGCCGATATACATGCATTTATGTCTGTTCTTGCAGACATGGAGAAAGTATTTGTGGTGCCCCCGCGTGGTATGATCTACCTTTTACTTTTCGATGGGTTCGCCCGAAACGGGCGCCACCGCAAGGGCTGGACGGCCGAACGGTTGCAAGTGACATGGAAAGCCTATCTACGTGCTCTCTATGAGTCAAGGGGGCGACTCACTGAAATGTACCGCAGTCATCAAGGGAAGCCGGTTGCGGAGAATGCGTCACACGGTGGCCCCGTCGCTCTCGACGTAGGCTGGCCTTCTATCTCGCGAAAGCCAAGCGGCCTATATACACCATTGCCCTTGGCTGGCACCGCTACCAAGGGGTCTGGTGATGTTCGAAATCAGGAACAGCAAGTCATGGAGCCGTCGGACGAGGATATCGATATTGACGAATTGTTCAAACAGCAAGCTCAGAACCCACAGCCTGAGCCGCAAGCGTCGGAAGAGAATGAGCGTCGGATCGAGAATGGCGTATTTCTCGGTCGCCGGATGATCATCATCATTCTCCGGGCATTTGGCGCTTGCTGTGGACCGGACGAGCTCACGAGGGTCTGGCTGCAGATCGAACGGATCTGGCAGCCCGAGAAGCGCAAGGCGCTGGACGTCCTGGCTGTCAAGGAGGAACTAGAGAGGCAGATGAATAGACTCCAAGGGCGTTACTAAATAAAGGGGACTAGGAATGGGACGGGGATGCATGTATAGTATTATAGACCTGTTATATATACCCTCAGGCGCAGCCTGATTACGGTGTTTCCAACGGCACCCTCGGCGGATGCCGCTTGTTTTCCTGTACAGTGGACAAGCTCATGTGTTTTTACTATTACTTTAGTTTCTGAAATCACTTAAAATGCATACATTTCCAACTCTCCCTGGTAAACTGTCTACTAAATTCACGAATAGCCTGCCTTCCCAATTGGGACTATCAGTGTCACGTGGTCCGTGTGTCGTTCCTTCCGCATTCCCTCACTTCTCCCGCCGGTGGATCGGTTCCTGACTTTCCCCCCCGTGTTTGTTTCCCCTCATCGCCGGTGCCTTCTGCAATGCTGCAGAAATGGGCAGCAGGAGTCTCAAGCGCCAGAAAGTGGATCTAGATTTCTACCTCCGCCGAGTCTTTCAGAAGAAGTCGTTTCGGTATGTTCCAGCCGTCCACCAATCTCTAATCTAGAACCCGAACTAAACGGACTATATAGTCCCCTCCAGCGTGAAGTGATCTCCGCAGCGATTGACGGCCACGATGTGTTTTTGCAGGCAAACACTTCCTTCGGGAAAAGCCTGTGCTTCCAACTACCTGCAGTGATTAGCCATGGCGGTTGGTCCTCCATCATCCGTTTGGTCACTCCGCTTCCCAAAATGCATCTAACACCCTCTTAAGTGACCATCGTGATCTGCCCTTTATTGGCGTTGATGGTCAGTTTCTAAGACAGGTACATTCGTGAGCGGCTCTAATGTACCACGCAGACAGATCAGGTAAAAACACTCCAAGCTCTAGGAGTTGCAGTAGCAACGATCAACTCGACAACTCCCATTACCGAAAGACGTCTAATCTTGGATGATCTACTGTCGGGCCATCCCAAAACCCGGCTCCTCTACGTAACGCCGGAGCTCTGCCAGACCGAGATGTTCCGACGCAATCTCCAAACCATTCACCACCAGGGAGAGCTAGTTCGAGTTGCTATCGATGAAGCCCATTGCATTAGCGAATGGGGTCATGACTTTCGGCCCGCATACAAAGAGTTGGGTTGGTTTAAGCGAACTCTGACCAATCCACCGGTCCCAATCAGTGCCCTTACAGCGACTGCAACACCTCGTGTCCGGGAAGATATCATCAAACTCCTTGGATTGGACGCTTCCCAGTTGAAGATCTTCAATACCCCTTCTGCACGTCCAAACATCCACTATGAGATTAGGTATCTTGATGATTTTGCTAGTGACCCTACAGAGCCGGAAGGTTTCCAGATCAACAACCTTGTCTCATGGCTACAGTCTGTTCAGGCTCGAAGAGAGGCCATAACAGCGGCTGCTCCTGCCACTCTTCCCCCAGTATCCGGGATTATCTACGTGCCTCTCCGAACCGTCTCGGACAAACTTGCCCCTGCCCTCGCAGCAAGTTGGCCAGGCCGCATTCACGCAGTGGCTTACCACGCTGGCCTATCCTCTGAAGATCGAAACCGCATACAGTCCGAATGGACATCGTCCAAGATCTTCCCTCAACACACAGACAATAACGAATCACCACAGGTGCCAGCATTCTATATAATCGTCGCTACTACTGCGTTTGGCATGGGCATCGATAGCCCCCACGTCCGCTTTGTTATCCACTGGAGCCCGCCGCGGAGCTTTGAAGGGTTCGTCCAAGAGTCTGGTCGTGCAGGTCGTGACGGCCGTGCTGCCGCATCAATCGTCTACTACAATACTCAAGAGCGCGACAGGATTCTTGACCGTCTGCAGCGAGACATCGAGAACGCTCGCAACCGCACTGGCGGCCAAATGAATCATCAGAACACCAGGACACAGACCACTGTTCAAAATCAGCTTTCTAGACTCGCAAGCTTCGAGAAAGTGATCAGCTACTGCGAGAATACTACACGATGCAGACACGACCTGATAAAGGATTTCTTTGGAGACATCGAGCTTGAGAAGATGGGCTCCCAGGCCCCTACATCGTCTGGGGCGCATTCCAGTGGGCCAAATGCCTCGCCATGTGACTTTGCTTGCGACTTTTGCAAAGAAGGCCGGCATGCCCTTGCCAAGCGGAAGGCGAAGATGGCACCTGAAAGTCGCCCGGACGACTTTGTCGATATGAACGTACCGTGGTACATGCAAAAGATGTTCCCTGGCGTATTTTCCTGAGACTGAGACCTGGGGGGGGCCTGAAGTCTTGTATATGGATCTCATGAATATTCCGGGATTCTCTCAACCGCTCGGTATAGAGATACTGTATCTTGCAGGTCTACCACTTCAGTATACCGATACTATTATGACCGTTATTTCTCGGATCAGTGTACGGCGAAGGAACCAGTATGATGATTCAATGGCTGGAATGAGATTTTTACGTTGGCCCCCAGAGAGCAGGTGTCATCCTACCAGAAACAACTCAGGGAGAACGCCAGGTAGATCGCTGGGAAAAAACAGCACCAAATCTTTTAAACATCAAGGAATAAGCGCAGACTTCCGACTTTGCTCTACAGACTTTGGCAACGCAGATCAAACCTCGGTTGGATGAGAACGACAGATCCACCAGGACGCGAGGGACTAAAGTTACAGACGGCCGAGATGCGACTATGTGGTCGATTGGTTCGCTGGCAGGCAGGGTATTTCGTTGCGCCCGCATAACATCACCTGCTTCGTATTCGTATATAAAGATAACTTTCCTTTGTCTCTAGGCTATGTTGTGATAGCTCCTTGATCATACTGTCACAGTCCTGGAGGGGGAGGGACCTAAAATTGAGCAAGACAATCAGTATCAGCGCTCGAACACGCGAGCTACATGTGCAAGATGGGACTTACCGCGCTATAGCTACCACCAGGCGGGGGAGGGGGTGGAGGAGAGCCGGATCCCGGAGGCGGAGGCGGAGGAGCCTCGCTGGCCGGTGGGGGCGGCGGAGGAGCAGGGCTTTGGGACTGCTGCTGCTGTTGTTGAGCGGCAGCTTGCTGGTAATACTGGTAATAGGCGACGTAGTTCTGGTATCCGCCGTAGGCCGCATACGGATCGGAGCCGTAGTACTGGGCATACTGAGCGCTGTAGTCTGGAGTGCCGGTTCCCGAACCGCTCGCGCCCGCGGCTTGTGTTGACGGACTCGCTGTCGCAGAGGGCGAGTTCTGGTGCTGATGGTTACTACCGTAACCACCACCGCCGCCGCCACCACCACCATAGCCTCCTCCGCCGTAGTGATACCGGTCTCCGCGCTGGCCGCCATAGCCACCGTAGCTGTGCTGAGGCGGGTTCTCCTTGAAACGCTGGTACTGTTCCCGGACATTGGCTAGCAGATCCTCACACAGAGCCTTTGCGCCCTGGACGTCGTTTGGATCGGGACCGCTGGAAAGTGTTAGATGCTGGGTATAGGTTTTGTTTGAGGGGGAGAGGGTAATCCCACTTACGCGACGTGCAGAAACATCGGCTCATCGCTTTCCCGGCCGGTACTGGGTTCCATGAAGCCCGAGCCACGGCCCTTGATTTGGACCTTGCACCGGGTCTTCTGCTGGATGTGCTTGACGTATGCACCGCCCTGTCCAACAACCTGGGCGCGGAGGTTGAATCCCGGGATCGGCTCGAGATCCACAGGAATCCGCTCCTCGGGCCATTTGCGCTGAATTTCATTAGTCCTTGATCCGGTAGGATAGCCTTGTGTGACCTGGTACATACACGGCCGTACTCATCCCGCTCCACTTGTTCGGGCTCCCTCCGACGGAATCTGCGCTCATCGACGAGATTGGGGAGCTCCTTCTTCATGAGGTCGTCGATCAAAGCGACGGCCTTTTCGAGGCCTTCCTTGTTCGTGCTCGTTACGTGGAGATAAAGCGGGGGGTTCTGCAGCAATGCCGGCAAGGCCTCGTGTTAGATCATGGCGTCCGGTCATTGGAGAAACAGGGTAGACGTACCGCCGCGGTGGCCATGCTCTTGTCCGGATAGTAATTCCCTCTGGTCGTGACATCTTAAAAGAATAAATCATGAGCTTCCTTCTTGAGTCAAACGTTGATAAAGTATAATATGGAATGAAGGCGTACCGGCGCCAGTTTCTTCTTTGATCTAGATATCACGCAGCGGAGGTCAGCAGATGCAAATGAGGGCAAGTGGGATGCTATGCATGATGTTGACTTGGGTAAGCTTTAGCCATAACCACACATAAAAACGAGGACAAAGGAAAGGAAACCAAGCCAAGGCGCAGGGCGACGACGGCAGCTAGCTTGCGACAAGTGTGCCTGGAGGATCAGCGGATGCAGTAGGAGTAATTACCATCTTCTGAGTAGAGCCTTTAGTCAGCGTGTAACGGTTGCGCAAATCATTAATCTCAATATCCTTGATGTAGTCTCCATCCGCAACATATATATCCGTGTTCAACTTTCCCGCAGCGTCTGCGCCGGGCGGCGAGCCGGATGGCATGGGGCTGGCGGTCTAAGTAGGAAGAAGAATTAGCTTTGCTTGCGTGGATCGAGTACCGAAGCAGTATGTCCCATGCTTACCGAGCGAATTGGGGGAACGTCGACATGTTGGATCCCTTCCTTTGCTTGCAACTGGGCGTTGATCTTCGCCGCGGCGGCCGCTGTGAATCATTCCATTAGTTCTGCTAGTCCCGCTCCCAATTCTTGCCACTATCCAATGGTGTCGAACGTACCAGCTGCGGCAGCGGGATCGGCCTTCTTCGCAGGATCTGCGCTAGGACTCCGAGGCTCACGACTGAGAGGGCTGCGGGCTCGAGTCGATTCGGACTGTCGCGACGACGGAGATCGAGAACGGCGATCGAAGCGCGATGGGCGTCGCACTTCCGGCTCGGTCTGATCGAAGCGGGAGCGTTTCGAGCGGCGGTCGTCCATGATGGTCTTAGGATTGCAAAGGGGGAGACAGGAAAGTGAGAGAAATCGAAAGACCCAGGTGAGGTGGGAAGGCAAGGCAGCAAGGTAGGCCCGAAAAGGCCAAGATAAACTTGCAAAGGACTTTCGCAGGCGGTGGAGTTTAGACGATCAGCCCGGTGGACGCTAGTGTAACAACCGCAGAACAGCAGCAGCAGTTGCAGCACGGGGGGGGACGCCGGCCTGGGACTCCGGAGAAGTTAGCGGCCAATGACAGCGCCCATGTAGGTAACAGACGAGAAAAGATTCCATACCGACCGTCTGCTTCCTAGGATCCGGGGGAAAGTGTTCGTCTAACGGAGCTGGACTAGACTGGATGGTCTCGCGAGACTCCCACTTGAATCGTTGCAGAGCGTGAATGCCACCGATCGTATCAGACAAATCGATCAAATTCACGACGATGAAGGAGAAAGAGCCCCGATCATGTGATGACCAGGGACTCCGTATAGATACAGGGGCACTAAGCCCCAAACAGGCAGACGGTATGGTCACGGCTGGTACAGACGGGACTGAGTCAGCGCAGTCCCCGAGGTCGGAAGGCCCGCCGGTATAAAATGCGCTCGATGACTGCGGACTTCAATCTCCGCCCCAGCTGAAAAGGACTGCTGCCCATTTCGCTCCGCCTGCCTTTCCTTCGAAGGCCAATCCGCGGCGATCATGGCTTTCCGGCGTCCTCTGATGCTGTCCTCGACAGCATCGGCGCCTTTCCTCTCCGTGACGAGCAGAACCTCGCGACTGGCCGCCTCTCTCCCCCGATTCACCACCACGTCCCTCCGGGCCTCCTCCTCCAGCTCGACCTCAGCCCTGGCTTACAAGGCCCTGCATCGCCGGTCGCCTCTCCCTCTGCCCGTCTCCGATGCCTCGCCGCAATGGGACGCCCCCACGGCCGTTTCGTCCATTCTCTACGAAACTCCCACCACGCCCACCAACCCTCCCAAGCGCCATATCCTGAACTGTCTGGTGCAGAACGAGCCCGGTGTGCTGTCCCGCGTGTCGGGCATTCTCGCCGCCCGTGGCTTCAACATCGACAGTCTCGTCGTCTGTAACACCGAGGTGGAGGATCTGTCTCGCATGACCATCGTCTTGCAGGGTCAGGACGGTGTCGTCGAGCAGGCCCGTCGTCAGCTCGACGATCTGGTCCCCGTCTGGGCCGTCCTCGATTACACCGACTCGGCTCTGGTCCAGCGCGAGCTGCTCCTCGCCAAGGTCAGCATCCTGGGTCCCGAGTTCTTCGAGGAACTGCTCCAGCACCACCGCGAGATCACCACCCCCGGCGATCCCACCGAAGGCCAGAAGGACAAGGCCGAGGGTCAGGTCGCGAAGCCCGAATTCCACCCTCGCAACCTGCCCCACAGTCAGGCCTTGAGACACAAACACGAGCATCTCGATGCTATCACTCGTCTGACTCACCAGTTTGGCGGCAAGGTTCTCGACATCAGCACCAACAACTGCATCGTTGAAGTGTAGGTCCCCTCCACCCCCCCCATCCAAAACAATCACCACCAATACTAACCCACAAACCAACCAGCTCCGCCAAGCCCTCCCGTATCGACTCCTTCATGAAGCTCATCGGCCCCTTCGGTGTCCTGGAGTCCACCCGGACCGGTCTGATGGCTCTTCCCCGTTCTCCTCTCTTCGAGCCCAGCGAGGAGATCGAGAAGGACGCCTCCGACGTCGTCGACGCCAGCACCCTTCCCCCCGGTTAATTGCTATGTCTTATATCCCGCAATGAAAAAGCCGATGTATTTTTTTGCTCCCCCTCATCCTCTGGAACTTAATCCTGGTGTAAATTGGACATGGTCCGTCTGTCGAGTTAGGCTTCTCTTGACTTAATACGTTGAATACGTCTGCATTCTTGCTTCCTTTTTTTTTATTCGGTGTATTGCGGTGTGGTACATAGTGGAGGGTCGCCGTAAAGTCGTAGATTTCGAGCTATGCTATGCTATGCTATTGGTATGGACCCGCATCACCACCTCCAGATAGAGGCGCACATGCACCAACTACTACAATTACTGACCAATGAAGGTAGGTGCTCTATGATTCGTACTGGCGGTCGGTTCTAGGAGCTTAGACCTCGGGTTATACCCATATCATCCCCATATACTGGAGAGGCACATGCACCGCGCCGCCAGGTTAGTCTCTTACACCAAAGGCCACCTAGTTGAGATTCTTTTTGCTGGCATTGAAGAAGGCAAAACGGCAACAGCAATTCCAGTCGCATTCTAGTTGAATTTTCCAATTATCAAGACCAGCTCAATTTTCACCCAATCCTGGACGCCTGATCTATCCTGTAACGCCGCGAAAGGAGACGATTGGAGCCCGCTTGTAAAGCATAAAACAAAGGGAAATGAGAGGCAGAAAGGGAGGAGGAAAAAGGGCTAGAGTTTGACTCGGGCCGTGATCCCCTTGCCATGATAGAACACTACATCCCTATAGTGTTGGATCTGAACGCCAACTTGCGCCACGGCGTCCAATCCGAGAGTCCCTCCGAGGGCTTTCTTCAAGGCATCGTAGCCAATGCCGCCGAGGTTTAGGTCGACGGGCAGTCGGGGAGTGACTGAGATGCCGGGGGGTACTGCGAATGGGACCCGGTAGTCGATGGTGCCGACCTCCTCGTCACCTTCGTAGTAGGCTTGCGCGTATACTGAGGTGATGTGAATGGTGGTATTGGGGAATGGTGAGGATAATGTAAATTCGGCCGTTGATGACCAGAGGTGCATCTAGCAGCGCCCATGCAAGTTAGTTATCCTCTTGGACGGAGCGCTCTCCGGGAATAGATGATCTTATGTGCATGATATATATGGATTATATGTGATGTTCATGAGACATGAAGAGAGACGATATCCATGAAAGTAGATAATACCGTAGCGCCTTGAATAAATCCCGTCGAACCATGATCAGGGTCGTCCCCGGTACCGGGGGCTCGGGGAACGGGCACCCGAGGAATCTGGACCTCGAGCGGGAGCCTGGACAGTGCTTTCCCAAGTTTAGGCAGCCCTGGGATGGTCCCTTCATGGGTCTGAATTGTGACAGTAGTGTTGTACCCTATGATGGGGGTTAGATAGAAAGTGGTTAGAGGAAGCCTCTAAACTCACCTGAGATATAGTCGGAGAGTAACTTGCGACCAGCAGTGACCCCAGTCGAACCATCTAGAGCAAGTGGGCTCCAGAGGAGGTCCACCGGGATGCCGTCATTGACACCTGGCACGATATTGATGTCTTTCGCAGTTATATGCGCCACTTTGGAACCATTGAAGAGCAGCATGAAATCGACCAAAGGCACCGATGCTGAATACGGCGTAGGATTGGTGGCATTGACCCGGGCCTTGACAAGGAGAGACGAGGCGGTAGTAGTTCCCAGCTCCACCGACTCAATATGCGGACTCAACTGGTCCAAGGAGCCACCATAGGGAGCTACAAAAGGTCAGTGTATAGCCTCAATAGTGAGTTCAAGGGAACGTACGCTTCACCACAACTTCCCCCTGGGCTGGTATCTCACGGACGGTAAAAGTGCCCAGCCCCGTGGTGACCTCCGCATCTACACTGGCGGCGACGTCAAGCTTGATCCTTTCTCCTTGGAAGATCAAGGCTTGAAGAACATCGGTCAAGACGTCCTCATCGGTCACCTCAAGCGGCGCTTTCTTGATACCAAAGTCGATATACAACGCTGGCGAGCCATCAACGTCGTCTAACAAGGTTGAGTTGGCCGGCTGCCATTTGTGCAAATCCAGGATTCCAAGCTTACTGCCCCTGTAATACACATCAGCAGTAGCGCGGACCCTGGGAACATCCAACTGCAGGCCCAGTTCTTTTGGCAGCCCAATGAGCACCTTGACCAGTGCGGACACTGTTGGCTGCGAGTCAGGAGAATCGGGTTCTGCAAATGGATCAGGTAGGGAAAAGTGCACATCCGACATTGTGAAGTTTCTGATAAGGTTGTCAAGGGCATGCCCAGTAAAGCTCAACGGAACTGTCACGCTTTTGAGAATATCCACGACCCAGTCAGGGGTCGCTAGAGATGGTGCGTCAGCCCCACGAACATAAACGGTGGTTCCAAGTCCCTGCATATAACTCTTGACTAGGAAATCGAGAGGAGAGCTTTTCTCCCCCGGACATACTCGAGTCAAGTCGTCAGAGAGACCCCTAACAATTCCGGCGACGTCAACTAATGTTGGCTGGCCAGGAGTAACTGGGAACTCTTGGGTCGTGGCAGCAGCTACCAAAATCTGCGGGTCCCCTGGAGAGCAATTGGGGACCAGGATCTCGAATCCGAGGGGAGGGATACTCAGGCTAAACGGCGAATCGAACTGAACCACAACTGAGGCATCAACCGCCATGGCGCCTTGGTGACCAGCGTCTTCTGGATCGTGGACGTTGAAGTTGGTGATGTTGACTGTGGGTATGGCAGGAAAATCGTCCTCTGGAGCCATGTTAGAAGGCTATAGGGAACATTCATGTAGTGAGACTGACCAGTGAAAGTCATAGAATCAGAGAAAAATTGCTGGCCCAGGGTCAGCAAACCCGATTTGAGGTCCACCACTGTTCTCCCCGTAACGGTGAGATGCTCCAGTCTTCCATCTAACCAGTCCAACGCCACGGAGCGGATGCCTTGAATTTCCCCGGGGACCAGCTCTGCCAGGAAATTGACATGGTTTACGTGACCATTCTGCACGTTTACTTTGATAGCAGGCAATGATGCTGTGCCAACGAGGATGTTGCCATACTCTGGAAGCATTACTTCGACTTCTGACTGGCCGGTCTCGACTTCCCTTCCAATCCAGGTGACAAAACGACCAATGTCTCGCACGGGTCTTTTCTTAATACGGCGCGCATCGAGTACCAACTCTCCTTGGATCCGAGCTTGAAGGCCATCCACAGTTGCTGACTCAATTGAGACATTGGTGGGCGTGAATACCACCGCTTCCTTGGCATACTCCTTCACGGCAGCTGGGGCGATAAAGGCGAAGACGAGAATCACGACCACAGCAGCCACTGAAAGGAGAGCGCAGAACACCGGCCACCGTATGCTTCCTCTTCGTTTCTTCAGGGTCCCATCGGGGGAAAGGGCTCGAGTATGTTCGGAAGAAGGTCGTCTGGGAGCGGTCCCGCCGTATCCCAGTAGATCATCATCTCGACGGACGAGGAGAGGAGTCGATTCGGAAGATAGTTCATATGGATGAGGCTCTGAATCCGGGCGATAGGCAGTCTTGCCGATAGATGTTGAGGACCGAGGTGTGGAGGGAGCTTGTGGTTCCTCATCCAGCAGAGGCCTGCTTGCCTCCTCAGCCATGGTGGCTGGCGCTAGGGAGCGGGGACAACGATAAGGGCGGAGGACGACAGAATGACGAGCTCGCGATATCACGATAAATCGCTATTAGAAGGACCGTAGGGATCGATGTGGCTGCTTGGCCAAGGATATGGGGGTTAGGAAAGATAAATAATAAGCAGGGCAACGGCAAGTCGAGGACTCGAGGCAATCATGGGTTGAGCTGGTGTCACGGCGAGGCCCGGTACGTGGAGAGCACGTCGGCCAGTCCAGCCTGCTGATCGCCAACGTAAGGCTGGTCCGGGCGGTGTGGGGATCAACTGCCCTGGTCAGCGCCTCCCCGCCGTTTGCGATGCTGGAATCAATGCTCGGGAATGTAATGCTGGTGTCATTTTCCTGTCCGGTCAAGTGATGTTTCTGTTGAGCCCTGTCTGCTTGACATTTTTGCTGCCGTTGAACCGGGAGAGGGTCGCCTGCTGGGCTCGCTCGCAGTCGGCCCAATCTGCTCCCCAACGGCTATCTAGTGCGACATGGCGTGTCTTTAAATATATACTGTCCAGGTTAGTCTGTTAGTGGCTAATATTCCTCCGGCACTAGGCCGATTGCAATCCGATGGCATGCAGTTGGCCATCTAATAATTAACAATGATCTCAGGGACTGGTACTTTGTAGCAGGAATGGCTTCCCGGATGAAGAATACCGGGAGGTGGCAGAGAACCTCTGGGTCTTGGCCATCCAGTCCTTCCCACCCAACCATTCTTCAACTTCATTTAAGCTTATTGCTAGTTCACCCGTGAGCAGCTCTAAGTCGACTGGAAATCATTTCATCTTTCCCCGTCATCCCGAACGAAAGACCGTCTCGACTCTCCGCCCTGCTTGCCCGCATTTTCACATGCCACCCGCGCACGGACGGAGTCGAGCTCCAGCCGACGGTGGCTCGATCTCCTCCTTGAACCCCGACGATCTCCACGATTCGGTTTAATAGCCCATTGCATCCTCTCTCCATCCCGAATATTGTTCTTTTCCTTTGGCCTCACATTCTCCGTCACACGAGACCACCCAGGGGCTGTTCAGTGCAGCACTCCGCGCCATGGATGTGAGTACATTCCCTTCCCCAGATCCACCCACCCACTGACTAACCCTCATCCACAAGTCTTCACAGCCTCAAAGCGGTTTCCGATCACGCCGCTCATATCCGGCCTTGCATCATGTGTCTCTATCTCCTCTGAATCCTCGATTCCCCATCGACGATGACACTGATGCTCCAGACTACTTCTCTGCCCGCCACGAAACCCCGAACACCCCTAGCGCAACAAGGACCTCTTATCTGTCTAGCTTCTCAGTCCCGGGAACCCCAGGTGTGTTATCCCACTCACACTCCCGTAGCGGGTCCCGCGTTCGACACAATACCCGAAGCAAGAGCTCCACTCGCATCCATTCCAGCGACACCAACCTACAATCCCAGGGCGTTGCCAATGCCCTCCACCACCACAATGAATCTCAACGAAGCAGAACCCCTCGCCGTCACCCAACCGATTCCACCCCTCACCACCACCAAGACACAGAATGGATGCTCCGAGCCGGCATTGCCCTCGCATCCTCGACCCGCGAAGAAAAAGGCCAAAGCTGGCTCGTGAAACGGCAGAGTTCAACCAGCCTTGTCTCCGACGGCCACCAACTTGATCCAGATAGCCAACAACAATGGTCATCCAGGAGCACTCGGCATTCTCGATCCGGCCTCTCCACCCCAGCCGCCTACTCTCGTCGAGCCTCCCGCTCTCGGCCAACCAGTCGCAGATCCAGCAGACCCGATCTCGCCATGACCAGCCTCGACATAACGCGGGCAAGCACAAGACGAGACATGACCACCACTACCAGCGGCATCCACACCCCTCTCGAGACAGACCAAACCCGTCATCTGCTCCCCGATTTCGTGGACGAACGCATCCGCGACGAGATGGCCAACATCCAGCACGACGAAGACGAAGATACCTTCAGCACCACCTCAACCACCGATTCCATGCTCGCCTCCGAAGACGAAATCGACGAACAAGAACTCCAGCGTCTCACCCGAGAACAAGGCTTCGGCCTCGGCAGCTGGATCGACCGAATGGTCGAATGGACCCTTTTCGGCGTCGACGACTGGCCACTCTCCGCACCACCACCCCCAATCGAACACCCCAATCATAACCAACTCCTCCCACAAGAACACGAACATGACCACCCCACCGAAGAAACAGACACCATATCCATCGCAGACTCCGACATCGGCTCGGTTAGCGAAAAACCAGGAGAGCGTGGCGGATGGGAAGATGCAGGATGGTTATTCCGTATCGTGAGACGAGCATTATCATGACAAGCCCCCCTCCCTTTCACCTCTTTCATCCCCTCTCCATAATAAAATAGGATAGGACAGGATAGTTAGGATACACTCCACCCTAAGAAATACACCACACATACCCACTCCGTACTATATACTGTGTAACAACAACTCACAAAAGGTACTTACATCCCCACATAGCATAGCCACATACAACCTACCTACCTACAACCCATGCACAAGCCAAGTCGGGCTAAGCGCATCCTTCCACAAGTAGATAGTAGGTACCAGCACGAACACGTAACCGCATACGTACGCCCAGAACGATCACTGACCAACCAAACCCTACCACTGCATTCTGCCGTCGGATGACTGACTTGGGTTACTTTGTTGAGGTGCCTGCATTATGTACTATATATGTGGCTTTGTATTAGTGGTACTGAATGTTATATGATGGAATGGATGGGGATGGATGGGTTGGATGGGATGGTGTGTTGGTTATACTACAGGATGCTGTTTAGTTGGTTTGGGGTGGTGGGTTTTGTAGCAGGTTATATATATATATGTTTTGTACTACTACGTATCTGTTAGAAGCAGGTGTAGTTGGGCACGTATTTCTGCTGTGCTAAGGAAATTCCGGTTGTGGAACATTGGGAGTTGGATGGGTGGAAGATAGGACAAGCGATCATGCTATGTATAGTTGATGATATTGACTATCCCGGACAATAATACTCCTTTTTATCTTATGCTTTACTGACATGTAATGTAACCTGACCCACCAAAGATGGCAATATATGAGGCCTCCCAAAACCGAAGAATGATCCTGACACCAGTAGTATTAAGGGAAAAATAGTAAAGGGTATACATGATAGGGTGAAGACAAGGAAATGCAGCTGGGCTGAGAGATTGGTGGTTCCACGGCGCTTCGAGTATGTGTCGTCGAGAGAAATGGGAAACATGAAGTGAAAGGAAAAGAGAAAGAGAACGTCGATGAATGAAAGCGGAAACCATGCGGTATTGAAACAATGCAGGGGCATGGTGCAGTTCGGAACAGGAGAAAGAATGAACCTGGGCCTTGATCTGGCAATCTAGAAATAATGATGTTGGCTTCCAGAAATATGACACAAAAGCGGAAAAGAATATAAAGATATTTGCTTGCACACTGTAAACGCCAAGCTGACCCTCAACTCTAGTTCATGCAGAAGGTAATCGTGATCGTATCATACGTGGACGTGCACGGTCGAGGATTTGGACAGAGCCCCGGGTTTCGAAGATGAGATGGTGAGGTTGGAATCGAGGAACAAAGCGGGTGGCGAGTGGCCGTTTGCTGACCACTTCACCAAGGCCCAACTTTGACGGGGGTACCGAGCCCGTATGTGCCCGACAGGAGCTGTTCCCGAATGGTTCCAAGGTCATTACCTCCTGGGCTGCTGTAGCCTTGGGCATCCGGTCTGTGCATCCACCCCAAACTGGAACCAAGCTCGTTGACGGCTGCCTGCAGTTTACCGCCCGAGTTGTGATTGTGCTTCGCCAACTTCTGATCCCAACCGCCGTACTGTAACTGAATTCCACCGCCGCGCTTCGCTGCCTCCCGGATCACCAGAATCCAGGCTTTGCAGATCTCGTCGTATGCCGAGTCCCGCTCGAGGTTATTCTGCGGTGTGTTCCACCGGGGCAATGCGTGAATTATGTCGGTCGCACCGTCGAGATAGCTCAAAGAAACAGACGACTGCGTCTCGTGGGGCGGTAAAAAATGTGGTGTGAAGTCACTCAGGGCATCTAGAAGATTCCCTAGCGGTTGTCGGACTCGATTGTATGCGTAATCAGATTCGGAGTTGCCACCGAGGGGGAAGGATGACTGGAGTGCAGATTCGTAGTTTCGAAGCACTTGAAGGGCAGATGCCACACTCGGTCGAGGTGCCGTCTGTACCACTTCCTCCACTAAACTTGGATGACGCTCACACATGGTCCGAAGTATGCCCCGGAGAGCATCTGTGTCCAAGGTCTCTAGGAGCCGGGGGAGGGCGAGAGGCCGCCCGCTGACATTCGGGCGAGCACGCTTGGTGTTCCGATTGACCGGGAGGGTTCTAGGGGTTAAGGCGGGAGAGTTGGTAGGTGACGCTGACATTCGACCGTCATGATCATTCTCATCATCGGCTTTCCGTTTGCGGTTGTTGGGTGTGTGGATGGGGGTAGACACTGGAATCAGTCAGCCTTCGAACACCCCAGACAGCCGGCAACCCCAGGAGATGCACTTACTTGGACGAGAGGGAGAGGGACGGCAAAATTCGTAGAAGTGATGAGGAGGCACAGGTGGTGTAGCCACCAAGCTGTTCATGATGGCCACAAACAGCTGGATGGCGAAGGGGGAGAGAGAGAGGAAGTTGAGGGTGACCGGGGAAAACAAAGATGAGGGACCGAGGGCCAGCGAGGAGCACGAGGAGGTGTCTAGGGGGGGGGATAAGGAAAGAGATGAAGCAAGGGAAAGACGGAGTGCAGGATGGAGGATGAAGGGGAGACTTTCTGAGGTGGTGGGGAAAGAGAAAGAGTGCGAGAAGCGGTGGACGGCGGGTTGCGGGAGGCAACGCAGGCCTGAGATGCATTTACCGCTCCATGAATTTCCTCCTCGCCATTCTTACAGATATTACATCGTACATACAAGCATCCTCCTGATTTGTGGCAAAAACCCTATTATCCAGGCTCTGCAGCTGCGGCATCAACCGGTCTTGGACCACTTACAGTCCCCCAAGGCCCGCATGACCACATCCTCGTCAAGCGTCAACTTTAAACCCGTCCGATAAACGGAGACAAGTCAACCGCCTGGTCTCACGGCCTGGCTATCGCAAGATCTGAGACCATGATCGGTCTCGTTTTCTCCATTGCCGTCGCAACCTTCATCCTGTCATGCAAGCCGACAGTACTAATCTCAAACATGTCTTTGCATCCAATGTCCACTGGCTGACGTTGCAACGCCATCGTAATCACGTCTGCAGTCTCATTTTTTGGCACCCGGATTGACGACCACTGCGCACATTACTACCCCAGACCAGGAGTTACTCCACAGGCTGCAACCTTGCCAGCCCTGCAGAGAACGGCACCAAGTCTTGCCCTTAGTGGAACATGAAGCTGAAGATGTCCAGCTACCCTGGTTTCCGGGTAGTCGGGATCGTCTTTCAAACTTATTCCCCGCCTGTTCAATTTCCGATATGCTTTTGCATCATTGCATTTGGCCTATCCACCCAACTATTATGGATCCCAGGAGTTGAAGCGAGTGAAACCCCAAGACCATGGGGATTCACATCGTTACTCATCGCGGAATCCGCGATCCCACAGTCTTTACCATCATTGACATCCGACGAGACGTCAGCCGAAACATCATCACATTGGCAACTGATCTGATGGTCCGGACATCCATGTTCCATTGAACTATATCCAAGCCACTCGGTCGACAGTTAGCTAATAGTCGAACGCACACCGTTTGACTTGCGAGGTTCGCTCGTGATCTCGACCAATGGCCCGGGAACTACCCTCCAACGAGTCTGAAACCACATGGAATCGTAGCAGGTCTTAGAGCAGCTCTATGATCCTGTCACTGGCTGCAGAGGAACGACGCAGCCTCGCTCGAGCTGTCGTGAGAGTATAGAATACGGGTGCCCTCCGATATCCTCCATCCTAGCATTCATCATTGGACCCCTTGCTACTCCTCTAAGGCATAGACCCAGAGCGAATACTATCCCTAGAGGTTCACATCAAGAACAAAGAAAAACACCAACATAGACCATCCAAAGCGCAGCACAAAGCCCCTAGCAGTACTCTTTCAACCCCCCCGTAACCCACCCCCCTACGCAACCCCCAAACAATGAATAAATAACTGGATACACACCTAAATCCTCACCCCAGCACCCCCTAGAGCCTCCTCCCCCCATCAGCTATCACCCATACCAGCACCACCCGACACAAACCAAAAAATATATACAATCGACCAACCACGAGCCAGAACAGCCAATACAGAAAACAATCCCAGCCATCCATGTCGCGAATACGATAGGCATACAGCAGTGAAAGGTAAGATTACCGTTGGCTTTAAAACCGAGATGTCTAAGCACCGACTCCTCGCGTATGCATTGACCGGAGTGCTGGGTTGCAGAGGCACGGGGATACTACTTGTATGGAAGGGAGGGACGTATTCTAAATGGGAGGTGACACTTCGTGTGACGGTGGATTGGGTTTGATATATTAGTTGTAGTGGTTGTGGAGGAGGTGGTGGTGTCTTAGATGAGAAGTGAAAGGAACAAATGAAGAGCCAATTAGGATGATGAGATGAATACGAAACCAAAATAAGTCACAAGCGCTTGGTGTCGCTGCTTTAGCTATGTATCTAGGAATAAGGTGTAGGTGATGGTCACATATAAGAAAATCAAAAAAGGAACATCCCTCATTTACAGATAAAAAGAAAAGAAAGGAAGAAAGGAAAAAGCCAAATCCTTTTGGAAAGCCTGACGCCAGAAAAATGCGACCACCCAGACATACCGTGCAATCATCCTACACATCGGGGACGACGAAAATACCGACCCAAGGAGATACAAGAAATAATGATAGCAGCACCTTACAGGTACAGGGATTGGGCGGCGACAATGTCCCTGCGCACCTTGGTCAAGGCCGTCTCGAATTTACCCTCCAGTTCTTCGCTGCCCATGACCTTGGCTGCCTGCGCCATCTGTCGGAGACACTCTTCCAGTCGGCGGAAGACGCGAATCAGACTGCCTTCGTAGACGTCGGTCATTTTACTGCACGAGGAGAAAGCCCGGTTAGCAATCTAATTGCAGAGTTTAAACGTCGGTGAATGGTGGACCCTCAAACTTACCAGATGTCAGCAAACGACTTGCCGTTCGCCCATTCGAAGATGACCTCCATCAGCTCCCAGTGGAAACCTTGCACGTATTCATCCTCGTTGACCGCCAACTTGGACTCCTGCGACACCTTGGCGACGGTCCGAGCCTGCGCTTGGATCTCCCTGAGGGGTTTCGCTAGGTCTTCCCGTGTCAGAGCAGGGGTCTCCTTGGTCTTCTCCTCAAAAACGAAGACGCTCAGGGCCGCTGCCACTTGTTCCGGCGTAAGGTTATTGAAGAAACCGTTGAAGAGGAGCTCGCTGAGCATCAACTCGTCGCCGGTACTAATTTCACAGGCCACGCGCGCCTTCAACTGGACCACTTCGGCCTCGTTGATAAATCCGAATCGCCGGAGCACTCGCTTACGGCATTTCAGTTCATCGAGTTGCATAATGGCCATGGCCTCCGAAATCTTCTTCTTCGTCTCCTTGATCTTACTTCCGAGTTCCACCTTTTCGGAGTATTGATCATATAATTCCGGCAACCGAGGGGAATTGTGCAGGGGGTTGGAGAGGAGACGAGACTCGAGAACTTCGATTTTCTGCAACACGGATTAGTCAATAGCCCTCATGGTCAAAACGGATCGGATTCTTACCCTGAGTGTCTTCTTGAATTCCTCATCCTTAATGCCCATGTTCTCGATAGGATCCAGGGGAGCAAGGCCATCCGGGAAGCGTCTCTTGACTTCATCGAGGGTACCCTTCATATTATTCCGTGCGTCCTTCGAGTTCAAGTCTTTGGGAAGGCGAAGGCAGACGTGTGCAATGCTCTGGATACAGCTGAGGACAAGCGGCACAACTTCCATGCGGGACTTTTCATCTCCCTTGGGCGGCCTGACACCGGAGGGCAAATCCTCGAATGACTTAGTGCCCACGGAAGCTCCGTCAGCAATGTTGAGCAGAACGTCAACCACGTGTTTCTGGTGATCAGTAAACTCTTCGTTCGGATTCTTCGGGATCTTGCGATGTTTCCAATTAACAACGATACCCCAACCGTAATCATCATCCTTGTGCTTGATGTGAACCAATCGTCCCGGGGTGAGATATGAAAGGCAGTGTTCGGGATGGCTGATCACCGCTTGCACATCATCGCCGAATCTACGAAGCTGCTTGCGCAGATCGTAGTATTCACGGATGGTTCCTTCGTCAGGAATGTTCGCATTGGCACGCCTCTCTTCGAAGTCCTCAAGCTCTGTATCCCGGTTAGCAGATAGTATAAGTAGATTGATCAACGAGCACATACGTTTTTCGAGCTCAGCGACACCAGCGGTGTTCTGGAATTGGTAGAAACATTTCTCGAGCATAAACTCCGGCGAGATGCCCTCCACACGCATGAGGTTAAGGATCATGTTGTAACCCAAATGGAAGGCCGAGTTCAGTCGATCCTGCTCACCACGGACGATTTCCTTCGCCACGGCGGGGTCCATCTCCTCTCCGACCATCATGATCACGATACCACGATCATCAAGACCTCTTCGACCAGCACGACCAGACATCTGGATGAACTCTGACGGTGTGACCCAACGCTGGCTGAAGCCGTCGAACTTTCGGACGCTTGTGAAAACAACGGTCCTCGCGGGCATGTTAAGACCAATGGAGAATGTTTCCGTGGCGAAGAGCACCTTGATCAACCCTTCCTGGAAGAGAATCTCAATCGTTTCCTTAAGGATCGGAAGAAGTCCAGAGTGATGGACACCGATACCTCTGCGAAGAAGAGGGAGGATATTCTGGATCTGAGGCAATTCCCTGTCCTCTTCAGACAACATCTCAATTGCACTGTCGAAGACTTTTTGAACCATCTGTTTCTCGGAATCGTCATTGAAGGCCAAGTTTTTCATCTGCAGAGCGCAGTTCTCACACTCGCGCTTGCTGAAACTGAAAACAATCACGGGGTTCAAGTTCTTGAGCATGACCATCTTCACAATCTTGAAGATGTCGCTCTTGTCCTGGTTGCCGCCCTTGTTCAACCTCTTATCCTTGCCCTTTCCTTTCCGCTTGGCCATCGGGTCCGATGGATCGTCGCCCTTCTTGTCCGCAATGCTGCTCATGGCCTTCTGGAAGTTCTCTTCACGGAAGACTCCCTTCTCATCCACTACAAGATGCATTCCCTCCGATCCGGCCGGGAAGAAGTAGTGTTGTAGCGGTGTCGGTCGGAAATCGGTATAGACGACATGGCAGGGTTGATTGTGCATCTTCGTTACCCACTCGGCGAACTGCATAGCATTGGGAATGGTGGCGGACAAGAAGACGTATCGGACCTTGTCTGGCAACAAGATAATGGTTTCCTCCCAGACCACACCTCGGACTATAGCGTATGTCAGTAATCAGTAGATACTTCTCGGATGGGTCAGACGCACTCGCATCACGCATATAGTGGATTTCATCGAAGATGACCCACGCGACTTCACGCATGATTTCAGAACCACGGTACAGCATAGATCGCAGAATCTCAGTTGTCATGACCAAGCAGGTGGCTGTTGGGTTGATAGTAACATCTCCCGTCATCAGACCCGCATCACCGAATTCCTCAGCAAACTCTCGGTACTTCTGGTTACTCAGCGCCTTGATCGGACTTGTGTAGATGACTCTCTGGTTGTTCTTCAAGCACTGCGCGATAGCATATTCGGCGACCACGGTCTTTCCAGCACTAGTATGAGCTGAAACCAAAACACTCTCTTCTCTCTGAATCGACGCGATCGCAACCTGCTGGAATGGATCCAAGGTGAACGGCCACACTCTTGCGGGGGTCTCCGGCGGCTTGTGTTCGGATATGGGCACATAAGGATACTTCGGTGGGATGGCGACCTGATGGCGCACTTGGTGGGACAGCTTGACGGAGGTAGAGTCGTTGACGCCCTGAAGGCCTGCCGATCCAGCAACTTCACGCTCCTGCTCCGTCTCGAATGAATCCGCTACCACGGGTTCCGGTTCCTTCTCGAGGCGCGGGCGTTTCGCATCCGGTTGTTCATTGCTGTCCGCGACGGGGCTTTCTTCGTCCTCCATAACGTCATCTTCTTCAGCGGGCGCATCGACGGGCGCAATATCTTCCGTGGTCTCTGTGGCGGCGCCGTTGTCCTTGACATCGCCATTAACCTGCCGCTTCTTGCTCTTATCCTTCTTGGAACGTTTGGGAGCTCCCTCAGCAGGCCTGGCCGCCTGGGGCTGGTCCTCAAAGACGTCGAAAAGCTCATCCATTGTCGACAGTCAGCCACAAAGGAAGCTGGAACGGACACTGGCCTCGACGGTTGTGACGTTCTGCTCCGTCTCACAGATGGGCGATCGCACCGAGAAATTTCAATGAACCCGTTGAGAATAGCGCCGTGTGATTGGCCCAGACCAAGTAAGGCGGTGAGTGGCTGCCGGCGAAACTTGCCGTTCGGAACGCCATATCACGTGAGCGGACCTCCGGGGGGCAGCCGGGAGTATCGTTCCACTCGACCTGCTCGCACCTCCGCCTGTTGATATCAGTAGGATTGTCTCGACCGTCGTGCTTGTTGCCTCTCTCAAAGTGCGTGAATTGTTCCTATCCCCATTCCCCCTCCCAATTGTCTCTGACAGTAATCAAGATGTACGCTGCTTCCGCCCTCCGCGCCAGAATGGCCACCTCCTTCGTTGCCCGTCGTGGCTTTTCCACCACCCGCGCCCAGCTCGGCAGCCCTTACCACTACGCCGAGGGCCCTCGCTCCAACATCCCCTTCAACCCTCTGACCAAGTACTTCTTCTGGAGATACTGGGCTTTCATGGGTTTGTGGCCCAATTGCTGTGTAATTGTCGCGGATCGGTGTTGGTACTGACTTGCTTACTCTAGTTACCGGTTTCGGTGCTCCCTTCGCCATTGCTGGTATGTTGCCGTCTACCCTGCGGGATCCCACATTCGCCTGTCTAACATATCATTACTACAGTCTGGCAGACCTACAAGACCCGCTAAACGCTCGTTCGTGCTGTTCCACACGCAATGGCTTGGCTGGGCATTGGAAATTGGTCGAGAATGTATCCTACGTCGGAAGTGCTCGGAAATTGTGTATAAAGCTAGAGAATTTATTGTGCTCTGATTCAGGAAATTCCGGGGGTAGTTTCACCCCCATAAAGGTTGTAGTTTGGGAGAAACGCCGTGTGGTGGTGGTTGTCTGATGCCTTATTAGAATATGGATGAAGTCATTGGTCGATTTTTTGTCAGTAGGAAAATTAAAATCTTTGGCTCGGCATCTGATATGGTATTGTTCGCAATTCCGTTGGCGACGCGCGAAGGAAATAAGCTCTCCTCGTGCATTTAATAATCAACTCTATGAGAGTAAATTACCTCTAGATATCATTTTTGATTTTCCTTTTTCTTCTCACCCTCCCCAGTGAAGCTTCCGTCGATTGATGGCGGCGGGGTAGAACAACTACTCTTCAAAAGATGCGCAACCTCAAAACCGTGCGCCTCGCCGAGGTGCAGCTCCAGAACGAGCTTCCTTTGACGTCAACAGCCTGGGATACAGCTTCGGATGCTGTTGTTTGTACCTTTGGACCTACCGCGTCTAACCCAGTCATTGAGCTTCGCAGGAAACGCCATGACGCCTATTTTTCAGATCCCATAGGAGCGGATGCATTTGAGTGCATCGCATCCTGGGATGCGCCATGCCCACTACCAGATCTGGAATGCGACCGGGTTCTTTCTTTGCACTACTTTGCAGACAACCTCACTGCCTGTCTGGTGCTGGAAGGAGGTGACATTATCATTGTCCGTGAAGAGCCCCTCCCAGGCGAGGATAAGATTGAGATTGTGGGTAGTGTTGATGTCGGCATCACAGCGGCTGCATGGTCTCCGGATGAGGAGCTGTTGGCCTTGACCACCAGAGCCAACACGTTCCTTTATATGACGAGGGAATTTGAAAACGTTGCCGAAATCACTTTCACGCAAGAGGACCTCCAAGCCTCGCAGCATGTCTCCGTGGGCTGGGGAAAGCGCGAGACCCAGTTCCAGGGTAAACGCGCCAAAGCTCTTCGGGATCCCACTGTCCCCGAGAAGGTGGACGAGGGAAAGCTAAGTAGCAGTGATGACGGAAAGACGACCATCAGCTGGCGTGGTGATGGTGCATATGTCGCTGTGAACAGCATCGAGGCTGGCGTCAGGCGTGCGATCAGAGTTTACTCGAGAGAAGGAACCCTTGACAGCATCAGTGAGCCTGTGGATGGCCTGGAAGGTGCTCTCAGTTGGAGGCCTTCTGGTAATCTTATCGCGAGCATCCAGCGACGCGAGGATAGGATTGATGTGGTCTTCTTCGAAAGGAATGGCTTGCGCCATGGGGAGTTTACTCTCCGTCTCACCGAAGAAGAGCGCTCCACTTGGGCCTCGAACATTCATCTTAACTGGAATGTTGACTCGACTGTACTTGCGGTGCAGTTTCACGACAAGATCCAATTCTGGACAACCGGGAACTACCATTACTATCTCAAGCAGGAGATCCCAATGGTAGTGAACCCCGAGTATCCTTACCCGTTTGTCTTCAAATGGCATCAGGAGAAGGCCCTGCGATTTATTGCGGGTGCTTCAGGTAATTGATGGATTTCAATCAACTTCAGGGTTACTCGCTAAAGTTTTCCCAGGGTCGATGTTGGATGTGGACTTTGTTTTCGACGTATCTCAAGGCTCTACCACCAGTCCAGATGATGTCGGCGCTGTCGCTGTCATTGACGGAAGTATGTTACTACCTCCGATATTGAGTGGATCTATTCTGACTGATGTAGAAACTCTGAAGTTGACCCCTCTGAGGCTGGCGGGAGTCCCTCCCCCAATGGCTCATAATGAGTTGGCACTAGACTCGAACATTGTTGACGTGGCCTTCAGCAAGTCAGGAACGCGGATTGCTGTCCTTATGAAGGATTGCTTTTCCGTCTTCCTTTGGTCTCTCAAGACCAGGCCGGTCGTTGCGCCAATCCTCGAGTCGAGCTATCCGCTGTCAGAAACGACAGACAGCCGACCCCGGCAAATCGCCTTTGCGAACGAGCATGAAGTTTACATTCTCTTAGACAATGGCCCGAACAATACCTATATCGAACGCACCGCTCTGGAAACACGTTCTACTCAGATTGCGTATCAGGCAGCGGACTCGGAGCAAGTCCTGTCAATTTTCACGTCTCTGGGTCACGATGCCTTGTGGTTTTCCCATGTCAAAGCCCCTAACCAACCGATTGGCTACTCCTATATCTCAATGCCTTCTTCGAATGAGTTCCAGGTTCAACCCTGGCTCGAAAGCCCGACTGTCGATACCCACTGGGCCAAGGCGGTGCAGATTTCTGAGGACGAGGTAAGCCCCTCAGGCATTTGCGGTCTATCAGTGGCTAAACTTTCCAAGACTATCTTGGTGTCCATGGCAAGATCAGGTGCTCTGTATGCCAACAAGCGGCTTCTCGCAAAGAATTGCACTTCTTTCCTCGTTACGCCGGCCCATATCCTGTTCACAACTTCCCTACATCTGATCAAGTTCGTTCATTTGACTACGGCGGAAGGTTAGCAAAGTTGATAGTCCACCTGGCCTTGTGTTGGCTGACTTTACATCACAGAGATGGATATACCTCCGGACACACCCGAGACCGACGAACGGTGCAGAAGCATTGAGCGTGGCGGACGTCTAGTAACAGTGATGCCTACGACATTTGCCGTCATCTTGCAGATGCCTCGTGGCAACCTTGAAACCATCTACCCCAGAGCTCTTGTCCTGGCTGGCGTCAGAACCTTCATTGACCGTAAGAACTACCGGGCTGCATTCTTGACCTGTCGTAGTCAAATGGTGGATATGAATATCATCCACGACTATGCCCCGGAGCAGTTCATGGAGAACGTTCAGCTGTTCGTGGATCAGGTGAAAAGAATTGATTTCATCGATGAGTTCATCTCTCGTCTTAGGTATGTTACTCACCTAGTCCTCAAGAACCCCGGCTGATTATGCTCAAGTGAGGAGGACGTCTCCCAGACTCTCTACAAAGACACCCTGAAAGCGCCCAAGGCGGATATCGCGCAACCTGGACTTGTTGCATCCGCACCCAATAAGGGCAGCAAGGTCAACCGAATCTGCGACGCCTTTTTGTCTACGCTGGAGAAGCGGTTGGATACCAACCTGCACAACCTGATTACTGCGCACGTCTGCAAGTCACCACCAGATCTCGAGTCCGGCCTGCAACTGGTTGCACGCCTGAGAGGTTCGTACGCCCATTCTTAATGCCCAATTATGTACTTACCTCCTGCAGAAAACACACCCGAACAGGCAGACGACGCAATTGAACACATGTGCTTCCTGACGGATGCGAACCGTTTGTACGACAACGCACTGGGTCTCTACGACCTTGAACTCACGTTGCTCGTCGCCCAGCAAGCCCAAAGGGTGAGATTCTCTATATCTAACTCACCCAACTAGACTAACATTACCAGGATCCCCGTGAGTATCTGCCCTTCTTGCGCAAGCTGCAGCAGCTACCCGAACTCCGTCGCCACTTCGAGATCGACAACTACCTCGGACGGACCTCCAAGGCTCTCAAGCATCTGCATGCTCTCAACGCTCATGACGAACTCCGGGCATACACAATCAAACATGTCCTGTACAAGGATGCCATCGACCTGTACAAGTACCAGGCCGAGCAGCTCCGCGACACCACCCACCTTTACGCCGACTACCTATTCGATCGGTCTCAGTACAAGGAAGCAGGAATCGGTAAGCACCCCAATAAACACCCAACCCACATCACCAAACAAAACTAACCACCCCACCCCCCAGCCTACGAATCCCTCGAGCTCTACACCGACGCCTACAAATGCTACCACCTGGCCCACCTCTGGCGCGAATCCCTCTACTGCGCAATGATGGTCCCTCTCTCCGCCTCCGAGCTCGCCAACCACGCAACAACCCTAGCCAGCACCCTCACCGAAGAATCAAAGGACTACATCTCGGCGGCCCAAATCCACGCCGACCACCTCCGCGACATCCCCGCCGCGGCCCGTCTCCTCTGCCGGGGCTCTCGATTCTCCGAAGCGACTCGTCTCCTCGCCCTCAACAACCACCAAGCCCTCATCCCCGAGATCGTCGACTCCGGTCTCGCCGACTCCATGGGCTCCATGACCGACCTCCTCGCCGACTTCCGCTCCCAACTCAACGCCCAAGTGCCCAGGATCCGCGAACTACGTATCCGCCGCGCCACCGACCCCCTCGCCTACTTCGGAGGCGACCCCACCATGGGCGACGGCACCGGCGTCGACATCCCGGACAACGTATCCCTCGCGCCCACCGACGCCTCAACCCTCGCGGGCCGGAGTATGTTCACCCGGTATACCGGAAACACCGGGAAAACCGGCAAGACCAGCTCGTCGCGGCATACGTCGAAGACGCGGAGGAAGGAGGAGCGGAAGCGCGCACGCGGTAAGAAGGGCACGGTGTATGAGGAAGAGTACCTGGTGAATAGTGTGCGACGACTGCTTGAGCGGGCGAATTCGACGGTGAGCGAGGTGGAAGTCCTTGTTGATGCGTTGTTGCGGAGGAATATGCGGGAGCGGGCGGCGGCGATTGAGAAGGCCATGCAGGAGGTGTTGAAGTTGTGTGCGGAGAGTCGGGAGGAGGTGTTTGGGGCTTTGGTGGAGACGGCGAAGGAAGGGGAGGAGGGTGATGGGGAGAATGCTGATGTTGGGGCTGCGGCTGGAGCGGGAGAGGAGTTCCCTGGGGTTGGGGCTCGCGGAGGGCAGAGTGTGTTTTGGGATAGTGTGACGGCTACGGCGAATGTTGGGAAGGGTCGTGAGGTTCCGGCGGTTAAGGAGCTGAAGGTGTCTGCGCTGTTGAACTGAGGTTGTGCATTTTACTGTTTTTGCGACGAGGTCATTAAAAGTCATAGATTTGAAATTAAGGGAATCAGACAGCTAATCTGGTTCAATTAAATGCTTATATGTGGCGTATGGAGCAGGTATTAATAGCCCAATTGGAAGTATATACGGAATTGAATCTCCTAGAACTGGCGATGCTAGAAGACCAATAACCTGGGAAGTTTGCAACAGATGCAAAGCATGGGTATCTTATCTCAAGATGATCCGTTGTTCAGGACTCTTGACTCATTAGTTGCGGGTGTTTCAGGCCTCCCAGATGAGATGCAGTCTCTAGCAAGAGAGAATATCACCCTTCTCGCTGACAAGATGCTCGTCCACCGAGATGGGGCCCTCACCAACACCAGTCAGGATCACGCGGCTCACTCCATCCTTGAGCGACTCCACAGTCCGGGGATCCACCTGGTCCAGGGACACACCCGGGGCGGTGAGGTTCCTCAGAGGCTCATAGAAAGGACCCTCCCAGCCCTCACCCTCCTCGCCAAGGATAGCCTTAATGGTACCGGCAACAAGCTCGGTATCCTTCTCAAGGTAGTAGATGACAGCGTTCGGGCCAGCATCGAAGGTGTAAGCACAGACGGTCCGGCCAACTGCGCGGTTGATATCGTGCACAAGTCTGACGGCAGCACGGGAGACGTCGTTCATGTAGAAGATCGGGGGCCAAGAGTCCAAGCAAGTGGCGTGGAAGCCGTTAGAGTCGCGCATCGTGATCTCCGCAAAGGCAGGGAAATCGCGGTTCTGGATGGCGGTCTCAATGGCAGCCATCCGCTCCGGGACAACGGTGTTCGCGCGGGTAGCGAAGAGGTTGGACGTCGCGACGGTCGTCTGCATACCCTCGGTGCTGGGAACGTCCTTCTTCGCAGCGCTGACAACTAGGACAACGGCGCGCATCTCAGGCCAGTGGGACTGGGGCGCAACCTCCTCTGCCAGGCTGTCACTACCATCCTCCAGACTTCCAGCGCGCCAGGCGACGTAGCCGCCCATCAAGGAACGGCAGGCGGAGCCAGATCCCTGGCGAGCGATACGGCTCAGTTCGCGGGGAGACTGGGGCAGCTTGTAGAGGTCTGCCACGGCGCGAACGAGAGCCGCAAAACCGGCAGCGGAGCTGGCGAGACCGGCGGCGGTGGGGAAGTTATTCTCGGAGACGATGCGGAGAGGGAAGGTGGACAATTTGGGAAGCGAAGAGTCGGCCTCCTCAAGCTCACGACGGAGAGAGCGCAGGCTGGCCAGGCAGGCAAGGGTACGCTTGGAGGACTGGATGTCTTGGAGGTTGCCGTTCAGGGTCAGCTCGTCCTTGGCGGGGTAGAAGGGTGCGCAAGAGGCGGTCGTGAGGGTACGGAGGGAACGCTGCGAAAGCGTGACGGAGAGGGAAGAGTTGGTAGGCAGGTTGAGAACAGCATCACGTTTGCCCCAGTACCTATTTCACCAAGTGTTAGAATCCACAATGCGTACTTGCTATGGGGTAGTACGGGGTAAGCATGGAAGAGCATACTTGATGACGGCGATGTTGACAGGGGCGGTAGTAGTGGCCCGGAAGACCTGGTTGTCGGCGGGAGCAGCCATTGTGAGCCTAAGGGAATGGAGTCTGGTGATAGGAAAGGGGTTGAAGAGGAGATTGAAGACCTCAGGGGATGTGGAGGACAAGCGATGGAGGGGCGGTGGATTTCCCTGTTGGGAAAGTTCGGGGGCGCTTTTGTTGTTCATGGGCCAAGGCGGTGAGCGGCCAGAATTTGTCCGCCTTTCGCCGGGCCCAATCGATTTGCAATCAAACTTCATTATCAACCAATTCCACTCGCTCCAAGTGTCGTCGCCAATCCCCCATTTTTGTTTGCCAGAGAGCCTGATATTCACCTGGAAAATGGGAGCTGGTGCGAGCACTCCATCCCCGGACCCGCCCGCGGCTGGAGTATGCCCCGTTGACCACAAGACGCGCGAGGCCTGGCTGCAGCAACACAAAGCATCCGGCGGTGGTGCTCCTCCTCACCCTCTACCGTCAGAAGATGGACAATCGACAGGAAGATCCCAACGGCCCCTTTCTACCGACCGTGAAGTGAGCAGTATACCGCGAGCCATTGACCCTACATCCCAGCCGTCGAATCCCGAGTCCCCGTATGCGCCCGCATCACCATACGCCTCGTCTGCCGCATCGCATGGATCTCCCTCGAATGCCGAAGCTGAAACTGGCCATGATCCGAACACCGGGAACTGGATCTATCCGTCAGAGCGACAATTCTTCGAAGCGCTTGTGCGCAAGGGCAACACTCCCAACTCCACCCACTCCGCCTCCGAACTTGCAACCACTGTCGCATCGATTATTCCTATCCACAACGCCGTCAATGAGCGCGCCTGGCAGCAGATCCTGGAATGGGAAAACCGGGCCCCCATGTCCGACCCTGGTAGTAAGAAATGTGGAGGCCCGAAGCTGTATGCCTTCCGGGGTCTGGGCGTCGATCCGCAGTTTCTCAGCCCTCGCGCCCGTGTAAACAACTTGATGGGCTACCAGCTCCCCTTTGATCGACACGACTGGGTTGTAGAGAGATGCGGTGGTGAGAGGATTGAATATGTCATCGACTTTTACCAAGGGAAAACTTCGGGTGGAAACAATGCGGCTGGCCTGGCTGCGAACGCTGGCCCGGGCAAGCTCAGTTTCTACCTCGACGTACGGCCTAAGTTGAACTCGGTGGAGGGCTGCCGGATGCGATTCAGCCGTTTCATGGGGCTATAAGGGTCCGATGAGTCATTCTTGCGATGCATATAGAGGCGAAAAAGGAGTTTGGGTACGGTCTTGGGTAATCGTCGCAGTGTACAGTTCATGTATAAAAGAAGCTATGTATGATATAAGGCATGGAAAGATAGAACGACAAATGTAAATAACACATCCTCGCTCCGGATGCGCCTGCGAACCCATAGAGATCGACATGACAGAAGACAACAAGCCACCTGCAATAGTAAAGAAGCACAAGCATATGCATAAACGTACATCGAGAGGATATCATCAAAGAGAGGACAGTCATGACATGCGACACCGAGTGTCGTGGTTGCGCAGTGAATCAGAAGGGAAAATCGACACTCGGTTCTATCCCAGAGTCGCCGCAAGAACAATAATCAGCAGAATAACGGCAAGGATGACAAGCAGACAGCACGCCTTGTTCCGCGCATTCTTCTGGTATCTGCTGGCGCTACGGAGCTCGACGTTGGCCCCCCGAGTGTCATCGCCGACTCTCTCGACATTCTCGCTGATGATGTCAAGTTGTCCACCTTGCTCATGAACAATATGAGCCACATCCCGAAACAGTTCGTTGAGTTCGCCAACGCTTTGCTCAATGTTGCGAATCTCGGCCTCGCGCTCGATAATAAGGGACTCCTGGAAGTCCACTTCATCCTGGTTCGCCAGTCGGGGTTGCTCCTCCAGTAGTTGCTCCTGTTGTTGCAGCTCATGGTGACCCCCCTCGGCCGTAGATTCCCCCTCCTCCACGGCAGTCCGAGCCGCCACAGCGGATGCGCGTTGCTTCTCTAGGGCACGGCGCTGAACGGTTTGAAATTCTTCTAGTGTAGCCTTGAATTCCGAAGACAACTTCTGCTGAGTCCATTTTTGGGAGGGCTGGTTAAGGTAGGTCAGCATTGCTTCACATGTCGCACTGCAACGGGGGGTGTGGAGCGTAACCTACATTGACATCCTCCCATGTTTGAACCTTCTTGATTCCCTCTCCGACATCCTTGAATCCCAAGCGAGTCTGTTCCAGCAGATTGTGGACTCGTTCGCGCACACGCTCCGTATCCCGCCTTGTCCCTAGCAGGGCGATCTGGTCGGACAGTCGGGTGATGTTGGAGGTCAGGGTAAACAGGCGGTTGGAAAGACTCTCGGTCAGGCGGTGGAATTCAGGGTCATCTCGATACTGAGGGTCGTCGGAGCGACGCAAAGTTGTAGGCTGTGCCTCTAGAGAATTCAAGCGATCAAACGACATGGCGGAATGAGATGCGACAGTGATGGATGAAGGTGGGATCACTCGGCCGATGCAACCGGGTCCCTACGTATCGTTACTTATCAACGGTTGCCTGGGTTGATGCCATGATTCGCAGGCCGCAATCACCTGACGTATGATGGCTGGTGGGCCCGTCACCTGACTCGGCGTTTGTGGCTGGAGTGTTTTGATGCTTTGCCCGAAAAGCTTCAACTCTATTGTCGCATCCGCCGCCGCCAGTCCTTGACCAAGCTCCACCTGCGCCCTCGGAGCTTTTTCCACAGGGCGACCGGACTCCCAGTTTTCTCCGCCGTCTGATCATGCAGTGAAATTGCTTCGTTTCTTCTCTCCTAGAGACCTCACAGTCCCTCACCCAACTCACACCATGGCTGCTGCAGCGCCTCGCCCATATAGGCGCATCTTGACCTCCGCGCTGCACAGACGCTTCGTTCATGCTTCTGCACTGGCGCTTCTGGTCTGCTATATAGTGGCCTTTGCTATTGGAGACAAATCGTCGTGTAAGTCCGGCACCGGCGGTGTTTGACAAGCTGTGATCGCTAACCAGCCGCGATACCCATTAGTCTTATGGGCTTGGTTCCCAATTGGAGGATGTGGAATTCGCACTGTTCTCCTCTTCCTCTGCAGTCTCGTCGTCTTCGTTCTCCGCGTTGGTCAGATGCACATCGGCTCCAGGACGACTGCCTCCCCACTTAGCACCTTCAAATACCTCGTCCCCCTCGATATCTTCCAGACCTTCGGCTGGTACATTTTCTCCGCATGGTGGTTCAATGAAATCTACAGATGGTCTTCTCCAAGCAGCGCACACTTGGAATGGGTAAACAGAGCTAGGTACGTGTCTCCCGAAGGTGCGCTTCGGCAGATTCTCGAGTTCGTCTAACACCGAAGCTAGACCCCACGAACGAGCGAGCTTGAACGAAAGGGCGATCTATCTCTACACCTACCACTTCCTCCTGGCAATCGCGCAGTCGGTGGCCCACTTGTACTACGACTATGACCGTGTCCCTCTCCCCGTTGCCAGCCGTGTCGCCGGCTCTGCCGATGAGGATAGCCGTCAGGTACAATCGATCTCCAAGCGTCTTCAAGCGGCGTTGCCCCAGATCATCAAGGATGGTCTGAGACGTAGCGTCATGGTCGCCTTGCTCTGCCCGATAGCATACACTTTCTTCCTCCGGCGCCCGGCGTGGAGCACCACCTTGTACTTCGCAAAGCTATTCTGGGATTTCCCAAGATCCGCCGCCGATCCTCCGGGCATCATCCCCCCAATTCGTCCCGGAATCTTCATGCGAACTGTCATCTCCGGAGGACTCCTGGTCCTCTGCTGGCAGACCGCCAACCTCTTCTTCTCCGTGTTCCTCAGCAAAGAGCCCCTCAAGCGAGGGCAGCCATTGACCGCTGAAGCCAAGGACCCCAACGGCAGTTTGTTGAACGGATTGAAGGCGAAGAAGGAGACCGTCCGCGCATTTGCGTTCTGGGAACTATACTTCATCAGCCAGCAATTCCCTGACCGTCGCAAAGCCATCTTCAACGACATCGATCGCGAGGAAGGACCCGCTTGGTCGCAGATCCTGCAAGCCGCCACGGACGTGATCAAGGGCATCCCCACCCGAATCGACGAGGCAAAGAACCCATCGTCAGGCCCCAAGCCCGCCCCGGTCCAACAATCCTCCCCCGTCCTTCACACCCTGCCACGGTTAACCGACCCTCCCAAGGAGGACGACATCTTCGCCCCGTCCCCCAAGGCAGCAACCCGCCCTCAAAAGTTCGGCGAAGCCTTCAGCACCACCGCCAAATCCTACGGCAACTCCCCCGACTGGACCCCAACCGCCCGAGCCCGAGCCCGCGATGTCTTCGACCGCGCATCCTCCGTCATGCTGAGCCCCGAGCGCAAGCAAAAACTCCTCGGCTCCTCCCAGGAACTCAAACTCCTCACGGCCCCATCCACCAGCAAGCCCGAGAACCTCCACCCCTTCCTCACCCAGCTCCTCCGCTCCCCTCTCGGCCGCCTCTTCCGCCAAACCTACGCCCGTCGCCTCTCCGGCATCGTCCTCGGCACCCCCCACGCAAACCACTGCTCCATCATCGACGCTATCGAATCCCTCACCTGCCTCCTCATCAAGAGTCTCCACGAAGACCAATACGGCAAAGTCCAAGCCGACGTAGCCAGCGTCATCCGCCTCTTAACCGACACCATCATGACCCTCGAACCCTTCATCCACGACGGCCTCGACGCCCACTGGACAGACGTCAACTTCCCCCCCTCATCCAACCCCGAAGCTCAAGCCACGGCCCGTCGTGTCCCAGACGTCGACCTCGTCCTCGACACCCTGAAGCGTTCCCTCAAAGACCTCCTCTCTTCCTTCAGCCCCTACTCCAGAAACGTCGGCCTCGTAGCCAAGGATCTCCGTTTGGCAAAGGAAGCAGCCGGTATCACAGATGAGGATATCTAAAATGCGCGTGTGCTAGCTCGTATGTGCGTATTGTATATCCGGCGTGACCTTTGGGAGTTGGAGGGTCTCGCGACAGTACCGTTGTTTGTTTGTTTGTTACTTTCAATTCAGACTTGTTCTCATCCGTCACGTGTTGTAATGGGGGTTACTTACTACGATTCATCTTCTCCCTTTTCTTCTTGTTCTTTCTTGTTCTGTGTTGCCGGATTTCATAATGCCCTTGGAAAAGTTACGACCTAGACTAGTCCGTTTTTGGCTATGCATTGCTCTGGCGTTCGTGGGCAGTGTGACTGTATGTATGTACTGGTGAATCGAGGAGAGATTCTAGATATCTTTGTTTGAAGTCTAGTTCCATCCGCATATGGAATTTCATCTAGGTATATACATATACCCAGCATCAGCTAGGTCGGTAATGTTCTAACATGGACATATTCCAAGACAGGAGCACTCTCGCCGTATAATACTCGAGGCTCACCAAAAGATGCGAAATTGCGAATCAAAGAAAACGACCATTAGTTCAAACCCAAACACACGATCAGCCGCCCCGCCAAAGACCATCCGTCCAGGACTCCAAGTTTTGTACCGCCAAAGAAACACACATGAAAACTTGAAAATATAGAATGAGAAGATGCTTCCGTCATGTCACATCAATACCACTGTGCCCCCGGTCCTTTTAAATTTCCCCTTTCCCGGTAGATTTTGATACCCAATTCCACTATATGCTAAACGCGTCGATGATTTAGACTCAGGAAATGATGATGAATGTCCCCGTTGAACGCCAAGTCGGAACACGGGCGCATTGATGAGATAAAGGTAGGGATAAAGGTGTATGTATAAGAAGAGAATATGAAGCATGCTCTGGCTGAGCATCCGAGGCTCCAGACACGAACATTGGCCTCGTTCAGTTAGCCGGCGTGGACGCCATGGTTCCTCGGATGAACACATTGCTTGTCAGCAACCACTCAGAACCTCGCTGATCTTATTTGATGCGAGCGTTCCGGTGCCTCCATTCCCGCCGGCATTTTTCGGCTCTGGGGCCGGTTCTTCCTTCATGCAAGCATTCTCCAGAATATTAGTCCACTTTCCGCTTGTGCCGGCGTGACTATGTTTCAGATGCTGCCGGAAGTGATCTGCTCGGTAAAACTTTTTTGCGTTGTTGCATTCGCCGAATTTATGTACCGCAGTGAGATGTTCAAATCTGCGATCCCAGTCTGGCTGGGGAAAATTGGGGAACTCGTCACCACAGTAGCCACAAATGTCGTGGGAAGGTCCAGCGTTTGTTTGAGCCGAGGAAGACGAAGGATGGAAAGCTGCCTGATATCCCGGTAGTGCTGCACAAGACCAAGAGTGACGCCGCAAATGGAGAGAATTCTGATGGCGTTCGGCCTCGTTTTTGTTCTTGAACCGGTTGTTGCAGTACAAACACGAGTATTGTTTCTCCATCTCGTGAGCGCTAAATGAATATGTTAGGAGCTGCCGATTGACATCGCAAGTCAGATAAGACTTACCGAAGCTCTTCTGGACTGTCGAACTTTTTCGGCTTCTTGGGACAGCAGTCGCAGATATACAATCCGCCAATTTTAGGCCCTGCGGGCTTCGGGATGGCGAGAGTTGTTTGCATAGACACTTTCCGAGCAGTATCAGCACTAGATGGTTCTAGTGTACTAGTAGTCGGGATATTTCTCGAAATGGATTGTCCAGTGAGATTCACGGGGGAGCTAGGGTTGAGGATCGACTTGTCATGGAAGGTATCAAGGTCGGAATTGGGTGACAGTCCCCCAGGTGAGCGATCATAGCTCGTCATACTGCTTCCTCCCAAGGAGAAGCCCGCTGACGAGTAAGATCCAGAGGTTCGCAGGCTCAAGGATGAAGCAGCGGAGTGACTTCCATGGCTGGGGGCATAATTAACATTGACTGAGAGAGAGTTTGTGAACGGATGGCCGCTTGTGCGCCGCTGGGTAAGATCACCGTTGCTCGTGGCAACGTGAAGGGCGTTTCTGTCCCCATTTATCGGCTCACGGGGAGGAGAAGATGCTCTCCGCTTCATGCCCGGTTTAGAAGCTTCCAGATAAGGTGGCGTTGCTTCGCGAACATTGAAGATTCGAGGCGGCATCGATTCATCAGTCGAAAAATCCCCTTCAATATCAGAGAAGACCCCATGATCGTAGCTTCCCCGGTTCGATCGACTGGGCAGGCTGATAGTTTCGTCAAACAAGGGAGTCGTTCCACCTCCGCGACGGCGTGACATGTCGCGCAGATAAGCCGGTTGATCGTAATCCACGGCAGACGACGGGGCGCTGCTCTCAACGCTTGGGCTTCGTCCTCCGACATAGTCCCTCCAGCCTAACTTAGTCCCAGGCGATATCCCACCTGATTGATAGCTGCTGGGCCACCGTACGTCGAGACTGGAGCCTTCAGATCCGCCGGGAGAAGGTAGGCCTCCGAAATTCCTTGAAGGGATGGTGAGTGTCGATAGTAAGCCCTTGTTCTCACTACCAGCGCTGATCGATTGTCGGGGAGAGAGCGGTTTCCCGATTTTCGACAGGAGGTGTTGGTCGTACGCATCTGAAGAGTCCTTCAAACTTCGTCGAGAGAAGTCTCGCTCTCCCTTCAAGATCGGACTCGGACTCTTAATCGATATGGCATTTCGGAACCCTTCATCCATCGGGGGCGGAGGCTCGATTCTGATATGAGCCTCGGGGCTCCTGGACAGGGGCAGACCACTCTGTCGGCCATCCAATTCGTCGATGGCCATTCGATCGCTTTGTGGTACCGCTTCCGGACGACGGTGGCCGCCAAACAAACTTGAATTGGGGCTGATCGGGGCGAGTTTGTGGGTTCCTCTCACATTCGCATGCAGCCAGCCCGCATCATAGCCGTCCTCGAGGTCACTGATTCGTGGCGGTGGCGGCAATGGCGGAGGAGCAAGATTGGTCATTGAATTCGTTGGAATAGGCATGGGTCCACGTGAGGGAAACGATTGCCCGGGCATAGCACAAGGGGATCTTGCAGCGGAATTCGGGCGGTCGAAACTACCACCGTTGAAGTCATACACGTTAATCGAAGGAGGCGCGAGTCGCGGGATGTCCATCGTACACAGAAGGCGAGGGAAAGCTGCTCATGGACAACAGAAAGATTGGATCGGGAGACAGGCAAGTTTGCACTAGCATCAACGAATTCGAAGCCTTGAAAGTTGCTGTGAAGGGTTTGCCGCGAACCCGTTGCTTAGGGAGACGACGATGAATCGAAGTTTTCGATAGAAGATCCTGCTTCTAGATTTGGTCCCAAGTACTGCGGGAAATTCAAGAAACGAGTGGACAAAGTTAAATGGAAGTTCTGCAGCCGAAGAAGTGGTGGCGACTCGGGAAGAACAAGCTTAAGTACTCAGTAGTTAGATGAATTGGCCGCATACGTATATGACGAGAGCGTCCTACCTCGTAATAAATCCTCTCTTCTCTTCTTGAGGAATTTGTTGAAAGTACCAGCGATCAGCTATGTAATGGCTCTCTGTAACCGTCGCGCACAAGCTTGCGAAACCGTCTGTGTGCCATGAAATTGCCAAGTAGCGGCAACTTAACAACGAACAACGGCGCAAAGACCACAGAACATACTGGAGAGGTTGATGAGTGACTGGCGCTGGAAGATAGATGCAAGGATGTATATATATGGTTGAGAAAGAGATGCAGTGGGAACCGGATCGGTTATGCAGTGTCCGCACCGGCAGGTATAAGTTGATTAATACCGCAAATACCACCTACTTGATGACTGAGCCCGTTGGCGCAAAGGGGATCGAGCCCGGAGTAGAAGAAAGACGAGAAAGATGCGAAAATGGAACGTTGGCAGGCGACCGGATGTCACATGCACCGCTGCTCAGCGACAAGAGGCGGCGGGTAAAGGCGCAATGCCAACGGCGGAAGGAACGGCTGAGAGACTGAGGTGATGGCGGGCGGAGGTCGCGGAGGCGAAACGAGGACCTTCAAATCCGGGAAGTTGTGGTGGTAATAGTGAGCAGCTGCAGTCGGCGCAGTAGGTTGGAAGTCCGAGGCAAAGGTGAATGAATACGGGGTCAGGAAGTAGATAAGTATGATGGATGCAGGCGAAGTGAAGTGGTGCAGACCCCGGCCTTACTGGTCCCTCCCTACAAGGCTCGGGGAAAAGAAAGGACTGTAATTCCCCAGTGGGTTTCCCTGTTTTCGGTCTGTCTCACAACTCAAGGGTCGATATGACTCGTGCTGTTGGCGCCCGGGAGAACTGGCAGGATTCGAGACAGGGACGAGTGAGGATGATAGATGGTCAGTCGGTAGTCAAACGACCTGGCAGAGGGATGAAGGAGGAGAACGAGGGAGAGAGCAAGAAAAGCAGGCAAGATTAAGGTCGCCGGCGATGATGATACAACATTGGTATTTGAACATCCGTTTCAAACTGGAGTTTGGTCCGAGTGGGCACCTTAGGCGTCGGGCTGGCCAACGAGAGCAGCGTGCCTTTCAATGTCACGGCGGTAATGCACGCAGCGCCAGAGGCAAATGAAATTTGCAAGGCCCGAAAATGGGGGACGATGGAGGAGGGATGTATAATAACCCCCCCAAGGATAAAACAGTGATCGCAATAACATGCTTCTTAAGGCCACCTTCCTCCCCCATTCATCATCCCCTTTTCCACCTCGTTTTCACCCCCTCCTTTGCCCTTGCCTGGTTGGAACATTGACGGCGAAAACAGCTTGCCGCTCGTCAGATTACCTGCCGAAAGTATCTTGCAGAACCCCGTAAATTACCTGATACATAACATACATACATGACAAGGGCCTGCACAAAGTCAAAGCAGCCTGAAGGAATCATAAACATCCCAGAATCTAATCAGACAACTACCACCACTACTACTACTACCCCCCAGCCATTCAAGGCAACTACCACGAACAATCAGTGATATCCATTTGGAGGCCGTCTGCCTGCCCCTCAACCTAATCTCTGGGCTCGAGAACCACGCCGTTGCCACAGCCCGCGCGGGATGGCAGGGCTAGAAGGGTAACCGACCAGTTGGATGGATCGGTCAGGATATTAATTAGTCGGAGGGGCTTTAAAGTAAGCCATCGTAATCGTATGGATCTTCCAATATCAACTTTAATGCCTCTATCATATCTTAGACCCCGAGGAATGTTCCCCTCTATAGAACTTACCTTCCTCTTTGGGTGCTGACTTACAAAAGTCTAATCCGCCTTATGTCTTCAGACCATGCTTATGCGTGTCCGTATCGACTCTCCACCTTGCATACTGCCATGCAGGCGGGATTCCCTACGGCAAGTGCTTCAGGAGGAAAATAATTCGTCCGCCTAAAGGGGGTTGTTGTGTGCCGCTGAGGTGTGTGGACACTGGAATCTTGGACTGATGGTACCCCGTCTTCCCGATATCTCCATCTTCACCTCGGCTTAATTAAAGGGTGAAGCTGATCAATCCTGAACCAGCTCACAGTGATGGGCAGTTGACGACAGAAGAAGGGGGAGGTTGGATCTCACGGACCAAGTATCTCCACGTGTCTGGAACTCTGGATGCTTTTCCTCCACCCGCAAGGCGTCAGGTAGACAAGCGAAATACGTAACCGGACCCAAGCACCGAAGGCATCAGAAATAATAATCCCAGCATGGATGATGGAGCATGAATTAGGAAGCCTGGGGGCAAGCGACAGAACCGAGTCAGGGAACTGCATTATTCCAGATGCAGAGCGGTGAGCGGCAGGCTAACCGGATTGGACCTGACAAGTGCAAGGACGACTGGGGACGGTTAGATTGGAATGAGGCAGTGCTGGTAGTTCCCCTCTACTAGTGGCCCTTTGTTGGATTGTCCCACTGGATACCAGCCATTACCACTGGCAATTGTCCCATAGGCCGTCCCTTTTCTCCAGTCGGCTCCATTATTCCACTATCGGGTTGTCTGGGAGTGGTGGACGCACAAGGGAAATCAAGGTTTTTGCCGTCATCAGAGCAGAGGTGCGAAGTATATACTCTATTAAGCCGAAGTACAATTTCATGGCGGGCTATGGCTAGAGGCCTGTTCTCCACGATGGTGACTCCTTCTAGACGAATGTTCCCCAGGCGATAGTAAGCAATTTCAACCCTGACGAGTAGGATTTATCCGCCACAAATAAGACGGTCAGCCGAGTGTACTGTCAGTCTTCTGAGACTCTGGGTGAAAGCTGAGTTAGCGCTTGCCCATACTCGGTACAGTGTTGAACTGCGGGTCATAGATACAGTAGACAATGGTACACTGAAGCTGGCCTTTCATTCTGAAGGAATGAACGTTTTGAACTGGAGAAGTACGAAAATACGGAGTCGAGAGAATCCTCCGTGTCAACCAACCACTGAGACTTTTCTTAGTTTAATCTCAAGTAGATTATTCCTTGTACCTACCTACGGGGGTACCTTCAGCCTGGGAAGGCATGCAGTGGTTAGGTAGGTTACTTTTTCCCATAATTATTTTCTCCGTCGCCTTACCCGCGCGCGTCCATTTTTCCACAATACAGGGACACACCCAGCTTTGAGTTTTACGAAAAATACCGACTACCCTCCCCCAGCATCGTCATCATCATCATCGGCATCATCCGCACGCCTCCTCCTCCCCTTTGCTTTCCTCCTCGTCATCACACCCCCATTCAGGATTGGGGGTGATTCCAGAAAAGAAAGGAAACCCGAACGAAACGCCCATCCAGGAATTGATTGATTAATTCCATGGCCCCAGACGGGGGGGCGACCGGTCGGACCTGGCTGGGTTTTCTAAACCCGATCTCCGGAGTAGGGTACCGAGTGCATACTAGCCGGTACTTTTCCAACCGACTCCAACATCCCAAGAAGGGCCCCACCGTGAGTTGTTGCGGAAGAGCGACAATGATTATTAGTGGCCCTGTTGGGCTTGACCCACTACCAATGCTGGTCTAGTGGGACCCACCTGGTCCTTTAGATACATGCACTGCCACATTGCTGTCATTTGGCATTTCCCGTCGCACCTTGCGATCCGAGGGGGACGGACTGACTCCCTGGAAACATCCGGATTATGCTCATTAGACAGAGTCTGGGAGAGAATAGGGAAGGGAGGGGGGGAAGGCTTCTAGAAAAGACTGGAAATAAGCGAAAAGGGTCGGGAATCTGAGGTTCGAGGGTCGAATTGAGTTGCGTACTATAGTCAGTACTCGGTCCATAGAACGGATACGCTTTACGGTGAAGAAAGGAAAGCGACAGGTTCGAATTATTACTACTACCCAGATGTACGGGAGTAATATGCCAATCAAAAATTGGATAAAAGTGAATAGAGAGAGACACTGCTCCGTAGAAAATTCTGAGCAATATTGTTGCGGAGTAAGTGCCATTCTTCGCATTGATCTTGTTTTGCTCCCAGTGGATCAAGTTGATTGCCCTCTCTCGTTTTATTTTCCCTGGCTCTCGGCTCTTCTTGGTCTGTCTGGCGTAAATACAATGTCTGAGGACTCGTGTCCGTTGCGTTGCCCATGTAATCCAGAATCCATAATCCGGCTTTATCGGATCGGATGTAACAAGCGAACAAATGAGTCTTTCTCCAAACAGATAATTGGCGAGAATAACAATAATCATAAAAATAATAATAAGGTACCAAAAAGGGATCAGGATCAGGAGAGAAAGAGAGGGGCATGATGGATCTACACAAGGCAACTTGCAACTTTTGCAACTTCTCCTGATAATACTGGAGGTATCGTCAGATGCCTTTTTTCTCCCCTCCGTTTTGCCACAAGCCGCCTGAATTCCTCGCAATAATCATGACAGAAGCGCCAGCATTTATTTAGTGCGCACCGTCTGCGGTAATAATCATAACCAGAACAATCCGTCCACCACTCGAGATGGGAGGCCAAGAAATGGGGCTGGGCTCAGTAAAACTTATCCCTATTTCTGATACCTTTTGCCAGTCTTACGCGCCCACCGACAACCATCGCACAGACTGAACACGCACACATGCATCCACTGACCAGGTGGTGGTGGCAATTCAGGAAATTTGACCGTCGGTGACCTTTTCTTTAGCTTCTCATACCAGGAGGTCATCTAAGGTCATCATCAAGGTTTTCGGACCAGGTCTCGAATGCCCGACCTCATTGGCCGCTGGGTGCAGGGCAGCAACACGATGGACAACTAATTTGGCACAAGGCCAATAAGACCCCGGTCGGCCGTCCCATCCGCCTAACGCCATGGGCACTAGACAAGTGCAGCAGGGAAGATAAAATCAGATAACCGCGTCTCTTCTGGTGCTCGTCAGATGGCCGCCCGATGTAACAGAGACCCCCATGTTGTACTGGTAAGGCGACAGAGACAGACAGACCGAGACATGGTAAGGCAACCCACCCAAGCAAGGAAAGAACGAAAGAAGCAGTAATTGTCCGAGGCAGGTCGGGTTAGGCTTCGTGTCTTCGTACAAAAGTGCCGTCAGCCTTAAGCCTTAAGGGGCTGCAGACTAAATCTCGTGCACAGGCCGTGTCTCGAATTAGTGGTCGATAGTTGATAGGTATCATGATAGTAGCCGGTTCTGCAGAGCAACGACCACCCCGTAGCCATATCAACTACTTCCTACTTATTTGGTATTAATTCTCCGTTGCGTTCAAAATCAGCGCAATTGTAAGGCTGCATAGATTGGAAGCCAAGTCATCCGACACCCTGCAGACCGGTCTCTGTTTTCTGCTAAACCCGCGGGGTGGTCGGTTACACCGCGATGATAAGAACAAGATAGCCCTTGTTCGGGCTGGAGCTGTGCAGAATGTCTTGGGCGGGTAGCAGGGTTCCAAAGCGCTGCATGCTTGCTTCTGGGGTCTATTATCTGGTCTCTTTGATTGGCCCCTGCAGGCGGAATCAAGCATTGTCTGCTAGCAATTGCCTTTGAATGCGCAGAGACCAAGAAACCCGGTTGCTTCTTGGCGTGTCAGCGTTGACGCTTGCCTGGGTCCTATCCATGTAGTACCAATAAAGAGCGATAATGGGCCAGGTATGGTTGGATAGGAAGAATACACATCAGTCCGTATAGGTAGTACTCTTTTAGACTCGGGCACACCACGTCCCGCTGAACAGATACATCAGGCGCTAAGGATTCCATCCACCAAACTATAACCACGCATAGACCACACAAGATCACACTTTGGGCCAATTGACACCACTGGCATCCGACGCGGACGGGATTCGAAGCGATCTCGATTTGAGGCCAGCTCTGGATGCCTTGGCGGTAACAAGGGCTCAGCAACTACCGTAGCAAGCCATGAAAAAGATGGTCGGACGCATCTGGAGGTGAAAGCTGCTTGGGTAGGCGCTATAACTATCTATTTCTTGCATCGGAGCCTGACCGAAAACTGCACAGGATGGCTCTGGCCTCCCTGGCTCTAATGTGACGAATCAAACGACTATTCGCTTGGTCGAGATCGTCCGCATAGGTGCAGTAGTACGAAGAGTCTTTCCTGGTTCCCTTCAAGAACCATCGCTTCAGATGACTATCCAGCGGCGCCAGGCCAACTTTGCTCCGGACATATCATGCCGTCTTAGCCATCGCCTTGGTGCCACTAGGATCCGAGTGAGCATCACGCTGTCAACAAGGGGTTCGGAGGATCCTGGAGCCGAGTGCGTTGGCTAGGGTAAATGTTAGTGGTCACACCTCTTACAGACGGGAAGAATGAGGGGTCGTGAAGTGATCAAAAGATCCGAGGGGGCTGTGTACTCTAGTCCAGGGGAGATAGCCTAATTCCTACCGGTGATAGGACGAGTAGGTAACTCGCGTTGGGCCGAGTCCGTGCGGCGTGCTAGAGGCTAGAACAGGACGCCAAAGGAACGGCCGTTATGCGGGGTCTCCGGTGTCATGCCTCAGGTGTCTAGGCCTGCCATGATGTACCCTTACCCTTGCCCTACACCCTAAGCGTCCCTCCCGTGTCCGCCATCGCAGTTTCGCTATCCACCAATCACATCGAACCGCAATGTCTTGGCATTATATCGCCGGAATGTTGAGTCGGATCTTGGCTATCACCATCACTTTGCCTCTTATCGTCGTCATATCCCCCATCATCGACTGGATCGGAAGGCATTGTCATTCATTGTATTTTAAGTTAAATTTTCTGATAGATTGCCGCTATGGCGATGAATCAAATCCCGGGACAGAATATCTATGTCGGAGGGTTAGTTGCCTCTCCCTCACTCCCCGCACCATACTATGCCTGCCTTTGGCCTGTCATATGATGGGCCAGGGCCAGAGGGGATAATGATTTCTCCAGAAACTTGCTAATGTCGAGTCGCATCTAGCATATTGTCACTCAAGAACAAAGCAGCCTTGGAGCGAGCAAACATTACACATGTTGTCTCTGTGTTACGTTTACGACCAGATGATACGCTCTTCGATTCTTTCCAACATCACAGCATAGAGGTCGACGATGTCGACGACGAGAACTTGCTAGAACATTTCCCCGCTGCTGTCAAGTTTATCCAGTCCGGCCTGGATGCAGGTGGAGGGGTGCTTGTGCATTGGTCAGTATTCCCTGTCGTTTGCTCCGTTCGGAGCATCCTTCCATCCCACTACCCTAAGTATCATCTTGGCACTGTCGTCCAGATCTACAAGGATTGGGTAATCTATTGTTTCTTCCCTTGACAATGCTGGTTCATACGAATGCTTGTTGTCTGGACAAGCAGTGCTTTATTGTCACGTGCCATTCACCAGATCTTGTGTAACACTGGTAGTTCTTGCTCTAGTATGGCATGACATGCTGACGGTCAATAGTGCGATGGGAAAGTCCCGATCAGCGACCGTTGCTATCGCGTACCTGATGCACCGTCAGCCTAGCGCACTGACGCCGGAGTCCGCGCTTGCTATTATCCGACAGAACCGACCTCTCTGTGAGCCCAATCCTGGTTTCATGGAACAGCTGTCGGTCTATCATCAGATGGGATGTCCAGATGACGTTGTCGACCACCCACTCTACAGTCGCTGGCTCTATCGCCGCGAGGTGGAGGAGAGTGTCGCATGCGGTCGAGCGCCTGAAATGAAGTCCGTGCTGTTTGAAGATGAGCAGCCGCGTCAAGCACAGGAACCTGCCGGTCGTATGACGGAGATCAAATGTCGCAAATGCAGGTTAGTCTTGATCATCTGGAAAGCTTATCTATGCGTTCCTTCTGACCAAGTCACCAGGTGCAAGCTGGCGACGACACAGTTCATCATCCCCCATACCTCGCAAAAGAACGTCAGAGCGCCCGCTGATTGCGCTCACATCTTTCTACATCCGCTGACATGGATGCGCCCGTCGCTTTTTCCAAATGCTGACTCGGACGTTCTCGACTCACCCTATGGATCAGACGCCCCGTTGTCTGGCCGGCTGACCTGCCCCAACTCTTCTTGCGGATCTAACATCGGCAAGTTCGCGTGGCAGGGCATGCAATGTAGTTGTGGCGAGTGGATTGTCCCCGCAATCGGCCTGGCAAAAGCCCGAGTGGATGTCTTCGAGCGAGTCAACATCGCTCGTGGGCCGGGGAATCTGCCTGCGGCGATGGGGATTCGGCTACCGCCAGGAATGCGGCCTAATCCTGTCGATGAGAATGGCCGCGGAAATCTCTGATCGCTGATGGTGCTATCTAACTGCTCCGCCAGGGGTAGCTCAGGGCAGCAAGGCTCCGTTGGGAGCGCGCACGTTCTTTGGTAGGCTTCCTAGCCACGCTTCATCTACGAACCAGCTGCCTCACAACCACCTACGTCACCAGAACCAAACACCGCTGTTGTTTCACGAGGCTAGCAAGCCACGGGTCAGCGGCAACAGATGCTTCTGGATCCGCGGGCAAAACAGCGTAGCGTCCAGTGCCTTTGCTATGTAGGACGCACGGAAGACTGCGGATCGCCTGGATCCGTACACTCTAGAGCAGGAATAGGAGGTTTACGCAGTCACACGAGATAGACTCAGATCTAGACTAGATTTGGGTATGGTTGGTGCTGGGGTGGTTTCAGACCCTGATGCCGATCATCCCGCGGCCAGCCGAACAGCAAGGTCATAGACATACTGGCGCGCAGCCAATGCGAAATCCATCTACTGGCTCAGCTACATAGAACACAGTATCTACATCGTGGCTCAGCTACATCTACACAGTGGCTCAGCGCCTACATAGTCCGATCTTATCAGACACAGCACTGCATCAGTTCAGCTCGTGTCGGCCTAAGCGCTAGGACCTGTCAGGATTCAGGGCATAACCCCACCAACCCCACGAGGCTGTTTTAAGGCAGCCCCACGGGCCCCAGCTTCGCACCCAATCAGGCGGTGACGTAAGTCCCGGGATCTGCGGCCAGAGGAAGATCGGGGAGAACAAAGTTCCCGGGCCTTGCACAGTTCCTGGGTCCGATGACTAAGGGCCGCCGGCGACAACTGTAACTGCCAAGCCAGTTGGTGGTGGGCCAAGTCGCAGCAACTGGGGCTAGCAAGGTCTAGGCTGCTTCACTAGCGCCGGCACGGGGGCTGTGCAAACTGCTCTTACGCAACTGGGGCGCGCTAGCCATGGATGAGCTGATCCCGGCGTGTATGGTGTGGTAAGTCTGTGTGTATTTTTAATTGCCATAACCCTGTAAGATACTTCGTATTGTGGCGAGCACCTACTTACTTTCTATCGTACTCCGTACCAGGACACTGTATAAGTAGAATAATGATAGGACAGGACTCCCATTCATCCCTTATCCCCCAGCCCGCCACATCGACGAGTCAGTAGATACAACCACCTTACATGACTCGACAGAGTGTAATACACTGAGATCCCATCCTCCCTGCCATTTATCCCCAAATATCTACACAGTAAGTACGGAGTCAGTAAATAGGCAACACCAATCCAATCCAACCAAGCAAATCCAGAATAAGAAACCCGAACGAAAGCATTCTAGTCTCCGCTCGACATGACGTCAACAGGATCATCACATACACACAGACATATACAGTACTATATCGAGTAATCCGTAGAAGTCATCATAATTCCTCCTATGATCAATTCACGTCGTATTAGTACCCTCTATAGCCAGAAGATAGATAGGTAGGTAGGTAGGTTCAGTGTAGGTATCGTATACAAGTCCGTATACGAAACCAAAACGAATAAATGAACGGAACAAATAGCCCTACAGGGCAACTCCTACCCATGGTCTGGTCCGACCCATTCATTGATCACGCCTTATGGGGACGGTTCAGACCAGTTCAATGCACCCAATCCAATTATCCAGCCAAAGGAAACTAACCATGTGTGAGAGTATTAGTTTACCAACTATCTACCAAGTAGATAGGTTTAACTGAATGCTACTATAGACACCGACACCATAATCTAAACCATGAGTAAAGTAGACACATACATAGAATCCAAAATGAGTGGATTATTATTCATCCCGGACAAGGGGGGTCAGGAAGCGACCAATCTTGAGTCGGAAAGTTACTAGGTAGGGGAGGGAGGGGAAAGAGGCTAGTTGCACTGCCTCGTTGAGGGATCCACTGCTCTGCATGAGGGAGTCTGGTGCAAGATCATGCTACTACTACTTAGTGTTTACATATTTAGTAGGTTCAAAGATTACTGTGTAGTGATGGGGTATTTTGTCTTCCGTACGAAGTATGGTGTATCTATTTGCTTAATTTTTTTGATAAGGGGTTGGATATAATTTAGGGTCGGGAGTTGATTGCAATAGTATTGGTATAGCAGCGAGAGGTACTCCGAAATGAGTTTATCTAGTACGGGGTATATGCATCAGTGCTTAATTGTCGCTTATGTAGGATGGATGGATCACGGTGCATGTGACGGGTCTGGGCACAATCCTGGTTCTTTCTTAGGGCGCTTATTTTGTGACTGTCAACGTACGTACTCGGAATACGAACGAAGGATTGCGATTAGAATTTTTGAATAATCGCCATGGGTCATCGGGTCGTGTCACTCTCCTGAGTCCTGAGAATGGGTCGCGTTAGGCTCAAACGGTAGCCTTGTACATAGTAGATAGTGTAAGGCTGGAGCACGTCTTGCCTTCTTCATTAGGTAGGCAGTTCGGTGGGCTTATTCTGCCTTCTAGAAGCCATCCCAGTTCCAGAACCTCTCTAAGGCTGAGCCGTGTTACCGCTTCCGCTCATGCCGGCCATGAGCGGTCTACTCTTCCGAGTCTGCCGTAGCAGACAGCTGTTCTGCGGGTCTTGGTGGATATAAATATGACGGATAATCGGAGCGACAGTTGGCTATGCTGAGTAGGAGTGGCGGGTGATTAGGTAGGAGCAGCTGTATTCGATCACTTTGGCGAACCCGACGAGTATATCTCCAAGCGTGGTGAAAGGGTGTCAAGCCCGTATCGTAGGCATGGTTCAACAGCTGCACCATCTGACTCGACCATCTCAGATCCACGATCAGGCGTTCATGCCACGTCATGAACATCAGGTCAGGACAGCCTCAACAAGCCAACAGCAGCCAGCCACAGTCCGGATACCCGACGCTGACTATAGGCCACCCGAACACGGCGTCAGCATGCAACGACCAGCCACAAGAGACATCATCTTGTAGCTATGTTGCCTCATAATCCGCCCGTCGGAACAGACGGGAACAGAGAAGGATCCTGTAGACGCTGACGATTCCGTTTTGCGATCTCAGCATTGCGCATCCGGTCGATGCGCATTTGATAAAAGTTCCTATACGAGGTCAGTCCTCCCACCCAAGACATCCCTGGAGGAAAACTAGAAGGAAAGAAATACTTATGCAACGCAAAAACCCTCGGTCCGTCATCCGACGACGTGCCTGATTTCTTAATATCCTCAATCTAGATGCCACTCATGTCAGCCATCCACATCCCTAACCAACCCAAAGAAAAACACAAAGAAAGAAAGACAGAAATGAAGAAGTAACCAAACCTTATCATCCCGCTCCTTCTCCATCGCCTTATCCTCCCCATCCCCCTTTTTCGTACCATCCTGATCATCCCCATCTTTCTTATCTTTCTCCTTCTTCTCCTTCTCCTTCTCAGCATTCTTCTTCCTCTTCTGCTTCTCCTCATACTCTCTCTTCACCATCTCAATCTCCCGCGCCATGGCCTCCTCCTTCGCCTTGGCCGCCACAGCCTCTGTATCCACAATCGGCGAACAGAAATGGCGATCTGTGAGATGAGAAGGACAGACGTAGAAGAAGTCCTAACATACCACCCACCCTTTCTTAGCTATGATTCAACCGGTGTATCTAACCAATCCAACCCATGTATCAATATCAACTGGGGAGGGGGGAAGAAACATACCCGATTATCAGGAGTGATTAGAACACTACTCGAGGGTTTATAGCAGATGTGGCATGCTTTGGCGGCGGTATCTGCGACCCGGCGTAGGTGCCAGATGTTTTGGAGGGTCGTTGACATGTTGGGTGTAAGTGTACGGGGTGGGGTTGATTTGGTTTGTTGGAATCGGAAATTGAGCTGGGGAAGAAAGATGAAGTGGGAGGGAGAGGAGGATTGATAAGATTAGGCGGGGAAAGGCGGATTTAGGCTACTTGGGTTGGGGATGTCATGTGACGGGGTCGAACGGAGGGTTGGGATTTGGTGATGATGGGGAGATGGTGCTACGTTTATCTGGATATTGTTATCTAGGTGAAATTTAATTAGAGTATTAGTGGTAAAGCAGACGTGGGTGTGTGATTGTGATTCTTGAAAGTTATTGGTGGTGCGGATAGTATCTCCAGTGTGACTCGATAAATATGAAGGTCGTGCAGGCGTTTTAGTTCCTGTCTTAACTTCGTAGCTTACATTGAGAGAGAGATTGATTTTATGAAAGCATGGTATTATAGACTGTGTGTCAAACTTCACCTTCAATTGTAAACCCTAATTTGTCATCGTGCAGATAGCAAGTCAGCTCCCATATGAACTCCCGATCAACAGCCGCCCTACCACCTTTGTCAAGGCCTTCTTTGTCTGTTCAGACCAAACTAAATCGCTGACTTTCAATGAATTCATACTCTGCTGGGACTTGGGTCCCTCGGACAATACTTCTTGTTTGAATTGCAATTCCAAGTAGTCCCACACCTGTGGAACTCTAGTGTAGTCTCTTGTCATACGCCGTAACATCGCCAAGATAGTTTCCTGGCCTGAGCGCCTTCTTGTATCTATCACTTCTGCCTCTACCAGGATTTTGCAGTAGAGGAGTAAGCCAGCGAAGCCCGAAGCAATTGCGGTTGCAACATGGCCCCCCGACTGTCGTGAAATTCCATTGCTACTTTTGACTGGAACGTTCGACCCTGGGAAGAGATATACCTCATAACCTAGAGGTATGACGGATCGAAGGGGGCCGGAAGGGCATACTGTTATAAGTCCCGGATGATATGGGGGTTTCCCGCCATTCGAGTGGATAATGGCAATGCCCGCCTCCTGGGCCCTCAGGAATGCGAAGGCGAGACAACCGGGGACTTCAGCAGGCATCCAGTCCACAGAAACTATGTCTACTGCACATTTCACTGCCCATTTGATCGCCTATCGAATGTCAGAATGCTTTGTCAAAGCGTAGGTCAGCAGTAGAGCTCTCACGCTTGCGACCGATTCTGCAGTGTGTTCGATGTCGGCAGTATATAGTTGCGATTTGGGGCAGACCTGGCCGATAATTGTCGCCATTGTGGTCACATTTCTATATCGTTCTATAAGAAATCTTTCCGTGAAACCCGGTGAACAGAATGATTTGCTCCAAACGATTCTTCTATCTGGGGTATCTGGAGACTCGTCGATGCCGTTGCCAATGACTGCAATTTTAACTGGATGGGAGCACTTATCGGGAATTGTTTGAATGAAAGTCGCGAAATTATTCATACAGTCCCACCACGAACTCTGCCTGCATGTCATCAGCGCCGTGGCAGCAGGAGCAGCGGTCACTGCTCAACTTACGTTTCTGATATCGTGGCTTCTGTACCAACTAGTATAGATCGACTTTTGAGAGGCACAGATAGATATCCAATGGCTGCGTTAAGCTTCTCGCGACGACGGATTGCGTCTGCCTGTCTGATCTCGCCAAGGGCCTGTAGCACGCCTGCTAGGTTCTCAGATCGTATCGGTATAGAAGGATCACTTTGCCCCAGGCCCTCCTTCGTCCGCTTCAGGGCTTCTCGATATAAGGCTTCTGCCTCTTTGAGCCTGCCCCGATCTCGCAAGGCTGATGCCAAACCGTCAATGCTTGTTAGGGTATCAGGATGATGAACTGCTAGAGCCTTTTCCCTTCCCTCTAGTGCTTGTCGGTATAAAGAGCTTGCTTCCTCGAGCCTGCCAAGAGCCTGCAGCACTACGGCTAGGTTGTGAGTGGTTGCAAGTGTGGAGATATGTCTCTGGCCCAATTCCTTCACCTTCCATTCGAGCGTCCGCCGGCATACTGCCTCTGCTTCCTCAAGCCTGTGCAAAGTCCATAGCATGGATCCCAAACTATCAAATCTTTCTATTGTATCAAGGTGACTAGCTGGCAGTATCTTTTGCCTTCCATTTTTTGAGTTCCGATTCAACACTTCTGCTTCTTCGGCCGTTCCGCGAACCCCCAGTATTGCAGCTAGGTCGCTAAGCGCCGTTAGGGTCGAGGGATGCTCTTGTGCCAGCTCCTTCAGCTCCCGCTGTAGCGCCCGTCGATGTAATGCTTCCGCTTCTTCAGGGTTGCCTAGATCTATCAACACGGACGCCAAGTTGTAGATGCTTGTCAGCGAGTCTAGACCGGAATAATCATGTCGCAGGCTTGACCTGGAAGACGCCAAGGGAGAGAACACCTGTATTATCTCCGGTGGTACTTTTTTGCGGATATATACTGTATGGCAGTCATCCGGGTCATAAAGTATATCGGGGTCCAGGGTAACATGTTCTTTTGTGACACACCGATAGAATATCCAAGAAGCTTGATCGGTTTTTGAGGCGGCATCGGGGATTAGAATTATAGCAATTCTTCGAGCCTTTTCTCTTTCTCGGGCGCAATTGAGAATGGCATGATGGGTCAAGTGCTTCACGTTTCCCTGACCTATCTGGGAGGAAGCCACAGGTCTCAAGCGCAGAGTCATTCGCAACCCCTTCTTCGTCATAGCAGACAATTCTCCGACTTCCTCGTCGACAGGGATGATGTCATGGGAGTGAGCAAATTTGGCTGGGGACTGGGCGAATATACTGTCCACTTTGAACGAGATACTTTCATGATCTGGAATAGTCCAAGCGAACAGCGAGTGGTCGTCAATCTCCTTCATAATCTCCTCCTGTAATCTGACGAAAGCCCTCGGTCCTTCTCCATATAGGAGGGGCATGTTGACATCGAAGATCCCTAGCAAGGAATATGCAATATCTTCCACTCTTTTGCACTGCCTCCTCGATGCCCAGGACATTCTCTGGGCTACACTGTAGGAGTACAGACTCTTGTGTTGTGCCAGGCATTTTTCGGGGATGCCTGTGATGTCCTCGAGCAACTTGTCCAAGCGTCCCCATGCTTTATTTTTGATATGTGGATGCTGCGATGACTCGGGGGAATGCTTGGCTCCAATAAATTTCCAATCCCGGTTGTAAAAATGAATCTCCTTTGGGGCTATCAGCTCTTGAAGAGTCCAGCCCCGAGTGAACCAACGACTGTTTCTGAAAGCCGATCCCTCGGCAAACGGATCAGCAATAGGGGGCACATCAGCGAGGTATGCGTAGCATAGACTAGCCTCACAATACCATGTATACATGGAGTTGATGGCCTCTGTCAACTCAGCACTGCTGGTTTTATCGATGCAGCACGTGTCCACCCACGCCCAATTCAGCCCATCCAACCTAGCTTGCTTGCAAGTAGATACGACTTTCTGGAACCCTTCTTTCGTTCTGATATTATCATCCAACTGTTGCATGTCCCGAAGAGTGACTTCCTGGTCATCACTAGCCCATGTATGAGAGAGAATCGCATATTTCGGGATATCGGCTCCGAAGAACTCGTGGATCTTGTATCCGATCGTGTCGTTTGCGTCTATAAGGCGCATGTTGAGAAATATAATGATAATGTGACTCCTGAGAATGCTAAGTGCCTGATGAAGACAGGTTAGAGGCAGGTACAATTCAGGCCGTTCTCCAACCAGGAATGTGGATGGGTTGTCAGGGTGCAGCTGCTACCACATATTAAATATTACAGTTTTAATCTCACGCAGCCAGTCAGATAGACATTTGCAGCGTGGTGCATGTTAGCCTCCAGCTATACTAGTGCGGGGTTTCAGCAGTCAGCTCAGGCACTTTTGCATCTGCTCGGGCAGACTACTAACCAGATGTAGCCTCTTCTTTCCAAGGACAGGCATGACAATGCTCCCATGACCATGTGCCTTAATGGACTCTAGGGAGGGGGGCTCGACTGACTAGGTAGATGCACGATAGCTTCACCTAGTGACCCCCACCAATAAGGACACCTCATCCTATCACCACAACTGCTAGCGCAACTGTGACTGTTCTGATTCGTTAGCAAAGCTAGTTCAGTGGATGAGGACTCACCTGAAATACTCATCGTTTTATCGATATGATGCAGAAAGCGAAGTAGTCAATAAAGTGATATACTAAAGAAAAGATATTGAAACAACCACCCGCCAAATCTATATACACCTAGTATCCCCTACTCCGTAACACTATCCTTCAACCCCCTCAACGCACTCGGCTCCTTCGAACCATGCAACATGGCCGCCGCATTCTCCGACCTCCTCCGCGCATCCGTCCACACCATAAACTCACTATAACTCTTCGGCATCACCTGCACATCCTTCTCCACCAAGAACGTATAATTAAACATGCCCGTCGGTTTCTTCGTCCCATGCTCCACGTCCCGGACCTTCGTGTCCACCCGCACCCGCACCTTCGTATACTTACTCTCCACGCCTTCGCGCTCCAACGGCTCCGTGTACGCTACCGTGGCGCGGAGATACAGGACGCTGCCGACGGGAACGGAGTTCTCGAAGGTGCTCGGGTCCAGGGAGATGAAGTTGGGGCGGGAGTGGGAGAAGGAGGCGGCGCAGCAGAAGGCCAGTTCGAAGGTTTGTTTGAGGAGGAATCCGCCGAAGATCATGAAGTTGTGTCGGTTGCGGTCTTGCGGTTGCATGATCATGGCGGATTTGAGGACGGTGTCGCTCATGAAGACGTCGTTGGAGGGGCGTTGGGCGGGGGATTCGGGGTCTGGACGTGTCATTAGAATGGGAAAAGTGAGAGGGTGGAGAGTGGAGGGTTCTTACTGAGGTAGGACATCTCCTTGGTCCACATGGAATGAATCAGGTTACTCTCTTCGGCGTCCGGGGCTTGCTCGAGGAGAGACTTGGATCGGAGGGCCTTTTTGGCTTGGTAGTTCTCTTCGCCTTGTTTGAAGAGGAGACGTTCCTCGGGGGTTTCGACAACGAGGGGGGCGATTTTGGCGGGTCTAACCGTGAGTATCAATTCTTTGCACGTAGAGGGGGCTGCAAGAGACATACTTTTTCGTCGTGGGGTCCAACGACACCATCGTAAACGCACACGTGATGAGCACATCTTCCGGCTCGACCTTCTTCCCCGGAGCAGGAACCTTAGCCACCTGAAGGGAGACCTCCATACTGGATCGACCCGTCGCATACGTGACCTGGCCACTGAGCTCGAGATCGCAGATTTCCATCAGCGGGTGCTCAATGGTGATCCGATCGACGGCAGCAGTCACCGTGGTGACAGAGTCGCCGGTGTGTCTGTAGGCGATGACGCCTGCCATGGCATCAAGGTCCATCAGCAGGGAACCCAACCTGACATTGTTAGTAAGTCACCACGAAGGATTCAGGGGTAACCGCACCGAATATGCCCCGAGGCATTAAGATACGTATCAAGAAGCCATTTATCTTGAGCCAATGGCAGGACCTAACACATCAGTTAGCATGGCAACATGATCATACGAGCTACACTCACAGCGCTGTAATAACTATCCGACATCTTCTTCGGCGTGAGGTCAGGTTTCGCCGACGGCGCGGGAGCGCCCTGACCGGACTGCGCCGCCTCGCGGCTTTTCGTGAGCGCATCAATCCAGGGTGTCTTCACCCGCATAGGCATCCACGTTGGTCGGAACGCCGCATTAGACCGACTGGGATGGAAGTCTCGGGCTGAGAGCAATGACCGCTGTGCTGGGGAGCGGATACTGGTACTGGTAGTGGTGGTAGTGGTGGTGTTGGCCAGGCATTTGGAGCGCGTCACGGCAGACCGCCTCGTACTTAATCCGAACATGATGATAAAGCCTCTTTTTCTCGTGGTTGACGATTTGTTGATCGGTTGTAGAGAGGAAAGGGTCGAGATGCTTTATGGACGAGAAAGACTCGGCTTCGGCAGTTGATTCATCTCCCGACGGCTTTTCCGGCTTCGGCTTTGGATGCGGAGCAAGTCGGTAACACGATAAAGTATATTCCTTGCTGGGATGCGGAACCCAGTGGCTGGCTATGTGAATGAATGGGCTATATCTACGTTCTGAGCATTGTATAGCTATATAGGGTCTGTCCTGTTAGTATCGATGTAGAAGTGCAGGGAGGTGTTCGGGTTCGTTCGAGACGGTCCCGACTGCTGTGTGATGACGTCATCACCTTGTTCTCCGATATCAGCTCACGATAGAGATGAAATGGACAGAATTGCACTGGAAAGCAGACCCTGAGCTACATGCTGCGTGGTATATCTGTTGCATGCCAAGCAATTGGTTGATGGGCCCTGTAAGATGATCTTCATCCAGCTTAAGTCATCTAACCGCATCAGGGACCGGCTCGTCTCTCGGACGAGAGCTGCGTCAAGGTGAAATCATCCAGCCTATAAATTGCCCAAGTTAGATTGTTTCTCCGGCTATCCAATTGCTGGGAAGCTTTTGTACATCTCTTCTACTGATATCTGTCTAAATAATCTCGTTAGATAAACGTTATTAGAATCTTTTCATACATCCACATATCCATAGATATAGCTACCTCAAACCATGAGTGACCCAACCAACCCCAACATCTCCAAACGAACAACGCCCCAATGGGCACTCTACCAGCGCGAGAACTTCTGGAAAGTAAACGACGGCCAAACAGCCCCATTCAACACCGGTACACCCACCCCCATTATCTCCCCCGACACCCCCTAACAAGCCCCATCTACCAGATCCAAAAAAACTCGAAGAAGAAGCCCACAAAAAGCTAAGCCAAGGCGGCTGGTACGCATCCCATCCCCTCCCAATACACCAACCTCCTACTAACCATCCCAGGTACTACGCCTCCTCCAACGCCGGACAATCCCACACACACCTCGCCAACCGCCAAGCCTTCTACCGCCACCGAATCATCCCCAACCAGCTCGTAGACACGAACCTACGCGACACGAGCACCGAGATCTTCGGCCACCGCGTCTCCGCCCCCATCGGCTTCGCCCCCATCGGAATCAACAAGATCTACCACCCATCCGCCGAACTCGCCGTCGCCAAAGTCGCCCACGAACTCAACCTCCCCTACTGCCTCTCCACCGCGGGGAGCTCCCCCATCGAACGCGTCGGCGAAGCAAACGGCTCCGGCCCCCGGTTCTACCAACTCTACATGCCGCATGACGATGAGCTCACCCTCTCGTTACTCAACCGGGCGTGGAATTCGGGCTTCGACGCCCTGATCCTCACGACGGATACGTGGCAGCTTGGCTGGCGACACGACGATATCGCGAACTCGAATTATGCGTTTTATCGCGGCATCGGGGCGGATCTGGGGTTGACGGACCCGGTGTTTCGGGCGCGATGTCGCGAGGCAGGCATCGATGTAGAGAGGGATATCGTCGCGGCGTCGACGAAATGGATTGATTCCGTATGGCACGGACGGGCGTGGTCATGGGAGAAAATCCCGTGGTTGATGGAGCAGTGGAGACGGATATCGGGGGGCCGGCCGTTCGTGATCAAGGGGATTCAGTCGGTCGCGGATGCGAGGAAGTGTGTGGAGTATGGGGTGGATGGGATCGTGGTGAGTAATCATGCGGGGAGACAGGTGGATGGGGCGATTGCGAGTCTGGATGCGTTGGAGAATATTGCGGCTGCGGTGGGGGATCGGATTTACGTGATGTTTGATTCGGGCGTGCGCGGGGGAAGTGATGTTGCGAAGGCGTTGGCGTTGGGGGCGCGCTTTGTGTTTGTGGGGAGGCTGTGGATTTGGGGACTGAGTATTATGGGGGAGGAGGGGGTGCGGCATGTGATGAAGTCGCTGTTGGCGGATTTTGATATCCTCATGGCGGTGGGGGGGTTTAATAGGGTGGAGGACTTTGATAGGTCTGTCTTGGGTAAGTATTTGGGGTGTGTTTGATGGGATGGATGCTAATTGTTGAAACAGAGTCGTATCCGAAGTCGTATACGCTGCTGCCGGATAAGGTTCTTTAGGGTTTCAGTGGGTTCAGAAAGCGGATGACAGGTATTCATACAACTTGTTAGACACGATCAACCCATGCAAGAATCGATGGGTTGGAATGGAAGTTAAGTGACTAGAAGAGATAATGGAACAAAGCAATATCAGGCAGCAGCGCACTGTTGATAGTCTCAACATGTATATGCAGATACAAAACAACAGCGAATGTGATCAACGATCTATTCTTCTAGCTTCAACCATTGAGACGTGAGACGCGGCTACTATAGCCAAAGCATGCATAGAGCAATCGCCAACACAGAGTAGTACTGAGAGGGGATAATGGCCGTTGCTCCTGACTTGGAATCGGATGAGCTACTGGAGCCAGCAGAGCCAGTAGTCGTCGAGCTGCCTGTGGAAGTGGAACCTGAAGCACTGGACGTGGAGGAGCTGGTAGTGTTTGAAGAAGAGCTGCTGTTGGAGGAACGCTCCGCAAAGCCAACCCGTTCCTCATCGTAGTCAAACACGGCGTACACATTCTTCAGGAAGACATCACCCAGGAGCCATACGTCGTCGCCGAATAGGTCATAGCTCACGATGTTTGAGACGCATCCAGAGCCAGATGTTGATCCAACGTAGTCCTTCGGAGAGATGGTGTAGTTGACCCCGGAAAACGCCACCTGTAGCTTCGCAGTCGTGTTGCACGGGATGATGAAGTAGTCTCCAGAGGTACTGGAGCCGGGAATCAGCGCATGCAGCGTTTTCGCGTCGTCCGAAGGAAGCATGGCGTAAGACGTTCCAGTATCGATGATGGCCGACTTGTTGGAGAAATCACATGAACTGCCGTCAACATACGCATCGTCCACGGGAATGCGCCAGTAGCTTCCCGTTCCGACGGTATCGGTGTAGGTGATATCCCCCGTGTACTTCTCCTTGTCAGCAGTGCCAAAGCTGACGGTGCCGTCCGTGGCAGGACTACGCGAAAGGGCAAAGCCGACGATGTTCGATTTGAACAGGTTACTGGTGGAGACAGCATCCATGAAGGTCGGGTTGTCGTAGGAACTTTCGTTGGTTCGACCGAGGCCGAGAATACCATCCATGGGATACGATTCGAAGTTGTCCGATGCGTTGGAAGCCAACCCGAAAGTCATGCGGACAGTCGTGTTGGCGATGGTGAGACTGTCCGTCCCCAGCAAGCCACTGACCGATCCGGTACCGTAGCCAACACTCCACTCTTCAGAGGTCATTTCAAGGGTCGAGGACGAGTTCGCTCCAAACGTGTTGTGCATCGTGCAGGCTGTGACTGTGCAATTGGAGCCAAAAACCCATGTATCAGAGCCCCCAGTGTCCAGCAACATGTACATGGCTTGCTCGTCAGAGCCGATGTTGACAACTGAGAAGTAGGACAAATCATCGCCATCTTGGTCGAGAGCAGCGGTGTTGGGCCAAGAGGGGGTGTCCGCCACTACAATACTGAAATCATTGCCACGGCGGACGGGAATCCTTTTGATATTCAAAGTCAGGGACTCGTCATTGGACGATGACGCTGAATCATCTGTCAGTGCGTCGCCTGGCTTGGGCAGGGGCAGAAAGCGGCGAGACAATGTATCATCACGAGCTGAATTGCCGGTCGACGTATCAAGTTTGATGGTGTATGGGATAAAAGCCGTGGCGCTGGCGCAAAGACATGCTGCTGTAACAAGACGCTGTGGGAGATGCATAACCAGGATAATCTAGCAAACAAGGCAAGCAAGCAGTGATCGCACGAAGTGATGTTGAAGATGTAGTGCTGGGCTCCTATTCAATGAGATCAGACGATACTGATGTACAACGATAAAAGTAAAATTGAAGTTCCAAGTCAATTGAAAGAATTGTTTGAATGGAATTGATGACAGTGACAAGAGCGCGATAATATTCTAGGTTGATCAACGAGAGAATGGAGGAAGTGGACAGCTGAGATAGGAGATCAGGCGATGTGCGCTAGGAAAGAAGGCTTCAACACAAAAAGAATGGGGCGAAGTAATGGAAGGAAAGGAAAATCGATATATAACCAATAACAAATGATGATAAGCAGCGAGGGAGACAAAGAAGAAAAGATGCAAAGCTACGAGGGGCAAGGAGGCATCAAGTGCAGTCCATGCAGTTAATAATAAGGTATGCTTACATCGTGGAGAGACGCAGGCTAAACGGCCCACTCGGCAGGTTTTCTCAGTGCGAACCAGCGCGGCGACTGGCTGCGGGCGAACTGGCCAGGCCCCGATCTGCAGGCCTTTTCGGGCATCGGTGGAGCTTTTCCCCTGAGCAGAATCCAGAATGGCCTCGCAGTTGACGGCGGTTTCTTTGGGCAGGGAGGAGTCCGTGAAACCTCTGCTTCCATTCTTAGTAACATAGATGCTACTATGAGTTTGGGCAGTGATGATTAGATCTCCGGTGTCCTTGGTAAGAGTATACATAGTATACAGTCTCACCCAGTGTCTAATACCCTCTACTGCTGCCTACTTCGGCACTCCATCAATGTCGTCGGCTAATCTTAATGAGGGTCTCCTTAATATGTGGAATGACAACCCGGAGGCCCGTTCATTTCGCATCTTACCTAAGAGGGGCTGTCTCTGCTGTCCACCCACGCGATGACGACTCCCGCGCCACTGAGTGCTTCTTGATGGAGTCCCGCAACGCACCATGGTGGCTGGCCTTATGACCGGCGAATCCGACCATCAGGAACCTGCGGACCCAACATGCACCGATGTACATGCGAAAGATATTACCAACCATCACAAATAATTATTTGAAAACATGCACACTCGCGATTGTCTCCAGTAACAGAGAAGTTTATTAAAATATTCTCACAAGAAATCGGTAGAACCGACGAAATGTTCCTTGCGACTGACTCACCACCACCACCAAGGCACCTACCATGGTGTACTTTGTGCATTCTAGATACTATGAGTCTTTTCCGACCCGTACTCAGGTCGGTAGGGCATCCCATGACAGCCGGAGCGGACAAATAGGCACCGTACGGCTTGACGGCCAGTTGGCTGTAAAGAACAAACCAAATATGACAGGTCAAGTGAAGAAATTGATTGGCAGATGAAGGGAAGTCTTTCACGATTTCAGCCCCTTCAGTGGAAGAACGTTGACGGGCCATAAAGCTTGAACAGATAGTGCTTCCAGGCATCCATCAAGTTCTACCAATGAACGGTTGGGGAAGTCACTCATTCAGTGAGGTGTTCGTTGGCCAACGCTGAGATCTGATCGGACAAAGCGTATGGATTAATGCTTATCGTTGTTCCGGGGCTGTGCACGCCGGGTTGACAGCCACACTACCCACGGTTTCGACTGTAGGAAGATGATCGACAATAACACTGATAGATTGTAGAGACATCATAGACCACTTTATCATATTTATGTGGAAAGTACAAAGCATACTGAATAGAAGCAAGCACAAGGACGACAAAGAAGGGGTTCCCAATTTCCGGCGGGCCTCAAGGTGAAACACCCCAGCATAGCCGAGGCAGCCACAGTGGCAAGACCCGACCAATCTAGACTCTCTCAATTACAGATGCCATGAACCACCACTATTCAGTGACATTATTATAATATAATAATTGTGCCGGAGATTGTTTTCCGGGTCAGACACACGGAGGAAAATGTCCTTGCATTATGCATATTTCAAACATAATTTTTATGCGCCCAAGCCGCCGAAGTTATGCCGGCTATGGACTTCATGATGTATATGGAGTAAACACGCCACAGTTGATGAGCTTAGATAGGATAAAAGCTTCACAATTGTATGGAGTTGCATAAGTAAAAGAGTATGATGTTGTATAATAGTATGCGGTGTTTCTTACCCATCATATGGCATCTTTAGCCACCAATTCACATGAGTGTCCCAACGAAATCATGTCGGAACAGATCGGGGACCACCATCAGCCCACGACTGAGGCCGGGAACGTGATTGACTTTACCCATCTCCGGACCCCCGGAGCCTTTTTACCTAGGTTAGATCGGAATGATGATGATTCTGCCCTGCTCTGATCTGATAAGCCTTGTCCCGGGGCGCACAAGATACCCGACGCCTTACCATGCATGTACCCCGTCGTACCTAGGTTTAGGTTAAGCCAGCCATCCGATTACCGAAAGGCCCGACTGAATATTCATTACCCGACAGCTCACCTCTTCGATCATCCGGGCATGGTCGCGTGTCATCACCGATACTACGTAGAAGTACTAGATATACTGTGTGCTATGCATGGAATGAACCAGACTGAATTGATAGCATCATCCAATGGAAGTAGGACTATGCTGTATTGCCAAGAAGGCTTAATTGAAAAAGGTAGAAGAGCCCTTAGAAAAGTGACCATCACACATCGCTAGAAACGAGACACAATCAAAACCAAACATCAAGGGAGCATCAGTGCTTCTGCGCGTGCGGCTGCTTGGGACCTAAAAGATCTTCCAAGAAACCGCTCCAAAGTTCCCGGACTACTCCCGGTTCGGAAGAGCCGTTCTGTTGCCTGTTCAACTCCTGACCGAATCTGGATTTCCCAACAGTCTCGGTTAGAGAGAATGGGTCGATATCAACCGAGTGGTTGTCGACAACCTCGGTCATGGGGCTTGCCGAAACATCTGCTCCATCCCCGGAGACAGTATAGACCTGGGGTTTCATGGGGGCATCCTGGGACTGGGTCGCGTCATAGTGGGTATAGATATCGGAAAGGATCGGAATTTGCGGATCGGCACGCGCAGCAGCTCCATCAATCTCCGCCATGGAGGGCATGTAGGCGAAGTCAACGGTGGATGAGTCATTGACGGCCTTGCTGGAACGGGAGGTATTGAATTGGCGATCCTGGCTCTTCCTGTATTGGGCAAGAACGTTAGTTCCGGACTGCGATTACCGAGGTAACAGGTGACGATCAACATACCCTGCACTAGAGCTGCCGTTAATCCTCCTCATAGCAATACTGAAGGCGCGAGATTGAAGGAAGTCATGGTTGGAAAGGCGTTCAACAAGCTGAGCAAGTAGACGACGGTCAGCCTAATGAATGCATGGGGTGTAGATTTGAATTAACGTACCTCAGCCTGTGTGCCACTAGATCTCAAGGACCGCTTCGAGCATTCATTCTTGAGATCGTTCAGAGTGCGGCTGGCATATAGAGAAGCCCGGTCCGAGACATTGGCGGGTTGTGCAGAGTGGGCGCCAGTGATGTGCAAGCCCCGACGGATGGATGGGGTGGAGTGCTGCTGGGAGAGCAAGCGCAGAGCACGCAGAGAACTTGAGCGAGGAGCTGCCATTGAGGATATGATGGAATGGAAGAGTAGATGGGCTTGATGTGGACTGGTCCGGTGGGGGAGAACAGTTATAACCGCCTGGGTAAATAGTTGAGCTCAAGAATGTAGAGCAACAATTTGAGGAAGTACTGTAGATGGAAATGGCTATGTACACGGAAGCCAAGGGAGTTTAGGCAGCAGAGAAAAGAGATGGAATGTGAGGGAGAGTAGGAAGAAGAAAGGAAGCTGGAGGGGGGAAGCTGGCGGTACTTGAAGGAAAGGCGATGCTGCAGTTGCAGGAACCGGTTGGGGGGGATGAGCAAGCTACCTTGCCTTATCCACACCCCTACGTGGAGTGGGCACTGAGAGTCTGGGACAGTGGACACTGGGGCCGGCGGTCTAGCCAAGTCTGCCGGATGCTAATAGTAGTATGGGACCACTTAGCCCCGACCGAATAGATCGATCGATATCTTCCTCTGGGCGGACAAAATAGGTAAATCAACCCTCTGGAATGTTACTCTAGTTGGTTCTTGTCCAGACAATGATCGACTGATTATTTGTTTTCTAATAATTTGTATGCGTTGTCCACACGCCGTCCCCCCCTTTTTACACAGCATCGTTACAAATCCGATGTGTCCGCGGTAAACATAAAACCAAGCATAATAGATCGTGAGGGGTAGGCAAAGTGTCAACCATGGTAACAGGTACGAATGACCGGTCCCCCGGCTTTCCAGATCATGATATCCACCATTTCAATACGGCTGGGACGCTGCCACTGCGCCAGCCTGCATAATCCCCGGCGCTTTCCTGCAAAGCGCTGGTCGGAGCAGCCAATCAACGGGGTAACGTGGACATTTCTATGACTACTCGGCACACCGGGGACACTGATCAGTTGATGATCAAGGGCATTGGAAACACGCATTGGCCTGGCCGGTTGCAAATGGCAGATAGATTAGGTTCCCCTCTCGCATGTCCTCCCCTCCTTCTGCAACAGCGGCACGGTATTCCTCGATAGATGCCGCAAATATAGCATCGATCACTATTATCTAGCGTGATGCGCCGGAGGGGACAGATGATCCCTTCTTTTTCCTGAAGGCCTCTACATGGTGTCGTGCTGCTTCCCTATTTCCACCCCCGCTAGTTTTCCGCTCATCACTGACAATCGGGACTGGTGAAACCCTCCGATTGCTTCGTATTACATCAACCACTTTGAGTTTCCAGCGCCGGACGCACCTGCCCACTTTCCCTCTTCCCTCTTCTGACGTGGATCGTCAAAAAAATGCTTGTAAAAAACCTGAGCGAGACAGGGCAAGCACCACCGTAGAGCTTGTCTGAGCCTGTCTCCGTGTACAAGGTCCGCTGCTTCCCAATGCAGTAGGTCGCCCTCCTCCGATGTGCCTTCTTTCTCCGTACTCCGTCGCGCCTGCTGGAACTCGGCGCCCGTGACGCAATAATGAAGGAACGGCCAACGACATTCGAGAAGCTTACTAGCGCCAGCGGGAATAAACCAGCCAATACCGTACTTTACTATAACCATTACCGAGGGGGATGCGTGTACCGGCCCAACAACCGGTGCTCATCCTCCTACCGCCTGGCTGATCATCAATCGGATGATTCTCAGCGGGGCGATGATTGGCAGGTTCGATGGGACGATGGATGTCGATAGCATGATGCCAGCGCCCATGGCCTGGGGCTGACCCTCAATTGTTGAGGCGTGAGAGGCGGTGAGTGGGGACGGGATGGGGCACGTGAGGGCGATCTGGCTTACCGGCAGCCTTCCCCGTGGATCCTTCCCCGACTAAATTTAAGGTACTCTGATTTACGCTGTAGTCCCCATACTCTACGGAGTTCCTCACCCAACTCCAGCGCCTTCCGAAACAAGGTACTCTGATATACGCTGTAGTCCCCATCCCCTACGGGGTTCGCTTCATCTATCTTCGCTCAGCCCCTGATCCTGCTCGGATTCAACAAATGTGGCGTCAGCCAGGATGACTTGTTGGTGACTGCATCGGCTAAGTTGATTTCTTTTTCCGTTTGGAAGATGTCTGGGGGATGCCTGTGTCCTCCGCAGGATTCCGGTTTCAATCCATCCCTCTTGTCCACTCTGTGTGTTCAATTTGCTCAAGATGTCGCTCTTCATGCTTCGACCTCTGAAGTTTGTGACCTTCCATTTTTGGTTTTCGGAGAGTGCAGCCCGGGTTGACTGGGCCACGTTGATAAAGGACCTGTTTATCGGGACCGTCTATTTGCTATCGCGTTGACGGGGCTAGGCCATTAGTACTTGGTAGTTATCAGCATGTACGGAATAGCTACTTACGTGCTAGCTACCTAGTCGATATGACCCCTCAACCGTCAACCGTGACTTGGCTCGCGCTGACCAGGTTTAATCCATGCATGATTCCAGCAGTCCATGAGTCCCGTCCCGCATTAGCCTGTTTTCATATGCACCTGGCAATCTGCATTTGATAACCCCTCCAAGCATGTGAATCACCTTCATGATCTTTATCAGGACCCTATTGCGGCATTTACATTGCGGGCCCCCTTGTCCAAATATACACGTTTCCAGTTGTTTACCTGCCAAGTTCGAGCAACCGTATATACATCCCCTGCATATGCATAGCATAGCTTGAACCCAACTGGCAAATGGCAGCTTCCCCCCTCCCTCTTTCGGATGGCTGAGGCAGCGCTCTAACGTCTGGATCCACGCAAGCGTCCCCCGGGTACTTCCACGTATCCGCATGTGAATATCTTTTGCGTCGATTATATATGGATCGACATCACTGAGTGTGGCAACGGCTGTTATGCATGTCTATTCTAGCATGCCCTCGTAATAGAAGCATCGTAGCGTGCAGGATACTGATGAAGCATGGAGTATGTGACGCTTGTCGAATAATCAACGGTCCCCCTGGCCATGCTTAATCGCCTGTCCCGTAGTGATGCTACTGCTACCTGTCCCATGCATGTCTCTATACTCTGGTGAATCTGCGATACTGTTGCAGAGCCAAAGAAAAACACGAAGAATTGACACATGTTCAACTATCGGTGATGTTACAGTATACCTTCTACGCAGGACGATTTTCTTTAGACATCGCATACCTCCTATGCGTAGAACCGTATGCTTTCACCTCGGTATCAAACCATCGCCTAACAGTCAACCCGCAAGGGTACGTACCTTTTCCTCCCACATGGCTCAAATAACCTTCTTAATACAACTCCTGCACCTGTCAGCAATAGGTAATACACGGACCACCACATCATATCTCTCGTCCCACAAGCACAAGTACAAGCACGGACAACCCGGTACGGCGATCACCAACACCCAACAAGTATCAATATCAGAAACTCGGAATAGATCCCTCATAGTACTCCGTATCGGAGTCAACCCCCCGAACAAACATGACATAATCAGCACCGCCACAGCCACACTGTCCACCTGCGCCCCCTGTGGCTGGGCTGTTAGGCGCGCCTGAATCTCAGGCACCGCACCGCACCGCATTTTCATTGCAAAGCCCAGGGAGAGATATCGATATCGAATTTCCTGTCCCGTATTTTGGCCCTTTTGCTTTCGCTTTCTGATGCACGTGGTCACCGGTGTAGGCCATCTGCTGCGGACATCTGGAATTAGTAGTAATTTTTGGGGTCGGTGGTCGACGTCTTCTCTGAAGACGGATAGACTAGGTATGTTGTGATTTTTTGGCTTTGGGGCTATGTGGACTGGCCCTTGTTTTTTTGTGTGGTTTGAGAGGGCTGGATGGGGGATGTTGGTTGCGTATGTGTGGAGGCTTACGAGAATTAGTGTCTGGGAGTATTATTAGAAGTGGTTTTGTGCTGCAACGTGCTTCTTCTTCTTCTCCGTGTTTTATACTAGGTAAACTGGGTTTTTCTACGCATGCGCAGAGATACTCGGGTTCAGGCACAATGAGTGATTCTAGTAAACCTATCAGATATGTTGATGTAGGTTGAGTTATGATCTTGGAACCCTTTGCTGTTCTCGCAGCTAATGGAGATTATAGATTGGAATCAACCTGAGTGATCCGGTTTTCTCAGGGAGTTATCATGGAAAACAGGTCCATGATAGTGACCTGGATGACATTGTACAGCGTGCAAAGGATATCGGGTGTCAGAAATTTATGGTGACCGGTTCTGATTTGGAGGAGTCTCGGCGTGCGCTGCAACTTGCACATGACTACCGTATGTTTGGTTGCTTCACTGACCCCTCGTGACGCTGTGAATTCTGACTTTCCTTGCAGCGGGTTTCTGCTATGCAACCGTTGGTGTTCACCCTTGTCAGGCAAAGCTATTCGATGAATTCCCTGGTGGCCCTTCCAAGATGCTGGACGAGCTTAGAACCCTCGCTTTGCAGTCCAAGGAAAATGGGCAGGCGGTTGCGTTTGGTGAGATCGGCCTGGATTATGATCGATTGTTCCTGAGCGCGAAAGAGCCTCAGCTGAAGTATTTTGAGGCGCAGCTGGATATTGCGGTGGAGATTCAACTCCCTCTTTTTCTTCATTCTCGCGCTGCTAGCGAGGACTTTGAGAAGTTACTGGCGCCGCGACTGGCAAAGCTCCCTAAGAGAGGACTCGTGCACAGCTTTACGGGGACGCTGGAAGAGATGAATCGGATGGTCGCGCTTGGCCTCGACATCGGAGTCAATGGCTGCAGTTTGAAGACCGAGGAGAACCTTGAAGTAGTAAAGGCGATTCCGCTGGATCGACTTCAGATCGAGACCGATGGTCCCTGGGTATGTCTTCCCCGTGTCCCAACTGATTCCTTTATTAATAGCGACCGTCTAGTGTGAGATTCGTCCTTCCCACGCCTCGTCGAAATACCTCAAGGGGGCACCAGAGCTTCCAAAGGCAGTCAAGAAGGAGAAGTGGCAGAAAGGATTGATGGTCAAAGGTCGCAATGAGCCCGCTGCGATAGCCCATGTTGCCTACGTTATTTCCCAAATCAAGGGAATCACGGTGGAAGAGGTCTGCGAAGCGTAAGTATTTCCACATCTCCACAATTGCTGTGTCCCCTGTCTCAGTGGCTAAAAAATGACATTCTAGTGCGTGGAGTAATTCGATCAGAATGTTTGGACTTGGGGAGGATGCCGAATGAGGCTGCTTCCGGAAAGTATAGGTGCCGTTGCAAGGCTGACACTGACCGCTTTATAGCCCTTCAATGACGGCCTACCATCTCGTCAAATAAAAGGATGCTAGAAAAAGAGAAAGAAAAAAAAAGAATATTCTGCTTTGTGATTGTCATGACTGCGATAGATAGAGAATGAGGAGCCGAGTCGCTTTATGTTGTTTTTGTGCAAGGCTGTTATGTGATCCTAAAAAGCTGAGTCAGGTCGGCCCCAACCATGGTTCCTCACCACGGCTAGACTCCTCTTGCTGGAGCTGCTCAACGCAAACTCTATACTGCGACATCGCCCCTTCAGTGTTTATTGAGGCATGAAGAACGGCAAGTCAGGCCTCCGTCAGTCTGTGATACGTGCTTTCAGGGACGGACCTGCGTGGGTAGTCATCTGGCTTTGCCCTGCCAGTAGCCGCTCGCAGACGGTCCTTCTTGCTTCACTGAGGTGCACGTAGTGGCGCGCTGCACGTGTCGGTTCCTGCTTAAGGACCGGGCTCGCGTGCGTTCTGACGGCAGAAGCTAGTTCTAGCCCCGTTGGTCTTCTTTTGCAGCAGCTCACCGCCCATACCTGTAACGGCCTCAGACTCACTTCTCTTTACTTCCCTCCCTGACTGCACATCGGTTGGTGAAGAAAGCCTCGCTGGCTACCTCAGCGTTGCATCTAATCTGCTTTTCTGACATCGCCACTATGTCTCTTTGTCGGGTCTCTTCTGTTTGAGGCCTGCGAGGCTTCTCGAGTCTCCGACACTCCTCCATACAACTCACCTTTTTGAAGTCAGTTGCCAGCTACTGAGCTGGGGACTGACTGTTTGTTTTTCTGGCTGTTTGCCGATTACCCCTCACTCCTTTCCCCCTGGACATAAGAAGCCATCGTGTCTTGCTGCCCATATACCGGAGCTTCAAGTCTACAGCCGCTCGCTTCCCAAAACTGCTATCAAAATGGCCAACCCGTTGACCGAGAAAAATTCCAACAGTTCTCTAAAGAGTGTTCATGGTGGGTATTGATATATCTACAATATGGGATATATTGGATTCCCTTGCTTGGTTTCGCCTGTGTCAATCATAGGAGCTAACCCATCCGATAGAAATGGCCCGTCACAAAACATCCTCTATGGAGTCGGAGCTCCCACAGTCGGATCTACCAAGTAATTTCGGAGAGGTTGTGAAAGGAATATACCGATCTGCCTTTCCAAATCCTTGGAATCTTCCAGCACTTACGAAGTTGGGACTGAAGACCATCATGTGCGTATCCCCACTGCCTGCATAGCTATGACGTTTGACTCACAAGCGACTAGCACCCTGGTTGATGAACCTTACACCCCCAACCATGTGGTCTTCATGAAAGAGAACGGGATCTCACATCATCGTATCTTAGTTCAGGCGAATAAAGACCCTGATGTCAAGATACCAGATGCTGTTATGTGTCGAATTCTGGAGCTTATGCTCGATAGAGGCAATCACCCCATCCTCATTCATTGCAACAAGGGAAAGGTGAGATCATCATGATCCTTGTGCTCGACATATGACTCATGATTATCTATAGCATCGTACTGGATGTGTGGTTGGTTGTTTCCGCAAACTCCAGGGCTGGGAATCGCGCGACATCATTAGCGAATACCTTCAGCATTCTTACCCGAAGTCTAGGCTGCTCGATGAGAAGTTCATCAACGAATTCGATGTATCTCAACTTTCTCGACTTGCCCAATTTTCTGACGTCAGGGAGTGGCAGCCGTCTGGGAACTTCAAGATGCCGTCAGAAGAAAACGACAAGGCTTCTTCTAAACGCCTTCTCCCTCCCATCCTCTGACAGGTCTGTGTGACTCCAAGTCTCTAATAATGATTTTGGCCAAACTTCCGCCATCATACCCTCTACTGGTCATTATGACCCCCGTTCTGGCAGTCCGATGCTCCCAACAGCAAACCCGCCCGCCATGAGTCCTTCGTGCAGGACACCCGGACTAGTCGACCAGGGAGCTCACCCGATCTCCTTCCTACAAGAAAATTGTCTTTTCCTTACTTGCTCCCCTAAAGCGAAGCAGAAATATCCTTGCCAACAACAACAACAACAACAGGGTTGTGCTTACGCAGCTTATCGCTCTGTCGACGGACCCAGGCTTTTCCTTTGTTGATGGTATTCGACACTGGAACAATCTTAAAGATAGACTAATGCGTGGTGACACTTGCTACCACTCCGCCTGTTAATGCAGTATTTAATCTGGTGGTGTGGGGCTTAGAGTGTAGAGGATCAAGGAAAACCACAAAAAGCCACTTCTGAATGGTTACTATGTATTTTAGATAAGTCGCCTCTTTCTATCGGAGAAAATACATTCTAGACAGTTTTCTTTCTTCGTTTATGGTCGCCGGTAACATTGTAGCCTTTTCTTTAGAATCGGTATACATGTTCAGTCATCTAGTATATAATATATAACATACACGAAGTTCATACTGTCTCCGGAACACAGGCCATGGTATAATACTCAGATATAACCACACAGCATATCATCTTCATAATCTCCGAACTCTTCATTAAATGTCAAATCTTCCGAAAACGGTGTCGGACTCAGGATATCTTCCTCTAATTCGGATATAAGGTCGTCATTGCTCTGGGAGAACCGTAACGACCCGATCGATGATGAAAATGCAGTAGATAGCATTTCACAGCTGACCTCATCGGACTCGCTGAATCCCAGGAGATCTTCTTCCGCGTATTCTTGGTCACTGTTGACATCGTGATGCTGTGTATGTGCTACTTGGCTGCCGGTAATCGTGCCGTCATCCCAAGACTGCTGGTGCTTTCTGTCCTGTAACTTGGGCGGTGATGGTGCAAGGAGACGCAGCTCACGTGACGCTTGTGGTTTGTAGAGCTGTTTCTGGGCGATACGCCATAGGGCTGCTTTTATATTGTTCCGTGTATTGGATGGGTTTATCGAAAAGGGTGGAGTGGTGGCTGATGCAGTTAGATTGTTAACCTTGGGGAGTAAGGATTGGTAGTTAGGGAGCTTGATCATGGATGATAGTGATTTGGCAATTGATGGGATTAGTTGCGAACGTTGGCTCATCTCCTGGTGCGTGGATTAGCTCACTTCAAACGATAAGAGGGATGTTCACGTACTTTGTAATAACCTGGACTGAAGGCTGAGGGAAAGAGTTGTGGAAGGCTTTGTAGGCGTTTCTCGCTTTGAGTGTTGCTCTCATTGTGTCCGAGGAGGAGAGATTCTAGGCTTGTAATGATTAGGGAATAGAATTCCTCGTGCTGCGTATCTTGGGGTGTTTCTTTGAAGAAAGATTGATCGAAGGTGAGGATAGATGAGCTCTGCTCACTTTCATGCAGCTCTTCGAGCTCCTCGATGAAAGCTGAGGCTTCAGTGGCCTCATAATCCTCTGTCTCCTTTTGCCCAGGTCCATAGAAAACCAACCCTTGTTCGTGTTCATCATAGGGTATAATGGAAATGGATTGAGTCTGATACTGGCATCCTAGGACTTCTGATTTCGTCATGGAAGTAGGTAAATATGAATGTTCAGGTACATTGTCATAAGCGCAAGTCAGCATTACTTTGATTGTAGACAAACGAACAGTTGATATATTGCTGGGAGAACTGAAATTATCCTGGTAGTCGAGCACAGCTGCCCTTCGCACGTTTCTCGGTTTCGACGGTTGTCTCGAGTTTCTTCGAATTCCAAAGGAGAGCTGCAGAGACGGGGGGTTGTTTTGGTCGTAGCTTTTGAATAGCAAGACGAGGCCAAGGTCTGACCAGAGCTGGAAGCAACAATTCAATTAGCTTTGTTACGATTATGAAGTAAATCTCTTGTCATCTTAATAATACCTTGGAGCTACAAAGAATCTCCCCTATCCGTGACACGAGAGCTGAGGGCGAGAGGACCATGGAGATACTGTCGGAAATTGAAATGTTAAGTCCGAGTTCTGGTGCTTGGGATACCCATAAATCACCAGATCTGAGCTGCCTTTCAATGTGAGATGGATCCGTTGGGCTGGCATGCACATCAGAAGGTAGTATGTGAGCTGAAGCATACAGAGTCAAGCTAATGCCTGATTTTGGCGAAGTGAAATTATCCTTTCCAAGATCGATTAGAAAAGCCATCCTATGCTTAGTATCAATTGCGCAGTCACAATGACTAATGATTCGTAGAGGAAGCTCCTGGATAGCAGGAGCCTGTGGTAGATCAGGAAGGTGGAATCTGTGACTGCGGAGGCGTGTGGGATGAGTTCCACCCGCCATGTGGAGAGTATAGAGCAGGACTACTGTGAAGCATCATGTCTACATCTCGACAATATATGGGGGAAAAAAATGGAAGAAAATCGTTTCAATATATACACTAGTAAATCGGCCAGGTGCAGGTCCAGACCAAGCAGTACTTTACCTACTTTGACCCCCACCTCACAGCTTCATAATTGGTGACAGAAAAGGCATAAATGCTATTCAGGATATGGCGTACCAGCTGGATTTTAGCCATATGCGGGTTGTTCCCGTGTAACTTCGGTTGTTAAGAGAAATATATCCGCTTCAACTGAATTCATTAACCTGCGTACTTCAATGTCACACAATATGACGTAGTTTTCTTCATGAGAACGAAGCAGATCATGCTGCTTTTTTCGTATGGAGGTCTCCCGTATTTAGGTAGCCTGATTTTCTGAACATTGCCAGTCGAGATTAAGGGTTTGGAGCTTATCGCAACTCTACTTCCAACAAGGAGAGAGAAGTTAAAGAATTGCGACTAAACTCCGATGAAGTGGCCAGACGAGATACTAATAGAAAGCAATCAGATTATTATCTAGCCCCGCAGACCCCTGAAATAGTTTCCGATCACTATTCGAAGGTTATTGACCGATCTATTGAGGTTTATTTTTAGCCTGCTTATCGATAAGGGCATCACGTGCATGGGGATTGATTACCTGGCCCCTAAGCATCCTCCGCATCGGGGTACCTTGATTTCAGGAGCTTCACAATCAGCGATGCCCAGTGATGAAGGACAGCTTTCTCTCTTGGCTGACCAGAATGGCCCTGGTGGGCCGGAAATGCAGACTCTCCTTTCCGGGTCACCCTCGCAAGACCACGAGCTTGTAACCCATACGACCCCGGCTAGCTCGACTCCCCGCGGACAGCCGCACCAGTCTTCTATATCTCAGCCGGCACCAGAAGGACAACGCCGCACTCCCCGAACGCTGAACCGTGTTCGATTTGATCTCGATTCCGATACCGAAGATGAGCACCGCTCCAATGGTCACTCCCGCGCCTCAGAAGACTCATGGCTGGAGGAAGAGGATTATGGCCGCGCGGACCGCAATCGGTCAGCAAGGCAAATGGTTCCTCTCCTGACAGACATAGAGGCCCCAAGCGTGACCCTGGCTACTTCTGATGAATTCTTTCCCGAAGAACACCTAGAAAATGCGAGACCAAGGAGCGGGATGCGCATGGCGTTCATGAACATGGCCAACAGCATCATAGGAGCTGGTATCATAGGGCAGCCTTACGCGCTCCGGCAGGCTGGCATGATAATGGGGATAGCGCTCCTGGTCGCCCTCACTATTGCGGTGGATTGGACAATTCGTCTTATAGTGGTCAACTCGAAATTGAGCGGCGCGGACTCTTTCCAGGCGACAATGCAGCATTGTTTTGGCAAGAGTGGACTCATCGCCATATCGGTTGCTCAGTGGGCTTTTGCGTTTGGTGGGATGATAGCATTCTGTATTATCGTTGGAGATACCATACCGCATGTGTTGAGTGCTATATTCCCTTCTCTTCGAGATATGTCGTTCCTCTGGCTCTTGACCGACAGAAGAGCCATTATCGTCCTTCTTGTCCTCGGCATCTCGTATCCACTGTCTCTCTATCGGGACATTGCCAAGGTACAGTGTGGACTACCCACGGAGCTGGGTCATGCAAGGCTGACGATTCGGTGTAGTTGGCAAAGGCGTCTACATTGGCGTTGATCAGTATGATAATTATCGTGGTAGCTGTGATTACCCAGGGTTTTCGTGTACCCCCAGAATCACGCGGGGAAGTGAAGAGCCTACTCTTGATTAATAGTGGGTTCTTCCAGGCTGTTGGAGTTATATCATTCGGTATGTGTTGGCTATTGCTCGACTCGGGGTTCGTGAAACGGTACTAACTGTATGCAGCTTTCGTATGCCGTATGTAGCATTGCCCTCTGCATGATGCGAAGCTAACAGCTTCGAAGACCACAATAGTCTCCTAATCTACGGTTCCTTGAAGAAGCCGACCATGGACCGATTTGCGAGGGTGACTCATTACTCGACCGGTGTTTCGCTTTTGATGTGTCTAGCTATGGGCGTTTCTGGATTCCTTTTCTTCGGGTCGCAGACCCAAGGAAATGTCCTCAACAATTTCCCATCCGATAACATTCTGGTTAATATAGCTCGACTGTAAGATCGGGGCCCTTCTTCCCGCGGAGATCCATCAAGCTAACTCGAACCAGATGCTTCGGCTTGAACATGCTGACTACCTTACCACTCGAGGCATTTGTATGTCGATCAGTTATGACAACTTATTACTTCCCCGACGAGCCGTTCAACATGAATCGACACCTAATCTTCACAACCGCCTTGGTTGTTACGGCTATGGCTATGGCCTTGATTACCTGCGACCTCGGTACAGTGTTCGAACTGATTGGCGCGACTAGCGCTGCAGCACTGGCCTATATTTTCCCTCCCCTTTGCTATATAAAGCTGAGCAATGCCTCGCACAAAGCCAAGATTCCCGCATATGCGTGTATTGTGTTTGGAGTAACTGTAATGGGGGTCAGTCTGTTGCAGGCAACAATGAAGATGATAAGCAGTAGGTTGATCTATATACTTCAGCGTCCCAGGAATGCCTTGCTAACCAGTTCTGCCTGCCGCCATAGATGAAGGTGGCGCAAGCACTTGCAGTGCCCAGTGAAAAATTTTCTATATCTAGTATGCGACTATCTGTATGCTTACTTTCCTGTACGATAGACTTCGTTTCTTCCCGGCTGTCCCGATACAGGTGTACATACAATCGTGCTGCCGGCATATTTTTCTCAATCATCCTTTTTTCTTTCTACCCTTTTCTCCTATCACCTTTCATCTGTTTCGGAGAGTCACCAGTGTTACTAGACAGATGGCATTGAAATCCACCTACAAAAGCCCAGAACCCCTGGCCAAGGCCCAATAGTCCGTACCCGAATGTTGGCTGTTACCTCCACTTGACTCACTGAGAGGACACTGGAGCGTTGCTTTTTGTTCCACCATTTTAGGTGTGATGGCTTAAACCTATCCAATCAGTCTAGGCTCTCCCCCTGTAGTGCAAATCTGCGTTTGCATTCTGCAACAACCCATTTTCCACCATTCAAAGTTTCACCCAGCGTTTGCCTGATCCTCACGCCTTCCCTCATCTCAGAATACCGTCGCTTGATTCCACCGCTCAACCACAACCAGCTGTGCCTTAGTCTCACACCTTCGCTCTTTCCATAGTTCTGGCTTCCTCACTACCTGTTCGAGCTTTAAACCCTATCCCTTCCAGCCTGGCAGTGATAGGTAGTGTTTTCCTACCAGCTTTATTTCCGTTCCTTTCCCTACATTTTTCCCTACCTTGTCTTGCTCTGAAATGCCATTCCCTTGTGCCAGAAGGTGAGAGGTGAATACGTGATTTTTGTTTACACACTCTCACCTACATTCACTGGTCATCCTACCTACGCGTTCTTTTATCCCGTCTAGTTTGTGATATTTCTATCAGGTCTCGTCTCTGCTCACTCCTGTTCATCTCAGATAACGTCTAACCCTTTTTCTTCTTTTGCAGCTGAAGATACTCCTCCAGGAAGATGCCACCCAGCCCTTCAGACCGCCTCAAGAGGCTCCAGATGGTTCGTTGCACATTGAGCCAGCTCTTTGTGCTGCCGCAGCTTGAAGCAGCATTGATGGCTAACCTGGCCTATAGGAGGACCTTGGGACCGCACGACGAGAACATATTTCAACGGCAGACGACCAACTCCATAGGCGGACTAGACTACAAGACATCGAAGCAGGGAGGTTGGCGAATGTACCAGGCTCAGAGGCCCAGCGAATGGCCAAAGAAAATGAGACGTTACTCGCGGGTTGGGCAAGTAAGTCATCGAAGAGAACCTAACTCCTAGAGTTTGTGTATCTTACTGAACCACCATCTCAAGATGTCTATAAGACAATAGGTGATACCGAGGACCTCGAGCATCTCGACACCCTCTTGGACGGTCAAACCCACCGCCTTGCCTTGAACGCGACCATCCGTGAAGGCGGTGCGAGGGCTGGAAGAGGGGATGGGAGGCATTTCGGGGCTACTTCATCGACCAGGGCATCGCGCTCGGTAGGCCGCGGCGGTGGTGTTATGGGAACTCGAGGACGTGGAACAACTCAGGGCTCCATGGCGTGAGTATTGGCAAGTTTATAACCATTTATGGATATGTGACTAAAGGGTACGCATCATTCCAGGTCATCAAACTCAACCCTCGGACCTTACCGGGTTGTTCTACCCCCAACGAGATCACACCTAGACCCAGCTCTTGATAACTCCAACGACTTCTACAGGGTGACCCGCGAAGGGAATGCGTCTAAGAAAGAAGAAGCAGTGAAAGGGCATCAAAAGCAACTCCGTAAGATATTGACTTTAGTGGTGTCAGAGTCTAATTTTCCTAATGTGATCATCTAGATGTTCGAAAGCCAACACCTGCTATCCGAGCCAGAAGGCCTATGTATGTTGTGAGCTATCTTCCCCAATCAGACACAGTCTTACACCTCGCAGGGTTGACTATGGGCGCCTCATCAGCCCACCTGAAAGTTTTTTGGCTGCTGCTCGCAATGTAGTTAGCACAACAACTGCAGGAGTCGCTCCCACTGGTGCTGCCGAGGCTTTTGACGATAATAGGCCCCAGGTCAGTACAGAACCATGCGATACAGCAGGTGCCAGTGACCATCCTAGCCCTTCGAAGGTGCTGGAGCGCCTGGGATATCAAATCCCTGCACGCCCTCAGGCTGCCACTCGTTCAGAAGACCCGTTCACTACTCAGAGAGCGTCTTCGCAGCGCCAGGATATAGCCAGAGAACATGAGCCGCTCCCCCTTCGACTGTCTCCGACCGTACAGGTTACAGCATCCCAAGAAGAAAGATCTCCATTGATGAGCTTAAAGACAGAAGAGTCTGTTTCTGAGTTGCTGAAAAGCCAAACTCAGGTGAAAGAGCAAGTTACGTCCGGCATATCTACACCAAAGAAGATTGAGAAATTATCGCCAGGGGAAAATCCTGCAATCGGAGATGAAGGTAGCAGATCGATAGCTGCCAGCAGTGCCACCGATGCCCTTTTGCTTGATATTAGTCTTACACCACCGAAGCAAATGCCCCTTGGCCAAAGTCCTTTTTCCTCGGCAATGCTGAGTCCCACTTTGGAAGATCTGAAAGGCCTTACATTTGAAGACCTTGAGCCTCTACAAGACCCAGTCTCGCATGACTCCGCCCCTAGGAACCAACCTGGTGAATCGAAGTCTGCATATAATTTGCAGCGTCAAATTGACATCCTTTGCGAACTCTTGGAATCAACTTCGCTATCTGATGTGAGCCGTGAGAACTTGAAGCAATGCAAGGACGAGCTCCAAGGAAAGATGAGCAAGCATAGCCCCACTGATGAAACAAAAGGAAAGAGGGTCCTTTTTCCCGGAGAGCACATCCCTCAAGGTCTCAAGACGGTAGCCGAACCAGGCGATCAATCGAGCCTCGATTTGCTGGACATGCAGGATACTCCCATGGAGAGTGTAAGGCTAGATACCACTCAGAGCCTGAGCCCTCAAAGCCGACTGAATGTGACAGCGCCGCCATTCTTTCCTCTCATGCCGTATCGCTCCCCTTCAGGTAGCCTTTCAAGTGAGTCAACATGCATCCCGCAAACGCCCTGTCCACACCGTCGGGTTGCGGAAGGCCATCATATCATCGGGGATCATCTCCTCCCAGGGAGGCATTCAAACTCCATGGTTACTGGTCCTGACCCGCTAGTGGCGAAGCAGCTACAACCCGGTAGTATGTGTCGTATTTAGTGTTCTCAACCCGCAATGCTAACATTGACCCTAGTTCATCCTGAGCCTCGTGTCAAGTTCTCGATCCCGCAGCAACCTTCGCTGACATTGGCTCCTAAACCTCCAGTTATGGAAGCGTTTCGCTCGGATGATGCCGTTGAAAATATCCAGCCACGCACCAACCCCTCGCCTGAATTACAGCGATCAATCCATGCCCCGAGTCCGAAGCCATTGCCGAGGCCATTGCCGAAGCCCAAGGCCTTGGGCGGCCTGGAAAGCTCTCGGTACGCAAACCCCTCTAGCAACAAGCCGTTCCGCTGAGTTGCTGAGGATAAAAGTCTACGCGGCAGTTCCATTTGAGTCACAGTGTAGTTAGTATTCAATCTAGGTAGTTAATGTTAAGTAGCTGTGCAGTCTAGTACTGAAGCGGCATTCTCAAGGTTTCCTCGTTTACCTGGTATATAGCAAGATGGATGGACAAGTAGCATGTTCGATATTGAAGTCAACTACGATTCGTACTTTTTGTACTCTAACTAATCCTCTATGGCCATGTAAACCCACGCATACGCATACAATTACAGCTTCGCCTTAACCTTCAGCATCGCTTCCGCTACCTTTCGCCGTTGGACCTTGCCCGTTGCCGTCTTGGGAATCTGCGGAACCAGCCACACCTATATCGCGATGAGCCGGTGTCCCGTATACAACTCCAGAGATAGTATGATTAGAATGACTTACCTTCTTAGGTGTCTTGAACTTGGCCAACTTGGACTCCACCCACGCCTTCAGCTCCTCTTCAGTAGCACTCACTTGGTTCTTGAGCACGACCGCAGCGCCAATGTCCTCACCATAGTGTCCTTCATCCGGGATAGCGAAGCATACCGCCTCTGCTACCTTCGGGTGGTGCAAGAGCGTATTGTCCAGCTCAATGGGGCTGATCTTTTCACCGCCCTTATTAATCAGCTCTTTGATGCGTCCCGTGATGATCACGTAGCCATCGGCATCTTTCTTGCCTTGGTCGCCGGTGCGGAAGAACCCGTCCTGCGTGAACGACGACTTGTTCGCCGCTGGGTTGTTCAGGTAGCCTTTTGTTACGTTTTCGCCCCGCACGCAGATCTCGGCTTCTTGGCCTTGCGGGACTTCGTTGCCGCTTTGGTCGAGAATTCGCACTTCAACGCCCTGTCCGATGCCCACGCTGCCGGGTTGGCGTTTTGCCGGGGGCAGCGGGTTGCTGGTCATTTGGTGGGCGGCTTCTGTCATGGCGTAGGCTTCTAGGACTGGGGCGTTGAGTGCTTTTTCTAGATCCTGGAAGGTCTTTGGTGATAGTGGTGAAGAGCAGGAGCGGATGAAGCGGATTTGAGGTACCGGGTTGGGTAGGGGGTTCTTGAGGAGAATTTGGTGGATCGTTGGTACGGCTGTGTACCAGTTCGCCTTGTAGGTGATGAAATCCGACCAGAATTCTGACGCCGAGAATCGGACCGGGACGATTACAGAGCCTCCGGAGTATAGAGGGGCAAGGAATGCAGCCAGTAGACCGTGGACATGGAAAAGTGGCATCACAAGGTATGTCCGGTCTGCTGGGGTGAGGTTATAGGTTGCTTGGATGTTCCCTGTCGTTGATTCGTTAATGGCTGTCTACATGGGCTTGTGTGTGGCGTCACTTGTACTACTACTTACTCATCGTGGTTGTCAGGTTCTTGTGCGTGAGGGGAACCTGGATGGGTATGTTAGCGATGTGAGGTATCCAACGGGGTGGTGGCGCATACAGCTTTGGGCCTGCCAGTGGTTCCACTGGTATGTAGCACGAGTGCGACATCATCAGGCTGGGCTTCCTGGATAGCCACGCCTCCGTTGCCTGCCAGCTTTCCATGTTCCTTGACGTCCAAGACGATCTCGGAGCCGTTCCAGTAGCATTCCGCAATGGCCGCCTGGTACTTCCTGCCCGCACGAACGGCGGGTCCATCCTTAATGTATGATCCTTTCGGAATTAACACCAGTGTGGAGCTCAGATCATCGATGTAGAATTCAAATTCCTCCTGTTTATAGGCCGGGTTCAAGGGCGCGGCGATGGCTCGCTGCCACGAGGCGGCTAGAAACGCGACTATGAACTCATAGGAGTTGACCAGGGCCAGTGAGACGGCGGCGCCATGGGCGACACCCAGGCGAGCTAACTTGGCTTGGAAATCGGCAATATGGCGGTGCAACTGCTGATAGGAGATCGATAGCGGAGTGGGTTTATTGGGGACTAGGACTGCGAGGTCAGCACTATCGGAGGAGAATGACCGGGCCAAGGTCGCCATGGTCGTTAGTATGCTGCACGGCGGTACCGCTTGGGTCTTGGCTATCAGGGATGGTGATGGAAATCGGATCAATAATATCAATGATGACTGGACGCTCGTAAGTTTTGTGTGAGGAAGACTTCCCCATCCCGTGAGAATGTTTATCACAGCAATGCTGAAAGGGAAACCTACCCGGCTTGCCAACACCTCCTTTCTCAATAATTCTCCGGCCTCGGGATCTCCTCTTTGGGCCACATTCCTTCGTCACTTCCCGTTTGGGATAGCTTATGCGGCTGAGTCAGCACATGCATATGCAAACACAACAAAGGGTGTAAACCGGACAAACCCCCCATGCTATCGGCCCCATCCAGATGGCTCGGCGATTGCACGACTTGAAGCCCATCTCATTAGGACCGTTGGGGGCTACATGGATCTTCTCCATGCTTGCTAGACACTTCTTTGCTTCTAGGCCAGCTTTGCAATGAATTCCGACTCCACCCCCTCCAAACCTGGGGCCACCCTGTCGCTCTACGCCAATCTGTTGGATCCCTCCGCCGACAACTCGCCCGGAACGATTGCTCGCGCCCCGGTAGTCTTCAAGCAGAGTACCGAAGGTGACTCTCAGTCAGATGAATCCGCTGCCAAAAAGCAGCAACTCAATGCTGGTAGACTCATACCCTCTTTTGTTGACTGAGCCTTGCTCCTTTGCGTTGCTTAACCGATCGGATTGCTCACCTGCCCACCCGGTTATTCTTGTGCAGCTTCTCTCAGATTCCAACCTACCAAGAGACCCCAACTAGCGGCCCAGAAACCGAAACCGAAACCAACGCTACCAAAGGCTGTCGCAACACCTGCAGCCCCAGCAGCAGCCCCAGTCAAGACCACTCTTGCGGATTGGGCAGCCACAGAGGATGACGATGTCAATGGATTCTACGCCGGCCCGAAGCGGCAGCGAGGTGGTCGCAAGAAGCGCAAGAAGAATCGCGAGGCGCAGGAGTTCATGCAGAACTGGGACGATATCTATGACCCGTCGCGACCGAACAACTACGAAGAGTACAAACACAGCGACGAACAAATAGCCGAAATCCGCGAGTGGAAGGACCGTCTTTACGCACATCGCATCGCCAGATCACCCAGCAGAGATTCATACAGCGATGATGATTATGCACGACCCATGAAGCGTAAGTTGTTTGCATCTAGGCGGAGGAAGACCATTTGCTCATCTGAGTTCCAGGACAATTTGCTCCTCCGAGTAGCTTCGCGCCGCCCCCGAATCTGAACGACATGCCGCCCAGACCACCCATGGCATCGCCGCCCCCAGAACAAACAAGTGAAATCCCAGGAGACATGTCTATGTCGGATATTATCCCACCGCCACCCCCGCCTCATGAACCACCAGCCCAGATTCCGGATGACCCTACAGGAGAAGATGCCTACTTGCGGCGCCTTCAAATGTCGACGGGCAATCAGCCCACGGGGACCCCCGCTGCTCCACCGCCACCCAGACCTCTGGAAGCCTTACAGCCAGCCTCTGCAACTATATCCCGTGCACCGGTTCGCTACACGCTGCCTCCTCCGCCCGAGGATATACCTGCGTCGGAGGCGGAACTCGAAGAAGTCTTTGCGAAGGAGCAGCCAGTGGAAGATGAGCCAGATGATGATGGCCAGCGCTCGCTGCGACCTGGGCAGAAGGGGTTCGCCGAACGACTCATGGCAAAGTATGGCTGGACCAAGGGTTCTGGCCTGGGTGCAACGGGATCAGGTATCGTCAAGCCACTGCAAGTCAAGGTTGAGAAGCAGAAAAAGCGACCGGACTCCGAAGGTGGTGGTTTCGCTACACCCGCTGGTCGGGGCAAGATCATTGGCGGCGCAAGGAAGAATGAAGAGGAGGGGAAGTTCGGTCCAATGAGCGAAGTCATCATCCTCAAAGGCATGCTTGATGGGATGGATGTGGATGCAGAGTTGGCTGGAGGTGGCGAGGGCGGTGGTCTGATGCAGGAAATTGGAGAGGAATGTGCGGAGAAGGTATGTGGATGTCATCTGCTTGCTGCGTCCATGATCTAACATGGTACAGTATGGTCGCGTTGAACGTGTTTTCATTCCCCGAGACTCGGCGCCTCCAGTGCCAGTCTTCGTCAAATTTACTAACCAACTGTCAGCTTTACGGGTAAGTGCTGCGCTTATCTTTGATAATATATTGATACTAAGGACATTTAGGCTGTCAACGCTCTCGAGGGTCGGATATTCAATGGGAACGCAATCACTGCCCGGTTCTATGATGTGTCCAACTTCGAACAGGGGATATACGATAGTTGATGGCGAGAAGCAGCTTTGTACATGATACCTAATAACCCATGGAATGAAAACTTTAGACGACCGTGTAACCAAATAGAAATCGCAGCACCTATCACCCTCAGAACGTGATATGATCGAACACTGCAAAATTGTCGACCAGGTCATCTCCACGTGCGTGACTCATGGGAGATACATCGAATCTACTCAAAACATCATCTTCATCGTCTTGTGTCATGATAGAGGAGGCCTGGAGTTCGCTTTCTATTTCTTCCAAGTCGGTGAAGGCGTCATCAGATCCGCACTGGGAACATGCTTCCAGAATTGGGATGCTTAACACCTCTGTATTGCCGCAACCCTCGTCGGGCTTCACTGCTTTAATGCACCAGATATAGAGGGTATAACGTTGATTGGTATAGCCGCAACGGACATGACACCATTGAATTTGATGGCACATTCTGAGCTTTGTGACAGGACGCAACTGCTGGATACCAAATCGTATATGGATACAGTGATATCTGAGGCCTAGCGATCTTTTTATACACTTGACATGTAATTAGCTACGGGACATGGCTTGCACGGACGACACTTTAGGCGAAGTTAATAAAGAAATAATAGTAACAGCCATTGTCTGCTTCCCATGGGTGGCCCCGGGCTGGATAGGGCGACTGCCGGAAATTGTGGATTTCTTTGTTGCGTGTACCTGTGCACTTAGTCTTGTTCCAGCACAACAGTCGTTTAGACTTTCAACAGGGCATCAGTCCCGCTAGGTACCTATGCCACCTCCTACAACAGTGCCTAAGCAAGACGTGCAGGGAACCCTCCGTGTGTTCCGTTACCCAGGGCTCGGGAGGAGACGACTGAACTCCAAGGCAGTGCCAATCGACTGATCGATGCGGATCTATAGGGGTCATGTGACGGGGATGACCTGCAGCGCCGCCGGGGACTGATTGGCTGTGGGGCATCAAACCCAGCGATGAGCTGCTGCACGCCCAAGACAGTGTTACTTCCTCTGCAACTTCACTGCTGGCCTTCCTCTGTTCACGGCCCTGGCTACTATATAAACCCGACCTTCTTCTCTCCCCTCACCTTCCTTTCTCCTTGACTTCTCTTCCGCGAGGCCCTCATTGTTCTTCCCGTCTTCCTCAACTTACAACCCACATACGTAATTCGCAAACCGCATCCGCCATGTCCTTGTGCCAGAACCGTCTTACGGAGGAAAGGTACGTGTCCGATAACACCGCATATGCCCCTTTTGTTATCTCTTCGGCTCAGGCCCGTTTATTAGCTAACTGCGATCGCAAAAATCTACAGGAAGCAGTGGAGACGAGACCACCCTTTCGGATTCTACGCCAAGCCGCACCGAACTCCTCAAGGCACTCTCGATCTGAAGAGATGGGAATGTGGTATCCCCGGAAAGGCGCAAACACTGTGGGAGGGTGGACTTTTCAAGCTCGATGTGACGTTTCCTGATGGTGAGTGGAGGCTCGAGTATCGACCAGCACTCTATGCGACAGGCCGGCTAACTTGTGTTCCGTTGCAGAGTATCCCACGAAACCGCCAAAGTGTGAGTTCTCCCCTCACTTGATGCCAAAACAGAATCCAGTCAACTGCGCTGTTTTGTTTCCATTCCCCACATCTTGATCATCTCGCGCAACGAGCTAACCGTCACCGTTCCAACAGGCAAATTCGTCCCTCCTCTCTTCCACCCCAACGTCTACCCCTCCGGCACCGTTTGTCTCTCCATCCTGAACGAGGAGGAAGCGTGGAAGCCAGCTATCACTATCAAGCAGATCCTTCTCGGTATTCAGGACTTGTTGGATGACCCCAACCCGGAGTCACCGGCGCAGGCGGAAGCATACAACTTGTTCAAGAAGGATCGCCCTGCGTATGAGAAGCGCGTGAGACAAGTCGTGCGGGAGAATCCAGCTCTTTAAGTTACGTTGAACGACGACATGATATATCATCACCCCCATACGAAAGCTACCCTTACGCTCGTCACGTTTTCTATACCCCCCTTGACTATAACCCAGCTCTGCGATTATCACGGCGCATACGGCGGTTTGATTGTTATGGGCAATGTATTCCCACGTGGGATGGAACGGCGAGGAAGCCCTTTAAAGAGGAAGAGCGCGGATGCACCTTAGGATGATGCCCACCGCGCTCGTCCGGTCAACCGGTTTAGGAAGGTCACGTCAGGGTGTATCTTTACTTTTCCATCTCGCGGGTTGATCCATTTGGTCGAATACTTTGTCATAGGACCGATCCCTGCCAGATTTTTCTTCTTAGCGAGCAGCGTGGCGTACTTAGAATCGACAAAACTAAGGCGGTTATGGACGGCGTTTGACCAGTTTATTTGACATTTACCCGATCATCATTCCCTTTATTATTTTTTTCTTAGGTTTCTCATGTTTTCTACCTACATGTACAGCGGATGTGCGTCTGTTTTATTTTCGCGTGTACCCAATGGTCATAGAAAGCCGCGTGCGCCCCTCCAGTGGGGATGTCTTAATTTGACTCCAAATCTCTCCAACGCCAACGCAAATCCGGAGATTCTGACATGGTTAGTGCGAAAACGATTTCCAAAAGAAAGCAAACCTGGAGAAGTAAATATGTGGGGGTGATGCGCGCAAGCGAAGCCGACAAAGTCGAAGGTAAAAACCCGTAAACCAGGGCCAGGCACAGGCACGGCCAATAAGGGCGTCGTCAAAACGTCCGATTCAGTAGGTAGCGGCTATCTTATCGGAAGTGAGTCACTGCAATTTGTGGCCGAAATCGCCCCTCGGGTTCCGCCCCGCCGCCGCGAACGGTGTCGCTTTTCATCCATATTTAAGATTTCCCGCTTCGCTCTTCCTCTCCAACGCTTAGTCAATTCCCCCTCCTCTTCGTCCTTTTGCTGTCTGCTTTTCTTGAGTCGTTGCTCAATTGATTGTAGCCAGCATGTGTGGTATCTTCGCGTGTCACCAGTATGTTTCTTGCCTTGGATCTTTTCTGTGCCCTTTGATTCCTTTCGCGGTCTACCCACTCACTGCCCCCCGCCACCGTGGTTTGGCTCCTTTGACTCAACCTCTGACCTGATCTCGATAGTCATCCCGATGTGCAAAAGTTCAAGCCTACGGCCCTGCGCATGGCCAAGGCGTAAGTTTCTCCGGTCCTCTTGAGAGTCTGCAGGAATTGGAACTGACTGATGTTGGCAGTTTGCGCCACCGTGGACCCGATTGGAGTGAGTCATAGTGCTATTGGGATCGCTGGTAGTAGGGTTTTTCTGACACAAGTCTAGGTGGAAGCTTCATCTCGGAGAGCACTAGTGAGTTGAGCAGCGTTGTGCTGTGTGCAATGTCGAGACTAACCTACCTGCAGTCCTCGTCCATGAGCGTTTGAGTATCGTCGGTGTCGGTATGTGACCAATCTCATGAGGACTCCGTTTGAAAATTCTGCTAAGACATTCCGTTCCAGACTCCGGTGCCCAGCCCCTCGTTAACGACGATGGCTCACTCGCCCTGGCCGTCAATGGCGAGATCTATAACCACCGCATCCTGAGAAAGGGACTGAAGGCCGACTATGAGTTCAAAACGCATTCGGACTGTGAGGTCGTTATTCCGCTGGTATGTGCGAAGGTTTCCCTGGGTGTGCCTCTCGAGTGCAAACGCTGATGGATTTAGTACATGGAACACGGTCTCGATGCCCCCAAGTACCTTGACGGCATGTTCTCCTGGGTTCTCTATGACAAGAACCAGGACCGGGTTGTCGCTGCACGTGACCCCATCGGTGTCACCAGCTTCTACATTGGCTGGTCTTCGGAGACTCCTGGAGCGGTTTACTTCGCTTCTGAGCTGAAGTCCCTGCACCCGGTTTGCGACAAGATCGAGGCCTTCCCTCCTGGTCACGTCTTTGACTCCAAGACTGGAGCTTTCACCCGCTACTTCCAGCCCAAGTGGTGGGACCCGGCCAACGTCCCCTCCACCCCCGTCGACTATAAGCTTATCCGCACTTCTCTGGAGAAGGCTGTTCGCAAGCGTCTGATGGCTGAGGTCCCCTATGGTGTCTTGCTCTCGGGTGGTCTTGATTCCAGCTTGGTCGCCTCTATCGCTCAGCGGGAAACTCTGCGCATGCAGGAGGCTTCCCTGGCTGCTCAAGCCCAGGGCGCTGATGTGAACGAATTGGTTGGCATTGACGACTCCAACGAGCTGTCCACCGTCACTACCTTCCAGCAGCTGCACTCCTTCTCCATTGGTCTGCCTGGCGCTCCCGACACGGAGGCTGCCCTCAAGGTGGCCAAGTTCCTCGGAACTAAGCACCACGCCTTTACTTTCACTATCGAGGACGGTCTCAACGCTCTCTCTGATGTCATTTACCACCTGGAGACTTACGATGTGACCACCATCCGTGCTTCCACCCCCATGTACCTGCTCAGCCGTAAGATCAAGGCTATGGGTGTCAAGATGGTCCTGAGTGGTGAGGGTAGTGATGAGATCTTCGGTGGATACCTTTACTTCCACGCTGCTCCTGACCGTGAGGAGTTCCACAAGGAGACTGTCAGACGTGTCAAGAACCTGCACTTGGCTGATTGCTTGAGAGCTAACAAGTCGACTTCCGCCTGGGGCTTGGAAGCCCGTGTCCCCTTCCTGGACAAGCAGTTCCTCGAGACCTCCATGGCCGTTGATCCTGCCGACAAGATGATCACCAAGGAGCGCATCGAGAAGTACATCCTGCGCAAGGCGTTCGACACCAGCGACGAACCTGACGTCAAGCCTTACCTGCCCGATAACATCCTCTGGCGCCAGAAGGAGCAGTTCAGTGACGGTGTTGGCTACAGCTGGATTGACGGCCTCAAGGACCAGGCTGAGCTGCACGTTACCGATGAGATGATGAAGAACCCCAAGCCCGAGTGGGGTAGCGATATCCCCGACACCAAGGAAGCGTACGTTTGGACCATTTGTATTTTTGCATGGTTAAAGACAGGAACTGACACACATTAGCTACTGGTACCGCACGATGTTCGACGAACTTTTCCCGCCCACTTGCGCCGGCACTGTCGAGCGTTGGGTGCCGACCTGGTCGAAGCAGTCCGACCCGAGCGGAAGGTAAGCATATGATGCATCCAACTTTGGAACATAAAAAGACGGGCGCTGATACATTGATAATTTAGAGCTATTTCGACTCACAACGCCAAGTACGAAAACGCTGTGTAATTTCTGGGTTATGAATTTTGCGTGTCTTAACGTCTTGCGGAGAGTTTGGGTATAGAAACATGTATAGATGATTTACCAGGGATACTCATTGGGACGCGAAAAAAGCGAATTTCAGTCAGATGCGTCGGGATCACCGCGTATTGGCTTTACCTTCTTCATATATCATGTCTTCGTTCAGAACCTTGGATGGGCAAGAATTGTAAGAATGGTCGAGGTTTACCCCAGCCGCGGTGCTGATCAAAAGGGATCATGTATTGGCATGGTCTCGGGAACCCCATGTGGTTGGGCTGGGTACCATGGTAGGTCCATGCATTCAGTCCCAATGGGAGACGAGACCTGTCATGGATGCTTTCGTGAGGGGCGGTCAAGTCCAAGCAGATGTACGGCGGGGGCTAGATATGGAGTAATGAGAACAGACCTGTTCAGTCCGCATTATTGAGGCCGTCGAGGCAGGACATCGTTACCAGATCCAGGACGAACGGAAGCAGAAGAGGGACCAGTAAACTCCGCCCGGCGAACTCTCGAGAAACCTTGGAGACGGACCGGTTCGTAAGACGTGCTCGCACGACTGTAGGGGAAAGTAAGGCGCGGAAACCCGGCCCCAGGCATCGACGTCACGGGACTTAGCGGCTTCTACCGGCAACCGAGCACCGACCAATCAGGGTGGGGGTTTTCTCCCGTGGCTTCCCCATTGTTTGGCGACTCAACTTCGACCTCTTCCTGCCCGGCTTCCCCATCGTTTCCCTTTCCTTCCTCTCCCCTCACCATCTTCACCTTCACTCTACCTTCCAACCCACCTCTGACGTTTTCGTCATCTCCATCTACACCGATTTCACAATGTCTGCTCCTGCTGCTTTCTCTGACATCGCCAAGGCGGCCAACGATGTATGCTGCCCTCAACAGTTTCTCTGAAATTTGTTACCTTGGAAGACAGCTTGCCGGGAAGGGATTTTCGTGCTAATACCCAGCGCAATAGCTCCTGAACAAGGACTTCTACCACAACAGCGCCGGTGAGTCTCCTGCCAATTCTCGCGCCCACTAATTGGGCAGGTTACTTTTTCTGCGCGCGACTCAGCTGACTCATGGTGCTCTAGCCAACCTCGAGGTTAAGTCCAAGGCTCCCAATGGCGTCACCTTCAACGTGAAGGGCAAGTCCGCCCACGAGGGTCCCATTGCTGGCTCCGTAAGTGCACCTGATTGAGTCCCCTTTGGTACAGACCCCCATGCTGATGGTTATCTATCTACAGCTCGAGGCCAAGTACGTCGACAAGCCCACTGGTAAAGGCCCCAGAAAACGCAAAAAACCATGCGAATCTCCCTTGCGCACACCACCCGTCCCTCCCCCAAGAGTGCTGGAGAACAGGTCCACGTTCATGTTTTCGTGTGGCCGTGTTTCATCCCAGTGCTTATCATACCTCTTCATGTCCAGGATATTGGAACACGCAGTAATGCTAATTATACGTCCCCGCCCAGGCCTTACCCTCACCCAGGCTTGGACCACCGCCAACGCCCTCGACACCAAGCTTGAGCTTGACAACAACATCGCCAAGGGTCTCAAGGCCGAGATCCTCACCCAGTACCTCCCTGCTAAGCAGTCCAAGGGCGCTAAGCTCAACTTGTACTTCAAGCAGCCCAACCTGCACGCCCGTGCCTTCTTCGACCTCCTCAACGGTCCCTCCGCCAACTTCGACGCTGTCCTCGGCCACGAGGGTTTCCTCGTCGGTGCTGAGGGTGGCTACGACGTCCAGAAGGCCGCCATCACCAAGTACTCCGCTGCCGTTGGTTACAGCGTTCCCCAGTACTCTGCTGCCATCACCGCTGGCAACAACCTGACCGTCTTCTCGGCCAGCTACTACCACCGCGTCAACGCTCAGGTTGAGGCTGGTGCCAAGGCCACCTGGGACTCCAAGGCCGGCAACTCCGTTGGCCTTGAGGTTGCCAGCAAGTACAGACTCGACCCCTCCTCCTTCGCTAAGGTATGTGACAACCGCCTCAGATACAGAAGCTCGATCGTTAACCTGCATCCCTTTATAGGCCAAGATCAACGACCGCGGTATTGCCGCTCTGGCCTACAACGTTCTCCTCCGCCCTGGTGTTACCCTCGGCCTTGGTGCTTCTTTCGATACCCAGAACCTGAACCAGGCTGCCCACAAGGTCGGCGCCAGCTTCACCTTCGAGGCTTAGATGAGTTCTCCTTGTCAGCACCCACCCATGCCTAATTCTATGTGCTCCGATGCAAACCGAGTAGAGTAATTTTGGGAAGCCATTTGAGGTAGAACTTGAGTGGTTCCTGGTTGTCTCTAGACGGATCGTTGGTATACACAGGAACGGAGTTATAGTGGGCGCGGGTCTGTTATATGGATGTCTAGTTAATAATCATGTATCACACCCTCCAATGATGTGTATATCAATCAAGCCTACATTTCTTTTGTTCAGGTTAAGCAAGTCTATCGTATATAACACAAGTGGACTCTGAGCCGAGTCGTGGGTATAGAACCAACCGTACTGCATGCACATCGCATCTGCCCTCCCAGACAGACCAGCGCAAGATGAAAAGTCTATGTATTCAGATAGCCAGCTCCGAAGACAAGCAACCCAAAAACGAGAGCAAATGACCAGCAATCAATCATCCCTCCGCCGCATCGGCTTGGTTGCCTTCGTTGTCGAACCACTGACTCGATCATTGTGAAATAACCCCGTCATAGCCCCGGCCCCCATCAGGATGCCGCAGACCACGGCGAACCGCATGGCCAAAGCTCCGGGACTCCCAATATACTTCTCATTAATCGAGGCGCCGGCCTCTTTCGATTTCCGCTCCTGCCTCCTCTCATCCTCCCTCGTCTGTGTCCGATAATGCCCTCTGGCATTGAAATGGTACACCGTATTCCGATGAATAAACGACGTCGGATCATCCTCTTTCCCCTTCTCCCCACCACTTCCCCCTCCATCTCCTCCTCCTCCCGCCGCACCCTGCCCAGGCCTCCTACTCGCCCCATACCCCCCATGCGCATAAAAGCTGGGCGGGGGTCCCCGAAACGCGCCCCGACGTTTACTCAACCCACTCGCCGGTCTTGACCCCGCGTACGACGCCCCCTTGGTGTGTAGGTTCGCGCTGTAGCTACTGTAACTACCCATTGGATGTTGGCCTGGGTTTGCGGTGCTGTGGGTGGAGCTGTGCGTGTGGATGTTGTGGTCGCGGTCGTAGATGGAGCGCTTGGAGGCGTTACTGAGGATGTTGTAGGCGCTGGAGATTCGGGCGAAGCGCGTGGAGGCGTTGGGGTCGTTGCGGTTGCGGTCCGGGTGGTGTTTTAGGGAGAGGGTGTAGAATTGTCTGGTTGGTAAGGGGAGGGGTTAGTTAGGGTTTGGGGGACGGGGATGGGGGATGGAGGAGGGGACAGGAGGGGGGGGGTTTACTTTTTGATCTCGGATTGGGAGGCGGTGGGTGGGACGTCGAGGATTTCATAGTAGGTTGGCTCTCGGGCTGCGGCATGGTGGGTGTGGGAGGTTGAGAAGGGGGATCGGTGGGTGGTTGTGTAGGATGTGTTGGTGGTGGTGTTGATGGAGCTGGGGTGGTGCGTGTTGATGCTGTATCGGAGGCGGGTGGCGGTGGGCCGTAAACGTGGAAGGGACATTGCTTTGGGTGTGAAGAGTCACATTTATGTTTGGGATGGGAACAGAAGAGAAAGGAGGGAGTGAATCTCGTGTTGGAGCGGAGTGGTCGGAGAGGATGCGATGGGAGGAAATCCGCCGCTCTTCGGAAGGCGGGCTGCGTCATCGGTCGGTTATCTGATCTGATATGGTGGATCGTGCTTCAGTAGTACTACCATTCCATGTTGGCGGCTGACGGTTTACCAGTGCGTTGGAATTGAGGGCTTAGGCTTTATGTATTGAGTTCTTCTGTAGTTTCACCTTTTTCTAGTTTGTGGTGGTATCTAGGTAGGTGTATGTATGAACTTTGGCTGGGTGGATGGCTGTTTGGGATGCCATGACTGGTCAATCGCAACATTTGATGGCATTTCTAGGCTCAGATAGTATCACCGAGTTAGTTAGTTATCTCTCCTGCTCTATTTTCGACGCATTGGTACTGCTCTGTTGAGACTACGATGTTTGCAGCGGATGCCGACTTCCACCCAACCTCAGGCTTGGCACCGTCTTTTCCCCGACGGCTGCCGCAGCTCTTTTTTCTTCCCCTCCTTTAGCCCACCACCAACCCACCCGGTTTACCAGCTTTTCAACATGGCTGCTCAGGCTAGTGAAAAGCTGCAGAAGCTCGACCGTAAGTCACCCACCCGTCGCTGATCTCTACCACTTTCCGTCCGCATGTAACTGATAAGATTTCCCCCGCCCACTTTAGTCAACGGTCAGAGTGGCGACGCGAAGGCGGACGTCCCTGCCGCCGGTCAAGCAGAAGCCGGAGAGGCGGAGGATGATTCCGATGACGACGAAGTCGAGGACGGAAACGCTGCCCCCGAGGGTGCAGCCAACGGAGGTGCGCTCTCAACGGATACCCTCGGCCATTCCTAGAATCGCCCCGCACTGACCAAATCCGCGGATTGACAGCCGCCAAGAAAAAGAAGAAGCGCAAGTCCAAGAAGAAGAAGGGAGGCGCCAAGGTCCAGAGCTCTCCTCCGCGCGTTCCACTGTCGACTCTGTTCGCCGGCAAGGAGTACCCCGAGGGTGAGATTGTCGAGTACCAGAATGAGAATTCGTACCGCACCACCAACGAGGAGAAGCGCTACCTCGACCGCATGAAGAACGATTTCCTGCAGGAATACCGTCAGGCTGCGGAGGTTCACCGTCAGGTCCGTCAGTATGCGCAGAAGAACATCAAGCCCGGTCAGACTCTCACGGAGATCGCGGAGGGCATTGAAGACTCGGTCCGTGCCTTGACCGGTCACCAGGGTCTGGAGGAGGGTGACAACCTCAAGGGTGGTATGGGTTTCCCCTGTGGTTTGAGTATCAACCACTGCGCTGCCCACTACACCCCGAATGCTGGCAACAAGATGGTGTTGCAGCAGGGTGATGTGATGAAGGTCGATTTCGGTGCCCACATTAACGGCCGCATCGTCGACAGTGCTTTCACTGTGGCCTTCGACCCGGTGTATGATCCTCTCCTGGAGGCTGTGAAGGATGCTACCAACACTGGTATTCGCGTACGTCTACAACATCTCTTCTGTATTGAATTCCTGGGTCCACGATTACTAACAGCTTATATAGGAAGCGGGTATTGACGTCCGCATGAGCGACATTGGTGCCGCTATCCAGGAAGCCATGGAGAGTTATGAAGTGGAACTCAACGGGACCATGTATCCCGTCAAGTGTATCCGCAACTTGAACGGTCACAACATTGACCAGCACATTATCCACGGCGGCAAGAGCGTTCCTATTGTCAAGGGTGGTGATCAGACCAAGATGGAGGAGGGTGAAACCTTCGCCATTGAGACCTTCGGCAGTACCGGAAAGGGTTATGTGAGAGAGGATGTAAGTCGATTGAGATTGCTCAGCAAGCAGCTTTGGATCGCTAACATGTTCTGTATAGATGGAAACCTCCCACTACGCTTTGATCCCTGATCACAGTCAGGTGCCTCTGCGTCTCTCTTCGGCGAAGAACCTGTTGAACGTTATCAACAAGAACTTCGGCACTCTTCCATTCTGTCGCCGTTACCTCGACCGGTTGGGCCAGGACAAGTACCTCCTGGGGGTGAGTGCGATTCAGTCGTTTGGCGAGGGTCTATGCTAATACATTCTTGCAGTTGAACAACCTGGTTTCGTCGGGAATTGTCCAGGACTACCCGCCTCTTTGCGATATCAAGGGCTCTTACACTGCCCAGTATGAACACGTATGTTTCCCCGGCTATCGTGTATGCCTTGAAACCGCCACTAACCCGGTGACCATAGACGATTGTTCTTCGCCCCAATGTAAAGGAAGTGATCAGTCGCGGCGACGACTACTGAGACGGACCTATTTTTGGCCGGAGGATTGGGGAATGTACAAGTCTAAGCCTTCTTATTTGAAACGAACCAAGCATATGAAATCCACAATAACAACAACTACCATCTGCCTGAGTGGAATGATTGAAATCAGTAGATCGGACCATCCGTCTTGCCGGGTAGCCCCACGTGGAAAGCATCCGCTCCGAGACGCAGCTTGCTAATCCCGGTCCTCTCTGTCCTCCATCTCCCCCTTCACCCCATCGCTCTTCTTTTTTCCTTCCCACTCTTTAGTCGGGCTCATCCATGGCGTAGATTGCCCCTTGGTCATTTTTGAATCTCATCCTTCCCTTTTCCCCCGTCATGTCTTCGTCCGTCGTCGAAGCCACCGCGGATGCTTCACCGCATCTCCGCGTATCCGCAGCAAAGAGCCAGGCACCGCCAACCACTACGGACAAAACGCAGCCTTTGGCCAGAATACCCCCTCCAGAGCAGTCCGCAGTCGAAGATCAATTCTTTTGGACCTACACAGAAGAACCGCATCGCTCAAGGCGGCAGGCCATCATCAAAGCCCATCCGGAGGTGCGCACATACTTCGTGGCCTTTTCCACCGAACAATCGCTGACAATCTTGCCTTCACATTAGGTCACCAAGCTTTGCGGACCAGAGCCCTTGACTAAATATGTTGTTCTGGGTGTCGTCTCCCTGCAGGTCTGCTGCGCGTACCTGCTCCGCGACACCTCCATGTTCTCCTGGAAATTTCTCGCGACGGCATACGTGATCGGAGCCACTGCAAACCAGAACCTCTTCCTCGCCATCCACGAGATCTCCCATAACCTGGCTTTTCGGTCCGCCATGGCCAATCGCCTGCTAGCCATTTTCGCCAATATTCCAATCGGGTTGCCATATAGTGCTGCATTCCGGGTATGTGGGATGATCCGCAGAAGGGGGAAGCAAGCACCCCAGACAAGTCACAAGATTGCTGACTTGAAATGTTCCGCAGCCCTACCATCTTACCCATCACAAATCACTGGGCGTGGCTGGCCTCGATACCGATCTCCCCACCGCTGTTGAAGCGTTCCTCCTCGATTCGCTTCTGGGCAAGGCCTTCTTCTGCACATTCCAGATCTTCTTCTACGCCGTCCGCCCTATGTTCATCTACAGCCCTCCCTTCACTTATATCCACCTCCTGAACCTCGTCTTCCAGCTCTCCTTCGATTACGCCCTGACCAAGTTCTGCGGCGGCTCCCTCCAGCCGGTCCTCTACTTGCTTCTCAGCTCCTTCCTCGCCGGCTCCCTCCACCCCTGCGCCGGCCACTTCATCGCAGAGCACTACTTCTTTTCTAAAGTCGACCACGGTACCGAATCCATCCAGGAGCAGAAGAGCCAGCAGAAGACCTCCGAAAAGCCCCACCCTCTCGACTCTCTTCCCCCGCCGGAGACATACTCCTACTACGGCCCCCTCAACTTCTTCACCTACAACGTAGGCCTTCATAATGAACATCACGATTTCCCCGCCATCCCCTGGACAAGACTGCACGAACTTCACCGCATCGCCAGCGAGTTCTACGAGCCGCTTCCCTGCCACCACAGTTGGGTGTGGGTGATCTGGACATTCATTCTGGACAAGAACGTTGGCATGTGGTGTCGTGTGAAGCGTGCGCAAGGCGGTCGTCTCGTCGGAGGCGGCAGCGGTCGTGCGGGTGAGAGTATTTCGGCTTCATCGGCTGGTCCGGAGGAATCGGGAGATGGATGGAAGGAAAGCGAGATCCAGAACTGATGATCTCATCTGCCTTTTCTCTCCCATCTTCCCACATCCAAAATCTACTCTCGCTCCCCCTTAGACGTACCGTACATACGGTGTTGATTGATTGATTCATGACCCCTGTGAAATATACTAGAGATGATATCCCCCTGTCTTCTGGTGTTATTGTTTCCATGAACTGACGGACTGCTCGGTACCGGTACCGAAGTCTACTACTATTTGGAACGGAAATACTTTCCTAGCATGATGTGACATACATATGCGCTTACTAGTCTCGTCTTGTATTGTTATGAAATGAATTAGAATTATAGTTTCACCTGCTTAACGGTCTGTAGTAGTACGTAGGAATGAGAATACTCTAAGTGATAGAATAGGATAGAATAGAACATAGCACGGAAAGAACATGCAGTATAGACATTTCAATGGCATCATCATGATTAGCTTTACTGCCTGACTATGGACGCGTTGCATTCGTCTAAACAGTTATGTGTGTCGCTGGGAACAATTGATATAGGAAAGAGGAGAAAAGGAAAGGGAACGCTAGGATCGAGTCAGGGGCAGGACAGGGTCCGACCAATTGGAAATTGCGCGTGGGCAGCGAGAGGGCCCATGCATCAACACATTCATTGGAACGGGGCCCTGCCGCCATCTACATCATCTCATTAAATTTGCGAGGAACAATTTCAGAACACTGGGGTGTGGTGGGTGAGAGGGTGTATAATAAAAGCAAAAAAGAAGGAAGTGAAGTAGCAGCCGAACCGAGGCACCAGATAAGCCAGCTGTGAACGGCGCGGGGAAATAATAAGGCAATCGAAATCAGACGGACTCCATTGTTGCCGAGGTCGACAAAGCTGTTCAAGGAAATTGGACATGGACACTCCAGAAGAGAATACAGTTGGTTCGATAGAAGCGTATGGTGGCACGATGGTAAGAAAAGAGGAAGAAAGCGAGCGCGGGAGACAAAGCAGACGAAGTCAAACGATAACTAGAAGAAGAAGTATGCGATCAGGAAGCTTAGCAGGCACAGGCCAGCCACGATCTGCACCGGCACGCCGGCCTCGGAAGATTGCGGTGTTTGCTGCACCAATGGCGCCGGCGCCTTTTCGGACTCGCTTCCGATCTTTCGCTGCCTCAGGCCCTGGTCGGCCAACTTCTCCTTCAACGCCAGAATCTGCGCATGAGCCTCGGACAATTGGGCCTTCAGATCATCGTTCGAGCCTGTTGTTCTGCCTGCCGGGGGCAACTTCGAAGACGTGGCTTGGTCCTCATTCGCTCGTGGGGTGGGCACTTCCCGCTTGGGCTTATCGCTGAAGTCTGGCGGTGGGATTGGTGACGTGTCGTTAGTGCTCTTGGAAACTGCTGCAGCCGGAGTCTCAAAGTTGGCGTTGGGGGAGGTGTAGGCCGGCGGCTCTTCTTCCGGCATAGTCTAGAGGGGAAAATTAGTTATTCAGTGGCTGGAAACTCGAAAAGGGGTCGGTGAGGGGTTGCTTACGCCGTTGGTTTCGGCGGCTTGTTCGGTAGCTGGGGTATCATCTGCAGGGAGCCAGTTCACACGGATCTTGCGTTCTTGAAGCGAAGCCTTGGAGGCTTTCTCGAACTATGGGGCTCTATTAGATCGCTGCCGGCAGACATCCACATATGGGGACAGGCATACAATGGAAGTAACATTCGCAAACTCCATGTCACGAGTGACCGCGACAGTCTGGACAAGGAACTTGTCCTTGCATTTGGCATCAGACGCAGGCTCTTCCTTCATAGCCTGTAGGAGGACTATCCAGATCGTCAGCCATTGCGCCAAGGCAATGGTTGTACGGGGCGCCGGGAAACCAACCTTGGACATCCACATTCTTCCCAGGGTCTATCCGGCCCGAGTTCGGGCGAACACAGTAGCTATGCCTTGGTTAGCCGGGTCACACCGACATTGGTATGTCAACTAGCGAAGAGGAGTGGCCACGTACTGCTTAGGGGCGGTCGTTTTGACCTAGAGGAGAAGCGAAGATTAGCCTAAGACAAAGATAATCCGATAGAGTAGGAAGATCGTATTAGTACATACCTTGAAGACCACCGGCTCTGCGTTCTCATTCTTGAGGTGTAAAATCTGGCAAACTTCACGGTCGAAGGGACCTGGGGATTTAGTCAGCTCGGATAGTCCACAGGGACAAGTATACAGAATGTCGGAGCAGGGCATACGCTTGAATCCCAACTCCGGAGGCTCGAGAATAATCGACATATCGAATAGGTAGTAAGGAGTATGTGACAGGAAGGAGAGGGATGCGCAAGCGACTAGTGTACAGGAGATAGGCACAGCCAGGCGGGAGGATCGTCCTTAGAAGAGAGTGCGCTGAGGGGGGAGAGGATCAGTCGCAAGCGATCAGAGCAGCTGGGCCCGAGGAACAAATAGACAAGTAGGTACCTGACGAAGACTCGGAACTAAGGAGGGAAACTTGGTCAGATTCAGTCAACGACGAGGAGGATGCCAACCAGCAGGTTCGAATGATTCACTGTTCAGGCGCAACTCTCCGTTCGGGGGGAGCGAAATGGAGTCGCAACTGCTGGTTGGGCCGGGGGTGCTGACTCAGCCCCGGCCACGGGGGGTGTCGGTCAGGTGATGTCATCACGGGGCCTGCGATCGTTGTTTGAGCCCCGTTTCAGCCGGCTGCGCTGGCCGGGCCCAGTACCTGCATTTTTGCGCTGTCTGCTTTCACTCCTCTCTTTGCTGCTCCGCTGCTCGACGTCTCCGTTGCTGAACCAGGTCCTCGCTCACTGCGGTCGCGGTCGGGGCAATTGGGCCAGACCTACCCACTCCGTGCTCCCGTACCTGATTTCCTCCTGTCGGTTCTGGCCTCTGGGTCCTGCCTCGGGATCCACTGGGTGACATCGTCTAAAAATAATCGTTCAAGTAGTATCTAGTTTGAGCTAAGTGTCCACTATCTTTCGAGAGGTGCCGATGTCTTGCATGCCCTTAGCCTTCTTTTCTCTTAGTTTCAAACGGAGATTTTCCAGCTGTCTCAATGCCATAGGACGATTCCTTCCTTCTCAAACACCTTGCCAGCTGGTCGATCTCAGATCACGATGCCATTGGGCGGCTCAATACGCCTGGTCACCAGGACGAGGCTATCTCTTACTGTCCACCTAGCCAGGCACACCTGTCACACCGATTTTCTGAAGAATACAGTGCCATAGGTTCAGTCTCAAATGTCCAAGTGGGGTTTGATGCCAACAATGACCACCGATCGTGGGGCGCCCTATGCGGTTACTACCTAGGACTCACTTCCATGGTGATGAACAATCGTTGTCTGCCAGACAGAATACGAACAGTAGGCCATGGGTACCCAATCTCTCAACTCGGTTCAAGACGGGTGTTAGGCGCAATACCCTTGCCTTATGTTCAGGGACCAATTAGACAATCTAGAATCTACTTCCGGCTTGAGTATTCTTAAAAGCTTACTGAGGTATTTCCCAGTGTACTTCAGTGGGCTAACTATGCCAGAAAACGGGCTATACCGAGTAATGGCAGTCCGCAGTGGCTTCTTCACCGGAGACTTGCAACTGCTGATCGGAACGCGGCTAATGGGCGTTTCACAGCTCCTACGGGCTTAGGGACCTCGGACAGATTTCGGCAACTATATTGTCATAGGAACTTATGTAGACACTGACAGCTAGGGATTCTAAGCTGTCTCGAAATTGAAATACCTACCTGAATTCGTGTTATGGACGCTATCCCACTGCAGTCAGCTTGGTCTGATCTCCAAGAAGGAACTTGAATATCATTCAAGTCTGAGAATTGACCAAGGTGATTTAAGGAATGGACTTCCATTCAAACATTGAAGTGTACATTCACCGGCATCTGGAGCAAGGCTAGAAGGATCCAGAATGGGGGATGTACCTGGATGCCTTGGGCGGCCACTCTAGTCGGCGGGTCATCCCGCAACCAGCAAGCAATCTATCGCTCAGTTCCAGCTATCGATACGTCACCCGCAAGCTCAGCCCTTTGATCATCTCCCCGCTTTGTGTCGGTTTTGCAACACCAACTTCCCCATCTACTGCTAATCAGCTCCAGCTGACAGTACCTAATCCGCACCGTCCTCAGCCCATCCCCGAGCTGAAGCCATATCTCTTACCCCGCCCTACTACCACGCTTCCCTGTGCGACCCTCTTAGCACAGTGCCACCATGGCCTCTTCCGACCTGGATCAGCTCATTGAAATGGGCTTCGACAAAGAAAGAGCTGAAATTGCAGTGGCCAAAGGCAACGGTCGTATGTCTCCTATTGCTCCGCTAGCTGGTGTCGATCGCTGACGTCTCATGTAACCCTTCTGCAGTGCAAGGTGCTTTAGAATGGCTCGAAGAAAACCAAGACAAGTCCCTGGAGGAGATTAAAGAAGCCGAAAGCGAGGAAGGTCCTGCGCTGAAGCCGGGAGAAGAAGCCCGCAGCTTGGTCTGCAACGAGTGCGGCAAGAAGTTCCGAAGCCATGCGCAGGCCGAATTTCACGCCTCCAAGTCCGGACACGTCGATTTTTCAGAATCCACAGAAGAGATTGCAGCATTGACTGAGGAGGAGAAGAAGGCCAGGCTCGAAGAGCTCAGGCAGAAACTAGCGGCGAAGCGGGCCGGGCAGTCGGAGCAGGATAAGATTGATAAGAAGAGAAACGAGGTACGAACGCTTCCAGCTACGGTCCAAATCAATGGTTAATTCTTTCTCTAGGAAATCCGCAGAAAGAGCACCAAGGAATCCCAGGATATCAAGGAAGAGCTCCAGAGGAAGCAGATGCTGAAAGAAGCGGAACAGAAGAAGAAGGAGAAGCAAGCAGATATCGAAGCCAAGAAGCGCGTCAAGGCTAAGATTGAGGCCGATAGGGAAGAGCGACGCCTACGAGCTGAACGCGAAAGAGCAGAGCGTGCTGGCGTAGCACCCCCTGCTCCGCCACCAGCAGCTCCGGCAGCCACCACGTCTGGTCCCGTTGCTTCGAAGCCCGCCTCGGCCTACACGGAAACCCGGTTGAGATTCCAAACCCCGAAGGGAAATATCATGAAGACGCTCCCAGTGACCACGACATTGTTCGAGGTGGCCACGGCTCTGCAACAGGAGCATGGTGTTGAGGTGCGCAGCTTTGCGCAGAATTTCCCTCGGAAGGTCTTCGACGCGGAATTCTTCGGAGAGTCACTGAAGGATCTTGGCCTTATTCCTAGTGCAAGCCTTGTTGTTCAGTGATTTATCTACATATTTGCTTTTCATGCTGGGGCGGAAAGAACATCTAGATAACGATATCTATCATACGAACAAGTCAGTGATGAAGGGGGGCAGCGGTGATGAATTTCTGGGAGGGTGCCTAAAAGACAGGCTCATGAATGCCTGTTGTGGGCCGCCAATGCTGAATTAGTGCAGCGTGGCAGTTGGATAGTAACCAATAACCCAACTGTTCAAGAAGAGATTTCAGAAAGCTCCACCGTATAGAGACCTCCGCTGCAATTAGGTACTCATTTAGGATGATACATCGAACAGGCAGCTATATCATCACGTGATGACGTGATAAGGCGTGTCGGCATCCATCACGCGTCGACACGCCGGGCTGCAGCTGTCTCTGTCATTCACTCACACAACCCCGCTGGTTGATTTCAATGACTGCTTGGTCTGATACGCATCTATTCCTACTATAATATGCCCGCGTAAGTGAATGCACTGCTCCCTCTTGCCCGTCTTCTTAGACTCAGAAGTTAACCGCGTCTCTAGTGTCGGCGACCAGCACCGAGGCAACCCAGCGGCCATCATGATGCCTAACGCAACCGGAACAGCCTCTGCAAATCCATTCGAAGAGCCCCAACGTCGTATAAATGAGTACACTGCTCAAGAAATTGCCACACTTCAATCACGCCTCGATAAGAAGCTAGGACCCGAATACATCTCTTCCCGTCCAGGAGCTGCGGGGCAGAGAGTACATTATCTGTCGGCCGATAAATGCATCAACCTAGCAAATGAAGTCTTTGGATTCAACGGCTGGTCGAGCTCGATCCAGACTATTCAGATTGATTTCGTATGTGCAGTTGTCCATCAACAAGATGGTCAAGCGGGGCTAATGGACAGTACTATTAGGTCGAGGAGAACCCGCAAACTGGAAAGATCAGTTTAGGCCTCTCAGTTATCATGAGAGTAACCCTGAAGGACGGAACATATCATGAGGTGTGCACCGCTCTCCTACAGCGAGCCTGCCTAGCTTTCGATGCTGATAATCGAATGATAGGATATCGGTTACGGGCATATTGAGAATTGTAAAGGCAAAGCTGCTGCCTTTGAGAAAGCCAAGAAAGAAGGGACAACCGATGCTCTCAAGCGGGCTCTGAGGAATTTCGGCAACGTCCTGGGCAACTGTGTCTATGACAAGGACTATGTCTCGAAGGTTACCAAAGTCAAGGCCATGCCGGTATGTGGCGACGATACGAACGGTCTGCTCTCGACTAACTTTCCTGCTAGGCAAAATGGGACGTTGATGAGCTCCACCGCCATCCTGATTTTATGCCGAAGAAAGAGCCTGTGAAACCGAAGCCCAGCTCAGAAGATGATGATCTACCGCCTCGCCCAGTTGATCTTGGAAAGAGCAACAACCTCGATGATTCCATGGCGTTTGATGGCGATGGGGAGTTTGGAAGTGAGCAACGACGATTTGACACATTCACAGACGGCGACTAACCACCACTAGGTGACCTATTCGATGAGGCCGACTTTGGCGTTGGCGGAGCAGGCAACCCAGACGAGGTAGTACTGGGACCGGAGACAAGAATGCTGCAGCAGCCACCAACGCCTCTAAACGGGCCTAATGCACAAGGGCGGCCATTCGACAACAATGCCCGTGCGCCAATAAGGCCCAACCCAGCCATGGTAACGCCATCCAAGTCGGAACGAACCTTTAATCCAGCCCCTGCCGCCAGACAAATTCCCGCCCCTCAGCCTTTCAACAACAGAGCCAACCCCTCCGCAGCCCAAAGCCAATTTCCACAGCAACGACAATCCGTACCCCCTCAAGTTCCGCAACAGAACCTCGCCAACAACCGAATGAACCCACCGGCGCAAGCAGCCGCCTCAGCAGCTACAAACAGTGCTGGACCCATGAGGCAAGATGCTGGGGCACCCACCACCAACGATCCCGCCAACCCCCAAGAAACAGTTCCCCCCGGCACTCCCTCTGCATCGTTCTTCTCAGCTCGCGCAGTCGATCTTATCCGCGACAACCCTAACGGCGTCCCATCCGGAGCCCCGACCTTCGACCTACATGCGGAGAGTCCCTCCATTCGCAAAACAGCAGGCATCGACCACAACAAGTCCTCCAAGGTCTCCCGAACTATGGTCTCCGGCACCGGCACCGGCACCTCCCCCGCAGCCAACAACACCCGGGATTTTGTCAACCCATCTCAAGACCCGAATCGCAAGATCGGTGCCCCGGGAATGAACAGTCCCATGAACAGAGGCCCATCGACTTCATCATACCGTCCCTTGACACGACCTAACCTTCCTTCGGGCGCTGCAGCCGTTAATCGCGGCACTACACCCGGTCTCGCACCTCAGAACTTGAATGGGAAGCGTCCTCCTTTGTCAGATCTGACGAACGCATCGAACCCGAGTGGCAGCGGGCCTGCTCCGACGGGTGGTGTGAATGATCTGAAACGAGTCAGGATTGACCAGGGCCCTGTTGTGCCACCACAGCAGCAGCAGCAGCAGCAACAACAACAACAACAGCCACCGCAGCAACAGTAACGGATTGACGTTGATTGCAATAATTTTTATGACGTATCTCGGTATTCTTATGGGGTACATTCATGACAATGGCGTTCAGGGACCGGAAATGGAATGGGTGCTCGTAAAGGCGGATACCGGATGTTGATGTTGATGTTGTATTGTTGGATGTTGAACTAGTCTTCGCCTCTATTATAGGTAAATGATACTTATCACAAGATACCTGCACAGCCCAACTTCCTTTACACCTACTATAATAAAATTAGGCAATGATTACAACTGGGAATATCTCAAAGCTTTCACGGAGTCAGAGACTTTGCTCTTCTATCCAAGCTGCTAAAATGAGCCCGGCTTTTCCGGGGCTCTGTAGTTTGCGACATTATAATCCCTAGCAACCACATTACTTAAAAGCTCTATTAGGCTCGACACCATTGATAAGGAATATACTTTCACATTAGTTCAAATGTTTTCCATCTGTTGTAGTGCATCTCGCATTTTTTGCACCTCCGGCAGGCCCCATCTCTGCATCCACTCACAAAGCACCACTTCCTCGATTGTCGCCCTTTCACTTGGCTCGAGCACCAGCATCGACTTTATCATATTACGAAACGCATTTTCCTCCTCTGCGGAGAAGATATCGAACTTCTTCCTCTCCCGGGGCTTCTGAATAGAATCCGAGAATCGCTGGTTCCAGTCCCTGGTGCTATTCAGGTACCATTGACGAAGGGACTCTTTCACATTCTTGCGTCCATCCTCATCAAACCAATCCCTCCTCTTTTCCCACCTCCTCCACCACCGTTCTGGAAGTTGGCCTAGCAGTTCAACATGCTCAATGGTAACCTCATCCGATGTGGCGGGGAAGGCTTCAAAGGGGGGTCTGTCTCCGAGAATATCCCAGACCGTGCACGCAAGCGTCCATATATCCCCCGGGAAGGATAGCGGGTCATCAGTTCCCCCTGGCTCTGCAAAGCGAGATTCCGGCGGTGCGATCAGGAGCGGTGTATGAGCTGTAAACTGCTGTGTTATTTGAGGATCGAATGCTTCTCCAAAATCTGCAATCATGATTTCGGAGTCCGCGAGGGATATCTCGTCACTACCTAGCCCAAGCCAAACGGGAACGATGATTTCTGGAGGAACTCCTAAATCAAGGGGAGCGCTATCTTCACGTATGACAGGAATTCTTGCGGGCTCGCGTGTCTTAGCACGTAGCTGCTCAAGAGTCATGTCTCGCATATCAGATGGCAAGCGAAGAAGGATATTTGCAAGGTGGAGGTCTGTGGCCAACGTTAGATCAACTCATATTCCTCAGTCAACTGGTGGAGACGGGATTCAGCATGCCAAACGTACCACCGTGAACGATACCTTGAGAATGGATGAACTGCACACCGAGGATGAGCTGCGCGGCAATGGCTCGAGCAGTAGGAAGATGAAAGAGCCGATGATAGGCAGCATCCTTCGCTTCATCAAGATTAACCCTAGCCGCATCCGTAACTAAACACCGATGAGTGCCATTTGGTCCTGAGAACGTGAAAGAATCGATCAGATTCTGCGCAGACTCCTTTCCAGGGAGCTCGGACTCGGCCTTAGCTAGCTGCAAAAGAATCTGCAATTCATGCGTTCGTTCAGCTGACTCCGCGGTAGAGATCTTGAGAGCAACCAGCTGTCCTTGGTTTCTGTCCTCTGCTAGCCAAGTTGTGGCGGAGCGGCCGAACCCGAGTTTGTGAGCGACAACATATCGACCTGCACCAAGCTCATCACCAATCATGGTAGGGTGGTAGCCTCCAGGAACGTAGTAGTCCAGGCGCTCAACTTCTTCCACAAATTCGTACTGAACCTTGCTGGGTTCCATACGGGTTGCCCTCCTGCGTGGTTGTGGTGTGATAAGCCGTACCTGTCGGCAGTATGGTCCAGATACCAAGGGTCTGATCTTGCAAAAGTGCAAGCGTGCGTTGCTGGCTCGATTTGCCATAATACTAAGGAATTTGCGGCGCGGGTTAATGTGAGGGCGAGGGAAGTGATACTTGGGATACTAGGACTCGTTGGACGCAGCCAATCAGACGTAATAATCCGGGTGAGGATGAGCCCGACATACTGACTTGAAGACCTAAACAGCCAGCTCAACAGGCTAGGCCTGGTGGATGGCTCAAGGACATAGAACAGGGAGCTTAGAAAGATGAGGACGAATGAATGGCAAGGGGACGCCCGTAATGTCGCTGGGTCTAGATTCGGAAGGCGCTAATTGCGGTCATATGACTGGCAATCCCTACAGGGCTACGATGGTCTGCAACACTTCACACCCCATCAGGGATCCTGTACACGGTTCACAAGCCGTGCTCTTGCTCTACAAAACGGTATGAAGGTAGCCTACTAGCCACTTGGAGGTCGATCGTTTTCCGGAGCGTGCGCTCAGGCCCTTCCAATCTACCATAGGCGCGTCGCAGGCTTGGGGGCAGCCTAGGCTCCTCAACCTCAGCTCTACCCCGCAATCTTCCAAGGGCTAGCTCATTCTTACGAGCAAGGATGCGGATCCTCGCATGCGAAAGTACGCGAGTTCGGCAATATGCTGCTTAGCTCTTGCAGGACAGCGGAGACGTGGTCCATCCATACCCAACAAACAGCGCGCCTCGGGGAGAGGGGGAGATTGTGAACAGGGGCCATGCATAAGACGCAACAAGCAGTCGGGCCCGGCGAGATTCTTGCTGTGATGGTCGATTGGCTTATATAGCCTTCGGTTGTGTCGCCTACGAGCAGCGAAATCAACTTTCGCTATCGATTTCTACGATACAGCCTTAGCTTCCTATCATGTCGACCGTGAATCTAGTCAGGTTCTACTTCTTGAGCCAACCCAGCGCCCAAAACATTAGACAGTATATAGCTATCGCGTATCAAACGGCCACTGATCAGAAGTTCTATCCAAAGGCCGTCCTTGTTCGGTAAGGAGCCCCCAAGGCAGACAATTTTTAGTGATACTTTCCATCAAATAGAAGACTGACGTTTATCCTAGCTCAGGCATCCACCTGACAACCTCAATCGATGGTGAATATCAGAAGGATCCGAAGGGTGAGCATTTGACCCTGTGCTTCAAGGATGAAGAGATGATGGCAAAGGGAACACAGGTTGCCAGCCATGGATATGTGGCACTGAGAACCGATTGGAATATTCGTGAGGCCACTCATGCGCGGGAAAAGCCGGACTCAACCGTCATGACACGAAATGGGCGTCCTGTGTGGCCTTCTGAGGAAGCATTCCAATACCAGATTGTAGTGGCTTTCGGCCATGTGCCAGATGAAGCTGAGATCATGTCGAAGGGCAACTGAACGAGTTGCTCCGGTGCTGAGGGTTAACGGCTCGTTGATAGATTTGTAGCCTTTATACTCTTGAAGCAACAAGGGTGTTCAAATTCGGAACGCGCAAGTTCCATTATCGGGCTGTTCACATCTCGTTCCTTGACGATCCAAGGATGCTCAATACGAGAGATTGGAGTCATTTCCTCTCAAATCAAGCCATATGTATTATGCAATGTCTGTGGCCTGCACGACGGCAGGCATCCTTTTCTGTCTAATTTCGAGCCAGGTCAGAAACTCTTCCAATACAATATACCCTCCAGCTGCCCAAACCACCTCCCAATTCAACCAAATTATACAGCAACAAAACCAAACCCTACAGATTCCCCCTCAACGCCTGATCCCTCTCAAACGCCTCAAAAAGGCTCTTGAAATTCCCCGCCCCAAATCCATCAAAATTCTCCCTTTGGATGATCTCCAGAAACACGCTCGGCCGATCCACGACATGCTTGGTGAAGATCTGCAGCAGATAGCCACCCTCGTCGAAATCAATAAGAATATTATATTTCTGGAGCGTGTTGATGTCTTCGGCGAGGCTCATGTTTGCGGCCGCGAGACGGGCCCGCATGTTCACGTAGTAGTTTTCTGGGACGGAGAGGAAATCCACGCCCCTCTTGGTGAGATTCTCCACTGCGGTAATGATGTTGGGAGTTAGGAAGGCGATATGTTGGCAGCCTGGGCCGTTGTAGTATTCTACGAATCTGGCGGGGTGTTAGTGCTATTGTTGCTGGTGGGATAGGCGAGTGGTGATGGTGGTGGTGGTTACATACTCTTCTATCTGGGACTTTTTCTTGCCGACAGCGGGCTCGTTCATAGGCATTTTGATGACCTCATTCGGCGATGCAACAACAACAGACCGCATAGCGGAGTAATCCGAGCACATTTCCTTGTCATCAACAGTCCAGTAGCGATGGAAGTTGAATGCGTCTTCGTAGCTATTGTCCAAACGTTAGGATGCGTATCGAGATGGACAAAATAGGTCAGCACTTACTACTTGACGATACTGTCGAGGCCATCCCATCCCTGATTCCCAACACAATGGTCGATCTCGATCACATCGATCTTCGGTAATAGATCATTTAGTCTATCGTATCCGGATACGGCTTGGTATCCGGGAAGGAAAACGCCCCGGTATGCGGATCGGTTGATCAGCGTATGGGCTGTATCTCCGAAAGTCTGGACCGTGGCGGAGAGGACCTCGCCGGTGTCGTCCTTCAGGAGCTGTGGTTTCTGGATAGAGGTGGCACCATTCTGTACGGCGTGTTCCCAAACACTGGTGACGTCGTCGACTGCAAAAGCGATGTCTTTGACGCCGTCACCGTGTTTAGTGAGATGAGCTTGCATCTCGTTCAAGTGCTGGCGGTCATGATCCGAAGCGCGCGTGTCCCAGGTGTTGTTGGGCGAGGTGATGGGCGCTGTGAAGACAAAACGCGCGTTGCCGTTTGTGACGACGTACGAGCAGCTCAGGTAGGACCCGGTCTCGGGGCCGCGGTAGGCTACGACGCTGAAGCCGAAGTGGGCGACGAAGTAGGTCGCCGTTTGACGGGCGTTTCCAACGTACCAGCTGATGTGGTCGAAGCCGGTGTAATTCGGATTGATGCTGCGGAGGACGGCGGTGTTGCCGGCTTGAGGCATGCTCTCGTTGGAAGGCATAATGAAGGATGTGGGACGTGCGGCTGATACTCAGGTGGCAGTGGCTTGGTTTCGAAGACGACCGTGCAGTTGCTGCATATCTTTTATATCTGCCACAATTTGTTGGCGGGGGGAAGGGGGTTCTACTTCCTCGGCTCGCGTGGAATGTAACTTTCGATTGCCACAGTCGAGAGGATATGGAGGGTGACACAAGATCGGGGTTGCTTTTTTGCGCGACGCTAGCCAGCACTCAACTTCAACTATTGCTTTGTGTTGGCCGCTTCACTCGGGCGTGCGTCGGAACTAGATTCCCTGTTTTTGGTACCCTTGCACCAATTATTATCTTGTTTTTCATCGCCCTCACTCGAAATTTTCCTGCGAAAAACGAATCAGAATAGATGTGACATGGAAAACCCGTCACGTCCATCAGCAGGTCTAGGCCAGATGACGATATAATGAGTAGTCCGTCGATCCTTCAGATTAGGTTTCCGATCGATCTTCAGTGAGTAAGCGATGCGATAGGGAGAAGAGGAAACCATTTCCTCATGTGTACATCTGCGCTCAGCCTTGGCTGAAAACATTCAAAAGGAATTATCATCAGCCAGCTGGGCTGAAAAGCACCATGATGGAACTATGCATAACCTAGAGCCATACACAACTCAAAACAAGACCATTGTCTGGAGATCCCGTTACACAGCATATGCGGCATCGTTCCCTATTCGTGAGACTCCTGCACATGGGATTCTTGCACTCAGCGCCCATGAGCAATATCCCTGCAGAACCTGACGTGACTAGTCATTCCATACGGGTGGGATCGGTCTGGGTAGGTCACGGGCACATAGTATTGCCGTCGACTGCACCGCCACAGGAAATGCATTGGATGAGAAATCCACTTACTTCAATAGTATCGATAAGTACTGACACTATCAGGTTCTCGATGCAATAAAGCCACTTATTCATATGTATCGTGCAATAGATATAAGACAAGAAAGGTAGGTAGACACCGAAGAAATCAATCTACAATCCCACCCGGACGGCCGACTTGAACTAGATCCCAACGTGTCAGTAAGAATGCCAAACAAAGAGCGGAGCAGCAGAAGAACGAGAGCAGGGAACCCACCGGAATAATCTGCACCTTGTCCAAATCCCAAACCCCACTCTTAGCATAGATATCATTCCTGATGATCTCTTCCGCCGCTTCCTTACTCTCCACCACGAGCATGAGCGAGGTTCCTTGGAAAGTCATCGATTCGCCTTCCTTGGGGTGCTTGTCGAGCATCGCGCCTTGGTCGGGGTCAGTCTTAGAGGTTCAAGGAATAGGAAAAAGAAACATACCTCCCAAGACCACGGAACCGGCTTCGACAAGGGGCTTGACGTCTTGCAGGTGCTGGCTGTTGACCCAGGCGTGTCAGTGCTGGGTGAGATGCCCGGTGAGGGGTAGGTCTTACGAGCGAACTTCCAGTCGCTTGGCCAGCATGCCCGGCTTATCCGGGATAATGCAGAGGAATTCGTTCTTAGCAGACATGTTGCTCCTGGTTCTTTCTTTCTGGCAGGTAAAAAGAGAGGGATCAGTGTAGTGACGGAGAAAAGGTCGGACAGGCAAGGATCGATGGCGGGAAGTGGAAGCGGGGAAAGGTGGGGAGCAGGAGCAGCTCTTATCCGGTGGGGATTCCCAGCAATCCTTCAGTGGGCAACTCTCATGCTACAGTAATACAAGTACTACCTTGTATTACTGTAGCTAGGTAGGGATATATCACTACTCGGCGATCGGTTTACGGTCATAACAAGCCCGCCAGATTGTAGCCTATATATGTATGTACATGGACGCCAAGCACCATGGCCGGTTCATCTGCTGCCCTCGCCCTCGTCCTCGAGCCATCGAGCCAGCGGCCCATCCCAGATAGGACCGCCGCGATGGCTTCAGGTGATCCGTCAAGCAAGCTTCAGCAGATGAGCAATAGCATCAGAACACCATGCCTGTGAAGGGAACTGGCCTGGGCCTGGCAGAACAACGTAGGCTCCAACCAGAGCCCATTCACGCTCGCTCTCTATGAGCTTCCAATACCGCTCAACACTGTCCCCGTAGCGCCAACAAAAGCAGACATAACCCTAACACGCAATACAAAGAAGACTAATTACCGGCGTCGTGAGATATCCGTCCCCGCGTCCGAAGAATGCAATGAGAAGAAATGAAGAAAGAAAATCAATAAAAGCGTTATGAGGAAAGCCTCCATGCAAAGAACCGCTGCAAGGGCTCGGATGTACACGGGAAACGGGGTATTCGGGTTTCAAGGACGAGGAATGAGAGTGGCCGCACCACCCAGTCTGCGTGGAAATGAGGATCAACTCAAGAATGCAGCTAGTATGCTTTGCGGTCCCCGAGGTTGCCAGGCTTCTCTTCCGTGTCAATGTGCCAGACAACGTAGTTCGGCAGCCCATACACCTGGTAGCCGGCGCGCTTAGCCATGCGGGCGAATCCCTCGGTTTCGGCCTGGTTCTCGAAAGCGTACGCCGGGAAGTTGATACCGGAACGGTGAACGTCGGCCTTCACCAGGATGTTCACACCGCCAATGCCGTCCAGCTCGACTTCCTCATCCTTGTTCTTTCTCCAGTCACCCATGCCAACCATGTAGGTCCGGCCAGTGTCATATTCCTTGTAGCCTTCAGCCAAAACAGTGTCCGGGTCGAGAGTCTGGCGGAGTCGGCGTCCCTTGTCGGATTCAATCCAGGAGTTGTAGTCAACTGCAAGAGTCAGTAAACGAGCATCATGGGGAATCTCTCTTTACATACATCGACCCTCAACATCAACACCATCCCGGTAGCGGTGGAACCAAATGTCTGTAATAAAGTTAGCACTCACGAGCGTGATACGCATGATAGGGAACGCAACATACTCGGAACGAGAATATCCCGGTCATGAGCGATGAAGTCCTCAATGATGCTAGCGGGGCTGTCAAAGATGTCAACATCCCTCCAGTAGACCCAGGAATGGTCGGGCTTGAGGGCCGAGTAGAGCAGGTAGTTGCGAGCCTTCCCGATAGCCTTGCGGCGCGGGCCTTGAGCAGCAAAGGAGTGTCTGTCCTCCACGTTCATCTCGGTGTCAGCCCCAAAGTCCTTCTGGACAATGGTCGCACTACGGAAAGCAATCTTCTCATCCACTTGATCCTGGATTCGGGCCAGCTCCGCGGTGAGAACAGCCAAGGTGTCGTCGCTGCAATCGCCAACGAGGAAAGCCAAGTCGATCAGGTCGTGCGGGTATGTCAACTTGTAGAGGAGATTGAAGTAGTTGACCAAATGTTCGGATGCATCTCTCAGAGGAGTCAGGACGAGAACCCGCTCAGAATTCGAAATAGCCTGGGTGGTGGACTTGATGGGGTTCAGATCGACGGTCTTGATGCTGGACGAATTGACTTCGTAGGGATCGTGATGGTTGAAGAGGACAGGGGTCTGCGTGTGAGCGCTCCACTCGACCATTTCGTTGATGGTCATTTCCATCGGCGATTTCGAAGGGCCATAGCAGTAGAAGCTACGTGCAGTCGTTAGTGCCTTCTGGTCGCGTGCCTAGCCATAGCCAGGGACCGGGTGTCGCAGGCAACACGGTCAACGTCGGGTCAGGTACTCACCTTTGCATCTCCGACGCTGACTTGCTGATGCCACGCCATAGTAGGATTACCAGGCCAGTGATGGCCAATGATACAAGAAACCGGGTCCGTGTGACCAGGAACAGAACAGCCCGCCATGGGGGCAGCCTGGCTTTGGCCGACTTCCACGTTACACCACCCTTAGGAAGCAACATCTTCGCGACGGGTAAAAGGGGAAGGATGTGAGCTGGTTGTCAAAAAAAAAAGAAAACCAAGTTTTGGGTCTCAGAAACCGTCGACGCCTACAACAGGCGACGATTTCTGCGGCTGGGATGTATATCGCTGGGACACCAGAATGCAGGGAGATCGATCAATCTGGCTTCGAGCGGACAACACGATGCAGGACGGGCGGCGGAAGAGACGGACCGTCCGGGGAAGGGAAAAGGAGCGGGCGCCGACGCGATATTGGCAGGGACGATCCCACGAAATCGAGGCTGAAATCTGACGGATCGAAAGCGTCGACAGGGAGGGCAGAGTCGATGATGCGCTATGGAGAAGGGGGTGCCAGCGATCACCCGGGGCAGGAAAAAGGGTAGGGAAAAGGCTGGCTGCGGGAGACAGTGGTGCGGCACCGGAGGCCCCAGCAGAGAAGGCAAAGGTTTCAAACGAATGTGAGAAGCGGAAGACGAGGGATCGGGACACCAGGTGATCCGACCGGTTCTCAGTCAGCGACACAGGTTGAGATTATTGGAACGGTCGTCGATAGAAGAGAAGTTCCAGGTTGACAGGGAAGATTCGACCCGCCGATGTTCCAGCCAGAGTCCAGTTGGCCGCTTCGGGATTGGCCTGCTGCTTTTAATAGCCGCGGTGACTAAGGGTCCCTGAGTCAGCTGCATATCTTTGCCGCTGCATACTGGACTTATGCCTACTCCATACGGGCTTTTACGGAGTACCCCAGACCAACTTGTCTCAGAAAATTGTCATCGTCATTTGCCTCTATGCTGATAGTTACAATCAATGCCCATGGGACGCTCCCGGAAAACACCAGACATGACAAAGGAAACAAAGAAATAAATACCGAAATCAGTCGTGTATATGTATAGTAGGAAAAAGAAAAAGAAAATAACAGCCCCAAAACGTTGTCCACCCTGCTCCAGATCCAGGCCGGTAAGTAAGATAATTATAGCCATCCCCAATATGAACATGGAAGAAAGATTGTACAGACTCCAAATGCAACCTCCCTCACGATCTCCAACCAACTTTTTTTGGGTTGATGTACATTGCGCTTCCATCCAGATTCGGTGGAAGAAAGGCGCAGGAAAGATCGAATCCAATGTGGACTCAACCAGGCGGTAAACAGATCACGGTGCAGGAAACTTCGCATGTCCAAGTGGCAACCTGATGATGAACGCTCTCGCTATGCCGGAAAACACAGTTGAAAGAAGAAAAAGGAAAATCGACCGCACAACAGCCGCTCTAACATTTGACTCAAGGAGAATCATGACAAGGGACCGAAAGTCCTCCTTTAGTGATCCTGAAAAGACGCATCAGTTCAAGGTGACGGGTTGAGGGATTGGCGCCGTGATACCGGCACCGAATACGACGCGTGTGCAAACACCGGCGAAGAGGGCCCCGTGATCGGAGGAGTGTGTGTGAGGTACGCATGTCCGAAAGAGTGGGAGGGCCCCGTGGGGACAGGCTCTAGGCGGGAGGAATCAGGACTGCTGGCGGCAATCTCATCGCAGAACACCCGCAACCCAGGGAGCATGTTGCGTGGCTTCGCGTCGGTAAGATGGGTCAGGGGCTGAGAAGTCAGGTGCTCGCTCTTGGGCGATCGGAACATGTGCTCGTATGACTTCAGCTGAAGCTCGAGCGCCCGATTGCGCTCCTCCGACATCTGGAGCTCTTGTTTCAAGGCCTTGTTCTGCTGCTGGATCGTCTGGTTCTGCTGCTGAAGGCTTGAGATCAGTTGCTGCAGCTGCATGCAGCGGATCTGGGGCTGCAGCTTCTCCGACAGCTGGCGTGGCAGCTCGTTCTCCAAGCGGATCAAGTGCACGATGATCAGGAGCATGAAGTCGATGAGAAAGATGGCGGCTTGCACAATGTGCTCCTTCGATTCTGGTAGGCTTTTGGAGGGGTTCCACCCTGCTCGTTCGAGAAAAAAGTCATGAAGGCGGCTGTCCAGGTCACGGAGTATCTGGCTGAGGTTCTTTCGTCGGTTACCCTCGGCAATCCTGTGTTTCTCTCTCTGATCATCCGGATCCGCAGAAATCATGCTTCCCTTGCGCTTCCGTCCACACAATTGCTGCAACGGTGGCTTGCGGTTGATGTGCTTGGGAGCGATCAGGTTCAGGAGCTCATCTGTGGAAAGCTCGCGCGGCCACTCAAAGACTTTCTGGGACTGTGCGGGTTCTGGCCAGGAACTATCGGCGGAGGTGGCTGGTGACGGAGGAGCCACAATGTGCTCGGCTCCTGGCCATTGGGACTTGACGAGGACCGCATCCTGGGAGCTAGGGGGACTGGTAGCAAAGATATTGGAGGTGAAGGGATTGAAGGGGCCCCGAGGCAGCGGATCCACGCGTGGGAGCGGGGGCAGGCGGCGGTCGTCGGTCATGTCTGTGGTACTGGACGCACTGGAGATGGAACGCACGCCACTATGAGAAGAACCATGTCACGTCAGTTCCTGCATCTGTCGGTAAGGGTAACGGACCACTCACGGGAGAGAGCAACGTCGAGAGAAGTCGTCAGCCGCGGAGCCTAAGTCTTCAAACATCATGGTGCCGGGTGTTCTTGCTGCGGGTAAGATGAAAGATGGGGCACTGCAGCTGAAGAGCTGTATGTCTGAGGTTTGTCGGTATGCACTGAGGGGAAATGTCTCTGATATGTACGTCTGCCCCGGTGCAAGCCGTCTGGGCGTGATGTAAACAAACACGGACGGGAAGTCTATAGGATAGGCTTCAAGGGGGAGGAGCAATAATAAGGCCAGAGGGGCAATAGATGATGGCACAGATGCAATCAAGGGGGCGGGTTGCTATGGATAGAAGTGAGACCAGAGGAACAATCAGGACAATCCACGAGGGCTAGAAGAGGTGATGAAGAACTCAATGCTTTCCCAGGGATACGGGAGGATCCGGCTGCATGTTTTATATGTTGGAAGCCGCAGGTGAACGAGGGGAGGGGGCGATGGAAGAGGCAGTCCGCGAAGAAGGGAGTGGGGAAGAGCGAGCCCGAAAGAGCAGAAGGAAGCCATTGTGGTGGCGCTCAGACGTGCAGTTTGAGCTGGCAATGAACTGCATCGGAAGAGGAATGCGAAGGGGAGGTTGCGAATAGTACGAAATGTCCAGCGTGAGTGAAGAGAGAGATCCGGGATGTATCACCAGTGCTTTCTGGGGAGGGTCTCTCGAGAAGCTAAGCGGATTAGCTCGATCTGCGACTACCTCAACAAGGAAATGGAGCATCGACGATGACATACAGATGGTCTGGAGTGGTGGTGGTCGTGGTGGAGGAGGTGGAGTCCTCCGTAAGTAGTTGAGTTTAGTTTAATTTTATTCGATTTATTTTATTTTTATTTTCTTTTCATGATTTTGCTTTTCGATTTTAGATTTTAATTCTTTTTGATTTTGTTCGTTTTTATTTACTTTTTCTGGATTTCCCTTTCTATTCACGACGCTGGCTACTACAGTCCTACTATGTATGTATTGTTTGCGCCTTCCCTGCTTCCCCTACAGATTATCTGCAGCCTCCATCTCCATCCGGGACCTTCTCCCTTCAACGCCTCTCCCTGTTCCGTCGTCATCTCCCCTCCCCCCTCCTCCCTTCCCCCTCCAGGAGTGCCACGCGGGGAAGTGTGAAGAAGGTTCCGGCAGACTTCGACAGCCCCAACTAGTACTTTTTTAGGCCTCCCTGGAGGGGTATCTCTAGTATCAGAAATGGGCACAGACGTGAGGCAGCACCGGATCGACGAATCAACGTGCCATGATCCCGATGAACAAGAGAGAGTCGGATGGGGGGATCGCAGACCCTTGATTTGTCACCGCTGCAGCGGTTTTCGATCTACACGGGGCAAAAGGTATCGACTCCCCTTGCATCGCAACCATCAATAGTCTGTTCGGGCCAATGGCCATGATCCATCCGCCTGTGCCCACTCGGATCCCGGACCCAGGCGGCGATGCATCCGCGAAACCCATAGCGTCGAGGCACAAAACGTTCCCACCGTCTGGACAAGCGCGGGCTGGTGGCTGTTACAGGTGTGGGAACTGGGCCTGCGGCGCTTATCCGTCTGGCTAGTTCGACCACAGGCCCTTGTCCGAACCGGGTAATGCGCTGAGGCCATGGAGAAGCAAACTAAACGTCAAATTACAGAACTTAGATCGGATCAACCATCCGGACCATCCAGTTGGAAGGCATCAAAAGTCGGCTCGATCGCCCTGATCTTCCCAAATTCGATCCCGTATATACCACTACTATGTATAGCACATGGTCTGCACGGGAGCTCAGGGCGAGGGCCCCATGGGAGCAAGCTGGGTCCGATCTTCTGCACTCCTCCTCTCCACCCGCATCCTAGTTGAGGATACCTGGCCACAGAGGGCAAAAGTACCAATAAAGGATCATGAGAGCCCAGAGTAAGAATGTACTATACATAAACATCCGACGCACAGGCAGACGCAGGATCCCCGAAAGCAGATCATAACCTCGGCAGGAGGAGAGCAGAACCTAATAGCACGAAGCAAGGACTTCGTAGAGGGAAGCCAAAAGTACTCGGTGCCCGGAAGAGCCCTGCGAGGAGACAATGACTTCAACATCGTCAGAGGTAGCCAGAGGACGGCGTCATCTGTCACGAGTCATAGTCCTGACCTATTTTTGCTGGTTACGAATGAGGCGCCTCTCCTTGGTGCATGCGACAGAGCCATTGTCTCCATCGACACCCCTCGCCAGCCTGGGCAGTGGTATCAGAAAGTGGCCATGTCTATAATAGCACAAGTTATAACCGAACGGGCCCGAACGAAGGGGTCAAAACTCAGACAGAGTTGGGATCGTCCGCAGCCGAGGAAGGGCCCATACGCCTGGGACACTGGGAGATCCCAGCGACCAGGGTATGACGGCTGTCAAGCCCGGTTCTGGACTGCTTCTTTTCTTGGGGCATACTGGGAATAGTCCGTTGCTATAATTTGGCTCTGACCTGGGCAGGAAATTTGGAATCCCGTCGGACGTCTCCAACGGACAGGCGATATAGTATGTGTTTCGGAATACTCCACCTGAATATGGCCTGAAGAAGTTTTAGGGAAAGGACTAGGAAGGCCCAATTCCAGGGTTACGGCGATGAGCACCGCTCGTTAGCACGGTGGTACGGCGGATGGCAATGCAATCAGTGAACGGAAGATCCTCCAGAAAAGTACGCTACTCTCCCTTGGTGGAGATTGAGCAAAGCCCGAGGACGTCAGTGGAGAAAGGAGAGCCAGCGATGGGACCAGAGCCAGAGCCATATTGGGAAGGCGGACCAAACAGGACAAATACCATCCAGGCATTGCTGATGAATGGGAATCAAGGAGGCTCCCGGATCAGATCTGTCAGATTCGAGTGCCCCGGATCTGAGGATGCGGCATGAATGAAGGAACAATGGATCTTCTAGCTCCAGACAGTGCAGCCACGCCCAGGCCGCCCCACGTTGAGAGAGGAAGGAGGAGTCTAGCCGATCATCATCTTGCTCATCTATCGATACCAGCCTCCCATATGGCAGAGGCTTGGAGGAAGTTCCGGGGGCGGCTTGAGTCTTGGACGCCATCTGGGAGACACTAACGTGATTAGGGCGGACTCAGTTATTCCCGGATAGGCAAGTCTCTTGCCCTAGTAGCCGAGGGATGGTGATGGCACCTTCAACCGTTATCGTTAGCCGCCCTTTCTTCAGCGACCAAGGGTTTGGTCGCGCGCGACAGGTTACCCAGACTCCGAGTATCAACGAGTATGTCCGATCAATTTGCCTCCCGGACCACCCATAGCACCATAGTGGAGGCTGCAAAGTACCAAGCTCCATAGTGGTGAGTTGGCAGTACATACATCCACCGGGAAAGCGCCATGAAACACTGGACACCAGTTGCAAGAGCAACCACCCCTGTTCGATCCGAGATCGCTCGCACGCAGTGGCCGCCAGGCACGAACTCACCCGTAAACTCTCGTTGCGTGTGCGCCCATGGATGGCATACATGCTTGCGCTACTACATGGTCCTGGGGCTCACGGGCCCATGGATGAAACCTTAGAAAATTGCCCGAGGGACGCTCAGTTGACGAGTTTCGCTTATTTTCCGAATTATCGGGGTCTCGACGCATCGATGGGTGCCAATCTATTGACTGAACCAGGGAACCCCCAGCAGCGACGGAAGGGCCATGACCATCCATGGAGAGGGGAGCGGCTGAAGCGAACCTTAATGTTGCTCATCAGATCCATAGCACGATTTACGATGGATGTCGAACCGGTTCATTGCGAATTGGGTTTCGCGAGAGTAGTTAGGTTTTGGAAGACTCGAGTACGGTCTTAAGGTGGTGAAAGGCCATCCATCCTGAGTGGCAGGAAAAGGATGAGCCGAGGAGCGATTTAGGTTTGGTCTAGATTTGGAATTGGTTACACAGCATTGAATAGCGGGTCCAACAGTCGAGAGACAGGCTGACACGGACTGACACTGACCTGACACTGACACTTGACAGAAATCCTTTGAGGAATGAGGATCCCCTCCCCCAGAGTCACCCGTGAAGAATCACAACAACAACAACAACAACAACAACAACAACAACAACAACAACAACACAGGGTGGTTTGCTCAGCCCACAATGTCCCCCGCCCGTCCTTCTGTCCGTCCACATTGACCCAGAGAGGCAAAAAAAAAAGAAAAGAAAAATCAAAATAAAATCAAAACCAGTCTGACTAGCCTACCAATCGTGTCAACAGTTGATGCATCACAAAAGCAACGACCCTCCCCGCCTAGACCCCTTCGCGCCCCCCTCCAATGCGTTGTCCAAACCCGGTAGCCAGTCGTCCGGCTCGCAAGCTCCCCGGCTAGTCTACCTGTCGACTTGCTTACAGCAACTTCCCTGCCTCTACCGGCTTCCCCAACGCACATACAGTGCAACAATGGACCCGTTCAGCCCCGGTCGCGTACAGTAGTACGTACGCGCCTCATCGGATATACATACATAGTTATCCCATGGGAGCGCTCCGGAGGATAGACTAATGCACTCACATACATTAGCTCGGCCCGTCATGGCACGGATCTCAGCAGAGACCGGGATGGCCCTGCGTGCGGCGATGCAAGATCACCTCATGTATCGGATTCCAGTCTCCATGGTGTGGACCATTGCCACTTCGGTTCTGGCCGGCCCAGCCTAGTTCGCTGCGGGCACGACGTCCTCTGCCTTTCTCTTTGTCTGGTCCCCTTGTGCGGAATATTGACAACAAACCAAGGCACGGCTATCGCCGCCAGCAAGGCTCCAGCAACTCGTGCCAGTGTTTCAGAATCCCCAAGGGAGCGGCCTTCTCCCGGGATTCCATCGTTCCATCCGGCGTACGCCGTCCCCATCGTCCTGCAATGAATGACCCATCGTCGTCTATTTCTGCGCCCGGTCGATTCCAGGTATAGCCACCACCTTGCCTTCGCCTCGACTTTCGCCTCGACCTTACGACGGAAGGGACTCACAGGTAGGCAGCTGACCCGGCCATCCAAATGGTGCTGTCTATTGTCGATGTTATTGTCGTCGCCACTGGAAGCGTTCCAGGCCCTCAGCCGTAGCACCTCGACAGCGGGCTTCGCATACAGCCGAAGGAGGGTCGTAGATCTCCAAAGGCAATTCCTCAGGCTATGCTATTCTTGTCGGGCCTAGCCCTAAGCCGGCAAACCTGAGGCATCCCGCAGATGCAAGGCATCGACTATCCGTTTATCTATCATATTAGCCCCGTCATCCTCCCCATCCTCCTGCTCCAAGCCTCCATGGTGGGCTTGCCCGCACGAATAGGTCAACTTTTCCCTCATTCCTGGTAAGTGGTGACCCTTTCATTTGGGGTCTAGATACTCCGTACGTCCGTCGTACTCTATTGATCCTCACCCACTCCTCCGCACGGACATGCCTCTTTTCCTCCGGCGCGATACCCCCCACCTGAAACAAAGGTACCTGCCTGACTGTGTACGACGACGGCATCCCCATAATCGTATTTAGAGTTCATCAGCCCACCACTCGTCCGACCTCGATCTACATCACTCGTTCCTCGCCTTGGCCGTTCCCAGTACCACCACGTCCGTTCGCAAGCCAGACCCCAAAAGGGCATGGCAACAACGATCCGAAAGCAGTATCCCGATATCAGACTCGAACATGACAATTAGTTAGTTGATTAGGTAGTTAGTCTGCCTCGGTTCACTTTTAGACCGATCACCACGATGGGTGATCATATTAGTGCTGGTGGCCCACGCACCCACCCATCAAGCTAGGAAAATTCATCCGGCCACTACGAGCTAGGGTAGGTTCTAGAACTGCTGCTACTCTGAGGTTATATTCGGCTTTAACTGATAGAGCGCTAACAGATTGTAAATAGTAGATAGATAGAACTCGTGAAGAAGTATCGTTGTGCGGTGTGGGTAGGTAGGTTGTAAGTGGTATAGAGAGTTTTTATGTATCTATCGGCAATCTATTTAACTCTGGCTCTAGTATAGAATTTGAGCAAGCAGGGAAGAGAGGGATACCTTGCTTGACAACAATAACCAAACAATAGACAAACGTTCCCTTATGACTATTGACTATTGTGTAGTACGACTTACAATGCATATAACATAAACCATCCCTGCTTGACATAATCGAAAATCGAAACATCAACGGCCTAAGCTGTCAATCAAAAGTACGGAATACTAGATATACACACAACCCCCCTCTTACTACCTAAATATAAAGATCATAGCGACACACATACACACAGTCAGAGAGTATGAAAGCACGAAGCCCTCCTCCCTCCAAATAAACAATAAACAATAAACACCCAACCACCAAATACTTAACCAAAACCTATCCTCAAAAAATGACACATCAATTATGTACTTCTGTACTTATGTACCTAACCCACCTAAATCCAATCCATTGTACTCCATACGGCGTACCTTCCCTTAGTATCCCTTAGTCCTCCGTCCTATCCTCCTAAAGACCACCTAACTATTATTAAGTACTACATACTAATACTTATACTGATGCCTATCTGGGTAGTATAGCTCCTAGCTCCTAGCTCCTAGCTACACCTAAAACACAAATAGACACCTTCCCTCTCAACCCCCCCTCCCCTCCATCATCCCTACACAATACACAACACCCAAACACCAATACTCAACTTCTCCCCAAACCCGAATATCCCTACAAAGCACCCATCCAACGTACAAAGTACACCCTCCCAAACGCATTACCAAATCCGTCCACCCGCGTACCCAGAAAAGTCGAGACCAAAGTCAATGATCCACAACCCACAGCCCACTGCACTGGCACAGTCCGGTCCGGGATGGGATGCAGCTACCCACCCAGCTACCCACCCCCTACACCAAAACGGGATTGTCCTTCACGATCCCTCAGATTAAGGACACTCGATCGGGAAGACGAACAGACACTTGATGCCGAATGGACCTACCCGAAGAGGTAAGGAAGGACGGACGGTGGGTGGTGTCCCGGGCCTCTCGCCATCTATCTACGAGGAAGAGAACACGCGAGGTATCGTGCGGTCTGGGGCCGCTTCGGAGCTGTCGTAGTCCGTCTGGGTCTCCCTCGTCCCCAGCCAGGAGTGCATGATGGATGGATGCACCTGGGGCTGGTCATCTGGGCCGACTTTAACTTTCCGTCGCCACGGTCTGCGACCAAGATATCCCGCACGAGATGATGGCGCCCGCTGCTACGACGAAACTACTGCTAGTGTGGGTAATAAACACTAGATACCCAAGACCGCTCATTCCCAGATCAGAGAAGAGTAAGTTATAGACGACGAATCATAATAGAAGAGAACAACATACTGTCATGTAGCAACGGCACACGTAAACTGCAAAGGAACGTCTATCAACTAACCATGCGACAGCTCACCGGCCGCGCGAGGGCAGGGGCTTGACCGCCGCCCAGCCACCCCAAGTCGCCAGGTGGCCCGTCCCCACGGCGGTCCCGTACCCAGTACATTTACCCGCCAACCCACCGTCGACCAGACAAGCTCAACACAAAGCAGAAAAAGCAACAACAATTCATCGCCCGGTGCGCAGGTGGCTCAAACAACCGATATTCAATTATTATCATAAGAACAGCACAATACTGGAATTGGGATTAAGGAACCAATTGCTGATTAGGCAACTTTACACGACCATGTTAACGGTTCAAAAAAGCGTACACACAAATGCTTGGTATCAAAGGTCCTTTACAGAGCGAACACGGCACCGATGATGGCAGCCAGGCCAAGAGCGGGCAGGTTGGCCACGTTCATGACCGAGGCGCTGTCGCTGGAGGTAGCCGAGGAGGTACCGCTGCTGGTGGTCGAGGTGGTGGTGCCGGAGGAGCCATCGCTGGTGGTGGGGTCGGTGGTGCTGGCCTTGCAAGTGTAGGTACCGCGGATGACCTTGTTCTCACGCAGGGTCTTGAAGGCGCTGCAGCTGAAGTTACCGGTACTCTGCATGTTGAATCCACCCTTGACCTCAGTCAGAGCAGACAGGGTAACACTGCACACATGGGTTAGCAAGATCTTCGTCAAAACAGCCACAAGGAAACTTACGAGTCGAAGTCACCGCTGAAGTCAATGGCACCAGTGACCTCCTCAAGGTCGGGGAAGTCGATGGACTTAAGCTTGTCGTTGCGGGCAATCTGGAAACCACCGTTGACGGTCTTCAGGACAGGCATGCTGATGTTGGCGAGCTTGGTGTTGTCGTCGAAGACCAAGTCAGCAGTGCTGGTGAGGTTGGGGGCGCTGAAGTTGTTGAAGGTGTTGCCCCAGAAGCCGAGCTGACCGCTCAGGGTCTCGAGGGAGGGGAGAGAGACACCGCTGACGTTACGGATGGTCATGTTGGTACCAGTGCCCAGGTTGGGGAGGATGATCTCCAGAGAGTCCATGTTACCAGCGAAGTTGATCAGACCAGTGGCGTTGGTGAGCTCGTTGACGTTGACAGTCTTCAGGTTGGTGTTCTCGGTGATATCGAAAGCACCGACGGTGGTGAGGGAGATACCGTCCAAGCTGGTGAGACCAGTGTTGGTGATCTCGACGCTGCCGGCCTGGGAAACACCCTTGGTGAAGTCAAGGGCCTGGAGCTCGGGCAGAGCGGACCAGGAGATGGAGCCAACGCTGGTAAGGTTGGTGAAGCTGAGGGTGGTGAGGGTGGTGAGGCCGTCCAGCTTGAAGGTCTCGCCAATGGAGGACAGGGAGGACGAGCTGAGCGAAGTGATGTTGCTACCGTCGGTGCAGCTCAGGCTACCAGTGATGGAGTAGACACCGCTGAGAGTCAGATCACCGGAGGCGTGCTCGCTGATCTCGACGTCACCCTTAAGGGTCGTGCAGGTGGCATAGGAGTCGAGGTCACTCTGGCTGCTGATGGTGATGGTGCTGTCAGTGGAGCCACAGCCTATATTATCGATCAGATTCTGCGATTCATTCAGTCAATCCTTGGCGGTACTCACTGGCAGCCATGGCGGCATGGGCCGCAGCAACCACGGGGAGGGCGTATTTGACGAAGGCCATTGTTTAGGATAACGGGAGACTGTATGATCGAGAGTTGTCAGTCATCACCGTTCGTCTGTTGAATCCTCCCAGTCCAGCGCAACCGCAATGCAACGAATCCAGTCCGGCGGGTGAGCAAACCCATGCAACGAGTCGACTTACCAATGACGGCTGAGGATTAAGTATGCAGACTGGGGCAAGGCAAGGCCCTTTGTTGACACGGATGGCAGCGTAAAAGCTGAAGGGGGCTTGTGAGACAATAAATAAGCGAGCGAGTGAAAGAAGGGAGCTTCAACGAAAGAGAAGCTGTTGTTAGCGAAGACCCTCAGCGAGAGAAAGTGCGCGGATTAGGCAGGCACGATTTGCACGGGGAGAAAGAAGAAGGGAAGGACAGAGGAAAGAGGAAAGGGAAGGAAGGACTGGATGGGATGGCTGGAAAAGAAATCTTCAAGAAAGTGGGAAGACTTTCAGGGAGGACAACCAAGGCAAGAAAGGAGTCGCGGCCCCGAGGCTGGTGGACCTGAGACCGGGGGGTTCTCCTTGCTACGTTACCGGACGTCCGTATGGACGCTGCCCGTACCGTAAATTAACTGCGCGGCCCATTGGCCACGGTAACGGGCAGCGGAAAAAGAATCGACCAACGCCCACCCAGTGGAATCCTGATCTTGGACCCGGAAACGAGTCCGTTCCTCCTAGTCGCCTCCATCCTGTAACACCTCGCCAATGGCCAAGCTCCCAGGCGCTCGCTGATTCGCTCGCCCCTCCCTTTCCCCCCTCCCCCTTCTTCCCCATCGCCGCTGGTTGTCTCGATCCTCGAGCCGACGCCGCTTGGATCGGACTCAAAGCAGGCAACTTCACTGGTATTATTGATTGTCTCCCAAGGCATGGCCCCGTTTTCATTGTGATGGCGAGGGGACAGACGTCATGACTGGTCTGACCTGGGAGCAACTCTAGTACTTACATACGTATACACTACGGAGTATACATTACACTATACATTCACATCGCCCCCAACATCTGCATCATAATGCTGAAACAGTCCGAATTGTGCAAGTCCGCAACCTAGGAGACCCAACTGCAACTGACAGATGACTTCTCTGATGAAATGCGACTCGATACATCACGAACATTCGTTGTGGCAGGTAACAATACTGACAAATTTAGCATCCTGCCGCTAGGAGGGGCCAGACCCCAATCGCACATTGTTAGGGAGGTCCTGACTAATATTAGCAGCCTATACCAGCAGACAATATACATGTATCTCATTAACTGCCACGGATCTATCTATGCCTCTGGACCATCCCTTCACTCCTCCTTCCGCCAGAGCCATCCCTTTCCCTCTGAGCAGCCAGCAACCAAGCCGTCTTCCCTTTCATCCCCAGCACTGATGGTGACACCACGGTGCTTGTGAGAATGCTAATATTGATACTACTAGTTATCGACCACGCCTATTGAGTCAGTTGCTGCGTAGTGGTCGATCTGAATTTATTGGAATCTGAAGGGACCCGCTTTCTTCCCACTGAGGACTCGACTTGGGACCTGGAAAAGGCTTCGCCTGCCTTACGTTGGTATGCAGCGCCCTGTTCGCGGGTGTTGGAATTCGGTCGCCTGGTGCCTTAGACTTCGCCGCCTGACACGTATGTTCATGGCAAGTGGAAGACGATGTTGAAGAAAAAAGAGTTCCACGATCATTTTTCGGCACTACTGTGACCCGTTTGCGACCCATTCTTGCGATGTCCATGTTGTTCTTGACTTCCAAGGTGAATGCGCTGGGCCTCATGCCTGAAAACTCAATTCTCTTCTTGGCTTCAGGTACCGGTGGATACCGAGTAATAACAAACAATCCTCTCAGGAAGCTAATAATAAAGTGGCGACATCCGTGGCTCTGAGAGGGGACATCACGTGTTACATACAGTTGTACGTAACACGGCTGTATCTCCCAGACCTACTCTAGCGGCCCCCACTTGGCCTGGTCACAAAGTACTCCGAGACCTGGTTCGGTAATTCCTAGTCGGCGTAACTTACTTACCATACACGATCGAAATTGGCCGGCTGGATAGGACGATAAACAGCAGAGCCCGAGCTGCCTGGCCATAGGCGCATTACTCTCTGCTAATCCAGCCGTAGTGGCGATTACTCGAAACATCCATGATATGACACGATCACAGGTCTATCGCGCTGGCTTGACGGCAAACAATCCAGCGCATCGGCAAGTCAGACTGGACGGTTGCAGAGGCCAAGTTTCTCTGCGCTGTCCGGAGTAAGGGAGGGCGTCATTATTATTCTCGCCCGTCACAAAAAGGAATAAGCGTGATAGGCCTGCGAGGAGATCCCGCGCGCAAGATCAAGCCTGCCCATGCGATCGCCGTGGTCGCTGCCACTATTGCTTGTTCTTGCTCGATCCGTTTAGAGTTCTTCAGCTATCAGACCCATCGCAGCTCCACCGCTATCCGTCGCAATATTAGGATTTCCCTTGGAGATAATCTCCTCCTTTAAGTGGCGCGACTCGCCCTTGCGACGCCCGCGAATCCTGACTGATGGTTATTTACGGTGCTCCTATCCGGCGTTCACGATGGTTGTTCTCAGATGCTACCGTCTGAGCCTCGGCTTGATGTGATGAGCAGCGCACCTCTTCATTGCCGATGTTTCAAGCCGCGACACTCCGTAACAAAGGGCATGTACTATGTACTGTGTAGGAGATAATCTTACCACCGAGCACGTTCTTCCCACGCCACTAGACGCGGGTGGCTGGAACAGGCTAGCCCAATCATGCCTGCTTATTGATAAGGATGGATGAGGTCGCCGAGTCTGACGCATCCAATATGACAACGGGATGATGTCGAGGGGCTGGTAGAAGGACACCAGGGATCTCGAGGTCCGCTGTAGATCATCCAGCACTGATGGACCGAGATCCGGATATGGGGATTGGGGAATGAGCCACAGTAATGCCACCGTAGGATCCTTTGTCCCGTCATATGAACCATAATCTATTCCCATACCCCTGTCATGTCTGGAACGCCCGAGAAACTGATTTGGCAACTAGCATAGACAACTCATCCAGCCATCACCATAGTAACATATCCAACCCGGACCCCCTTTTATTGGTCACCCTATGAACTCCGAAGTCGTTCACGGTCATGAGAAGCGGGGCACGCAACGTATGCCCTCACCCTTTGCAGGCGAAGCTTTTCTCGGGACCAGATACTCAGCAGAGCTCGATGCTTGTTTGTATACCGCCACGGGGTATACTACCTATTCCGGGAAATTCCAGATGATTCCCGATGGGCTTTCGCCCTCGCAATCAACCGACGGCTGTCGTTTCGCCCCTTACGGGGTAGATTGGCATCGCTTATTCACTTTACCTGAGGACTAGACTAGCTACAACGGATGAACCTATCAAGCCATGGAACCGACGTACTATACCTTAGTCAGTCTCTGCTAGTCACGACCACGCACCTCACTATCTACTATCAGAGGTAGGACAGCGTTCTCCGTAGTGGCTGGGCCATGGACGCGGTGGATGCACAACGGCTTTGGCCTGGATCGGTTTTGCAGATGACGCAAGCTTCCACTGCCGTACGACTGCATACGGTGTGCTTGTCTGACTTTAGCTTCTTCCCCGTCCGCCACTCAGTTGGCGATTTCGGTGACATTCCGCATCTTATCTTGGCCAACGCAATGTGTTTTTCAGGTCAAATACAGACGACTGCGAACGTCGGATTGATGCCTACAGAGATAGCAGATGACCTGTGAAACATGACCAATCGGACTGTTTCCTTTCAGATAAAAACTCGCAACGTTTGGTTAGAATTCTGATCGTGATAGAAGCTTTTGGTCTAATTTTTCGCGATGGTTGATGCCTAGGCAGCCTGCGATCCGTAATCCATTTTGCCCCGAGACTTTCCCATTTGTCGGGTAAATCTTCCATCAGGGTTATCGTTCCAGAAATTCACCCGAGAATTTGCAAAGGGTCTACATAATTTAAGGTGGATAGGAGAAGTCACGGGGACCTCATGAACTTGAAGACAACGGTGATATATTTTTAGCTAGGGAATGGACAACGCAGCACAGTCGCTGCCACCCAGTCAGAGTGAACGACGGAGTAATCCGCCAAATCAAAAACCTTTGGACCATCTATCTACCTAGCATCTGGACTCATGATGAGCTTGGCCTGCATCTCACAAACCAAGATTCTCGATTTGCATACTGTGTATTCGGGTTCCAATAGCCCGTGGTCGTGCAAGCTGAGGTTGCTCAACATACGCGGGTTCAAGCACCAAATGTCATATGACATCAGTAAACTCAACTGAAACATGGGTGTTTTGCATCTCCCAAATGCGGGGGATGAGATTTACCATGCAATGGAAATCAGAACAAGAGCGGTATAGAGCTAACTACAAACCAGGACTGTTGAGTGCCGGTCTGAACTCGAGCTGCTCGTGACTTCCCGAGCTTATGTACTCCGTCTCATGTCTCAGCGACAGCTACCCACGACCATCTAGATGTACTAACATTCCCCTCCATAAATCCAGCTCAACAACTACATCCTCAATTGGAAGTCCATTGTTCTCCTAAGACCACTCTATGATGACTCTCCGACGCTCCGCTCGTCTGAGCGCCGTGTCTAACCCCCCCATCCCAGTCCTGCAACCAGCTATCCAAACAAAGCGAGCGAACAGGACCGCAAGCACCAACGGGGTCTCCAAAGCACGAAAGCCTGCAGCAAGGGGTAAAAAAGCGCTGAACCTAAATCCGAATCCCAATTTAGAACCCAATCTCCTCACAGACACCACCAAGACACCACCACCAAGCTCAAGGAGCACTAACATCTGGGACCCCTCTCCCACTGATCATAGCATTAGCAGACGACATTCCACCCCTCCCCCGCTTGACCGACCAGTCGAACCGCACCGGACAAATGCAACGCTCCTCACCCCCCATGGCTCATCGCTGGTTGCATACCCGCCCGGCACGGAGGACGCATCACCCAGCAAGACAGGCCGACCCCGTCCAACAGCCACAACCGGCACATTGCTCGAACAAGCCATTGCGCACCTGATCGCCACCGACCCGCGACTCGACCCCGTCATCAAACAACATCCCTGTCCGCTGTTCACCCCCGAGGGTCTAGCCGAGGAAATCGATCCGTTTCGAAGCCTCGTCAGCAGTATCATCGGACAACAGGTATCCGGCGCAGCAGCCAAATCAATACGGGATAAATTCGTGGCGCTATTTCATACCAACAGCGATGATGAAGCGAGACAGAAGTTCCCTACACCGGAAGAAATCATCAAAATGGACCTCCCTACGCTCCGAACAGCTGGTCTGTCCCAGCGAAAAGCAGAATACATACACGGGCTATCTGAAAAATTCGCGAGTGGTGAATTGAGTGCCCGAATGCTGTTAAATGCTAGCGACGAGGAGCTCGTCGAGAAATTAACCGCCGTACGAGGCTTAGGCAAATGGTCCGTGGAGATGTTTGCCTGTTTTGCCTTGAAGCGTATAGATGTGTTTTCGACGGGTGATTTGGGGGTACAGTACGTTGAGAACAACCTGTTTAAAATGAACTGGATAGCTGCTGACTGCTTGTTGCAGGAGAGGTTGCGCAGTATTCGTGGGCAAGGACGTAAGCAAATTGAAGGGCAAGGGCGGCGGTAAGTTCAAGTATATGCCTGAGAAAGATATGCTAGAGCTGGCTGCGAAGTTTGCGCCGTATAGGTATGTGCATTGATACTTGTGCAGCTCGGATTCTGATGTCAGTAGGAGCTTGTTCATGTGGTATATGTGGCGAGTGACGGATGTTAATATTGCTGTGATGACTGCTTGAAGGGTGTAGACTGGATGTTCAGGTAGATCATTGGACTTTTGGATAGTATGTAGACTCTGCGATGACAGGGATATCTTGATTTTTCCACTGGGATGTAACATGAGCATTCATATGCTGATACTCACACGTGTAATCCTACTATACTCCACCTTAACCAAAGCGCGATCATGACCTACCTCCCGGAACAAGATCAAGCTACATCACCAACGACCTACGACCCCAAGAACAGCATAACGGACAACAACAACGATGAGTGAATTTGTACAGTATCCGTACACAGCTTAAGCCCCAAACCAAATCCCTTCTTCATTCATTCAATTAACGAAAAGCTCTCTCTCTCTCTCTCTCTCTCTTTCTCCCCGCCGAGCCGGACAGCAAGTGTGAATCTTAACCCCGCGCCCGTCTATAAAACCCCAGCGGCAATTCATTTTTGTTGTATCCCAGAACAACAATCGAATCTAGTTCAATGGATAGAATGGAGATGGAGATGAGAGACATTTACCGTCTGACGACGAGGGCGTCGAGGTCCTCGCGCTCCTTGTTCTCCTTTTCGATCTCGCGGATGATGGGGCTCAGGTATTCGACATCCTGTTTACCATTATTATTAGCATTGAGTGTGACATAGTGCTTGTAAGGCATATAGAGGAGATAAGTCCATCCAGTCCAAGCACCAACAAGCATCAAAGATGGGGACCCAGGTGGGTTACAAATCCCGCTCACGGGATTGGCCGATGCTTATTGCGGAGAAACTGGAACTGAACGGGCCATGAATTGTCAAGGGATGAAGTCGACTCACCTCGGAGGGCTTGGTCTGCTCAGCAGGGGGGAGGAGAGTGTGGGAGATGGAGCACTAAACGCGCGGTTGAGTTAGATGGTCCCTTGAGGTTTGTAAGTAGCTGTTTCGTGGGATTGGACGAACCTGGAATGCTCTGCGGATACGGAAGATACGGTCGTAGGCCTCCTTGGGAGGGAGACGCTTGAGAGCCTTCTGGACGACGTCGTTCTCCTCGGGGATCAGGTCATCAGCCCTGGTCAGTGTTAGTTGGATTGCTGGAGGTCGGTAGGTTGGAGGTATAAAGGGCTGATCCCGGACCAGCGGCGACCGATGTGATTTGGATGTAGGCATTGTTCCCGCAATTGAGGTAATCCAGATCATCCATGGTCTATGGTCGCTATGATCCGGCCCCAGAGAATGCTCACCTCAAGCCGAGTCTCCTGTAGCCGGAGGCATCGGTGTACCACTGGGCAATGGGCATCATCCAGCGCTTGAGCCATGGGCGCTTGACGATGTAGTTGGCGAGGGAGGGAGCGGACATGATGATTGATCCCGACGGTGGATGTGTTGGGGTCCAATTGACGGGGTGGTGTGGAGGGGAGGATCGCGAAATGTCAGTTCGAGCTGAGTAGGAGATGGCCCGACGTTGGAGATTGTGCAAAACGGAGGTTCGGCGGGTGACTTTCCCAAAAACATCCGATGTGGAGCCTGAGGCAGAGGTTTGATTCCGACACCAGGCGGTCGGTCCACGTGACGGCTATCTTACACCATGGCTGCCTCAGGCTGACCACCGCTTGGAGGCGGACAAACCGAGTGGACTCACTAAGACTCGACTCCACTCCACCGGACTGACTGGAAGACGACTAAGACCAACCTCCAATTCAATTCATCCCGTCCTCATCATTGCTCCGTCCTGTTCCGTCCGTCCTGATCATCCACGCCGGCGCGCTCCCATCTGCTCGGACTTCACGCCGGGGGTTCTTCGCCAAACTATACGTCTTCGGTTCGTTACTGGCTGGGCCTGCCGGTTATTACCTAGCCGTTGAACATTTTTCCCAGATCGTTTCCTTTCACTCCGATAGGGGAGCAGTGTTGCTCCTACAAACCCCGCCCTCGTCTGTGCTTCAGATAGGGCAACCTTATTACGCAACCTGGTCGAGAGATCTCTTCAATCCACTGTGTCGGGGTAGTTTTCTTTTCAACCAGTGCTGCCAACGACGTCACGCTCTCCCCTCCTCACCACGATTGGATCACGGTTCTTCTGGGTTCCGGAGCGAGCACCGATATGCTCGGATCCGGGAACCCTCGGTGATATAGTAGACGGATAGCTTACTGCTTGGGCGCTGGCTGGCAAGATGTTTTCTGAAGGGCATGGCTCTTCGGGGACGGCCGACGGCTCCCAAGAGCAGGGCACCACTTCGGACAGCCCGCCATCGTCTACCCTCCGTGTATCGGCCGAGTCTTCGTTCACCCCGACGTTTCGCGATCGCTTTGAGATGCTTTCTACGCGCGTGCCGGACTTCTACATCACTCCGTTTTGCGGCGCCAGTGCGGGTGTTGCGTCGGGGATTGTGACCTGCCCGCTCGATGTGATCAAGACCAAGTTGCAGGCGCAGGGCGGGTTCGCACGGCGACGGGGCAAGGCGGTTGAAGCCAAGACATTATACCGAGGCATGTTAGGGACTGGAAGAGTGATCTGGCGCGAGGATGGTATTCGCGGCCTTTATCAAGGGCTGGGCCCCATGCTCCTGGGATATCTGCCGACGTGGGCGGTCTATCTGGCCGTCTACGACCGATCTCGGGAGTATTTTTACGAAACGACTGGTGAGCTTGATGGTCTGGGATGTATGATGGTGGTGCTGACGTTGAACAGATAGCTGGTGGCTTTCGAGAGGTTACGCTTCGATAACGGCAGGCGCTTGCTCGACACTAGTGACGAATCCGATCTGGGTGATCAAAACACGACTCATGTCTCAAAGTCTCCGGGCGAGCAGCGAAGGCTACCGGGCTCCCTGGCAATACAACAGCACGTGGGATGCGGCTCGCAAAATGTACAAAAGCGAGGGCATCCGTTCGTTCTATTCCGGCCTCACACCAGCGCTGCTGGGGCTGGCGCATGTCGCCATCCAATTCCCGCTTTACGAATACTTGAAGATGGCATTTACGGGATATGGAATTGGCGAACATCCCGATACTGGCAGCTCGCACTGGATGGGTATCACGTCTGCGACATTCCTGAGCAAGATCTGTGCCAGCACTGTGACATACCCACATGAAGTGCTCCGCACACGGCTCCAGACACAGCAGAGGATATCACCGGCGTCGTCACCGGAAGAGATCTCGTTCCGCGGCGGGATTGACCATCCTCAGGACTGTGGCAGGCCTCCGGGTGCGGCCTCGTCGGATGGGATGCCCAACCGACCCCGGTACACGGGGATTATTCGCACATGCCAGACCATTCTGAAAGAGGAAGGCTGGCGTGCGTTCTACTCTGGGATCGGCACGAACCTGTTCCGGGCTGTCCCGGCTGCGATGACCACCATGCTGACCTATGAGTATCTGAAGAAGACCATAGGCCACATACAGCATGAGGGGGAGATGAAGCTGCAGATGCTGGAGGGTAAAGCGGAGGGTGGGATCTAATATTAGACGAGTGTCCTTACCGCGTTTCGAGCAGCGGCGTCATGTTTATGCTGGGCTGTCTCGCACCTCGTACCAGCGCTTTCTTTGTTTCTAGTCGTACATCGCGAGGATACACTATCATAGAGGACATTCATTACCTGTGCTGCCGATGCAGCCTGCACATTGTTCAGACATCCTCGGCACGGCGCCCGGTGCGGAGCTAGGATAGACCGACGATGCTCTGACATGTGAAGTTGCAGTTATGTCCTGTGATTCCTTGGTGGCTTAATTCTGAGCGTTCTTGTTTTCTTCGATAAACACGCAATTGCAATTGTAAATACAGTCTCTTCCCTCTGACACCTCTTTCCATCATACGAAGTAGAATAGACCGTAATCCGATTAAAAATCTCACCTAGCCAACCCATGAATGGGCCCTGCAGACATACATGCAGATGCATCCATCTCATCTTCCCCTCTTCCCGCGGCCATCCCATGACATCACCGGGAAAGTCACGTGAGCCACCCACACACTAAAACCGCGGCGAAATTCTCTGCTGGTTGTTTTCCACTCACCACCCCTGCCGGTCCTGGCTATATGAGGCCATATTAACTGGCAGTTGGTGTCATCCGCTCGATGATGTGTGATGCACATGCTTACGCCTACGATGTACCTTTCACCTGGTACTGTTTGCTTATTCTCGCGAAGAGCTGAAAAGCTTGTTTTGGTTTATCAGAGAAGGGGGAGGGGGAGTGACTATCATTTGATTCCATTTATATGATGAATAATTTTTAATGGTAGATCCGGTTTTCAAACATGGATATGATCATTGATACACTGAAAATTCTGATAATGGATTGATTGATATGGTTGTTTGGTTTTGGCTGTCTTCGATAGTTTGGTTGCTAGTTTAGTGTGGTTGAGTGGAATCATTCGGCAAAGTTTGAAGATATTTCGAACGTCCAGCGATCATTGTAGTTGTACAATACACCCTTCAAACACAATCAATTAGACCCCTTCTCCCTCTCCAGTGCTTGCTGCACCCATGAAGACTGCGTCTTTGTCCTCTTCGGCCGGGGCGTGGTGGTGGTACTTGAAGCGGATTGTGCCTCACGACGAGCGGTATGAATCGAGCTGATGCAGTAGGATCCCAGGAGCAGTGCCATGGTGAAGGCAGCTATAGGGGCATTTAAGGACTGTCCATGGCTCAGGTTAATATGAGTATTGTAACACTACGAATAATCATGCTGCTTCTTGAGAAATCTATACTGTCATGACAACTACACATCTCAAGAAAGAAAAGACTCACCCCCGATGATCGGCCTAGAGTCTTTCCGGCCATCCTTGATTCTCTTGTACCGGGAAACCCGTGCATTTGTTGTTGGCTAGAAGAGCAGCTCGACCACCGCAGTCCGTATACTAGTCCGTAAGCCCCGGGCCGGGATAATCCGAGGATTATCAGATGGAGGGCGACCCGATAAGCCCATCCTTACGATACACCCGCCGCGGTTCTTCGTACGGCTTGGTAATCGCGCCTGCAGAAGTTCCCGTTGGCCGAACTGCCGGGCTCCAGCACGCGGACCCAGAATCCTGACCCTGACAACCACCAGATAACAGCCAGCTCAGGAAGAACTTGAGAACGTGTTCGGACATCAATCAATCAGAGCTCTCCCCTTCTCCAGTCTCCCGACGAATAACCGCCCTACGCACATACCCACCGGTTCGCCAACGTCATACCGTATCTCCGAGGCCGGTCTCCGCGGAGGCGACGGGGTTTCTGGAAATTGCCTAGCGCCGGTGAATAAGACGGCCTAGTCGAGCCCCCCCCAAGAAACCATAATTAATCAATCGCAACTATCAATCTTTCATCACATCACTTCTCTTCTTCCCCCACGCCGTCACCATCTTCATCCCAATACTCAAATACTTGTTTCTTTAATCATTAAATCTACTCTCCTCACTCACACACACCATGTTCCGTCGTCTTGCTACCGTTGTTCCTCGCTCGGGTGTGCTCGCGCCTCGCAGCATCACCCCGGCCGTCTCCGGCATCCAGCAGACCGTGAGAGCGACTGCTGCTCCCCAGCAGCGCAGAGGATACCATGAGAAAGATATGTTCCTGTGATTCTTTAAACCAAATAAGGAAAATACTGACTTTCCATGAACTGTTGGACCACTACTCCAACCCCCGTAGGTACCTCCATACATTTATCCCTCGACAGCCCCGACATCATATCCATCCCAAACCACGCAGCGCACCCATCCCCACCCAGCACACACAACAATACTGACGAAAATAACAGGTAACGTCGGCTCCATGGCCAAGTCCATCGACGTTGGTACCGGTCTCGTCGGCGCCCCGGCCTGCGGCGATGTCATGAAGCTCCAGATCCGCGTGGACAAGGACACCAACAAGATCAGCGACGTCAAGTTCAAGACTTTCGGCTGCGGCAGTGCCATCGCTAGCTCGAGTTATTTGACTGAGTTGGTCCGTGGAATGACCCTTGATGAGGCCGCCAAGATCCGTAACACCGATATTGCCAAGGAATTGTGCTTGCCTCCTGTTAAGCGTATGTCACCTGCTTTTCACTATATTGGGAATGGGAAACAAGACTGGAATAGAGGTAGAAATGTTGTGAGATGGAATATACTGACAGATTATATAGTCCACTGCTCCATGCTCGCCGAAGACGCCATCAAGTCCGCCATCTCGGATTACTACACCAAGAACCCCCGCGCCCAGAAGACCGATCTGTCGGGTACGGGCGCCTCGATCCCTCAGGTGCAGGTGGAGATGGAGCAGACTAGCAGTGCTACTGCCTAGATCTCCCACCTCCTACCAGATACCACTTCTAGCTTGAAAATTGAAAAATTCAAACCGATGAAAAAAAGGATGCAAAAGTCGAAGACTCGGATACGGATACGGATACAGATACCATGATTCCCGCGATTGATTGATTGATTGATTGAATACCGGAGGATGCAGAATGATATACTGCAGTGAGTGCAGTGGGATGAATGAGCGTGATAAAATGGACGGACGGATGGATGGATTCCCACAAATAGGTTCCTGACAGGACTCGGAATTTTCTTACTTTTCTTTTGTTCTCAATAATGATGTATAGCATTTCACTTACTCCAATTTCTGCTCTTTTTTTCCTCCTCAGCAAAGCAATACAAGACAAGCACTAAGTGTAATGGTTACCCCCTGATCGATTAAATATACACAATCCAACAGGACTTAAATGAGAATACTCTCTACTTAATACATATACCACTAGTATTTCCATTCACCCAATAAAACAATCCTAATTTAATAGATATACACACTACCAAGAACACGGAATAGAAAAGTGTTATCTGATTCGCCACTTCATTGACATCATGCCACCCCCCCTCCCCATGTCATGCCATATACTCGTATGACATAAGAAATTCATTTTAATCTGATAAGCAAACTAACCAACGATACGGGAGTAAATGTCTGCATGGGGTTTCTCTCAAGGTACTTACCTACCTAGGGACCTGTAAGGCTGAGATTGACTAGTGAATTAAGATTAAGATTATTCCTAGCTTGATCTTCTTACCTTGCAGGGTCTAGTTGCGTAGATAAATTCTCATGTGCAGGTTTTCTCGCAAGGTACTTACCTATTACCTGGTTTGTTCTGTTTATGTTTACGTTTTAACTTGCCTCCTGTTAATGTGCTTAGCTATTTAGATACCTGGGTAGTAGTATAGGTAGTATTCTGGTCGTAATATTGGACAGGCTGTTATGTATGTTTGTATATATGCGTACAAGAATGCAGGAACTCGTCCAGGGAATTCTATATGAATGAATAACTGAAGGTAAGGTAGGTGAATAAGTATACAGCTTCTTTTAAACAAACCACACAACAGAACCAGATCAAGTCTAATCAGGGGTCAACCACAACTTTGCAAAAAGAGAAGGGAAAAAACGCCATGCATAACACCACATGCATGCAGCCATGCCATGCCATGCCCTCTAGTCAAATCAATTACTTATAGAAAATGAGGAAAGGTAAGGAAAGAAAGTGATGAATATACAGAGGTCAATCACACCAACCCAAATCGACTCTTCAGCGCCAAGAGCGTCTCATAAACCGACAACTTCAATTCCACGCGTAGATACCCCGTCCAGGCGCAGAGGAACCGCCAGAAATTCCGCGGCCGGAGGAGTCCGCCAGTCTCGTGAACCGAGTCTATTTGTTCTTCGAAGACGGTGCGGGTGGCGTAGCGGGCGAGGATGAGGAAGGTGCGCATGGGGCCTTGGCGGGTGTGGAGGTTTTCGTCGAGACTGCGGGCTGGTCGTTGTTAGAGATATTGTTTCAGGGAGGAAGGAAAGGGGGGGGACTTACTCAGGTCGTTGGTCTTGAGGATCAATAGGATGATCCGGGGTACTTGGCCCAAGAGCTCAACTAGTTGTTGTAGGAGCCCATCGGCTAGAGAGCCAGACATACTGTCTCGCTCTGCTGATGTCCGGGCTGAGGTAATATCCTTGTTCTTGAGCACCATGTAGTCGCGGCCGGTGATGGCGCTGGCGAAGAGAGGAAACTGTTCGTCTGTGATGCCGGCGACCTTGCGCGCGTACTCGCGCATGCGAGGCAAGTCGGATTCGATCACAGCCAGCCAGAGCTTGGCGTAGTTGCGGCGCAGGTCCTGGGGAATGTCGCGGTACAGACCGTGATCGTAGAGGATGATGTCGAAGTTGTGCCGGCGGCGGGTGGGATTCGGGCGGATGGCAATGTTGCCACCGTGGGGATCGCAGTGCAGGGGCGCGTTGTCACCGAAGATCATCTCGTTGAAAATGTGTGCCAGGGCAGCGGAGACTTCGTCGCGGTCAATGTGGTTCGAGTCGAGGAATTCCAGGTCGTCGGGTCGTCGTCCGGAGATGAACTCCATGACCAGGATACGTTTCTGAGCCCACATCACTGACCAGCGTTAGTATGCACATTCAGACGAACGGAACCCAATTGCAAACCTTCAGGAATAACCAACGGGGCATCCGAGTGCTTCTTAAAGTACTCGCTCGCCCGCGTAGCATTCTCGGCCTCCATCCGGAAATCCAGCTCCTGGGGCAGAGACAGATCCATTTCCCGCGAGAGCCATTCCAGATCGTATTCCGGGAAGAACTGCTTCAGCATCGAAAAGGTAAACCGAGTCAACGCCAGATCCAAGGGCACCCATTCCGCCAGCGCCGGATGCTGCACCTTGACCGCGACCTTTTGACCCGTTTCCTTCAGTGTACCGATATGCACCTGCGCCAAAGAAGCAGCACCAATGGGTTCCGGATCGAAAGAGGAGAACAGCTCGTCGATGCGACGTCCGGTATCGGCCACGAACATTTGCTCAATAGATTCAATCGACGACACGGGGCATTTGTCCTGGAGGGGGATGAAAGTTGTGGTCCATTCCATCGGAAGCAAATAACCCATGCTGCTCAAGTGTTGTCCCAGTTTGATAAAGATCGATCCATTCTTCTCGAGCACCCGTAGAGTCCGTTCCGCGCAGCGTTTGTGACAGGCTCGAATCGCTTCGCTCCGTTCCTCCGGCGTGGAGGTTTCTTGCTTGAGAGTTACCCGGTAGCTAGCCTACATGAGCATTTTGCAATGAGAATAGACAGATTGTGTTGCGGCACTTACTCATTAATGCAAACCGCCAATGTGCCCACCACTCTTCCTGTCCTCGCCGCCGCACGGTAGATATGCTGGACTTGATCCGAGAACACTACCGCTCCGACAACGATTGTACCTCCAATCACAGCATATTTGATGACTCTGCGGCGCGATTGACCCGACCCTGACTGTTTCCTGTCATGTTGTTCTGCTTTGGCCGACTCCAGTAGCGGAGACGTGCGGGTGGCATAGGTGGCCTGGGGTACGGACGGGGCGAAACGGCCGGTGAGGCGCTGCGAGTGTACCGAGGGAGCTGTAGTCGAGCTGGAGATCAATCGACGGCGTAGCAAAGTTGTCGGAGCAGCATGGGCTGCAGAGACAGCCAGAGAAGGCTTCGAGGATCGTATGACCGCCGCGGGATCAAAATTGCAAGCCCGCAGCGGAATGCGGAGCGGCGCCCTCATCCCGAACCAACAACGCCGTCTGGAAGCGACCACAAGTCGAGAGCAGCAGTGGACCGGACGGCGTGATCATCCGTGCCAGCACGAAGCCCTCGAGGACGAATGAATGTAGGGGGAGAACTGGAGGGGGTTGCGGCGGCGAAGTTGGCGGAGTGGCCGCGGCGCATTTTCGTCGCACTTCCTGGCCGGAGCCGATCATCCCCGTTGCCGCCACCTCGATTTTGAGCCCGACACTACAACTACATCTGCCTATGCACGATGGGCAACCCAAGATTCAAATGTATGTTATCACGAATATCTACATGGGCCACTCTTCCGGTACCCGAAACCAGCCTGAGATCCCATCCCATCCCGCTGGTCATCCCAGCGTGGAACCCACAAATGAACGTATACACAGTAAAGCAACAATCCCAATACTCCATCCTATGCAATGCAATTACACGGTACCGATCCTGCTAGCCTTCCCCTATAAGGCCCAATGCTATTATCACCTGGACCAAAGAATGTTCAAGCGCCCCAATCCGCATCAGTATGCGTCGGCCGCCGGCGTTGAGGAAGGATGGACCGTCGACGAGACAGCGAGCTTGATGGCCGGGACTCTTCCTCGGCCAAGAGATCTACTTGGGATAGCCTGTTTGCCACGCCTCGCGACAGCCGGTTTCTCGATGGTCCGGCGCTTCCATTCAGCCCGGCTGACAGAGCAGGCCCCGTCCCATCTCGGCTTCCGGGTCGCAGTGCCAGCGCGGAACTGCTGAGAGAGGGCCGCGGGTGCCGCTGGCTTTCCCGCCCATCGAAGTAAGCCTTCGGTTGACTGAACCGATTGATCTGTGGGGTTGTTGGGGCGGACTGGTTCGCAAGGAAGCCGGGTGGTGTGGTAGAAGTGCTCTTGCGCCTCATGCCGGGTTTGCGTTTCTCGAGGCTGAACGCTTCACTTTTCTCATTGGACTGGATCAATTTGCCAGCCATATCCCGGACCAGGATGGCTGGGTCGTGCTCTAGTTCTCGGATAGCCTCCAGAAGACCGTATTTCGCCAGCAGTCCGCCTTGCTCTTCGCTGGAATCGCAGATGCTCGATATAATACGCAGGAGGTTCAACCGGACCGCAGCCTTGTTATGGTGTAGTTTCTGTCCTATCCTCATGAACAAATCGGGCCGCGCGAACGTCGAGGCAATCGGCGGACTCAGTCTCAGAAGTTTCTGCAGCGGTTCGAGGATGTTTTCAAAGGCATTCGCCTTGGACACTGTCAAGCATCGGACAATGGAATCCGTAAAGGACACCTTGTCGTAGCGGTTGTCCAAGAGGTGTTCCTCGACCTTGGCCGTTTCTTCCTGGAGCCTGCTCAGGGTTAGCACGAGCCGACGCTACAAGACAATAATACATACCAAGTGAAGATAGCGTCCAAAGCGGTCACCTGCCAGTACGGATCCGAGAGCAGAGATATGTAAAAAGCCAAACCCTTGTTGCGCCACAGCTCGCGGCGTCCGACTTTTCCAGAATGCGCCATGTCACAGAGAATTGGCAAAGCAAACTCCTTGAGCGGCCGTTCGGTTTTGACGATCTTCTGAAGAAGCGGCACAATACCGTTCAGAGCCGCGTCCTCTTGGCGAGACTTGTTCAGACGACACATGTTGTAGATGGTGTTCAGGATCTGATTGGAGACCTCGCGGAAGTGTGGCCGCTTGATAGTCGACCTCAGCAAGTCCGTCAGCACATCGATGGCGTTGGAGTTCTGAAGAGAGTCGAGAGTGGTGGAAAGCATCGACAGGTTCTTGATGAACTTCAACATGGTGATCTGGTGCACGGGTGTCATCCTCTTAAGCTCTTTCAAGACCCCTACAGAGACGTTAGCAGCGTATCGGTAAGAATGGAAGTGGTCCGTACTATGCAGCACTGTCCGCTCGGCCACCATCACCTTGACATGATTCTCGGCCTGCGAGAAGATGAAGAAGATGTTCGCAATCCTGCCCTCTACAATCTCAGCCAACTCGCCCTCTTCGTCCAAGACTCGGCTCAAAACGAGTGACAAAGGATCCAAGACAGAGTTGCGAGACAAAATTCTGCAAAAGTCATTCTTGGGCGTCGAACCCTGTAGGTCAAAAACACTCCAGATTCCGTTCACTCCAATAAGAACCAGATCGCGTTCATCTTCGTAGTCATCTTCCAAGAACTCGACCAAAACGTTAAGACCTCCTGCACTGACAAACATCTGCAGTGTCAGGGTGGATGTTTGATACATCTGCTGCACGAAGGCTGCAGCTTCCAATCGTATCTCTCGCGGGTACTTCTTGGCCGCAAACTCGTTAATAATGGGTATACCTCCCACGAAGCAGAGGTTTTCCTGGATCTCGTAGTCATTGAAGATGATGGCGTTGACAATCCGCAACAAGCACAGGACAATGTCCCGGCGACGGCACATATCGAGGATTTCTAGAATAGGTAGCATCCCGTGCGCGCTCATGATGATATTCTTCGTCTCGGGAAGATCGCAAAAGACGGTCAGCAGCTGATCGGAAATTTCCCCAAGCACGTCCTCGTCCTGAGAAGTCTTGAGAGAGCTGACAAGACCCTCAACTTGACCCCGTAGACGAGCATACTTGTCACGCGCAATGTTGGCTTCCAGATCCATCTCATCGAGTCCTTCTTCGAGCTGAGCGAACGGGTCGTCCTCGTCGTCTTGGTCGCCAAGCCACGAGTTGTTCGATAGCTTGGAGTTTAGCATCAGCGTACTCCGATCGGAGCTTTCATCGCTTTCAGACTTGTCGAGGGCAACCTCATCGGCCCCCAGAATATCAGAAAAATCCTCATCGCGTTCGTTCTCCGCGAATTTCTGGATTTCAATAGCTGACCGGTGACGCTTGACAGATATGCGTTTCCGGAGCTGGGGCTGATGATCTTCCTCACGCTCCGGCGATGCTTGATACCGGACTACTTCCTTCGAAGGAGAGGGGGCTGACACATCGCTGTCTTCCTCCTCAATCTCCTGAGACTTGTTAGCAATTACATGAGATATCACTGAGGGTTAAGCTTACTTGGAAAGCACTTAGTTTAGAATCCAAAACATCTTCGTTTGCAGAGATAAGATCGGAGTAATCCTCAACCGAGTTTTCCTTGAAATACGACGTCGGGCGCTGCGGTCTTAATGGTGGCACCGGGGTCTGGAGAATCGGCACATTAGAGTGCATCGCAGCTATTGGAGTCTTTGCCTGGGGTGGCATGTTCTCCCCAGTCGGTTTAGCCGAATAAGGACGGATTGTCCGCAGAGGATCTGATTCACTAGGTTGCTGAGTAAAGGGATCGTCAAAGTCGTCGAAGCCGTCATCTGACCTCAAGACTGTACCATCAAGCGATGCGAAAGCCTTCAACTTTTCCGAGGAAAGCATGCCACCAAAGTTATCCTGCGGTCGAAGGTGAGGCAGCTGTAATGCGCTGGGGGAAATCGCGGTAGCAAAGTCATCATCCCAATTGTCTTCTTCCGTGGAGTCCGGAGAGCGAAATCGATCTGTCACATGCTTGGAGACCGGGCTGGGGAGGATGTCTTTCGTTGGCGTGTACCGAGATGGTGCCATCTCCGGGCGCAAAGGAGCAGTGCCTTGAGCATCATACCTGTACGGTTTCCGTAGGGTTCCAGAGTCGGGAGAACGGAGGGCTTCGTTCCATTCCTGGACACTCTTGACCGCTTCCTCATATTCGGTGGATTTCTTGGGAACCACGGAATCGGACCTGCGAGCATTGACTATCCAGGGGTGTTTAAGGAGCTTCCTCGCGGAGACACGGAGGTTCGGGTCCTTTTGGAAACATTGCATCAAGAAGTCTTTGACAGCCTGGGACCAGTCAGACGCGGAAAATCCAGAGCAAGGGCGAGACTTACCGGAGAAGCACCCTGGGGAAGAGGAGGGTGATCGTCATTGACAATACGGAAGAGAGCCGGCATGGGCTGGAGACTGTAATAAGGAGGCTTTCCCTCCAGAAGCTCGATCACGGTACAACCAAGACTCCAGATATCCGAAGCGGTCGTGGCGCCGGAGAGTTCAATCACTTCTGGGGCCATCCAGTAGGGCGTCCCCACAACGCTGGATTCACTCAACCCGGTGGTTCTGCTGGCTACACCGAAATCTGCAAGCTTGACAAGACCTTCTTTCGTGGTGAGGATATTGGCTCCTTTAATATCTCGATGTATGACACCTTGCTCATGCAGATACAAGAGACCATGGAGGACCTGGGACATGTAGAGCCCGACCAAGTTTTCCGGGAAACGACCAAAGTTCTTTGCGATGGAGTGTAACGAGCCATTTTCACAATATCTATCCCGGTTAGCTACATGTACTGTTGCTAGCACTCGGCGGGACTCACTCAAGTATGATATTTAGAGTTTCCACAGACTTCACGAATCCCTGGTACTTGACAATATTGGGATGCTGCAACCAAGGTCAGCTCAGGAGGTACTCCGGCGGTAGATATCGCATCTTACATCCAAGTTCTTCAATAGATCAATTTCCAACTGTCGCATAGCATTAGCAATAGCCCTCACCGACCGCGAGCAGAAAGGGATACCATTATCACTCGTAGTTCACTCTTTGGCAGATCTGCCAATTTAATCTGCTTCACAGCGACGGTTTCACCGGTATTCCAATTCAGTGCCCTATACACCGACCCAAATGCGCCTTTACCCAGGCAGTCGCCCAATTGCTTCATGCAGCCAACGTTAGCGACTTATGCCAGGGGCCAAAGGGGCTGTGTCCGTACATAATCCTTGAGTTCCGCGACATCCTTCGCGGAGGACTTGACTACCCTATCATCCTTTGGCTTATCCTGTTTCGACGGGCTGGAGCCGAGTCTCGTGAGTCGTGTTTTGGCCGGAGTGCCAGGCGTCTTGGAAGGCGGCAGCCCCTCACTGGCTTCGCTGGATCGGGAGACCATTGTCGCGCGGGTGGATCGAGATCGATCCCCTTTCGTATCGAGGTCGCTTATCTTAATCACTTGTCTCCGACAGTCGTAGGCTCAGATGGCGAGGGGACGGGTGGAAAAGGCAGGCGCCAGGGGACCGATCGGATCGTTCATGTCAGCACGATCTAGGAGGCAGCGATAGATCCTGTTAGTGAATTCCAGACACATCTTAGGATGCCTAGAGAAAGAGCCGAGCTGAATCCCGCCAGCGTATGGCATGATCATGGGTGGTCAAAAAACATACAGAATGGATCCTTATTCTCGCACCCAGAGAGCCGCGTCCGCTGCACGCGTCTCTACACATCGAATTTCCCCTCCAAAAGCGAGACCGATCTTCAGCTGGTTAGTGAGACTCGCGGATTCCGACTGGGGTATTGCGAAAGGGCCGAGGAGGTGTCACTTACAGTGTGCCTGCCGGAGCAAATGCAGGCCAGGCGGGTGTTTTGAACTTTCCTTTTCGCTTTTCTCCACAGGCCACCAGCTGGCTTGGGCCATGACGCAGCGCCCGGCCGCTGCTGTATCTCCGATCAGCCTTATCAGACCCGATCCAGCAATGCTTGGAAATAAACTTATAGTGTCAAGTGCGTAGAACATCGCAATATACGTTCCCATCTGAGTTTTTACGGTAGTGGTCTACAACAGTCCTCAGAACAACAATGCGTTTCCATTACTCATGCATGCTATATACAGATACGCCAAAACGCTGCGGATGAAGGGTATCTCTGTCGGTAGAGGCATTTTACTCGTTGTCGTAATTTATGGTTATTTTTTTCGCCTCGCGGAGAAGACGGAGAACGTCTGACGCCAGATAAAGACTGCCAGCGATGACCAGCGGGCCGCCACTGGCTTCCTCACAGGCCCAGTTGATAGCGGCGGGGATGTCGTCCCCAAAGGTCTGGACTGGCCCGATTCCTGGAATTGACTGGACACACGATGCTACCTCCTCTGGATCATTTGCCTTGACCCACGGCATACCATCAACGAGGCCGAATGCGGTGATCGCGACTCGGTCGCCGGCCTTGATGATCGAATGAAACAAGGATTCGATATCCTTGCCGCGGGACGCCGCGATAACCCAGGTGACATTCCCTTGTGGACGTAGTTTGCGGTCCACATATTCCCCGAGGACTTCAGCCGACTGAGTATTGTGCGCGCCGTCCAGCAAAACTGGCTCCTCACGGGCTGCCAACGGTTTTAAGACAAGATTCTGTAGGCGCCCCGGCCACTCCACCTTGGACAGTTGCGGAACGAGCGCATCGACATCGATCTCGGGACGGAATCGGTGCAGGGCAACTTTGAGCGCCGAAACGGCACAGGTCATGTTTGCTCGCTGGTGAGGCTGTAGATCGAGGGTAGCGAAGAGCTGGCTAAGCGACGGCGAGTGATGATCCGGCGCATCAGGGCGTGTGTAAACCGCATCGATCTTGAGTTCCTTGACGCGATCTTCGATAGTTCGGATCACAGCCGGCGAGTTGGTGCCATCAATCACACATGGAACACCCGGCTTCAAGATCCCCGCCTTTTCCTTTGTAATTTGTTCAATGGTATCGCCAAGCAGGGACTGATGGTCCAGGCCAATCTTCGCGATGACCGAAACCAAGACGTCAGTCAAGATGTTGGTCGCATCCAGGCGACCGCCCATGCCAACTTCAACCACCCCGATATCGACCCGCTCATGATTGAAGATCTCAAAGGCAGTGGCAGTCAACAGCTCGAACTCACTTGCGCCGATACCCAGTGTTTGATCTCGGAGCTTGACTCTCGCTTCGATCTGCCGGAAGAGCGACTCTTGAACGACCTTCTCGCCGATGGTGATACAATCCCAGCGGTCAATCAGATGAGGGGAGGTAAAGCGACCGCAGCGGACTCCGCCAGCCGACAACAAATGCGACAGGTAGGCGCTGATCGAGCCTTTGCCATTGGTGCCAGCAATATGGATGGCCTTCCAGGTCAGCGGAGTCTGCTGGAGTAGGCGGACGATCCGACTAAGGCCGAGTTCAATCATGCTCCGACTGTGTGATGGTGGATGAATAGATAGGGACGATCCTCATGATCAGGAGGCGACGAGGAGTGAGAAAGTCATGGAAGCAGCGGTGTTATCTTCGAGGCTCCAGAAAATGGCGCCGATCTGGAGTTGCCCGCGGGATTCGGCAAGATAATCGGAGAGCTGTCAGGTGCCCGATAAGGATTGGTGCCTTAAGATGCCTGAGGCATGAAAACGCGAGGGAGATACCCAGCGCCCGTTGCCACCGGGTCGCAGCGATGAGGTAGTGTCGAGTTGGTCCATGGAAAAGTCAATTGCATTCAATAGGATCAATCGCTTTGTAGGGTGAAACCTCATCCGACGGTGAATAATGGACCACCACACGGGCAAGACTCGCGCTGTACTCCAAACTACGCAGGTGACCATGGCGCCACCTCATCCAGCCACCCAGCCAAAATGCCCCAATGTTTCGCAGAAGAACCCGCGGCGCTACGCCGGGAAGCCTCAGGCGCGAAATCTCTTCGCCTCCGCTTTTTACCCTTAGGAGGAAAACCAAGTCTCGCCCTTCTCCATCAACAACTCGCCTGGTCGCTGTCCCCGCAATCTGGCCGCCCCCCATTTAAAGACTCGCGTCACTCCCGTTGTCTGGATGTGGCGTCTTTTTTTGATCCCAATCCGCCTGGACAGTCTCGCTCTTGTCTTCTAATTCTCGCCATGGGTATTCCGTGAGTCCGCCATTATCTGCTGTCGCTGTCGGCACTCTACGCGCCGCTTCATTGCTTTAGCGCGCTGTCATGACTGACTGACCTCTGCAGATTGTTCTGTGAGGCTTCCTCCACCGATGCTCCGAAGAACAATTTCGCCAAAGATCCATGTGCCGCTGCACGCTCCGCAATCCGTCGCCAGGCCACGGTTCGTCGGCCTTCGCGTTATGGCTCCGCCTTGCGCAGCGCAACTCTCCGATCGCCTTTCCCCCGTCCGCTAGCGGATGAGATTGAGCGCGAGGCCAATGGATTGCAGCGTCATGTACGATCGCCGCTGTCGAACTCCAGCACCGCCGACGACGCGTTCGATCTGACCAGCGGCCTCCTGGACTCCAGCAGACGCGAAGCGGGCCAGCGACTGTTGAGCGACGCGCTCCGTCACGGCCGGCCCGGTCAGCGCTTGAGGATCCCACGCAGTTCGGCCTTGCCCGATATATACCACCGCCCGCCGCCGGGTAATGACGCAAACCGGCCAGATCAGGCCCATCCCCCATTCACACCGCGGTTTGCTCCTGCGATCGCATACCATAGGACTGCATCTCCGCAAGCGCACCCCGATGGCGCCCGTTTGTCACCGTTCATTCGAGCAGAAGGCTTTGGAGGGGAAATCTCGATCGCGGCGACCACCTTGCCTTCCCTGCGACGAGTCGGGGAACGATCGATCACTGAGGCCAACCGTCCCAACCGCGAGTCTGCTGTTGATGGTCTTGGCGATCGACAGAGAAGCCTGAGCCCGGATGACGACCATGCCAACGATGCATGGGAGACCCTTCTTACCACGATCACGCCGGACACCAACCTGCCCAGCGCCGATTCCTCCTTCACTTCTGCGTCTGCCTCAGGAACGAATGCCTCGACCATTGGGACGGCCCGAAGCTCTGCAACCTCGTTGCAAAGCATGACCAACCCCATGGACTCGGGCGCGGGGACTGTCCAAATGCTTCTTGATCCTTATCCCGAGTTCCTAAATCCGTGTGACTATCCCAGCTCGAGCGAATCGGATAGTGATTCCGAATCGGGGATTTCTCACCAATCGTTGTTCCGGCGGTACCGTCGCATCCGCCAGATGGAGTCCCTGAGACGGGCCCAGCACCTGCAGTCGACGATGAGCAACCAGCCTCCGATTCCTACCATTTCCTTTGCCTTTTCCGACTCCTCTTCCACCGACTCCGACCTGCAGCAGATGCAAGCCATTCTCGACCGACTTGCTCGGCGGGAGGATATCCCGGATGAGTGGTGGGCGGCAGCTGGACTGTCGCGCACGCTTGGCCGCCGGCTCGGCATACCTGACGACTCTAATGACACGGATAGCGTGGATGGGCCTCTTCGGCCGAGGTGATTGGTTACTTTCTAGCAATGTGTTAGATACCAAGCTGTTTTGGTCATTGTGCTTTAGCGGGAATTTGTTTGGCGTTGGGTATATCAGCGGAATTGAGGGCAGGAAGTCCGTTTCGGATAGGATGTTGATCGGTATGATTGGAACTATGTACTCATATTGTCTGGATTGAATATGCTTGAATCGGAGGATCATGTTGTGTTGATGCGTGGCTACGTAACGTGGAGTGCATGTCAGGACATGTGACCATGCATTGGCGTTCCTCTGACAGCAGGCACCGGACTATCCCGCCCGTCAACCAAACCCTGTTCTTTCAGCGGTCATCCGTAGTATATAGTATATCAACTAGTGGAGATGGTATCGTTCGCGGCTGTCACTAGTTACTCCAGATTCTGTAGTCATCAAAACCGTGCCTGGTCCCCTGTGACGTATGCTGGCCCGGCCAGAGTCCATGCGAGGGTCCACTCTGACGACAGCCCCGCCGACTTATTTATCCATCGGCCACCGAGCTTCACGGCCATCCCGCATCCAGACCTCTGGTGTTCAGTATCGCTACACCGCTTGACCGACTCATCTCAGGGATCAGCATATCTTCGAGTCAGATTCCTAGAAGCATCCCAGTTTTGCAGCACAGGCCGACCACAAACCTCCTCTCGATCCTCTAATCCCTCGATTGATTTACCTCTATCTGCACATACCCCAATCTCCATCCATCCCATCCCGTCCCATCCCATATCATATCAGCGATCCACCATGGACGACCAAGTCAACCGCCTCGTCGACAAGATCTGGAGTACGTCCCCTTCCCCCTCTCCGTCCCTAATCCGACGACGACCACCAAGACCACCAATTAACCACCACCCCACCAGACAAACTCCAACTCACCCCCCCAAACACCCGTCTCCTCATCGCCATCAGCGGCATCCCCGGCTCAGGCAAAACCGAACTCGCCCTGACGATGTCCAACCGCATCAACCAACACCACCTCCGTCTCCACCCCCAACTCCCCCAAATCGCCACCCACGTCCCAATGGACGGCTACCACCTCACCCGGCGACAACTCTCCGCCATGCCGGACCCCAACTACGCACACTCCCGCCGCGGCGCGGCCTTCACCTTCGACGGATACAAATTCCTCACGCTGGTGCAAGCGCTCCGCGAACCCATCACCATGGACACGCAGAGCTTGTTCGCGCCAAGCTTCGATCACGCGGTGAAAGATCCGGTGGATGATGATATTGCGATCCCGGCGTCGTGTCGGGTGGTGTTTTTTGAGGGGAATTATTTGAGTTTGGATCAAGAGCCGTGGCGGGATGCGGCGGCGTTGATGGATGAGTTGTGGTTTGTGGAGGTCGAGTTTGAGGTCGCGAGGAAGAGGTTGGTGAGGAGGCATCTTCGGGCGGGGATTGCGGGGGATGAAGGGGAGGCGGAGAGGAGGGTCCAGGAGAATGATTTGGTCAATGGGAGGGAGATTGTGGAGGGGAGGTTGGGGGTTCAGGAGGTGGTGGTGAGTCGGTATGATCCTGCTTGGGATGCGTGAGGTTCGTGATGTGGGATGATGTGGTGGGATGGATTTATGATTATTGCCTGGATACGTGGAATGGGCCTTGTGGGGTTTTGAGCACTTGAGTGAATTAGCAGTTACAGATATGCATTAGATCGGATACAGCAGATATTACGATGCAACGGAGGATAGATTTTATTCGAGCAATACCTTCCATCTTTCAAAGATTATCGATATGAATTCCAGTACTACTAAGTAGTACATGTTGTTCCCTTTCGAGTCTTACCGGGCAGAATAACCCTGTGTTAGACACACATTTCCTTGACCCACAGAACCTATTTTCTTATGACTGTTGAGTGATCGTAACAAGTATCCTTGTTACATTACAGAAATATCTCCAGTTGAGACTAATCTCATTTCCGATGCAATTTCCATGATAGTGAGTCTCCTGCATAAGTTCATCTCTCGAGTCATTCATTTTCCTCATTACGGTTTGTCCTGGACACCCTCGAACATGCACTGTCACTTCAAAGTGATTCCCGCAAATCATAACCCAGTAGATTCATGATCGTCCCTTCATATCCGGCTCGATGCGAGCTGTACATCCTATGGCAATCTCGCCTTGCCAGCCTTCTGGCTCGCAGCCAGCGCAGCCGACAACCCATACTGCGACGCAACCCCATTAATGCGGTGTGTCGTGTTGAGGTTCTTCACCACAACGAACTGGTAGCAAGTGGCGCTGCCTTGGCGAGAAGCAATGACAGACCAGGCCAGAAAGAGTTCCCAGATCTATTACCGTTAGATGCATTATCACGTTTAAAGAAGGCTGCACATACTCTGTACCACCGCTGACCGTATGTGGCCTTGATCGTCTCGGCGTTTCCGAGCCAGTTCCGGTACCATCTCCAGAGGGTGCCCGAGTAGTGGACTCCGACGGTGTCGATACTATTGTTCCGGGTGTCAGTTCTTGTATTTGGAATTAAGGAAAGAGGAAAGGGGGGGGGGGTTACCTTTTGATCTCAAATCCAGCCCGCTCCAAAGCCAGCACATAGTACCACAGCGGAGTGGAAGCATCAGCGCCACGGAAAATGTACTTGTTCAGATACAGACCCCAGATGAAATCCTCATACTGCCACGCCTGCCGAAGACCCGACAACTGGACATACATGGCGCCATCATCCTTGAGCATATCGTAACATTGACGGAAGAAGGTCGACAATTTGCGGACGCCCACATGCTCGCCCATCTCAATCTGGCTGATTTTATCATACTGCGTCCGGGGAATATCCCGATAATCCATGCACAAAATCCGACTCTGTGACTCGGGAACCCCGGCAGCCCGGAGAGCATCATTTCCCCAGGCGGTCTGATGTTCCGCGATAGTGAGCCCGGTGACTTTGGCCTTGTAATTGAGACTGGCAAACTTGGCGAGTGTTCCCCATCCGCAACCAATGTCCAGCATGGTCTCGCCTTCTTTCAGGCCAAGTTTCTCGCACACAATCGCCAGCTTGTTATCTTGCATTTCCTCGAGAGTTTCCTCCCGACTCGGGTCAGAGATGATACCAGAGGTGTAGACCATCCGAGGACCGAGAAACCAGGCGTAGTGATCATTGCCGAGGTCGTAATTGGGACGAATTTGCTCCTCATCTTGGGATTTCGTGTGGAAGAGGACATCCCTCGCGAAGGTCAAAAGAATGTATTTAAACAGATCCCAAGTGAAGCGGAAATTGGCCCAATCGTGTCGATATTCCATAATGTCCAGACAATCGCCCTTGAAGTCGACCGAGCCGTCGAGATACATTTCGCAAAAGGTCTGAAGGGGGACCTTGTTCCGACCGTGCCATTTGGCTCGGTCTGCCTCATTTTTGAACGTGATGTATTCTTCGATTGCGCGACCGGGCATTGGGACCTTGGTATTGGTCGGGGGACTGCAGCTGGACCTCCATGTCCAGAAAGCAATAAGGATAGGGAAGAGTGTGACGAGACCGAGAAACACGCCGGTCTTCACTCCGCCGCCCAATTTCCATGTCAAGACGGCGGGAATTCCCACCAATGCACTGATCAGGTAGAGATTGCTGAACGCTTCATTTCCGGGGCCGTCTGCTGGGAGGGGAGGGTTGTTGATGGCGGGCGACTACATCGATTGGTATTTATTCGAGGGGACACTGGCAGGGGTTGAACTGACATTGGTTACGGTATCTCCACTAAAAGCTGAGGGCGGAGGTGCTGGAGTGGGAATGAATTTGATGTCACTGGGGAGATTGACATTTTTGGGATTGCTGGTGGCCATCTTCTCTGATGGTGTCCTGGGATGAAGTTGAGAGATTGTTGTTGTTGCTAAGTGGCTTTCTTACGCGGCCCGCGGAGCCCGGCGATCAGCTCGGGATGTCTGAAACAAACACTAGGATGTCTGCTGCTGCCCGCTGCTGGATCAATAGATTCAGCTACTTTTTGACATCATTTAGTCCAATTACTCGTCCTGCTGTAGTATATTTAAGGAGCCTCAGCTCAATGCAACAGTTCATGCAAGATAACACGTGTCTGGCTAGAGACTCAATAAATCAACACCAGAAGGCCTCCACTATAGCAACTATCCGTTCTGGACACCAATCAGAAGCATGCTCCGACACGTTGATCATTGAAGCAAAGATGGCCATTCCTGGCAGCATCTGGGAAGTAATGTCACTCAGAAACACCATTTCAGAGGTCTTGTCGAGGCGAAGATGGACATGGGTCAATAGTTATGATAATGTTATCGTGGCATTGAGGTGAAAGCTAATGGATTCTTTCCTACAATAAGTAAGCTACTGAGAACAATTTTTTATAGGTGTCAGCACAGACAGGCAGTTCGTCGAACATTTCTGACACCCTACTAACAGTACATCATCTATTGTAAGATGTTAACCACTGTTTCAGTGGTAGGCTATCATTGACAACACAGATTAGAAAGATCTCCTTTGGCACTTCTACTCCGTACGTGGGTGTGGTATTTCCGTGTATTAACATAGAGACACTAACCATTCTGAGACTAGTGCTGGTATATATAACAAGGCCTTAGGTACAACAAGAAGAGCCTTACTGTACTCCGTACGGAGTAGGCAGCGAGCAGTCACCTAGAGTGGGGCGGTTGCTTTGAAATCGTGACCGACACTCCATCGACAAAGAACCTCCTGCAAACGGATATACGGAGTACTGCCGACTCTCGGAGCTGATTTGTAAGACCACCCGGGCAAACACGTGACTGCGCTCGTCGCGGTGGCTGCAAGGGCAGCCCATTTAGCCCAAACACGAAAATTCGCGTGGATATCCACCGGCACGCGTTGGCCCCGGCGACATCAAATATCTACCCTTCTGCCCCTCCGTCTTCTTTTCTCTCATCCTCCCAGCTCCTGTGTTCAGGAATTTTTGACGACTTTCTCATTCTTCAACAACTGCCAGCTTCCTTACTACTCTAATACTATATCATATACCCTTGTTCTAGTTTTGTTTCTCGTTTCTCCTACCTCACTGTCTCAAAATGTTTGTCTACAAGAGAGGTGCGTAATTGCAGAATCCAGGTCTAGGCATCGTCCTGGCAGATGGATGAGCATGGATCAAGCAGCCAATGCTAACGCGTGGATGCAGATGGACGCAAAGAACGCGTGCAGTTCGACAAGATCACGGCTCGTGTATCGAGGCTTTGTTACGGTCTTGATCCTGAGCATGTCGATGCTGCTGCCATTACTCAGAAGGTCATCTCTGGTGTCTACCAGGGTGTCACCACCGTGGAGCTTGACAATCTGGTATGTGGTTTGCCAATATGGAAGAGCCGTGCTAATTTGAACCAGGCTGCCGAGACTGCTGCGTACATGACCGTCACACACCCCGATTATGCCATTCTCGCCGCCCGTATCGCCGTTTCCAACCTTCACAAGCAGACCAAGAAGCAATTCTCCTTGGCCATCTCAGATCTGTACCACTATGTCAACCCGAAGAACAACAATCCTGCCCCCATGATCTCCAAACAAACATACGAAACAGTCATGAAACACGCCGACGAGCTCAACTCGGCGATTGTCTACGACCGTGATTTCAACTACAACTTCTTCGGCTTCAAGACTCTGGAGCGCTCATACCTGTTGCGTATTAACGGCAAGGTGGCGGAGCGTCCCCAGCACCTGCTGATGCGTGTTGCCGTTGGTATCCACGGCACCGACATTGAAAAGGCCATCGAGACCTACCACTTGATGTCTCAGAAGTACTTCACCCACGCTTCCCCGACTCTCTTCAACGCGGGTACCCCCCAGCCTCAGCTCGCCTCTTGCTTCCTCGTCGACATGAAGGAGGACAGCATTGACGGTATCTACGACACTTTGAAGACTTGCGCCATGATCTCCAAGACGGCCGGTGGTATCGGTCTGAACGTTCACCGCATCCGCTCCACTGGATCTTACATTGGTGGTACCAACGGTACCTCCAACGGTCTGGTTCCCATGCTCCGGGTCTTCAACAACACTGCCCGCTACGTCGACCAGGGTGGCAACAAGCGTCCTGGTGCGTTTGCCATCTACCTCGAGCCCTGGCACTCGGATGTTTTCGAGTTCCTGGATCTCCGTAAGAACCACGGCAAGGAGGAGGTTCGCGCCCGTGATCTGTTCTACGCTCTGTGGACCCCGGATCTGTTCATGAAGCGGGTTGAGGCGAACGGTGACTGGACCTTGTTCTGCCCCAACGAGGCCCCTGGTCTGGCTGATGTGTATGGAGACGAGTTTGACGCGCTCTACGAGAAGTAAGTTGCTCAGCGCCGTGTCTCGTTCGTACTAACCGCGTCCAGGTACGAAAAGGAAGGCCGTGGTCGTCGCACCATTAAGGCCCAGAAGCTGTGGTACGCTATTCTGGAGGCCCAGACCGAGACTGGAAACCCCTTCATGCTGTATAAGGATGCCTGCAACCGGAAGAGCAACCAGAAGAACCTGGGAACCATCCGCAGCTCCAACCTGTGCACTGAGATTGTAGAGTACACTGCTCCGGATGAGGTTGCCGTCTGTAACCTGGCCTCTCTGGCTCTGCCCACCTTTGTCGACGCTGTCCGCGGCGAGTACGACTTTGGCAAGCTCCACGAGGTGGTGCAGGTCTTAGTCCGTAACCTGAACAAGATCATCGACATCAACTACTACCCCGTGCCAGAGGCCAAGAAGAGCAACTTCCGTCACCGTCCCATTGCTCTGGGTGTCAACGGTCTGGCGGATGCTTTCCTTGCTCTCCGTCTGCCTTTTGACTCGGCCGAGGCCCGTCAGCTGAACATCCAGATCTTCGAGACCATCTACCACGCCGCGTTGACTGCTTCTTCCGACCTTGCCAAGGAGTTCGGTCCTTATGAGACGTACGAGGGCTCTCCTGTCTCTCAGGGTATCCTCCAGTACGACATGTGGGACCGCACTCCTACTGACCTGTGGGACTGGGATGCTCTCAAGGCCAAGATCGCGCAGACCGGTGTCCGCAACAGTTTGCTGGTGGCTCCTATGCCCACGGCCAGCACCAGTCAGATTCTGGGCTTCAACGAGTGCTTCGAACCGTACACGTCGAACATCTACTCCCGTCGTGTGTTGGCGGGTGAGTTCCAGGTGGTCAACCCCTGGCTGCTGAAGGACCTGGTCGACCTCGGCCTGTGGTCGGACAACATGAAGAACCGCATCATTGCGGAGGGTGGTTCCGTGCAGAACATCCCCAACGTGCCGGCCGACATCAAGGCGCTGTACAAGACGGTGTGGGAGATCTCCCAGCGCACGATCCTGCAGATGGCCGCGGACCGTGGTGCGTTCATCGACCAGTCGCAGTCCCTCAACATCCACCTGAAGGAGCCCACCATGGGTAAGATCACCAGCATGCACTTTGCGGGCTGGAAGATGGGTCTGAAGACGGGCATGTACTACCTGCGTACGATGGCCGCTTCCGCTCCGATCCAGTTCACTGTCGACCAGGAGCAGCTGAAGGTTGAGGACACCAATGTGGCCCGTGCGAACGCGTCGTTCAAGAAGCGCGCGGTGGGTGCGGCCTCGACCACGTACTCGGCTGTTCCCCGCGGCCAGAGCCAGGCCAACAGCGAGAACGGTCTCAACGGCGAGAGCCCCCGGTCTCTTGCGGAGACGAACGAACCGGAGGACAGCCAGGAGAGCACGGACCGGGAGAACGACATTTACTCGCAACAGGTGCTCCAGTGCAGCATTGAAAACAAGGAGGCGTGTGTGATGTGCCAGGGTTAAGCATATGGTCAAGGCGTTGGGTGTAAGATAACGAGATTGATGCTATGGTATGGGATATGATAATTTATTCATGGACTTATTCATATTACTGTTATTGATTCATATTACTTTATTTGTATACTGTTTCCATCGATTAATGGTCTCCCTTGGACTCGGGCATGTAATTCTTCGACTGGTCCATCATATCATTGGCCTTATTTTTCGCCTGGTCGGAGTATTCGGAGCCTACACCGTTGGCATTCGCATTAGCCCTCCATCCTCTGCAATAGCACAAAGTATAACCTACCTTGTCCCATCATGCGATTAAAAGAATCCTTAGCCTGATCGGTATAATTGGTCGATGAACCCGTGTCTACCACATTTAGTACTGTACCTCATAAAACACACAGAATACAAATACAGAAAGGATAGGAAGAAAAGGGGGTTGGGGAAAGAACGTACTGGACTGCTCCCCCATCATACTATCATAATATTCCTTGCCCTTGGCTTTGGCGGTTTCGATATTTTGGCGGATGGTGTCCATTGCTTTTCTCTAGAAAAAAAAAAAAAATAAATAAAAGGTTCGTTAGGTTGGTTAGATGGAGGGATATTAGGGTTGGGGGGTGAGACGTACGATAATGTATGATTTGTGTTGATGGGTGGAGGGAGGTTATTGAATTGGTGGATGAAGATGGAATGTATTATGTGGTAAATTAAGGATAGCTTGGCTGGAGGGGGTTCTTATATTATACTATTCAAGAGATCAAAGGATAGCAGAATAGAGAAGAGAAGGGAGGAGATGAATCATAGACTAACGTTCATGACGTGGGATTGGATCTGGAGCGTCATGGATCTCGAGGTCGATACGTACTAATAGTACTCCGTATGTAGGAGATTATATCCACTGTGGCGAGACTGCCTATCTACCTACTATCTACAGACTAGGAGTATTAGAAGTAGAGTGGAATACTACATAGCTGTAGTAGATAGGAGGAAAAGGAGGTGGTGGTGATAAAAGATAATCGACGTAACGATGTGTTTATATTGTGGGGATGAGGTTCCGTGGATGAGTAGTGACATGACATCTTCGACTATACCACCACCTCTACTCACATCCCTATCTTATGCTTAGTAACTAGCTATTATCTAGTTAGCTGTGTAGGGATTTCTTGCATAATGAGTTATGCTTACCTATCTACCTATTATCTATTCTTTCTTTGTCTACAGTGTACTCCAGATTTCAAAGATGTCAATCCGACCTCCCAGATCGTCCCCTTCACTAGAAAATACTCCCGTAGATAGAATTCACTTCAAAACCCCCCCTTGGCATGACACACCTCCGTGAAACCAGACGGTCAGGTAGTCATATTCGGTTGCGTTGCGAATTAACCATCATCCATCCCATCTAGCTTACGCCGACTAGTTCACTAGGTAAATACAGTAGGTAACTAGGTAACTTACCTGACTGGACTGGACTATTGCACCCAGTTGTATTAAGTTGGGTCAGTTGGAATGGAATAAAGGAGTTTAATGAGGGGAAGGAAAGGGGAAGGGAAGGGTACGGAGGGTTTTCAATCGGGCGGTTTTGCTCATCTGTACTTGCACTGTCCTTCCTTCACTTAACTCTTGACTTCGAGATTGATACTTATGTCTGAGGTGTGCTAATAATACTATACGAGTGTTGGAACATTGGGGCGGTTACAGTCCTTCATCTCATACTCCTACACCACGGAGTATTCTTTTTTGGTATAGGACCAACACCTCTACCTAGGTATCATAGTATAGGTATCCGAGTATAAATGTTGGATAGCTCCAACGGGTACCTGCGCCTCAGACTCATTTCCCGTCCCTGTCAGCAGTTAGTTCCGGGGCAGATGGGGCTGAATTCTGGGGCTAGTGTGTTTGATCCTGCTCTGGTCCAGTCACGATGTTTACTGTTTACTGTTAGGGAGGCGAAGGATCGTGTTCTCCTGCTTCCTTGTGTTGGTTGTATCGCTACATCGTTAGTACTTCACAATTTCTCTGTAAAAGAGGTATCATCGGAAATTGTTTGCTGTGGGGCTGACCGATCGGAGAATGTGGAATAGACTCCGTTACGTACTCGTACTCTGGACATGGGTTCCATGAAAGAAGAAGGGTTGTCTAGAGTGGTAGGAGGGTAGCGCGCCACGCGAATGACGGCTGGCTTGGCATGGCCGAGTCTTTTGACTTCTCAATACCGAGTTGATACATTCATCGATCGTGGCGCCGATGCCCGAGACTAGCGCCCCAAATCGACTCGGCTGGACTCTGCAGCCCACCAGTAGGGCTCTGCTGACGAGATCTGACTGGCGGACTGGTGCGACACGTCACTGTTGCCACTGCCTGACTGCACAGCTGTAAACTGTGAAAATTAAGTAGATATTATCTGATACTACATTCCCTGTAGTGTCTAACTACGAGTAGAGTCACTGGCTACTGTACTGGCCCAATTTATCATCACCAGCCACGCTGATCCCCCTGAGTCTGAGCGGAAACCCAGCCCGCACTCAGCAAAGTCAATCCGTGGCTGAGCCAAAGTTAATCCATAAAGGGCGACTCCCGTAAACAGCACAAGATCCCGCCAATCATCTCCTCATATGTCAGTCAGGAACGGCCTGGTGAGACACCGGCGTCAACAGGGACCACCAATCAGCCACACTGCTGGGTCTGTCCGAACATTCCGATCAAGGCCTGTTTTTTCTTCTGCTTTATGCTGCGTCAGGTACGAGGGACACTCCAATCAAACTGGGCAGGCCAGCTGGTCCGGGCCGCGCCCGATGGATGGCCAACCACGGCGATGCCTACCCCTGGCCCTGGCAGCTGGAAGAACCGGTGAGTCGGGCAGAGACTGCTTTCACGTCCTCCGTATTGGCGGCGGGATCAGTGGTTCACGGTTCGGTGTGGGTGGGTCGGTGGATCGGTGGATCAGTGGGTGGGACGAATCATTCATTCTTTGGATTGTTGTGTGTTGCTGAGTTGAGTGTTGCCATTGCTCTGAGTGAGCAATGAAGGTGTCTTCCGATGATGGGTGGATCCATTGCTTTCACGTTCAGATACCATACCAGTCACCACCCGGGCCCAATACAAATACTGCGCTTCCCTCCTCGCTCGCTTCTTTCTTCCACCACACAGTCCGTCTCTCCTTGACATTCGGTCATTCCTTCTTTAAACCCCCACTCCTTGGGTTCCTTGCGCCATACTGCTGTGCAGTTCATTCCTTACTCTGTCGACCAGAGATACCTTCTTTACCTACAACTTCAACTCACCAATTCAACTCCTCACCAAATTCAACTCACTACTCAACCAACAATGGCCCCTCTTTCCAAGACTCTTGCCCTGGCCGGTGCTCTCTTTGCCGCCCTTGGCTCTGCTGCTCCTGTTGAAAAGCGTGAGACCGCTGTGGTCTACGAGACGGTGACCTCGGTCGTTTGGACGACGATCGATGTGACTACTACCATCTACGGCAACGCTCCCGCCACGTCCACTACGGCCACTACGGCCACTCCTACCGCCGAGAACCAGGTCCAGGCTCCGGGCAACAGCCAGCCTGAACAATCCGTCAACTACCAACCTCACTCTACTTCTACCTCCACCACCGTCTGGTGGACTCCTTCGCCCGAGACCTGGGCGACCTCCGCCTCTACCTCCACCTCCACCTCCACCTCCGTTTATGAACCCGCCTGGACCCCGAAGTCGACCTCCGAGGCCCAGTGGACTCCTTCCACCACCACTGTCCCTGCGACCGCCACCACTGCGGCCGCCACCACCGCGGCCGCCGCGACCTCTGCCGCCAGCAGCAGCAGCAGCAGCAGCAGCAGCAGCAGCAGCAGTGGCTACAGCGGTAGCTGCTCCGGCTCCGCTCCTTGCACGGGTGATCTGACCTACTATGTGGCGGGTCTGGGCTCGTGCGGCAAGTACAGCAACGGCAACACGGACGATGTGGTTGCGCTGCCGGTGGGTATCATGACGGACAGCGACTGCGGCAAGACGGTGCACATTACCTACAACGGCGTGACCAAGACGGGTACGGTGTGGGACAAGTGCATGGGCTGTGACGATGTGTCGATTGATCTGTCGGAGCATCTGTTTGAGAACTTTGCCAGTTTCTCGGCGGGACGGTTGACGGGAGCCAAGTGGTATATCGAGTGATGTACTGATTGCTGACTGACTGCTTATGGATGTGATGTGATTTTGGCTTCTTTTCTTGTCACTCGTTGACTATGATTGTTCTTGTTTATACCTTAGCTGTGGTCCGGACCATGATATACCATGCACCTCATCGTATACTACCTCGTATACTACTACCTCGTATACTACTACCTCGTATACTACTACCTCGTATACTACTATCCTCGTATACTACTATCCTCGTATACTGCCATAATCTGCTAAAGCAGACACCCTGCTTGAACCTTTTTCAACCATCTGGCCACGGCAGCCCCTTCCCATCCATCCCATCCATCCCCTCCATTCTCATCACCATCATCCTCACCCCCCTCACCCCCACCATCACCATACCCATGACCCTCCCCCCGCTCCCCACCCCCCACCAACGAAGTAGCAAAAGAAGAAGTAGATTTGGAACGACACCCCCCCCTCAACCGACAAATCTCCCTCTCCACACACTTCCCCACACACACCGGGACATGCCATCCCCGGGTGCGTCGGATCCAATACTCCCGGAAGATCTTGTGCTGGGTTTCCATGATGTCGGTGAGTCGAGCCCAGAAGGGGGCGTTGAGGGTGCCGTCACCACCGTCACTACCATTACTTTCTCCGCTGTTAGGAGGGGAGAGAGGAGTATTAGTATTGGTGGTGGTATTGGTGGTGGTAGTGGTAGGGGTAAGAGGAAAGACGACTCGTCCGTAGCTCTCTCGCGCGGAGTAGTATTTTTTCCAGATCGGTGAGGTGTCACCACCACCACCTTCTTGTTCTTCTTCGGTTTCGTTTGGTGGGGAAATGGAGGGGGAAGAAGAGGAGGGAAGGATCCCCACCCAAACCTGGGAATCTAGTACTTCCCATCCACCCCCATTCCCATCACCATTGGTATCAACACCAATGTTGATATCTAAAACCCGAAACGCCGCCCGTCCTGAGGACAGTGTAATCCCCGGCGCCATTAACTCGACCACTTCCCCTTTCCCCCTCTCCCCCTCCCCCTCCCCCTCCCCCTCAGCATCCTCCCCCTCACCACCCCCCTCATGATCATGACCATAAACCACCCCAAACGAATCAACATGTCCATGCCCACAAAACACCCCCACAATAATCCCCCGAAACCTGTGAAGAATCACCCGTAACGACGCCGCATACTCCGGAATGGTATCCGAACTGGTGGAGGGGATATGCGTGATGAGGTAGACTTTTTGGGCGAGTTGTTCCGCGGTGGAAAGTTCCGTGATGAGCCAGGTGAATTGATTCATGGGGTCGAGGGACATGGGGGTCGTGTAGGTGAGGAGGTTGAGGCGGTAGTAGAGGTTGCTGTTGTAGGAGATTATTTTTAGGGTTGTATTGGTATTGTTGGTGGGGGTGGAAGTATCTGAGGTATTGGTACTGGTATTGAAGACAGAGGGAGGAAGAGTAACAGTAGCAGCATACGCCCCGTGATGAATGGGGATATTGGTATTGGCATCCCCCAGGAGAGTCCGCCAATGCGCTGCCACCGCATCATACGCCCACTGGGGATTCAACTCCCCCGGCACGGCCTCGCTCACCGGAAAGATATTCACCGGGTGGGTATCATGGTTCCCGATCGCGGGGTAAACCGGACAATTCAGGGTCTGTAGAGCAGCAAACGTGGTGTCGAAGCTGCGCAGCACCGACGGCTGACTCTCGTTCCAGATGTCATGGGGCACTACGTCCCCCGTGTAGAGTGTCAGATGGGGTTGCAGGGCGTGCACGGCGGAGAGCATACTCTCCAACAGCCGTAGCGGAGGGTCGCAGCGGGAATGCCCCCAGGCTGGGCATGGCTTGGCTGGGATATCATGTGGGTCGGGACGGCAGCAGATGGGTTTGCGGCAGAGGGTGCTGGATCCGGGGGTGTATTGGAGGTCAACGTGGGTGTCGGTGATGTGGGCGATGCGGATGGATGATGCTGCTGTTGCTGCTGCAGGAGGAGGAGGAGGAGGAGGAGGTGGTGGTGGTGGTGGTGGAGGCGGAGGTAGGGTTAGGTTAAATGGTCGAGGCGGCGGCGGAGGACACAACTCCAATACACTGGCGCAAAACGTCTGCGCGGTGTATGATGGAATCTGCAACTGACTGAGCACATAATGCGCACTGGGCACTTGCGAAGCCACCAGCCCGGTGCAAAAGTCGGCGTCGTAAATCTAGAACCCATTAGCCTGCTGCCTCGTCCGCGGGACCGACGCGATCTACCTTGCTTCGGATGCATAAATTGGCGAGGACTGTTTCCAGGGTGGCCGGCCCTTGACGAGCGACCTGCTGAAGGGATCGGAGGAGGGTCTGAAAGAGTCAGCGGGGATGTTAGACGACGGGAAAAGTTACCTCGCAGGCGGTGCAGCTGGTCGCAGCTAGTACATCATCCCAGACCAGGTCGGTCCAGTCTGCCCAGCTGCCGATGACCAGGACTACAAGTACTAGGAGCAGAACAGGCTTCATCGGGGAGATGCTGAGAACTTACCTGGTGCCCCTCGGGGGCTTTATGCTCTGGCGGTCGGGATTGTCGAATTGGAGCATTTAGCAATCCCATGTGATGCTCCGCGCCAATACCGCACAGCAGACAACGGTCCTTTGATGTATTTGTCGGATACTTTGCTCGGTGTGCAGAGGATTGAGCAGAAGGCACATTCCTGGTCGGCGTTAGGGTTGGCCGCGGCAGCATCAATAATCCATGCTTCCATCCCCTGCAGCTCCGCTGGATCCGGCCAACGGCTCCCCCGTGCCCAAGTCGAGGCATCCATGGTACGGCATGGATATCCTAGACGCTGACACTAAGACTGGACTGGATGCTGCACTGGACGCCTGAGGTATACCAGTTCCACCCGAGAAACTGTCGAACAGCCTGGCTGCCATTCACCTCCCACGGCAAAGTGGAAGAAATAGTGGCAGCTTCATTCTTGGCACACGCGAGGGATCAGCCGATCGGCCATCATATTTGGATCATCGTCAATAATCACAACAAACATGTCTAGACAAAGCCTATTCTCTAGCCTACTAGCCTATTATCTAAGCCTCGAGCCCCCGGGACCCACGCTTCCACCACTAATCCCTAGTCGCTGCACTAATTCCGGTTCGTCTCCGCTTCCCCTCAATTTCTTCTTCATCCACACGCTGACGCTCGCTTCTCCGCTGCTCAGTGCTTCTCTCTTCTTCTCCCTTGAGTCGATCTATTTATTCATCCCTCTATATATCATGCTTTGATCAATATGGCCCCGCCCCTCCCCCCTCGTCCCCTCTGTCCTCCCGTCCAGATTCGCCATGGAAGACCAACGGCCCGAGGTTCTCGTCGTCTCCATCGTCTTCTTCGTCATCGCGACCGTCTTTGTGGCCCTCCGCTTCGTCTCTCGCATCTTCATCGTCCAAAAGGTGGCCCTGCATGATTATCTCATGCTCCTGGCCTGGGTGGGTTCTTTTGATGTTTCTGATGAATCTCGCTCACGGCATAGGTCCTCGACTTTGGCTTCTCCTTCTCCCTCTTCTATGCCACCCGACAAGGCCTCGGCCTGCACGATGTCGATATTCGTCCGGACCAGCGTTCCGGCCTCAATCGCGCCGATTATGCCTTTACCGTCCTCTACGTGAGTCGCCTGCGCCCCGTTCAGCGATCCCTCTGACCTCCCAGAACCCGACTCTCATGGCCGTCAAAACGTCCATCCTCGTCTTCTACCTCACCCTGACACAAGGCGAAAAGGTCTTTCGCTGGGCCAACTACGTCACGCTCTTCGTGGTCAATGCCGCCGGGTTCGCCCTGACTCTCGTCAATGTGTTCCAGTGTCGTCCCGTCGGGGCCGCCGTCGCCTATCCCTTGCCGGCCGGCGCCCAATGCATCGACATCCTGACCCTCTACCTCTCCTCCTCGCCGGTGAACATTGTCACCGATCTGGCTATACTCTTCCTTCCGAATCCGATTCTCACGCAGATGCGTCTCCCGCGGAAGCAGAAAATCATCCTCGTTATCACCTTCAGTTTCGGTTTCTTCGTGGCCGTGGTCGACGTCATCCGGATTGCGTATATTCAAGATGCGGCCACCGCCCGGCAGATTGCGTCGCGACAGGTTCACCTCCAGGATACCCCGGGGGACGATCTCAGCTGTAATGTCCCTGTCCCCTCGTTGTGTAACCTGCTGATGGTCTAGGGTACGGGGCGCTCTCCTTCATGTGGTCCGTCATCGAAGTCAACGTCTCCATCATCTGTGCCTGCGTCCCCAGTTTGAAGCCGCTCGTCGCGCGACTCATTCCGAAATTGATCCGCGACACGAATGAGAGCTCCCAAGCCACCGACCGTCCCATGCCTGCCCCCGATCCACCCCCGGAGATTCCCACCGTCTCGGGGCCCACCCGGAAGGAGTCGCAGTCGGAGAGTCACAGCAGCCAGGCAGCCTCGGCCCGCATCGACCTGGCCGATTTCCTGAACACCGCGCCGGACGTTCCTCCGGACGTCGAAAACCGGACCAACACCGTCACGACCAACACGTCGTATCCCCCGAGTATCACCTTTTTCGATTTCGTCAACATGAAGAAGCCGGCCAATATGCTGAAGCTGAGCAACAAGGAGTCTATCGCCCCGATCGCGCTGACGACCATCCTGTTCTTCCTCTGGGGGTTTGCCTACGGCCTGTTGGACATTCTGAACGAGCAGTTCCAGGAAATCCTGCGGCTGGATGTGTGGCGGTCGTTTGGGCTCCATGCGGTGTACTTTGGGGGCTACCTCGTGGCCCCGTCGCTGGTGGGCCGGGTGGTGCTGAAGCGGTGGGGCTTCAAGGCGACCTTTATCACCGGACTCTGCATCTACGCCTGTGGCACGCTGATCTTCTGGCCGTCGGCCGTGCTGTCCTCGTACGCCGCGTTTGCGATATCCAATTTCATCGTCGGTTGCGGGCTGGCCGTGCTGGAGACGGCGGCCAATCCGTTCATTGCGCTGTGCGGACCGCTGGAGAACTCGGAGATCCGGCTCAACATCTCGCAGGGCGTGCAGGCGATTGGCAGTGCGGTCTCGCCACTGCTGGCCAAAAAGGTGCTGTTCAAGAGCGTGACGGACGTGAGCGCCCTGGTCGATGTGCAGTGGACGTATCTCGGGATCGCCCTGTTCGACGTGCTGCTCGCCCTGGCGTTCTACTACCTACCCATCCCGGAGGCATCGGACGAGGATCTGGAAGAGCTGGCCAACCGCCGCCGCGCCGACAACCGGGCCACGGTGGTGGGCATCCCGGTGGTCTGGGTGACGCTGGCACTGGGCGTCTGGTCGCAGTTTTTCTACGTGGCCGGACAGGAGGTGCTGTCCATGAGCTTTAGCGACTATGTCCGCACGGTGCATCCCCAGTCCGCCCTCAGCCCGTTCGAGCAGCTCACCGTGGCCCACACGGTGTTCGCCATCGGCCGCTTCCTCGCCGCCTTTCTGCAGTGGTTTCTGAAACCGCGATGGATCCTGATGCTGTCGTACATCGGCATGATCGTGTTTTCAGTCCTCTGCATGAAGATGACGGGGCGGACGGCCGGCGCCATGGCGCAGATGGTGTACCTGTTCGAGAGCGGGGCGTTTAGCATCATCTTCGCCATCTCGCTGCGCGGCACCGGACGACACACCAAGACGGCAACCGTACTGCTCACCGTGGCCATCAGCGGCGGAGCCTTCTTCCCATTTGCACAGTACGCGGCACAAATGGCGCACGGGATGCAATACTCGTACTGCGTGCTGGTGGCGCTGTTCAGCGCGGGGGCACTCTTCCCAGTATATCTGAACGTGGTGCCAGCAGCAAAGAAGCAAGTGGACCCCGTGCCCAACGAGCACCTACGACATCATCACCGACGCCGCAGCCGAGTGAAGGCCACGGTGGTGGCCCGCGAAAAGGAGAACCCGTCCGTCGGCGGCGTGTTGTCGCGACGGCGCAGCGTGGTGTCCGAACCGCTGCCAACGGTGCAATTGCCCGATCACAGTAAGCGGACGGGCGGCTTGATGCACGAGTTGGCGCCGTGGCCCGAGGGGACGGACTAACCTTGTATATATTGGTTTTATGATACCCTCGTGTTTTTGTTTTGTGTACATATATGTATGTTAAAGTGGTCACTTTACTCGGATTGTAGTGGATCTCTGTTCTTCTTCTTCTTCTTCTTCTTCTTCTTCTTTCTTCTTCTTCTTCTTCTTTCTTCTTCTTCACCCGTTCAACTGCACGACAGCCACTCTTGCTAAATCGGACAGCTGCGTCGCAAGGACAAGAAAACATCTCCATCCGGGTTACGAAGGGGATTCCCCTTCTCAGCCAACCATACCGCTTCATCTTAGATGCATCCCCCTCTGCAACTACTCATCCCCCAATCACCGCCACCATCTTTCTGGCAATCTCTCTCTCTCGTCTCCCGATTATACTCCTGCTTGTTCCTCCTATAACCAACCCCGCTCCTCCAGTCTCGCATGACCTGACTCGTTGGGAGTGTTGGGGGGGAGCAGAAGTTTGTGGGGTGTTATGATGGTATGATGGTATGATGGTATGATGGTATGATGGTATGATGGTATGATGGTATGATGGTATGATGGTATGATGGTATGATGGTATGA